GCACGCTCCTTCGCCAAGGTCAAGCCGCCGCATCCCAAGTAAGACTGATGCCATTAACATGCAACCCCCGCAACAAGGACTACCGAAGCTGACCGACCATATCCCACGCGTTTGTCAGAATCAGCACCGCGCTAGTTTCTGGTCTGCACGGGGACAGCCTTGTTGACAAGTCGGACAATGTGGTACGCCTCCAGCCCGCGAGCAAGGTAGAGAGAGGAGAGAGTGATCGCAGTCCTGGCAGCGCAGCCTCCGATATCCTTGTCATATGCTTAGTTATCTCGAAAATATTCCGACCAGTGGTACAGCTCGTTTGTGACGCTGGTGCAGTGAGGGGGAGCCTTTTGGAGGTTGGCAATGGAGAGCTGGGCTGGGCTGCTGATTTTCGGCAGTTGATTCAGAGAGTGTGTTGTCGCCGAGAAACACGGTTGTTCCGAGCAGACGAACCGCCATCTACTCGAAGCCATGCCTTCGAAGTCTGAAAGTATGTTTTTGCAGACACACTGGATTCTCACGTCACGGGAAAACAGCTTCTTGCTTCCGCTGCTGATTATGACTTGAGATTGGCTTTTTGGCCACTGAGTCTCGAGTCCATATTTCAAGCTGCATAGCCCAAGAACCCGAAAAGGAAATGTGGTAAGTGCACATCGACTACTAGGTTTCATACTGGGGAGCTCTAGGAGTCGTCGCCTTGCGGAGAATCAACTATGCTTTCACTATCATGCAAGCTACCACCAGAACTCGAGAGAACTTTCACAGGACTGCCAAGCGGCTACTGCTCGAACGATTCAGAGCGTTATTGGACCACTAGTCCAGCCCTCTGATGAGAAGGTATTATTGATCCACCAGAGCACCAGAGAATAGCTACTCCAGGCTGAAGACATTTCATCCGGCTCAGGACGTCACGAGTCATCCCCGTGAAGAGTTTTAGTCAGCAAATACCTGCATCCTCTATCTACTTCAAGAACTTCTAAACCCCTCCCAGCCCCCTCCCGGCATTGTCTCCGATGGACGATTTGTTCCGCGGAAGCTTCGGTAAGGCGAAAAGTCTCCGGAATCTGGCGAAATATGGGATACGGGAACAAGATATGACCAGCCTGGACCTCTCCCAGGAGCCCGAGACCATAGAGGCAGACCTCTCAAAGGGAGTGGCCTTGCGACATCCATTCTATGACTACGCGGAGACAGGCCAGGATTGCCATTATTCAGCCTGCGAAGACATCGCCCTTCCCGAGCTCGCAGATTCTGTTCAACTCTTCTTGACATCGACGCCCTAGCGGGGCAGATATGGAGAAGCTATGCCACAACCCAGGCCATTGGTGCCGCGGTACAGTGCCTCTGGGAATCTGGCATTGGTATTTGCATCTTACTTTAATCTCGTAGGACTTACGGGTGACCTTCTCCAACATATCAATCCTCACAAGAGGAGAGAGACGAGGCACTTTCCAAAGCGGCAAGTCGTGGTCACGGCAAAAATCGTCTCTCTGTTCCTCGATGTCAGCGCTGATCCAGAGTATCATGGCGTAGAGAGGCAGAACGCGCGATTGACGTCCGCAGCTAGCGTACACTTGGAGTGCATGCACCAGCTAGTGGCCAGCGGTGTGCACCGATGTGAACGTCAGCGGCAAAAAAGGGGCGGAGGGGAACGCCGTCCTTGGCAGCTAGGAACGGCCACCATGATTTGGTAAAGTATCTGCTCAAGAATGGCTCGACCGCAGCAGGTCTAGGTGATCAAACCCGTGCGACTCCCTTCATATTGGCCACCGGGACGCGGCCATTTGGCTATACTCTCAACGCTAGTGAAAAATCCTCGCGTCGATGTCCACAGTCTGAAATTAGCAACGGACGTGCTGCCTTGTCTTGGGCACTGGGCGAAGGTAGGAACAAGTCGTCAGCTACCTCCTGAAGAGTCGATCTGAACCTTCAGGACATGACTGGTTGAATTGCGTTCTCGTGGGCATGAGGAAATGGGCACGTCGGGGGTTATCCGCACGCTCCTGCAAAACCCGAGACTCGACAGATACCAAGTAGACCGTGGGTTGAGGAATCCCATTTCATGGGCGTGCAAACGAGGACATGGAGGAGCGAGCCGGGTCTTGCTCGCGAACAAGCCTCGGGTCCTGGACGACAAGGACGCAGACAGCTGGAAGCCGACAGCGTAGGCTGTCCAAGACAGCACTTCCACCATAGTCAGAATCTTCTTCGACGCCAGCGCTAGGAGCCTCGAAAGAGCATCCCCCAGATCGTAGTGTCACAGGCCATGGTGTACGGCACCTGGGCAGTCGTCCGGATGCATCTTGCCAAGGGTGCCGGTCCGGAGACCGCCAGAAATCAGATCCCACCCCGCACTCTCCATGTGGATCGATCTTTTTAATAAGCTTTCAGTCGCCCTGAACAAGATGGCATCCCTTCGAGCAGGTTGTGGACGGGTTGAGGTAGGGCATGGCGGGGGTTCATAGAAGGGCTGGACACCTGATCATGGCGAGGACAGGTGGAAAGAGACAGGGCGAGTGAGTTGAACAGTGGCAGTGCTCCTCAGTCATTTACTCCGGTAGCGCATCAACGCCTGTTTGTAAGTTTGCTTATGCCTGTACCCTTCTCGCGCAGCTCGAGCGAAAGAGCCTTCTTGTATTAGAGCCAAGCCAGCCCTGGCTCAACAAAACTCAGGCATGGAGCAAGATGTGCTACAAACACCGACGGGTCTGGTGCTTCGCATCTCTGCACCAAGCTAAAGACCACTAGTGTAGTCCACTTTGGCCAAGCTGGGAACCTCCACGCAACCCAGCAGAGAGACGATGTCGTGGATGTGGTTATTCCTTGCCCAATTCGTCACCGTTGCCGAGCCCAGTGATTAGTGTAAATAAACATTCAACTGATAGACCTCGGCACAGCCGTATGAAAGACTACGTATCTGGAGGACGAAGCACATCTTTCACTGCTCACTTCTTTGCGAAAAACTCGAGAGCATCGAGTAAGTTCGAGGGAGGTCAGGTCTTTATGCCTACTTACAGGCACGAAGGGCCATGGCCATGGTAGTGTTGGAGGCGGCGCTGATCGTGGTGTTTAGTATTGTATTGGCTCAGGGTGTTCCAGTGGCGTTCAGCTTGGAAATCCTGTGCGTTAGCTTCCGTTGTTCGGACCCTCTCAAAAGCATTGCCCTGTCACTATTGGAAACTCGGCCGAATGGCCGGATAACGCAGCCTATTGAGGCAGGCAGGGCTGAGAATGCGCATGACTCCTCTGCTCTGCATCTCGAGCGGCCCGTACGTCTGCTTGGGTGGCTCTTACACTTGCTACACTGGCTCTTCTTCCACTGAGTCCGTCTACGCGGACTTGTGCTCGGAACGTTTTTCACGGAGGGTCGCCGGCGTCGGCGTCGGTCGCGACGCAACTTCGTCTGCATCGTCCCCCTGTGCGTAGGTTGAAATTGCCCGATCAGATTATGCAGAGATTCCTAGGTCGTTCTCTGCGGCAGCAGAGCCCCGCTGGAGACGTGTTGGCAAGCCTGCGTTGAACTGTTGGACGATATGGATGGTGTCATGGATTCAAGATAGAGGATGGTAAATAGGAGTGTTGGGATCAGGCGGGTTGCTGTACTATAACCAGGAAGTGATGCCGATGCCGATTATATCGTGGCCCGGAGGTCCGTGGCAACTTGACGGGTAGTAGTGTTAACGACACCGAATTGAGAAACACAGTCGCGGTGACTGTTTTTTTGCCCATAAAAACAATAACGGACCTCCCCAGGGTTCCCAATGAAGTTGATGAAGGTAGCGCTCGTCGCTGTGGTATACTTGCTTATGAGTGGTCGCGAGCGATGAGGCATATTGGAAGGGTTCGTTTGGCGAAGATCCAGCCATTTTGTAGTATCGTGAGAGCTCCTGCGGTCAGCAGCATATGTTCGACCCATGCCAGGCGAGAGCTCGGCAATAGGCCTCTCGACGCTGCTCTTACGACAAGAGATCTTGATCTCTTGCCCCCCCCCCCCTCTGCTTTTCTTTGTGGGCAATCTGAGTGTATCAATCAGCCAGAGGCCCATTCTCTTGTTGGGAAATGCTGCAAGTGGCAATAAAAGTCTGCCAAACATGCCCTTTTAGGTTGAGCCGATCCAGTCAGGCTACGCTGTCTTTTGAGTCTACAAGAACAACCCCCAAAGATGTCAGCAATTCCGCCGAGCTTGTCTGCATGCGATCGATCGTGGAAAGGCCGATAACTCAATATGGAAGCCCAGGCTCCCTTGGAAAATGAGCTCCACCACACCCGGCGGTCGCAGATTCCCCTCAAACACAGTCCTGGGTTGAGCTGAAACGAGAGCGGAAATGGAGGTGATTGGGGTGGCCCAAGCTCAATCTGCTGGACAGAGGGAATAATCAAGAAGCGCTATCATCACATGGCACGTACATATACGATCCTGTGGTTCAAAATCTTAGCGTTTGAACTTGGATAGGGGTGGCCGAGGTGTTCAACTTAGCCCACGCAGCGGTCATTCCACCAGCTAACAGCATTTGGAACAGTGAGCTATGTCATGCTTTAACACCTGTGAGATACCAAGGACAATTTGCATTCATGCATGGTGTTTTCGCTGTCGTGGAATTCTGAATTCGTACGTAAGTGACACGCAAATACCTGTCCATTCCAGTGGGGTGACATCGAGCAGCATCATATGGAAGCTCAGTCAACGATGGACGTGGAAGTCCCTATCATGGTTCGTGGCTGGGGAAGCTCCGTGCCCTCCGAGCCCACAGCATGGCTGTCAGCTTCTGGGGGATGTCGAGCTCAAGGTTTTTGCTATGTCTCGCGTTTTGTTTGGTGGCTGTAGTCAGTGGAACGAGTCTCTGATTCGACCGTTCGGAACACCTATGTGGTGCCAAGGCAGAAAATGGAAACCTGGAGGCGCCTGTTCTGAAGTGCCTATCCCCCGTACCTCCTGATGCGGGAACTACGGTGGATACATCAGTTGACACATCGCCCGGCTACACAAGTGCGTTAATCAGTCCACCTAATGGCATAATTGGATGTGATTATGGTATCTAATCGGCAGCTAATGATCTATCTGCTAAAACGCCAGGGAAAAGAGAAAAAATGGCCTAGAGCAATAACCCAGTGTATGGTTACTGTACGCGTGATACTGAATGGCGAACGGCCATTGGTCGTTTCATTTGACCAGGCCGGAGTATCTCACGAATAATCGATCCAGAAAATGGACGTGTCGTATGCCGTTGGGTCGTGCGGCTGCGAATGTCTCAATCGCCTCCTGTACGCCATAGTTGCACCGCTCTATCAAATAGCACACCACGAAGTACCCGGTCCGGTTGAATCCATAGTGGCAATGCACGCCAATGTAGCAATTGTTGTCCTTATTAAGCGTGTACTGTGGGCGAGCTTTTTGTTCCTCGCGCAACCTATCAACGAGAGTGATGAATTGCTCAACCTCTTGATCGGTCGGTGGGACTTTGGAGACGGTCGGAAATTTATGATATCGTATTTGCTCGCCAAACGATCGAGGATCATACACAGGGTTGTCGTGACTAATATCGATCACATCCGTGATCATCGAGCCCCTGCCCACAAGTTAATGACAAGGCACGAGTTGCGCATAGTTGGGTTGGGGAGGGGTTCACCATTTTTCCGTGAAGACCTTGGGGCAATGTTCTTCATCGACCTCTCTAAGCGTCTTCATGGCGCGAAAGATACCTGCAACCGGCTCAGAGACCGGCCGAACCCCCTTCCATTTGGTGAGATTTTTCACGTCCCATTTGCCTTCTCTCGAAAGGTGTTGCAATTGCCAACCTCTGCATTGAACAGGTCGAGTCAGCATCGGAGGTTCAGGCGTGGTAAAACTTCGCCACAGGGTACTGAAGGAGCTATATGCACACTCACAGGGAGAAGCGACCGGTTATATGCTCATTGAGAAAATCTCCAATGAGACCTGCGAGGACTCGAACCACTGTCGGTGCGTACAAGAGGGCATGTCCGGAGGGGAGAGTTATGGTCTTGATAACTTTGACTGGGTGCCGAGGCTGTGGAGGAATTTGAGTGGCTCCGTCGGGGTCGCGAGGGGTGGACGGATCATCGGGAGACCCTCCAAGACTGGCAGACCGCCGCCGACGTTCAAAATCCTGAGTACTTATTGCCTCAATACAAGCAGGACGTTGCTGATACTCGTCGCCTGTAAGGATAACAGGGGCCGCGGCATCACCAAGAGAGGCGCCATGGGGCCCGGGCTCCATAGATACATCTTCGCTGTCGTCCACTGCAGCTACCGGCTTCCCAGTACCATTTTCCACGTGTGGACCGGCGGATGACCTGTCTGCGTCAAGGATTCCCATAATTTTAACGACCTCTGATGGCGGGGTCACTGTATCGTGTTCACCTGCAATGAGATAGATCGGAATGTCCAAGCCGGCCCAGCTTGGTTTTCCAAAAAGACCGCCAATTGGTTGCCCATCAACATATGTAGGCAGACTCCCCCAGGCCATGCGCCGGAACACGCCGGAGCGGCTCTGTGAGTTGAAGCAATCTTGAAGCACCCGGGTCTCTTTGTCAGCCCCGGGCCCAACGAAGCGGCGGACACTAGCACTCTCGGGGCCACCCCAACGATCCCAAGCGCGCCAGATGTTGAACACGAACTCAGGAATCCACAGAAGCTTCCGTGCAGCGTTAGCCTTGGCCTCTGACAGCGGTCCCGCGACAGGGCAGATGGCGACAAGACCCATGACATGGTTGGCGAGAGTGTTCTCGGTCGCGGATTCAGTAGAGCGGTTGGATAAGCGGGCCGCGAGGACGGTTCCCATGCTGTGAGCGATAAAGACGACGCCTTGGTTGTCTGCGCGGTGGTCGTTGATGACCGTCTCGACAAGGTCAACGAGAGCATCTGTCGAATAGGCGTCCCAAGACTTTGGTTCAAAAAGGGAGCGGCCACACCCGGGAAGGTCGATTGCAAGGGTGGAGGCAGAGTTTGCGAGACTGGTGAGGAGAGGGTGGAACTGGGCAACAGAACCGCCGAGTCCGTGGAGAAAGACCAGGAGCGGCAAGGGCGCCGGGTCAACAGGCAACTCGGCAGCCTTGGGGTGAGGCCTGTAGAAAATGCGCAGGCCTCTGTAGGTGACTCCGGAGCCGGCGGCTGTGTAAGCCCGGAGACGGGAGTGGTCCCGGAGCAGTGGCGGGTCCCCGTCCGCAACCTCGGGCATCGCCGGAGGGGATGCCATCTGTCGAGCGCGCGCAGGGCTCTTTGTCGCTTGTTGGCAGTGGCGGCGGCGATTTGCGCTCCCAAGCCCCCGTTGGTTCCGGGCGCACAAAATAAACTTGCAAGGACGACTTGGCGACAAGAAGGTGGTGGCGTGTCTCGAGACGTTGATATGCAGCCGTGTAGGCGCAACGCTGCGAGGCTAGAAGACAAGATTTCTCCCGGGTGGGACAATCCACGGCTGTGCGGCACGTCATTGCCCAGGGCTGGCCACTCAGCTCACAACGTGCGGACACGAAACCAGCCCCATTGGGCAGCGACTGGCCACATTCAGGACACGCCTATTGTCCGATAAGTTCATCCATGGATGTATTTTCCATGGTCGAGTAGGTAAGCGGGGGCCATTGGCGATGAGAACATAACTGAGGGTGCTTAGTTTGGCTCGCGCCTAATGCGCTTGGATTAATGAGCATTCTCATACTAGCTGATCGGGCTGATGACTTGAAAATCACGGCCCAGCGCCGCGTCCTTCTTTCCAGCCGAGAGGGATCAATGCTGCAGCGATCTCGTCAATTCCACGCTCGCGGACCAGCAGGTTGAATTGCGCCGCAGCATTGTGTGTGTCCATCACGTCGACGCGCATGCCCAGGCTTGCGACATGTCTTCGCACCGCAGGGCTAAGAGGTCTAATTTCAGGACCCAGGCCCAATATCAATATGTCGGGGCGTGGCCAAACGAGTCCCAGCAGTGCCAGAGACTCTTCAGCTATATCCCATTGTCCCTTGCCATTGACAAGCCGCTTGCTGCCATCCCGAGCGAGCCATGGCCGCCACGCAAACCCTTCGCCCCCCACCAGTAGCACTCCAGTGCCTCCTCTGATCTCTGCGCCGCTGTTGAGCTGGAAGCCGTCTGCCATGCACAATTCGACAGAATGTGATGGCACCGGCACGGCTCCAAGCACATCGAGTCTGTCGAGATCCGACGCGGTCGTTTCTTGTTTGGGTGCTGCGCTGCTGGCTTCGACATCTTGTCGCCGCCTGAGTCCCGAACTTGTAGACAGGTGTCTTGTCGTGCTAGCCAAGCTCGTAGGCTGAGCTTTGCGAGAAAGGACATGAGATACTGATGCTACATGGCTTAAAACGCCGCAACCCGCCTTTGTTGAAATCTTACAACTCTGCTGCAGCCCGCGTCGTTGTCGCGAACAAGCTGATAAAGTGTTCCGCAGAGATGGTGCACGACTGGGGCAGGCATGACGAGCGAAAGTCGTGGCAGCCGAATGACAGGCCATGCTCAGCAGATTTTAAGTGTGTCACGAGGTTACTTCGGAAGCTTTTTTCAAGCTCGAGATTCGCGTTGACCGCAGCAGCGCGTGGCTGGTCAGTCGTGTTACGTCCGCAAGGATGGCCTTTGATGATGCCGCTCGTGTTTGACTGTGCGACGTGTGGCCGTCCGTAGTGTGAAGTGTGGGAGATTCTCGGGAGCAATTCGTCAGAGCGTAAGAGAATTGAAATGGTTCTCGGGGATGCATGACGGGCACAACTCCGCCAGAAGTGGGGCACGTCTTGTCCTTGCCCGCGCATGCCTGATAGTCCTCTCAAGATGCATGCGGGCGTCCTTCCGGTGCAGCCTATTTCCGATATTACCTCTCCCTGTCTAGCATGGGCTGTACGTAGCTCGGCTGCATTGTGCGCGGGATTTTGACCTCATTCTTACGCCGATTTACGATTGTGTTGGAGTCAAGCCCTATGGCTCTGCCAGATCCACGAGAAGGCTTGCCACCTTTGAGTTGGCTATGCTTGATCACACTCCATACATGCATGATGTGTTTGCTTGTGTTGATTGCGCTTAGAGCTTACAAGCTCGACTTGTCACAGCATCGTCACGGGAGTTTGGCGCAGGAAGCCCGGAATGTCCTTGATGTCGTTTTTGATTTTTTTCCGTCTTTGGCCGACAAGGCGAAGAGCAGAAGCGGTAGAAAGTAGAAAGCCGTCTCCCTTTTATCTTTGTGGGTAGCCGATTCCTATGCACAACATGCAGACCTGTCCCTGTAACACCGAAAGCAATGACGCGGCCCGTTCCCGATCCATGGGTGAAGACTTCGCTACCAGCCGTTGGGCCCAACCATTCTCATATGATCATCCGCTGCCACATCTATTTCTTCTTGCTGCCCTCGTTCTGCTCCTTGAGGACCTTCTTGACAATCTTCTGCTCCTCGATCAGGAAGGCACGGACAACACGATCCCGGACACAGTTACCGCATCTCGAGCCACCGTACGCCCGCTGAACGGTCTTCTTGGGCTTGGAGATGTTGGCGTACTCGCGGGGGCGGAGAGCAGGGACCTAATTGGCAGGACGACGTTAGCTGACTGCTTGTGAAGAGAGAAAAGCGCCACTGTGGCATGCACGATGCATTATGTCTATGCGACAGAGCTGGGCGGTCCTCTGGCGAACATGGCTTGAAGCCCCGATATTCAAGTTCGTGGATAGCCAGTGCTCCGGAAACCACGGCGGGTCCAGACCGAAGAGCTCTCGCACAACTCAATGAACAAGCCCGCGAGGTTGAGCAAACACATGGTATATCTTGAACATTGCTGCCGCGTATCGAGCCGTGTGTCGCAGCCACGGAAGCCTTGGTGCTCGAACCGACCAGCCACTCCGACGTGTGGCTTCTCAACCTCGTGTGCGCTAATCGAGAATGGTGTGACTTACACCAGGGAGCTTGATGCCGCAGTCGCCACACTTCGGGGCAGTGCCGCGCTTCTTCAGGTGCAGCGTACGGAGCTCACCACCGGGAGTCTTGACGATCCGGGTCTTGTTGGAGCTGGTGTTGTACCTATGGCGCAAACAATTAATCAGCCTTTCGTTCCATGTCGTGACTGAGCATCCCCATATCCGCTAGTCCCCATCGCACAGCGCCGAATGTTGTACTTTGGCGTGATCGATTCATTCGGGCTCTGCGCAACGTGTGGCTGTGGAAAGTGCGGATGCTCTGGAAGGGCGGTGGACATACGGGTTGCGGCGGCGGTACGTGACACGGTTGTTGGACGGCATTTTGGCGGTATTGTTGGGTGTTGACTGGGTAAACTGCCTGGGACAACGGGGTTGCTCGTGATGGTGGGATTTTGGAGGGTTGAACTTTTTCGGAAAATCGAGACAACAGGCTTGCAATTGTGTGGTGTTGCAAATTCAGGCTCTCCGCTTGCCTGACCAATCAGAAGAGTGGCGCGCGACCCACCGCAGCCTTGGAGTGTGCACTTGGTCTGAGCGTCCGCAGTCACGTGTCGAGACTGCCAGCGGATCTCATATCACAATGGCCCGTCAGGCTCTTCCAGCTTGGCAGTCCAATCCTCAGACAGGTAGGTCATGCTCGCGCGAGCAATTGTGCAATGAATCACAAGATATAAGGGCTGCCTACCAACTTTATGCTCGACTCATTTTGTAAATCTGCTCATATAGTATTATTCCTTTTCATTACGGTCAACATGAGCCCGACAAGATGCATTCAGTTAGGTCAAATGCATAGCTGGCTACCACGAACCATAATCAGACCGCAGATGGAGACGACTTCGATCCGACTTGAGGTACGGCGGCGCTTCCAGTTCGATCCAGTCAGTCATAAAGTGAGCCTCTCGGCAGCGCCTCCGCGGCCGGGAGTACCACGCGGCATTATGATGAATTGGGACATGCAGGGTGACAGGAGCGATGCAATGCATTCTCAACCCGATTACACGCCAGCGACTTGCGAGTTTCATCCTTCACCGCACTGTGTTACATAATGAATGAGCTTCCTAAAGTCCCTTCTGAAGCGCTTGGAAGATGCGACGCCATATCACGTGACTCGCCATGCGCCAAGATCCGTTGTTCGAGACCCTCGCAGCGCAGCCATCTTTGATTGGAGACGGCCCCAGATTTCCAGGCTGTTCCGTCGCGGGCCCTGCACGCCACGCTACCAAGTAGACGGCGTTCCCTGACAAGCTGCCCAGCTTGCGCCGATGCTAGAAAAAACTCCAGCTGCAGCTGCATACTGGCGCAAGTGCAACCATCATCAACCACCTCGTCACGTCCCCCATCATCAGCCCGTCCAACACACCACGGGTTCGTGTCGCTTCTGGCTTCCCCGTCGTTGTCGGAGCTGAGCGCCGACACTTGTTGGAACGCCACGATCACTCCTGACGACTGTTGAGGACGACGTCGCGTCTTTCAGTGCTCGGCTGCGCGCGCCCCACGCCGATTCCGCCGCGCCAGCTCGCGCTGCGTGAGCAACATCTGCCAGCCTTTAGCATCGTCGCAGGCTCCAGACAACATCCCGCATCCAAAGAATGTCTGGTCTTCCGCCGCCTCCTCCGCCAGGCTGGGGTCCGCCGCCACCGCCCGGTGCTCCTCCTCCTCCCCCCCGCCTGGCGACTTCTTGCCACCGCCGCCATCAGGTCCTGCGCCTCCCCCTCCGCCAGGCTATCGACCATCTGGCAACCCTCAGTCTGCCAAATTTGCACAGAAGAAGAAGGAATGGCTTCGATCTCAACGCAATCGCTTCGGCGAGAAGCGGAAAGGTGGCTTCGTCGAGACTCAGAAGGCAGACATGCCCCCGGAGCATTTGCGTAAGATTGTCAAGGACATAGGCGATGTCTCGCAGAAGAAATACACCAACGACAAGCGGAGCTACCTCGGCGCCCTGAAATTCATGCCGCACGCTGTACTGAAGTTGCTGGAGAATATGCCCATGCCTTGGGAGTCTGTGCGGGAGGTGAAAGTCCTCTACCACGTCAACGGTTGTTTGACTCTTGTCAATGAGACACCGCGAGTCATTCCGCCGGTCTTTCAGGCCCAGTGGGCCACAATGTGGCTGACCATGGCCAAGGAGAAGAGCGATCGGAGACTTTTCAAGCGAATGCGTTTCCCGCCGTTCGACGACGAGGAGCCGCCCTTGTCGTGGTCCGAAAACTTGGAGGATGTCGAGCCTCTGCCACCGATTCAGATGGAGCTCGACGAGGAAGAGGACGCGGCCATATACGATTGGTTCTACGATCACAGACCTCTGCTCGATACAGAGCATGTTAATGGTCCGAGCTACAAGTCATGGAACTTGACTTTACCCCAGATGGCTGCCTTGTACCGGTTAAGCCGACCGCTTCTGACGGATATTGTCGATCCCAACTACTATCACCTTTTCGACCTCAAAGGATTCATGACAGCGAAGGCACTCAACGTTGCCCTGCCTGGAGGACCGCGCTTCGAACCATTGTTCAAAGACATTGATCCGAATAACGAAGACTTCGGCGAGTTCAACGCCATCGATCGTATCATATTTCGGTCCCCTATACGTACAGAGTCACGAGTCGCCTACCCGTATCTGTACAACTCACTTCCTCGGAGCGTGCAACTGACGTGGCATTCATATCCGCAGCTTGTGTACACTCCAACAACAGATCCAGATATGCCTGCGTTTCACTTCGATGCAAGCATCAACCCGATTTCTTCACGCATTGTTGCCTCCAAAAATTCCACAATCAGCCACGAAGATGAGCTCTTTGGCGAAGGCAGTAACGAGGAACCAGAGGATGATTGCTTCAAGCTACCAGCGGGGGTTTCGCCATTCCTCGCTGATGAGGACCTCTCTAACGAGGACACTGCTGCGGCCATCGCATTATGGTGGGCTGTTTTCCCCTTCGATCGGCGCTCCGGCTCCATGGTGCGGGCGCAAGACGTGCCACTTGTCAAGCAGTTTTACCTACAACACTGCCCGCCCAAACAGCCGATCAAGGTTCGCGTGTCGTATCAGAAACTGCTCAAGTCCTACGTCCTCAACGAGCTGCACAAGAAGAAGCCAAAAGCCACCAACCGTCAAAACCTGCTCCGCACTCTCAAACAGACCAAGTTTTTCCAGCAGACGACCATCGACTGGGTCGAGGCAGGTCTTCAGGTGTGCCGGCAAGGTTTCAACATGCTCAACCTCCTGATTCACCGCAAAAATTTGACATATCTTCACCTGGACTATAATTTCAACTTGAAGCCTGTCAAGACCTTGACAACCAAAGAACGCAAAAAGTCTCGTTTTGGTAACGCATTTCACCTGATGCGTGAAATCTTGCGACTGACGAAGCTCATTGTCGACTCGCAAGTTCAATACCGCCTGGGAAACATCGACGCTTTCCAGCTGGCTGATGGCATCCTTTATGCTTTCAACCACGTTGGGCAGTTGACTGGCATGTACAGGTACAAGTACAAGCTCATGCACCAGATCAGGTCGTGCAAAGATCTGAAGCACTTGATCTACTACCGGTTTAATACTGGTGCGGTTGGGAAAGGCCCTGGATGTGGCTTCTGGGCTCCCGCGTGGCGTGTCTGGCTGTTTTTTATGCGTGGCATCATTCCGCTTCTGGAAAGATGGCTTGGGAACTTGTTGTCTCGCCAGTTCGAAGGACGACACAGCAAGGGTGTCGCCAAAACAGTCACAAAACAGCGTGTGGAGTCGCATTTTGATCTCGAGCTGCGTGCCTCGGTCATGGCTGATCTCATGGACATGATGCCCGAGGGCATCAAACAGAACAAAGTCAATACCGTGCTGCAGCATTTGTCTGAAGCCTGGAGGTGTTGGAAGAGTAACATCCCCTGGAAGGTTCCAGGTCTTCCGGCTCCCATTGAAAACATCATCCTGCGCTATGTCAAGGCGAAGGCTGACTGGTGGATTTCTGTGGCACACTACAACCGGGAACGGATCCGGCGTGGCGCTACTGTGGACAAGACCGTGGCCAAGAAGAACGTCGGTCGTTTGACACGACTTTGGTTGAAGGCTGAACAAGAGCGACAACACAACTACATGAAGGATGGTCCGTATGTATCCTCAGAGGAGGCGGTCGCTATCTACACCACCACAGTACATTGGCTTGAGTCACGGAAATTTACACCCATTCCCTTCCCGAGCGTTTCTTACAAGCACGACACAAAGATTCTCATTCTCGCCTTGGAGCGTTTGAGGGAGGCATACTCCGTGAAAGGGCGTCTGAATCAGAGCCAAAGGGAAGAGCTTGCCTTGATCGAGCAGGCGTACGACAGTCCTGGGACGACTTTGGAGAGAATCAAGCGTTTCTTGCTTACGCAACGAGCTTTCAAGGAAGTTCAAATTGACATGAACGACAACTACAGCACAATAAACCCTGTCTACGACATCGAGCCGATCGAGAAGATCAGCGATGCGTATCTTGACCAGTACTTGTGGTATCAGGCAGATCAGCGACACTTGTTTCCTGCCTGGATCAAACCATCCGACTCGGAAGTTCCTCCACTTCTCGTATACAAGTGGGCCCAAGGGATAAACAATCTCGACAAAGTGTGGCAGACTGCTGACGGCGAGTGCAACGTCATGATTGAAACGGAACTGTCCAAAGTCTACGAGAAGATCGATCTCACCCTTCTCAACCGACTTCTGAGGCTGATCATGGACCACAATCTGGCGGACTACATCAGCTCCAAGAACAACGTGCAGCTGACCTACAAGGACATGAATCATGTCAACAGCTATGGCATGATCCGCGGCCTGCAGTTCTCTGGATTTGTCTTCCAATACTACGGTCTCGTCCTCGATCTTCTCTTATTGGGTCTCAATCGCGCCAGCGAGATTGCTGGTCCACCGAATAGCCCCAATGATTTCTTGCAGTTCCGGGACAGAGAGACAGAGACCAAGCATCCGATCCGCCTATACACGCGATATATCGACAAGATCTGGGTCTTCCTCCGCTTCACTGCCGAGGAATCTCGCGACTTGATCCAACGCTTTCTGACCGAGCAGCCTGATCCCAACTTTGAGAATGTAATTGGCTACAAGACAAAGAAATGCTGGCCTCGAGATTCTCGGATGCGCTTGATGCGCCACGATGTCAATCTGGGCCGTGCCGTGTTTTGGGATCTGAAGAATCGGCTGCCTCGCTCTGTGACAACTATCGAATGGGATGATACATTTGCCAGTGTCTATAGCAGGGACAACCCAAATCTGCTCTTCTCCATGTCGGGCTTTGAGGTTCGAATCTTGCCCAAGATCCGTAATCAGAACGATGAATTCCCGGTCAAGGACAGCGTGTGGTCCCTGGTAGACAACACAAGCAAGGAGCGAACAGCTCATGCCTTCTTGCAGGTCACAGAAGAAGACATACAGAAGTTCAACAATCGGATTCGGCAGATCCTCATGTCTTCTGGGTCGACAACGTTCACCAAGATAGCCAACAAGTGGAACACAGCACTGATCGCCCTGTTTACATACTATCGCGAGGCTGCGGTGTCGACGGTCAACCTCTTGGACACTATTGTCAAGTGCGAGACCAAAATCCAGACCCGGGTCAAGATTGGACTCAATTCGAAGATGCCCTCTCGTTTCCCTCCAGCTGTCTTCTATACGCCCAAAGAACTTGGTGGTCTCGGCATGATCTCCGGCTCTCATATCTTGATTCCAGCGAGTGACAAGAGGTGGTCTTCTCAGACCGATGTTGGAGTCACCCATTATCGTTCTGGCATGTCGCACGATGAAGAGACTCTGATTCCGAACATCTTCCGCTACATCATCCCTTGGGAAGCCGAGTTTATTGACTCGCAACGGGTCTGGACAGAGTATTCGCAAAAGCGATTGGAAGCAAACCAGCAAAATCGTCGCTTAACCCTCGAAGATCTCGAGGATAGCTGGGATCGCGGATTACCTCGCATCAACACTCTCTTCCAGAAAGACCGCAGCACCTTGAGTTTCGACAAGGGCTTCCGCACAAGAAGCGAGTTCAAGATATATCAACTGATGAAGAGCAATCCATTCTGGTGGACCAGCCAGCGTCATGATGGCAAGCTGTGGAACTTGAACGCTTACCGCACGGACGTCATCCAAGCGCTTGGAAACGTAGAGACGATCCTTGAGCACACCCTGTTCAAGGCCACCGGTTTTCCCTCATGGGAGGGTTTATTCTGGGAAAAAGCATGCCTCGCCTACGGAACAAAGCTTCTTCGATATGACGGCACCGAGGTTAAGGTGGAGGATGTCCAAGAGGGCGATGAGCTGCTTGGCCCGGATGGTCAACCAAGGCGGGCCTTCAACCTTGTGAAGGGTGTAGAGCGCCTTTATCGGATTAAGATCGGCGCTAGGAAAGAAGAACTCGTCGTCACTTCGAACCATATCCTGGTCCTTCACAAAGAGAAAGGAGCTGGTAACGTTTACGATGGTTCAACCATGGAAGACCATCGTGGCAATTTTGTTACCCAGCTTGGCGAACTCCCCGACCTGAGCTCAGATCCTGCTGATCCCAACCGTCCCACAAATCTCGTGAAGCAATGCGACAGCTTCATCGATGCTCTGAAGAAAGCTATTGCTTGGCTTCTTGCGGTCGATCGTACACCCCGTGGAGCAGCCGCTATCCGAAATGTCCTCAATAGAACCGTGGGCATTATCACAGAAAAACAGTGCTACAAGCTCAAGCTTGGTGGAAACAAGGCACCGTACATGACCTTCGCGTGGGGAAACCCGGAGAGGACGAACATCAAAGGACACAAGGATCATCCTCCTCAATTTTTGAAAGCCAAGAAGCAGCTTTTGAGGAAGCGAAGAAAAAGAGCCGCGAACGTCATGAGGCCGGCGATGTCACATTCTCAAATCTGCGCCAACGCTTCCTCGACAAATCAGCGAATGGGAAAGGCGGTGAAGTTAAGCTTGACCAGAACTTGCCCAACGCGTTTCTACTTTGGAATGCTCATGGGCGAGATCTGAAGATCCGGGTTTACTGCGCTATCAAGGCCACAAAGTTTGGGCGCCAATTTGCCTTCGGGTCATTGCCTGAGGATGACGCTTTGCTGAACAACGATACCGAATCTCAGGGCGATGATTTGGCCGCTCTCCAAATCGAGTATGGTGATGCTGCGGCTTCAGACCGGTATGATACTGTGGAGATGACCGCGGAAGAGTTTGCAAATCTACCTGCTGCTGAACGCGCCAAGCACCGCTTATTCCGATCACCTGGTTTTGAGCTTCCCGAACAGTCCGTCCCCGTGAACCCATACTTCTTGGGGCTTTGGCTAGGAGATGGCACACGAACTTACACAGACATTGCCAACAACCATGAGCTGGAAGTGCGAGAATTTCTACAGAGACACGCAGCTGAGTTGGACCTTCACCTCGTGTACCATGGTAACTTGTCCTATGCCACTGTTGGTAGGACTGCCTTGGCTGATCGGCCTCTTCCGCAAGCTCACATCGCGCTACCTGATCGTCCTGATGGGCCAAGAGTAGCTCGCGCAACACTTATCAAGAGACGGATCCGGGAAGGCTGGACATTCCAGGAAAGTCGGCAACCGGGAGAGGCTCGCGTTTGGGTATCGCCTCAAAGTACAACATCAATCCTACCAGCAGAAGACAATTCGCAGGCGAGATCTCTTGGGGAGGACGTACCCGACTTAGTTGCTCCTGATGTGGATGACAATCTCGCATCGGGAGGATCTGTGTCGAGCGAAGATCCACTTGCAACTTCTCGGGACCTTCTTGATCAACTTCAAGACAGTGAAGATGATCGGCCGCCCCCAATTCATTACGATCCCGAGGTTAATAGCTGGGATCCTGGAGATATGGTAGCCGAGCGAAGACGTCTTCTAGAGGAGCAGGGCGAGATCGATATCTGGGCTAAGGACCTGGATGCTGGCCCGCCAGAGATTGTGTGGGATCCCGAGGATGATGAGCCTTTGGACGGCGACCAACTTTCTCAACAGTTTCGAACGCAGTCATTGGACCAAGATTCGCAACCTCAGGGCCAGTCTATGCAGAGTTCGCCGCCAAGTCTCGATCAGAAATTTGAGTCTCAGCGGACAACAGCATCTGAGTCTATCCCTGAGGACATTCTTCACCAACTTTCTCAAGACAGAGATTTCACGGATCAAGTTGGCTCTTCTCAGCCCAATGAGATCATTGAAGCAGATGTGGTTGAGGACGAGGACGAGCTTGGAATTCCCGAGGACGAACTTCTCGACATGCTCAGTACAACTGAGCACACTGAAGATGTTGATGTCGAGCTTGACGACGTGGATAACATCGCCAGTGGCACAACAACCCGCCAGGTCATCAAGCTTGAGGCAGGACAATCAGCGTACGGTGATCTCAGTGCTGATGAGGAGGATCAGCTCGCTGAGCAATTTGTCCCTGAGCCCACCAAGAAGCAGGGCCCCAATACTCTCCTGAATGCTCTTCGCAGCCTCAATGTTATGACTCAGCCAGGGTTGACTGGCTATGAGAACGACCACAAGCATATCCCTGCGCAGTACCTCAAAAACTCGCGAGCGGTCCGGCTTGCAGTACTTGCTGGGTTGATCGACTCCGACGGGTGGTACGTTTATCCCGAAAACATGCTGGGTTTCGTTCAGTCTGAAGGCCCACACAAGAGATTGTTTTGGGATGTTGTGGCATTGGCACGATCACTCGGCTTCAGTGTCTGGACATCACGCAGATTGCGTTGGGTTCCGGCGAAAACCCACCAAAACTGGTATCTTACCGCGCAAATTTTCGGCGATATTGCTCAAATCCCTTGCTTGTTGACCCGGAAGAAGCCCGTGGAAAGGTTCATCCCACAGATGCACAGTTTCATGATCAAAGATATATCTCTTGATCCAGAGTCTACTCCTTGGGCTGGTTTTCGAGTTGACCGAGATCAACTGTATTTGCGTCACGATTATTTAGTGCTACACAACTCTGGTTTCGAGGTATGCTCCCCGAATTGCCCCTTGTTTTCAGTAGCACCTTCTGTTTTGCTAACCCCTTTTCTTTCTTTAGGAGTCGATGAAGTTCAAGAAATTGACGAACGCGCAACGATCTGGTCTCAATCAAATCCCTAATCGTCGTTTCACGCTCTGGTGGTCGCCCACGATCAATCGCGCCAACGTTTACGTCGGCTTCCAGGTTCAGCTGGATCTGACTGGCATTTTCCTTCACGGCAAGATTCCGACTCTGAAGATCTCGTTGATCCAGATCTTCCGGGCTCACTTGTGGCAGAAGATTCACGAGTCCGTGGTGATGGACTTTTGCCAGGTGTTTGATCAGGAACTGGAATCACTCGGCATCGAGACTGTGCAGAAGGAGACCATCCATCCTCGCAAATCTTACAAGATGAACAGCTCTTGTGCCGACATTCTCCTCTTTGCGAGCAACAAATGGAACGTCACCCGGCCGTCATTACTTTTTGACACAAAAGATAGCCTCGAGCCCACAACGACAAACAAGTTCTGGGTCGACGTTCAGCTGCGCTATGGTGATTATGATTCTCACGACATCGAGCGGTATACCAGGGCAAAGTATCTGGATTACACCAATGACAGCATGAGCATCTACCCATCCGCAACGGGTCTGATGGTAGGAATCGACCTCGCCTACAATCTCTATTCCGCCTATGGGCAGTACTTCCCCGGCTTGAAAGTCCTTGTGCAGCAAGCGATGGCCAAGATCATGAAAGCAAATCCAGCTCTTTATGTCCTGCGTGAGCGCATCAGGAAGGGCCTGCAACTGTATGCCTCAGAGAGCAATCAGGAGTTTCTCAACTCCCAGAATTACTCGGAACTGTTCAGCAACCAAACCAAGCTTTTCATAGACGACACCAACGTCTATCGTGTTACCATCCACAAGACATTTGAGGGCAACCTGACGACCAAGCCGATCAACGGTGCGATCTTCATCTTCAATCCCCGTACCGGACAACTGTTCTTGAAAATCATCCACACGAGCGTTTGGGCTGGTCAAAAGCGTCTTGGGCAGTTGGCCAAATGGAAGACGGCAGAAGAAGTAGCTGCGTTGATCAGATCGCTGCCGATAGAGGAGCAGCCCAAAGAGCTGATTGTCACTCGAAAGGGTCTGTTAGATCCCCTCGAGGTACATCTTTTGGACTTTCCCAACATCTCTATCCGTGCTTCTGAGCTTCAACTTCCTTTCCAGGCTGCTATGAAGGTGGAGAAACTCGGTGACATGATTCTAAGGGCAACTGAACCGCAGATGGTGCTGTTCAACCTCTACGATGAATGGCACAAGAGTGTCTCGTCGTACACGGCGTTCTCACGTCTCGTACTCATTTTACGTGCGCTGCATGTGAATCCCGACAAGACAAAGCTCACACTGCGTCCTGACAAGACCGTCATTACTCAGCAGCATCACATCTGGCCCACGCTTTCCGACGAGGACTGGATCAAGGTGGAGACCCAACTGCGCGATCTCATATTGCACGACTACGGCAAGAAGAACAACGTCAACGTCTCCAGTCTGACGAGCAGCGAAGTTCGAGATATCATCTTGGGTATGGAGATCTCAGCGCCATCACTCCAACGCCAGCAAGCCGCCGAGATCGAGAAACAGCAACAGGAGCAGCAGCAGCTCACGGCAGTCACCACCAAGACCCAAAACGTGCACGGAGAGGAGATTATCGTAACGACGACTTCCCAATTCGAGCAGCAAACCTTTGCATCGAAGACGGAGTGGCGCACACGAGCGATTGCCACGTCCAATCTGCGCACCAGATCGAACAACATTTATGTGTCCTCGGTCGACAACAACGTGGAGGATGTTACCTACGTCATGCCTAACAATGTGCTCAAGAAGTTCATCACCATTGCCGATCTCCGCGTCCAGGTTGCGGGCTATCTCTATGGCGTGTCCGCACCTGACAATAAGCAGATCAAGGAGATCCGATGCGTTGTTATGATCCCTCAAATCGGTGGACTACGGAACGTGCAGCTTCCACATCAGCTTCCGCAGCACGAGTACCTCAAGGAGATGGAGCCGCTCGGCGTGATCCACACGATGGCTGGGAACGAGCTCCCTTACATGTCTGCCTCGGACGTGACGGAACATGCGCGGCTACTTGACGCTCACCCAGAATTGGACAAGGAGGAGTCCATCACGGTCGATGTAGCATTTACACCTGGCTCGGTATCACTATCTGCATGGGCACTGACACCGAATGGCTATCGCTGGGGCGCGGAGAATAAGGACACGGGCAGCGATCAACCGCAGGGTTTCACGACGAGCATGGGAATCAAGCGCAAGCTTCTGCTCAGCCCCCGATACAAGGGATTCTTCCTGGTCCCAGAGAATGGGAAGTGGAACTACAGTTTCATGGGCAGCAGCTTTGCAGGCATCGAGAAGAAGCCGTTGCACGTCAAACTGGATACACCGTTGCCGTTCTACAGCGACCAGCACCGACCCTTGCACTTCCAAAACTTTGCCGAACTGGAGGATGTGGGCGTTGACCGCGACGACAGCTTTGCGTAGACCAGATAATCGGACTCTGGCCGCCGAACGCCTTGGTCAAGCTAAGTGCACTTGAAGACTTCCTCGCCGAGAATGGTACGCAACAGGCAACCCCGTGTGCGGGGTGAGCAGGGGAACTGCTTGACGGCACACAACCTAGATACCTTCAGGATGGGGCGGGAGGTGGGGGTTGCGGCATGACGCTGCTCACCGGTGGTCACGATGCATCACACGTAGTGGCTCCTGAGATTGGACGTTCGATGGCGTTTTGTATTTTTGATCAGCGACGGGTTCCTCGTTACTTGCCGCGTAGTTGCCCCTTATGAGGTGTGCCAAGAAAGGTCTGGTTATGTAGACATATGTTGTAATGGAGTGTACATTTAGAAGATCTGACAAAGCAGAAGGCGGTGCAGATGCATTAACCAGGCCAGGCTCTGTGATGAATGTTGGATGAGGCTCTGCAAGAGAATGTGGAAGGGGATGACGAGATGAGACATGCGGAGGCCTTGGCATGTGCGGCTCTTTTGGGCTACAGAGGATGGGCTGATGCTAACCCTGACAGGGGCAGTGTGCCCTCTGGTCAAACGACAAGGATGCTGAGGCGGGCGCTGGAGCACGGCATGGCTTACAGCCGGTAGCAGCGCGCTGGGGACGGGGGCACTGGCAGCCCAACGGCGCGGCCGAAATGGGATGGCTCAAGATGGACAACGTCAATGCACTGCGGAGTAAAGCGACAAAACGTCAGCGACACTTGCGCGGGCATTGCTTTGCATAACCATTGCAGGCGGCGGCAGGAGTCCCTGGCGATCCCGTCCCATAGTAGAGTGGCACAGACAAGAAGCTAGAGGGCGAGTCCCGTAGGCGGGATCGACCGGGATGCATGGCTCTCCAGGTGGGGGGATATATCATCTTCACAATCGCCTGCCACTAGAATTGCTTTGGCATGCGAACAAGGCAGACAGCGAGGCAGCCATGCCAGCAATAAAGCAGGGTGGGCAGCTGACAGGACGGAAATAGCACGCATGACGAACCGAGCCGTTCAGAGTGAGCACGCTGGAAGGGCTCATCTCAGCGATGCGAGACCGGAGATTTTGCATGCGCAAGGGGGCTGTCTGGAGCATTGTCAGCAATTGGCAAGCGCATGGAGACAGTCTCGAGCGGCGGACAGGAGTGGATCCGGGGCACGTCAGGCACACCATGAAACCCACGAGACAGGCAGAGGCGCAACTGAAGGTGTTTGTCGCGATGCATTCTGGCCACGGCCCAATGCGATCGAGGGTCGAGGGTCGAGGGTCACGAGTAACGGCAGTCTCCCTTGGCCCCGTCCGGGCGGCTATGAGCACACACTCTCTCTCGGCGCTCTGTGGGTTATGCAAGGACGGAGTGCGGGAGAAGTTCTGCTCTTGAGATCCGTGGCCTGGTTGTGCATTGACTGCGACAGCAGGGATAGCCGTCAGACTGGCCTTGGACGCAAGCACCATCCTGCTCCTGCATGCAGGTACGTACAGACGACGCGGCAATGCAGCCCCACGGCTGGACATGTCATCTCTCGGTGCAAGGCTCAAGGTACTTACCGCTTCCATGTAGTTGGGAGGCTCTGCGCCACCTCCAGCCCCTTCCCCCTTGTGCAAATCATCCAGCCTGCCGGGCTGCCAGCGTACCATGGTAGCATCGTGAAGGCCGACCACATTGCCGTTTCATCCAGCCCGGTCCCAGAGCCACACTGCCTGTGTCGCGGCATGGATTCTTGCTTGTCTGGCTGCCACGGTGGTATCCAAGCATTTCCAGACAGATGCTGCGTTTCGGCAGCTGGTCTTGCTCAGCATCTCGTCAGCCCTTCGCCCACCGTCATGGACATTCTGTGGTTGTTCTAGAAGACCAGGCCCCCGGCCCTGGCCCGTCATGCGCGCCCCCGCGGGCCTGCACCTTCTGCCACCGAAATTGCACGACGCGCTTCCCTTCATGCGCACTCCCTCCGGTTTCCAGTGTTCGCCCACAGCTACCACACGAGTTGCAATGGCATCGTCGAACGTTTGTGGAAGCTTTCCACTGCCAGGCTCCTACCCCAAGAATAGCTGACACAGTTGCACTCGGCGTGCCCGCCCCGGCAAGACGCCATCACCCTAATACCACCGTCGTCACTCTGGACGTTTACTGGGGCGGCCGACAGTGCATCAAACAATCATCTGCAGCATCAATCATGGTCTTGCGAAGCCCAGGGTCCATGTCTGCGTTGCTGACGATACACGTCGAAATTCGGGCGCGGCGTGGCATTCGACAAGCGTCCTTGGCCCATGGCAGCCACGCCAGAGCCACAGATACGGAGTACTTTGTCATCCCAGCACCCAGCTAAACGGTCAGGCTCCGCATAGGTCCATAGACTTTGCGGCTGCCCTGACGTTCATTGGTCGTCAACCCGCCTCTCACACACCCTCGTCAGACGCCATCATGCTCAGAGGGTGCTGGCACTCCTGGTTGTCCTTGTGGCGTCTTGGTCATGCCAAATCTCCGGCCGTTATGCAGACACGGCGGGCTTTGGGAATTGACTGATCCGCATCAGTGGATGCGTGTAGTTGCGCCTGGCTACATGCTGAAGGCTTGCGTGGGCGACGCTGCGTACACAGTTCAGTTGGCAGCATCCAGTGTTGAGCATCGCTGCAGGCGCCGCCTCACGATCGCGTCACACCCCGTCTGCTCGGTAATCTGGACAGTTGGTCTTGTCCTCCAGTAGCTGCCGTCGGACGCGCTAGGTGCCCCGCGCATCAGCTTCTTACTTGCTGATTCGCTGGCCACGAATTGCCCCTGCACCTGCTCCTTTGACAACCCTCGTCAGTGCGATCCGAAGAAGTTTTTCTCTGCGTGCTGTGGTCCTCTCTGCGGGCGCGGGCAGGTAGCCCATGCCCACGTCAGTGCTTCAGCCGTCTCTGACGATATGTCCACCTGGTGGTGGTCCTGTCCTCGTTGCCATGCCGTTGGTATGGGTGGGTCATTGGTGTCATTAGATTCTTATGCTCGGCGGAGCTCGGCCCAGGTTGTTTCTCCCGTACCGCTTCGCTCATAATTGTGCAGTCTCGAGGTTCCCTATCGAGGTGTGCCCCAAGCCGAAGCTTGGCCCTGGTTGGGCGCCAGCTTGGGAGAGCGTGGGAGGGGAGTAGGGTCAAGCCTGGGAGCTACGGCTGGGTTCCATCTCCCGTGCCAGGCATGCGCTGGCTGGGCACAGGCGATCCTCCGCCGCCGCCGCCCCCCCCCCCCTTCTTGCCCCTACCTTTGTTGCATCATATTCCATGACCAGGGGACCCTTCTTGTCTCAATCCTGACCAGAGGACCCAAGTGGGAGATCCGCTCGATTATGCTGGCCACCCCAGTCGACCAGGTCAGGGGGGCGCTCTTCTCCACACCCAGTGCAGGAACCATGCCTACCAGTCGACCCGGCATGGCGATGTCGTACCAGGGCATTGCGAGCCTTTCACGCACCAAGAGGCAAAGACGGGCAGCCGTTGTGCCATCCTGGTCGGTGTCCTGCGCATGGAGTCCGTGGCCATCTTCAGATGATATAATGCTCCCGTGGGCCACCCTGGCTAGCTCTATTTCGCTGATCTGCTGCTCCCGGTTGACATACATATAACCAAATCCTGCACTGCATCCTCACTACGCGACACACTACTTTGCTGCTGTAGAAACAATACTTTTTCTGCCCAGACAATTCGCACCTGTCCATAACGCCCTCTCAACTCTCGTCCTGTAGCGATCCGGTTCGGGTATCCAGACAACAACACGATCGCATCCAAGACGATTTCGCCATTACTAGCAAAAGACGTTTGATACAACGACTGGACAAGAGCGTGATCGACTCGGGCTCCTTATGATCGCCTGGGAACAGCCACAACATCCGGTCATCAAAGCGTAGATTGTAGCCACGACGTAGACAGCGCTTGGCCATCGAGCCAACTGCTAGCGAGAGGACGCCTCGTCCGAGATCCAACTCTACCGGTGCCAAGGGAGCCTTAACGGCTTCCTCTCGTCTTAACCATCTCAACACAGGTCGTGGCGACCGTCCGGAGCGGCTCGCTCTGGCGGGATCCATATGCTGGAGACACGCTGGCGGGCAACTACCGAGTCGCGTCAGACTACGATGTCTACAACCCCCAGGCCCCTCACACGGTTGAGCAGAACCAGTCTTCGCATAACTATGAAGCACCACACCACCATCATCACCACCAGGGCCCGGGCACCCTCCCGGACAGCAGGCAGGCGAGTCTGCATGACCCGCAACAGCATTCACCGCAACATGAGATATCCCAACATCACCCCCTCCTCATGGAACATCCCCATATGAGCAGTCATCATGCCCCAAGGCATATGACACATGCTGCACACTATGCTCCACAAACTCATTCCCCTCATGCCATCGTCGGTCCTCTGTATCACAGCTTGGCAACAACACAGTCGCATGTCACTGGTACGAAGCGCCCTCGATCCGATGATCTAGACCTAGGTGTTCCCGGGCTCTCCGATTTGGACCACGGCGACATCGACTCAATACATAGCACGTCCCTCGGCGCGGCTTACACAACCCAACCACCCAGTAGCCGGCCTGTACACCATCACCACAGACTTCCGGACCAGCCACCTGCCAAAATGATGCGCCACGATGACGGGGGCATGGGTACAAGCACTGGAGGAGGTACTGGGAATGGAGGTGCTCCCAGCGTGGTCGGCCAAGCAGGAATGCCGGAACCAGCTCCCCGGCCTCGCGGTCCAAAGCTCAAGTTCACTCCCGAGGATGATCAACTGCTCATTGATCTTAAGGAGAACAAGAATTTGACTTGGAAGCAAATTGCAGACTTTTTCCCGGGTCGATCGTCCGGGACTTTACAGGTTCGTTACTGTACCAAGCTGAAGGCGAAAGCTACGCAGTGGAACGACGAAATGGTAAGAACTAAACCACAATCCGGGAGTCGTACAAAGATGAGGCAGTTCGCTTACACTTCTTGTCCAATGTTCAGGACCAGAAACTGCGCAACGCCATCCGAGACTGGGAGAACGAGAAATGGCGCTTCGTGTCCAACAAGGTCGGCCCAGGCTTCACTCCACACGCCTGTCAGCAGCGGTCACGAATCCTCTCGGGTGAAATTACCGAGGAAGTCCTAGAAGAAGACGAGCAGCCGTGAGCCGCGCTCCATCCACATATGCAACAGCATTTCGACCAGCCGTGCAGCCCCTCTTGAGTGCCTCTTCCCACGGCCACAATGTCGGGCAGTAAGCAACTGCGCCGGTCTCGACGAAAAGAACTGGCGACCACCACCGTAGCGTGCTACAGCATCCATCATTTTCCCTTGTTTTCATCGCGTCAGCAACTCACACTGTTCCCCCCTTTGGTAGCCCAACCGCATTTCTTTTCAACAGCATCAGCGTCACGCATACCCCCTCCTGCCTTTCACATGCCTGCTTCTTATCTTGAATCGATTCACAAAATAGACTACGTCGGCATGATCCATTTCGGACACTTCTTTAATCGTGCCCTATTCATTGGGACATCAAGTGTATCCCGTTTTCGCTTTCTCAGCGCGCTGCACGGTTTGTCTCTAGGCCACTTGCCATGCTAACTCCCCCCGAGTTGAGCTTGGAGTTGCCAAAATCACGAAACCCACCAGCCGAACCGCCCACATGGAGCGCGGCTATGGATAGCATGACCGATTTGTCAGGGGTTGCATACTTGGCGGGGCGACTGGCTTCAAGACTTGAAAGCCTTGCAGCGAGCATCTTGTTTCTGGGAACTTAGACGGACATGGAGTCATGTGGGTGGGAGCTGGTGGAGTCCTTTTTGTTTTTTGTTTTCTTTTTTTCCTGGTCGTTTGCCCCCTGGGGCCGGGGCATCATTTGTTTTATGCTGAAACTTCACGACCACGTACGGAATAATGTATAGAGCTGAGAATCGTCACCGAGAGCATGCAGGCTGGAGGCAAGAGGAGGGACACACCATACTGAGTATGTATTATTAGTAATACACTTGTAATACTATTTATTCCCACCGCGCCGTACGCTCATTGGCGTCATCGCGTGCTTCCGTGGGCAGAAACAGCGATTTGGAGAAGTCAGTCGTCTTGCTAGTTATGAGAGTGAGGGACTGGCTGTCTGCCCATCCATACGCTGCCGCTGCGCAGCTATTGGTGTCCATACGAGTCGCGGAGGCGTGCATCTTCATGCAGACGAGTCCTCAGCGCGGCAAGTTCTCTGGTAACTGCTCCACCACGCAACGAGTAGATATGGTCACCTGCAAAAGAGCCCTATAGCGCCAGCAGCATATAGCTAGGGTTCGCCACTTCTACTCCTGTGCTCTAATTTCTGTGTGCTCTGATTTCGTTTCAAGTGCAGGGTAGCAGAACCGTCCTCGGCTTTTCTAAGTGGTCAGCGATGCCTTTGCTGTCTACATTACGAAGCAAGGGCATTCATTGATCAAGCTCGGCCAAACCATGGACAAGCCGAGCAAGGATGACCGATATGGGACCTTCCCATCAGTGGAGGCTCTAGATCGACAGCATTATCAGGGCATGTTTAGCCGAACACTCCGGTCGTGGAGCTGAGCTGTTGGCTGTTGGCTTGGGGAGCCCAAAGACAGCAAGAAAGCCCTAAAAGCTCACACACACAAGTTTATGCCGTCAGGTTCCTGCTTACCAATTTCCGGAAAAGTGACCTCGGCCTCAGGCCCCTAAGTGAGAGGGGTGAGCGGGCAAACGGTGCGCGGCGGGCGTCGGGAGGCGGGCTTGGAGGGAAGCCATTCGCCGGGCAAGACGCATGGTGACAGCCTCTTTTCCTGCGGGCTTCATCACAATCACCTGATTTATCCACACACCAATGGCCACGTTGATACCCCATCCATGACACATACTTCCTAGTCACTCCCACATATACATACATTCGAACAGTCCTAGTCAGGCACTCGGTCATCGGCAGAGTACGACGTTGACAGGCGGTGAGATGGCGTGGAAGTGCCTCGTCCGTTCGGAGCGCCCAGCGGTCACCCCTATCTGGGTCTGGCCGGAAATCTCCCAGCGTGTTCACGAGATCTACCACTCGTTGTTATCACCCGCTGACTGGCATCGGCGGGACTTGTAGTCGTATGATCAGTGCACGGTTGTGATTCGCTATACAGTGACCCGAAGGCCTGCGGAAGCCAACCAAAAGTACCAAAGGAGGCCAAAGGTGACACATGATGAGTTGAAGCTTTGATTCGCCAGTGCCTTGGGAAATTGGTGGAAGGAGAGAGCTGTGGCCGCCGGGGACAGGCGAGGGGCATGTCGTGACCCAACTCACGCAAAAAGCTCGTCAGCCTCGAGTTCCCCATGGGGCCGAATGGAGGATGGTGGAATCCTGCAATGCAGAGCAACCCTGGCTGGCCTGGTCGGGACTGGTCGGGGGTCGATAAGACCTGGTCCCCGTCAAGAATCTGCCGCGGGATTCGCAGAAGCGAAATCTTTTCTTGCTTCAGGCCGCTACCGGGCCTGTCCATGCAGAGCGTGATGGACCTGGTAACCCCATTAGAGCCGCTTGGTGGTAGAACTGCCCACCCCGTCCAATGATGTAGAGCTCACGTCCTTTAGTTGGGTCGCACACCAGTAGTTCCGTGATCAATAAGGACGACAGCAGGACTAAGTTGAACAGCCCGAAGCACGGTGGATTTCTAGCGTTGCCACGAGATACGGCAGCGAGGCGGAATAAGATCCATGACGAGCCCACCTGGCGCTCCTGCGTCGAACCACCTCATCACGGGCGCAGCTTATGGCTGGCTGACGGAAGGGACAGTCTGTGGACTTGTCTCGGCTAGGTCCAGCGACATGCGAGATCGGCTCATTCGGGGCGAGCTCATGACGATGTGAGTGTAGCAACCAAAAGAACCCGGAGCATGTGTCGCCAAAGCCATTCATTTGCATGGTTCACGTTGCACTTGTCTGGGGCGGCATGGTACACAGTGTGTCGTTGTTTGCTGTCAACCTTGATCAGGATCAACACTCAACGCCGGCGGCTGTGGCGGACTTGGCAATTCGAAGGGCCAGCCGGGCTTGGTGACGGGTGACGGGCGAGTCGATGCTGGAGGATCATGTTGACAAGGCCGCCGCTCGTGGAGTCGCGGTCGGGACTCGGCTATGGGGCGAGGCAGCTGCCAGAGGGTGTCATTGATGGCTGAAAGTAGTCGCCATGTCGCGCCAGTCCTTTTGTTTACCGTCGCCAGAGCGCGGATGTTTCTTGCCTGTTTGGCGTGTTTCGAGCGGTGGTGTCGTGCTTGGCTAGGGGTGGCGGCGATGCCTGTCTCTTAACGTCTGGGCGATATAGGGCTGGGCTCGCACAAGCACGAGGCAGAGGGCGAAGCACGTACACAAGCGCCAGCTGCACCAGACAATCTCTGGTGCTCATCTCCAAGGAGGCCCTTGTTCGGCCCTGCCTGCACACCGGAGGCTCAGGACACGATGCCTGACGGGACAAAGTCAACATTGCTGCATACCTAAGTACCTAGGTAGATACACTCACTACCTAGCCTAGATACGCATGTAGTGTCGGCTCTCGCACAGGACGAGGACCATATGCCTGCACCGGCACCGGCATGTCGTCGGGCAGGCCACGGTTGTCCCTTGTACCCATGGGTTCCGGGTATGCACATCAACCCTACCTGGCCTGGCCTTCCGGCTGGAGTGACCAGGAAGGACACTTGCATGTGGCGGGCCGATCTGGGAATCGTCGCCCAGGATTACGCGTAGCAAGGCGACAACACGAGCCGATCGGCCACAATGCCCATTCACTACCAGCCCGAGCCTGGTGCGCAGCCCGGCTCCCACGACTCGGTTGCCCCCTCTGGCGAGAGTCGCACGAGGACGACGCCAGCAGGATATTGCGCCATGGCCGTGGGCGGAGATGGATTTGCTGGGAATGTCCCCTGATGGCCTCGGCACCCTTGTCAGGGCACACGCAGCCCGATCGCCACCCGCAGCCAATGAGAGCACGCAAACCCAGCCGGCAAGGAAGTGGGTTACATCACATGTGGCCCAGCTTTCGGATTGCTCAGTCCCAATGCAACGGGAGGACTTGATCATCTTCCGACCGTCACCGTACCCAACATTCCTTCAGGGGTCCAAATGCTCGGAACCTCCCCTGTCACTACGCGGGTCGGATATACAGTCAGGTCCCCGAGTTATGGAGAAGCTGTTGACCCGTGATCGCGATGTTCGGAACACAAGTAAAAGCCCGTTGAGCGGCTCTGCTGTATAGGTGAAGACAGGTGAACCATTGCCCGTCATGCCATTGCGTCGTCCTAAGACCATCACACATGCATAGTGATGGTGTACTTTGACTTGGCACAAAGATCTCCTCCCGTCTCGGACTCGGCTTGAACCCAGATCCTTTTCGCAGATCGAATCATTGTTGATCAATTCGCAACCAACCACTACTACTGGTTCTCAGCAGGCTCGCCGCATGGACATGTTCCATCCATTTGCGTCTTACACGATGCCTGTAATGTCATTGAGGTGAGAATGAGAGGAGGTAGTCGCAGAGCTCTTTCCGACCGAGCTTCTCACCCCGGGTCACCAAGTCAATCAGCGCCTGGTTGACTGGGAGCCGCGACTTGCCGGCACAAAGGGCTTTCTGGGTCTCGATCAGCCATCCGTTGAGATCATGGATCTCGGTCGGCTTTCCACAGAGGGTATCCTGGAGCATTGAGCTTGTGTTTTCTGCAACCTTTGCCCCAACGCTGTATACTATAGCCATCAAATTGTCAGGGGAGAAGCGTTTGATGAGAGCAGCTCGAGCCATCGCCAGACGCGCAGAGTCACATTGGCTTTCGTGCCTGGTGTCGTCGTCCACGAGTACAGATTCGCTACTGGCGTCTTCGACCAGGGCCTGAAAAACCTGCGAGGTCTCACTGAGCAAAGTTCTGATCAACTTTGGCAGATCATCTCCTCTGTCAACCAAGATCTCGCCGTTCTTGCAATTTAGAATCGCGGTGAGGGGGTTGATGACAATATTGACCGCTAGCTTCTCAAGCTGGGCAATCCACAGCTGCTGTTGCGAGACAGACTTGGCTTCGAGATCTGGAGCGTTGCAAAGCTGCCTTGAGAGGAAGTTCGAGCTGCTCGTGGCTGGCCCAGACTTGGAGTTCGAGACGGATCCTACCATGACTCCAGCCGGAGAGGCGTGTAAACTTTTGAAAGGACCAAGCGATGTCACTCCGTGTGTGACAACACAGGCAAGCCAGGAGGGCTCCGAACCAGGAGGAAATCGATCTTTGACATATATAGCTCCAAGTGGTGGCCAGAGTTTACACATGCCATTCTGTGCAAAAGCAATCGTGGATGACTGGTCAAGGTATGGCAACAGGCGGTCCACCTGTGGAAGAGCCTGGGAGGCTTTGGTCGTGATGATGAGATTGTTGATAGTTTGCCCAGAAGCTGGCTCACGGATTGGGCCTTGTGGTGGTGGCTGATCCGTCCACCATTCAATGTCAAACTCCGTGATCCGTTGAGATGTCCCATTTCTAACCATTTCAACGCCCGGCGACTTTGCCCACTCCTGAAGCAGCTCTAGCCGATTGACCACCAGCGTGATAGGGAGCCTGGCCTCGAGCTTGGCAAGACATGCGGCAAACAGGCGTCCCACGTTCCCAATCCCTAAGATGTAAATGCGTTGTTCGTTGGTGTGGGGCGTGGCAGCTGGTCTTCGATCAGTCAAGAACCGCGAGCCCTGCAGCCTGTCGTCGAGATTTGCCAGCGTCCAGGCATATAATTGTGTACTGCTACTGCGACTACTGAGAGATCGAATAGTCATATTCGCTCGTCGCGGACCTGGGCGCAATGAAGCACGAGAGTAAAGACTCAGCTTTGATGAGTACATTTGGTGGATAAGCATAGCCAGGTTTTCCGGCTTTCGAGGTCACGACAACACATGACATGAACTCCACCAAAGGCATGAGAGTGGCTTTCCAACGCGAACGCTTGGATATCGGGGGACCAGTAAACGACGAGGCTGGTGATGTAGTTGTAGCTTCGTCGGACACGCATCCGTTAAGCCCGCTCTGCAGCTCGGGTTTAACACGAAAGGAGCAACATGCGCCAAACCCTGGAAGGCTCTGCCACGCTGTGGCGTTGTGGCGCCACCTCCAAATGCTGTTCAGACAACCATGTTTGAACTCCTGATCACGCAACTTCAAACTTCAAACCCACTGCCTGCCAGCTGCAAATTCCACTGCATGGTCATCGCACGCTTGCTCTTCACGAGGTCTTGGCGTAGCTTTGCCAGTCATCAGAACCTCGGGACCCCCGACTTCCGCGGTTCCTCAGGCACGCTCGCAGGGGTTCTAGTCGTGTCCGGCTCCATGTCTGCTGTAATTGTGCCACCTGACGTAGTCATCTGATTTGCTCCGTTCAATAAGGACCAGAACAAACTGCGTACCAGAGAAGGGGGGTTCTGTTGTACAAAGCGAAATCCTCGTGGAGTTGATGTAGATCTGTCCGCGTGGCTTCTCTCCGAGCTCCCGTTGTCGCATATGCTCATCTCGGCCCTCACCCATCAAAGCATTTAAACTGCTGGCTGAGAAGTCAAGTGCGCACCATCATTTTGGGATCAAGAGATGGATTGTCCCCAGAAGGGAGGCTCGGGTTGCCAGTCGTGCCAATAAGCTTTCCACTGGCTGTCTGCAGGGTCTCCTGACCTATTGCACACAGGTCGGATGTAAGAGAAGTTCTCTACGAAAATGGTAGAGGTTTGCCCAAAGATATGGGCAGGACTGGACACCTATGATCAGTACGCGTTTTAAAGGCAAGGAATAGAGATGCAGCATGAGTTGAGAACATATCCAAGGCGTAGGGCAAAATGAGATGTTCTTGACGGTGTCCGCAGGCACTACTGGTCTTACACCTATTAGGTGGAAACCAACCCGACTGGGACCGATGCGAGGATGTCGCTGTGAAGGATGCCTTCGATCCCGAGGCAACACCATATGCTGCATGTCGGTCTGCACTGTTGGTATTACTTCATCTGGCAACTATTGAGATCATCAAGTATCAATGGCTTCCTCATATAGCCTACTTCGATACATGATAGGTTTGTACTGAAGAGGCAATTCTGAGAACCGCTTTGAATGTCCAACAAATCAACTATCTATTGCTAGCTTAACTCAGCGCACCGCGATCAGCGCCCACAAGGGATTAGCGAGGCGACTCAGTTCCTGGTGGTGCTTGAGAATATCCGAATATGCTCGGATGTGTAACTCTGAAGGTCATGGGGTGATATTTCCCGGAGATTGCTCGAAGGATCTGAACGCCGTTCCCGCTTTTAAGACCTTGCCAGACTGGGACTCGAGGCGGTCGAAGGTGACCTGAGGTTCTCATTAGCGGAAATTTCGGCTAAGTGGTCTGTTTGGTCAGGTTGGTAGGCCTTCTCCTAGACAGCCAGCTGCCATTGAATGTTCACTTATGAGATCCCAATCCTGCGTACACCGGCAGCGCCAGCCCTGCTGTCGTACGCGATCACAGCCAAAGCAGGTCAAACTATCGTCGTGCAAGCGCGCCATGGTCATATAATTGCAGCAGGGACGAAAGGGCCACGGGGAATTTGTCATCGTGTCTTGCTGTCTGACTTGTCCTGGGTCTGGCGGCGGACGAGGCAGAGATCAGACAGCCCCTAATTGCCCGCGAGATCAGGTTGACCATTTGTGCTGGCGTGTGAGCTGCCACTGTCGTCGTGGTCGCCATCTCTACAGTTGCCAATTCCTCGAGACAAGACGCGGCATGCCGTCGAAATGCAATATAAGCCTTCTCGAGCCCCTTGCTTTCCGAGAACAAATTTCACTGGCCAACTCTCTTTGAGATGCCCCAGGGTTACTGCGGGTTGTCTGTCTTGGTCGCTGGTATTGGTGGCTGCTGCTGTCGTTTTCGTTCAAACTTGCGCTTTCAGCTCGGCGATGCCAATGCTCAGCCCTCCGCCGGAAGTTCTTGCCTCAAAAACCCGAATACCAACTCCATGCTGTTCACATCTCCGGATCGAGTGGAGTAAAGCAGCTTTGGAACACAATAATAGACAACGGTATATAAACGTGGTCCCTTACATTCCTTCGTCTGTCTCAACCCCACCGCTCCCAAAGAGCCTCAGCAGCATGTCTCAGAACCCAATGAGTCACCCGCACCTCTCGCAACCTTTTTCTCTCCTTATTGTGGTCACTACGTCTAATTGTCTACGTAGTCGTCCCCGCAATGCCAAACAGCAAAAGGCAATGTTGAACAGCGGGCTCCAAAGGGCATGATCAGCAATAAGATTTCGGACTCGCTATATCTACAAAATTACAAAAAGAGGATATATAGCACCCCGAGTGAAGGCAAAAGAAGTCAAGCCAGGAATCCCCTGGCAAATCCAAGCTTCGTGTTCCGTTATCTCAGCCGGGTGTAAGCATGATCCGACAAGCAGGACCTCCTGGATCCTCATGTACGGACCCCAGGCCCAGCACACTACAAGTGAGCTCTTCACGTGCCATCTTCTCCAATGCGAGATCTCCTCTAGTAGGGGGGGTTGGGACCCATGTTGTAGTCGTCAGGACCGGGTCGGGGAGGCAGCGAACCAGGACGGCCCTCGCCGTAGTGCTTCTTGCGCAGCGCTGCAAGTCTCTTCTTCTTGGTGACCGTATTGATGTACGTGCCGATGACGAACGAGATCACATTGAAGAACGGTACCCAAGTAGCCTCGGGCAGGAATTTCTGGGCGAACGCGAGGCAAATGGGCGACGTGACCCAGGAAACCTTCATCACCTTCCAGAAGCCAACACGCACTGTGGCGCGCACCTGATGGTAAGTCCTGGCGCCAGCAATCAAGGCCATGGCAGTAAGGTAGACGGTGTTTTGCACGGGCGCAATCTATGGCACAAAGAGTTCACAATCAGCTGACGTACTTCCACGCTCTAGTTTGCAAATAGATGGGTTGAGGAGGGCTTACCAAAAGATTGCTGACGAGGATCTGCAGGATCTTGGCGCGAAGAGACGTGCGGCCGCGGAATGCCTTCTGCAGGCACCAGATGGCAAAGTGGCCAAGCGGCGCGCTCACGAGTGCGCCGTAGGCAGCCATCTTGGGAACTCTGGAGGTGAAATAGTTGCCGTGCTTGTTGCGGTCCTTGGCAAGCCAAGAAGCCAGGAATTCCTGAAGAGCCGAGAGCGTGCCGGCCGTGAGCATCTTCATGCGCAGCGGGTTCTTCTCCAGCTCGGAGATATACCACATCAGGTAGCCCTTGGTGCCGGCATTGGCCTTGCCGCCGGTGAGTGCAGTGCCCACAGCCTCAGCAATTGGGTGCTTGCCGCTAGTACCAGGCAGCGTGCCATCCTTTGCAGCAGACGCGGCGGCCTCGGTGGCCTTGGTGACGGTGTCACGCTCGATCTTGACGGACGACATGATGACGAGTGGTGCGAAGTCGATGGACAATAGGGGCGAATCTGGAGAGCGTCGCAAAGTCAGTCGCGCAGCCGGTGGCGACAGGAAGGGTGGTGATGGCACGGAGCGATTGTGAGGAGGTGAGGCTGGGGGGTCGTGCCGAGTGGTGACCAATTGTTTTTGTTTACCACGGGAGGAGAGTGGAGCCGAGGTACTGAGCAGTCGTGGACGATGCTGGCATCGGCCAGTTCCGATAGCAGAGAGGAGCTCTGGCGGGCCGCAGCGATCGCGACGGGCGGGGTGCAAGGCGAATGAAGTTGAGACGGAACAAACAAGCAACGACTTACCTCGACGATGACGAACACTTTGCGCAAGAGAGGAGGATGCGACAATGGACAGTGCAAGGAGGAGGGGGCTCGTGGAGGAGAGTCGAGAGAGGGCTGGGAGTTTTGCGAGCAGCGCCTGGGAAAGGGTAGCCAGCCAGCCAGGGTTGGGGAAGGCTGGCAACCTGGAGACACGACGTGTTGAGCTAGCAACCAGCGCCCTGCCCCGGTCCATGAAAGTGCGTGCGCTACCCTGGCGCGTCAGCTTAGCTCTTGCACCTGCAGCTCCAGCCACGCTGCTTCAGATTGTGTAACATTTGCATGCTGGTGGCGTTCCCCAGCCCAGCCCAACGGGGACCACAGCTCAGGTTGTTGCCCATCGAGTCTCGCTGATACGCGTCGATGCTTCAATATGGCAACGAGAAGCAACACGGAGCTGCACCCCTCACCTTGGTCCTGAGTCCAAGTAGTAATGCCCCCTCAATGTCTGGATCCGCATCCTGTCTCGGAGCACCGTGTCTCAGATACTGGTTTGATCCTCACTGCTTCTCACATGGAAGCTCGGGTGTAGAGCGTGTTCGACCTCTGTCCCGGAAAGTGAAGAGTCGAGTAGACATGCATCATTGTTGTGTGTATGGGCGCGTCCGGTCTGCGCATTTTCGCGCCTGAAGGTCCATCTTGTGGCGCCGAGCGATGGTGTGGGAAGGAGGACCTAGAGTCCTGCCGACGCAGTGGCGTAATTTGCCCAGCCACACCGCCTGCCTAACTGTGAACTGCGCCCCCAAATCGACCTCAGCTCGGAATGCTCGCGAGGACGTGACGTGGGAACAATTATGGCTTAGCTAATGGAATATTGACATATCCCGCATGTTCCCTCTGCCGACCCGCATGACCCGAGGAGCCTATCCGGTCCCTGCCAGATTCGAACTATTACAAAGCTCTCTCGACAACCACATTTTTATCTTCCACCGGCCGCCGTTGTCGTCATCGTCGCAGTCAACCGCTTCGCCCGTCGTGGTCATGGCTTCCGCGAAATGTAGCACGCCAATAATCTCGGCCGCCAAGCTGTTCATCCAGCTTTCTACTCGAAGGTCCTGCTCGACCACCTCGGTGCTTGATATCCTTGCGCCCGCACAAACCCGAGCCCTGCACTTGGCTGTGCCCCAACACTCTCCGCGACTCCTGCCCAAACGGAATTCGACTACCCGTACTATTCACTTAGCTGCGTGCCCATCTCCTGCACATTCTGGTCGCCGTGCCGTGGGTTCATCAGCGCCTCAAATAGCCTCGACCTCGGAGCGAGCCTTTTCCACGACAAGAAGGCTGTACGCGACTCAGGCCATCGTCAACCCTCAGGAGGATGATGATGGCAAGGACATGCTTCTTGAAATCACGCCCAGGGCGGCCAAACGTCTCCAACAAATCATGACGAAGGACGGTAATCCGAATCTAGCTCTGCGAATACAGGTTGAGAGTGGTGGCTGTCATGGTTTTCAATACATCATGTCACTCACGACGCTGCCAGCCCATTCGGCCCCTGGTGCGCAGCCCGGACATGTAGCGCCAGGTCCCGAGAACCAAACCGGGGGCAAGACATTGAGTTCAAATACGGCAGAGGAAGTAACACCCTCTACAACAACGAGCAATTCTCCTACCCCATCCGTTCTGGGCGAGGACGATACGGTATTCGCATATATTCCGGATGCAGCACAAGAAGACAGCGCTGGGGCCCCTGACCTGCCGTCTCCGACCGCCAAGGTTATATTGGACAAGCCAAGCTTGGATCTCCTGAAAGGGAGCAAGGTGGACTACACGATGGAACTGATCGGAAGCCAGTTCAAGATAGTGGACAATCCCTACGCCACAAGTAGCTGCGGTTGTGGAACAAGCTTTGACATTAAGATGTAGATAATTGTAGGACCGTATCCGACTCAGCTCAGAATAGCCTAGTCCTGTCAAAAAAAGGATCGCATCCTGACGTTGACACAGCATTGAATCACAACCATGCAAAGCAATAATAGTTGATCGACGTGTTTTTCCATTGATTTCTGAAATCTGCTGCGGCCGTGCCTCCTCCTCTGCGAGGAGGAAAAGCATCATGTGACAAGAGGCACACAAAGTCTATTGCTCAGAAAAGGATAGGGACTATGTATGACACTCTTGAAGCTGATATTCCTGGAGACCAGGCATGCCAGTCGAGGAGAGTTTGCGCCTTCAAACGGAGAAGAAACGCAGGTTGTCTTCGCTCAAGCAGGCCGTTCCCCGCGTAGTTGTCAACGCCGCAGTAGAGCCAAGAAAGCCCCCAAAGGTTTTGTGGGGGAGAAAACCCCGTGTGATCCTCCCAAGTCTATTCGGTCCAGAGTAATCGAGCGAATGAGTCGTAACAACGCATGCCCACAATTCTCCAGCCAAAAGGTCTTGTTGAACTGAGCGATCCCGCAACAAGGAGATGCGCTTAGAGACGGCGACCACGGCGACCACCCTTTCTGCGAGTGCTGTCGGAAGGAGTGGGGGTGACGTCCTCAATGCGGCCGATCTTCATGCCGGAACGAGCCAGGGCACGGAGGGCGGACTGGGCACCAGGGCCAGGGGTCTTGGTGCCGTTACCACCAGTGGCACGGATCTTGATGTGCAGAGCGTTGATGCCGAGCTCCTTGCAGCGGGCGGCAACGTCCTGGGCGGCCAACATGGCAGCGTAGGGGGAGGACTCGTCACGGTCAGCCTTGACCTTCATGCCACCGGTGACACGGCAGATGGTCTCACGGCCACTGCATACAATCGATTGTTAGCGCATCGCCCCGATGCAGTGAAAGAACTGGTTGTGTATTTGCATGCAGGATGGTTGCTCAATGCGTTTCAAATCGACTCGGTAAGGGTGACGAACCTGAGATCGGTGACGTGAACGAAAGTGTCGTTGAAGGAGGCGAAGATACGGGCAACACCGAAGATGAGCTCGCCTGGTGGAAGACTTCGACGTTAGCCACAAACGAGTCATCTGGATGGCGGGGGGCATTGCGGAACTGAGAGACTGACCTTCTCTGGCCTGGGGGCCGAGGGAGATGTTCTCCTGGGGAGCGCGGGGGGCCTTCTTGGGGGGCATGTTGACAACTATTTCGTGGCTGTTTGGTGGTGGTGGACTTCGGGTTGGTTGTTGATGTGAAGCTGGACCAAGTGCTTGCAAGTCTCCCGCTCTCGCAGAAAGACGGTGGTGAAGACTCGAGGGGCCGCACCACCAGAATTCGCCAGGCCGGTAGGCGGTGAGACGCGGCAGTCCACCGGCTGCAAAATTTCGCCCAAATTATTCTGCGGAGCCAGTTGCGCATGCCAAAAAAAAAAAAACCCTAAGCGAGGCCGAGGGTGCCCAATCACCGGCCAGCAAGGTCCTCCGCCGCACAGAGTCCCCCTGCGAGCATGCTGGCACTCTGCCATCTGCGCTCTGCACTGGCCCGCCCACTCCAATTTCCCGCCCAGACTCGACCTGTCGAAAACCCGTCTAATTTTTCTTTGGGTGCTTTCTCTGATCTTCCTTCTCGTCCAGCCCAACCACTAACCACCAAGCCGACAACCCGCGCCGTCGCCGACAAACCGACAAAATGGCCCCTACGTATGCTTCTCCCTGATTTTTCACTCCCAATGCCTGCGCCCGCTGTGGCGTGGGTGGGCAGGCGTCACTGTTCGAGTCTTGCAGGATTTGTCCGTGGTTCTCTCGCTACTTGCTCGACATTCTGTCCGACTAGGTGAAGCAGCCAATGCAATGCCGCTGTTGCACGCGCAAGCATTGGGCTCATACACCTGGCGATGTATTGTCGAGCTCGTTCGATCAATCTTGGAGCATCTCCCTCCACCTCCCCTGCTGTCCCGCAGCTTGAAGGTGCGAGAGACGATGCCCGAGGCGTTGAGGATGAAGTGTGCATTATGCCTCTTCTCCTTGAAAACCAGCTGCCATGTATTGGTACAGGGAAGCGCAGGAATGTGCTTACCGTCACCAATGTCATACTTGAGCATTTCTTCTCGAAGTCAAAGATTTCGAGGCGTTGTTGGATGAGGGCCGTAAGGCATCTAGTCTGAATACTCAGAACCATGATGCCAGAACTACGCCTCACCGATCAAATAAATATCTTTCGAGTTAGCTATCGCTGAGAATGTCGCATTCCGGCAATTCTCCAACATGCGCTCTACCCACTCACACACCAGGTGTGACTGTGGACTACGTACTAACCTGGTTCATGCCTCGCAGTGTTCCCACCAAGGACCAGGTCCTGGTCCCCGAGACCCTCCTCAAGAAGCGCAAGTCTCAGGAGAAGGCTCGCGCCGAGAAGGCCACCGAGATTGAGAACAAGAAGAAGGTTAGTACCTTGCGCTCCATAGTGATTTGCCCGGAGGCCAAAATGATGCACAAAAACCCTTTGCGACTAGATCAACATCAGTGCTGTTGCAAAATAACCATCTTTCGGGTCTGATAAAAGCCAACCGACAACATGACTCTCCATTATGCGTTGCCACATCGTTCTGAGCTCAGCATATGCTAACCGCGATTGGATGACAGGCCAACAAGGAGAAGCGCACCGTCATCTTCAAGCGTGCTGAGAAGTACGTCAAGGAGTACCGCGATGCGGAGCGTGAGCAGATCCGCCTGCACCGCGTTGCCAAGCAGGAGGGCCACTTCCACGTCCCTGCCGAGGAGAAGCTCATCTTCGTCGTTCGCATCAAGGGTATCAACAAGATTGCCCCCAAGCCTCGCAAGATCCTCCAGCTGCTGCGCCTGATCCAGATCAACAACGGCGTCTTCGTCCGTGTCACCAAGGCCACCATGGAGATGATCAAGATTGTCGAGCCGTGGGTCGCCTACGGTTACCCCAACCTCAAGAGCATCAAGGAGCTCGTCTACAAGCGCGGCTACGGCAAGGTCAACAAGCAGCGTGTCGCCATCACCGACAACGCCATCATTGAGGAGAACCTCGGCAAGTACGGCATCGTCTGCGTTGAGGATCTCATCCACGAGATCTACACTGTCGGCCCCAACTTCAAGCAGGCCTCCAACTTCCTCTGGCCCTTCAAGCTCAGCAACCCCACTGGTGGCTTCCGCCCCCGCAAGTTCAAGCACTTCATCGAGGGTGGTGACCTTGGCAACCGCGAGGACAAGATCAACAACCTCATCCGCCAGATGAACTAGTTCTACAAACGTTCTAGCTCTGTTTGCGTTGTCGAGGTCTTTGTTTTTCATGAGATGACCATGAGGTTTGGGTTTGGGTTTGTCTATGGTACAGCTGGGAAGGAACAAATCACCTTCTTGCATGGTTGATCGGCGTTATTGCACAAAAAGCCCTAGGCATCGGAAATGCTGGCAATGAATTGAGATTCTTTCATGACCTACCACCATGGCCCTCTCCATTGAATGACAACAATAGTTCCTCCATCTATCCGATCGCTTGTGGCATGCGCGTGTGAAAAGAACTTGTTTGGCCACAAAATTGAATTTCGCGTGCAACTCGTAACCCAATCAGGGTCCAAGCAACGACCAGAAGCATTGAATGCGGCAGCTCTTGTACCGTGCCTCTTGCATAATCTATCAGTTCCTCGTGCCCGAGGATGACCTGCTCCGCGGGATGCAAGACTATGTTTGATGCATTACAATATCGACACATCTTCACGTTTGATCAAAATTTGAATCTGTTCAAGGATGAATGCGGGCTAAGCGCCTGTATGAGGAGCTCTCCACGTTCTACGGGTTGAGCATCCGCGAGCACAAAAGGATTCGCGACGAAAGCCCTTGCCAGTGCGCACTTCATGCAAACCGGCCACTGCCATACAGCTGTCCGTGAGGGTCTGAAGGGACTACCTGTCATGTGGGAGTCCATCATCAACGAAGAGCCCACAGTGCACGCATGCTGCTCCCTTTCTTCTCCATCCTGGCCACTTTGTTGAGTGCGTTCTTGAACTCCGCAGACTGCTGGCTTGTGATGCAGTACCGGTTGAAATGATCGACGAGCAGCTTGGTTGGAACTTGTCCGCCATGTTGACGTATGAAGACAGGAATCGCCTTTTCAAAGTCCTTGCCGTGCATGGCACTTGACCGGCCACTGCTACTGGTGGGAGTACCGGATCTCGAAGTGGTTGCGCTGTTTAAACCAGAGCGTGGTGACCCCAAGTTTATGCCCTGCCGGTCGGCGATGCCAGCGAGGATTCCTGCAGAACTTGGACCGCCACCACCTCTGCCCGCGCGCCGCGTGTTGATCGGCCGTCCGGCCTCACCTACTTCACCTGTCCACGTGACTGTACCGATCGGCACATTCCGAGCTTGTTCGCCGGCTCTTCGCAGCGATGCTGCGGCGGCAGCAGCGACTCGATCAGCTTCTCTCTGTAGCATGGCGCGACTGGCTTGTGGCTTCTTCTTGCCGTTGACAATGTCGTCGTGCTCAAGTGCTTGGTGAACACCAGAGCGGGCGAAGAGACCTTCCATGATGCGAGACTCTTCCGTCGGTGGGGGCTCGTCGTCTCCCTCCTGCTTGAAGTCCTCAAGACTTGCGACACCCTCAATGGTTTGAACCTGCTGCACATCGTCCCCCGTGATCTCGGCTGCCTGACTCTCATCCTGAAGCTCTACAAGATCTGTGGTGCTTTGAGATACCTTCGCAGAAGTGCCTGTGTTGAATTTGACTTCGGTGCCTTCGAAGAGTCTCCCAGTCTCTGTTTTGCCCTCCTCGGCTGATCCTAGCGTAAATAAATCGTGCAGATCATGAAGCTGGAAGGTAGTACGTTGCTTCGGATCCTTGAGGACTTTGTTGCTAAGAAACTGCTTGAAAATCTGCCGATGGTAAATCTTCTCTTCTATCGTACCCGCTGTCATGAGCCTGTAGATTGTGACTTCTTTCTTTTGTCCCAGTCGCCAGGCTCTCTCCCGGGCCTGGACATCGGTTGACGGGTTCCAGTCAGGATCGAAAATGATGACCCGGTTGGCCCCTGTAAGGTTCACGCCTAGGCCACCAACCTTTGTGGTTAAGAGAAATAAGTCCAATGTGGGATCTTTGTTGAATCGATCGACCAAGGTCTGTCGGTCCTTGATAGCAGTGCTGCCGTCCATCCGTATATAGCTAATGCCATCTTGTCGCTTTACAAAATCCTCCAGGATATTAAGCATCTGGACACCCTGGCTGAAGAGCAGAGTCTTGTGACCAAAACGCTTCCACATCTGCAGAAGCGCCTTGACGACCTGCATTTTGCCCGACTTGTTCGCCGCGCCCCATTTGTAGTCAGGCTTTGCCCTCAAATGTGGATCAAGCAGATCCGGGTGGTTACATATTTTCCGGAGTATGTCGATGCCGTAGAGTGATTGTCGCGTCTTGTTCAAGATTGCACTCATCTCCCCCGAGTTCAAAAAGAGTTCATAAGCCTCGCGTTGAGGCCGAGTGAGTTTGCAAAAAAGTACTTGCTCACTCTTCTTTGGCAAGTCTGCAGCGACATCGACCTTCAATCGTTGCAGGAGATACGGGCTGATTGTGTCTTTGAGCGTTTCTGCACACTTCTGAGCAGTCATGATCTGGAGATTCGTTGCGTTTGCGTACCCGCCAAGTTTGATGGGTATCTCGAACTGGTTTCGAAAGTCGACTAGCGTGCCAAGTCGCATGGGAAAAATGAAATCGAACAGCGACCAAAGCTCCATAAGGTTGTTTTGCATGGGAGTTCCGGAAAGAATCACTCTATTCGGTGTGCGCAACTCTTTGCAGTAAATGGTGATTGCCGTGTTGGGATTGCGGATCTTGTGGCCCTCATCCAGCACTGCATAACCCCATTCGATAGGAATGAGGATCTCACCGTACGTTTGCAGGCCAGCATAAGTTGTAACCAGCACGTGGCCGTGCTTGACGACTCGGTCTACGATCTTCTTGGCAGCCTTGTTGACAGGCTTATTCTTGCTTTTTCGATTCCAGGCAAGCTCTTCTTCCTCGATACGGTCTTCGCTGCTCTCGCTGTACATGCCACTACCAGATGAGTGAAGGATCGAAACCCGGAGAGGCGGCCACCAACGGTGGAATTCGTTAACCCATTGTCGTAGAACAGTGGCAGGCGCAACAACGATCACAGGCTTGTCGAGCAACTGGCTGTAGTGTAGGGCCGTGACAAATGATATCAACTGGACTGTCTTGCCAAGCCCCATTTCGTCACCGATGATACCCCCAACTTTGTGCTTGTAGAGCTCGCCCAGCCATTGGACTGCAGTCTTCTGGTAATCGAAGAGAGCTGGATAAACGTCGCCTGGAAGCCTCAGGCCATCCTCAAAATGATGATCGGGGGTATCTGGAGAGGGTTTGAACCATTCTGGGATGCTTTGATCTGTGTCTGGCTCGCCAGTACCAGTACCATTCTTTTCGTGCAACGCGCGCGCCCTGCTTCGCCGCTCGACCCAATTTGCAAGGCGATCTTGGTAGTTCGCCTCGTTCCCGTCATCGATTTGGCTGAGATCTATTTTGCCGTCTGCAGAAGCCTGTGATCTCTTGCCCGATCTTTTGCGTGTCCTCTCGGTCATGTCGTACTCGTCTTCGTCCAGAGCGTCGTCGTCATCGTCGTCGTCGTCGTCGATGAACGCTGCCCCCGGCGAGGCAGCCGCGGAAGTCTGAGGGGTGTAATCATCGTCGGTATCCGAGTGTCTCGTGATCCTCTTCCTTTTACGGGGTCGCAGTGAAAATTCTGCCTCGGCTGCGACACCTACAGAAGTCGATTCCTCGGCGAATCCTGGGGCACGAAGGTTCTGGTGCGATCGTGGCTCGTAGCCGGCCTTCTCCTCGAGCTCCTCGGCCACTGCCTCGTCCTCCGCATCCACCAAGGCACTGGCGAGGCCTCCCTCAACGCCTTCGGGGCGGGAGCCACCAAAGTTGGCAAAGGGAGTAATCTTCCCCGTTCTAATCAGGAATTCTCGGTGACTTTCGTTAGGTAGTTTTCTTGAGCCACTCTGGGTTTGCACTTCCTGAGTACCATCCTGGTGTCTCTGGTCGATACGGGTGTGAAAGTCGGCGACGTCCTGCTCAGCAAGACCGATCTCGGCTTGTATTCGGGCAATCTCGTCTTTGATCTTGGTCTTGAGATCCGGTCGCCCGATGGCCTTGCGGAAACGTTCGTCCTGTAAGCGTTTCTGTGCTTCGAGCCTCACAATATTTGCCTGGGCGCGCTCGATTCGTTTTTCGTCCTTGGCATCTTCGACTTCAATGAGGGCCAGATTGGCCTTGTATGTGATGTCTCGTTCGAGGTCGTCCTGGTCGCGAACGTTGGTAGTGAGGTTGTGTAAGGCAGCAGCCTCATCGAGATCGCCGAAAGTGTTGGATGCGTCGACAGCGGCATCATCGTTATCGGTTGCTGGACTATCCTGAGCGATAGTAGCGATCTGCTCAATCACGACGTCGCGCGACTGCTCTGCCGGGGCCGGCGCTTCTTCAGAGGCAGGCGAGGACATGACGACAAGCGCCGAGCCATGTACGGAGTTGGTACACTGAGACTCTGCTCCCAGCGAGGAAGATGCGGCCTATCCGCACAGCTTGTGCTCAAGCCCTGGAGGTGTAGGCAGCGATCGTGAATTAACCACCGACTCTGGAGCAAAGAGTGTATGCACGTATGACGCACTCTCGATAGGCAGGCGCGGAAGACCCACACCACCTGCCTTATCGATAGGGCAGGAATCGAATCGAAGTCCGTCCGCCCTGCCGCCCGAGAGCTTTCTCTCTGCCTTGGAAGGAGTAACCTGGGTTCATGCTGTGAATTCTCTCTTTGAGCTAGGAAGTCGGGTGCAGCATGAGCTTCTCATTCGTCTCACACAGCGCGGCGGCATTGAAGCCGCGGGTGGGTTTCGGGCCCGAGGTGGACACTCCAGGCAAGTGCTCTCCGTGCGCGCACCTTACCTTAATTACGGCAGTGGTTATTTTTAGATGGTGCCTGGCATATGGCGGGTGGCTGTGATGTATCCAAGACAGGACCCCAGGTCGCCGGATCATTTATCCCGTTCAAGCTGAGATTGGACATACTCGAAGCAATCCTAAATCGGGACGGAGTACATCGAAGTCCTCAGCGGCCACAGCTGTATTTCCCATGCCAGCCAGACTAAGTTTGACGCTGCCAGTTGAGCAGCCACAGCCAGCAGCACATCATCGCGGCGGTTGGCGTCCCCGTACATCTGGACGACATGGTGCCTGCAGGGCTGCAGGCTCTTTCGCCGTGTCAGTGTCACAGAGCTTCTTGTTTCTGTCGCTGTTCCTTGCAGGCAGGCCCACGAAGGATCTGGTTCCTGGTCGTTGCCCTTGTGCACAGCCCGCTCCCAATGCGCATCCTTCCTCGAAGGGGAGGTATCCGCCTACTCCACGGCTCCGCCTGTCAGCACTACCAGCCTGCACTTGCGTGGGTAGAACGAAGCATAGGGAATGAGTGCACTTCATCTCGACTATAAGGCGCCCACAGCCCGTCATGATCGCCGTCTTCTCGTTGCTGGCTTGATCTCTTTATGACATCCATTGTCTATCTCGCCCACCATCACAGCAGCATCATGTGGCACTGTGGTGTGTTTGGGGCTCTGCCCTTCCTGGCTCCTCTCGCCTGCACCACGCAGGCCCTTGATCATCGCGTCGTCGTCTATTACCAGACCACTCACTACAATAGCTCTGCCACCAGCGATGTCTCGCTTCTTCCGCTGGTCAAGGACCAGGCTCACGTGGCAGCCACCCACGTTCTCATCTCAGCCATCCACATAGTCGACGAGGACGGCGGCATCAGGCTCAACGACCACGCCCCTGATAACGAAATTTTTGACCACGTCTGGTCCGACGCAGCGCACCTTCAGGCCGCTGGCGTGACTGTAATGGCTATGGTGGGCGGTGCCGCCCCAGGCTCCTGGGACCGCCTCGATGGCGACGACGCCCAGTTTGAGCATTATTACAAGCCGCTACACGACTTTATCGGCAACTACAACATTGAAGGTCTTGACCTTGACGTAGAGCAATCCATGTCCCTCGATGGCATCATTCGCCTCATCGACCGTCTCAAAAAGGACTTCGGCGACGACTTCGTCATCTCCCTCGCACCAGTAGGCTCGGCGCTGACCAAGGGGGGTGGCAACCTCAGTGGTTTTGACTACTTTGAGCTCGAAGCCCAACGTGGTGACAAGATTGCATTCTATAATGCCCAGTTCTACTTTGGCTGGGGTGACCCCAGCTCCGCTGCCGACTACGAGGACATCATTGACGACGGGTTCCGGGCCGACAAAGTCGTTATGGGCTTATTGACCAACCCGGCTAATGGCAATGGCTACGTCAGCCTCGACAAACAGGCGCCTGTCCTCGAAGAACTCGTGTCAGAGAATCCTACTTTTGGAGGCGTCGCTGGCTGGGAATACTTCAACAGCTTACCAGGCGGCGACAAAGCCCCTGAAGAATGGGCAACCTGGATGGGGGAGCACATTACCCCTACCCAGCTTGACGCCTCCGGGCATCCTCAAGCTCGCGAGATCTCACCGATTGAGTCTGTACACAGGGCCATGAGGAAGTCATATCGTCAAGTTCGTGGTTTTGGCAAACGAATGTACAGGAACTACATTGCTTAGCATATGAGTTGCCCCGGAGGCTTTTTGCCCAGCCAGCTTCGGTCTTTAGTATGGCGCTTTCTATCTTTTTTGATGTGTTGATGTATGATAGAATCAAAGGACATAAGAATTCGGCTCTACATTTGCGTTTATATTTCCAAGCACCAACCTGCGTCGCAGGACATGTTGGCATTGCAAGTAGAGTATTCATCGAGTTTGATTTCAACAGGCGACGCTGTCCCGAGAATGTGATTTGGACCTCGGCCGTGTTCTGAAAGTATGGCCAGCCGAGACTGTCCCTGCAGGCTCGGATCATCCTCTGGTACACATACTCAGGGTGCCTACTGCGATACAGACCTTGGTCAGTGCATAAGCCATCAAGACGGGCAGACCTAGTCGTTTTAGGATCAAATCAATGTAGGCCAAAAGGCAAGTCAGTGACCCATAGCGCAGTCTCAGACAGATTAGACAGGCTTCGTACGTCAGTCCCAGCCCTCTCTGTGAACAAAATTCTCAATGCGCTCCACGATCTCGGTCTTGATTGGAATTTTCATCGCGCACATCGTCACATCGAACTGTCGTTGACCCCTTGCCAGTGGACACGAGCAAGAGTCGCCATGCTTTATTGGCGATGGACAAGTCGGTCAATGTGATAATGATCTCCCGTGTCCTTCGCACAGCCTAGCATATGCTAGACTTCGATGGTCAATCTACATCCCGCGACTCGTCATCTGGCACAGCGCTCCGTCTCAAGAAGGAGTCGGGCACACGTCGCTGTACTATCCCACAGCAGTGCGGAATATCTTGCTCTCGGACGAGAGAAGGATTTTATAGCGTCGAACCAGTATGTAGCTGGTTTGAAGACTTTCGTCATGCGTCTACCGTGCTTTGTATGGGATACCTGGGCCGTATGGTGTCGTTAGACAACGAGCTCGAAACTTCTGTCTTGATAATGGGATTGTGTCAAGGTGTGACTGCCTGCCCCAGCCGACTTGTAGTCACCAACACTTCCGCAGTTCTATGCTCTGTCCGTGGTTCTTATCGATTGGTCTTCATGAATGGCGCAGGTGACCCTCGAACATACGTGACCCAGACAACTTAACTTGATGGTCCCAGCAGGCGTGCAGGTCCGTATCAGTTGTTCTGCAGTCTCAACTTCGCGGAACAATTGCCTAACGACCAGTCCGGGGTGCGTACATTGTTGCGAAGGGCCCCTGGAATTCTCCCCACGGCCGATAGGAGCTCATCGTCGGACATCAGTCCGCGCTGCAGGGACTCGAGTCAAAATCCTGTTCAATAGCCACGGAGAAAACGTTCCTCGGGCTAGTGCCCGCCGACATCGGCACATGGTTTTCTATGCTGTGCCACATGTGCCGCTAATTCCACGCTCCTGAATGCCGGTCCGGCGTTCATGAACGCTTTGCCCGCAGCTGTCGCGTGGCGACCTGAGATGAGCATGTTTGTCTGGCCCATGAGATTACCTACCGACAACCGTAGCTGCCCTGAGCATACGAGCTCCAGTACTGCAGGCGAGGCGACAGGCCGCCTGCTTTGGCGAATCTGGTGTCACGTGTGTGAGGTCAAGGCTGCCATGTGCAAGGTCTTGTTTCCGGCAGCACCGAAAGCGCGCAGATCAACAAGCAGGCAATAAAGCCTGGCGGGGCCGAAGTGCATTACTCGAACGGGAGGGTCCTCCTTACCCATCGTTATCGCTGGAGAAGCACTCGCAGATCAGTCATTTGGTGTCACAGCTATCCTTGGACCCGGAGCTGACCACTGAGCTGGGTGCTCCGAGACGTGCCAGGAAACTTTAAAGACGTGTGTTGGTGATCGCTGCGGAAAGTGCCGCATCTCGATGCGAGGCACAGCTCTGTTGTTTGGGACAGCATGTTGTTATGCTCACGAATGGGACGCTGCCGGGATGCCGCACACCTTCCCACGTCATCCCGTGCTGTCGAGGGTGTGTGGGCTTGTCATCAGACTTCAGCTGGACCGTGGCAGCCGGTCCTCGCCGGGCTCACTCTTCTGCATTCGGAAATCCTACCCTCGGCGCTCCTGTCAAGCCCTCGCCTACGTTCTGCAAAGCGCGACAGGAAAGTGAAGGAGAAGCCCCCCACAAGTCCAGCAGTCAAGTGCCGTCAGCGAGGAAGGTCACTTATTGTTGACAGCTGCAAGAGCCATTGCTGCTACGAACGGCTGCTGGCGGTGCGACAACAATATTCGGCGGTAAGGTCGCGTTGCGTTGAGAATTTGCTGTCGGGAAGCTGTATAAATCCACGCATGTCTTGGTCAGGCATCAATCCCAAAGGCTTGGCCATCTCCCCGCATGCAGGGCACCCTCTCTCATGGAGACGAGTTTGTGGACTGCTTCAATGGTGTGGGCAGCAGGCAAATCAGGGAAACCCGATAAGCTTACCGCACACAAGCAGCTGCAAGTCGCCGAAACAGGTGACAGGTGACTTGCTCCGACTGTCCTTGTCGAAATCCTGCCGTCCGCGTTCTGACACGGGGAGAAGGGGGAGTGTGCGATTTGTGAGCTCTGCCGACATCAAAAGTTGGCTGGCGACACGACAAAACGCAGTCAAGTGGCCCGCTTGCTCTTGACATTAATTACGTCAAGCCCGGCACTGGCCCCGTCGCACGCAGGCATGAGTCAGGCCCTGGCGAAGTGCCGAGAGGCCACATCGCCCAGCAACCAACCCTACTCAGTTCACAGCCAAGTTTTTGCACGGCACGAAAATGTACTTCGACAGTTGTAGGGCGCTTGGGAAACACAGGCTTGCGTAAGCTAGTTTCCTGGTGGCCCAGGTCGCGCTCAGGCACGAGGCGTTCCCGGCCATGCAGCAAGAACGCGCCGGGCGGGTCGTGCGGCCCTGTATACGGAAAGGATCGGTTGCAGAGCGACAAAAGCAAGACAGCAGAGGCCACAGTCAGGACCGGTAGGCAGATTTGCTTGAGGCGGTTAGGGCGGGAACGCACCCGAGCCCTGAACAATGAACCCTGAGAAGACCCCTAAATGCACGGGCACCTCTCGCACACGACTGGGACTTGTGTCGCCGCTTGCCACAGTCTGTTATGCTGTGCATCGCGTGCCGCCTTGGTTGAATCGAGCTTGGTTTGCCAGCATGTGTCTTTGCTGCTCGTCCCGCGAATATGGACAGCACAACACCAGACGCTGTGACAGCAGTGTATTGCCAGCATCAAGCCACGGCTGAGAATTATTGACACTTTTGCATTCCGTGGCGGAACGCTCCACAAATCCTTCAATTCATATTTGACGAAGAGATGCCTTTCATGTGCATGGTTCCAACCACCTCGAGCGGTGAGTGGCGTGGTCGACGTGGTCGACGTGGCCAGATGCTAGCCTGTGTGTTCAATTGATTATGGCCAGCAGAGGGAAAACCTCCCAAGTCGTCCGCTGGAGAACCTTGCCTATGGAGCACCCACCCTGGATTGCTGGAAAAGCACGATCTGTGGAGTACAGAAAGCCATCCCTGCTTCCCAACAGACGTAATAATGGGACTTGCCCGAGGCCGAGGGTACGTGGGAGCAGGGAATGAACAGTGGTCCATGGCCTGTCCAAGGACAGGACACCTGCGTCAAAGGAGCCGAGGCCGCATGGGGCACGTTGCGTCGCAGTGGGCTCTCTCTAGGTCGAGAGAGAGGTAACCAGGAAAATGGAGGCACGTGTGAAGAGCTGTCTCCTGCCCAGTCTGTGCTGTGGGGGCGCCGGTTCATATCCTCCCTGACTGTTGATCTGACGCGGCGGGTAGTTTCCACTACGCATGCGACCATTGGTCATCGATCCAATCTGCATGTCGCGCGACCTTGATCAGGCAGGCAGGCAGGCAAAGGTAATGGTTCTCTTGCTGACGGCAAGGAAAGGCGTGCGATCCATGCGATCCTCGGGTCTCGTCTAACGAGAACCACAAGCCAGGTTCACATGCGTGGAGCGTCGGCTAAGTGCCAGGCTGCAGAGTCGAGGAAGGAAGCGCGTGGTCAAAGAGCACATGTGCAGTGTGGCAGCAGCACCGTCCCGACAGAGGTCGTGTGCCCTCTGAAGCTTGGCAGGGCGTGGACGAGCTGAGCCAACCACCAGTCGCCGATTCTTATCAGCAGCCCTCAACTTGCCGTGCCACCACGGTCGGTAGTTCCAGGAAGTTGTGGCCTCACTCCGCGGGGCTTATCAGCACCACCAGCAACGTTGCCGTGCGCGCCGTTGATAGGATAATGGACATCTCATAACATATATCTGCCACATGCGCTCTCTCGCAGTCGCGTTCGGCAATCTCTGGACTGTCATACTTCAAACTTTCGGCCACAAACCAAATCGACTGCTCGAGTCCCACTAATTCGAGCCTCCCACTGCCGCGCTACTGGCAAAGCCGCCTCCTGCCAATCGCGGGAGCTCGACCGTTCTGGGCAGGTCAAGCACGTTGCGTGTCTGACCCGTTTGAGAATCCCTGACCAAACTGCACAGTCACGACGCAAAAGGCAACGCACAGAATCTGGTGGAGGAATACAGGACGCTACCGCGAGAGCTTCTGGGAGAGAGAAAAAAAAATTGTCAGTGACCCATTACGGCCCCGGGGCCAGTGGACTGGTTTCGGCACGACTCGATTCGGCCCATCGCAACTTGTTACACGCGAGCGTCAACCCTAGGGCTGATCCAGTTTTCCCTTACCCTCCAGACCGGCGACAAGGCGATGCGGCCAGAACGGCCACTGCGACGATCAGGAGTCAGTACGGCATCCGTCCATGGTAATAGGAGGTCGGTCAGGATAAGCGTCGCACCTCTAGCACCCTTTCCGCCTCTGTGGCCAACCCATCGAGTGTTTGAGGCAGTTGAGTGATCTGCCTCGCTTGAGGAGGCTACCAGCGCTGTTACGTACTCGCAACCGTGGGGAGGGACGAGGAGTGGCGGGTCTGACACACGAGCCGTGGTCGGTGTCTGGGTCGGCTTTGGTTCGTGGGGGCGGCGATTGGCTCGAGGAGAGGGCTGGCAGGGCCCGCAGGTGGGTGTCATAGAAGACGCCTAGAAGGCAGAGCCCGCGCAGAAAGCCAGGGTGAGGTGGGTGCAGCAGGGCCGGGCAGGCACGCACGCACACTTAGGCGCACCTGCCTTGCATTGCACTCACTCAAGCTTGGCACACGCGTGCCCCAGCTACGCAAGGGGTCCTCCGCCAGATAAGACTTGGGCGCCGCCCACCCCCATCGCCATCATGATGACCCCACAAGCTTTCCTCTACTCCAAGACCAACACCAACAGCACCGGCACCTCCGTCAGTCGAAGCATACCATCCCCAGCACAGTCTTTCTCATCCCGCCGGACGACCGTCTCGACTTCGCCTTCCGCGGGCGTTTCATCCAGGCACTCACAGCTGGGCCAGGTCTCGCCATCGGGTCACCAGCCCCATATCACACCAGACAGGCCTCTCACGAGTGTGCCTCCGCCGGCCACTGCTCTGGAGTTCCGTCATCCTTTTACACCTCGAAAGCATGATCGAAAGGCAGCGCACCGCCCCGTCATTGCCGAAGACCAGCTGCCTAACCCAGAAACTACTCCTTTTCCCATCCACATAGACGAGCCTCGCACCATGGGGAAACGAAAGGGTGCATCTAGCCGCATGACACCACCCAGTAGTCCTCCCAGCGTGGGCATGTCTGAAACGGTTGCTCGGCCAGGCACTGCCTCCAGCGCCGTTGAGATTCCGATATCATCCAAGTCCGACACTGCTCACAAACAGCACAAGACTCGCCACCATTCCGAGTCGCAAAGACGACAGTATGGCTCTTCAGCGCGAAGAGGACGTGATCATCACTCGCCCGATGCCATTACGCCTTCGATGGCCGCCCTTTTGGCCATCACCGCCATTCCTCCTCCCAACCGCCGTGGCACCACTCGGCCGAGGCAGGTCAAATCGAATGAGATGGTCCGCATGACAGTCGACTCCATCGTTCCGCGCTCGCAGGTCTCCGAGAAAGAGCTCAGTCGTGAGCTTGATGATGAAGCTGACCCTCCACTGCACTTTAGCCCTTATGGGGGTTACAGTCGCAGTCCCATGGATATTCTGCTTAGTCCACCAGAGGAACTCGAGGAGGATGTCATCTCTATCGCTAGCGATGGCGCTTTCACTCCGCCATTCTCAACCCGAGCCGCTTCGTTCGACAGTATCCCATCGTTGGGCAACTCACTCAGCACAAGTGGATTACCATCGTTCGATTCACCATTGACCCCACGAGGACGACGATATCGCCAACCACGACGGTCGCTTGAACCGGTGGTGTCACCCGTTGGTGAAGAGGCCGACCATCCTCTGTCCAAGCAGACCTCCGTGACCGAGTTCGGCTTCGGGGTGTTTGATGCTTCTCCAGTCTCCTTGCAAAAGAAGGAACAATCGCCACAACTCGCCCTCAAGTCTGTCTTCAAGTCCAACCTTACCGCCTCTTTACGGGCCCTTCGGTCCGCCGCGAGGTCTCTGTCCAACTTCACCGCTTCATCGATTCCGCCCGAAGACTTCCTTACCCGCTCAATCCTGACAATGGACCCAAGGGTTCCATTCACCGATGAACGGATGCCGCCGGTCTTGGATCAGGAGCCGAGTGAGGCCATGCGCCGGTATCTCAATCCGACGACCACAGTCCGACCGGAGTCGCGATTGCCAACAAACGTTCGCAGCTACACAGCTTCCATTCAAATGCAGACATACAAGGTTCAGCGCTCTAAGAACGGTGTGGCTGGCAGCAGTAAATCGTCCAGCGCAGCATCTACAAGTTCGAAAACGTCGCCGGCTCTGGTATTCCTGCCTGGCCCTCGGCAGCGTGAGGTTCGCGAGAATTCGGATTTCATCCGTATCGCTGTGCTCGAACATCTCATGCGCAGGAGTGGCAAATTCGACGAGCAGCGAGAGGGCCATGCTCGCTGGGTACTCCCGGCGAGAAAGATGTCGAGCAAGCCCTATGAAATTGGCCCCAATGGTGTACCAGTGCGGTGGCTACCGCTGTCTCAGGATCTGCCCTTGTCATGAATATCCTGTCTTGCTTCACACAGCATCCAAGGCTCCGAGACGCGGAGTCCGTCGTGGCGCATCTGAGTACAGGCAGCCGCCACTGAACCACTCGAACACTACACGCCACTTTACCTTGCACACTACTACATGGTTTCCAGGGTAGCTATTCAATGCATGGCGTCTCCCTTTACGAAGCCGTACTATTTCTTCACGCAAGCAACTTCCACGCAATGGTTGCCACACATGCATTGGGCCTTGACTCACTCCCAACGAGACACGCCCCACATCATTTTCACCCTTGCTTGTCGAGTCCCTTGTCTCGGTGTTCGTATACTACACAGGCATTCCTGGCGGCGTTCTAGCGATTGGGCATAGTGCATTTTCTTTCTCTGTTCTTGGCATTTGCATACATGGGGCGTCGTGAATCATCATGCACTTGATTTCAAGGGGTTTACCCGCAAACTTGTTGAATCGCATTTGGATTGGCTCTATGCGTACATACCCTATCAATTTTTCATCAAGCATCAACAATACGTACATAGGTGGCACTATCTGCTACACTAGCTTGATCCCAAGTCTTCCTGAAATTTGCGTCTTGTGCTATTGGACATCAACGTGACTGAATCGCCTTTGAGTTGTTGGTACTGGGTACGGAATGCTTCGCCTCTTGGAGCCCGTGCCAATGATTCGCGTTGCGAGGTCGGAGCTTCGTTGTACGTCCATGTTGAATTGCGTGGCACCCAGCTTTTCTACGCTGGAGTGGGGATGGTCCCGACGAAGGGTATTGTCGTGCTTACCCTTCATCTACTTTCTCTGAAAACTAACCAGGCGAGAGCTAGTGGATGAACATGGTTCTTTATGGCCATGGCTCACAGCGCCACGATGCCGCAGTGAGGCTCTGAGTTTACCATACCTATTGTACTGCTCTTGGTCGTGCCAACCATAGATATATGCCCGCGTTGACGTATCAGGCAAGAGAAAAGTGCTCTTGGACATCAAACCTATCTCGCCTGAACCTCTTGCATTCGGCGCCAGTCCCAACGCAGGCCCATTTTTACTTCATCGAGGATGAAGCTGGAGATAGCCTGACGTGGGAAACACCTTGGCTATGGGGCGCCGAGCTTGAGAAATCGCGTGGTTGCACACGTGCACAGCACAGGATAAATGAGCAGCCTCTGATGCCAGAGCATGAAGCTCTGGTCTCAAGATGTGTCAAGGCTCTTTCGTTCTACGAAGTACTTGGGCCCAGAAATCAGATGATACAGACATGGCGTACTTGACCCGTCACTGAGCATACCGCCGCACTCCGAGGAGAGCCTGGAAGCCTCTTTTGCAGCGCATTGGGTTGGAAGCTTAAAAAGCCATGCGCCAAGCTTCTTTGTCACGCCCCGCAGGGTGTCATATGCGTCACAACCCAGCCAGCTTCATCTTCGCATGAATGGACCGCGGACTTGCTGTACATTCTCTGAGAGGGGCGCTCGTCGCGATGAAGGCGGGTCGTACGCAATACCCTGCCGTTTGTAACCAGCAGCACGCCTGCCTTGAAGCGCCGGTTCCGCTGTGCTGGCATTGGGGGAGTTCTGGTTTCGATCGACAACGGCGTTGTAAACGGGGGAAAGGCGGCCTTGGTTGTGTTCGTCTGTTGACAACTCCACGTCTTGTGCAGCAACACCTCTAAGGTGTTGCTGGTTGAGGCTCTGTGAACGCGCTCCAGGGCTTCTCAGCTCCAGATGTGGGCACGAAGAGGTAAGCTTTTGCGCTAAGAGGCAGGCCCGGCCAGTCAGAGGGCCGGAGACGCAGGGTGCCTCGCTCAAAGGGGCAGCCGGCAGCTGAGCTGGAGCCAAACCTCCTCGACACCCCTGATATGTGTGATATGCCTTCTGGCAACTGATGGGCGGTCGTGGCAGTTCGTAAGGGCACTTTAGAGCGCAGGAAGAGGATGCGGGCAGCGTAAGGCGAGTTTTTGCGCTGTGCGAGGGGCGCTGGGGCGGATGGGCAGAACATTGAAGGGGTTCGCCCCCGGAGGCCCCGTTTAGGAAGGTACCGCACCTATCGCGCCTGCCAATGCCCGTCAAGCTCTCTTGGCATCAGCCAGGTGCGGCAGCGTGCCAGATTATTTTCCTCGTGGCTGCAGAGCAACACCCACCGCGCTGTGGGCTGTTTTTGCGCCCTCGACCAACACGAACGACGATTCCATCTCCATGCCAGCACTCTCCGCTGACAACTCCGTATAACTGCTCCGGGGACCCTCCTGCCGGGCCCAGCAGGCCGTCACGGCGTCTCTCCCCAGGTCCACCCGCCCGGCCACTTACACCTCCAAACATCGCGACGCTCGAGTCAATCTTCGGTGAACTGTCCCGCCCCCGCCACTCGCCTACGCTCAACGGTCCATCATGGCGCCCACATTCATCACCCGCCGCGAGGACGAAGGCGGCCCCATCAACTGGGCCGCGCTCCATGCATCGTACATTGCCGCCGGCGTCGTCGTTGGCTTCTTCATCCTGCTTCTCGCCTGTATGATGATTTGGGGCCCCGGCTGGTATAGGCGTCGCCGTGCCAAGCTTGCGGCACTGGAGCGTGCCCGGCTCGAGCAGCAAGACGGCATTCCCCTCTCTCCCACATCCACCCAGGCCGGCGACTCTCAGCCAAAGACAGTTCACCCGGAACAGCAGCCTGCCACGACACCCGTTGCTGCTCCAGAGACCACTAGCACACCCGCCAAGGATACTGTTCAACCCACGACGACCGCCGAAGCCGTTCCCGAGGCCAACAAGAGGCTATAAGCCGTGCCCCAGCTATTGAGGCACCATGAAGGATGACAGTCAGCAAAGGACGTAAATGAGATAACCAGGGGCATCAATGATTGAGGCAGGGCTCGAGGCTATATCCATCATGTCAACATCCGTGAGATGGTGGGACACTCGTTTGGACAATACACATCAATATTCCAGGGCTCGATCCCGGAAAAGGTCTCTCTGGATGAGATAATGGGGGAAATCATTGATTGGTAGACGGCATATCACCGACTAAGCAGCAAGGCAATCGAAGGCCATGCTCATCGACCCCATGAGCGGACCGCCTACGCACAACTTGCCGTCATTACGATCGGCCTTCGTCGGGGCTCTGGGCATTTAGCATTTAGCATAGCATAGCGCAACTCCAGATCGACAAGAATACTGTCGCTCGTAATATATGACACTTCAGAGCTTCATAGAATCCCTAGCTCAGATCTCACAGACACGGGACTTGGCCTAATGGCGAACTCTCCTCGTCTTATTAATTATCTGCGGGCATAGTATGGTGGGGATATGAACACACTCTTGCTTGTGTGGCGCGGCTTTGCTGTGGGATCATAGCTCTAGCCTCCTGTTTCTTTCGCCGTGGGAAAATTAGAGTGTTTGCCCAGGTAAAGACTCGACTACGTAAGTACAAGCGGAATATCGTGGCAATAAAACCAGAAGTTCTAGCTTCATTCGAATAATGTCGTCAAATGGAGGGATTGTCAGTTCATACATTCATCCTGGCATACATTGATTGCCCTACCACTTTGGGCAACGGGCCTGTTTCTTGAACTGTCCTTCCGCCATAAGAATAGATCACGAAGTTGTTCAACGATTCTCTGCCCCTTTGAAATTAGTGACATGAAAAGCAACACAGCTTCGAAACACGGGTTAATGAGACATTCCCTGGCTGAAGCCTCTCCCTAGTGCCCCATTGACAACCAAGGGGACGCCGCTGATGACTCTTCGACAAGACCACTGTCTACACGTCGAGTAGTACATTGCATGTCGAAGGCACTTAACGGGAAACATTGAAGACCACATCTATCATCCTTGTGTGCCGGTAATTCTACGAGCGAGAACAATCAGCGTGGGAATCGCCTACCACTGATCGATGACAGCATCTGCATGTCGATGTCGACAATAGGGAAGTGGGAGTCGAATGTTAACCCGCATATCTAGTGCTATACGGCAAAACCCGGCAATTAATTGGTCCGGAAACATCAGTGTCGCCGAAATGAACATTGCTGATTGCGTCCCTTGGGTTTGTCAAAGGCCTGTACAGCCGCCACGTGCGAGCCGGGCCATCGAGGCACCTGATGAGTTCATGTGCGAGATGAAAGGCTCTAGAACTTGTTGATTTAACGATGCACTTTCCACAGGTAACCCCCCCCCCCCCCCCCAAAAAAAAAAAGCCTCCTTCAATGCCACCCTTTAGAAAGACGCTACATTCTTGTGCAACGGCCGTGCAACTAGTCACTTATACAATAAGTCATACGCCCGAGGCCCCGACCGCCAACGCGGGGACAGTGTATGCCAGACGAGTTTGTTCTTCGCGGTAGTTGTTTTCTGCACCCAGATCGTCTCCTCCCACGATGATGAATTAGCACGGATGAGACAACAAGAGACGGGTGCTAGAGGGCAATGCCAGACTCAAGCGAAGTGGTTGGTGTGCACTGCCGGCATAACTACACGGCTCCCGGCCGCAACATCCATAACGACGTCGACTTCCTAGCCCGCCAGAGTGCAGACGACGACGACATGATAGTCTAACGCGACGTAAGTATTATGCACTTCCTGACTCTCTAGTTGATGCCGAGACAACCACAGCTGTCCCCAACTCAGCAACACCTCGAAGGACTTACAGCGAGCAAAACCGTGCCGTGCCTCTCGAGAAGGTGTCTTGACAACTATGACACACACATCTCCCGAGCCCATACAACTATATTCATTGTGGGTATCGGTCAAGGGCGACAAGATATCTAATGACAGATGTAGACATCCAATTGCGAAACTTAGCAATGAATACCAACGAGTGGCTCACCACCACGACGACCTTGAGTTCCGGTAGGGCTTATAATGACACCCCTCGACTGTCATCACCAATGCCAGGAAACAGTCGCGCCACTGAGTAACAAAGGCAGTCCTGTTTTAACGCAAGATCTAGAAGAACACGCCCTGGTAGACGAAGGTGACCGGACAAGCAACCGGCAACCAGCAAAAGTGACATATGAGCGATCCCAAAGGCGTGGCCGGTACGGCTTTCTCCAGTCACTGGTCACAAATTTCAACTAAAAAAGCCTCGTCTTCTTATTTCTTTTCGTGTTTATAACAGTAGCATTTTTGTCGGCATGAGAGCCGACCCCACCACTAACCCCAATCACCACATTGAGTATCAAGAGACGCTGTTACACATCTCTATTGCATGAGCAAGATTTCATCATCGTCCGTAGGTCATCAATTCCCCGTCATACTAAGACAGGGAGACACGCAGTGTTTAGTGCGCCGATAGGTATCGCGCCAATGGTGTATAGCCGCGATCGTAATATGGTCGGGAATTTCTGACCATCTAAGCCCGACTTCGAATCGAATATCTCAAAGGCAGAGCCGAAGGCCGCCCTCGATTTATCGTCGTCCGAACCTGCAAAGCAGTGTGTCAGTTTTCCATGCTCTTGACGCAAACGCAGAGTTAGAAAAGTTTTGATACATACTTCTGCTTCTTCTCAGCAGGCTTGAGGATCTGCGAAGGAAGGCCGAGTGGTTAGTCTAGCTGCCCGAGATTCATATGTCGAATTTGAGAACCCACCTGGAACGAGCACAATAGGCTTTCGTCGACACTCATCATGGCACCAGCATTGTCGAACTCTCCACAGTAGTTGGGCGCGCTGAAGAGGGTGACAAGCTGGCGTTTCGAGAAGAACTCGTAACCGTCCTCGACGACCTGGTGAGCCCGACAAATCAAGTCCATGTCGTGTTTTTGCAGGAATCGCGAAACGACATCGGGCCCGAATGTGAATGAAACACCACGATCGTTCTCGCTCCACCCTGTGATGTCCTTGTCGGGATCGGACCACAACAGATCACACAGGAGACCGCAGTCAGGAATCTGCAAGCACGCAAAGCATTAGCAAAAGTCTACAGGAGAACTCTAATTGAGGATCGGGCTGCTGAAACTTACGTCAGTCGGTCTCATGACGCGGCGAATTTGCTCCATCGAGTTGAGATCGGGGCTGAGACCGCCGTGCATGGTGAAGATCTTCTCGTCAATGATGGCGGCAATGGGCAAGCAGTTGAAACAGTCCGTAAAAGTCTTCCAGAGCTTGATGTTGTACCGGCGCTTGCATTCGTCGTAGAAACCGTAGATACGGTTGATGGAAGCGCACTCGTGGTTTCCGCGCAGAATGAAAAAGTTCTCGGGGTACTTAATCTTGTAGGCGAGGAGCAGGCAGATGGTCTCGAGAGACTGCTTGCCACGGTCAACGTAGTCGCCTAGGAACAGATAGTTGGCCTCGGGAGGAAAGCCACCGTACTCAAAGAGCCGGAGCAGATCATAGTACTGGCCGTGAATATCACCACAGATCTGTTGTAGGATTCCACGCGTTAGCATTTATAGTCGAGTGTGTGACTGTCACGCCAAAAGTCTCGCCCATACCTTGATAGGAGCCTCGAGTTCGAGCAGGATAGGCTGGCCAATGAAGATCTCGCGAGCCTTGGTACAAAGATATCTTATCTCGGTTTCGAGCAGCTGGACCTGCTTACCGGGACGGCTGCCACGAACTTCCAACAAGCGGTCGATGATGGAGTCGAGATCAACGTCATGTTGGTCCGCCATTGCGTGGTCTTGCCAGCGAGGGGCCGGCAAGAGGTGAGGCGGGGAGGGATGAAGAAGTCGAGGAGGAGAGGGAACAAGGACTGGCGAGAAATACGCAGCGCAGTCTGATGCCAAGCCTGTTTCACGTCTGTGGTCTGAGAGAGAAGAACCAGTGGTCAGCGGAACGGATCTTGACATTGCACTATATTCCAGACATATGAAGATTGAACCGAGATGCCCCAGGCATTGGGGTGAACATGACAGCACACGAGGGCCAGCTATGGACAGTTGTTCAAGTAACGGAGACTGGGCAGGTAGGGTCAATGTCCAGACTCACAAGAGGTGATATGTGGCGTTGAAAAGAACTCTCGTCAAATATGACAACGACTATCAAGCGCGGACCGCCGTGACTATTCCCTGGCTTGATGGCAAGGAAACTTGAGTCGAATGACAGTGCGGTCAAGTTATGGCTTGAATGCCTGTTCGTCTCTGGAGGATATCGCCCGAAGGACGCGTCGACAGGAGGTCACTGAGCTCAGCGTGATGCAACTCAACGAATGCAATACAGTTCGGCTCTAATGCTGCGATAACAAGTATGCAGTCGTCTCGCTCGCAGGGCAGATGGCCACAGATCGAGTGGGTCGCCGGTGATAGAAGCACTATCTGTCGGGTAGATCGGGTTTGAATAGCAAGCCTCGAGATGACTTTTGTTCGCCGTAGACACCAAGGAGGTGGCTGAAATGAAATCAAGAGAGACACATCATCAGTAAGGTGGTTCCAGGCAATGGCAAGAAGGAAGACGTTGACAACAGCAGCATCGTGCGCATGGGTGATGGTTGTTGACACAATAGTACCGCACGGCGCTATGGCTGGCTTGGCAGTGGATCGGGGTAGGTGCAGGCGCAGAGAGGGAGGCATGCGACGCACCAAGAGTCAAGATGCAGAGGACGAGAAACGCGTCAAGGGACTGTTCAGGTCGTCGCAAGTGAGGCGCGATGGAGAGTCACGTAGGGCCGATGGAGGCTGCGCGGCTGGAGGAACTCGATGAGAACCCAGAAGTCACCGTTGCAATCAGGAGATGGTCGCCTTGTTGTGGACGGTGCGAGGAGCGTCGTCGCTGTTGTCGTCGCCTGTTCTGGTTTTGATCGCTGCAGTGTTTATCGGGGGTCGAGGCTCGGGGAGCTTCTGGGACGGGTTGATGTAGATATGGGGGACTGTGCCAATCTTCTCGTTGAGAAGGATGTTCGCCGGGAAAGTCGCTGGTTTGGGGGTTCGTCAGGGAGGCCGTCTGTGGTGACAGGTGGAGGGCGAAAAAAAAGAGGGAGAGGGAGAGCGGGCGATGGGGCGAGGGCAGATGGAGACGTCAGAAAAGCATGGGCGTGCGCCTGCTCCTGCACCAGCACCACCAAGGCCGGCTGCTGCTCCTCGACACCCGCACGCAAGGGCAGCCGCCCCAGCGCCCGCTGAGCTGTGCACCTTCAGCACAAACAACAGGGTGGATGGACAGACGGCCAGGCCATCATCGTCACAGAGCGCGTGTTTGGCTTCCTCTCTGGAAGGCCGATCTTTAGGCGCAAGCCGGCAATCTATTCAATCTTGCTCTGCATTTACTTTTTTTTTGAGCAACATTTGGTGCCGCCAGCGCATCCGCAGACTGTTGTTGGCTTCGGCCTGGTGAGGGGAGCCTCGAGTTTGCATCGCATGGCTCAACAAGGCCCTCCTGGCCAGGCAGCCCTGCCGGCCAGGGGCGAATGGGGGTTTGAACCCCTAGTAGAAGACGACCTTGTTCTCGCTGCTTCGCTAAGCTATCTACGTAAGTAATGCATATATATATACCTAGGTAAATATATATATAGAAGGCCGAGTAAAGGTAGACGGCTCCATGGATCATGCGTTCCCCAGCCCTCGCGCCAACCATAGAATCCCACCGCGGCTGTGAGCAAGGGCATCTTTCTTATTCTGCTGCCCATCAGGTGTCGCCATCGCGCTATTGTTGCTGTGGTGGTGGGTGGGCGTTTGTGTCGCGCGGGTGCTCAGTGTGGCTGACAAACCCGCATGTCGAGAGCAGGCCTTTGGGGGCCTGCCACTGGCTGGCGGGGCTTGCTGGGCCGTTTGGCGGCGCCTACCCAGGAGTCCTGTCTCTGCCTGCCTGCTGCACCATGACCATTGAGGCTGCAACCCCTCCTCTCTCTCCTGCCCTTCCCCGCCATGCTCAACCACTTTGGGATCTTCGCGGGTCGTCCCAGTCCCCATCACCACCACCAGGGAACACCACACAGACGCCCGATGCCGGCCGCCGCGTCGTCAGCTATTGCACTCACGGCGGGGTTGGCCGGCCTGCTCTCCTCCCCTCGCTCATTGATGCAACCTTAACGCTGTTGACGCCTTTCAAGCCTCAGTCCGTCAGACCGCCTCTCCATCAACGACAAAGCTACCCGCGCCGCCTCTGCTTACGTGCATGATAACTCTCTCCAGTCTTTGCAGCATTAGTGCTACTCGGAGTACATATTGTTGCAGAATCTCTGGCATGAGTGTGGCCCCTCGCTGTCGTGCCCCGAAGGCTCCCACTGCGCTCCCGCGCTAGCCTATGCCGTCTTTGGCATCTCGGTCGCCTCGAAGCTTATCGCCCGGGAGGGGTTCGTGCTGCAAATGCTCCAACAAAGTGCCAACTACTCGCTCCAACTCGAACGAGCGACCCGACAGTTGGCCGGAGGCACGTCGTTCTGACAGCCAACCATGCAGAGCGCTTGTCCAGGCCCCTTTTCCCGCTCCTCTGTTGATCCCAGAACAGCCCCTTGGTCTTCGGCACGATCATCGGCCCAGTCTCTGTCCAGTCTGGGTCTGGTTAGGATCGTGCAGGAGTGCCAATCAGTCTTTCGCATACCCCCATTATGCTTGCTGCCGGCTCTGCCAGTCTTGCCCCGGGCCAGCCGGCCGCCATCCGCGCAAGCCGCGCTGTGGGCACTCGGCAGCGCCTTTCTGTGCCCAGGACCAAGCCATGGGCACACTGCAACGACTCTAGCCAGCCAACCAGCACGAGCACCAGTCGTCTTCCCCTGAGGCTTTCTCTAGGCCAGGAAACCGGGCAAGTGCCATAATCCCCCGTCGCGTCGCGGCCAGGCGTCCCAAACCAGACGACGACTTGGCGATGGTCTCTCTGAGAATACATTTGTGCTGTAGAGTCGGGCTGCTGGACTGCCAGGCTTCCTTGGCGGCCAGCTGCGTTCTTGCGTTCCCCACAACCCACGCCGAGAGCTCTAGGCACACGCATCTAAGCCGGATTCGAGGCTCCAGGCCACCGCCGACTCTTCCGCTCCATAGGTCCGGTCCCACGCCGCATTGCCGGCCGAGCATATTCTGCACAGTCCTGGTGCAGCTTCCAAGGCTCGACGATCCTCTAGCCACGGTTTTACCACTGCAAAGCCTCCAGGCGCGCATTGGCCCGCTTGGGCGCCCTCCGGATCGATCGCTGAGCCATCCGGCCCGCACATCTCTCTCTCTCGACACGAGCTTTGCCCCCAGTGGACGCGCAACACGATACGTGGATCACACTGTAATACCTGATAGTTCAAGGAGGACTCGGGAAAGGGGGTCACTGACGCGACAGTTCCCATCTTCATGCAGGCGGGGCCACTGGCACTAACCAAGGCTCAAGTATGCACCCGCAACCAGTCATCATGGCTATGACGCCAGCCAATAGAATTGCGAGATCGTGTGCTTGCGTGTGTGAGTGTGGTAAGAGTGTGTGATCTTCAATTAGCGTATACCCGTATCTACGTAGCTTGGTGGGCAGATCGCAGCACGAGTCTTGGAACTTAGCCGTGTCGATTAGTTAACCCGTTCCCGATGCTTCGAAAGGCGCCACGCTCCGCGTGAAACACTGTCAAATATTTGCAAATTCTCAATGCGTGCTGGACTTTGACGGTGCTGCAGCCCCTTGGCAGAGTCGATCCCTGTCCGTCTGGTCCTCATTCGCTCACGGGACCGCGCGTGTTGAAACAAATTTCAAGGGTTCGCGCCTCATCATCACCACCCTTGCTCTCTCATCATAGTCCTACCTGTCTCCCGCACAGCACAGTATGGAATGGGCTGATGCATGAGTACCGGCCTCTGGGCACACAACCACCACTCCTATTCATTGACCGAACCTCCTTCGCAGGGTCACAATATCGATCTTGCCAGATGGTGCGCTACACACATGATTGCTCAAGCTCTCCTCGCACTCCATTGATGTGCTACGATGTAAGGGGGAATAAGGCAGTGGAAGTAAAGCTACATATCTCATCTTCCGTAAGAAACGTAAAATCCCAGTGCTGACCAGATTGGAATGTATCACCCTAAACCCAAGCCCCCAAGCGGGCAAGAAACACAAACGCCAGCGACTCCCCATACTCCAAGCACCGAATTGATCCGCTAAGGCAAGCAGGCTCTGCATGCGTGATCTGGGCCGTCAGCAGCGGCATCTCTGTGCCAGTCGCATCGGGCCGAAATATGTAGAAAATATGTACCGAATAAGTAGGCCCAAGACTTGCTGCCGGGTGGATTATACACCAACAATCATCTAGCGTCGTCTGTATGTGACCTTGCGTTTCCTTGACTTGCTTGCGCTCTTCTTGACTGGGCTGTTAGCGCTCTTTGCGCTTGGCGTCGTTATGACGGCAGCTTTATCTTCATCATCGTCATCCAGAGCACCTTCGTCAACTGGCTTGGCGTTCTTGTTGCTCATTGCTGGGGACGCCGTGATACTGCCTTCGTTGATCTCGGCACCGAGCCCAGTAAGCTCGTCATCGTCCATCTCCGTCAGCGCTTCGCTAGGACTTCGTGCTGCAATACGTTCCGGCTGAGGTGGTTCAGGGACTGCAGTAGTCCCGCTCGGCTCAAAATCCTTGAGATACCAGAGAATGCCGCCTTCAGCAAGAGACTCTGTAAAGTGGCGTCCAAAACTACCATTCGATTGTGGTGGAGTTGGAGGCCCAGGCTGCACGGAAGCAGGTGCCGTGACATAGCCGTTGGTGGCTGGTGGCGTGTCCACGGGCTCTATATCCGACGACTCCGCCTTTTTGTCAGCTGTTCTCCTCTTGCCTCTGAGAACAGTGTGTGGCTCAGTGCCATCGTTGCCTGACGTAGCAACCTCGATGTTGCGATCTTCATCGACCTCACCATCAGCATCGACCATGGCAATATCAGTCGTGGCGCCATCATCTGAGGCCTCGCCACCGACAGTAATCTCTGCTGCAGATGAGTCTACCATAATGACATCTTGGCTGACACCAGGTTCTCCTTGCTGTGCCGAGTTCGTTTGCTTGCTTGGCCGCACCTCGAGACTGCTCTCAAGCAAACTTTCAAGCTCAATTTTGAGCGTATCAAATGTCTTGTGTGTTGCATCGGCCTCTATGCGCAGTGCAGACTCTAGTTGTGGTTGCACAGACTTGAGAATCCGCTTGCCTAGTCTTTTGCGATCCCGGATATCTGAGAAGTCGTGCCTAACTGGCGCGACAACAGACTCGAGCTTTGGTTGAGGTTGTGTCACTGGTTTGGGCTCAGAGTTGATCACCGTGTTGATCACATCGCAAAGATCATGGACAAATGCCAGAGTGGCAGTATAGTATCGCTCGTCCACCTTGTTCTGCAGCCCGACAAGGCTCGTCTCGAATAACTTCTTGTCCAGCCTATATGCAAAGTTAACACCGGGCGCTGTGGAGGACGCAGCACACGCGTTTCGAAGGTCACTTACGAAAGTGCTTTCTCGACGACAGGAGAGAGCATTCTATGCACGGGGAAGTAGCACGTGTCGATGAAATCTTGCTCAAGCTCCGCGGCTTCCAGCTTTTGCTGCTCCCGCTGTACGACTTGATTGGACAGGTTCCTCAATTGCTCGAGATCGTTGATCAGAGCCTGAGCAAATTCGATACGGCGGTTCAAGCGAGCTTTGCCGACGGGCCCCATCGCTGCAAAGTTTCGACGGGTCAATTCCATGGAGGAAAACGTCTCCATCTGCAGCTGAAGTCGTTTCAGCAGTGCAGCGCCGCGGCGCATCTCGCGCTTCAGGGTCCAATAACGGCACGCATCACTGACGAACTCCCTTCGTTTCAAGAAATTGAAGCGCTGCAGAGAAGTCTCGACAACTTCAAAGACGGCTTGTGGGATAACAGGTGCACCCGAAGGCAGTTTCCAAATCGGCTTGCCTGGCTGAGCATTCTTATCTCCGAGCGCCGCGGACATCTTAGCACCGGTCATCTGCGATTCGTCGGGAGGGTGGTCGGTGATGGCATTTCTATGCGTAGCGGCCAGTGCGATTGCGGATGCTTGATTGGTCGCCCAAATGCGATCACGCATAGTTCGCTTGTAGTATTTCTTGGCGCGCCTCGTCGCACGGATGACGTCGTTCTCTTTGGAGTACTCTGTTGGACAGTGCTTATCGCACAGGGCTTTGAGGTTTGTGCTGCCGTCGAGGACATCTAGGGCGCCAGAGGCGTTCTTCATCCTAAGAAAGAGACGCGCCCGCCGTGCGCACGTGACATGGAACGCCTGATAGCACGATTTGTTACCGCACTGGATGCACGCGCCCATTTGTTGTTGACAAATATAGCAAGTCAGCTTCCATCGGCTTTTGGGCACCTTGTCAACGTCCATAACAGGCTCCATGAAGGTATGGTTGCCGAGGGTAACCTCAGGTATCCACATGGCGCATAGCAGATGTGCCCATTTGGAAGAGTTCGTCTGCTTGAAAGCGCCGTCCGAATTGGGACAGAATATGCATGTCTATCACACCAGATTAGCGGGACAAGCTCCGAGTTGTGGCTTGCAATCTAGCACAGAGAGGTAACTTACAGGGACACCGCGCCCGATGAGCTGACACTTCCGACACAACCATTGACCTTCGGGGATAAAAGGGACACCATAGCACTCTTGGTGCACCGCCAAGTCGCAACCGTCACAGAAGACGATAGCGTTTGTGTTTTCACAATCACCGTCGTCGCATATGGCGCATTTGCTGTCCTGCTCCTCGCCAGCCTGGGGCTCGCCATTAACGGCCGCAGCTGAGCTGGAACGCGGCCGATGTGTCTGCGGTGGCTTTGGATTGGGCTTTGGTATCCTCTTCTCAAGGGCGTGCCACTCTTTCTCGATCTTTGTTATCGTTATTTCAAAGACCTCTCTGGTGACAGGATTCCACCCCTGCGACTTCCGATGGACATTGTAGGCCTCAAGCCACATGTCATCTTGCTCATCCATGTCGTACTCAACTCGACCAAGGAAAATGCCGGAATGCTGTGAGACAGATTCGACCTCGGCTTGAGAGATTGCCATGCTCTCAGACTCATCTTCCAGGTTGGCATCACTCGCCGTAATCAGCCTGCGATCTGGGCAAATGTAATTATCGCTCTCCTGATAACCGACATTCATCATGGCCTTGTCGACATAGCGCGCTTGCCCAAACTTCTTGCTCTCGAAAAGCAAGATACGGTCTGTCTTTCGATAAGAGGGTAATTTGAGGTCCAACCGTTCCTTTGGAGTTTGGTTGTGGATAGGGAGTACCGTGGGAACTTTCGGGCCACTGGTAAGCTCTGGACGTGGATAAAAGGAGTCGCGAGGGGGCCGGACATTGCGCCGCGAACGAGTCGGTGTTCCTGGCAGCAAGCCCTGTCCCAAAGGCGTGGATACACTGTCTGTGGTGGGCGTGTCTGATGCAGAGGCAAGATTTGCCACAGCAGGGTCTTTGCTGGGACTAGCTATGCTATTGTTGACTATATTGAGGTCGCTGGTAGTTCGCGAGGCGGAAGGCGTCGGAGGTGCAGATCTGACAGTGCCATCAACGTCGTCGGCATGATATATCATGAAGGTCGATTCAATGTCGAGATTCGGGTGGAACTCCTCCCAACCGCGCTCTTCCCTAGGTTTATAGCCTTCGCTCTGGACTACAGCGGCTGCGACCGCGGCAGCTGAGCTGATCTGTATCTCATCGTCTTGATCGGCATGCCGCGTGGACGTCCTGATCCGTGTGCTTCGTTCGCGACGAGGGTAGAGGGAGGGAGAGGCTGTGGCGCCGGCCATCATGGACTGGCGCTGTCGCGTTCGGCCGTTGGTGGCCCCAACCGTGGCTGGTATGTCGTCGTTCTCCTTATCCTGCAGGGCTGAAGCGGGTTCTGGGCCACTTGGTGTGTACCGGCGTCGTTTGAGTGGCGGCTCCGTGGCTGCGATGATGCTCGAGTCGGCAGCGAAGTTGTTTGCAGTAGCAGGGGACGGCCTCTGCCTGGCTCGGGAGGGTCTCGCTATAGTGGACTGCCGTGGCGTCCTTGGGCTGGGAATCATCGCGTCCAGACGATGAGGATGCTGCAAGAAGGATGACTGCGATAAGCAGAGCCTCGGTCAGCGCGTCGCAACAGGCAGGCGAGGAGAGGTGCTGAGGCGCTCCTTCCTACGGGCGTGCATTGGGATGTCGGCGGTATGTTCTCGCGTCGTGGATGACTAGGACGTCTGGAGCGAGCGGCAGGGACGTGTCTCTGGGGTGAAGCGAAGTTGTCGTGGGGTGGTGGGAGCACGGGAAAGGCTGGTGGCTGCCTCTGGAACCGAGTGAGGTCGTCGTCGGACGCGCCCTCTCGCCATGTGTCGACGTGCAGCCAGTAGCGTGGCAGCTTCTGCTCCACACCAGTCCCAGCATAGTCTGGCGTCCGACTTACGTAATAGGCCCACCTGCCCCTGCCCCGCTCATGCCCGTCGCTCCATCTGGCCAAGCCCAGGCACGCCGATTGTCTGGTCAGGATCCAAGCCGAAGGTTTCTGGCGGTCGTCACAGACGCCTGGCCGGCTTGCGTGCTGTTAGCATTTTTCCAATGCTGGTGGGTTAGGTGAGTCAGAATGGGACACTCTATGACACAGAGACGCACCGGACCAAGGTGATCATGCCATGCAGATGATCAAACGCCAATCACAGGTGCCGTAAGTGAGTGGCCACCCCCACAAGCCCGCGATGTGACAGCTCGAATAAGCATTGCGTGAATGACGACGGCAGAATGTTACGCTACAAAGAGCTGCAGCTTAAATTCTTTAAGCGCGACCCGTGAAATCACATTCACATGGGGCTACCGAGAAGTGGTGAAGACGCTTTTTTGAAAGGGAATACTCCTCGCGAACACGAATACACGTTCCACGGCATTGCGCGATACCTGGCGTCCAACTCCATCGACCAAATAAATCGGCCGTTCGACCTCCGGGACCCCCGTGCGCTGGGCCTCTCACCTGGCCACACGGGCGGCAGCCGTCTCCGACATGAATACACCTGATCTTGCTACTGGGGCTCACGGGCGTAGCTTTGCACCGACAATGATTGATGGCGCTATTTCCACATACGTACGTACGGACTGCGTCACGTCACGTCACGTCGGGCGGCGTCAGCCCGGCCAATTCAGGGTCCAGATGCTCGGCCCTGCCATGCGTGGACCCTCTAGATGCGGCTCCTGTTCCGGTTCCTGCATGTCCTCCTGGCCGCTCCGGTCCAGGGGTCTCCGCAATGACTCGCATCCGTCTGCTTGACCGACTGCTCTGGACTCCCCACACCGCAAATCGCAAGAGCTAGCCTGGTAAAGAGAGCAGCCTGTGTTCAATACGTCACTTTTCTTACAAGGGGCAGCCTGCAGGACATTGAGCGATTGATGTCTCTTATTAGCTGTAGAACCGCAAGACTAGTCTACAATTCGCAATGCTTCTCTACACAAATGCTCCATGCCAATGCCGCAAACTCCTGTTGAAAGCACAAAATCCGGTCCCTTAAAACCCAGTGAGAAAAACGAAACGGAAAACGCAAATGCGGTGTGCATCACCGCTTGTCTACCCAAGCCCGCAACTCAAGCATTGACCTCTGCGAACCAGGTCCGCAGTAGACCAGCCAGGGCACCAGGCAGGTCTTCGAGATTATGTACAATGAGGTAGTACTGGAACGGGAATGTGTCGAGATAGTACTCGGTCTTGATCTCGTCGTTGCCCAGGAAGCGGACCTTCTTGAGGTTCAGCACACTCTGACTCTTGATCGCACTACCGCCACTCTTCAAAATACCACCACTTCCATTCCCGGTAGCCGCCGGAGCGGCAGCGGGAGCGGACGTGTCATCCATAATGATGAATACAATCATGATCCGCTCCTCGAGAGCTTCGCGCAGAAGGACCTTGATCTCTTCGTGTGCAGCAGAGGGTGTCAGGCCATCCGACAAGATCAGGGCAAGCTGCCAGAGATCTTCTGATCCGCGACTGCCGCCTTGCTGCGTGCGCGCTTGTCGGAAGCGCTCGATGGTCTGCCGGATGAGTAGCTGAATGTCTGTGTAGTCCTGGTCAAAGGAGAACTTCTGTAGGACCTTGGCACCAGCATCGTGGGACGCGAACGGCTCAGCGAACTCGTGTGCCATGAATGTGTTGGCTCCGAAGCCAAGCACGCCGATTTGCCCAACCTCCAGCATGGTAAGCGCCCGGGAAACCATGACTAGAGACTCGAGGGCTAACGAGCCAGCACTCGACTCCCCCATACTCTTACTGTCGTCCACACAGAGCATGATCTGGTAGGTGCGCTTGGTAGGGATTGCTCGGCGCATCCAAATCTTGTCGCGCTTGTAACTTGATGCAATGTACGGGATGATGCGCTTGATGTTGAGCCGCTTGCCTGTCCGGAAGGAACCCGACAGCTTGGTCGATTGCGACGGGGTAAGAATCAGACGCAGCTGCGAGGTCAAAGACAGTGACAGCGGATGCGTCTTGGTCTGGAACGAAGTCCACTGCTGAAGCGACTCATCAAAGTCTCGTAGCTGCTCGGGGTCGGAAAGGTGCGTGAGATCGAGTTGGTGCGACGTCTCCTGGATGGTCTCCTCCACATCTTCGTCAACCGCTGCTCCATTGGAAGGAGGCGTGGTATCGCGGTCAAAGGCACCCTGCCTAGTAGACACGCCCGTGCGGCGGTCCTCACGTGCAGTTTCCTGCTGTGGCTGTTCCTCAGGCCTGGATGGCTCAGACGTGTCCATCTTTTCAGGTTGTTCTTCAAGTTCGGGCTGCTCAGCCTCTTCCTCGGGCATGATCTGGTTGTTGACAGGCTGTTCTTCGTCATCGATGGCCATCGATTCATCGATCTTCTGCCCTTGCTCTTCGTTCGCGGTGCCCATAGCTTGCGTCTCGGCAGCGTCGTCGTCGTTCTGAAGATGCTGGTATTCACGAACAGCAGACTCTTGCTCAGCATCGTTGCGCGGCTCGTTGGTGTCCTTCTCCTGCGCCTCCTTGATCTCTCGTCTTTGCCTGTGCCATTTCTCCATTGCATCGCCAAGCGCCTTGAACGGTTGCGGTACAGCGGAGTCGCGCAGGTCATCAGCATCAGCTTGCGTGGGCTGATCCTGCGTCTTGGAAACGCTTCCTTTGTCACCCACGGATTGGTCCTGATCCGTGGCACTCTCTCCCATCTCGCCGCCATCACGTTGAGCGGCACTATCGTCTGCGCCGTCCTTGTTGTCGTCCTGGTCCGTGGTCTGATCTTGGCCACTGCTCTTGACGTCGCTCGGTGCCGTGTTATCGTTGCTGGCGTCGGCGTCGTCAGTGGAAGGCATCTCATGCTTTTCCTTGTCCTCGTCTTCAGCTGGATCGTCTTCACCGGCTTCGGCCTGCTCATCTTCTTGTATGTTGGCGTTGTCTTCGTCATCCTCCCCTTCATCCTGCTCGTCTTGACCATCCTTCTCCTCATCACCAGGTACCATATCGGTCTCGCCGTCGCCTCCATCCTCGCTCTCGAGGTCTCGGTCTTCGGCATCGTCTGCCCCGTCCTCATCCTTCTCCACATCTGACAACTTATCAAGCTCGTCATCGCTGATCGACGACATGTCATCGTCATCATTGCCGTCAATGTCCATGTCGTCGGGAAGAGCCAGCGCCTCCTGCTCTTGGACATTTTGGTCCTGGCGGTTGATGTCCTCCTGCAGCTTGACGTCTTCGTCCTGGTCGGCGCCCATCTCATCCGCAGCCTCTTCGTCCTCTTCGCCCTGCTCGGGATCTTGCTGCTCATCACCGCCCTTGTCGTCCTCTGCTGCCATCTTCTCGTCCTTCTTCTGCTGGCCCTTGGTTTGCTCGCCCTGCTGATCCTTCTCGGCATCTTCTTCATTCTCACCATCCCACATCTTTTCATCGACTGCCGAAGGGTCCAGATCGTCGACGTTTCCAGCCTCCTCTTCCATCTCATCACCCTCTTCGTCCTCGTCGCCGGATTTGTCGTCTTTGTCTTTCTCGTCCTCTGCGCCAGCGTCCTCCTCCATGTCGGCCGCGAGTTCCTGGTCGGCCATATCCACGGCATCTTGCTCCTCCTCCATCTCCTTGTTCGGTTCCTTGTTGGCCTCTTGAGCCAGATCGGTCAAGTCTTCGTCGGGCTGGACATCTTTGCTGATGTCCTCAGCGCCCTCACCTTCGCCAAGACCCGTACCGCTCTCAAGCTCCCCAGTCTCTCCGGAGGTCTCGTCTGACTTCTCCTGGGGCGTGCAGAAACCTTGCCCAGCAAGCTGAATAAAGCTCTTGCTAAGCGTGTAGCCGAGTCTGCAAGTGCTGAGGTGCAGGTTGCAGTATCGCTGCACAGTCTTGATGCAAATAGTCTGATAAGTCTCAACAATTGGCACAACGACAGCCATCAATGAGGCGGCCACTTTATTGATGTTGGAGTTGGCGAGATCAACAGCCTTGAAAGTTTCGACCGTCTCATTGATGCTTCTCTCTATCTGATCAATGCAAAGTGCATTGGATACAGAAGAAATGGCATCGTTGTGCTTGGCCAGCCATCCGGGCGCTTCGGGATCAGCTGGGAGACTGAGAAGCTCTTTGTTGAACCTCTCAATAGTGACAAGTATTCCGTCACATAATCGCTGGCAAGCTTCGGCCAAGGCCGTCAGGTTTCGCCGCATATTGTACCTATCCTCTGTCGGATGCTCAGTGATGTCGGTCCATTGCCGGACTTGATCAAGGACGAAAGCGAGATCTGGGCGTTCAATAGAAGCTTCGTCCAATGCGCCGCGGAGGCCGCTGAGGATCGTCTTTGCATGTGCTTCGCGGTCAAGCTGATGGGCAGTTATGAGGTCAGATGGCAGCACAACGCAGCTTTTAAGTTCGTTCTTGATCGCAGCAATCTTGTCCAGCCACGCTTGCAGAAGACGCAAGGCACGAGAGTTATCCACCTTGGAAAACCTGCCGTGTATCTCAATCAATTGCAAGCCAACGGGAATGATCTGCATGAGCCAGGTGAGATGATTACCGTAGTCACTTGACGTTGCCCTAGCCCGGATCTGGGTGCCTGACTTTAGCTTGGCAATCTGGACGATGTGCTGTCTTGCGCTTGACAGTGCATCATTCTGCTGGACGACAACTGCAAGATGTTGTCTTTGTGCGAGCACGACATGCAAGATCCCCTCAAGGAAGCCCACACTCCTGGCAATCTCGGCTTGCGTGAGGTCGTCGGAGTGGCTCTGTGCTGCCGCACGTGCACGCGGGGCAAGATCGAGAATCTTGTGCAAGTAGTACTCGCATGCAGAGAACGAAGCAGAGCTTGTCCGCAGGAACGGTTTGGATGTGCTCAAGACCAAAGGAAGTGTGGCTTGCTTGTTTAAGGCGACCACACCGAGATTGTAGCTGAACCCCATCTGCCTGAGGTCTTTCAGAACGTCAGCGAATAATTTGCGCTTTCTTGTCTTCAGATGTTTGACAAGATTCTTGTTCTCATCGGTCAAGAAAGGTGGTGTCTCTTTGCGCAGCTCGGAGGCGGATGTCTCAAGGTTGGCCAGGAACGAGTCGATGGTGGTGACAGCGTCTATGGCTGCCTCTGGGTAGCGCGTCATTCTTGCCATAATGTCAACAGTCCGTTGAGAGTTCGCAAGTCTTTTGTGCTTGTCCGACCACTGCTTAATGTCCTTGCGACACACGCTGTTGGCCGAATCATCGATCTGGGCTACCTCGGTGGTGTCGGCAATGCTTTGTGCCTTGACAACCTCTTCATCTGGCAGACCCTGCTCAATGACAGACTTCATGGGTTGATTGAGAACCTCTCGGAACTTCCGCACAATTCTGAACAGCTTTTGATGACTCTTGCGGGCACTCTCGCGCAGAGCAACGATGTTGGTGTCCTTCCAGCTGGCAAGCAGAAGGACATCCTTCATCTGTTTGTCGATCGGGGCTCGGCCTGCGCGAATCAGCTCTGTAACGGACTTCTCATAGCGTGCGTAGTATGACACAAAGTTTTGCACGCCATCCCTGATGAGAGCCATGGACGGTTCATCTGTGATCAACAAATCGAGCTGCTTGAGCAGTTGTTTGAGGAGCTCGAGACGACCGGCAAACTGGCCCACTGGCGCAGAGGAGAAGTAGACCTCGAGCTCCGTCAATAAGTCTCTGGCATGGCTTGCCATATCACCGCCGTCACGCACAATGCCCATAGGTCCTGCGATGATTGCTTGGTACGCAACAAACCACCAGGACGCAGCATCATTATCCTGCTTTTCTGTCTCCATGTCAAATAGCTTGCTCCAGGTGGAAAGCTCGAGTCTTCTCCAGCTGATAATCATGTCTGTCAGGCGATTATAGAGTGGCAGGGCGCCGTAGACATGACTGGCCCAGCCACCGAATTGCCATTCATACACAAACGCGTGTAGCTGCTCGACTTTGGGAATAATCATGGCTAGCGGATTGGCATGGCTCAGCTCCGTCACCTTGTCGCAGGCGGAGATAACTTCCACAAGGGGCTGCATGTGCGCGATTTCGTCGACCTGTTGCAGCTGCTGGAATTTGGCGCGGATGTCGTTGACAATCGCCACGAGCTTTCGAGCTTCTGGCATGTTGCGGTCAGTGTAGAAATTGTAGCCAGCTGGGGTGCCTACCGACGTGAACTCTTGCTGTTTCTCGTCGAGGATCCATAGTAAAGCAGGCATCATCTTGCGATCGTCCACTCCCACTCCGCCCTCGGCTACAATCTTCTTCGCAATGAGCATTACGAGCGCCCTGATGCTGTCGAGAGGTTTCTGGGACGTGACAAAGATGTTCTTATGCAAGGCGGCGATCTTGATGGCAAGTCCTCGAGTATCGCGAAGCCTTGGAGAGGCATTTTGCGCTTGCACCTGCTCATCCTCGCCAAAGGTAGGGAATAGTTCATTGAACTCTTGCTCCTCCTTTGCTTCTTCCTCACTCTGACCTGCGCGGTATCTGTACATGCTTGTCTTGTTCTCCTCGGCCTTGCGATCGGCCTCAAGCTGCTGGGTCCATTGCGCGAAGAAACCGTGGATAGTCTGGAAGACAGTATGCTTGAGGGAGCCAGCAAGAGCAGCTTGGCCCTCTACCGCAGTGTAAGTGCCTACAAGTGCAAGGTATTCCGCAGTTTGTGGAAGTGCTGCGTGGGTCTGTATATTGCCGCTTCCAAAGAGAGGGACGTGTTTGAGTAACACCGACGATGAGGCCTCAACTTGCGGCTTGGAGCATGTCGCAGTGTCATCCCTCAGCGACAATCCAATCTGCAGGCAGTGAAGCATGCCAACCACGGGAATCGTGATATCCTCATATGCAACGAACCGGGTCTGGAGGCGGTAGATGATTTGCAAGATGTTCTCGAAGACCACATCCAGCTGCTGAGTGGCACTCTCGGAACCATGGTAGTGTTCACCAAGTACCATACCAAGATCGACGCCAACGACAGTCTTGAGAAGGCTATTGAACTCGTTCTGGAGCTCTGGGAGCTGAGAGCGAGGGGGTCTGTAGACAGTCTGCACGGCCAATGGCCGATTCCCTAGCTGGACGATCTCCTCCGCAACCAAGCTCGAGCGAATATCTGCGGACTGTCCTGTATGCAGTTTTGAAAACTGCTGCAGAGCTTCAAGACGGTTTGTAAGCTGTCGAAGCAAGTCTTCGTAGCTCTTCAGCTCCACCAGAGGTCGGAGCTGAGGGTCAAATGTCTTGTCCGGGACGAAGAGCTTGATCATGGCCACAGCAAATTGTAACCAAGCGTTGGCCAGATATGTCCTGCATTCCACGGCCAAAGTCCCGGCCGCGACTAGCGATACGAAGGCTGGGAGCAGGTGCTGGCGGGCAACATCTGACAGGTGACCAAGCTCGACCGGCGCAAGGATCGTAATAACAGTGGCCGGGTCAAATACCACGCCCTTCTCAGTGATTTTCACAGTTCGCAGCAGCTCGGCAAGTGCAGAGTTCTGTAAGTCACGAGCCGAGTGGAAAGCAGCGGCCAGAGCCGAATCGTACAGCTTAACAACGGGTATCATGATAGCCCAGAGAAGCTCGGACAACTGTTTGAGGTGGTCTTCTGTCAGAGAATGAGAGTACAATCCAACTTGTTTCGTGAGCAGCGGCATTTCCAGTTCGATGGATGCGAGACTGTTGAGATTTGCAGAGTCGATGGCGTTCAGGCGAGACATGATCTGGGCAGCTACGCTTCTGTTCCAGGGGCGATCTAGTCGATCACTTCCCAGCATCGCGTCAAGGGACTGCAGATACTTGGACAAGGGTGTTGCGCTTTGTAACGACATCCTATGGAAGAGTGACAGGTTGGCTAGGAGGACGAGGTCGCTTGACAAGGAAGACTTCCATGAAGTTTCGTCTTGGTGGATAGCATCCTCGAGGGCAATGAGTCGCCGCAGGGACTCGAATTCCTGAGTGAAAAACGGCTTCACTTCTTTCGTGCTCCCTTGTAGATGGGCTAGTTTCTGGATCTCTTGATCGACAATCTCAAGGAACCCTTGGAAATCCCCTGTGCCGCGCCGAGCAAGGTGATAGGACTCTACGAACAAGTCGGTGACCTTTGCAAGTTCCGCGGGCGAGGTCTTGGTGGTCCACTTGAGCATATCAAATCGAGACGCTAACTTCATCATCTCTGTGACATTGGACAGCTGCTCAGAGTTCTTTATAGGCAATGGTCGTAGAAATTGCCATAGATGTTCCATCTCAAGACCAGTAGTAAGCCTAAAGCCAGCCACGAAACAGCTCTCAAGCCCTTGTAGCATCTGCGAAAGAACTTGCCGAGTCGGCTCGTCTGTGGCGTTGGCGGCTTGCGACGACAAAACTTGCGTGATGTGAGCGAGATGAGCCTGGAAGTGAGCCTCCTCAAAACGGGGCTCGATGAGGTTCTGGAAAGTTGTCCACCAGACGTGCATCACGTGCTGCATAGCAGTCCTGCGCTGTCGCCACTGAGCGCCATCAGAGAGTTCGGCGCGAAGGAATTCTTCCACCGTTTGGAGCATTCCGTGCAAGAATCTGACTGCACCTAGAGTAGAGTCTTTGGCGACTGCTGCCACAGTATCGGCAAGACATGAACGCTGCAGGCGGTTCAAAGTCGAGACTTGACCACTGCCAGCTTTGGCTCTTTCCGCTTCAAGCGCAGTACGAGCGCCGAGGAGAGCTTGGTACAGCTCAAGACAAGTCGCTAGCCAGAAAGACAAATTGCTGCCGTCTGTATTCAGAGCCCGGACCACTGGATTGTTTTGGAGGGGATGCAAAGGCTGGATATCGACCAGGCTAGTCAACTGCCTATCGGCCAGGCCATTGTAGAGGTCGCGAAGAGCTTGTAGAAGTTCCCTTGAGGTTGGCAGCTTGAGCAAGGCGGTGATTTGTGAGAGTGACGCATCGATCGCTGCCCTCTTGGCTACTTGGATGGATGTAGCTTCTCTGTGTAGCAACGTCTGTCCATTAAGACCTGGCCACCGCTCCAGGAGTACCATGTCGCTGGCGGACAATGATTCTGACGCAACAATGGCCGTGTGCGCGTGATTTATAGCGTCGAAGTCCGAACTTGACGTGATTAGATCGAACCTCTGCAGACTTGGCTCGATCTTTGTCAAACGGTCTGACCAAGCAATCGGCGTGATCGTGGTTGGTTCGACGTAAATTTCGATCGCACGATTCCGCATGGCTCGGGAAAGCTCGCCATAGCGAGGATCTACGGTCAGGAAAATGCGGAAGTCTGGGTGTGGCTTGACGATGCGCGGCTCTCCGTTGGGTCCACAATGTTCATTTATGATGAGGAAGCCATTGGGCTCGAGTAATGAATTCAATCGATCGAGCACGGAAGCGCTGCAGAGGTTGGCGTTGTCAAGTACCAGCCATTCGCCTTTCTCTAAAGCGTGGACGATGATGCCATCCAGCCATTCGAACCTTGGATCCGTGATGGTCGTGCTCCGCTGAAGCGCTGCACAAGCGTCTCGCAGCACCTCTGCCAAATCTGAATCTGCTGCAATCACTGATTGGAGATGCTTCACACGAGGCAGAAGTGCTTGTACTTTCTCGGCGTGCTCGGTGTTTGAATCATCAAGTGCGCCGAACAGGTCCAGTGCGGTTTCTGGCACGACCTGAGGAACCGAGGTCAAGATGGAAGTTTGCAAAGCTTCACGCAAGTCTTTGAGAGCTGCGTTCGCTTCTCGTAGCGGGTCGGATTGCTCGAAACCTCCTACAAGGTCCATGGCGTCGATATCCGCGTTCATGGGGAATGTGATGAGTGATTTCCCAGCCATTGCCGCCACATATTCAAGGAGCATAGACTTTCCACTACCTGAAGGTCCGACGAGGATACTTGGAATATTGTGCTTGACCGAGATCAGGAGTGATTCAATCTCTGCAAGCCTGGGGACTACCAGTATCGGAGGAATGCGCAATGGCTGAGACAGCTGGTTCCGTTCTAGCAATGCCAGTCCGACTTGCAAGACTGCGGCACTTGCATTGTGGTACACCTGGTGTGACTTGGGAGGAGCCTCGAAGATCTCAGTAAAGAGATTGGCAACAGCGACACGATCGTTTTCGCTGCGAAATCGTTGCTGAATAGCGATTCGGAGGAAATCATCAACCTCTGCAGTAGAGATCAGAGGATCTGACGAATTGAGTAGGTTCAGCCATCTCAGCGTATCGCGCAAGTTGAACTCCCATGGGCTGCCTTGGGAGCCGAAGGCTCGTTGCACCAATATGCGATCCTCAAGCTCCGAGATGAAGTGAATCATGCGACGGACCACGTCGGCAGGGACATTGGGGAAGTTGTGCTGTGCGATCAAAAGAAGATCCTCTTCGGTGAAGACATCGGCGTATACGACAATGAAACGGTTGACGAATGAGCTTGGTAAACCCTTTCGTCCTCCTCCTTGATGATGAGGATTCTGGGCGGCAAAGAGACGAAAATCTGGATGGCGCTTGAAGACTTGGTCCAATTCGGAAACGTAAACTTCGCCGCGATGATCGAGACAGGCATTGAGACCTTCAAGTACAGACTGCGAGGCAAGGTTCATCTCGTCCAGGAGAACCCATTCACCATTTTGCATGGCACGTAAGAAGGGGGCATCCCTCCAAGCAAAGTGACCAGCCTCCGCGCCTTCGACTGGAACATCAGTGCCGAATAGATCCATCAAGTCAGTTTGATCCGACAAGTTGATCCTGGTCAACGGACGCCCGCAAGCACGAGCAAGTGCGCTCACTAGGGTGGTTTTGCCGACACCAGGACTGCCTTCAAGCAAGATCGGCTTCTGCACACGCAATGCGCGAATGATGCGCATGGCGTTGAGCTTAGTTGTTGGCGCATGCAGGGCGAAGCCAGCCTCGAAATTGTCATCGGATTCACGAGCGATGGAGAACGGTCCAATTTGAAGCTCGTTCGGTCCAACGCTCAGTCTGACTGTGGCTCTGTAGATCGCCGTGGCATCCACACCCAGAAGTTCAGTAAGCTTGTCGAGGCAGGTCTGGCGTTGTGAATCCAGGCTCTTGGGATCGATGGCGATCAGCGCCGATGGATTTGCGCCAATGGTGTCGATGAAGACTGTGGCAGCGCCGTGAATGACGGAAAATGCGCCTTCTTTCTCACTTCCACTATTGATAAACTTGACCCAAACAAGGATGTCTCTGATTGAGAAGGCGCTTGCTGTGGTCGAGCGGAAGCTCTGCCCAAACCAATAGGCAAAATCCACAATAGCTTGGGAGAACTGACGGAACTCCGCTCTCAATTTCGAGGAGATGATCTGCAGGATGTCGCTGTTTCCAGAAAGTGGCGGCACCCATATCTCTGTGAAGCGGTTGCGTAATGCGGGAGACAATTCCTTCTTTCCAAAGTCGCCGCCTGGATTCATGGTTGCGAGGAACTGAAACTCGTCCGATGCCTTGATGAACGAATCGCTGATACCCTTCTCGGCAAGAAGAAGTGTCCTGCCAGGCTCTAGAACTGAGTTGAGCCGCTCGAGTACCGAGTCATCGGCCAACGAGATTTCATCCAAGAGAAAAAACTGGCCGTCCCGCATGGACTGAACCAGACTGCCATCCGCCCATTCGAATAGGGCTTTGCTCTTGACTTCATTGTCGGCAATCTTCTGCTGCAGCTCGGCGGGAACGTCTGCCAATTCGGCCGGTTGCAGTGATTTGTATCTTGCGAGAAGGTCATCCTGGCTTCCATCCGTGTTCTGCTGCAGGCCAGAAAGTGCAGTCTTGAGGTCGGCGAACAAAGCCTCTCCAATAGCCCCACGATTTCTGATAGGTCTCTGCGATCCGATCAAATCTCCCGTCTCGGTGTTTTGGTGGGCATTCACAATGTGGAGTTCTTTACCCAGCGCCTCAGCGAGGAGCTGGCACACTGTTGTCTTGCCACAACCAGTGTCGCCAACAAGTAGTACAGGCTCGTTGTGGCGAAGGGCGCTTGCCACAAGGACATACAGACGGCGCATAGCATAGGTCCATACGACTCCCTGAGCATTCTCGGACGAGAGAACCTTTGCCAGTATTGGTGACGACTTGGCGTCGTAGAGCTGCAGCGGGTCGATCTTCACCTTGAAGACAGACTCGACGACGTTCTTGACAGCTAGACGCTCTTCCTCGTTCCTGACGCGCTCAGCAAGAAGCATGAAGCCATTGACTGCAATCTCCTGGCGATCCTGGGCACCACGCAAGGCCCACCTGAACAAATCACGCAAGGTAGCAAAACTGTCCTTGTTCTCAAAGAGTCTGCTGGTTTGCCGCAAGCGTGAGAGCTCCTTATAGACTGAGACGATGCGCTTGCAGTCAGAGGGAGATGTGTAGATGCTTCGCTTCTGTAGAATGGTCTCGAGCTCCTCCTCTGGAATATCGTCAAAGTGAAGTTCCAGGAACCGATTACGGAAAGCCCTTGACAGCGCCTTTCTGCCACCGTACAGGCCTGGCGGGTTCTGAGTTGCAAAGAGCATGAAATTCTCGTGAGGTCGCACAACCTCTTGAGTCTCGGGGATCAGTAACTCGCGGTTGTCGTCGAGCAAACGGTTTAGAGCTTCGAGGACGTCTGTCGGTGCCAGGTTCAACTCGTCAAGAACAATCCAGTGGCCTTGACGAAGCGCCTGGACGAGAAGGCCTTCTTGAAAGCGCAACTTGCCGTCAGAGTCTGAGACGTAGGTGCCCAAATACTCTTGCAAATCCGTGTGCTCGTGGTTGTTGATGCGCACGAACTTATTCCCGCTGTAATTGGCGAGGTACTCAATCATACTCGTCTTGCCGGCTGACGTCGGTCCTTGAATCAGAATGGGGAACCGGCGTGTTGACGTAGCACGAACAAGATTGAGGAGATTACGCTCGACGTATGGCGTTATGATGTAGTCGGATCGCTGCTGTGGCACCTCCATCCCTTGCAGTAGCCAATATTGCCGGTCTTTGTTCCTGTTGATGAATTTGACGTAGACTTTGCCATCACTGGGATGCCGCGGCGGCTGAGACAGAATAGACTTGGCACTTCCATGTTTGTCCAGCAGGTAGTGGTGAATTAAAGGAATCAAAGTCTCCTCCGAAGCTCTGTCCAGCAGAGTCAAGAACCCCATTGAGAACCCTTCGAAGAGTGCTCTCCGGAGGCCATAAGACGGTGCAACATCATTGACGTATGTCAGCACACGTGTAAGAGTGCGGAGACTGAAGTGCGGTACTTCGTTGGCCCCATCGACCAGCCGCTTCTCTTCAGCCCTTTGCTTGGTGCTCATGTACAATCTAGCAATGTCGTCGGCAGCCTGGTCGTCTTTGGAGCTCTTGCCACTAAGATAAGCTTTGATAATGGTGAGGAGGTCTTTGAGATCACGATCCGGGCTTCCAACGTAAAACTCAGTGAACCTTGACCGGAGACCCTGCGGCAGGTCGCGCTTGCCAACGTCCGTTGCAGGGTTCATGGCTGCAAATATGCGAAAGTCCGGATGCGCCGTGACGCGTTCGATCTCTCCGGTCTCGGTCAACAAGATAGACGGCGAGTCGTCAGGCCCCGACGACAGCAGATCTGCAATGCTCTCTAGTGTATCCGGCGATGCCAGATTAATCTCGTCCAGCAACACCCAGTCACCATTCCTGGCGGCCTTGACGATATTGCCTTCCACGAAAGCAAAGGCAAAGCTACCGGATCCGCCAGAGATCTGGATGTCGAATTGGTCCAGACTCTTGTCGAAGGCTTCCCACCGTGGCTTGAGATTTAACAATGAGTCCAATTGTGAGCCTGTTTTCCTCCGCTTCGGCGCGGGCCTGCCGTCCTCGTCGACCTCGTTCTCCGCGTCGCTCTTGGCCTGAAGCCTTTTGAGAATCTCATTGAACATTTTGGGCGCTTCTCGCCATAACTTCGAGACCCTCGTCCATTGACCCTTGGCAATCTGCTTTCCTAATGATTCGAGGTATTTTTGATTCCTTGTCGCGGATATCCCGGTCGATGCAAACAGGTCCTCGAACTCCTCCTTGAGCGGCACTGCCAAACTACGTGCGTTGACAGGCTTGAAGCCGCCGAGAAGATCACCAGCTTCGCTTTGCTGCGACAAGTTGACTGCGACAAGTTTATGGCCCAGCTGGTCGGATAGCTGCTGCACGACTGTGGTCTTTCCAATACCCGTTTCACCAACAAGGAGAACCGGCTCCTTGAGCTTGACAGCCGCAGCGATGCTCTCCAAGAGCCTCTTGGCGTGGTTCGTGTTCGCAAAAGTCTTCTTGGATTTGACGATTTTGCTCGCATGTTGTCGTCTGGGTAGTGCAGCTCGGCCGACACGAAATTGTGTGGGCGTCTCTTCCAATTGCGGGATCTGGGAGAAAAGGTAGTGCTGAACGAGCTGTTCGGGGAGTTGCATGTCTTCGGCGATCGACTGGACCACCTTGGCTTTGTTATCGACCTTGGCAAAGCTGCCACAAAAGCAGTCCACTGCCTCCATGAAAATCCATCCCCTTGTTGTGTCACTAATGGGTTCTTCGCCTGTAGCGCATCCTGCTGCAACAAGAAGCTCTTGTATGCGACGGCACCACTTGAAAAGATCCCGAGGAGTAATCGGCCGCTCTGTGGCACTCCTACCACCATGAGTTGAAGGCAGAGCAGAAACGCGCTTGAAGACAGCCATGATCATTGGCGTGTACTTTGACAGGAGCTGAAATTGCTCCAGAATAATATGCTCCAACTCTGCTTCGGATGGCGTGTTCACTCCCGCCGCATGCCAGAATCGTTGACCCAGAAGCGTCGGCAAACTCTCTTGGCCATTCATGCCGCGCGTGGTCCGGACTGTCGCAAACAGCCTGAAGCTACTGGAGGCTTCGATGGTTTCGCCACGACTTGGTATCAGGAGTTTGCCTCTTTCCACGAGTGGAAGCAAAGTGCTCATGATTTCGTTGGGTGCTCGGTCGAGATCCTCGATCAGGACCCAGCGACCCTCCCGTACGGCGGTAGTCAGTACACCTGGCCGCCATGAGAATGATCCAGGTTTCGAATCGGTCGAGTACAGACCAATGAGCATCTTCGCGTCTGTCTGTTCGTTTAGATGAAGAGTGACCAAGCTTGACTCCATGCCCAACTGGCGGGCCAGCTCGTGGACGACAGAAGTCTTGCCAGAGCCTGGCAGACCATGAACGAGGATGGGACCAGGCTTCAACAGGACCTGTGCCAAAGACTCTAGATTGGCCAGAGTGGTCGGTGTCGGCACCATGGCGGCTGCATCCGACGCGGGAATGCCATTCGGCCGAGGCAAGACGGTAGAGCCGTAACGAATTACAAATTCGGTGAGAGCCTGCTCCGGCAAGCTTTCCCCCACGATAATGCTCGCATCCTCTTCCAGAATCTGTTGGCGCAGCTCATCGAGCTCCTTGGCCCGCTTGTGCTCCAGCAGCGACAAGAAAGTGTAGTCGATTTCCACTCCGTCGAAATCCGCAGACAGCGAATCATGCGGGCCGATGTGTTGCCTCACGAGAGCCTCAAGCTTGGCGTCGGCAGCCGAAACCTGCTCGCAGAAGATGCGGATGGCGAGATAGCGTACTGGTGGGCATGGGTGGTGTATCAAGGCTTGTATTTGTGACGGCGGGGCGAGGCGTCCATACGTTCTCTTGTGAAAATTAATGAGCCGCCAAAAGGCAAGCAGGATTTGCAAGAGGGCTGCCTCGGAAAGCTCAGGACTGCTACCCAAAGAATCGAGCGAGTTGATTCTCATGGGCCGTCTTTGTGGTGGTTGACCCTGTGGTGAGGTTGTGTCAAAAGTCTGAGATGTCTTTCTGAGATAACGCTCCAGATAGACCGACGAGTGCGGGCAAAAAGGCAGCACCCTGGCGAAAGCAGCGATGACTTGATCGTCCTGGCGACCTGGATGGGCTGCGAGGGTCCATCTTGCACAGATTTCGGCAAAGACGGGCTCGAAATGGATGTAGAGCTGTGTGGTGATGCTGGGTATCAAGGATGCAGCCGCCACAGCATCAAGCAGGTTTGGAGATGAGCTGCTCCGAACGATGTCGAGCACCTCTGGCGGCAGTTGATGCAACAACTTTGCATCGTTGAGCAGTCTCCTGCGATGCAGGCTGACGTCAATAGACGCCATGGCTCGCAGCATCAATTTGCGAGCACAGAGAGTGCATGTATCACGAAAGTGTTGTTGTGAAAGTCAATGTGAACCTGGTCTACCGATTTTCTCTGAACTTTTCTTTGCGACATGTACCTGCAGCCCACCCTACGCCTACGGAGCGCAGCAGTCTGAGCCCGGCGGTACTTGCAGGCACCTTGCCCGCTAGCTCATTCGAGCATGACAGCGCGCAGACTTGCAGAACCGGCAGAATCCTCTGGCGCAAGCTGGGTGCCGGCAACTTTTAGGCGGTGAAGGGACCTGGGTGCGGCCCTGATCCACCAGTTGGCTTGGCGCCCAGAGGGCGTGCCTTGGGGAATCCACACGGCCTTTGCTCAGGCCCGAGCTTCCAGCCAGCGCAGGCAGCGTAGGCAGTGTGCATGCAGTGCGACAGCAACCATCGAAATTTGAAATCTTTGGAGCGCCGTCACCATCGCAGGCGACCTCGTCCACACGACCACCCCCACCCTCCTTCGACGACCACCACATCGACCACCAACTGCGCCTGCTGCAGCCGCTCACATCATCAAAAATGTCGCTTCCCTGTAGATACGCTGCCCGCAGCTGCGCTCGGTCGCTTCGCTCCGCCAACACCCTCAGAGTCTCGGCCACACCCCTCTACTCGTCAAGACGGCACAACTCGACCGAGGCCGCCGCCACCAGCCCAAAGATTGCCGGCATCGTCGACCAGATTTCCCAATTGACTCTTCTCGAGACCGCAGACCTCGTCGCCAGCCTCAAGGTTAGTTGCGCAGGGCCCTCAGCTACAAGATCCGACTAGAATCGATCAATAGCGGTCCTCTTGCCATGCACCCTCCACAATGTGAGTGGCTAATCTCACGAACCCTACAGTCCCGATTGAACATCCCCGATCTGCCCGTCGGCGGCTTCGCTGCCGGTCCTGCCGCGGGCGGTGCCGCCCCCGCGGCTGCTGCTGCTGAGGAGCCTGAGGAGGCCGCGCCCGCCGCCGCCGAGAAGACACTCTTCAACCTCAAGCTCGAGAAGTTCGATGCCGCGGCCAAGGCCAAGATCATCAAGGAGGTCAAGAACCTGCTCGGCCTCAGCTTGGTGGACAGCAAGAAGTTTGTCGAGAGCGCGCCCAAGATGATGAAGGAGTCTGTACCGAAGGAGGATGCCGAGAAGATCATCGCCACCATGAAGGAGCTCGGCGCCACCGTCACCATGGACTAAAGCATGAACACATAGATGGGGTGGCTTGCTGAAAGAGGTGGAGAGACGCCGAGGCGGGGATCGTGGCGGAATATCGCCATTTTGCACGTGGGAGCTGGACAGCTTGAGGCTCGTCCAATCGTACCGAAACATATATCTGTGCCATCAGGGCAGACTTGTGTCCATACTCGTGTGTCATGTAAATCTTACCCTTGTATAACAAGTTCGAAGAAGAGGCAGAAGAGACTAGAAAGAATACTAGGTTTCATGTCGCAGGCTAGCTCGAATCCCATATCGTGCAATTTGTGATGCGATCATTTGGGACTTGCTCAGTACACACAAATCCGCAACTTTCTATTTCACCCTACGCCAGGCATAACCTCGAACCCCCCCCCCCCCGGGACTTTAGCACATGCATCCGCTTCTATGTTTATAGCCTGAAACTCGCGTCTAGTCCTCTAATCAGTATATAGATCGTCTTCAAGATCGGCGTGCTCACCCCCTTCGCTCTCGCCAGCCTCGCCGCGTTACCCACAATCGCCTCAATCTCCATACTCTTCCCCTGCAGCGCGTCCGCCATCATGCTGGACTGGATCCCCTCAAGTGGCATCGCGAGAAAGAGATCCAGCGTCTTCTCGACCAACTGCGAGTCACACACTTCGCCATACCCATACGCCGCCGCAGTTCGCGCTACTTCGAGCATGAGATCCCGGACGAAGCCGAGCGAGCTGAACTCTGGGTCGAGTTGCTCAAGTTCCCGTGGTGACAGTGTCGATGGCGAAAGGGGCCAGCCCGGGGTTGTCGACGAGTGGTGGCCCGCGACAGAGCTGGTCCGGAGAAAGTGCTGGTCTCTCAACCGCGATAGCGCCGTGACGGGGTTCCAAGCGACATTAAGGACAAGCTTCTGCCATCGTTGAGCTTGGATGTCTGGGTACAGGGTAGCGGTTGCGCCGCCAGCCGTGATCATGCTGATGAACTTGTTTGCTGCGGCCGAGGATCTTTGTGCGAAGATCGTAGCGGTGCCACCCCTGTTCCATCTGCCTCCGTCAGCCGCCAATGCCTCATTGTCATTGCCAGCCTCACTCGGGGCAGAGTCCGGTGGGAAAGAGGGGTAAGTCCCAACGCTCAAACCCTCGAATGCCTTGTGCTCAACCACTCCCGGGCTGGTCTGCGTCGCGGGGACGCGCACGACGCACGACAACAACGGGTTGTCTGGATACAGCTCTGCATACTCGTCCTCGATGCCGATGCCATTCTGGATCAGCACGATGACGGTGTGACCTAGGGTGACAACCGGCCGGAGGATCTCTGCGGTGGACGGTGAGACACCACCGGTATGGACTTTCGAGGTCAGGATGATGAAGTCGAATGCTCGCCGGCCTTGTCTCTCCTGCACATCGTCGTTGGTGTTCTCTGGTGAGTAAGTGGCCGCCTCCGCGACGGACTGCACAATCGTAGGGCGAAACTTGAGGTTTTGGCCCCAAATCGTTGAGTTCAATGTGAAGCCGCTCGTCTTTGCCGCTTCGTAATTTGATCTGCAAACGCAAACCACATTATCTGGCGATGTTGTATTTGACACGACCCAGGCGTACACGGTGCCGATGCTGCCTGTGCCGAATATAAGAACTTTCTGGTCCATATTGAGGCAAATGCCTGGCAATTAGACAATGGTGCGGTTAGTAGGGTCGGACCGAGATATGTCGAGAAAGTGAATAAGAGCTGAGGGAAGACGGTTGCTTGACATGTCTTGGCCGTGCCTAATCCTGGCTGAATTGGGTTCCAAGGTTGTTATTCAGCCCCAACTCCTCAGGAACAAGCTTATCCTGGAGCTTACCCCATCAACACATCGTAGGCCACGGGGAAAAGGTACCAGATCGTACTTCTCAAGAATTTTCATACGACTGCATGCACAATCACACATTCAGCAGGCTGCATGAACCTGGTAGCAGCTGCATCCAAACATACAGCTTGGGCTGCAGTATTTGATTACAGAATCGAACGACGTCGAAATGTATACAAACCGTCGATTCTTCTGATTTTAAACTAGATGTGCTCATTTTCTCGCCCATTGCCCAAGCCGATGTCTTCATGAATTACAATTCCCTTGAACGCCTTGCGGGTGGCCGTGTTCCGACTAGCCGCCCCCCGATATATTTGCGTTTTTGGACACAACATCTGCGATGGCTAACAAACGTCCCCAAACCTTGAAAATCTCCAGGCATTGCCATGCACTTTAATCAAGCAGTGATGGCGCCATTCTTGGCCTTGAGATGTTTGCAAAGGACTCTCTCACCATCGCGCCGAAACTCCTCCATTTCTTCCTCACCCAGCAGATGATGATCGTCGTCGAGGTCGCTAGTTTCGTCGTAGAACTCGGAAGCTTCCTGCTTGAAGTCGGTCGGGACAAGCCACATGCTCTCGCGCATGCGCTTGTGGCGCTCGCGGTCCTCCTCTATGCGCTGCTCGACCTGCCTCTTGTCCAGCCCATGGTGGCTACCAGGTTGGCCTCCCTGTGCCCCGTTCCGTGATCTAGCGGCAGCGTTGGCACTGGAATGCCGGTTGCTGTTATTGCTGCCCACCCCGCTGTTGGCTGTGCTTGACTCGACGCCGTTCATAGGCGACGACATGGCCAAATCGCGAGTCGAGGCATCGCGCTCCTTAAGGCACTCCTCAAGCTCCACAACGGTTTGCTCTAGGAGGATGCTCTTGTTCTTGAGACCTTGGAGGACCTGCGGTTCGGATGTGAGCACGCAACTCTGCAAGTCGTCTATTTGGCCCCTGAGAGAGAGAGCGGAGTGCCCTTACCTTGCGAACAACCTTGACGTTGGCCACTCCCGAACCATCCTCGGGGCATACAGCGTCGACGACGCGGATGATATCACGCTGCATCATGTGGACGTAGTGGTCACTTGGGGCTTTGGATGCCATCTCGAGGAAGTGCTCAATGAAGAACATGATGTTGGCGCGAGTGTTCATGTTGCTCTGCCGGGGGTGGTCAGCTTGAGTCCGCGGCGCTCAAAAGTGTGCACGTCTGGGCTGCTTACCTTTTCAAGCTGCTCGAGGATGCACGAGTGCAAGTCTTCGTGGAGGTCCTTGTGCTTGAGCGCATACTGCGCGGCCTTCTGTGCCGAGGTCGAGCTGGCGTTGAGATGCTGCAGCTGCCGGCTGAAGTGCATGCGCACTTCGAACGGATCGGCCATGACGCTGGCGTGGCCGTGCAGCCGGGCAGCCCGCGAGTCTAGACGCGTGCTATGTCGGTGTTGAGTCTTGTGTCGCAGCGGCCTGCCGACACATTCTCGTCTCTGAGCTCTGGGGAGCTCGTTGCTTGCAGTCTGCGGAGTGATGTGGTAGGCCGAGCAAAGAATGGAGTCGCGAAGACCCTGGCACCGGCGGAGCGTACGCGGGAGCCTGGCCTAGCACTGTGGCTTTACTGTGCTTGCAGGGAGGGCGCTAAAGCGGGCGGACTTTTGAGCCTGTCGAGCCTGATCAAGTTACTGGGAGAGAGGTTCGTGTTGTAGCTTTTCATTGCAAACTGGTGATTTTTTAAGAGTTCCGAAATCCGACGAAATGTCAATGTTCTTTGGGGTACAGATGTCCATATTCAACGCTTGTCCCTGGCCCAGTAACCACAGGTCGAGCTTGCTTGGTTTCCAGTGACTCGACGCGACGTGCTGATCAGGCTGTATTGCATGGCAGGACAGGTCCTCGCGATCTCGTAGGGCCCAATCTGCTTTGATCATCAATTTTTCCATTTTAGTGTCGACTGCAGCAATGCGAAAAGTCCTGCGTGCGTGATTATATGTGTCCTTGGAAGACAGCCAGATCGCAACCTGCGCCGTGCACCCGAGCTGATCACGCATCTCGACACAGAGGTTCCCCATTTGCCTCGCGAAACATTGCAAGCCACCCATTAGCAGATGTCTCTTCGTCCCGTAAATGCTCTTGCGGAGGAAACCTGGGCGTTATCACAGGAGATCTTGAGTGTTGTCCCCATGTGCTCCAGACGAGTGGACAGGCCTGGCCAAGACGACAAGTCCAACTGATGTTTGTGCTCAGCCCTGTGGCCGGAAGACGAGGGCCAGCTTGCGTGTGCAGCATCGGAAATGCCCGTTCGCGCCCAACTGCGCCAATCGGGCCGCAGAACCAGGATACGATCCCAGTCCAGGGGTCTTGCTGCTCGGTGAGCCAGCAGGGGCCTCTCTGGACCGAAGCCGTGGTGCTGTCGAGACGGAAATGCCTGAGACATTTGCTCATAGGTACTTACGCGGTACAGGTTGCATTGACCCTGTCAGGCAGGCATGCACTCCCATCCCGTCTTGCTCCGATGCCACGAGCTGCGCATTTCTCGAACACGGATCCGCGGGCCACTCGCCAGTTGCCGCGGTGTGCCCGATCCCTGGGAACCCTTGACGCTGCTGCCATAACTCGTGCGTGTGGTTCCCCATCGTGGGTGGTCCCGCTGCGGTGCCGGCCCTGGCCCCCGTTTTATATCTCAGCCCATGTGCCGCCAGCAACATTGATCGCTTCACCCAACACCTAGCCACACGACTTCCTTTTACTGTTTGCTGTTTCAATAGAGATCTCACTTCCAAGTTGCACCGGTCATTGAGTTCTTCTGGGCAAGACCTTTAACAACAACAGACAGAGGCTACACATACACATCACGCGTCGAGGAGAGAACCGCCATCATGCTCGCCATCTCCAACCACGAGCACAACAGCTCGCAAGAGCTCACAATGACAGTGCTCGGCTGTGGTGAGCATGCTATTTCTCTATCCAAACCCTGCTAGCTTGCTGACTTGACATTATCGCCAGGCACAATGGGCATCGCCATCCTCAGCGGTATCCTTTCCTCCCTCGTCGAGATGTCGGCTCCGAAACCCCTCCAGACCCCGAGCGGCAGTCACTCGTATGACGCGGAAGAGACGCCCGCCCGCCTGCCCGGTCGTGTCATTGCGACAGTTAGGAAGCCCGCCTCCGCCAAGCGCGTCAAGAAAGAGCTCTGGGAGCACTCGTCCGTGCTCAAGGTCGTCATGAGCACCGAGAACGTCGCCTCCGTCATGCAGTCTGACGTCGTCCTTCTCGCCTGCCAGCCCGCCGACGTCGAATCATTACTTCGCGAGCCCGGCATGTCCAAGGCGCTCCACGGCAAGCTCCTCCTCAGCGTATGCGCGGGCGTGACCGTGCCGCAGCTCGAAAAGATCCTCCACGGCGCGGTCAGCGTCCTCGACCCGGACGTCGACGGGCGGTGCCGCATCGTGCGCGCCCTGCCCAACACGGCAGCCCACATCCGCGAGAGCATGACCGTCGTGGCCACCAGCACGCCGCCGCTGCCGCAGCAGATCCAGAGCCTGGTGACCTGGATCTTCCGCCGCATCGGCGACGTCGTGTACCTGCCCCCACGGGACATGGACGTCTCGGCGGCGCTGTGCGGGTCCGGCGGCGCCTTCTTCGCGCTCATGCTCGAGGCCGCCATCGACGGCGCCGTGTCCATGGGCCTGCCGCGCTCCGAGGCCCAGCGCATGGCGGCGCAGGTCATGCGCGGTACTGCCGGGCTCGTCCAGGCCGGCGAGCACCCGGCGCTGATCCGCGAGAAGGTCAGCACCCCCGGAGGGTGCACAATCGGTGGACTGCTGGTCCTCGAGGAGGGCCGGACGCGGGCGACGGTCGCGCAGGCTGTCCGCGAGGCCACGACCATCGCGAGTCATCTGGGCGAGGGCGGCGCTGGCGCCGTGATGGATCCAGACCAGCAGCATCAGCTCATGGCGCAGCATCTGAGCGGCGCGCCCATGGCTCCTGGCCTGCATGCTGTCAGTGGTGGGCACTACACGCCACACCTGCCTACGAGGCTGGCCCGGAATGGGAGCACCTACTTCTGAGACAGGCCTTGGCGTAGGCTACGGAGTCAGCTACAGAAGTAAGAGGAATAAGCTGCTAGTATGCTTAAATCACCAATTTGTTTGTGTACATAAACTCACGGGGGAAAGGAACCGGCTTGTAAACACGGATGGCTTAGACATATAAACAATAGAATTTCACAAAGCGTCGCAGGCAGAGTCTCCTCTCCTTGGGCAGCATCGGTTGGTGTAGATTGTATCGCGAGGAGCCTGGCGTGCTTCATAGTGACCATGGTCTTGACGACGTGGGCCACTGCATTCATTGTTGCCGCCACTGGGTATTATAGTTGCACCCTACTTTCTGCTCGTTGCAAAGACTGTGCACGGCCCGCGGCCACAATACCCCCTTGAACTGCGCACAGAAGAGGCTATATGTGAAGTATGCAATCATTCTACTGCTGGGTATTCTCCATTCGTACATCATCTCTACTCCAATACACGTTCAGCCCGCCCGCTATCGTCAACTCAGCCCATGCTGAGCTGTTTTGAAAGTCCCGAGAGCCTGCCTTCGCTACGCCTGATCCTCTACTGGCATACCTTTACCTATGCGCCAGAAGCGCTGCCATGCCTGCTTCTCTACGGCTCCTCGATGCGCACCCTCTTGCTAACCAACGTCTTCTCAAGCCCCAAGTCGTCAGCCTTACGCTTTCCATTTTTGTCAGCCGCGGACGACGGTGTGGCGTCCAGTCTCTCAAGAATGCGAGCATACTCGCCCTCCACGTTCGACACTGTCTCGTTGAGCTTAAGGATGCGCTCGGTGATCTCAAACTCGCCCAGAATCGATATGTTGCGGCGGTAAAGCCGCTGCTTCAGCAGGAGCCTCCACAGAGTGTAAGCATGCTCGTCCTCCTTGCTTGGAGCCGGCCTAGGCGCGCTCAAGTCTGCCACTGGACGAACGGACTCAGGCAAGGTCGACATGAGGTGCATTTCCACCAAGCGCCAGAACTGGCGAGGCGCAATCTTGGTCTTGACGCGCAGCTTCTCCAGCGCATCGATGTCGACAACACCACTAGCATCGGCGTCGCTTGTGCTTGATGCGTTTTTGTCCGATAGTGTAATGCGAGTGTCGTTGTGTAAGACACCACCGAACTTGGGAATGGTCGGGATCTTGTTGTTCACCTTCAGTGCGGCAAAGTCTGGCTCGTTCTTGCGCAAGTAGCGCATATCACAGAGATCTCGTAGCAGATCAAAGTCCTCATTCGGGTCCTCGATAGTCACTTCCTTGGTAGCCTCTTCTCGCACGTGACGACCAAAGATGGTGTTGTAGAGCATGGCGCCAATACCCTTGCCTTGGAATGGTGGCAGAATGACAAATTGTGATATTCTCGCCCGGTGAGCCATGTCTCTGATGGAGATATCACCCTTGGGCAATTCCCAGGCTTCATCTGTTCTGGGCTGAATTGCTGCCGTCCGATCCTGCTTCGGACTGGACGGTGGGGTGAGGTCTTGGAACAACCAGAAGTTGTACACTGTCGAGTAGCCTTGGAAAATGTACTGTGGTGACTTGCTCGTCGTATCTGTGGCAGTATCGAGCTGCTTCTTGTAGACAAAGTATACTGCCCACCTAGCCAGTGTTGAGTCTTGCTCGTCCTTGCCCTCAGCATCAACCCCAATGTAAGAGCCACCCTCGATAAAGAAAAGGACGAATATTTGAAGTCGCTTGACGAGTTGCCTCACAGCAGGGTCATCGAGAGTTCCGCGCCAGATCTCGTAAGTGTCGCCGTTCTTGGTAATGGTCTCGATGCGTTCACCTGGTGGTGTCCAGCTCACAGGAACATCCTTGATTGCGGCTTCGAAGTCGGATCTCTTCTGGAACGCAACTATGATAAACATTGTCAGGATTACCTGACATGCTTGTCCCGTGAAGAAACTTGGACATACCTTTGGGGAGGAACTCCTCCATCGTAGCACGGACATCTTCGGGCTCAGTGCCACTAACATCTGCGTATTTCTTGGCGGACGAGGTCGAAAAGTGTGGTCGCATATCGCTAGCGTTGAAGTCAATGGTGATCCTGAGCCCCTTGTGGCCGAAAATGCGCTCTTCTTCGAAGATGGGATATGTGAACCGGGGCTGGAAAGTCTCGATCCTGGTCAAGCCATTAGGGCCATGCTGGACCAGGGAAATGTTGGTCGCCTCGGTGGCATCGACAGTCCCTGAAGAGAGATGTGAGCTCAATGACTGGGAAGCGGAACGTCGCTGTCGTTGGGTGCTTACACTGCTCATCCGCCATGCTGGGCCAAGGTTGCGGCTCGACGTTTCGTTGCGAGATCGATGTCGCTTTCTGTAGCTTGAGAAGTCTATGCGCGTCCGATCAGTAACGCTCTGCAAGGCGCAGAAGGATTGCCAATCGGTCGGTCGAGATGCTTGACGACGTGTTTGTTGCGGAGGGTGCGCAAACGCCGCGGCTGCGAGTCCGAGCTTCCAGGTTCTATCTACGAGGTTGTAACCTGGGAGGCCGGCGCGCGTCACGTCACATAGAGCTTGCCTGGTGAGGCAGGGAACAATGGCTGGACGCGTTAAGGGCTTCCGGACTGGTTCTAGCGCGTGCAAAGTCCTGGGCACGCCACTAGGGGGCCCGCAAAGCCCCTGCTTCTCGCTCCCAACATGGCTCGACATGGAACCCGCACCCGCGAGGTCCGCAGGCAGGGCCTGGCAATTGGCTGTTTCATGTGCAATGTGGCCGCCGAAAGCTCAACCACAGCTATCCAGACCTATCCCTCCATTCCAGCCCGACCTCAGCAAGCTCCTCTTGCCAGCCACGCCCGCCGCTGCCGACCTGTGCCATTGCGAAAGCCCATCGACGACGACACGCTTGCCAACGGGGCATTGAGTCTTTCGAGAAGTCACGACAGCCGGCCACCCGCGGTGACGCCAGCTAGACTGCCAAGAGTCGGACAAATAGCGTCCAGCCCGCTTGTGCAGAGAAGTTTGGAGCTCGTTACAATCATGGCAGGTCTCTTCTTGCTACTCGCCCTCACGGTACGCTGTACTTCTCTTGCTCATGACTTTTACTTGACTAGCTGATACTAATCCTGGGCTTCTGCAGGTTGTGATGGCTGTTGCGTAAGTCGATTCCACGTCACGACCGACCACGACCCCGAAATAGTACACAGCGCATTGACAACTGGGCCTTTCAACAGCTCCTTCCTCGCTGGTGCCCTGCCTCTATCTATGACCTTGTCTCAATCGCAACTGCGCCTCATTTCCAGTGTCGGCATTGGCGTGCTTGTAGGAACGGCTCTGATTGTTATTATACCGGAAGGGATCGAGGCCATCACCAGTGCGAACATGGCTGCGCACACCCGCAACGCTAGAGACGAAGCGCCAACAGGGTCTGAGCACGCGCATGCTGAGCCGGAAGTTCCAACGTTCTGGGTCGGCTTGTCACTCATCCTGGGCTTCATCCTCATGTTTCTCATCGACCGTCTACCCCAGATCGCCTCCCAGAATTTCCAGCCTGCGCCGCAACCACGGCAGATCAGTCTGAGCAACCTCGGCGGCTCAGCGGCCGATGAAGAGGAGGCTGAAGGATTCTTGGGTTCTCTGACGCCAAGCCCCAAGCAATCGCGTAGCCTAGCTACCACGACCGGTCTAGTGATCCACGCCGCGGCAGACGGTATCGCTCTCGGCGCATCGACCTCGTCCTCAGACATGAAATTGGGCTTCATCGTGTTCTTGGCCCTTATGATCCATAAGGCCCCCGCAGCCTTTGGACTGACCACACTGCTGCTCAAGCAAGGACTTTCGAAGCGTGCGGCTCGTGGCCACCTGATTGTCTTTAGTCTGTCATCCCCAGTTGGCGCATGGGCTACGTATCTTCTCGTCACGCTGCTTGGGGGAACCGGCGAGAGCCCCCTCAGTCACTGGTGGACTGGGATGCTACTACTGTTTTCTGGCGGCACGTTTCTGTAAGTTGGACTCTCGTCATTCTGAGAATGTACCTCAAGCTCACAAATGTTTAGATATGTCGCTATGCACGCCATGCAGGAGGGTGAGGTATCGGCTAGTCACCACGAGCAGGCAGCCAACGGCTATGCAGATAGCATGGGCGGAGCCCAGCAGAAACAGCCCTCGACGCAGGTCCGGGACACGCTCGCGACCATTGGCGGCATGTTGCTCCCTTTGCTCACCCAATTTGGGCACCACGAGCACTGATAGTCGATCTGTCCTGCCTGAAGGCTGGCCGTAACGCGATTGGTTTGAGCAAGCACGTTATAGAGAAAACAAACGATTATAGACATGATAGAAGATCTTTGAACAACAAGGCTCTCGATCAGGGAGCACAAGGACATCTCTTTTTTTCCAGAATCAGGTAGCTTGGCACTTCTTGTGGCACTAGCACCCTGGCCGACCCCACAGGGAAGAGTTGCGTTCGCTCCCGTGACATTGCTCCCGCTTGGCGTGCAGCCAACCTGCGGCCTGGCTGTCTTGCCGTGCACCTAGCAGTCCTCGCAAAAGAGCCAGAAAAAGCAAAGGTCGACGGTTGATTGTCCGCCTCTGAATGCGAGGCTGTTCTGGAGATGAGGTCAGACCAGGGGCACAAACACAAAGCCTTTCCCTTGCCGTGTCAAGGGGTAATGGTGAGGGCTTGGAGGTGTCGTCAATGCCTGGTGGAGTCTGCAAGTGATGAAACAGGGCCTGATGTCCACAACGCAGCCCTTGGAAGGGTCTGAGCGACCAGTTGTCGCCATCCCGCTCCAGAAATGGCACTTTAATTAAGCTGCCGCCCGAGTCAGCGTTGCCGAGCGTCGTCGGTGGAGCCCCAACCCCATGGCGTCGCTTTCGCCGTCGCGGGTGCTGCGCAACACGGAGACCCAGTACCAAGGTTTGTCAACATTTTCGACCCTGGCGGAGTTTTGCCATGCCCAGCCCGATTTGCCCTCCCGCGCGCGCAACCGAGAGCACGTGCCCGTGAACCACGTCGCGGGACAGAAATCAGAGAGACGCCCATGGCTTTTCTTGAAGCCCGGCACCCTCGAGATATGCAGCCAGGGTCTGCATGCAGAGCAAAGACCACCCACCACCATGCAACGGAAACGGAAGGGGTAGCCGCGTGCTCAATGCAATCAGTGTGCGGCTCGCCCCTCCTGAACAGGAGTGCCTGGGGGCTCGGGCAAGCTGAAGGGGAGTCTGACAGGTATCAATCAGGTGGACTGCCGTGCTGCCGCCCGCATCAGTGAGACCTGCATCCGGCCACAGGGCCTGATGACCATGATCCATACGCTACGTATTGACGCTGCATTTCACCTTGGGCTGCCTGTTTGGATGGATGGCAAGCAGACCGCTCAGATGGTCCCTTGCTCTGTCCAACTCTCTTGCGATTTGTCACTGTTGTCTGGTATTCGCTTCAAATCTGGGCTCTCCGTGGGAGCTGCAACCAGAAGCGACAGCAACAAACGTGCTGTTTCCACTTCCTTGTCTCTTTGTTGTTTGTTACCCGCCAAATTACCACAACGCCCAGTCGACGGCCCTTGCGTATGTCATTCGACAGACAAGTGGTCATCTCGTCTCAGATTGGGCGCCCGCTCGGCCCTGCCCTGCACCATCTCCTCGCAGCCCGCTTCTGTCAAAGGCGAGTCGGGGCGGCTGCAGCGCCGGCCTCCCCCCCCAAGCCCAGACCGTTCCTAAAGGGTGTCTCATTCCTGGCTGCCCTGACCAATCCCGGCTGGCCCCTCGACCACAGTTCAAGGTTCGGGGCGCCCATTGCTGAGGGTTCCGCTCCGCTCCAGTCGTTGCACGCCCGGGCAGCCCAGCCGCCGCCTCGCTGCTTCTCTCTCCTCTCCAACATTCCTAACGCCGCAACCACAACCACATCCGCAACCGCAACTGCGACCTGCGACCTGCGACCCGTCCTGGGCTACTGCCTGCCACTCGAACTCACCTTCGCCGACGCTGTCCCCGGCCTCCTCCTGCAACGGCTTCCATCCAGCGACCTTGTAGGCCTAGCCGCGCTCTCGACTCACGACGCCCTTGCAGCCTCAGCACACAGCCAGCCCATTTCGTCACCACCAGACGTCGCACCCTCGACTCCATGCCCAGCGCTTCTCGACCGATGCCGACCAGCCCGTAGGCCATTTGCCTTACCCTGCGACACTGCGCACTCTTTTGACCCTGCCTGTTGCCAATGCTCGCCTGTCCTTGTCCTTAGCAGCCTCACTCGTCTAGTCTTGGGCAGGGTGTCCTAACTCCGACGAGCCCGGACTATTTGTTGTCTCTTCAATACTCCGACCCGGCATCTTTCGATACCTCGGACACATTACCACACGTCTTGCACCCATCGTTCCAAAGTCCCCTGGTGGGCTCACTCGTTCTGGTAAGGTGCTTCCACGCGCTGCCTGACTCTTTGTCATCATGTTCACCATGGCCCTGCTTTTGCTGTCATGTCTGCACGGTCCTCCAAACAACCTTGCTTTTGCGGTGCCTAGCCCGGCGCAATTCCTAGAGCACTTGATTACATGTTCACTGCTCGATGTTCTGTTTTCTAAACCGATTGTCGCATATATTCCCATCCTACATCGTCGGCTAACCCGTTTAACGTTTTCTCAGATTCCTGTTGAATACAAATCGAAGCCGTGGTTGTATCATCGCATCTTCCACGCCCAGCCCCTGCTATCATCTGACCAGATCACGTCGCCCGATCTGATACGCAAACCACACCCCGAAACGCGCTGCGCCTCGTCTTACAGCCGAGATGGCGGGCTACGGTCGCCCGCTCAGCTTTTCTGAGCGAAGGGGTAGTGTTCTGAGTTGTGGAGAGGACTTGTCCTTGGCGACGACCAACGAAGCGCCAACAATTGTCAATCAAAGAATGGAGAAAGCGTCGCAATCAAGGCCGCGAGGGCCACCTACACCCAGCATGAGCACACCCGCACCCGACTTTGATCAACAACTCACCGGCTCGCCGCCACCGCCTCCAACACCGGCTGCGTCACCAGGACCAGCACCTGGCCCAGACTGGAGCGACGCGGCTGATGATGAAGATTTCTTCCTGGCTACGGTTCGGCGACACTTCCAGCACTGTTCTGGTCCGCAGCGAAATCGTGTCCTGGCCGATCTGCTCAACATGTGCACGACACAGCAGCTCAGCTTCGTCCACCAATTTGTCAGCCCTCTTTTAAAGAAAGATCCGTTTACCAGCTTGCCTGATGAACTTTGTCTAAGGATCCTGTCGTTCATCGACGACCCCAAAGTACTTGCACGAGCCTCACAGGTATCCCGGCGTTGGAGGGATCTACTGAGCGACGATGTCACCTGGAAGAACCTTTGTGTCAAGCACGACTACAGCCGAAGACTCTCGGAGGTTAACTACGATGCAGCAACCGCGAGCCGAGCCGCGAGACCCAGTCCACTCCCGCTTCCAGAGTCGGAGCATTCTGCGCACAGTTTTCCGGGAGCTCTTCCCGGGCCGTCGTCCTTCACCGCTTCTCAGAATACCGATGGCGCCGCTTCACCACTAGGACGGCCGAAGCTGCGGTCATATAAGTCTCACTTCAAGCAAAGGTTCCTCGTCGAGTCGGCCTGGAAGACCGGCGGGCGGAATATCACACGTACAATCACCCAGGATGGACGGGTAGTGACGAGTCTGCACTTGACTCCAAAGTACATTGTCGTGGCACTTGATAATGCTCGAATACACATCTTCGATCGAGATGGAAACGCGTTGCGGACTCTGCAGGGTCATATGATGGGTGTCTGGGCTATGATCCCTTGGGATGACATTCTTGTCAGCGGCGGATGTGACCGAGATGTCCGTGTCTGGGATATGACAACTGGGTATGTTTCCCCATGGGCAGAACTCTCTGTTCACACGTGTCCAAGAATGGGATGACTTGACTAACTGAGTTGAAGCAACTGTCTGCATACGCTCCGTGGCCATACATCGACTGTACGCTGTCTCAAGATGTCCGACTCAAATACTGCCATATCTGGTTCCCGGGATACAACCCTGCGAGTTTGGGACATCCGACAGGGCGTGTGTAGAAATGTTCTCGTCGGGCATCAGGCTAGCGTTCGGTGCTTGGAGATCAAGGGCGACATCGTCGTGTCTGGCAGCTACGATGCGACTGCCAAGATCTGGAGCATTTCCAAGGGCCAATGCCTGCACACGCTGACTGGTCATTTCAGCCAGATTTACGCCATTGCCTTTGACGGAAGCCGAGTGGTTACAGGAAGTCTGGACACCAGCGTGCGTGTCTGGGACGCTAACACTGGGTAAGTTGATCCACGAGTCTCCCACCAGAGGATAGACATCACTTCAAGATTCTGACTCTTTCAATTCCTCATGTAGTGAAGCAATTGCCGTACTTCAGGGCCACACTAGCTTGGTTGGCCAGCTGCAGCTGCGAGGCAATACCCTCGTCACAGGCGGTTCCGATGGCTCTGTCCGGGTGTGGTCACTGGAGAAGATGTGCCCGATACATCGGCTCGCTGCGCACGATAACAGTGTCACTAGCCTTCAATTTGACGATACCAGGGTTGTAAGCGGTGGAAGCGACGGCAGAGTTAAGGTCTGGGACGTCAAATCTGGTCATTTGGTTCGCGAGCTCATTACCGCCGATTCCGTCTGGAGAGTTGTCTTTGAAGACGAGAAGTGCGTTGCGGTTGCCAACCGTGGGAGTCGCGTTATGATGGAGGTAAGTCATTGACCCCAGTTTGAGATCGTTGCACAGGTCCTGACTCTTGACGTGCAGGTTTGGTCATTCTCTCCCCCTGAGGATGCGTACAGTGATAGGCCAATGTCTCTGCCTCAACGGCTTGCCGAGCCGCAACCCAGCCGCACTCTTACGGCAGACTTCCGTCGATCTGCTCTGGCGCTTCCGATCGCCCTATCTGAGGACGAAGTTGACGTTCCAGATGTTGACATGAGAGATGCCGGTCCATCGACTGCGCCTCTGGCTGAAAATACGACATTCTTCCATGACGACTAGATTGGGTTGCTTACCGCGACGCATACACATGAAGAGCGCCTCCGGGTATACAGAATGTCGCATGGCATTTGACACGGGCGAAAGGCATTGCAATCACATCTGCTTGGGCGCCAACACCGTTTAATCGGGGTCCTTACATGCCGCATTGGAGGCGTTGTGATTACGGGACATACACACACAAACACTGGGCGTTGGGCATATTATCGGGCGGGATATTCTCAACAATTGGGCATGCATTCTATTATTTGCGACATTTGTTATGCAAGGAGCCAATCTTGCGGTTTCTGGAAATAGCAGGTACTTTTTGATGGCTCCAGGGGTGCATTTGTTCGAGCGTTGGACGGATCTTTATCGCTACCTTGGGACCACAGATGTATTTCTACATCAAATACAAAGTGGACATTACAGAACCACATTTCAAGAGTGCTTATCCGGTGACCAAAGGATGATCTCTGTCTTTCCCCATGTGTCGGCGTTGGGGCCGGAAAATATGCTTCCAAGAACCCGTATGACTGCCTGTCAACCACGTACGAGTACACCGGTTGCGACATGAGCACGTCTCACCCCGAAGTTTTGGCGCCGGGCATGAGCATGACCGGGAAAGGGGCAGGGACACGGCGATGTGAACGCTCGAGTGAGCTGAAAACGAAGGAGTCCGGCATCTGCGGTCCCCGACGATCACATCTTATGATTTCTGCCTTTCCCACCGATCATTTGTTTGTACTCGCGAGTACGGCATTTGCTTCTGTAGGTCTTGTGATGACGACTCGCGTTGTTGTTTGTTGTCGCCGCCGCTGCTGCTGAATTCCCCCCTCTGGCGCTTTGTTTCTTATTGCCCTTTTTCTGTGCCTGTTTCCCTGGCGACTGCTTCCCACTCATCTGCCATGATGGCATAGTGCTTCGCGCCGTCGCCGCCCTCACGCGACGCCGTCGTTGCCCTCTGGCGATACAGCCTCGCCAGTTGCCCCGTGGCGTCCGCGTTCCCGCTCAGGGCAGCCCTGAGAAGCAGCTGCTCGCGCTCCGGGTCGCCCTCGTCGAGCCCCACGGCCACCAGGTAACACGCCCTGGGGTCGTCAAGCGTCGCCGCCATGTACCGCCAAATGTCCCGCGCGCGGCCGGACTCGCCGGCCTCGTCGTACAGGGCGGCCATGCCGGCCGCGCACGAGATCTGCCAGTCCCAGGCGTCCGGGGCCTCGCCGCCGATGCGCGCCGCGAGCCGGAACCACTCGAGCGCCCTCTCCCGCATGTCTCTGCCCCCGATGAGGCTGGCGGCCTGGGTGATTGCGGCGAGGTTCCTGGTCTCGCCCCCGCTCACGCTGGCGGCGTTGGCGTTGTTGTTGTTGTTGTTGTTGTTGTTGTTGTTGTTGTTGTTGTACGGAGGCCAGGGCTCCAGGGACATTCTGCGCGCGACCAGGCCGGCGAGGGTGGCCGCGTTGGCCGCGTTGGGCCCGCCGCCGCTGCTACTGCTGCTGCTGCTCATGCTTTTGGTGAGCAGTGTCTTGAAGGCCTTCTCTGCGGGCTGCCACGCCGGCAGGCCCAGCCTGTCCAGGCGCAGGGCGAGGTGGACCATGGTCAGGACGGCAGGCTCGTAGTCTAGCAGGACCAGCGTGGAGAGTATGTGCCGGCCCATGCCGTACGTCTTCTGACCCGAGCCAGAGATGATGGAGGCACCGACGTAGTAGAGTGTGAGCAGCGAGAGGCCGTGCTCGGGGACGAGCCTGTCCCGCCAGTCCTTCTTCCCATTATCGGCCAGCGCGAGGCGTGCGTACTTGACGGCGGTCGCGTGGCACTCGGAGGCCGAGACGTCTGCGCGGAAGAACGGCGGCCTTGCTCGCGCCTGCCAGTAGTCGAGGCCGGGCACGTCGTCGAGGGTGAACTGCGCCTGCTTGAAGGTCCTGGGCTCTCGGGTGACGTTCTTGACGGCAGAGCGGCCCTTGGGCTTGGCGGTAACGGCAGCGGCGGCGGCGGACGCCCGTGACCGGCCCGAGACGGAGAATTTGCGTGAGAGAAAGCCTTGTAGCGGTGGCAGAAGTGTCGAGCTGCCTGCGGCTCTGCTCGTGAAGAATGCTGCTGCACATGGCTTGCAGATGAAGGCGGCACGGCGGCCACCTGCCTGAAGTGCCATGGCGGGCACTTTCCACCGGGGTGTTATTTGCTCGAGCTGCACACGCTGCTCTGAGACCAGCCAAGGGTTTATTCTTTATGGCCTGCAGGGCTCTGCGCTGAACTGGAGCTCGTGATATCAAGACGTGGGACGGATATCAGTACATGGAGAGAGAATAGAGGACGGCCGAGTGATTGGCTGTAGCTGCCCGCGAGCAACATGTAAGTGAGCCCACCCAAGTACATGGATGCACCACCCATGGATGTCGTCGCATCCACCAGCCAGTCTTATCTAATCGCGCGCCCCACCAAAAAGTTGGAAGGGCCGCATCCTGCAGAGAGGTTCAACTCCAGCTATTGCATTGCATGCATGCACTTGCGCAGCAGAAAAAGCTGGTTTCGGTAGTTGAGCACACCCACCCACTGGTCCTCTCGTCGTCGACAGCCAGCAAACCCGCACCTTCGAGCCCTCACCACAGGGCCCTGACGGATCAATCAAGCCACCTGCACCGACGCCGGCCACAGGCAAGGCTCTGCAAATATTCGCGTGCAAACAACTGAAATCCAACAGCAACACATCCACCGGCAATGGCCCCCGTCACGCGGCGGCGCACCAAGGCGCTCGAGGCCTCGCAGACAGACTCGTCCTTCGTCTCGGACGTCGACGCAGACAGCCTCGCCAACACGTCCTCGCAGAGCCAGAGATCCCAGGATTCAGACCCAAAGTCGGCGGCAAAGTCAGCCGGCCGCTCGAAACGGAAATCGACCGAGGCGGCCGCGGCGGCGGAGCCGACGAGCCAGCAGCGCAAGCCAGAGACCCCCAAGCGGAAGCGCCTGGCCGTGAGGACGAGGGTGGACGAGTCGCCAAAGGGGGACCACCGCACAGTGCACATTGAGGCGACGATGCCCGTGTCTGACGCGCGGGCCGCCATCGGGGCCGACGCGAACGTCGAAGAAGGGGAGAGTGGCAGCGACAATGACGACGACGACGATGGAGCACCCGAGCCCGAGAGCGCAACCAGACAGCTGCAGGAAGAGGCGATACAGAAACTTGCGTCACAGTCTGCCGAGCCCGAAACTGCTAAGGCTGAAGCCACGCCCACGGCCGCGTCCAAGGGCAAGCACGTCGTTTTCGGCGACGACGACGATGTAGACAACTTTGTGGCCGAGGCGGCAGCAGCCAAGCACGCGAAGAAAGAAACACAGCAAGAGGCCGAGGACGAGGACGAAGACGATGACAGCGACGACGAGGCGCCCGAGGCCGTGTCCACAGCTGCCGCGGCCAAGCAGACAAAGAAGGCGGAACAGGCTGCCGCCGATGCTGCCGAGAAGTAAGAGCAAAACCCGGGCGACAATTTTTCCACCCATTTCCCCCCCTCCCAAGTCATTCCCGGAAAAAGTGCTAACACTTTAGCTCCGCAGACTCGCCGCCTCGCAGAAGCGGAAACGGCAGGAACGAGACGCCCTCTTCCGCGAGCAAGCCGCGGAGCGCAAGCGCGTGGCCGCCGTCAGCGCCAGCACCAGCACACGCCAGCGCGTCAGCAAGCGCGACCTCCCGGACGTGCTCCCAGCCGAGTTCCTCGAGGACTCCTCGGACTCGGACTCGGACTTCGACGCAGCGGAGGGGGAGGAGGAGGAGAAGGAGGGCGGCGGCAGGGGCGCGCAGCCGGACAGCCACCTGCGCAAGCTCAAGAAGAAGCGCAAGCTCGCCGAGGCCGAGGCGGCGGCCGCCCTGGCCGAGCAGCAGCGCAAGAAGATCCGGTTCGACGACGTCGCCGACGCCGCGGAGCGCGCCGAGGCCGAGGCGGTCCGCGGTCGCCAGCGGCCCAGGGACGTCGTGCTGGGCAGCACGGTGTACCGCGTGCTAGCGCAGCAGGGCGACCAGCGGCTCGCGCCAAAGGTGCACAAGAACTCGCGGACGGTCAAGGAGAACCTGCTGAAGCGCAAGAGGGAAGCCTTTGCGGTCAACAAGAAGAAAGGCTTCTTTGTGAAGAAGTGAGTGAGCGAAGAGCTTGCGACGACATCCCGAGGAGAGAGTGGCTGGCTGTAGGGCGATGCACAAAGGCTTCGTGTGATTCTCGAAGCTCGAAATGGCCAAGAGGTATAACGGCCGTGTATATACATCAATAAAGATTGTACATATGAGTGCTGTCAAGTGAACTTCGGCAGGGTAGCCAGATCTGCCAAGTCACAACTCGTGTGCTTTGAGAATGTTATCGCTTTGTATTGGTGTGTTGAATCTCAACTTCCTCGCCGCCTAAGCTTCACATGACACTCGCGTGCCCGTATTGATTGGCTTCTAGGTTATCTAGCAGGGCGCATAAGTCAACACTCCAGCTCGAGCAACGAGTCTCATTTCTTCTAGATAGAACGTGGCCCCAATACTCGTCGCGAACATGCTCTCATTTCCCAGAATAGCTGCTGCATCCCGCGTTTTTCTCCAAATCACCCGTGGCATCATCACTTGGCAAGCACTCAGTCCGCAACAGCTCTGCCCCGAAACCACGACCGAGGGCCACCTCTGCCCCTCAACGAGCGTCGTCCTCCCCCATCAGCATGCATCCTCCCTTCGACATCGGCCGTCACACCACCGTGATGCTGACCATCACCAATCCTTTTCTTCTCATCAGCCGAGACCTCCCCACCAATGACCCTCCCCTTAACACCCTGGTCCATCTGATCGAGCTTGTAGTTCCTCATCAGCAGCCCAAGCACCACGACGGGCACGCAGATGCAGCACGCAATGGTGAGCAGGGTATTCATGGTCTCGTCGTATGCACGGTTGATGGCATCCCGCTCCGGCGTGCCAGGGGCCCACGTGCCGCTCGCGACATTCACGCTGCCGTAGATGGTGCCGGCCTGGTCCTTGACGCCGTCGGGCAGGTACGCGGCGAGTTTGGCGGGTAGCAGCTGGCCCCAGACCGCGCCGCTGATGGCGCTGCCCACGGCGCCGCCGATGCTGACGAGCGTTAGGAACACGGCCGTCGCGACGCCGACCTGCTGGTGGCTCGCGGAGGCCTGGACGCCGAGCTGCGCGGGCACGTTGAGCATGCCCCCGCCGATGCCGATGACGATCTGCGTGCCGACGAGCGTGCCGACGGTGGCGTCCTGCGTGCGGTAGCGGACCATCAGGCCCATCCCAAGCAGGTAGATCAGGCTTCCCGCCACGACATAGTACTTGTAGTGCTTGGTGTACTTGATTATGATGGAGATTACGACAGACGCCACAGTCGAGGTAAAGGAGAATGTCTGCGTTATGTAGCCAGCCGTGATGGCGGACTGGTTGTGTACGACGAGGAGGTATGAGTTGAAGTATGGCTGGACGGAGAGATAAAAGGCCACTGGGGGACAGCATACTGTCAGCTCACAACAAGACTTCTTTACGCAGGGCCAATGTATTTTGGGATAGTGACAAGGCATTACAGCGAGACTTACTGAAGTAGAAGAAACCTATGCCGCAGCCAGCGCTGAACGTGCGTGACTTGAGGAGCCCAAGCGGGATGAGCGGGTACGGCACAAACCTGGCCCACGACTCCCACAGCAGAAAGAGGACAAGGCTAACAAACCCGCCAACGATGACTCCAATGATCATAGGCGACTGCCAACCGCCCGGAGTGACGGCCACAATGGTGAGCGGCACGAGAATCATGCCAAACGCGGCACTGAGCAGGATCATGCCCAAGAGGTCAAGGTCGACCCAGATCGTCCGGGCTACGCCCTTGACGCTAAAGCTCTTGGTCCCTGGGGCCATGAGACCCAGCTTCCTGGCTCGCCGGCTGTTGAGAAACAGCGTGACGGCCAGGGGCAAGAAAGTGACGGGCAAGATGATTGCCCACATGCCGTAGGCCCAGCGCCAGGTTGAGGACAGGCGGATGGCCGTGCCGATGAGGGGCCCAATCCATATAGTGACGAGGAAGGGGGTGTCGGGCAGACTGGAGAAGAGGGCGCGGTTGGGCATGTCGCTGGTGTCTGCGATGAAGATCTGCTGAAGGGTGGCGAGGCCCTGGGACCCGGCCGAGTAGAAGATCTGGGCCGAGGCAAACGTCTCGACGTTGTTGGACACGGCCATCTGGATGTAGCCGAGCACATAGAGCAGGATGCACAAGGTAAAGGCCTCGAGGCGGCCAAAGACGTCTGCAATCTTGGCCATGGGGGGCTTTATGACGGCTGTGCTTGGGGGAATGTAAGAGTTAGCCCACGACTGGTTGTGTCAAGCTGGATCCTGAGGATCCATGGCGACCATACCGTTAACGACGCCCTGAATGGTGTAGACGGTTGAGATGAGCGAGTGCTCGCCAAAGGCGCTGGTGGCGAAGGCGACGACCGAGTAAGTGACCTGGCCCTCGAGCGAGGTTGTGAAGGCCATGAGGAAGATGCTGAAATAGGCGGCGATGAGACCCCATTTTGTCCAGGTCATGGAGATGGCCTCAATTGCCTTGACGCCGTCCTGCCCGCCTGAGACCTCAGCTGACGACAAAGACGGCTGCTCAAGGTCGCCGCCAGCATTGGGGCTCGTGCTCTGGCCATAGTCGTTGCTCCTGCGGCGGGCAGGAGAGCCGGGGCCGACGCCGTCGTGCTTGTCATGGCCCGGGATGGCTGCGTGGGAGGCCATGGCTGCTGTTGAATGGTCGCGGGCGTGGGAGTAAGGCAACGACGGCAGAGAGGAAGGAGCAGGTCAGTGCCAGGCTGGAGGGGACGATGTTCAAACAGAGAAAGGCACGAGCTCGAGAAGCAGAACCCAGGCACGGGAGCACAGGACATGGCTGGTGCGACGCCAGGCCTGCAGCTCGTTAGCCTGGAGATCTGCGGATCGTCGCCCAGCGGCGGACATGCTGCCATCATCCCTTGGCGACCTCGTCGGCTCCGGCCATCGTCCAAAGAGAGAAGAAGACAAAGAAGACGGACAGGGTTCAGAGCCGACTGCCAGCCTAGTGTACTTGCCGTACTTGAGGTAGGAAGCTCTCCTGCCACACAATAACGGCTCCCAAAGGCAGAGAGTTATCAGATCCCCCACTTTCCACCACTAGTCAGTCGACATGTCTCACCCCGTTGCGAAGTTTCTCCCAAAGCTCGCCCGTGTTAGTCTGCACGTTGTCTTCCCGTGTCCGCTGCCCTGTCATCATCAAACAAGGGGCTGAGGGGCTGCGTTCCCACGCCATAATACCGTAGAGGTCACCACACACACACCTCTCTGCTCGACTTGTTATACAGTCTGTATTTGCGTTCTTGGCCCCTTTCGCCCTCTCGGGTCCGAAACGCACTCGTCAGGCATGTGCTGCGGCTTCTTGGGCCTGCACTGACGTCACACGCGGGGATTCCTTGCATGCATCTCTCTCTTAAAAAGGTCCGCCGTGCAAGACGCCACAAGCGTGCCTGCGCCGCAGCACCCAAGGAAAACAGTTCAGTCCCCTCGAGCAGGTCACCATCATCAGATAACGAGACAGACCACGAGCGACGGTTGCGAGAGTCGATGGATAGATGGCCGTCCTCGTGCATAACATCTCATCTTCACAGAGTGGCCAACACTGGTGAGATTTGTCTACAAGGCCATGCATGTGCACGCACGTGATATATAGTATTCATCAGCTCGTTCTATATAGGGAGCTCTTGCCTCCAGCATTCATATATATATATACACCATTTGGTATCTCGGCATCCCGTCCTCATCGTCTTCCGAGTCTTTCCAAGTATCCTGACGCCCGCCAGCAACCGCCCCGGTAACTGGGTCCCGTTAAACAGCAGGCCGCCCCCACGGATCATCGCCGTCCTCATCCTCACCTTCATCTTCCCTTCCCTAAGAATATGCCAAGAAGTTGTAAATGGGGTATCTCGTCTCCCGCCGAGACAAAGAACAGAGACATGAGGGCGTAAACCTGTCGGCTATAAACCAGGACAGAACATGTGTGGAGTAGCAAAAGAACAAGCCAACCCGGGTAGAAAAAAAGAAGAAAAGACCAAAACAGCGTCGAAAGCAGCAAATACAGATAATCCGGAAACTGGTATCTCCCAACCCGTGCTATCTCAATCAAAACAGAAGGGTAAACCCCGAAATGTAGGCGCAGAAGTCAATCCCTCAAGATCGCCTCGGGAGCCAGGTGAATGAAGCAGGGAGCCAGTGCATGTGAGAGGGGCCAAGAATTGCTCAGGCCTCCTCAATGATGCCTTCACCGCCAGCCTCCTCCCGCCACTCACGGCTCTTGTCAGTCAGCCGCTTGACGCCGTTGACTCTCGATGACCACAAGCCTTCAATGGGTGTGCGGTACGTAAAGGCTCGCTGGCTGCTGATGACGCCAATGGCCTGCAGAACAGCCTTGCGGCTGTCCCGCCCAAAGACTGCAGGGTGGTTGATCCATTCCAGGCTGGCCTCGAGCTCGGCATCCAATGCCGCGACCGTGACGCTGTCAATGCCGGCCGAGGTGTTGATGGACAGGCCATCATTAGAGCGACTCCGGCCGAGCGATGTCGTGGGATTCCCGCTCACAGTAGAGGCAGCTGGCGATGGCGTGCGTTTCCTGTCAGGCGTTGCCGACGTTGGTGAAGCCTCGGGCCCCAGCGAAGGCTTGCCTCCAGGTGGCGGTACTGGTGGAAGCCCTCCCTTGCCTAGGCCCTTCAGGATTGAACGGGTCTCGTTCAAAAGTGTGTGAGCTCGGTCGTGCTGGCCTCTGCTGACCAACGTCAACGCTCTCGTAAGCATGTCGGAGGTGAGAAGCTCCATGCGGCGCTGTACGATGCTTGGGTGTGGCGGGATGGGAGGACTGCTCTGCCACTGCGACTTCTTCTGACTGCTGACAGAAGGGAGCATGGTGATGGCTAGCAGCGAGGGCCGGGGCAGGTGCATCATCGTGCCATCGCGCAGGATGTCACCCCATACCAGATCAGCCTGGATGAGCGGTACTTCTTCGACAGACAATGTCCTCTGGTCATCAGGATCCATCGGCCCACCAAGGGCTTCCAAGCCCGAAACTATGGTCTCCCACGCGTCCTGCGGAAGTGTCTCATGTCCCGTGGTGTCGGGTGTGATGACAAGTTGGACAAGCACATCGCGCTTATCGCCGAAGCGCAAATCGCCGAGGGAAGCTTCCGCATCGCGCCCAGTCGCCCGTTTGGTGATCTGCAGAGCACCGCTGATCTTGTGGAACTTGGCAGGAGACCCCTCCGGCAGTTTCAGCTTGAGCTTCACGTTTTGGTGAGACAAGGATTGCATAGAGCCCAGGCACCCAGCCAGGCACTCGCGTAGCATCATCCAGTCCTTGACATAGGTATATGACGCCTTTGTCCGAGTGGAGAGTTCAATCATTGTATCAGGCTTGTGAGTCGTTCCGAGGCCAAAAGAGTGAATTGTTATCCTGGGTGCAGTGGGTTAGTCAACTGATCGCAAACGAACTGGGCATCGCGTCCACTTACTTGGCAGCTTCGGCTCTCGAAACCACGAAATCAACACTATCCGCGTCTGACGTTGAGGCGTCGCTGATGAGCATGATAGTTGCGATAGGATTGTTGAACTTGCGCTGCATGAGCAGGTCCATGGCCACGTTGGCACCCTCGACCACATCAGCCCGATGGCTCTTCTGACCAACGGGCTTGATCGAGGCGAGTACGTTGTTCCATCCGTGCCAGGCCTTGGTCGTCATTCCAACAATAGGGACGCCACCTCCACCAGAGCCAAATGTCACGAGGCCCATGCGATCCCGCTCACCAAGAGTGCTGACCATGAACTTCAGTGCATCTTTCACGAGGTTGATCTTTACACCTTGCATCGAGGACGAGATCGGCACGACTACCACGACATCAATAGGGACGTGGACCGAGGAGTAGATCTGCGCCTTCGCAAAGTTGGTGTATTCTGTCGGTGCTGTCGTGGCCGACTTGTGGCCCCACGAGCTCGCCAGTGACGACACTCGTTGTGGTCGGTTGGCGCGGTTCCAGTCGTCCTCGTCAGTCTCTGACGCCTCTGCTCGATCATAGTCAGGGCTTCGGACCGGAGATCCCTCCAGGGCGTTCAGATCGAGAAGGGCCTGCTGCCAGAGTTTCAGCTGGTTGCGATTCTCGAAACGCAGGTGGAACTGGGGTAGCTCCGCCACGGACAGACTGAGTGTCAAGACATTTTCGTCAATGGCACCCGTCTCGGTAACCTCGTTTAGATGTTTCTTGATCAGGATGGAACCCTTTAGCGTGCACCGGGTAGTCTTGCGCGCAGCTCCTGTGCCATCATCCCACTGGTGCTGCTGAGCGGGATTGACCTTCTTCTCTTTGACGCAAATCAGCATCTCCGCGAAAAGGTAGCACTCCAGCTCTTGCCACGAGATCTTGTCCTTGCCGACGCGTAAAGTCCCTGATAAGCGGAGCTTGCCAAATCTATTGAAGTCAAGACCATGCCAGTTGTCTACGCGCGTCCGCAAATTCTCGGTCCTCTCCTCGAGTACCTCAGGGGACTCGTACGGATAAAAGCGTGGTCGCGACGATTTTGGAGGAGAAGGGGGCCGTTGCTGGACCATCACGTCTTCCATTCTTGGAGCCGCTGCGGGAGTGTTGACCGCACCCAGGTCTTCTGGGTCTGGTCGCCACTTGTTGTCCGGCACTTCAACAGTGATGAGGCAGGTCAGCGTTTGCTGCGTCCTCTGTCGGTTGACTGTCGGGAATTCCGAGCGTACGGTGACTGCCGGGGCGGGGATTGGGTTTCGTGAGACTGGTCGCGGACTGCCTGGTGTCGTCTCCATGGCCTGAAGATCGTAATCATGGCGACGATGAGGTCCACTCTGTGTCGTTTCGGGGTAGCCTGCCGATGAAGCAACTCCTCCTGTTGCTTCGCTGTCGCTGCGAGTGTGCCTTGAATGCCCACCATACCGATCTGAACTTTCCCTTGTGCTGCCACGGTGTGCGCTATCCCGCCCTATGCTCTGCGCCATTGTCCTGGCATTAGACTCTCCGCTCGGAGGACGCCCGTGGCCTTGGCTGCCATGGCCTTGGCTTTGCGTGTCCCAACCAGCAACGCTGGACGGTGTCGGCGTGTGTGCAGAGCGACTGTCTGCCACAGACGCCGACCGCACCATGTTTGTAATCTTCTCGATGTCGAGGACATTTCCGCCTCTGCTCGTGTCGAGATGTAACGGGGCATTGCATGATGGGCAATACTGCGAGTCGAATTCGCGGATGAATTCATAAAAGCACGCTTCGTGGGATACGTGTTGGCAGGAGAACTGCAGGATGCGCTCGCCGCGCAGAGTATGCTCCAGTGGCTCCTCGCAAACCGCACACTCGCTGCCTACAAAAGTACGCTCTCTTCGATTGCGACTTCTGTCGCCGCTCATGATGCTAGACATGCCGCCACCGGGGAGAGGGCGAAGTTCGCCCTGTCGCAGCGTGTCTCTCGAGGCTGCCGAGTTGAACGTATTGTTGGACCGAAGCGAGAGGGTACGGTTCGGGGTCAGCTGACGATTCGAAGCAGTAATAGACCGATCTGGAGAGCACAAAGCAAAGGTAGTTGTTAGCAAACGCGGACTCTCTGTCAACTAGCATGGGGAGGTGGTGCAGGAAAACGCACTTTTTTCAGGGTAGGAGGGGGCGTTGCTGTTGAAGCTGCTCCAGTCGTCTTCAAGAAGCTTCCGCCCGGAGCGACCAGAGCGGCTCGAGCGAGAGTCTGAGTTTCTGGAGAGGAGACCGAAGTCGAACAGGTTATGGGTTGTAGACTGGCTGTCACGGGACCTCTTCTGCTGTGTGTCGTTGTTGGACGAGAAACCTCCAAAACCGTGGGCTCTTGAGGAAGATCGACCGAACATGTGTGACTGCAGGCGCACCTGGTATGATGTCAGCTGCGATCGCTGCGGGTGTGACGACGGAACGGCGAACAAGCAATTTTTTGTGTCAAGACAGCAAGCCCGGCTGAGTGGGCCACGAACAAAGCGTCCCGCCGGACTTGCCGTGGAGCACTGGTTGTGTTTGCTGTTCCAGAGCGCCAGCCGGGCACGCAAGGCAGGTGGGCAGGCAGGCTTACGGTATCGAGACGTGCTCAAATGTTGCGAATCAGAATTGTTTCATGTGACGCCGGGGGTGTCGTTCTTTCGCGCTTCTAGATTGTGAGACACGGATCTCTGCTCTGGTGAGTCTCCGCCCCTTTTAAGAGGCAGGGATTGGTTGCCTGTGCTTCGAGACACCTGATTTGTCCCAAACGCGGCAAAGACTGGTGGCTGTAGAGTTCGTGCAGGATCAAAGTGAGTCGTGCGTATGCCGTGCATCAACGTTTTCTGACCAACAAGTAGGATTCCGCCGTTGCTGTCGCCGATTGCTGCCGTGCTCGAAGCTGCTGACTGTGCCGTGCTTTGCCGAGAGAGAGTGTTGGGGGCGCTGGACACTGCGGGTAGAGGCTGAAAATTCCAAAAAGGGTCAGGAGGACGTCGCTTTTGGGGCGCGGGCCTGCTTATAACATACCACAAGCCAAAGGCGTCGAGTGCTGTTGCAAAGGACCGAGTTTGGAAATGGAGGAGGCGGGTCCCCCTGCTGCTGGGTTCGGGACGATGCAGAGGGCACCCCTGTGCGGGAGTAATGCAAAAGGAAGGCGCCTGTCGAGCCCCCCAGTCTGCCGGACAGGCTGCCGTGCGTCGGCTGCTCACGCCCGCGTATGGGGACGGCCTCTTTATCGCTGCACAGCGTTCTTTCTGCTGCTGTCGACCCGCTTGTGCGTGTGTGTGTGCGCGTATGCGTGAAGTGTGTCTGTCTCCCCTTGCAAGGCACTGGCTGTGATGTTCTGGGAATATCAGCCAGGCAGGAGTGATGGGGGAGAGAGGGAACAGCGGCGGGATAAACTCCTGGAAGAGATCTGCTCTTGGTACTTTGTTCGAGCGACAAAAAGGGGCCACAGCGGCGGCCGTTGGCGCACAGGAGGAACCTTGGGCCAGGGACCAGCTAGAAGCTCTCTAGCTTCGACGCCTCACGGCTTCTCTGTGCGCTGGGCAAGACAGCAACGCCGTTCGGACCAGGTGAGTTAGCGCACAACGTGGCAAATGCGCCGACTCACGAGTCCGTCGTCTCCTGGAGCCCGCGCCAGTTGAAGCAATCTGCGCAGCGTCGAGAGTACGCCAGCCAGGGGTGCTGCCTACCTGAAGGTACTCTCCTCTCGTCTGCCCCGTCAACTTGGGCAGAGCAGAGCAGGGCCTGGAGCGCGGCCAGAGCAATTTCGGACCAACCCTGGTCGGCATGGATGCGAGGTGGATGGCCTGATGCGACCTGGCGGCGGGTGTGGTCTCGTCACGACTGCTGAGGATCGCATGCGGCAAGATCAGGATGTGCCCAGCCGCCCGCATCGTGCAGTGGTCGATGCACCTCTGTGTTGCACCAAAAGTTCGTCTTTCCGCACCGTCTCGTGCGCTAGGCGCGCCCCTCAGGCTAACGGTTGTCCCTGAGATCGGCCTACCTAGGCGTAGTAGTCTTCTCGAACACGGCTCGCACAGCCGCGGCGGGGAAAAGGGGCTGTGCCACCACATGTCTGTCTCCCAGACAGCCGGGCTGGCCAGAGTTCGCAGTCTCAGGCTTGGGTTCCGGTGCAGTCGAGCTCGCGGTGAAGCCGTGTCCATACCGGAGAGGCCGCGACTGGGCATCATCGTCAGTTTGCAGATGCAGATGCTCATGCCGGAGGCAGCTACGGAGCAGGCCCACGCGCTCCAATGCGGCGGGTGACGGGGCCGGGCTTGTCGAGCTTGGGATACCCTGGCCTGGCCTTGCCTCGCCTGCTCAGTGGGGAGCTCGACAACAACCAGAACTCGGCGACCGAGACGAGCCTGGATTCTGCATGCTCGCCTCCACGACCCTTGCCCATGACACTGAACGATTCCTTTCTATGGCCACCTCCTGCCCGCAGCCAATCAACCCCTGCTCGACGCGAAACGCCTCCCCCCACCGGGCTAGGAGAACACTGGTCAACGGCCAGAGGGGGCTAACTCGGGACATCAGGAATCTCATGGTTCCCACCACCCGTCCCCAGACTGCCAGATGCAGGCAGAGCATGCCCGCCAGAAAGTATTACATGCAGCAGGACACGGCCACGAATGCGTCAGATGCCAGGACTGAGGGCAGCATAGCTCTACGATTCTGTTCCCAGACGCAAGGAGCCTTGCAGTCCGGTCAGCACCGTCATCGCAATGCGCCGTTGCGTCACTGATCTAGTAAGTCTGCCCCTCCGGCGCCCTTCCACCACATCACAGCCCCGCGCCTGGCCTGGGTGCTACCTCACTATCATCCGAGAAAGACGGGCTTATTCATGGTGGCGCAAAGTCAACAACTGTCCAGCGGCAGCGTCCGAACAGCCAAGCATGCATCAGAGTGCCCTGCCTGGGTGCCACCTGGTTAGACGCATCTGGTTCTCCTCGCGACATTCGCCACAACGGTCAATCTGAGACAGGTCACAAAACAAAGCAAACACCAACGGCGCGGCTTTGGTGTTGTTGGCATGCTTGGTGGCCAGCAGCTCCAGGGCTTGGACAGCCGTGCTGGTCGGCAACGGCGCTTCGCCGTCCTTCTCATTGTAGCCAGGTGCATGCGCGCACAGACGTGAAGATCCCTTGTCAATCCGTACGAATCCGACTCTGCCTGTCTAATCCAATTCCGGCGTCGAAACCCAGCCTTGCAATATGCTGAACAAGCCGGTTTTCACCTCTCAAGCATACCAAGAGGTCCCATATCCTGCCTGGAGCAACCACACTCCGTCTTAATCTTGGTTCCTGGGCCCGCTAGCGGGGGCCCGGCAGGATCGCAGCTGTGAAACAGTTTTGCCGATCTAGGGCTGCCAGAGGTAGAGTAAGCGGGCCTCGGCACATGGAGGACCAACCCTGACAGGGCGCAATCTAATTAATGAGTATTCCCCGAGCTGGGAGATCGGCGGTTCGTTGAGGTTGCTCGGCAGAGTCTTCTGTGCATGGCCCCTGTCTACAGTCTGCCTCTGAGAACTGGGAATGCCGGGACGGGGGCTGGCAGGCAGGCAGACAGGCAGGCTTATGCAGCAGCAGCAACAGCAATAGCAGCAGCAGCACTAATACCCTTACTGCTGCAGCATTGGTGACGGGAAAGGCTTTGCAACGGACCAACGCCATTCCTTGAATTGCGAGCATTATCATCATGCTCGACCTACGGGCATGGTGTTGCTTCTTCGATCATTGAAGGGGTCTACAAGGTGGAGGACCACAGGCATTACTCTGCCTCTACCTAGAGCAAGCCAAATCGTGCCTGCTCGCTTGGGGAAACAGAGCAACCCCCACCCAGATCAACTGGATGGAGACCACGACCTTCTCCAAAATCCACCCACCACGCGACGCTTGCCTTCTCTGTCCAATTCGTCCGAGCAGCATGCATGTATGATGTACCCAACTACGCTTTGACAGGTTCAACCCATGCATCTCGACTACACCTACTGCGTGAGCCAATAGTGTGCAAAATGCTGGGGGCGATGTACCGTTCCACGATGCACGCACAGACGGCGACGTGCATCGCATGCCATGTCATCTCATGGGTGCTTGATGCGGGGTCCATCACCACGCTCAAGGATCCCGTCGAACAGCTGCAAATATGCTGGCAAGTCGGCGACGAACATCGCATATCCCACAGTGGCCCGTTCGCAGACTACCCCCGTCGGTTATTTGAACAAGTCGTCCACGTCAAGAAGAGGCAAACATTGGCAGAGATTGCCAGCAGAGACTCTTACAAGCATCAGGAGAATCTTGTGTGATTTTGCGTGTCAGCACGACGGAGGCAAGCTTTACAAAGAACAACATCAACCCAGTACGTATACTCATCACCTATGGCTATGATATCATCGCATCCCACCAGCTTTATCTCCCTCTTCCAAGCAACCAGCATTCAGCGGTGCCACTGCAGAGATCAACGGAACCTGAGTCTTCTTGGCACCGGACTTCCCCTGAGCTAGCATTCCGACGACTCGTGATTGACACCAAGGGGATTCTTCCATTTGCTTACTTCCCATGCCCAAGCCCGGCTGATTACGACTGATGCCACGCGCATCTTGGCTCGTGCGCGTTTGAGCAATGAAGGAGACACGTCAACGCGCGTTCATTCTCAACTCCACATGTTCATGCCAGAGTGCGGAAAATAAAGCCCCTTCAGCCGCAGCCGTTACGGGCTTGTGCCCGCCTGGAACAACGGAGCTGGGAGCAGAGGTTTCAAGACGTAGCCAAAAGTGCCACTGCCGCAAGACAGCGTGCCCAGACAACCATGGTCCTGTAAGTTGACGCTCAACGTGGAGGGGAGGCCCAAGGGTACTGTTGAAGCCTTGAAGCGTTATGGAGCAGTCGAAAAGAGCAATCTCAGTGGAACGCCTCTGCATGCGGCGCAGCCTCGCCATTAGCCCACGGTGTGCGTGCGGAACTGATGCTCAAGAAGTTATCTGGCAGCAGACATGCAAGCCACAAGCCCCACGGCAGAGCCACATTGCGCGCCTGGCACGTTATTCCACGTGGAAGGACGAGTTTCTAGTCTCACACTCCCATTCCCTGAGGCGGGTGAAACCCATGTAAAGAATGGTCTCGGCTTTCAGGCGCCCCACGCCGGCCAGTCTGCACGTGGTTCTGAACCCATCTACAGTAGTTCGACTCCGTAAGTGTGCCCTCAATGACTGTGAGCTGAACCGCCACACTAGCGTTAGCTCTATCCCCAAAGTTCCAGCAGACCCCTGGCTTTGACTACAATTCGTTCGGAGCACACACGCGGGACAATCTACTAACACAGCGGTGCAGCACTAGCGCCGCCATGGCAGCTTCTACGGAGCAACGCCGCTCGTGGATCATCACTAGTCTCTCCTAGACTGACATTAGCATCGGCCCCGTATGCAGGCTCACCATCATGCCTGGTACGAGTCACGACCTTGCGGCGGCGACCACTCTGTGATTTCAGGCACCGGGGACGCCGTCATCAAAGACGCACCCACACTCATATCGTCTCTTGTGCTCGGTCAATGGGCCTAGCTTTTGCGTCCACTGTCCGCTAAACGCCCCTTTCAAATTGGAGCTCTTGCATAGTCCAAGAAGCAATCAGATTAGCCTGCTCTCTCGTGGTGCGGGACCGATGGGGCCAAATCTCGCGACGCTCATCACGCAAAACAATATCGTCACATGCTGTGAGGTGCTCTTTCCTGAGCAGCACAAGACAATGGTCCCCTACAAGTCTGCCAGAACACGAGCATTATCTGACGTGCGACGCTAGTGGCTGATGATGAAGGGACAATTAATTCATGTTGCCTCCCCGGTGGGCCTACTCGAGTCACGACCAAGTGAGAATTTATCTGGGACTTTCGGCCATCAGACGTCTCTTTCATGGGGCTCGATAGTCACAAGGCAGGCGATTGCCTGTCTCGTTAACACGGGCATTCAGTCCATGAATTTCGACGACAATTCAACACCTATGGCAGATGGGCGGCGGGCCACGACTCATTTAGTCCAGGTTCGCCCTGATGCCCGCAGGGATAAGGGTCCCTGCCATGGAGCAGATCCTATTGGCGAACCTTGGTGATCTCAGAAAAGTCCGCTCCGCAACAGCTAGCTCGGGGTGGTCGGGCTTCTCTGGTTGTCCGGAACAGACCAGATGTACCTGTGATGACACGAGTTGTCGCATGCGCACAACCTGCCATTCTTTGTGGGATTGATTGGACAACAAGCGCTGGCAGGAGGGAGTCGAGCGTCAGTGCCCAGCCGAATAGCTGCGCAAATGAACTATTGGCACTTGCGCAGTTGAAGGTTACCCGCTGAACTACCTGTCAGAAAGCGGGTGTCTGCTGCGAATGGGGGGACCGCAGCTCCAGCGTTGCCATCAGTTTTCACTCAAGTGACTGGTAGGTTGACTGCTTGCACGTCCGTTCTCTCAGAGCACCAGCAACGAACATTCATGGATTGCATCACCTCACTCCAAGAAGGACGCTGTTCACTGCCACAAGACGAACCCCGCCCTGAGCGTGAATCTCTTGGCTCCGATTCTTCTTCAACGGCAAGTTTCTCCCAGCGCACGCACCTCTGCAGATCCCTGCCTGCCCTGCTCTGCCCTGCGCCTGCAGATGCAGGTGTGTTAGGCAAGCGAACACTAATTACTCCAAGGTTCCTGCCAGGGGTCACTTATAACACAACGTCCCATGCCTATATCTTTCATTTTACACTCGCATATCCTTGATCCGGACCGGGACCCGGAGAAAAATGGCGGCTTGCGATCCATCGAAGGAGAACAAAGCCCTCACATGGCCTCTGGCGCCGCCGTCTCCGCCGTGCCCCGGAGGACCCCTGGAAAGTTCTCGTTCTCGTGAGCACGAGGCATGGTGTGCGTTACTGTGTGGACCAGTTTAGCAAGCGGGCATTTAGAAGATCGCGCCGCCAGTCAGCCGACTCCCTGAAGGACCGAGTCTGCAAGTCACATTTATCGCAATGGGCATGACGTCCAAACTGTCAAGGACTAGTCACCTCAGGCAGCTTAGACATGCCAACATACGCGCATGAGCTGCACAATAGATTTCCCCGCCCTGCGGATATCCAGAAGAGAACGAGTGCAGGGAAGCACTCTCCAAAGCAGTACCTGCAATACCTAGTTGGCGCGCTCCTTCGGAGTTGGCATCCCGCGTCAGGTACCTTGCACGAAAAGGTGCGGCATCTTCCGCTCCTTCACGCACCATAACTCGTCGTCACCGCTGCCTCGGGTCTTCGGGATCTCTTCGAGACAGGGTCGCAGCGAAGGCGACATACCTGTACACCGAGGCCGGGGTGGGGATCCTCTGGGTAGACATGTACAGTATCTGTGTACATTGGACCTGCGGGGGCCTGGTGATGACTACTCAATACCACCTGGCTGTTCTCGGTCAGGGTCTGGAACTGGGCTCCGTATGTTATCACGAGGAATGTGCAAGAGTGCCGCGGTGTTGTAAGACTAGGCAGAGGCATGACCGGTGTGCTTCGTGTTGATAGTAAAGGTATGACTCGTAAAGTCGGACATGGAGACGTGCCTGGGATCACGTGATGGATCGTGTTGCGATTTATGCACGCATCACGCCTGGAAACTGGCTTGAGGTTGGGTATCGGATGGGCATTTCGCTTTGAGGGGAGGGACGGAGAAGCAGAACAACCTCTCCTTGACCGACCAACGGACTAGTATGTTCAATATACGCGATATCCAGCACTTGCTGGTAAGGAAACAAGCGACGTGGATAAATGTTGCGGGGTTAAAACATGCTGTTGCCAGTGATGAAATACCGCAGAAAGAGTACACGGCGGATGAAGCTCCCTACAGCAAGAGTATTATGTATGTGCTAATTACCTAAGCAGATAGGAAATTTATGGACTCTTTTGAACAAGCCGTTGATATCTTCAGTGATCCCGGTCTGTATCTGGTGGAATATTTGCAATTCTCAGCATCTGATGGCTGATATCCATCATCCCTTGAATCAACACCTTTACGGACCAAAAGATCGGGCTGACCTGTGGTTTGCATTCAACCTCGGGGAGCAGCATTGTAGGTCCAAATTCCGGGACTGCATATTTGCACATCAGAGACGTTTGCTGTAGGCGCTCTTCTTGTGTTCTGATAGCGTGGGCTATCCCTCCCAAGGCGCATATGGTTTACTTGCCGTTGCATGGTGTACGTGCCTTTCCTGCCAACTGGGCCTGTGCGGTCATGAGACGGTCCAAAGTTTGTATGATCCCGGTGGAAGGCACATCACCTCAAGATCTACATATCCGACCACCAGTTTGGACCGGAGAACGCCTCATCTTGTGATTCGGTCCGAGAAGCAAGTCGAGGTTAGTGAATGCGATGAAAAAACAAAAACACGCACATGTCCGAGTTGTTGCTCTTCGTGTTTCTGGCAGATACGTTCCCTGGCAGGTAACACACGCATACTTTTACAAAATGTCTCAAGACTTGGCCTCTCCGATGGCGAGAGCAAGAGATTGAGTTGACATGTTGCCTGCATCCTGCACAAGCCACATTACCCATCTCTCTTTGAAATTCGTCGGAGAGGACGTTGTAGATGCCCCGCGATCTCCAACATCACGTACAGTCTTGCCGAATCTTTATGCTGCTCGTCCAAGAGGGAAGCGGTGTGGCAGGCAACAAGTCTGCAGAATGCAACGTCCAAGACCAGTCACATCGTATTTGGGACGACTCTCGTGCATATATAGACGCAAGTTGCTTGTTATGCGGGAGTTGCCACCACATATATACGTATTGGTGGATGCCAATCAATGACAGGTCATGCCTGGAAACAATCCCGTGGCCCCGACCCATCCCGCTCTGTCGTTGCTTTTTTCGGATTTTTTTTTCTCTCTTGTTCGTTCGATACGAGATTTGGAGCAACACTGAACATCTCCACAACGGGGACTTTTGACTTGTTCCTGGACGGCGGCAAAATTCTCGGGGCTGTCAGTCGGTGACACTTTCAAAGGGGTGGAAAAGCGCCGAAAGGACAGCACGCCAACCACAGAAGCAAAAGGAAAAGATGCTCACACACACACACGACGTGGTGTACCGCAAGCCAAAGCCCGCCGGCGGTGATGCCATCAAACCCGGCCCACAAGCACGACGAGAGGACTGGCTGGATAAGGCAGGAGGAGGAGGGAGGCGCACACCGCAAGTCATGAAATCACACTTCTTTCTGCCCAGTAAGTCAGTCCACCCGAGAGGAGGACTTTTCCCCCTCTGCCTGGATAGTCGTGGCCCAGCCAGCCCGCGCTGCAACATCACAATCTCCCTTTGGGAACTGACCAGTGGTAGTAACGTTAGAAGGGACCAGTGCTTGTTCATCGCAAGGCAAGAGTGGATTTTGAGGGGGGATGACAGCTTCAATGGCTCCGAGGTTGTGGAACTTTCTTCTTCTACTTCTTCTTCGCCGTCTTCTTGTTCTTGCCTGCCCCGTCACCTTTGACCCCCACGCAGTTATTGTCAGCAAACGCGGCAGTCAAGTCAGGCCCCCTCCAAGGACTTACGGAGTACTTTCGGGGCTGAAGCCGGCCCGGTCCCTCGTCATTCGATCTCTTGACGGACGGGTCTCCACGGAGGGCGGGCGGGCATCCTCGGGATAGACTCTGGCTGCTGCACAGCAAGGAGGAACATTAAACATCTGGGCCCCCAAACCCCCGTCCAACGCCGCCCCTCCCCGCAACCCGATTACTTGTCTACAACATAACTACCTAGGTAGGCAGGGGTCTGCTTACCATGGCCCAGACCTGGTCCCGGTCGGTCCCCGCCGGGCATTGTTTCAACAACAACAGAGAGTTCCACAGGGGAGAGGACACAGGTGACTGGCCAAAAACCCCCTGTTGGCACCGCCCGCCCGCCCGCCGTTGGGGGGCATCGGGCATCTGAGAGGGAGGAAGACAAGACAAGGTTGTGGCAGCAACGACAACCCTTCCCCCCCTCCCCCTCTCCCTTCCTTGCTCGCCGCGATTGGACCCCAGACCGTAGGTGGGAGGGACGAGGACCGAGGAGGAGAGGGGAGTGGAAGGGAGGGGGGGGATTGTTTCGGTCCCTGTCCTTTGTCACGAGTTGCGACCGTGTTCGCTGGGATGCCTTGGTCGGTGTTGGTCCCCGAATTATAGTCGCTGCGTGTTAATGACGGGCCTTGGTTATCGGAGAGTAACGCTCCCGGACGAGGGGCTGGCAGTTGGCTCAGGAATTGGGACGTCCGACAAATCAATAAAGTGCTGGAACAGACACAGCCAACCCGCCTTCATTGTATTGTCCGAGCACTATGTTTCCGTCATTACAGACTTGTGATGGAGAAAGCGATTTGCAAGTTTTGGGAGTCAGTTCAACCAATCCTTACTGGCGGGAGCAGCCGTGCGCCAGCCAGCCCGCCGCCATGTCTTGATTCGCGGGCGCTTCAGGTTCAACTACGACCTTGGGAAGGTAACCTCTTTTTTAAAGTTTGAGCCCTCAAACAGGACCCTGTGACCCAGCCCAACGGACCATTCCGTTGCCGAGACTTGCCAGGGCGGCTTGCTTGCATGAAGGAGAGGGCGGTTGCTTTGTGCGCACGGGAGTCGAGAGAGGCCGGGTCGTAAAGTCTGGAGGGGATATGTTGTAGCCTTTGTCAGGTGTCAATGAGTTGCTGCCACCCTGAGCGAGGATAGAACTGAGCATGACTACTCAGACATCAGCAAGACAGGGAATCGTAGTGTGGGAAGTGTACTTCTACGTTTCGAGATCCTCGAGGACGGCGAGAAGCACGATCTAAACCACACGCTGAAGTGAAGGGGTCACCGGGTACTTCGAGACCTCCTACGCGACCGTCTCCATGTAGTCTATGCGTTCTATGCGAGTGACGTACATTGGTCATGATTCGAGCGCCATGCGGCTGCGGTTCGACCAGTCAACAAGTGAGGAATGATTAAAACCCGTTGTGGACCAGTCTTAAAGGTGCTATCGTCCCGGCCGGTAGTTCTCAGGGTGCGCACCAGAGGCTATGAAGCATGAGTTATCGAATCGTCAGCATCAAGATTTCGGCTGTGTCGTCTGATCATGACACTGCTACAGAGGTGTTTCAGCAAGTAGGGCAGCATTTGAGCAGAAAGATCATGGTATCATGGATTCGTCCATCTATGGTTGATCTATCACCCCCATCCGCAGTTCCAACAAGGTATTTTCTCCATGCTCCGAGACATATACATCCATTCCCATGTTCCGTTAGCTCGTCACTTAGTCCTCATCCCAGTTAGGGTTGGGTCCCGGGGGCTTGGGGCCACCAGCTTGTCTCGCGACAATGATTTGGTCGACTGACAATACTGTTCTGGCAGCCTCGGTCGCGAGCTTGATGGCCCACGACTTGGCGATCATGAGGTCGAGGATACCTTCATCCTTGGCGTCCAAAGTACCTGTGCCGTCATCGTTCTGCATGCACTGAATTAGCTATAAGCCCCCCAAAATGGTCTTATCAACATCAATACTGACCTCGATATCGACACCTGTTGCCCAGTCGTCTTTCTTGTGGTGTGCTGTGTATAGCCTGCTGAGAACCTCTGTGGCGTCTAGGCCGGCGCTCTCGGCAATGGTCCTGGGCACGACCTCGAAAGCCTCTCCGAACTTGCGGATTGAGTACTGAGGGAGACCAGAGGTTTTGTCGGCGAAAGCCTGTATCCGCTCGACCAGCTGAAGCTCTGTCGCACCAGCGCCTGGCACGAGACGAGGGTCGCGAGTGATAGCCTTGACGGCATTCACACCGTCGTCAATCGCCCGCTCGACATCGTCGAGATGGTTCTGAGTAGCACCTCTAAGAACAAGGGTCGCTGTCCGGGTGACCTCGTCCTCTTGACGGAATACAGTCACACGATCGCCACCAATCTCGAGAGTCTCGACAATGTCGATGGAGCCCATCTCGTCGGGCATGGGGGCGCCCAGCCTGGCCAGAGGTGTCGCGCCAACCACGCGGCATACTCTCCTGAGCTCAAACTTGCTGAGAATCTTGATGACAAGAATGTCGTAGCGGTTGAGGTAATGAAGAGCGAGCTCGCCCACTGTCGAGCCAGCCACAACTACTCTGATACCCGAATCGTGCAACTCCTTGATCGAAGTCTCGAGCTGAGCCTCCTCGCCCTTGCTGAAGTCCATCATCTCCTTGGCATTGTGTAGTAGCACCGTACCCTTGGTCTCAGTCTGGCCCATGTCGATGGCGCAGGAGTAGACACCGACCTTGGCGTTCTTGGCCTTCTTGATGGAACCGGCAGGCTCCTTGGGGAATACCATGCCCTTGACGACCTTGCTCTGTTCCAGGCTTCCGCCCATGATCTTGACCACGCGAATGTTGTCGACGTTGAAGTTGACAGGGTTCTTGGGAAGGACAGCAAGTACCGCCTCGGAGACGAGTTGGGCAAGGACGTCCTCGTTACCGTTCTGCTTGCTCGCGACGACGGTCCGGATAGCCTTGCTGAGCTCGTCCTGGTTCCTGATATCCTCAACCTTGTCCACCACCAGTTCCTCGAGCGCCTCAAGCGCGAAAGCCTGGGCACGCTCATAACCCTGGACAATATCGGCGCTCTTGAGGCCCATGCGAAGGAGCTCCTCGGCCTTGCGGAGGAGCTCTCCGGCGAGGATGATGACGAAGTTGGTGGCATCGCCCATCTCGGCCTCTTGCTGCTGACTAGCCATGACGAGAAGCTTAGCGGCAGGGTGGACGACGTCGAGCTCTTTGAGGATCGTGGCGGCATCCGAGGTGAGGATCATCTTCTGGAGGTGGTTGATGACAATCTTGTTGCGGCCATATGGACCGAGCGAGGTCTGGACGGTCGAAGCAATGGCGCGGCAGGCATCGATATTCCGCAGGACGGCGCCATCTTCGGAGTCGTAGCTGTGCGAGGAATGACAGGTTAGAAACGGATCCTATTTAGAAAGCCGAGTGCTCGGCATCATGCGGGAACCTAAAGACGCCTCTGAGAGACGTGGAGAGCCGGGATTCTGTGCTCCTTTGCCTGCCTGACCGTCCAGCGAGTGCCGGTCACGTTTGTTCGGCTCGTGACCGCAATCCTAGGGGCGTGTGTGGTTGCGAGGGGCGGTGATGGCGGGGTGGGTGGTGGACATACCTGTTGTAGCCGCCCTTGAAAAGGCCGGCATTGGGGGCGCCGGGGACGTTGAGAGACATGATGACGGGACCTCGGGTGGCTTGGAGAGCAGATGGCGAGGCGTGATCGTGTCGTGGGAAGAGATGGCGTCGTGCTGGCCGCTCTTTGAAATCAGGGACCCGTCTCGCAGCGGGAGCTCTCGTGTGTGGGAAAAAAGTTGAGCTGTGATAGGGGGGCAGTACGTACCGCCCGGGTGCCCCTCTCCCGCACTCCAGGCACCGGGGCTGGTCCACTGGCAGCCTTGCAGCAGTGGCAGCCGTATGCCCAATTAGAGCCCTCTGGGCGTGAAGTAGCTCGAGGTACTTGCGCTGGCAGGGCCACGCCTACCCAGCCTCAGGTACCGAGTACCTTGCCTGCCCGTCCAAGCCTATCGGCGATAGCGGACAGGCACTGGCGCGCGCGCAAGGCTCGCAACGCTGCCGGGACGTGTTGCGAGGGCAAGGACGCCGTGCTGGCGATGGATGCCAGTGCAGCAACGCCAAAAGCCAGCTCGCCCGGGTGCCTGGGTCAACCCTTCCGCTCTGCCTGATCCCATCCATCACTGACTGCATGGGCCCATTGCCCTCCATCATCGACTCGGCACCACCACTTTCTCTCCCTGCTCACCCTCCATCCGAGTGAGCACTCTCTCTGCCCTCCAGCATCGCCAGTGCCAGCGCCAGCGCCCGTGTCATCGTCAACTTCGGCACCTTCTCGTGGATCCCTGCCCGAGCTGCGACAGCACCAGCAACCACCGCGCGTCATTTGACCTTCGCCATTGTCTCGTTCCCTTCTGCGCACCGTTTGCGCATCGCCACAACAATGGCGCCTCAGAGTGGTAAGCCTCCCAATCACGACACCACCACTGGTGCACTCAATTTCTCTTTGGCTACGGTGCTCCGCCTTGCTCCCAAGACGCAAGGCGTCGTCGTCGCCATCAAGCATCACGCCATTGGACACCCACCACTCCGTTCCGTGCTTCACTTGTTGTGTTCTCGTTGCTAATCACGCTCCGCGGATCGCAGCTCACCCCCCTGCGCTGCCACCAACCGTCGAAGAGGCCTACCGGCGAAAATGCATCCAGCTCAAGGAGCGCTCGAAAGAGATTGAGGACGAGAACGACGCGTATAGACTGCGCCTTGCCAGATTAAAGCGCCAGATCCAGAAGTGCCGGCTCGAGCGTGCATTCCTCTTGGAGCAGATCGCCAAGCGCACCAGTACCAATGTTGAGGATTCAGATGGCAGCCCTAGCCCGCCACCAACAGTACGTCATCCCAACCGGCATAGTCATTTCCTCAAAGTCCTGATAGCTGACTCCCCCTACAGCCGGACAGCAAGCCCCTGCGGATGAAGCGTGGCCACGGCCAGGGAGGACGCAAGTCCTCCATGGGCCCAGACAGTGTCAGCGCGACGTTCATCAGCCAAAACCTTGGCGGGCTCTCGCCAAGCTCGGATGCCTACTCCCACTCGCAGCTGGACCCGCCCGTCGAGAAGGTGCGTGGTCGCAGAGCCAATGGCCGCAGAGTCAAGATGCCCAAGCGACCCAGTAACGCTTTCGAGATCTACTGCAACGACATGCGCCCAACCCTGCGCGAGCAAAACAAGGAGAAGATCGAGTCTGGCGAATTCCGCGTCGAGGAGGCGCTAGCGCGTGGCTGGAAGGAGCTGTCTGACGAGGCCAAGGAAGAGTTCCAGGCTCGCTTCGAGCACGACCTTGCATCGTGGAAGGAGGAGCGCGACGCCCTGAAGCGCAGCCGCATCACCAGCCGGGGCCGCGGATCCCGCGCCGTGTCGCGCCAGCGGTCCAGCCGCTTCGAGGAGATCGAGCCCGAGGAGGACGAGGACCAAGACCAGGATGTCGAGATGGCGGAGGCCGACGACACCATGCCCGTGGGCGTGGACGCTGACCAGTACGAGACTGAAGTCGAGGACGACAACGGCGCAGGCGAGGACTAGAATCTCCACACCGAGAACCTGTCGTACTGGCGCGCTTTCCGTCAACAGGTGGGAGTGGCGTCTAGTCACTCAATGGGCTAGGTTGCGTCATGTCGCACGTCGCTGGTCACGCCCTTCCATCTAGGTTTTTCCTGTTTTGTACTCAAAATCGTAGCACTCTCACCTGGGAGAGCAGACAGAAGCTCTGGAGGAAAGAAGGGATAAAGAATGGCGTTCCGGGCGTTTTTCTCAGACTATAATTTACCAGCACGCAATAATTCTTTCGTCGTGAGATAGATCCTGGGGTTCCCTAGTGCTACTTGTCGTCTAGTTGTGCTGACGCACGAATGATTGTGCATGTCCGTCTGTGCATGGAGTATCTCGTGTGCATATTGAAATGGCAAGACAAACGGTTGTGCTGCGACACTTGTTCAACGTTGGTGGTATACTACAGTTATGTAACGTAATCCACGGGTAAGCGGGTCACACGGGTGAACGGGTCACCTTCCAGTAACTCGTACGACAATATATAAGACAATTTAACCACAACGCCTTAAATCAATTCAAACTATTCAGAATCCTCTTCTTCAGAGGCAGATACAACTTTCTGACACGTACGAGCATTATGACCGGGCTCGCCGCAGACGCCACATCGTCGCGCGCGCGTTTCGGGCCTCCTCGTACGACCACTATTCTGACTCGTTTCCGCTATTAACTGCTGCGTCGCATCGATTTGAGCCTTCAAATCCTTTGCCTGATCAATCGTGAGGGACCCTCCTTTCTGTAGCTGCTTTCTTTTCGTACGACGACGGCGGCTGAGGCGGTCATTTGCATCTCGAAGTTCGGCGAGCTCTTGGCGCATAAGGTCCTGCTCGTGTACCATCATTATAACTCCTTTTCTCAGCTGCCGTAGGCTCTCAACAATGGACGACGGTGAGCTATTCTGGTGTCGTACGATGCGATTTTCAATATACTTCGTCTGCGATTCGGTCTCAATTAGGTTGTTCGGCGTCTTTGAAACCCATGGGGGTGGTAGTCCAGCAGAGGAACCTGGTGGTGTCGGCGTATGAAACTTCATATCTAGCTGCGAAATCACATAATTCGGGTCGTACGGTACTAGGCCTGTCGCTCTGAAGCCTGCCTGGATGTTTGATTTGGTCATTGCAGCGTCGTACGCCTTATAAAAGGCTGGGAGGAAGTCCTCCTTTGAAACGTGGGTTACGTGCGCCCGCATTAGACCTTCGATTTCTTTACCGTACGCCCGTTTCAGAGGTCCAAAACACCCAACATCGAGAGGCTGGAGCTTATACGACGAATGAGCAGGCATACAGAGCGTGACAATATTCTGTTCCTTGCAGTAGAGCTCGAAATCGACGGAATGGTGGCTCTCGTGGCCGTCGAGGATAAGGAGGCGGTGGGTACCCTTCGTACGACTCTTTGTATGGAAATCAAAGTGTTTTACCCATTCTAGGCCTCTCTCGTTCGTCGTCCAACCGTTTTCTGAAAGCGCGATTACCCAGTCGGCCGGTAGAGGGCTATTCGCGGTCCAGGAGTCGAGGTGGACCTTCCCGGCGAAGATAATGTATGGCGGGATTGAATAGCCGTACGACGCGATACCCTGGATTACTGTAACCCATTCCTGATTGCCTTGTTGTACGGCTCTTGGCCTCCCGCGTCGATCGGAGGTCGTAACGACAGTTTCGGCGGAGATCTTGCCCATCGCGAAGCCCGTTTCGTCGAAGTTATAGATATCGTCATCGTGGATCCCGTATTTCGCGATTATGTTTCGTACGAGCTCAAACCACGCGCGATACGCGTCCGGATCCTCGCAAAGGACCCTCTGGTAATCGATTCTTCGATTAAAACGCGTACGGAGCTCAGGTCGTCGTCGTACGAAGGTTGAGGCCCAGTTCGTTCCAACGCGTGGCGCGTCGCGTACGCGGAGGAGTCGATCCGCCATTTCTCGAACACCACTTAACCGCGGTGGAAACGAACGCGAATCTAGGTCGAGTACGTATCGTACGATACTCTCCTCTTCGTATGAGGTTAATTTCTGGCAGGGTGGTCGGGTGTCGTGTTTCGCAGCTCGGCCGTGGTATCGTTGCTGGAGTGTCGTACGAGATACATTATAGATCTGCGCAGCCTTTCGTACGCTTAATTTTGGGTCGGATTGGAGCGCATTTAACGCTAGAACCAAATCACTTTCAATTGATTGTCGTCCCATGATTGGAGGTGGAGAAAAAGGAGAAGGAAGTGAACCTCAATTAAATTGCAGTAAAGTGACCCGTTCACCCGTGTGACCCGCTCACCCGTGGATTACGTTATATACACAAGCCTTATGTACATAAAATGTACCTATGATTTTGGCGACGCGGCAACAACGCCACACGCAAGCAGGTCTGTCGTTCGAAGATTGACGACCAATGGTATCCGCGAGCTATTTTACCCAAAAGACTTGATGCGGTGCAGAACGCAGGTGGTACAGAGAAGAAAACGAGTTAAGTTGTGCCCCCCGCAAACTCCGACCCAGGACCTGGAAAAATAGAAAGACTGCTGTTGCTGTTGATGATGGAGGGAGCGCCCGATGATGGAAGCGAAAGAAACAGGGTAGAGTGTACTATTTGCATGCGGAAGAGCACAATGAGATAAAAGTTCACAACAGGGGCGGCTCAGTCTACTCCAGCGTACAGGTCGACGACAATGTTGATTGCCGCAACGAGGATTTCGGCAGCAATGAGGATAATGACTGCCATCTTGGGATCAGCACGAGACAGGACACATTTAGACGAGACATTTACTTACCAATCCATTCCAGCATTTCGCCGTGGCCATGGCTCAGCTGGTCCTTCAACACGGCTAGCAGATCCGCAATGACATCCAGCCGCTCTGTGAGGAGACCAACCCTTTGGTCCATCTCCAGATAGCTACGGACGGCCTGATACACCGGCTCTAGATGCGGCTCGACCCAGAAGAGCTCGGGGGTGTCGAGCACACTTCCGTTGAGGTGGATGTTGATGCGGAGGATGAAGAGCTCTCCGATCTGCATGTTGATTTCCTTACGACTGAGGGCAATCTTGCCCGTCATGGCGATCTGGGTGGGGATGTCTTTGCACTCGTCGACTGTGCTCGCTATCATTTCCTCGAACAGGCTTGTCTTGACACTCTGAGCCAGTGCGTGCGAGATGGCGAGCTTGGTCATGTAGTTGCCCTTGTCACGCAATGTGATGAAGTCGTTGTATATCCGGGGCTGGTACTCTCGGGTGTAGTAAAAGTTGAAGCACTCGGTTTCCACGTCGGCCGACTCGAGCTTGTCCAACTCAAACTTTGCAATGTCTTTCAAGAATCGTTGTTCATGTGCTAGTGTCATGCCCCAAATCACAACCACGCCGTAGTCAAAGATGAAGACCTCAGGCGTGTGTACCTGGGTGTCAAAATCTGGGTCTTGCCGTCTACGGCTGTTATGATCTCCCTCCACGGCATCTTCGTGGTCAGGATACGCCAGATCGTTGTTGACATCCCGTCCATTGCCGTAGGTTGGAGATCGATCCATCGCGGATGTTGACACGTCGAGAGAGTCTTGCTCCTGTTGTTTATGCTCTTCTCGCAAGTCAATGAGGTCGTTCTCTCGCCGTTGCAGCTCAGAGGCCTCCTCGAACTGGCCTGTGGAATGACGCCGCTCCTGACTGTGCTGTGCCGAATGATCCATGGCGTGATACGAATTCTCCTGCCTCTGCGCGTTCTTGCCACCGTTGTAGTTATATGGCGAATAAATGCACTCATCGATAAGTTTCGGATTTGCGCCCCGCGCTTTGCTCTTGCCCTTGAGGAAGCGCATCAAGTCCTCAATCTTGTACTTGTTGGCCGTGCAATATGCTGTGACTCGTGGTAGCCTATCTCGATCTGCTTTTCCCAGTCTTGCAGCATCGCGACGCGCAGTAGGGTCCTTGATCCGGGTAAACTGCGAGTAGACGTCACGGCCGCTTTCCTCATCGAATTCTCCGTCCTCATCTGGCGCTGGCAAGAGCTTGAGCTTTTGGGCCGTCTTGGAACTGCGCTGTGGTCCAATCTTTGGAAGGGGCCCAATCGACGGGGGAAGTGAAGTGAAGCCGGCTGCGCCACCATGGCTGTTCCGTCTCCGCAGGCGACTATTGAGAGCTGAGAGCATGGGCGGCGTGCCGGACGTGGAGGAGGTAGCAGCAGCACCAGTGATGGGCACGCCAGGGGTCGATCGGGACCGATTGAGGATGAGCTCTCGTGGATTCGGTGTCGGCGATGAGCTGAGCGAGGCTGGCGCTGGACTTATGGTTCGGCTAACGGGATTGGCATTGAAGGTGACAGTACGCGGCGGTTTGGGACGAGCGGTGTCCTGACGCAGCAGCGGCGCCCGCTCGCTGGTTTGCGTTGAACTCATGATTGATTCGATTGACTGCTGGTCGAGTGCGAAGACGACAGTGATGGCTGCTGGGTGGGCTTCAGGAGCATTCCGCGATAAGAGTTGAGCGCCGTGTTCAGTGGTGGTTGGTAGCACTAGTGTGGCCAGCCGGGCCGATGCTCTAACTGTGCTCTGGGATGGTCGCCGCTGCGAGATCTTCAGAATTGTCGGACTACGAGACTGCCCATAACCTGACGCGAACAACGGCGGTTGCGATGCGGTGGAGGTTGTGAGGGGCGTCTGGAGAGGTCCCCAAGTCGTCAGGCAAGTCGGTGGGCTGGGAGGCTGCGGTTGTTGTGATGCCAGGATCACGTTTTGCAGATGGTGGTGAGTACCAAAACGGCGCTGCAGGGAACAGACGTTGACGTCAAGCAGCAGTGGGCCCCGGAAGCTCGTGCCTTCTGCTGCACTAAAGCGTCTGCAGCTGCATTTCCCGGGGGTGCTGCCCCACGTCTACCAGGTTTGCCAGACCACATCAGAAGCTGCAGACACCACGGGAGCAGCACTGGTGTGTCTTAAGCAGTCCACGGGCTTCTCAATTTAGGTTAGTGGCGATTGAGACACATCGTCTCACAATTTTCAGTTCAATCACATGCGATTTCATGCGAGAGCCTCTGCGGCCACCTTGGTTGCAGAAGTCTATTGTTACACCGAGCTGTGCGGAAGCTGGAGGAGATACCTAGCTGCGCCGCCGGGCTCGCCATACGATCCACCATCTCAATCATCTCAAGCATCAACCAACTCAGACTCGATCTTGAAGCCGCGATCGTCAATTCTGTCGATGAAGCCTTGGCCAAGAGTCGCAGGAGTATACACTCCTCCCACCATGGGCACATCATCCTCCAGCATTGTAAGTGCTGCCTGTCCAAGCAACATCGCCGTCACTGTGCCAGAATGTGTTAGCAAGGCGATCCCTCGAAACCAAAAGCGAAAGGGAATCAATCGATGTCTCGTCACTTACACAAATACATGCTGCCGTTCCAATTGCCTCGTGCGTAAGCGAGTTGCCTAGCCTTCCCCGCGGGCGGTTGTCTTTCCCAGGCGGAGAAGTCGGGTGTTGCCACACCGCGAAGCTCGATTTGATCCTTGTGCGTTGACTCGCGCTCGGGTCCCTGGCCAGGCTGATAGTAAAAGCGGCGGAGAAGGGCCCTAAAGGGCGGCACAAAGGCGAGAAGCAGCCCAGCGTAGATGATGCCGTAATGCATAATGACGCCATGCAGCTTGCTCTTAGGCCGCATGAACTCTCGGTACGTGAATTTTGGTCCATAATACTGCTTCGAAAGAGCAGGCTCGCTCTTTGCAAGACCCCATGAGCGAAAAACGATGGCGGCGTTTGTGCGGGACGCAATGGAGGTACAGACAGTTCCGAGCACAGGGATATTGTAGAGTCCGGTCAACATGGAGAATATCGAGGCTCTAGGCGTGGGCTCGCTGCTCTTTACTGGTGAGAGTGCATAGGGCTTGTGCGACTCGCCGATCTGCCGGAGGCCGTAGCTCTCGAAGAGATTCAGGGCCGTGGCGAACGTCCCGCCAGAGGCCTTCGCCTTGAACGTGTGAACGCTGACGACCACGTCGCCCGTGTCTGCTTCCAGCTCCTTCTTGATGGTCTGCGCAAGTACGTAGGCCATGACGTCGGACGGGGCCGACTCGACGCCGTTCTGGCTGATGAGGCATGCCCCGGAACGCTTGGCCGTCGCCTCGTACTTTGTGATCATGTCTAGCGTCCATACTGCCTCGCCCGTGCAGTCAAGATAGTGCGTACCCGCCTCGGCACAGGCCTTGAACGCGTGCTCGCCATATTTGGCGTAGGGTCCCACTGTCGAAATCAGGACGCATGTCTTCCTAGCCAGCTGGGCGAGATCTGCGTCATTGAGGTTGCACACCTCAACTGCTGGGGCCAGCCTATCCTGATTGATCTTCTGGCATTCGCTCACGACATGCTGCAGTTTGTCGGCCGACCGTCCAGCCACGGCCCACCGAGTATTCGTGGGGAACGTTGCTGCGATATGCTCAGCCGTCATCAACCCAGTGTAGCCTTTTGTGTGTTATGTCAGCCAAACGTGCCCAGATATACAACCAAATAATATAGCGTGGGCCGTGACAAGGCGTCCGCGGCCAGACGTACCTGTGGCGCCGAAAACGACCACGTCATACTGGCGGTCGTGCTTTTTGAACGCCATGGCAGAAATGTCGTGTCACCCGTTTTCGAATGCTTTACACCGTTGGCTTCAGCTGCTTCGGGTGAATCTGGCAATGGCAACCTTTGAATGTCGGCCCAAATTGGAGCAGCTAAGTCAAAGTAAGGACAAGACACAAAGCGCGACTCGCCAGGCGCACACCAGCGGGCGAGGGACAATTATAAAAGACACATCAAAGCTCCGTCTCAAAACACAAGCCGTCGTGCTAGTGGGCACATGTGATTGCGCCAGCGTCGGGGCAATTGTCCGCTCTGGGAGCAGAGTGGCGAGCGGACTGTTTCGACTCCTTTTTGTCAAGGCGCCGTTGATCGGGCTCGGGGAGTTGCATTGTCCCACCCCGGGCTATGAAGAACCCCCAGGCGAGGGGCTAACGCGGTCCGGGCGACACTTCCCATTCTAGAGCAAACGAATACTCAAGATCCTGCACGTTGCGTCTTCACTCCCCGGGCTCGCCGTAACTACGACGAAACACAAGCCGCGTTGTGAAAATGTGCGGAAAGCTGGCCAATAAGGCACGCGGAATGTCTCGGGTACTCTTGGCAACAAGTCACCATTCTCTGGCAGAGGACGGTACCAAGACCGCCCATACCTCGGCTGCGCCGTCACTGTAGCACACATGCACCTGAGGAGACTCCCAGAGGCTGGATCAAACACTCCTGGCAAAGGACCTTTGTTCTGAAGCTGAGTTGTTCAGGAGGGCAGCTTGCAGAAGACCTAGCTTGAGATGATGCCTCGGAACACCCTTGATGCGGTTAGAGCTTGACTGGCGATCTCTGTCAGGGGTCGATCGCTGCACGGCATCGCGCCTGTGTAACACTGAAACAGGGCAGGTAACGAGGAAAGCTTCTTACATAAGGTTTCACGGTTACCACTTCCACCTCCCTAAACCAGCGTGGGAGCAAGTGACCGACTCTGCGGCTGGAAGTGAGTACCTTTGGCATTAGGAGATCTCCTAGCTGAAGGGCTGCAATTCAGAACTGGTGCTCGAGGGCTTCGCATTAATGACAAACACACCTGGGCAACGCAGGCGGCACAGATATTATATAGCCCCTCACCAGAGATTCTGCCTTTGCAAAGCAGAAGACTGCGATGTACACTTCTTGAACAAGAAACTCTGATGGCTAGAAATGGCCCTCTTGCTTAACGGCAGATGGATCTCACAATGTGTACACCTTTCGTGTGGTAGGCGGTACCTGGATGTGTTGGGCTGGCAGGACAGGACCTCAACCTGGCGTTACTCCACCCAGAGCGGATGAATTGTGGTCAGAGCTCCCACTCAAGCCACGTTCGCTGCACATGCGCGAGTGGGCCCGCCAGGCAAGCCACAGCAGCCTCCTACCCGTGGCGGTGCAGAGTCGGCATGGACCACCCACTTCGCTAAATTGCTGCACACTTTCTCAAATTTCGAATTTTCCCGCCAGACCTGGGAAGTGCAGGAAGTGAGGCCCGCAGCGATTACTTTGGACAGAGCGCACCACCCATCACACTCCGTCGTCACTCAACACCTCCCCCGAGCGACAACACCACATATCAGACAAGATGACGAAGCGCACCAAGAAGGTCGGCGTGACCGGTAAATACGGTACCAGGTGTGTAGCATTCTCGAACAGCCCGACGACTCTCGCCGCAGCCGCAACCCGTTTGCTCGCCAATGGATGAATTCCCGCCCACATCGCCCTCGACACACGCCCGTAAAGTCACAACAATCACGACAACGGCAGCGATATGAACAAGAACAAACAGCCGATGAATTCAATCACGGGTTGCGGATGCTTGCGCGAGTCGGCTGCAATTACACGGAGGGCGGGCAAGGCTGACCAAAGTTCGTCTCTGTAATACAGATATGGTGCTTCTCTGCGTAAGCAGGTGAAGAAGATGGAAATCACCCAGCACGCCAAGTACACCTGCACATTCTGCGGCAAGACCACCGTCCGCCGCAACGCTGTCGGTATCTGGGACTGCAAGGCCTGCAAGAAGACCGTCGCCGGTGGTGCCTACACCGTCTCGTATGTCGATCCCTCCGTCCACCACCTCGTTCCTGTCGACTGTGCCCCGTTATCCGCCCAGCCTCTCCCCCGCCGCAGAGAGATGATCACTAACTGGCCTCCCTCAAAGCACTCCCGCCGCTGCCGCCATGAGATCGACACTGCGCAGACTGAGGGAGATCGCGGAGGTTTAGAGGAATGGCGTGGGACTCATGGTGTCTTTTGCATTTGGTTTCGGTGTAACGGGAAAAACGGAATCTACGCATACCGCAGGGTCATGACGATTGACGAAGACCGCCGGTCGCACTCCATAGCGGGCAAAAATGAAAGCCACGTGGGTGGTCAATCACAAGCAAAAGAATCAACAAATTCACAAACAAATACCCAATCCTTGAGAGTGGTCGACCTCGTACGATTGCCGTGTCTTGCGCTCAAGCAATCGACATGGGCGGCCACAAGTCTTTTTTGTATGCTGTGTCCAGTGGGCAGAATGCTAGTCCACAGAACCGGCAATGATGTCGACAGATGCTGGGCATGCTCGCGCCCCCAGCTGTGAGGCTGCAGTCCAGTGTATTATGGGATGCAGACGTCATTTTAAAGCCTCCATCCGCATTGTATCTCGTGTGATTTATACCCAGCTTTATCGTTTAATGGTGCCCTGCGTGTGTTTTGCCGTAGTACTATATATGCTCTTTCGCTTAGTGTGCTGCTCTTAATAGTCCTCCCAAACCCCGGACAGGAAGTGCCTTTTCAAGTTTGTTGCGAGTACTATGTTTTCGCGGAAGAGCAAACATGCCAGCGCTCGACTCTGCCGACATCTGTCGATTATGTCGACGAACTCGAGGTCCACCGCCCTCATGGGTGACAGCCCACCACTCGGGCGCTGCGAAACGATGCAATAGCACCCAACGACGCTCGGTCTTGTGCCTGAAGTGGGTAAAATATACCGCCCATCGTCTATCGTGACCCAGGGATTTCCATGTCCAGGCTTTTTGTTAGCTTCACTGCATTGTTCAACGACGGGGTCATGCAGCGGCGTCCTCCACCAGTGGATCTCTCAGCCTGACCAGGTGGTTGGAAACCCACACTAGTCAGCCTGAGGCTTTAAAATCTGTCACACAATTCGTAGAATCGGTCAGAGAAATTCCGGATCACTGGTGAGGGAACTATTATCCCGCGAAGAGTCAGCCGCATCACGTGGCGTTGTGTGGCCTCACAGCCTGTTTCTTGCTGCGGCCCGCACATGGTCGCGCCTTTGCAAACGTGATGGTTGTGTTCAAGGGTCAGGTGATGGAGGTCGGCGGAGCAAAGAGCACGGCCGCGCCTAATCAGGTCCTGTAGTGTGCTGCTTGACTCACAACGGCACGGAATCAGTTCCAGAAGAGAAAGGGCTTCTGTCATGCCAATCTGGCCAGCTGCCTAATCCTTCCAGGAAATGGCTTTGCTGATAACCTGAGCTGGGTGATCTGGAGGCCATCAAATCACCAGCTTTGAAATGCTTTGGCAGATTGCAACCTGGGTGGAGCCCTTTGGACCTTCCGAATGCTCGGCCGTGAAACATGATTGTGATAACCCCCATCAAGGCACACGCTGGGCGGCTCGCACGTGCAAGCATCTCCTTGGGGAACCTGCCACCTGCCACCTGCCGAATCCACTGGATCCTGTGTCCTCTTCCTGCGGCGGCGCCGGACAAGGACGTGTACTCACCTGGGCACATCGGCCATACGCATACATGGACCGTAGAGTGATTACATGCCTGTCTCTGATGATTCCCGTGAGACGAGACGGAAGGGGAGGGCTCCACCACCCGTGCAGGACCGGGGCTCCGCCCAGGCGTTCTCACCTGAGGTTGAGGAGCCTGTCATCTTGGGCTTGTTCCCCCAATGAGAGGCGAGCCTGGCCGTGGTGACCTTGGTTCGCGAGCTCGAGAGTCATGAGGGATGCATGGATGGGACGGAGAGCGAATGCGCATGCATCATCATCCATCTGCAGGCTCCTCGGGCTTGCAGTGGGCTCTGGTACCTTGCTTGTCCCCGTCTGGCCTTTGCAATCCCGCCTCTGTGTAGTTCCAAGAAGAGTAGCGTAGTTGACGCCATCCGTTTCTGCTGCATGAATGCTCCCACCGGAGATCAGATGTGACTTCCAGAACAGGACCCGCATGTCTGCTATTATTCTTTTCGTGGCCCCTTGCGTGCAACAGAAGTAATTGCACGACTACGTACCTGTCATCTCCGATCTAACTGTCTATCTGCCTGTTTCTCTGCCCTTGGCTTATCTAGGGGCTTGGCTGCTTGGGGACAACAGTTTTGGCTCCGCGTCTTCGTCGACTCCCTCAGGCAACAAGCACCCTTTTTCGGCCCGCCCGCCCTCCTGGCCACTCTGGCTGACTCCTGCTGAACAAGTATCGTGTTGCCGCTGACAGCTCTGCCGCCTCGCGTGTGGCGCCTGGCCGGGACTGAGCAGAGGCAGCCCCACGGAGACAGCACCTGGGCTTGGCTTGGCTGGCAAGCACTGGACGGTCCCAAAGTGCGAGCGAGGAGGGTTAGCATTGGGTGTCCCCACCCTGGCGGCCTGCCTCTTGCTGTCAGGCCCGCCTCCACTCAAGCCGCCTGCCTCCAAGGAGGTCATTCATTCACTTTGTTCACGCTGCCTCCACGATCTCGTTCCAGCAGCCCCAAAACGCCCCCATCTCCTCTTTCCTCCTCTCTCTGTCCGTACTTTTCTCTATATCCTGCCCAGCTGTCCCGGCTTGACATTCTCCAAAGTCCTCTATCCAAAATCTTGTCTGCACTCGCACGGCCGAGTCCTCTGCCTCGCAACCCAGCCCCTGACGACAGCGTGCTCGTCAAGCAAGCCCCGTCCCCATTACATCAATCATACATCTTTTGTCTCCTCGCCACTGCTGCCAGCAGAGAACGTTCTCGTCTGACACACCTGTTGGCACTGTCCACCTGGCCGAGCTACACACCACTTGAGCACAGTCTGCCTGCCTGCCTCAGCTGCCGTGTGTCATCAACATCCCTCCAGCCAGGGGACTCGAGAGACATTTGGCCTGCCTGCATCCACTTGTCCTGCTGCACGCGCCCCAGCAAGGCACCACCCAATCCTTTCAGCCCTTCCGCCATCAGTGGGCTCTCTTCCGCCTACTCTCAGTCCTCGACTCGACTCTGACGACCCCCCAACCTATCCTCCCTGCGCCGTGCACCGTCATTTGCCCACTTTCTTCCTCGCCCACCTGCAACAGTGCACCACCACTACCACCACCACTCACACGCCTGCCTGGCCCTACCCGTGCTCGGCGCCTCGACCCTCAGTATCCGCTCTTGTTCTGCACGCCTCCAGAACACGGGCACGGTCTCTGCACATCTGTCGACAAAGCCACTTTCATGTCATTTATCGGGCTCAGAGGTTTCATCATCTCCAGCTCTGATGGCTGACCAGTGCATCGTCTGTCTAGAAAATCTAGACGTGCAGCCTCCTCCTCCGCCGATCCTTGCACCCGAGCCGCCACTACTTGGTGACGACTTACAGCCCACGGCCGCGGACTCAGGCTCAACCAGCCCGACAACCCACGCGACAAATGGCAGCCTCGCACCAGCACCTGTCTTCACAGCTAGCCTTTCCAAGCAGCCAGACACCATCACCATCAACAACAACAGCAGCAACAGCAGTAACGACGAAGACAACAGAGTAGCCGTCATTGATGTCTGTGGACACACTCTGCATGATGCTTGCCTTCGAGAATGGACCGGCAAAGCAAACAGCTGCCCCATCTGCCGCCAAGCGTTCCATTTGGTGCACGTCTATGATCACGTCGGTGGTAAGCATCCCGCACGCTGCAAGAAGCCAGATGCACCTCTGAGAGACCTCGAAACTGACTCCGCATCTGTTTTTCTAGGTACCAAGCTACATTCGTACAAAGTCGAAGACAAAAAGCAGATAGCCGAGTTCGACCCGCAAGCATGGCTAGACGAGAATCCCGAACACGATGAGGAACCACGCCCATGTCCGATTTGCAACCAGGCTGATCACGAGGAAGTGCTCTTGCTCTGCGACAGCTGCGATGCACCGTACCACACGTACTGCGTAGGACTCGATAGCGTCCCTCGCGGCCACTGGTTCTGCATGGAATGTACCGAGGAAGGTGCAGAGCTCCTCGCGCAGCAGCTCGAGGACCCTAGTGTGGCAGCAGCCAACCTTGCCGGCTCAAGTGATCATCGCTCCGACTATCTTCCACGCACCCAGGCAACCATGCGCCGGGCTCGCCGACGAGCACGATCCGACGAGTGGCAGGGTGCCTGGGGTCAACTTGCTGGCCACGTCTGGGATGCTCTGAGCATAGACCTTGATAATGATGACGATGACGAGTCGTTGGCAAACTACCGGCGATCCCAACAGCGGAGAGAGCGCGAGCGACGAGAATACGAGAGGTGGCAGCAACGCCTCAACATCGCGAGCCGCCTCGGAGCTCATGACGTCTTCGCCAGCAACCTGTCTGGCGTGCTATCGCGACCGATTGCGCCGCCTCCACCGCCTCCTCCCGAGGAGACAGGGGAGGAAAAGGAAGCGTGGAGTGCTCTTGACAAGGCCATGGAGGCCAGCATCCCAGCTCAAACAACTCCCAATACCCGCAAGCGCCGGAGGTCGCGGTCCGTAACTGCTTCACCGGTCGAGCCGCCGCAGGTTGAGCGCAAGCTCAAGCGGCCCCGCACGAGAAGAGTCCCGACTCAGAGCGAGGGCTCATCCTCGAAAGCCACCACTTCATCGGCGCCGCACGCTCAACAGCAACAAGCATCGACGAGCAGCCGTCCACCTGCCGCGCAGGCTCGGGACAGCGAGGTCCCCTCATTCCTGTCTAACCTTCTCAAGGAGGTCGAGGTCGGCACTAGCTCCGAGGACGAGACCATTAGAGTCATGCTCGGCAACACTCGATCAGCCCCTGACCCATCCTCTCCCGCAACATCTCCTGCTGCATCGGCATATAGCACCCCTCGTGCGCTCTCACTGACCCCGCCACCACAACGAACGATCGGTGAGCGAGTTGGCTCCCCGCTCTCCTTGTGCTCACGCATCGAGCCTATATACCCTCCGGCAAACTTTTCCCCAACCCGAAACGGGTCTCCAACGAGAAACGGCGGCGATCACAGTGATTCGGAGACCCGATCTCGGTCACATTCTGTATCGCGGCAGCATGCACAACACGCACCGCAGCAGCTACACCAGCAGCAACACCAACACCAACCACAGAAGAACGGCAACGTTCAAGCACTCGAAATCCGACAGCCGCGTCCGCGTCGTCAGACGCCGAGCCATGTCGCCACCACACTCTCAGCGGCCCCCGACGCCATCTCACCCACTCGCATGAACTTGCCATTCGAAACCAAGGAGAGCATCAGCGGGATTGTAAAGAACGCCCTCAAGCCGCACTGGAAGTCTGGACAGATCACAGCGGATCAGTATGCAGTCATCAATCGTGACCTTAGTCGAAAGCTGTACGAAGAAGTCTCGCTCGAACGGTCTCTGACCGAGGATACTCGCCAGCGTTGCGAAAGGATTGCATCAAAGGAGGTGTCCCAAGCCGTGGCCGAGCTCAAAGGCTAAAGAACGGTGTTGTGCGACAATGTTACGAAGTTACGAGCCCTGGAAGTATTCACTCAGGCATATGGATGGCGTTTTCATCGGAGTTGGGTAAATAGCTGGGATCTGTCTGGGTTATCATCATAGGCGTAACGGGATCTGGTTTGCAATACCCTTGGTCCGTCTCGCAAGCGAGCATTGTAATTTTTCATCCTGGCATGTTTGGATTTCACGGAGGCGTGTCATCTTTTGCTTCGGCGATCGCTTGGATCGGGAGCTGACCTGCAGCAGCATCTTTTGACGCAAATAGCAACATGTTTTAAGCTACACTCAAGAAAAGACGGTCAACTGTATATCTTCTGGGGAAAATCGAGGCAAAGTGTGAACATGATGTCGAGTGAAGCAACTGATACCATCCTAGTCATGCATTTCACTGTTGTTCCAGCGGACGAGCGTCCAAGTGGAAAGGACATACTGCCGGCAGTCGCGGTTTGGTACGAGCCTCATCGCGCACAGAAAACTGCAAAGAAAGTCCTCGCAGCCCCACTCTAGGAAAGCGGTCAAGTGCAAAGCCCAGTCCCCACCGTGCGTGGCCCAGCCACCAAAGCAGAACAAAACCAAGTGGCACCGCTCGCCTTTTCCGATTCTACTCTTCTCTCTCCTTTCCTTCTTCAATCTCAAAGGCGCCATTTCCTTATCGTCAAGACAGTCTCTCTCTTTTCTGAACGAAAAGAGCCGTGAAGTCCTGATCATTATTCAGCGTGCCTAGATTGAACCACACCTGCCAGTCTTTTTTCGCTAGCGGAGCCTGAGTTTAACCAATTGCTTCTACTGGGTATGCCGTTAGATAGTTACTGCCTACATATTCCCTCTCTCTCCGTCTCTCTCCCTCTCACTCTCTATCTCTTTTCCGTCTCGTTTGGCGCGTGCACTGCTCGTTCCCCCCCGTATGCCGCGCGAGCAAGTGTCCTCATTCTCTCTCTCTCTCTCTCTTGTGACAAACCATTCGATGCTCGTATGCTCTCATACCTATGCTGCGTTCGCATTGTGAGGCCTCGTCCTTGACAGGTCCCGCCGTGGGGAATTGTATGTGCGTGTATGGCGCTGGTATGGCGTGCGTGCGCATGTGTTTGTGTGTTTGTGTGTGCGAGTACTACTCGTTGACCACATACACCACTCACTCGTGTGTGCCATGGCCACTCTTTCTTTTTCTTGCTTCGAGAGAACCGGCATCTCTCGTCTCTGATCCCCTCCTTGTTTTTTTTTTTTGACATTGTGTGTGGTGGCTGTCTCTCCTTCCTGCTGCCACGACCGCGCGGACTAAAAGGGAAGGTCAAGAAGCCGGAAGCTCATGCAGCTGACTGACTGGCTGGCTGGTTGGCTGGGACTTTGTTCCCCTGCTTGGCTCGAGGACGTCCTGGTTCCACATGATCAAAGAGCCCCATGATAGACGCTGTGTGCGCTCTCTTCCCCTCTCTCTTTATTGCCAATTATGTTCTTCGACCGCGAGAGACCAAGCCTTGATGCGGGACCGAGAGCAGAGTGGGCAGTGGTGCGTGCGACATACGGCCCGCCGTAGGGGGGGGGGGGACAGGGTGATGGAAAGGACATGAGAAACCGCGCGCGAGCCAAACTTCGAATTCAGAGCGGGACAGACAGCATCCGACCAGTCTTGATCAATGCTACGAGCGAGCAGCAGCAACGCCACGAACAGGCCGCATTGCAGCCTCGAGTCTGGCCAGGCGGGTGGGATTTCTCCCCCTCCCTGCTCAGCAATCTTCTTTCACTTCTTTGTCTGATTTTTCGTCAATCCTACACCCACGCAAAGTAAAAGGTAGAGGGTTAGGACCGCACTGTACGCCCCCCCCCCCCTCTCTCTCTCTCTGCCGGCCTCTGCCGGCCTTTGCCTGCGAACGGAGAAATGGTATATGTGAGGTTGACGGCTCCAGGCGTAAATCACTATCATGGGGTTTTGATATGTAGCTACAGACGAGCCCTCGCTCTCTGTATATCTTACTCTCCATGCAAGTGTAGACCCTGTACATTCACAGCTTCTCCTGAGGCCCGGGCCCGGGCCCGGACCTGTGCCTGCCACCTGTCCGTTGCCGGACGAACCATCCATGACCCGAAATGTGAGACCTGGTAGCAAGGCCTGTCATTTAAGTTATCCGGCGAGCTTGTTGCTAGATACTGATTCCGATGAGAGCCATTCCCACGTGTCTTGTGCACAGCCGGTAGTGGCGTCTTCAATGCTAAAAAGTGATCGTATTCTTGGAGAGGCGAGAGAATAATGTGTCTCGGTCTGGGCCTTCCATGTGCAGCCTGCGCCGTTTGCTAAAGTACATCCCGGTAGCCGGCCATATTGCTCTAATGGGGTCCAGTCGCCTGAACCGTTGCCGGACAAAAATGCATCGTCGAATCAGAACTAAAACCCCATCAACGCCTGAACCATCTTCCCAAGAATCATGCAGCCATTCCGACGAAATATAAAGATCCTGTGTGACCAGCATAAGAACAGTGGCTCTGTGGAGCGAGCCTGGTATCTCCCTTGACACGAAGCATAACAATGAAAAGCGCAAACCATGTGCAGGAAACATTCGACATGCAACGCTCAGCTCGTCTTGGCTCCACCGGGGACCGAGGTCTCGTCGTCGCTATCGGTCGATCCGGAGCTGACATGCCGCCGCAGCGCAGCACCCTCGTTGTGCTCCATATTCTTCAACTGCTCTTTCCGGAGGAGCTGTTCACCAGATTCCACTTCAAACTCTTCCTCTTCCTCCGAGTCTGTGTCCTCGCCAGGTCGCCTCTCGGCCGGCACACCACCCTTGGCAAGGATCTGCGGGGTTTCCTTCGGAAGCTCACCCACGGAACGTCGGCTCGTAGGGCCAATGACACGATCCTGGGGTAGTTTCTTGATTGTTGGGTCGTAAGCCGCAGGCAATCCGACAGCCACGGCAACTCGATGAGCCTCTTCGTCTGCTGTAATGTTTGGCTCGAGGTTGTACAAGCTGCTGTTCTCGCTGTCGGCCTCGTGCTTGTTGCCACCTAGGAGATGAATATAGTTCTGTCGAGTAGGGTCGCCCGCTCGCTTGAGCTTCTTCTTTTCCCGTTTCTCCGTTGGGCGGACCACCACAACGGGAATTGGCGAATACTGTAAGCAATATTTCGAGAAGGAGCTGCGATTGACAAGGAAGCCCTGCACGCCATCCAAACTACGTCCCTTGGTTCCGACAATAAGCATGGAGGGCTGGTACATCTTGATCTGCATGGCTGTTAGTCAACCTTTGGCTCGCAAGACTGGAAGATGTTATGCGACGCACCAGATGCTGAAATGTGTTGTGCAGCTTGCCCACGGCATACTCAAGAACAAGGCTGATGGCGTGGTTCTTTGTGTTCTTGGCCTTGATCGAGTCCATCAAGGCCTTCGCATCGTCCTGATAGGCCTTGTCGGCCAGGCGTATCTGGGTCTCAATGACGCGCACGCAGACTATTTCGTCGCCGTCGTCGACAAGCTCGTCGAGCAGCCACTGGAGGGCATGGTCCGAATAGGCATTGTCGTCTACGCCGACCATGAAGGTCCGGTGCCGTCGGCGCCACTGGTAGCCGGCATGGCGGACATTGAGGGTAAAGGCAATCGGGTTGTATTCGGTCGATTCACCCAGGGGGATGTTGTCGAACGCTACGTGCGAGTTGAACCTTTGGGTCCGCGATTGTGTTAGTGTCTCGGTCGCCATTGCTGTTGTCGGGACCTCCACTGCGCCGGAGGTGGTCGGTCGGTGGCTCGCTTCGAGCGGTAAGAGCAGGAGAATGTGCGGCGGGCGGAGGTAGAGGAAGCTGTGACGTGCAAGGGGGTGGCCTGGTGGAGTGATTACGGTACGATGGGCGGGCCGGCAGGTAGAAGCTAACGAAGCTGGGGATTGCCGAGGGATTGTGTCTTGTTCGTCGCCGCGAGCTGGGCTCTATGGATGATGGAGGGTGTGGAAGGGGGCGGGGGAAAGAAGCCTACTGCTCATTTGAGGGCCTTGCTTGGCTGGTTGAATGCCCAGAGGACTGCGCCATCGTCTGGTCAGAGGATGGAGTCATGGGCAAGCGGGGTGTGGTGGTTGTGGTGGAGAGGGACTGGGCAGGTCAGCGGGTCCGAAAGCCACGACAGCTGGACCAGGCCGGCCCAGCGGGCACCCCGTTCCTCTGGCTCGACAGGCAGGCGCGGTGCAGGCCCCGGGCGGCCAGGCCAGCAGCACTTGCTGCCACCGCTAACCTTGGAAGGCTCCAGGCCCCGCGGGCCGCGCCCTCCACTCTTGCTGGGGGACGCCACGCCGGAGCCGGCACATGGCATCTCTCGATGCGGATGGTCTACTCGGCGATCCGGGGTCGGGTCGGCCCTGCTTCGTTCTCGGACATCCTCAATACCCCGCCGCCCTCTTCGCCCTCTTCCTGCCTGCAGTGGACAATGCCAGGGCGACGGCGATGATGAGAAACTTCCAGCGTTCATGGCTCGGCACCTTCTGGGCTCCATTTGGGTAATCGTGCCATGGTCCTTCTTGGCTGGGCGGCAGAAGACGTCTTGCTGCAGCAGAGCTCAAGTGGCCCCGACACATCAGAGAAGACACCACGCCGGTTTGAACATGCAGCAAGCAATCACAATGGCAGGAGATTGACGAAAGCGTTCTGCGTACTTACCTCCTGTGAGGTGGCGACGATGCCCTGATGCGCTGGGGATTGTGTGGTTTCTTCGAGCCTTGTGGAAGGGTGATTGACGTGGACCGAAAGGTGATTGACGACACCGAAGTCTTCCGTGACGGCGGGCCGATACTACTGGCCTGGCTCGAGGCAACGTCGTCCGAGCTCGAGGCGCTCGCTTCGCTGGCGATCTCTACGTCCCGTCCTGCATCTTTCGGGCTGCCCGAACTGGCCTCGGGCCCGGCTTGGTTGCTCACCACACCTGAACGGCGAGCTTCCTCAACATTGGGTGCATCTTCGCGCGCTTCTGCACTCGGCGATTGGGGTGCGTCGTCGAGTACGAGGCTTTTGGAGAGGTATGCGGGCAACGCTGGAAATGCGTGTGCAGCCTCGTCGTGGCATTCGTCGATTCGGTCCAGAGACATGCCAGGCTGGGGTGGGCAGTTGAGGATTCTCGCAGACGACTTCGAATATCCTGTGGACGGTCTTATGGCCTGGGGAGTAGCCAGCTGTCTGTCGAAACACCTGACTCACGTTGCCTCAGGTAGAGGGCGGAGGAGGCTAGTTCGCAGCTCAAGACATCTGGCGAGGGTTCCGCTTGGGGGTTGCTCACAAGCACGAGGTCGTCGGGTTGCGTGTTGTGGAGAATCCAAGCAAGATCGAGTTCGTTAATGGAGTCGGCTGTCGTGGACCGGAGTCTTTTGAGAGCAATGGCGACCGTTTGTGTCTATGTATGTGCCGTAAGGTACCTCAGATATGAAGGACGCCGAATGTAGCCGCCGGTCGGGGGCACTGTGCTGGCACAAAGGGAGAACCGTCAGCTCAAGAATGTATGTGTATGCTCGCTCGGGCCAGGCTTTGGTTGCAACAGAGAGCATGCTTTGCGCCACCAGTCATGGCTGTCCGCCACCAAGCAAAGACGATGCGATTCTGTAAGCCAAGCGAGTGACGTCGCGAGTCGGACATCTCTGGGCATGCATGCGCAGGCCAGGCCCTCGCTGCAGGTAGGTGCGTAGAGGGACAGCAGAACATGCAGCAGGCGTCCAATCTCGTGACACTTGGGGCGGTTTCGTCCACTGCATGTCGTATGTCTCGTTCTGGACAAGCCTAGGCTGCGCTCCAAGCTGCTTCGTGCCACTGGTACGACAATGAACAGGAGACTTATTGGAGACGTGACACCTACATCTTGGTCCAATCGCAGAAAGAAATGAATGCCCTCTCGGGAGATTCAATGGCGCAGGAGGCGGAAGCTAGAGCGGGTTGTTGTGGCTATGGTCAGGTTGCGTGTCCGGCTCAGAGTGGCACTGTGTGTCAGCGAGTCGGCAGAGTGAGTCGATGGACGTATGGCAGAGTCGCGAGGGTTTGCAGAAGCTGGTTAAAGACGGTTTTTGTCTACGGAAAGCCGAACATGGCGAGGAGAAACAAAAATAAAAAACAGAAGAAAGCACCCAAGACATTTGACGGCAGGCAAGCAGGCGGCCCAAGAGAGGGCCAAGCAGGCTAGCTCGGGCCTGACGGCAGATGACGGTGGAGTTGTGGGTAGAGTGCACGCCAGGCAGGACCCGTGGACGGCCCCGGTGAAGGTGGTGAAGCACACACGCGCGCGGAACCGCCTGGTTTGCTGCTGCTGCCCAATATTGGGCCCTTGTCGAGCTGGAATGGCCAGGGGACCCCCCTGAAGGCCCTGTCGATTCCGCCTCCAGGGCTCTTCAAAGACATCCATCGGTGGTTCTAGAAGTAGAAATCTGTCTGAGATGGCGGCCGTCTAGTTACAGTTGGGGCCCAGAATAATCCGGCCCAACCACCCCACCGACGCGAACGCGTCGCGCCACCTGCAAACCCTCCCTTCTTCAAAACCACCATTTCGAGCGCATTTTGAGGTTATCATGGATGATTTTGTTGCTGGAGTGTGCGCCGATAGGCTGCCGAAGCAGGATTTCACTCCTAAGAAGAAAGCAGCTATCTGCGCCGCCCATTTCGCAGGTGTAACGCACCGCCGCATTGCCGAGCTTACGCGGGCCTCCAAGTCAACAATCACCCGCATTATCTCGGACTGGAAAAACAACGGCAACCTAGCCAAATCGCCTCGGAATGGTCGCAATGGATTCACAAATGCCCAGAGAAGGCGCGTACTAACTATCGTCAAACGCAAGCGAAAAGCGACGTGGCCAGAGATCATACAAGCCATGCCCTTCCAGATCTCCAAGACATCTATAAAGCGCATCATTCACGAAGCTAAGCTACGTAAGTGGAAAGCTCAGAAGAGGATTCCGCTATCTAAAGAAGCACGAAGAGCTAGGCTTGCATTTGCAAGAGAGTGGCTACCAAAAGTCGACGAATTGCAGGAGGTACGTGTAAGTGAAGTTGGTGGGATTATCCTGACTTGATCTAGGTGATTTTCACGGATGAGTCGTCCTGCCAGAACTCCACGAACGCACCCGCGCAATGGGTATTCCGCTTCCCAAGCGAGAAATGGGACGACCAGTTCGTTAACCTTAAATCGCACGTTAAGGCGAACCTATCCATTATGGTTTGGGGTGCCATATACCTGAAGAACGGCGTGGGGTGCCGGTCAGAGTTGGTGATAATGCAGCGCGAACCGCAGCCAGATCCTAACAAGCGAAAGAAGGGCTATACGGCCTGGAGTTATCAGAAGGCATTACGCGATGGCTTCATCCCAATATACGACGATTGGCAGGTATTTCAGCAGGATAATGCAGCAATTCATTGCGCAGAGAGTACTATGGATTGGCTCGCCGTCAGGGGCATTGCGGTACTACCAGACTGGCCAGCACACTCGCCAGATCTCAACCCAATTGAGCACATTTGGGCCTCAATGAAGCGCCAGCTAGTAAAACTGTTTCCAAACATTATGGCCCTCAAAAGAAACGACGGTGATACCTCCCAATTTGAGGAGTGTTTGAAGTCGGCGTGGGCAGCAGTGCCGGAACGGCTGATCACAAAGGTCCTCACTACAATGGACCGTCGCCTTCGCGCAGTGGCCCGTGCGCGCGGAGGATACACCAAATATTGAAGCCGCCATCGCCAGCTTCAAAATGCAATAATTACTACTCGATTCTGACCTCGTTTGACGGTTCTGTGGCCTTTTGTCGTGTGCAAGTACTGTGCAGCCAATTTTGGTGGGGGGGCTTGGGCCGGATTAATTTGGACCTGATCAGTAGTGCCTGGTCTGGCACCAGTGACACCGGAACGGCAGCTGCTGCAAATGATGCTGCTGTCCCCCGCAACTGCCTTAGTAACTAGCGACATTCGGTCATGCCACGTGCCGGCTCCCGCCCGTCTCAAACAGAAACAGCTAGTTTGATGCTGGCCTCGAACAGACAGCAAGCAGAACATCTTCACGACGCCCTCGCAATCCTGTGCCGCCCATGCAACATCGCCGGCACATGGGTTGACTCGGACTCTGCACACAGCAAACCCTAGGCGTCGTCCGCATAGGTGTATGCGCTGTAACCTGCACTGGCGTCTTGGCCGTCCCAAACCGGGCTCGTAATGGCTGCCTCGGCGTGGCATGGGCAGTCAGCCACATTCTCTCTCTCCCTCTCCCCCTCTACACAGGACCTCGTAAGTCATCGTCGGCTCGCGCTTAACTGTGCCTTTGTCCTATCCTCCCCCGTCACCGACTATCCCAGGCGCGCCCGGGCCCGCGCAGGATGCAACTTCTTTGATCCTCCAACTGACCAGGGCGGGCGTCTTTCTGGGGCTCGTGCTGCAACGACTGGATCCCTGGCCCGTGAGGATTCGAGCACTTGGCCGAGACACACACCCCTTGTGGCAGGTTTGCCAGCACGGTCCCGCCAGCGACCTCAGCCACCACCGGGCTCAAAGGCACTCACGGGCAAGCACGCCCGGCGTCCCAGGGGTGATCGGCAGGACTGAGAAAGCCGTTGTTCTGGGAGTTGCCTGCCAGGCGATCGGCGTTTGCGCACCCCCATTTGTTATCTCTGCGAAGCGGCTTTGCCATTGTCTCCTGGCGACGGCGACAAGAATTGCCCAGCCGGACTAGGCGGCTTGTCGCAGCCACCAAGCTTTTCCCCCAGCCGTCTTTCCCGTGCGCTGCCGTTTCCGGGATATCCGCCCCTCTATATACCCAGAAAAGAAGGAAAGAAACGGACAATGGGAACTCGATCAACAGGCAGAGAGACAGACACCGACCACCCACCCCCTCCAAGAAGAAAAGGGCAGGCCCGCCCCGCCTAGGGTTGCAGGCTGGCGGCGACAAAGACATGGATGCCCTCACAGCAGCACAGGCTTGGCGAGCTTGGCGCACAACCGTAGGGTTCAAGCTGGCGTCCGAGCGGTGACGAATCGCTCTGCCAAGGAGAGCTGTTGCACAGAGCATGTGGGCAGCTGCTCGCGTCCTCTGATTCCTTGGCCAAAGGCCATGCGCCTGCCACTGGACAGGTTGGCTACGGAACTTCATCCCGGATCGCTGATCTTGAGGTGTACCCCCGAACGGCAAGCCCCGCGAGCCTGCCAAGTGCGATAAGCGTAACGGAAGTCCTACACAGTACAGTACATTGGAAAACATGTCGAGACCCGGGAAGGGCCTTGGGGAATGCTCAACCCCCTCCAGAAAATCAAGCCACTTGGTCCTGTCAGCTCACGTTTGCTCAGTAAGCCAGCCACTACCCGAGCAAACAGTATGTTGCCAAGATATGCCAGACGTTGGAGCAGAAAGTGCGATTCACATTTCAGACATCAATCACAAGGCTCCACAAAATACACCAGCGGCTACAGCCGTCCCGGGCTTAGCAGCCCACATCTTCTTCCATGGGAATGGTACGCTTACTAAGGCTGGGAAACATCTAAACTTTTGGCAGCGAAGCATCTTCAATACATGATTATATCATGCCGTCTAAATCCCGCCAACGAGGCGGACCAAGCTGCATGCATACGGCCGCGAAATAGTTTTGGTCGCGAGTTTAGATGGCCTGTGAGCTGCATAGTTGAGCTATCAGCAAGCAGTGAGAGACGAGCGCACAGGTGCATTGCACTACTACCTCACCCCCTTTCCGATGTCGTCAACCAACATACTCCTCATGCAAAGCCGATGCTGCACTACGACGCAGTATTTGCAAGGAAGACTTTAGGCGAAGATCGCCTGGCATCCCAGCGGGATCTGTGAGGACCCAGTCTCATTGCTGGTGAACTGGAACCGCGACACAGTCTGGCAACCATGAGGTTTGGACACCGTCTGGAGCCCGTGCAAGTGTGCAAGACGCAAACCGTCATTGTCACGCCGTTTCCATGGTCGGGCTAGCTTCACACGTCAAGGTATGCATAAAGGGCAGTCATTATGTCTTTGTACTTTATTCTTTTGAATTTCATAGCTCTCATCCACTGCTTTGGCTCCAATATCTACTATTTGTGCGCCATTCGCCATCTTGGTTTGGTGCACCTAGCGCACCTTGACGATGGCCAATTGTCTTGACTATATTTGTCACCATCTGCTGCCGGCCTTTCCACGATTCGCTTCGCCATCAAGCAACTCATCGTGGCGCGGCTTTTTTTTCTAACTCTTTCCCCTCTCTCGTGGCCGCGAAAACGTGCTTGCCAGTGAGACGCAATGTCCCAGTAATCCAAACTTGGACTTCTTATCGGCGATGGCACGCCTGTGATAATACCCCTGACGCCCTTGAAATGCATTCGTAATGAACATCAGCATGCGACTGTCCTGTCGAACACGGCGTATGCATCATGTGAAAGTGATCATCGTCGCTAACGTGACAGGGTAGCCATGACCCATGAAAGTAGGGGCCTTGTCTTTTTGCTTCCAAGTCGCTGTGGGCCACTTGAACAGCTTAGTTGTAAGTCCGCGACAGGTTGCGCAGATACCAGTCAACGAGCTTGCGGCCAACCTTGGCCTCGGAGATGTGGATGAGGTCCTAGAACAACATGGTTAGCATGGGGAAAACTTCCAATATTGACTCCTTGCCAAGCATATCCAGGGGATTCTTGGAACTTACTCCTTGCAGGGCATAGTCGAGGTCGCTGACGTTGACCCACTCGCCGTCCAGAAGACCCTGGTCAGCCCACCGCAACTGCTTGGTCCGCTGCTTGTTAACCAGGAGGTAAGAACGCAGCTCCTCGGGCTGAACCTCAAGGAAGCCGGCGAGCTTCTTAAGGTCCATGGTCGTGTAGAGGCGCAAGTAGGACTTGACTGTAGGGCTCCACATGTTGGTCTTCACCTCGTCCATGAAGACAGAGAGGTGGTGCTCAAGGGGGTCGACGTTGCTCTCCGGGTTCTCAAAGTCCGGGGGCACAGGGGAGATGAACTTGGGGCAAGCAGCACGGAAGAGCTCCTCGAAGATGGGGAGCGACTCGGGGCCGCCACGCTGCAGCTTAAGCAGCTGGTCGCCATACTTCTCCCGCAGGGCAGTGTGGATGGTGTCGTCGAGACGGGTGGGGTGGAAGGCCACGCAGATGGCGATGAGCGCGTACATCTGGTCGTTCTTCTTGGTGATCGAGTCGTACTGGGCGTTCTTCTGGAAGTTCTTTGTCCGCGAAACATAAACCAGGATGTGGCTGAACATGCGGATCGCATCGGCGTAGCGGTGCATCATCATGTAGGAGAAACCAACGTAGTAGTAGGTCGTGAAGTGGGCAGCCATGACACGGGCGAACATGGCCTTCTTGTTAAGCTCGATGTCGTCAAGAGTCTTGAGCGCCAAGCTGAAATCACCCAGCAGGCAGTGCACCCGGAGTAGACCGATGATGGAGAAGTATCCAAGCATGCGGTACAAGGTCTTGTTGCCGTACTCGCCAGCGACGGCAGTGGGGTCCTCGTTGCGCTTCATGGCACCGAGCTGCTCGCTGATCTGCGATCTCTGGATCAGGGAGTACAGGACGTTGAGGACACTGTAGCAGCCCCATGTGTTGGGGTTCTCGCGCAGGATCTGCCTCTCCTCCTCATTGTCCTTTGTTTGCCTGGCAAGTCTCAATCTGTACGAGCAGAAGGAGTTGAATTGGTAGATGAACTCGTCGATGACATCCCAAGCCCAGTAGTGCTATCATGATGGATCCCAGAGTTAGCAAGTGTATTTGGGGTTGCAACAGAGCTGCATCAAAGCCGCGCAAGTCCATTTCCAAAAGTATGGGGGTGCTGTCGACTAACCGAAGGGGGCTCAAGGTCGACAGGGCCTTCAGAGTTGAGGATGAAGTGGAACAGGTTGCAGTACGAGTCGTAGCTCTGGAACTTGACTTCGAGAGGGGCAGAGAAATCGAGGGGCTGCGCGGCCGCAACGAGTCTGGACTGGATGTCGTCGGTCTGCTGAGCCATGGTGAGAGAGTCGACGCGCTCGAGGTCCTCCATGCCGTCCTCATACTGGACCTGCTCCCGGTAGTCGGCAACGAGGGCCTCCTCCTCGACATCGCTGTCGTCGCCAAGGGCGCGCGAGGGCGCGTTGCCCTTCATTCCACTCATGATGATTCGGGCTCCGGGTCGGTCGATTGCTAAGAGGCAAGTCGCTTCGTGGAGGGCGGGGTCGTATGCGTAAGGGCCGGGAAGGGGAGAGGCGAGTTGGCGGCAGGCGGCCGGGTGTTTTGGGTGGGCGTGTAATTTTTGGCGATGTCTCCCTCACTGGGCGGCGGAGAGGGGCAGGGCCGCTTGACGGGCGGGACACTGCAAAAACGAGCAGCGCAACCGAGATTTACCCATAGGGTTTTTGTGCGGAAGGCCGATAAGATAAGGCAGGTCCCTCCCTCCTCCCGGTAGCTCCTGCCCATGCACCGCGGGGTAATCGTCACAACCAGTGACTCAGCCCGGCCCTCCTCAGGCTGATCATGAGCTCTCGATAATTGGTAAATGGTATCCTGGTAAAGACTACTCTTTGAGTTGATCTAGTAGCTTTATGTATTACTTTTGATAGAGACACTGGGCGAGTCGTACCAACACTACATCCAACTCAAGCTGTAGAATCTGCGGTGTCAAGCTCCAGACGGTAACGTCCAGGATGTTGTCTGGGGAGTGAAATCAAGACTCAGCAACTATGATTCATTTCACATCACATGGTTCTCGAGCCCAACACCCATTGCTTACAGATACTGTGAGGAATGCGAAAGTGGTCCTGCAGATGGGATTTTCATTGGACATGGGAGGTGGGCTGCAAATCATTCTTGCACCTTGCACCTTATTGTAACTGCAATTCTTGCCTTCACTCTATACAGGAGCCATCAACCGTTATATATAAAGTACTTTCTCTTCCTCCAGACCTTGTCTAGGCATAAACCTCATATTTACTCGAGACAGAAGTGACCAGCGTGCAGCAAAAGCCTGTTGCATCACCTGCCAGATCCCTGCAGGTGTCCATTTTCAGGCTGTCAAACCCAACTCGAGCCACTAGCCGTCTTTCGTCATAGGAAGACCTTTGTTTGCGACGGAGCGACTTACACCTCCATCGCACTTCGTCCTTGCTCCGCCCCGTCCGCTCGAGCTTCGTCAACACCTTGCTCTGCTCGACTAGTGTCGAAAAACAAACAGACACCATGCCGGTCGTCACTCCAGAGAAGCTTGCACAGCTGCAGCAACACTCTGACGACATCAGAAATGTAAGCCTGGACTTGGTCCCGCATGCGAGATCGGTTCTACGACTCCAAACTGACACGCTGTAGATCTGCATCCTGGCACATGTCGACCATGGAAAGACATCCTTGACCGACGCCCTGCTCGCCACAAATGGCATCATCTCACCAAAGCTAGCTGGCAAGATCCGGTTCCTGGATTCCAGGCCGGACGAGCAGATCAGGGGCATTACCATGGAGTCGTCGGCCATCTCGCTATTTTTCTCCATGCTCAGGAGGCCAGCACCTGACGCGGCTCCAGTCCCCAAGGAGTACCTTATCAACCTGATAGATTCGCCCGGCCATATCGACTTTAGCAGCGAGGTCTCTGTAGCCTCACGTCTTTGCGACGGTGCTGTCGTGCTGGTTGACGCTGTCGAGGGAGTTTGCAGTCAAACCGTGACGGTCCTGAGACAAACGTGGACCGAAAAGCTGAAGCCGATATTGGTCATCAACAAGATTGACCGCCTGGTCACCGAGCTGAAGATGACGCCTGGCGAGGCTTACTTACATCTTAGCAAGCTGTTGGAGCAGGTCAATGCCGTGCTCGGCAGTTTCTTCCAGGGAGAGCGAATGGAGGAGGACTTGAACTGGAGAGAACGGATGGAGGAGCGTGTTGCAGCTCTGGCAGCCAAGGAGGCCGCCATTGCTGATCAGACAACCGAGGCGGGAGAGCTACAGTTCGAGGAGCGGGACGACGACGAGCTGTACTTTGCTCCAGAAAGGAACAACGTCATCTTCAGTAGTGCCATCGACGGCTGGGCATTTACCGTCCGTCAATTTGCTGCGCTATACGAAAAGAAACTGGGCATCAAACGCAGCATCATGGAGAAAGTCTTGTGGGGTGACTTTTACCTCGACCCGAAGACGAAGAAGGTGCTTGGCCGCAAGCATCTCAAGGGCAGGAATCTGAAGCCCATGTTTGTTCAACTTGTGCTAGAACAAGTCTGGGCCATCTACCAGGCTTCCACCGGTGGGGATAATGGGAGAGGGTATGTGTGCCACAAAAAGTCCCCTATAAAAAGACTGTGACTAACGACTGCTATAGTGACCCTGTCCTTCTCGAGAAAATTACTAAGTCTTTGGGAATCTCGATACCTCCTCATGTAGCAAGGTCCAAGGACCCTAGGCTGATGATGACGACCCTCTTCGCCTCATGGCTACCGCTATCTACAGCGCTGCTGGTATCGGTAGTAGAATCTCTCCCATCCCCTAAGACCGCACAGGCGGAAAGAATGCCAGAGCTCCTCAAGAGCTCGCCAGGCTTCGAACACATTGACAAGAATATCCAAAACGCCATGGTTGATTTCAAGACAGCCAAGTCCGAACCCGTAGTGGCATACGTCAGCAAGATGGTTTCGGTGCCTGAAAGCGAGCTGCCCCAGAACAAGCGGCGTGCTGGTCAGCTCAGCGCGGAAGAGGCAAGAGAGCTTGCTCGGAAGAAGCGGGCAGAGCTGGCGCGCGCGCAGGCCGCGGAGACAAACGGTGGTGACGATTTGACAGCAGCGCTCGACAACTTCTCCATCGACAACCATGTTCCCGAGCTTGAAGAGAAGGAAGCTGACCCGGAGCACCTGATTGGATTTGCGAGGATATTCTCTGGCACTCTGAACGTCGGCGACACGATTTACGTGATACCGCCCAAGTTCTCGCCTGCCGACCCCCACGCCGCCCCGCAACCACAGCAAGTCACCGTCACTTCTCTTTACATGCTGATGGGTCGGAATCTTGAGTCCCTTGACTCTGTCCCTGCGGGTGTGGTCTTTGGCATCGGCGGGCTGGATGGCCGCATTTTGAAGTCTGGCACGCTCTGTAGCCAGCTTGAAGGAGCAGTGAACCTCGCGGGTATCAACATGGCCGGGAACCCTATCGTCCGGGTAGCCCTGGAGCCCGTCAATCCTGCCGACTTGGACAAGATGATTGAAGGCCTACGCCTTCTGGTACAAAGTGATCCTTGCGCCGAGTACGAGCAATTTGCAAGTGGCGAGCACGTGCTGCTGACTGCCGGAGAGTTGCATCTCGAGCGGTGTCTCACGGACTTGAAAGACCGCTTCGCAAAGTGCGACATCCAAGCTGGCGCACCCATTGTCCCTTACAGGGAGACGATCGTCAGAGCAGAAGAGATGAAGCCTCCTGCGAACAAGGATCTGGGCCGGGGTGCTGCTGTGGGCACAACGAGCTCCAAGCAGGCTACCATCACAGTGAGAGCTCGTCCTCTTCCGGCTGAGGTGACCGAGTTCCTGCTTAAGCACTCGGGTTCCATCAAACGCTTGTACTCGGAGACCAAGACCGAGAATAACACACAGGAAGAAGACAGCAACGGTGAGATCGACAAGGTCGAGGCGGACGTGCTTGCCGAGGAAGGAGGAGTGACCCTCTCCCCGGAGGAGCTCAAGACAGAACTTCAAAGAGTTCTCGAAAAGGGCAAGGGCAAGGAAGCATGGAAGGGCATCATCGACAAGATCGCCGCATTTGGCCCGCGCCGGATAGGTCCAAACCTGCTCATCGACGCGACCAAGGACGGCATCTTTCCAAAGGTTTTCAGCGAGGTCACGACAGACAAGGACACCGCAACGGGCGGCGCAAGCATCGCGGCCGACGAGAAGCTCAAGGCCGAGCACCTGTGCGACAAGATCACCTACGGGTTCCAGCTCGCCATGAACCAGGGCCCGCTGTGCCACGAGCCGGTGCAGGGAATCGCCGTGGTCATCGAGGACGTGGTCATCAACTCGACCGGCGGCGAGGAGGAGGCTTCGGCACGCGACAGCCTGGGGAGACTGACGGGTGAGGTCATCAAGACGGTGCAGCAGTCGATACGGCAAGGATTCCTCGACTGGTCGCCCCGGCTCATGCTCGCCATGTACTCTTGCGAGATCCAAGCCAGCAGTAAGTCTTATGCCTCCCTTGCTGCAATCCTGACCTTAAAAAGTGCACACACGACTAACCATTTCCCACCTTTCTTCTTCTCCCCCCCACAACAGCCGAAGTACTAGGTCGCGTGTACGACGTCCTCACCCGGCGCCGAGGCCGCGTCCTCTCGGAGCAAATGAAGGAGGGCACGCCCTTCTTCACGATCCAGTCCCTGCTCCCCGTGGCCGAGTCGTTCGGCTTCGCCGACGAGATGCGCAAGCGCACCTCGGGCGCCGCCCAGCCGCAGCTCATCTTTGCCGGGTTCGAGGTCCTCGACCAGGACCCCTTCTGGCAGCCTTTTACCGAGGACGACCTCGAGGACCTGGGCGAGCTGGCGGACAAGGAGAACGTGGCCAAGCGATACATGGACGGCGTGCGGAGGAAGAAGGGCCTGCTGGTCGAGGGCGTCAGGGTTGCTGCCGAGAAGCAAAAGACGCTGAAGAGGTAGTAGTAGGCTGGCCAGCCAGAGAGCCAGCCAGGCAAGTGTCAGGACAGGATGAAAAGAATACAAAAGATTTTGTAGGGAAGAGAGGAGATGCAAAGCATGGAAAATGAAGTTTCTTGATGGTTTCAGTCCTCAAAGTATATGACACATGAGCCGCTGGATCGCGCGCAGTCAAGCAATAATCATAGCAGCCCGCTTTGTCACTTACGAATAGAGAAGACTCGGCAGTAGCGTGGGTGAGTGAGTGCATACAGCCAAAGAAACTGCACATTTGACACAAAGTCGTTGCTGGAGACCCCCTGCAGGATATGTACTCAAACTTGATTCTGAAATGCCCGAAAAGCAGTATTTAGGACGCCATTAGATACAACAAAGAGAGATCAGGTGGCCATACAGCTCCCATGACTGATCATGCTTGACAACCATGGGGCATGATAGTGACATTAAATGATGGGTGGTTAATGTTCATTGAAAACAAAGATCCTGGCTTTGCCCGCTCGCTGAATGCCTGCTCGTTTTGGGTGCTTCGTGAAGGAAAGACGGCTGAATGGGACGGTGTCGTGATCCCAGGGTTTTTGTGAGTGGTCTGGCGGTGCTGCAGTCGCGCTGTGATATGTCTGTGCAGAGTACCTACCACCTGACTTGTGTGATCGTGTGTGCAAGGTCAAGCAAAGCTGAATGATCAAGTTCTCAGTCCTCCCAGCCCCAGACCTGACTAAGGTATTTCTCCATGTTGACACGTTTTGACTTCATCTCCACCATCCACGGGTGCTCCATCATTCTCCAAGGGCTCGCACGTCTCGATGGGTCCTTCTCCAGACTAAGGGCGCAAGTTGTGTCAGTGTGCATACTTGCTATATTGATCAAATGTAATGTAGACTTACCAGCACTCGATGAAGTACTTGAAGTTCTCACTCCAGTAGATGTCGGCGCTCGGCTCATCCTTGAGCTTGGGGATCGGTTGCCGCACGATATAAGTCAGCAGATCAATGAGACCGGCTTTCGGCTGTGAGTCGGTGCCATCGGCGGGGAACGGGAATCTGTGCTGTGCAACCTCTAGCAGCGTGACGCCAGTGGACCACACGTCCGAAGTGATGGTGTAGCTCTGGCCGGTGATGCGCTCAGGTGCCATGTAGTAGCTCGTGCCGATGAATGTGTTGGCCTCGCCCTTGGTACCAAAGTCGCCCGAAACGCCAAAATCACAGAGCTTAACGTCGCCCTTGCGGGCCAAGAGAATATTGGAAGGCTTGATGTCACGGTGGATGATCTTCTTGCTGTGCAGGTACGTCAGGCCAGCGAGGACACCCTCGGCGATCTTGCCAAGCACCTTCTCGCCGGTTCTGCCACCGAGCCGCTTGACCTCACGGTAGATGCTGTCTAGCGAGCCACCTTCACAGATCTCCATGGCTATTGAGATGGTACCTGTGGTAGGGTCGTCGAAGACGCCATAGTAAGCACAGATGTGCTCGGACGCGCACTCCTTGTTGAAGTTGATCTCGCGCACGATCTGCTTCTTGATGTCCGGGTCGGGGTTCGTGGTGATGACCTGGTGGCCGATGTTAGTCTTCGAGCCATTGGTAGCAAATGCAGTTGTTGGCTTACCTTTAACGCGAACATGGTTTTGCCCCCCTTCAGCTTGCACTTGGTGACGGCACCGCCCGCTCCTTCACCAAGTCCTCCAAGCTCGACGATCCTCCCTTCGAGACTCGCTATCCTCCAGCCTTCATCGTCGAGGGCTTCCACGTCGGCTGTTCGGGCCTTCTCCAGGGCCAGCTTATCGAAGCTGGCTTCAAGCCCTTGCATGCTGCCATCGCGCTCCATGCCCACGCCGCCCTCACTCCGCTCCGAATAGATGGAGCCGACAGCAGAGGACGGGTCCGGGGTCCCATGCGTCCTCGCACCACCAATTCCATATTGTGAAGCAAAAGACAGGGCCGAGAACTGTGACCCAGCCGACGTGGGGTTGCTAGCACGGCCATCAAACGGCCCAAAGCTGCCAGACCTCGAGTGGTCGGCACTGCTTTCACTACCGCCACTCGCCGACTGCCCGGGCTGGATCTGGGGTACGGAGCGAGCCTGCTCCTGCGGGATTACCGAGCTACCCATGGGAGTGGCAAGGTGCAACGTGGGGAGTGCTGGCCGGGCCTTGGGCCCCGGGGTGACTGGTTTGGCATTGGGAGAAGGAGGGATCGCGAGGCCGAGGCGAGGCGTTCGTGTGCCGCTTGCGCGGCCGCCAGCAAGGGCTGGGCGCAAGAGCGGCACTGGGGATGCGGACAGGTTCGGTACAGAGCCGAGGTTCGATTGATGATGCTGTGGAAGTTGGATTGGGTTGAGAGTTGGAACTGAAGTCTGTGAGGGGGGTCACGATGTCAGTGAACGGATACGGCTGGGACCTTGTCCCAAGTCTACTAGATCGCGCGTCTTTGACTTACAGGCTCAGGTCTATGAGCTGGCGCCTCCTGGTCGGCCATGGTGGGCTGATGGTCGTTGGACAAGCTACCCGAGCTTGGGTGGAGATGCCGGAATCAGGTCGATCTGGTGGGCAGAAGGGTTGGCTGGAAAACCAGGGTGCTGTCTAGACTTGATCGACGACGACCTCGGTGACAGAGCTGCGGGTTTTTGGGAAGGCAAGAGAGTGAAGCCGCAACGAAGTCTGCCCTGACGAGGTCGGACCGTTCGAGCTCGAGGGGTTTGTTTGAGCGGAGGGGCTTGCGGGCGAGGCGAGACACGAGCCCGACCAAGGGGTCGTTTTGGCAGGCAGTCCCGAGCGGCGAAAAGTCGAGCGGGGTCCGGCAGCAGCAGTGGGATCCTGGCCACCAGGCACGCAGGAACAGGGCAGGCCCAACTGCAGTAGTGTGCCAAGGTGGGACACAAGACAAGTCACACAGCGACAACGGTGGTGTCGGTGGTGGTGGTGATGAGAATTGAGGGCGGCTGATCGAGTGTGCCGCGTGTGTCTGCAATGGTGTCACTGGTTTCTTTGAGGTGAGCAGAGGCGGGAGCAGAAAGATGAGCTGAGCAGGAGCATCGAGCGAGGACGGGAAGAGATAGACTGAGCAATGTGAAGGCAGGCAGGCAAGCCAGGCACTTCGGGCAGGCCTACGTTGGTCAAGGTTGTCCACTGTGTGATGGTGCACGCACAGTGCTGTGTGGCAGTCCTCGAGCGCCTACGGCGGGGGTTCCGGGGGTCGGACAGCCCCAGTCCACCAGTGAGTGGCCAGCCAGTGGCCAGTGGCAGCGATGCCCGCACCCGTCGCACGGCACAGCGAGAGCCGGCACCTGCCCAACTGCGCACGCCCGCCCGTCCTGTTGCTCGTGACCATGGCAGGCAGCTTCTCGGAATCGGTCAAGCTTGCTTGCCTGCTTGCCAGGCATGTGCCAGCGCATCCATCCCGTCCAATCTCGCCTGCATGCCCGCAGCTGAGTCCAATCCAACCCGGTCGCTTGCCACACTGCACACACATCATGCTCATCTCTCCTCGCGGAAATGATTGCTGCCATGGCTCTGTCATTCCCTCGCATTCACGGCCGGCCTTGTTGGACCCGGTGCCAGTGACGAGTCGCCATTCGCTCGTGCCCGCCCCGGTCTGTGGCAGGGGTCCCAACACCATTGGCGACGCGAGGGATCGCCCGGCGCCTACTGACACCAAGGTAATCTGCGCAAGCGTTGATCATTTGAGCTTCCGTCACCACCACAAACCTCGTCTGTAACGGTTGGTGTCCTGTTTGGGGATGGCCGTCCGCATTGTGCCCCTGAGGCGCCGTCCTTGATTACGGCAGCTCTTAGGACAAGAAAGGCACGCCTTATTGGCCTGCCCCGCCAAAGCCAAATCATCTGCGTCGCTCTCGTCCCATGTCGTCTGGGCCGTCCTTGCGGCCGTCCGTACCCCGAGCGTGATGACGCTGCTTATCCTTAGAACTTACTGCCGGCGCATGCTGCAACGTGGTTCATCGAACCATAGTTGAATGTAATCAGACCTGGTGCTCGGCATCTTCGGCTTGATGGCTGTCCGGGGGGGTGTTATTGGGGGCCGCGCAACCAGGCCAGCATATTCGCAACCATCACCACTGGTGTCAGACGTATGACGACACCTCTAGATTCGGGCCTGGGTTTTTTCTTCGAACTCGGGAAGCTCTTGCGTCCTAGTCTCCGTCGCCAGTCGGTGCAGAGAAGCACAACCACGGGCGCAGGCTGCCTGCCCAGCCGCACTGCTAGAGTCCTTGAGACGACACCTGGCTCTGGCTCGGGCTGCTGACCAGATGTGCGACGTGGCTCTATCAGTGAGAGCCGACGACCCATGGCGAGTTCAAGTCCTGAGCTGCACCGCTGTGGCCAAAGTAGACAAGCTCGCGAGAACGCTGACACGAGGACCACGCGACCGGTTCGAACCATTGGCCAAGCCAGAGCCACGTACATTGCCTACTAGGCACAGACTGGCCCAGCACAGTGGCAAGCTTGAAACACATCAGCAGGACGGGCACTGATGCGCACGTCTGATGCCACGCGTGGTCCTGGAGATGTTTGCCAGAGCGGCGGCTGTGTCTACCCACGACACGCACGCGAGCCTCGACGGATGGTGATGATGATGCTTGGCGGCGAGAGGGTTCCGGACAGCTCGACGGCGGCTGCCGATTGGCCCTGTAGGCGCGCGGGGGGGCCGGGGAGGACGGCGGAAGGTGGGGCGCTCCTTCCTGCCTCCGCTGACACGGCGCCCCACACGCCCAACTGCCGCCAGGACCCCTGCTCTGCATCGTCGGCCAGCTTTTTTTTTTCTGCACGCCAAAGCACGGGCACGGCCACCAACTCACGACCAGCCGACCTGCCACACGGCCAAACAACACGGCTGCGCACCAAGTCACCCAGAAGCTCCAGCACTCGAGGCACCAGCACCGCCATGCCTGCCGCTAAGGTTCCCAGGCCGAGGAGACCCTCCCCCATCCCGTCAGGCTCAGAGGACAGCAATGCCTCCGCCGCTGCTTCGTCGGCTGCCTCATCCAGCCCCGGCCGCGATGCTGATGAGCCGGGAGTGGAGCTCGGCAGCGACTCCGAGTCGGATTCCCTAGACAGCTCTGCGTCCCGGAAACGGAGAAGGCTCTCGCCCGGTGCAGCGGTCGACCCGGCCTCGTTGTTCAGTGCTCCCTCCCGCATAAAGCGCAAAGATGGCCCGGCCTCGCGTGCGGCCCCTGCAAAGGAGCCGGAAGCCGGCGCCGTGGCTGTTCCGGCCGCGTCCGTCACGGCTCCCGTTGACACCAAAGCTTCTTTCGAGTCCTTGAAGCTTCGGCCATGGCTCGTGCAGTCGCTAGCCAACATGGCCATCAAGCGTCCGACCGGCATCCAGAAGTTGTGTATCCCAGAGATCCTCAAGGGCCGCGACTGCATCGGCTCCAGCAGGACAGGTTCCGGAAAGACCGTCGCCTTTGCTGCGCCGATCTTGCAGAAGTGGGCAGAAGATCCCAGCGCCATCTACGCTGTTGTCCTTACGGCCACGCGCGAGCTCGCCCTGCAAATCTACGAGCAGTTCAAAGCCATATCGGCGCCGCAAAACCTCAAGGTCATTCTCGTCACCGGTGGCGCAGACATGCGTTCCCAGGCCATTGCGCTCGCCCAGAGACCGCACGCCATCATTGCCACACCAGGCCGCCTTGCAGACCATATCCGCTCGTCAGGCGAGGACACAATCTGCGGCTTACGGCGAGTGCGTTTCGTCGTGCTCGACGAAGCCGATCGCCTGCTCACCTCGGGCGGGCCCGGCAGCATGTTGCCCGACATTGAGGAATGCCTCGAGGTATTGCCTCCGTCAACTCAGCGACAGACACTCTTGTTTACGGCCACCATCACTCCCGAGGTGCGCGCCTTGAAGGACATGCCCGCCAAGCCAGGCAAGGAGCCCGCGTATGTCTGCGAGGTGGACACGCAGCGGCTCGCCGTGCCGACCACGCTCCACCAGATGTACCTGCAGGTCAACGTCACGCACAAGGAGTACTACCTGCACGCCTTCCTGCTGACCGACGCCAACGTGGACAAGTCCATCATCATCTTCTGCAACCGCGCCTCGACGGCCGAGTACCTGCACCACCTCCTGCGGCTGCTCGAGCACCGCGTGACGTCGCTGCACTCGAAGCTGGCCCAGCGCCAGCGCATCGACAACCTCGGCCGCTTCCGCGCCTCGGCCGCCCGCATCCTCGTCGCCACCGACGTCGCCTCGCGCGGCCTCGACATCCCCGAGGTCAGCCTCGTCGTCAACTACGACGTGCCGCAGGACCCGGACGACTACATCCACCGCGTGGGCCGCACCGCGCGCGCGGGCCGCAAGGGCGACGCCGTGACCATGGTCGGCCAGCGCGACGTCGAGCGCGTGCACGCCATCGAGGCCCGCGTGGGCCAGCAGATGGACGAGTGGGCAGAGGAAGGCGTCAACCTGGAGACGCGGTTCGTGCGCGACTACATGAAGGTTGTCAGCGAGTCGAAGCGCGAGGCCCTCCTGGACATTGAGGAGCACCGCGAGGTCGGCGGCAAGCGGAAGCGCACCAAGATGCGGCTCGAGTAGGTCGTTTGGCGGGAGGACTTGTGTGTGCGTGTGTATGTGTTTGCATTTAGCGATTTGAAAGGCTTGTCATGGCGTGTGTACAAATTTGGAGGGGGCTATAGATTAGAGGTGGCTTATGACTCACAAGATTAGACTACAAATTCATTGTCTCCCGAAGACGAAACTTTGAGGTTGTTTTCTGTTTGGGATACTGTGTTGCCTACATTGTCACCGAACGTACTTGATGTTTTGTAAAACTACACATGGCTTTATCCCGCGACTGGTTTGTGCTGGACCTGGACCAACGGGCTCGCCTGTGGAACCAGTCTTCCTTGGTTGTCCGAATACGGCTTCCACCGCATTTGAGACTGAACTGCTCTACAGAGTGAACCATGAACCTCGACTATTTACCTTCATTTATGCAGACTGAACCGAGACGCTAAAACAGCCGGAAAGCTCAGTTTAGATGGAGACGGTGAAGATTCAGAGAACACAAACACAAGAGCTATGGACAAGGGAATTCCCGGTCATCAACTCGGCTGCCAAAGTACTGGTCCATTTCAAGTCAGCAAAGTTTTCCACCTATATATCTGTGCGTTGATACTCGATTGTGAGCCAGCACAAGGAGGAGCACCTCAGCCCAACAATGAACACCAATCCTCGATTAAGTTGATTCACTTTGTATGATAGGAGGCAGTTATGTGAGTCAGAATCGTCTATTTCCAATGGGAAAGTCTTGCAGAGTGTCTACATTGAGCGGGTTCACAAAAGGTCAATGCCTGTACCTCCACCGCGTCATAGTTTTGATGGAAACCACTGCTGCCAAAGTGTCAAAGTTGTGCGCTCGCTTCCTATCGGAAGATGGCGGAGCAGTCATGCATACAATACCGACACCGGCTCCCGGGAAGACGGCTCATGCTACGGGAGTAGAAAAGCCCGCAATACATAGCGAAATACCTACCGGCACTGTGATTGTATAGACGTCAAGTAGCATTTTTATTTAAATCATTAGGCCCTCAACTTTTCCTACTGTTCTCTATTCTGTGGAGGTATCATAGGGGTGAAATTACAGACTGACATAAGCGATCTTTCAACGGCGAGAGGCGTGCATGTATGACTGCCAAAGCGAAAACGCGCAGCCCGCGCCCGGCCGGAGGCTGTAGACAACGCAAAAGGGCCACTACGCCTAAGCCGCTACATGATTCCAAAGCAACATTTGTGATTCGGAGGTACCGGTACAGTAGGCTGCTGAATCCCGAGGCCTAGATTTCTCTTCGGGCCAAAAAACCACAGACAAACAACAACTCGAGCCGCGAATCCCGATGTTCCCAAAAGTCTAGTCTGATCCCGTCGTCGTCATATACAAACTGAGCCGACTTTAAGTTTCATACACACCAATGTGTCTCCTCCACATCCCCCTCCCTTCCCCCCCCCCCCCTTGACCAAGGCGCGGGCCGTTTCCGGGCCTATTTGACGGGATTGATTTGATGGTGGGTGGAAGGATGTAAAGTGATTCGGGTAGGCCGGCATATACCAGAGTCCAGACCCCCTTTTTTGCGTCCCCGTGAGTAGAATAAGGTTCTGTCAGAATCGTTTATAGAGTTTGGCCCATGGCGGGGGGCCGAGAGACACTGGCGGCGGCGGCGGCGGTGGTGGCGGTGGAGGTGGTGGTGGTGGTGGCATGATGAATGTCTCACAGCTTCCGGGCCGCACCGGCTCCGCACATACCGAGGCACACACGCGCCGTATAACGCCGTGCCGCCACTTCCGCCTCCTTTTTTCTGGCTCAGAGCTGGCCCGGGTTGGTTGGAAAAGCTTCCGTGTCGTGGTCTGGGCCTGGCACAAAGTATCTCATGTCAGGGGATTATCTCTTTCTTCTAGCTTCCATACGAGCTTGGTCATGGGCGGAAGGAAGTTCCGCTGTCTGTACATGATTGTGGTGGTGTCTCATCCCGAATACTGCATGTTTCACGGAGGGGCTTCTTGAAGCCTCGGACAATCTGAAGGTGTTGTTGATATGTGACTGCGCCATCGAGGATCTTCTTTCATGCGTCCGAGGGACATATTGGCGCTCACGAATCCTTGTAGGGCCCAAAGAGGACGACAACATAGCCCTGGCTTGGCATATAGAGACTCTAGGGTCTTCCAACAGTGCGGGTGCATTGCATGTAGCAGGACATATAGGATTCTTTGACACGAGGACAAGTATTCATTCATACCAAGTTGCAAATACATTCAAGTCTAACTACATGAGCACATAACAGTCTAGTCCAGCTTCGAGGAATACTCATGCTCCACGCCAAACCGATTTCATCGACGCAGACTATAAAGTTACACACTATGAAGGTTAGGGCTAGGTCTCCCATCTGGGTCTGGACATTTTACGCATTCAGAAGGAATACGACCTCTCTTTGCCCATGGTCTGCCCACTCACCCTTGGTCTAGACCTGTCCTGATCTTTCCGTCCAGCCGGTACGCCACGTGCTCCCCCGTCGTCGTCTTGCCCCGTCTTGGCGAACGCAAACAAAGTGCGTAGGGCAACCAGCATCGAGGCGATTCAAGAGGCAGCCCCGTGGCCTGACATATGCTTTCTTGAGACGGTCCCATCACTCGCGCAAATATCCCTACGTGCAAGGCGAGGAGGGCTGGCTATTCAAGAGCACATGAGTTGTGCCTCGTGACGCCAGCAGGCCCGCCTTGACACGCCACGGGTCGCTCCAACTCAAAGGATCAAGATGTATGGGTTGAACCAAGGCAAACGCCGACTCTCTCACGACTGAAAACAGTTGGTACCATCGTGTGTCCCGAGGCTGAGCTGGGTTTTTGCGCAGCAGCAGAGGACGGCAGATGAGGCTTTCTTGGCTCCTTGGGCTGAGCACCAGAGGAGGGCGAGGCCCCGGCAGCAGCTCTCGCAGATAGAGGATCGCGGGCATGGTGTTTTGCCCGGTGGCTTTACAGCCATGGCAAGACCCAAGCAACACGATTCCTCCATGCCAGCTGTACGGGCGGAGCCGAGCGCCTACGACAGCCCTTTGCTGCCAGATCTGGTCATTCCGACCACTCTGATATTGCATGGTTGAGCTTGCCGTACCGTGCACCACACCGCGCGGCCATCCTTGCGTCTCTGTATAATAAAGGCAAAGTGCATGTCCAGAAGCGGAGTTTGATAGTGGAAACGGGAGTGCTATTTTTGCGCAATCTGCTCGCGTATCGAATTCGAGCATGTTGCAGCACACACAGGGACACGGTCGTTTGCCCGATGCGGCAATTGGCATTACATTGTTTCTGCGCAGCGTGAGTTGAGCTCAGCACGCATACGCATACGCAGACGCAGACGCATATGCATGTCAGACAGGCGGAAGTGGCTGCATGTGTTGCACTGGATGGATGGTGGGGAGAGTGTGGGGGGGGGGGGGACGAATGGAGGGGAGAAGGCCCCGGTAGCTGGGGGGATGTCACGTTCTCAGCCCTACGACACTCAGCAACAACAACCACAAACTGTCCCATACAGAGAGCATTGCATCTTCACCCACACACACACACACACACAGGCAGACTTGCCTGCCCCATGTCGCGTGCCTCGCGTGCCTTACTGGAACCCAGGCCAGTCTGGCGTCAGCACAGTACAACCCACCGATCAATCACCGAGTCTACGCCGGGGGGACCGCACCCTGTTGGCCTGATGGACGGCCCTCGCACGTACATGCCACGACATATCCTCTATTCTCCAGGTGCTCGATTTTTCGGATGCTGGCACTTGTGACAACTGTCACTAGGCGTGTTTCTTGCTCGCTCAAGGGCGTCTTGATACCCCCACGCCTTCGCTACGAGCACGCAACACTGGCACCGCTGACAGTCAAGGCGGGCACACAGACACACAGACACAGACACGCAACACACACGTCTCTCTGCCGGACATGGATTTCTAGACGTCCAGGGATACACAACGACCTCGAGCCGTGCGGGCTAGCCGGGCTAGCGCCAATCTGTGTGTGTCCGTTTCCATGGACGCGCTAGAAGAGTGAAAGTCCACCTTCTAGAAGGCCAGGTAAAATCATGATCTGCACGGTCCGCGCGCTCGTCTCCGCGAAAGCCAGACCTGCTATCCTTTTGTCCCTTGATGCCTGTGAATTGGGCATCAGCCTTTCTTAGCTCAGGTTTCGGCGCTGTGACCCTTTTTTTCCCATGACAGAATTCCTCTGGGGATCAGACGAGGCTCTTTAGCGCAAACCCGCCAGTCCTGACGAGAAAATTCAGGGTCCTCTTTCAAAGCGCAAGTGCAATATGGCGGCCCGTCACCGACTGGCACAAGTCTAGTTCGTCTCAGGACCCTCTTACAGCCCGTCCCCGTGATCAGACAGGAATGCGGTGCGAGGTCTGTGGTCTCTTTGTAGATGCGCGAGAGGGCCCGCAAATGCCCTTTGAATGTCTGAGAGCCGGTAACGCCGGGCGGGCTAAGAAACGAAACTAGCCGCCCGGCGCGCGTGCGCGCGCAGAGCCAGAGTCCCGTGCTAATCAGGCAGGACCCTGAATAACTTCCACGACTGACCACCCCATCCCCACAAATGTCCACGGGAAGGGGAGGTTGGGGCACGGCGCCGCGCGGAGCGAAGAAGAAATCTCGAACATATGGATCCTTGTTGGTAGAAGCGCACAGAGCTCTCATCCTCTGGAAAACAAGGGAAGGGAGATCTGCAATTTTGGCGGCGCCGTGCGTGCGTGCGCTTGGGGTCCCCCCCCCCCCCCAGTTGCTGTCCACCTTCCGCCGGCATAGTAGCACCTTTGGCCAAGTTGGTCGTGAGAAGCGAAGCGAAGGACTGCTGACGCTAGCACGGTCCGTCTGGCCACAAACCCAGCCAGCCTGACACGGTACAGCCAGGGAGCAGCTCGACATTGTTTGCACGAATGCATATTGACGAGCCTCGGCGCGCCCGGCAGATTACCCATCAACGACGATGCATGGCTAATTACTGCTGGGATTCTCGTTTCATAGTGAGCAACCGGAGACGCAGTGGTGGCATCAGCACGCCGCTCGGCACGTGGCTGTGCACAGGAAGGGCTGGATCCCGGCGGGCCCGGGACTCCGGGTATTCAAACATGTCTGGAGGAGACGTCGGCCTCGGCCGGCTGCTCCGGTGTCAGAAACCCGGCGTGCAGAGTCTTGGCTTAGAGGGGGGGATGCTGTACTGAAACCCGATGACGCCAGGACACGCCGGCCCAGGATGCGTGCGTGGATGGCGAGGCAGACTCGGAACGTCTGCAGCATGTCCCGCAATGAGACTGCTTTTCAGGATCAATGCCACAATGCCACTGGCTGCGAGTGACGAGGACGTCCAGCAGGCCACTTGACAAGGTTAATTAGCACAACAGACCATCACTTATCGCGAAAGCCACGTCGTTTCAAGCAGGACAGTTGGCAATCTCTGGTTCACCCCGCAAGGTACATTCAAGACACATAGGGCCAATCAAGAGAAAGAACAGCTCAACGACGACCCCGTTCGAAACACAGACACACACACACACACAAACATAACTACCCCAAGGTACGTAAGCAAGCCTTCACCGCGCGACACTGGCCCTGCACCTTCATCTCTGACTGCGTTCTGGATCCCTCAACCTCCAGCTCTGTGCGCCAATCAGGTCCCGCGAACCCTCCCTGCGTGGGTGTCGGTGAGTGACTGCACTGACGGCGGTCAAGAGGCACCGCTCGCATTGGGCTTGCACTAATGGCTTGGGCTTCGTGCGTTGGGGGCCTAAGGAGCATCTGGCAGCAGGGGACTAGGTCCCGGCCAGTCTAAAGAGCGTGCGTGCGGTGGAGACCCCCAAAGGAGGGCGTGTCTCTAACAGCATGCTTACCAAATCTCTCTGCCTGCTAGGCACCAAAGAAAAAGAAACAAAACATGGACAGGGACAGGCCTCTGACCATTTCCACACCGCGATACTGACCCAACAACCAGCACCCCAGCCCAGGACCAGGTCGGCCGGCTCGTCCCTCCGTCCGCCCGCGGCAACCGGCGACCTGGAGAGCAGGCAACGGGGCGTGCCGGGATTGGGCCTGTGCAGTCTTTTGTTGGATGCCTTGTCTGCATTCCTTCTCCCATGAGCCAACGTGAAAGGTGGTGGCAGTTGACCGCTGTCTCTGTCTCCCACGGTAGAGTTTAGGCTACAATATACACAAGGTTCTTGCCAGGAACCAATTGAACCATGTTTGTTGTGCAGTACCGGATACCGGGCCCTTTGTTGGCTGGGCGATACGACCTCGAAACAGCATATGTGCCGCGCATTTCTCGCGTGGCGTGATTGGCTCGCCGGATACGTGTCGCGCACAGCAGCATTTCACTTTCCTCAGGTGGGCAACGCCAGCCCGTGAGATATCCCCCTATGTGTCCAGTCTCTCCAGACATCTTACATCTTGTCAGCTGGCTCAAGCTCGCGAGGGAGGGAGGGAGGCGGTCACCAAGCAAGCCTCAGCTCCGAAGTGGTGGTGGTGACCTCCCAATGCGCAGGTGTCACGTCCGCGATCGCTGCCTTGAAATTTCTCTCATCACAGTGTGTCCCTCTCCCGTCTCTCGGCGTCATGTGCGTTTCTTGATTGCTTTCTTTCTTTCTTGGTTTCTTGCTTGCAATGCATGCGAGCGCCGGCCGCGTGGTGCTCGTCACAACCCGCACCCACTCCATTGCCGTGTCCCCTAGTCACGACGGCCCCCAAAAAAGACGTGGCACGTTATCTAGCCTACCGCATGTGCCTCGAATCACATCTTCGGGTCATTGTTGGGAATGGGGGGGGAGAGACCAATCTTGTGCAGTCAATCTGCCCAGAATCGTCAATACAATCTGTAATTGAACCCTAGAGCCTCCCTGGAGGAGACTCAAAAGGAAACGCTCCGCCGAGGACCAAGATCAACGACGTGACCACGTCACAGGGACGGCTTCTGATTGGTGCCCTGTCAGCTGGGCCGGGCCAAGGTTGCAGGGTTAAGCGAAGAATGCTGGGCTGCGCTGGAGAGTGGCAGGGAATCAAGATCCACACGACGTGTGACAGTCACGGCAGCCGCGTCAAGTATACCCCACATCCAATCATCACCCAACGCCTGAGACCTGGAACTTGGTGGTGACAGTGGTGGTGGTGGTGGTGGTGGTGCGCGTGGGCTGTATGGGATTGTAGGTCGTGATCCGTGGGAATTCTGCTGGCAGCCAGATAAGAGAGAGACAGAGTACGAGAGAGGCGTGCTCCCCCCCGATGCGATGCACACATCTCGATCCTTGCCGGTACAACACCTCTTGTGAGCACAGGGACTCGGCCGACTTGTGCCGTGCGTCCACACACCAGACGAGAACCTGGCAGAACTGGGAACTGTTGTCGTCATTGTCAGTTCCCCAGGGGAGCATGCAACTTTGGACTCGGGCGTGCAGCTGCTCCGCGCCCGCGCGACTGCAGGAGACTAGCTGGTCGCCCGCGAATCTTCTGACGGCCGATTGCGACCGCAAGGATACTCGTCCGTCTCTATCCCCGAGATCAGTCCAGGTTAATTATGTGCATCTCGGGATCATCGGCCTCCGGGCAATGTAGCATCCTGATCCCAGTTCCTCCTCCCACGGCAAGAATCCTTCATACCCTTTGAGACGCACAATCATTTCTTGACACGGATTATCGAGACTGCCCCGATTAGGATCTGGTTCTCTCGTAAGCCATCACAAGTCCCCTACAAAAGTCGCCGGCCGGGTCCATCTCATCAATTACACACAACCACTTCAATCCCTCCGAGAACCTTCCAGAGACGGAGTGCGAGTAGCCCCACTGTTTCCGACCTACCCCTGTTTAGCTCCGGCGACTTTCCTCCTCCTCCACCCCTTTGATCGTGGGCTTAATTAGTGATTTTGCACGGGGCAAGCATCGTCAATATCCTTTTGGCAAGCCCCATCGATCAGATCCGCTTTGTTGACAGCAGCCCGCAACGCATTCCGTCGGGCTCCCTTGCATATTTACATACAACAAGCCCGTGCCCCGTCCCGAATCCCGGGCCTTTCCCGCTCTAGTCCCGTCCGTGTGGATCCTCCTTGCTGCGTGTACTGCGTAGAAGGAGAGAGAGAGAGAGAGGAATCCGTCTAGTGCCAGGCACCACCACATGTAGTGGAGTCCCCATGAGGCTCAAGATGGAGCAACTTTTTCTCCTCACAAGAGAAAAAAAAAATCCACACTTTTCCGCGCGCGCGCACACGTCGAGACCAACCCCTCGGTGGATATCCATGCCGGTCATTCATTTTTTCAACCCCAAAAGAGAACACACGCCCTCCCTGGAAGACAAGGGGTGGGGGGGACCACAAGAAGTTTTTCTGGTCTTCACGTGGGCGGCGTGGGTTTTCTCTTTTTGATGTGACTCTTCACGATCCTTGTTAGGTAAAAAGACTTTGGAGCACCCCGCTACATCGGTGTCCAAGGGATCAAGGGCATTGAGGGGTTCGACAGCTCGTACGCGTGAGAGAAAAAATAAGAGAACAGTAATAGCTTCCCCCCAAGGGAAGAAGGAGTGGTAATCATTATCATTCGATAGCCCGGTAGTAGTTGTAATAGACTAATGCGGTTGACTATCAAGTCCCGATAGAGAGACCACAAAGCCCACTCACTACCTACCTATTCGGCGCGCGATCGACACATCACGATGCGCCTTCACTTTTGACCCCTTGCACCTGAAGAACCACACACACATACACACACACAGCTGAAACCCCGGAGAGCGCCGACGATGCCGGCCCTCTTGCGGAGTTGGGACAAGTCCAAGGGGCCCACCACCAAACCATCATCATCACCGCCCACCCCCGCCGCCGGCCGTGACAGCCGCGTCTAGGCGGACAAACATTTTGGCCCCGCCATGTGCCGCCGTGTCCGCGCGCGGTGGGGACGACTTTTTTTTTCTCTCTCTTTCTCTTTCTCTTCTAGAACATTGTCGCATCTGCAAGCTCTTTTGTTCCTGCTGGTGCTTCGGCTTCGGCATTTGGTCCGTGGACGGACGGACCAGACAAATAGACATATGATGGTGCCAACCGTTGACCCGTCTCGGTCCAGGTTGTCCCCCAGCGGTGTTCGAGATATTGAAGGGGTTTCGGCGGCACGGTTCGCAGTTAAGATTCTCGCCGCCTGGGGAAAGGCGACGCCAAATATCGAAACGCAGTTGGGTTTTTCGAGGTGTAAATCCGCATGCCCGGCCGGATCTGTAAGGCTGACTGACTTGCAGATGTGGGTGGGATCTCCGTGCGTTGCCCGCGTGCCCAAAGTTAAAATGCTGTGAAAGCTCAACTCGGCTCGGCTCGGCGGGTGCGCCGTGCCTGCTTGCCTGTCACACAGGGCAGCCGTGGACCAGTCCATGGACCCCCCACCGACGTCCACAGAAACTCCACCACGGCCAAAAGGTCTGGGCCAATTTGGAACCGTGCCTGCTCCTCCCATGAAACCGCCCTGGTCCACGCCGTGCTACGCGCAATGCCCAATCCTCTTGCGCCTCACACCCGAGCGCTGGCCATCGAGGGATGATGATACCTGCCCACTCCCGCCAAGCTATACGCGCGTAGCAAGTACACCTCCTGCCTGGCCCCTTACCCTTGGGCCCGTAAACATCCAACAAGTGCTTGCGTGCGTGCTTGCGACATCGACCCACGTCTGTTCCCACCAAGCAGAAGGTCTCGAACGTCTCCTTCCTTCAGCCAAGTAAGGGGGGCGTTTATACACGCGTACTACAAGGTATGTAGTAACAGACAACCTGGGGGAGAAAGAGAGAGAGCCCGCCCCACGGGCAACGTACGTCTTTTTCCAAACCGCCCCGCTGCCCCAGCACCACCTCAATGAGTTGTATGAAACGCATATGCCAGTAAAAAACAACAATGGGTTCTTGGTGGTGGTGATATACTACCAAACCTGCCTTTCCGTTATCGCTGACTAGTTGTGAGGCTGCTTGCTTGCTCGCTCACCCGCCGCCGCGTCTCGGCACTGGTTGGTAAGCGCGAACTATGCCCGCCGACCATCGGCCACGCCCAGGTTGACACCATACCAACTTTTGAAGGTAAACCTTTTCTGTAAAGCCTGGCCGGCCCCTATCAGAATCCGCTCCGGGGCGCAACTAACGAGTTGCGGTAATCGGCGTCATGGCCTCTGCTCTGCTCTGCTCTCTCTTTCTTTCGGCCGATGCTTTCGTAAGCCGCAGCAAGCCCTTTTCCAGGCTTAGCCCCGTCGTCCGTCGTCCGTAGCCCTGTAGCCCTGTAAAGCCCCAGTCGCACCTCACGAGAAGAGTGACAAGGATGACGAAAAGAGGACCCCCCGCCGCCGGCCAGCTTTGACAAGGAAAAAAAACAGTGGGATCCGGCGAAGTACGTTGCTACAAGATTTTGTGCGTGCGTGCGTGCGTGCGCACGTCGCTGTGTGTGTGTGTGTGTGTGTGTGTGTTTTCCTTTTTTGCTAGCACCACAACGATGGCGAAAAAGAGCCCCTCTAGTTTTTCACCGGCCTTTGTGCGTGCAAAATCTCTGCGAGGCATTGTCTGCTTTCAGGTAGCCGGCGGCAATGGCAAGTCATGGATGTACAGCCAAGATCAATCAAGCCCGATGCCGTGCACATGCGCGGGCGCACGCGACTCGACACCGATGCACGAGGTGACTCGTGATCCGGGCAGAGGGTGGTGTGCTGCACCTCCCACCAGAGACTGTGTGCACTGTAATCGGCATGTGAGTGAGCACTAGACTGTCTGCTTGGTCATCGCCATTTGCGGCAATGATGTGCGCAGCCTCTACTCACCGCGCCCATCTGATGTGGTCATTGACATGTATGCACGAGTAAGATTTCACTTATGAGATCACAGAGAAGAGAATTGTTTTGAATATGAATTTTTCATTTTTCATTTGTCTGATTCAGATTGCCAGGTCTTCCTTAAGAGTGACTCTTGACTATTGGCTAGTTCTAAACATCCTATTTAGGATGCAGATCGTGACTTCACTCGACCCATACAGCTCAGTCAGGTCTGAGCCAGGGAGCGCCGTCCATTTGATCTTCATATGCCCTCGTGATATCCAAATGTCGTCTTTGTGAGAGTGGTGATTTGGCTGTCGCTGCCAAAGGTGAGGAAAAAGGAAATGGTATATGTAAAGGACAAGATTCCGAAATGAAGAAGAAGAGTCGCTAGTCGCTGTGTAAATGCAATGCCGCCGTTGGTATATTTTGTAAACGCCGCCCAGATGCCGAGAATGTTAAACCACAAGATGCTGATATCGTGTTGTGAGTCTTAGTAGACTGATATCGTCGAGACCAGGCGGGCGGGGTTTCTGGCTGGCAGGTAGAACCCATCCTGGTAGAAGCTCGCCTTGTGGTTGTCGGTAATGTCCTGCTCCTCGTCCTCGTCTTGCGAGTCGAAGAGTGGCGTCTCGGTGACTGTGGTTTCTCTGGGCTTCTGGCTCGTCTCCTTGGCAAAGGCAGGGAACGAGGCAGTGGGGGGCGATGGCGGCATTGACTCGTCCTCTGAAGAATCAGAGTCGAGGTCGAGCTCGGGAGGCGAGGTGACGTGAGAGGGCGATCTGGTGAGGGCGAGGGACTCGTAGTCCTCCTCGTCATCCTCCTCCTCCTCGAGCTCGTGAGTTTGGATTTGTGGAGAGGCAGGGGCGAGGCGGCGGAGAGGAATGGCATCGGCCATCTCGACATCCTCCTCCTCCTCGTCATCGAAGTCGCTGTCGGAGTCCGAAGAGTCGGCCTCCCAGTCCTCCTCCTCGACAATAGAGTCGGCCCATTGCACGTGCCTGTCGGCAGTCTTGGAGGGAGTCGAAGCACCGCGGACGGATTGGTTGAACCAGCTCTCCTGCTCACGCTCGGCATCCGCAAGGTCGAGCATCAAAGAGTCGAGCAGGTTGGCGTGGCCAACGAGAAGGCGGAGGTTGTGGTCGGGGCGGGCAGCCTCGTGGGAGAGCTTGGCCCGGGCCTTGTGGGCCAGGAAGTAAGTCTGGGTGATGGACATCTTGGGCGAGGCCTGGGGTCGTGTCGATGTGGTTGACGGGTTGAAGGGAGAAGACGAGAAGACTGTGGAAACCATCTTGACTGAGGTTAAGAGTCCGTGGGACTTATTGAGTGCGATGGTGCAATTATGGGATGCAATGGTTGTTCGGCAGACTGTGAGTCAGGCACCGGTGGTCGGCCAGGCAGAGAGCAGGCGGCCAGTCTTTGTAGGTGTGCTTGACGATTCGTGAGGCGTTCTGGCGGTGGGCCAGGGTGCGTGCGGTAAGTGGATGGGGGTGTGGTGGATCCAGGCTCCGGGTGTGTAGATAGCAGCGTGGACTGTAGTTGTGATGGTCGACCAGTTATGGTGATATGGTGATTTTTGACGATGACGATGGTTATGGTTGGCGAGGTTGCTGTTTAGTCAAGATGGTCGAGCTGATCCGGTGTTATCGTCTTGCTTCAATGTCGAGAAGAGTGATGTGAGAGACGGGGCCAGAAGACGAGAGAGACTGGAGGGGCGGACGACTTCTTTTGTAAACGAGGCCTGCTGACTGCGTGTCTGGCCGCGATGGAGGTGAAGGTGGCCGCCATGTCACGGCTCGCGTCCGAGTCCGACAGGGCAAAAGGCGGGATTCGGGCTTAACCAGGCGGGTCTTCGTAACCTGCGAGGGAACGTGGCAGGCACGACCCGCTCCTCAGGCAGCCAGGAAGGCACGGCTTTGGTAATCACCCGTGTGTACAGTAATGCACCGCAGCGCACGCCCTTGCTCACCGCATCGGCAACCCCTTCTAGCCTGACACCCCTTCTCTCCCCTCGCACTCTACTCGCGCCATGCTCGCACTCTCTCTCCCACCGACTTTGACACGACACAAGGTCCCTGCACCCCCCGTCCTTGGGGGCGTGTGCTAGCCGCGCCGGCCCAGCCCAAAATCCGCCGGCCGCAGCACATTATTCAGACACGACGCCCGCGGGCGCCCAGCTTTACGCGCACCCTTAACTCATAAGCCCGACACCCACGGATGCTGCGGCCGACCATGTCTCCGAGCCACCCCTTCGATGCCGCGCCGTCTGCTTCGACCCCAGCCGAGCAGCAGATGACTCTGCCCACGGGTCCGAGGAATCCCCTCAAGGTTTCCTGCCTGCTGGCGTGGTGACACATCATCTTGGGCAGTCACTCACTCTCATTCGGTCCCCTTGCGGGCCAAATTTGCCCACTTGGCTCGCTCGGCTCACCCACCCAGGCGAGCGGCTCCTCGATTTCCCCGGGGCCGCAGCCTCGCACGCAACAACCACAGATCCGAGAAACGAGCCGTGGGCTGACACTGACGACGATGCACGTCTCCCAAACCTTGCTACTCCCTTGCAACCGCTCGGGGCCTGCTGCCTGTAATTACGCGTTCGCTGCCTCGACATGGTTGCCGTGCTGTTCCTGGGGGTTGCTCGGGATGTCACGAGAAACGAACTCAGCTGGACGTGCGCCGCCAATGCCGCATTGCTTCTTCAGTGCTTCGTTGCGAACCCACCGCCATGATGGGTTTCTGGGCGTAGGCATTACCGAAGTGCGTGCTCGACCCCAGCAATTGGGTTTCAGTTCAATTCCAAAGCGCTCGCGGACAGGGGGGCTGCCCATGGCCAGTCAGAAGGCATGTGCCCTGCCAAGCAGCTCGCCGCAGCCAGCATTTCCAAGCAAAAAGCTGAATAATGCAGCTGAGTCCCCACGGGCCCATCACAAATCAGCCTGCGGGGTGTGTAGCTTTTGAACCATGATGACTCAACAACCACTTTCACCATGGTTCCAATTCATTCTTGTTGCTCACTTGCAGAACTTGCGACAGGGCGCAATTCCCAATTGCACGCCCCTAGCGAAAGCTCTTGGATTCTGCTCAACTGCTGGACTTGCTCCGTTCCCCACGGGAGCTCGTGCCATCTTCTCTTGTCTTGGTAGCTGTCATAGAACCCCTGCCTAGTCGCGGGGCCAGCCAGGCACAGATTACAGTAAACCGGAGCCCAGATCTGCAGCTGGCGGTTTCATGCTTTCTCCGGATTTACTGGATTCACCAGTCCTGCAAACACCAATCTTTGCTTCTCCACCGGAATATTGGTATTTATGGCTGGTTGCTTTTCTTGTGAACCACGCTGGGGTTACCGGTTCCCTCTAATTTGGAATTTGGCATGGGGTCTGCAGAAACCCCCAAAAAACAAAACGCAAAACATGCGCAGGGCCCACGACCACCCCAGTCGACATGTCAGCTTGCGATGCCCTGATGCGGAATTCCCGCTTTTGGGCTTTTCAAGCGAGTCGAGTAAGTCTCCGGCCATGGGTGGCCGCTGTGTCTTGGACCAATGGTTCAATCTGATGTATCTCGTCGACTACATAGTAGAGATAATTGGCAATCGCATCCCGAGCCGCATCAGTCAATACCTGACAAGATGGCAATAGGGGGCCAAAAAGCATCGCCGCTAATTTGCCCAGGCCATTGTATCAATCCTATGGCTTAAGCCAAGACAATGCATCCTCAGCTTGGATACGGAGCTCCCGAGCTATTTCCCCAGGTTTCTCTGCTCGGCTCCGAATATCGTCGGGACAACAGAGTCCTGGTCTAAGCGCGGTAGGTACGCGTTCGATCACTCATGAATCAACTGTTTGACTACTTCTCGGCAAGGCTAGCAGCCGCAGCATAACACCTGTTACTGACAGCCAGGCTTCTGCCTTGGCCGTGTCTGTTTGCGCCCAGCAGTTGACGGGACCGTAGCCTCCCGGACAGTGTGCACCGGGCCGGCCAGCTGTGGTTGGTTCATTTGCACTTCCGTCCTCGGGCCGGCGCAGCTGAAAACATGACGCATCGCATCGCGTCAACTCTTTATTAGGGCGTGCTTTGATACTCCAAAACCAAAGCATGTGCAGTAGTGACCAAACAGCCATTTGCATGCAAATAGGAAGCCAAAAATGTGACGACTCCAAAAGACCCAAAGGCTTGCATAAGTCCTTCTAGCAAGCACGCTGCGCCGCGAAGCACGCCGAAGATGCGGACCTTGGTCCTCGGGCTAGGTACAACTCCCACTGCACACACACCACACTGCCACGCATTCTAGAACATTTCCATACTTGGGTCTTAGTGGTTGGGAGAGGCTGATAGACTTGAACCTGTCATCGACATAGATGAAGGCATTCCCCCCCTCTCGGGCAGGCCGTTTGGAACAGTTTGGACCGTGTGTGGCGTCAAGGGCGTGCGTGCGTGCGATGGTCGGGACGTAACGATTCAATTCCGTGGCTAGCGCTCTTGGCTCCAGCTGTCACTGCTTTTGAGGTTCTCGTTTATGAGAAGGCGGAGTACACGTGTTTCACCAGTCTTCAAGTCGTTGGCTAACGAGGTTGTCAAAAGCGCACCCGTGTGTTTGTTTTATTCCCAATAACATGCGATCTTTGTCACACTAGCTGGACCTCTCTCTCTGTCTGTCTGTCTGTTGATTTGCAGACAACCCCTCCCAAAAAAACGTCCGGTCGGGTCCGAAGTCGGGAGCACTTGTCTCATCTTTCGACAGTTGAGACGAAAACCCCGTGAATGCAAGTGTCCGAGAGCGGGTTTTAGGGACAATCAATCTGTTGCTCTCTCTCGATCGTACATGCATGTGACATCACTCTCCGCGTCGCTCCCGCCTCCACTTAAACCCGCACTCGCGCGGTGCCGAAAGAGGTAAACGTTGAAAGCAACAAAACCCGTGGGTGGAGCTTCTTATGCCTCCAGCTTGGAACCAATGAGAGTTGTGGTTCTGGGGGGGATGACAAAGCGTGCACCACTCCACCCATATTCACGGCGGGCATTAGAAATACTGAGTTCGATACGAAGGGTGGGGAATCTGAGAGGCCCGGGCTTAAGGGAATGAAAAACCGCGGGGCTAAGCCGGGGGGTAGTAAAGTAGCTCACGTACATACTGTAAACGCCGCGCGCCCTTTTTGCGAGGGTGACGACGATCCCCTTGATTACGTGTGTGTACTTGTATCCCACCCCCACCCCCCAGTGGTGGTATTGTCATTGGTCTGATTTGGCAAAACCCGGGCGGCCGGGTTGGTGATGACTCGGAGATTCGGCGAGGGGAAAAGCTGGGACAAAATGAGAATATTAGATGGCCAGCTATTATCGCAGGGAAAAGGAGGATGACCTCATCATCACTTTGATATGGATTGCCATGATATCGCGCAGCTCTGGGTGGAGATGAGCCACGAAAACGTCGCCTTGTGGTTTCAGTCGTAGTACAATCCTGCAACCGACTATCCGCCGCGCCTGCGGATTGTCTCTCGGTGCCAACACCCGAACCAGGAAATCTTCCAGAACGGAAATTGATAGCTACTCCCACTTCAGAAACAAAAACAGGTCTCAGCCACACCGTTCAAGAACTCGCGATACGGTCTTTGACTCTGCCATGTAGTTCGCCAAGGTCATCCAATAGAAAGCGGAACTGGAATCTTCAAGTCCCGAACTGGGCAGGCGGACCGAAGCCACGACGCAACGCAGACCATGTATTGTGCCTGCCTGGCTAGAAATGGGGAGAAACCTGTGGTGGCGCTGTCGGTCCCAGCTGGGAGTTGTGCGCCAAGTGAATGAATCACCCTAGGTAGGGCTGGGCGGGTGTCTTGCTTCGTGTCCCCCGGTGAAGTGTATGAAGCGTGCGTGCAAGCCACTGCTCGAAGCCCCAGGCAGGCAGAAGGATAAGAGGCGTGCCAATCTCGAGGAGCTCAGCCGCTGGGAGGCTTGCGCAGGCACGCTCGTACAGGCGCGGCGCGGGCGTGTCCGACCTCGATGTAACAATCCAATTGCCATGGAATCGTGTCTTGGAGGAGCTTCCCTCTTGCGTCTCAGCCAATCCTACAGGCTGCTCCGCGTCGCACTCAGCTCGGGTGAAGGCCCCAGGTTGGGGGCGGGGGCTAATCCGTACAGCACCAGCACTGGCCGTGGTCCACAATTTTAGGGCTGTGCTGTGCTGTGCTGGCTTTGGGTCACCGCCAGAGCGTTGGGTCAGAATGTCAGCAGAGGGGGGTGTGCATTCACAGGGTCCCTTTGCGCGTCGACGACGCTTGCGAATATAGTCGACTTATCTCTCTCCTCCTTGGGTTCTTGTCATCACCGGGTGGCAGTGCTTTGTGCGATCGCATTTGCAAATGCAGAGTACCCTTAGTGGAAATTGAACGACTGGCACGCTCGCGTTCCCGGGGATGCGAGACACGGAGATAACCCACCCAGCCAAGGGCGTCATGTCGGCCCCTTTGTGCATCTCTGCATTGGGTTCGTCAGCACTCCTCGTCAGCACGCATTCCCTTTTGGAAGTAGGCGCTGGTCATCGTCGGGGCTTTGCAAAGCGCAGCCATCGCCAAGCCTGCCGTCTACTGCACACTCGCCTAGCAGACGGCGACGTCTCTGGACTGCAGACCTCGTCTACAACACACCGCTCAAATCAGGAATCTGCGCTCGTGACTTCTCTGGCGTGCGTGGTATCGCTGCTTATCACTGCACGGCTGTGCGACTTGTTGCGTAGACTTGGGGCCATTGGCGTGTTTTCTTGACCGCACCATCGGGGCATGTGACCACAACCAGTGCTGGGTGCCTGTCTCTGTGCATCCCTAGCGGTCCCTGTGATAATGACGAGCTCACGATAGTGGATGGGTGCCTGACTGAGGCACCTGGCCCTCTAGTGCAGCGTGCCCTCCTCGGCTTCGGCATAACGGTGTTGACAAACCATCCGTCAAACTCTATGGTGGCTGGGCATACTGCTGACACCCAGAGACTCGGGTCTCCGGCGGCCGGCCGCCCGAGAAACGCAGATCCCACGAGCAGCAGCACAATCTTATCAGCGGGCAAGGGTCGTCCGCGGGGGAGTCATCATCTGATCTGCAGCCCCCAAGGGGTTGGTTGAGCTGAGGGGAGTCACCTGGCCGGCCTTTGCAATGGCGCGAGGTGGGCTAATTAGTCCTCCACGGCTACTGCAGCCTGTCGCCCAGGTGATTCATGCCGGCCAGGCCTTGCTTACGCAGGGGCTGTGGGCGCAGTAGATCACGGCGGCGCGGGCTTCAAGGCACCGAGATTAATTGTGCACTTCACTTCCCCAGATGGATGGGTGCCTTGTCTTGGGCACAAGACGCACCGGTTCCGAGCCAGCCGTGGGGTTTTGGCGAGTTGAGGTGTTTGTTTGAGCGCTTGCCCGCGGACAGGCCCCATGTGACAAAGGAATGATCCGGAGACGAGAGCACTGTCGACTTCCGTCACGTTCCGCGGCCAGGGAGTAGAAAAGCACGCAACCGCTGGAGACGCGCATGCCAGAAGGGCGCGGGGCATCCTGATGCCGACTTTGCGCCGTCGTGTTTTCGTCCGCGGGCTGGAGGGAGTGCGTGTCCATGGACGGACGGCCTGCGTTCCGCACGGTCCGCAGGCATCGTGGGGATGCCCCCTGCCTGTTGCGTGCCAGAGGTCGGCGCCGAAGTGCCCGAGTGGCCGCAGAAAGTGGCCGGGAGGTGAGCTGCCGGGACATCCTGGGCCAGATGGATGCTCCATTCCGCGCATTGCTTCTCTGTCCGTCCGTCCGTGTCGTGTCGCGGATAGCCGTGTTGCAAACGACATGTCCAGGGTCGGTCCCAGGCAGATTGTGACTTGCAAGAGGTAAACTCAATGGACGGCTACGGGGGAAGTCAATTCGGGGCTGGGAAATGAGCACACATCGTCATCGTCGTGGTCCTCCTCCTCGGGCCCGTCTAACAGCCGCCCGCAAGGGTTTGACGATAATCCCATGCAATGCGTTTTGCCCTTCAAACGGCATTCCTCAGAATGGCTGCGCATGCTGGCAGGGGCATCGTGATGGCTCGTGCTTGCCAACAAAAAAATTACACCCACGCCCCTTCTCCCCATCTCTTGCCCTGCGATTCCTCGAAATCCCCGTGTATCACGCACCAACAGATAGCATAACAACTTGATGCGGCAAAACAAGGCACGGTCTCCCAACCACATTGAGACGCCGCTTCTGCTACGCGAAGTAACGTGTGCTTGGCTGTCTCTGGTGGTTGTCGCCAGCGGTGTCTCGAGCTAATCTCAGCCACTCTCTCCTGGACACGGCAAGCTCTGTCGAAGGTCGATGGAGTGCACCTGAGGCTGGAACGGCTGAACAGATGAAACTGGACCACCAAGCGCCGTCGCCATCGCAGACAACCGCCCTCCATGATTCGGCCGCCCTACAGCCCAGTGGAGCCCATCAACACCTTCTGGAAGGCTTCTCTCTCCCTCCCCCGATGGGCGTCTTGGCAGCATACATGGACGCATTCCTCCTCCACCACCACCAGCACAGCCCGCCATGTTCAGTTCAGCAAGCCACGTTCACTTGCTTGCGGCCTGCAACCTCAGATCGGGGCCAACCTAGGTGGGCAGCTCCGCAGCTCTTGCATCGTCGACCCCGAGTAGGCTATCGTGGTCATAGGCAGGCATGCATGCGTGCATGCCCTTGGTTTTGGCTGAGGCCATACCGCGTCGTCAAGCTGACTTGCCCCTGGCAGCAAGGTGTCACAGCCACGATTCCTACCCCAGGCCCGAAAAGCAAGACTTTTACGAAATGCACACGCCCTTGCTCCTGCATACAACCAAGATTGCGCTTATCACGATGATGCCTCAGAAGTCATAGTCATTTCTGCAGCAGGTGTCGGCAGCAACCGCGCTCGCTCATCTCCGGAGTCAAGCACGCCCTGGTACCTCAGCTCATGGTCCTGGCCCTGACAGGATCACATCACCAGTCTCGCCCCGTCCGAGCTGACGTGCTCAGCTCAGCTTGCACGATGGTGCTGCTTTTCTTTCCACATCGCCTTGGCATAGCTCGTGCAGTCTCGGGGATCTCCTTGGGCGGCAAAGAGATCGGATCTTCCGTCTCCAATGATTGCAGCCGCCGCCAGTGCATTGGAGAGGCGGTATCGAAATTGTACGAGGGGAGGTCGTGGTGTGTCTCTGGGGGCTATACAACAAGGTGGACCAGTTGCAGGTAAAACATCGCACATCAAGGAAATTGTTGCCAGTGACGGGAGCCACAGGTCATCCAGGAACTTGGGCCTCAAGTCATCCGGAAAGGGTCCGCGGACACGTTGTGGCGGATGACATCAGCAATCGTACCTGATCCAGGCCCGCGGCTCCGAAAGCTAACCCCCGAGGACCCTGAGATTCGGATGGCCGCCTAATTTTCCCTCACTTCCCGGCCTGGCTGTCTTTCTCCTGTTGGCCCCCAAACTCCAGCTTCAGTCGAGGTGCAGTGCTTCACTACGGTCGCATGGACGGGTTTCGTGCATGTTATCTCAGATTCATGACGTGATACCTTGGAGCCGTGTCTCTATTAGCCTGCGTAGCGCAGTCATCGGGCAGAGGGCAGACGATCGAGAACGGGGCGGATCTACGTATCCGCGCATCCGCGTGCCCCGGACCCTTTGACACTTTTGATACTTTGCACAGAGTGCGGCCCGATCATAGTCAAAGGTACGGCGCAACGATGCCATGTGCATGTTCTGTGAATGTCAACGGGAGATCCTCCGGGGGTAAGCAAGCGCCGGCAGTAACACATGTCCGACGACGGCTCACGATGACGGCACGTCACCAGAATTACGTCGTGCGCACGGTCTATGCACATGCAGCATGGGAAGGAGAGCGACGTTAGATCCGGGAGCTAGTGCGGAGCGCGGGACGCTAACGGTCGATCGGCCTGCGTTCTTGCCACCCGTATGGACCCTTGAATTCTGAGGCTTCACGTTTTTCTCGGTCGGTATATTGTGCGAGCGCTGCAAAGTATGACGGGCTTGATGTCAGAATAGCGGAACCTTCTCGGCAGCTAGTTCGAGAGAAGGTTGTCTGGACCTTGAATCCCGAGAAGGTCGAGAGGGCCCACTGGGACGCTCTTGACGTCACAGGGCAGAGTCCATAGATAGAGCCATTCCCACACGCGCGGATAAGCCGCGGACTTTGTTCTAAAAGCAGTAAATGCTCGTACGAGCGATTTAGCGATGGTGGTGGTGGTGGTGATGGCGGGATGCTGTTATCAAACGACTGGGGGGAGCGTGGTTGTATCCGTCCCTCTGTGTACACGGGGTGTTGGCCCAGACGCAGTATTTCGTGCGAGGGGGCAAGTGGTGATCCGGGGCCTCGTGTGCGTCCACGGGTATCGTGGGGGGGGCAGCAGATCATTAAGTGGGAGCGAGCCAAAGGTGGGTTAATCAAGTAAGCATAATAGTGTATGCCTCGAGCTGAAGCCGTGGTGTAGTCCGTCGTAAACGATAGTGTAGGGATGTCTGGTAAATTTTTTATTTTTAATAAAATATTGAAGCAACACAGATTCTTTGGCAAAACATCGCTCCTTTGGAATGGGAGAGCAGGGACAGATCAAATGGGATGACCTGGTGCGTCCCAAGGATAAACTTGTCGAATCGTTCACTCTGTTCCGCCTGGGCTCCTGCATGTGGAATTGAAGGTCATCCTGCCTGGCCGCTTTTGCTTTGGACATTTTGAGGCATAGAATTGTGTCAATGGGGATTGCGCAACCTTGTGATCCGTTGGCGCATTGCGGCTTTGCGTGGCTGGAGAGCAAATGTTTGCGTATAAATCTTCTAAGTGAAGAACGATACAGTCTTGGAAGGCATGTCCTCGTCCTTGTTCTATTTTTGATGCACAATGCATTATGGATAATTCGATTTCCGGCTGGGCCCCATCATGATTGTTCGGTGCCTAGAGAAATGTGGACCAGTAGGAAATCTAGATTATTAGTATCTATGTTCGAAGTTCGGAGCCTTGCTCTTACACTTCTGTTATCAAATCGGTTACATGTGGCCTGTATTCAATTAACGAAAACTACCAGAGGCAAAACTCCTACCCAAATCTTGGGGCCATCTGTGGATAGATTTGACTCAAGGGTCAATCATATACTTACCCGCTGAAGACTTGCTTCAAGGGCACGCGAAACACCGACTCGACAATGGGCTGCGGAGCTGCCGTAGGTAGGTGCGCACGAGGGAGCAACTCGCATGCAGGAGCTTCAAGTGGATGATGTCTTGGTCAGAAAACCGGCATTTTGTTAGACTTTGTCCCACCGACCAGGCCTAAGCTTCCATACACACTCTCTCGTACCATTTGGCTTGGCTCACGTTTCGTAGAGCCACGCCAATGAGACTGCTCAAAGCGTCTGTATTCATATGCTGCTTTTGACAGCCCAATTTTTTCCCCAACACTCACTGATTGGCCTAGTAAGTCATTTTCTCCCTCGTTTCATAACTCGACCTTGCCAGATTGGATCCATTGTCTTACGCCAGCCAGGGAGGAAACCAGTTATCGAAATGGCGCGCGGCTTACTGTTGCGGGGGGGTTCTCTGCCGAATCTCTCCATTGCCAGTCAGCAGGGCTGTTTGGTTCCTCGTACCTGCAGCACGGGGTTTGTGTTTCATGTGCCTGCAGGCTCAAAGTCTCTTGCCGTGGGTCGATGGATTTGGCTGTTTGTTTATAGAGCGTGAAGGCGTGCATGGGTCGAGTTCTATCTAGGACGTTATAAGTGAGCGGGTACTTTGTCTGTAACCAATCACGTGAGCAGGGGGTCTCAACTGAGACGATATGACAGGACGACGGTTTCTATTCACACGCCTCATGATGAAGAGACTTGTCCTGACAACACTTATCTCCGTGAGCCTGCATGCGCGTTGAGGTTATTCCGTTCACGTGAGGCTTTGAGAGTGGGTGTTCCTCCAGCTTGGCTTATTGGACCCTCCCAGCCCAGCGTACCTAGTTGACAGGCAGCCGGCGTAGTGGGATTCTGGGATGCGGCGGAGCGACCTGGATATGGACAGTCACTCTGTGTAGCTCCGGCCACAGTCGACCCAGCCGAGCTGCTTGATCAAAAGCAGGAACAATGACAACAACCAAGAGGATGGCTGCTGCGTTGGTGTAAGTGCTCGGTTCGGCTGGCGGGGGAGACCAGACGCTTGTGGCTGTCCCACTTTTGTTTGGCCGCCCTGCCTGCTCTGCTCCGTGCCAGCCGAGCTCCGCTCCGCAAACTGCCATCATCGGGGCACTACTACCACCACCACAACCACCGCTGCCGCCCGGGCCGGAGCTCGATTGCATCATCCCCCACTACAGACACCAACACTCCAGCAAACGACACGAGCGAGCCGAGAAGCAGCAGCAGTAGCAGCAGCAGCCATGCACGCCGTTCCACGGCAGGCCGCGTCGCGCGCCTCCAGCACCTCCCGGGCCGTTTCGACCTTTGTCTGCCCGTCCTGCGCCAACCTCACCACAGGCGGCCCAACAAGAGCTCGGCTAGCAGCCACAGCAGCAACAACAACAAGATCCGCGACGACAAGACACCTGAGCACTACGGCACATCGCCGCCATGCCGCCTCCACCGCCACCTCCACTTCCAGTCCACCACCGGCAACCCCCCCGACCGCTGGCTACGCCCGCCTGACCTCGCGACGCCTCATCTCCATCGCCGGCGTCGACGCGGCAAGGTTCCTCCAGGGCATCGTCACCTCGTCCACCCTCAACCGCACAGAGGGTTTCTACACGGGCTTCCTCAACGCGACGGGCCGCGTCCTGCACGACGTCTTTATATACCCAGACACACTGGGCGTCGGCGTCGCCGGTGCCGCGATGAACAACAATAGCAGTGGAGCCGCAGGGGGAGGAGGAGAGGCCTTCATCATCGAGGTCGACGCAGACCAGGCTGACACGCTGCTCAAGCACCTCAAGCGGTACCGCCTGCGCAGCAAGTTCCAGATCGCGCCCGTGGACGAGGACCAGTGCGGCGTGTGGCAGGTCTGGAACGACAGCCCACGTGGCAGCGGCGGCGGCGGCGGCGCGTTCACGGAAAACACCAGCACCACCAGCACCACCACGAACACGGGGTCCGCAAGAAGAATCATCCTCCCCGACACCCGGGCGCCCGGCCTCGGCCACCGCATCCTCTCCACCACGCCCCCCGCCGACTTCACCTCGGAGCTCGAGTCCCTGGGCCTGTCCCCCGCCAGCGACGACCTGTACCGCGTGAGGCGGTACCTGCACGGCGTGCCCGAGGGCCAGGCCGAGATCCTGCGCGAGGCCGCCCTCCCGCTCGAGGCCAACATGGACCTCATGGGCGGCATCGACTTCCGCAAGGGCTGCTACGTCGGGCAGGAGCTCACCATCCGCACCAAGCACCGCGGCGTCGTGCGCAAGCGCATCCTGCCCTGCGTGCTGTATCCCGCTGACACAACAACAGGTGGTGGTGACGGGGTGCCGCCGGCGCCGGACAAGCTCGAGTACTACACGGCAGGAGGTGCTGCGCCGTCGTCGTCGACGACAACCACTCCCACCCCAACCACCACCGCCGAGTCGATACCCCAGGGCTCGGCCATCGTAAAGGCAGGCGCAAGGAAGGGCCGCGGCGCGGGCACGTGGCTGCGCGGCGTGGGCAACGTCGGGCTCGCGCTTTGCAGGCTGCAGGTCATGACGGACGTCGAGCTGCCCGGCGAGGCGGCCGCCGGTGGCGGGGGCCTGGCGCCGTTCGACCCGGCGACCGAGTTTGTGGTGAAACTTGAAGAAGACGGTGGGGTCCAGGGGGCCGGTAGTCAAGTCAAGATCAAGGCTTTTGTGCCGCCGTGGTTGCGGCAGAGGCTGGACGAGGCGAATGCCTCGAAGCACTGAAAAAGAAAAATTGGTTCGCAAACCCGGGCATGGTTTGCGCTGGCTTTTGTAAGATTGTTTGTGTCAAGTCGAGTGTACATTAAGTCTCGGATGAAGGGAATGGCAGCCGGTCAGGCGCGCAAAGGTTAATGGGCTGCCTATAGTCCGGAATCGAAAGCCCTTCGCCCACGCGGTAGCTGGCAGTTTTGTGACGTGGTTTCTATCGCTCATATTTGACGTGACTTGGTTGTGATTCCTCCCAAGATGTTGCCCTGTCCTTCTCTCACATCTCATGCAGCATTGACGATGGTTTCAGAGTAGCCCGACAGCGTGACCATTGCCTATGCTAACAAACTCTCTCTCTCGAATGATGATCTAATGCTTCATTCTAAACGCGTGGTCTTGTCTTAGACCGGGTATCTGTGTGTGCGTATTGGAAAACATGAAAACTGCGACTCTTCCACGCGCAGCAACGGCACCCTGTCCCGTTGTCACAAAATTTTCGCGATCGTTCTTTTGTCGCTACACCATTGTCAGGCCGGCTCTAGGCAAGAGCTCGCGAGAGGGCCGAGACATCAAGCAGCCATACCTTCCCGCGCGAGCTGCCGCGCCTCTTTGACCGCCTGTGCAGCCTTGAGCCGGGCGTACGTGTGCGAAAAGTCCCCACGCACCCTCGGTATCGCCGCGGCCTCGGCGGCGAGCTTTTCAGCCTTTTGCTGTGCCTCGAGGACATGCGGCCGTGTCTCCTGCTGCCTGGATTCAGCTCCCGACTTCGCCGACGCTGTAGTTGTTGTTGTTGGTGGTGGTGCTGGTCTGTCAGCCATGTCGACATCCCCATCCGGTACCACCTTCTCCGCCATCCCGGCCTCTGCCCCCTCGGAACCACCCTCAGCCTGCTGCCGCCGGGCAGCCTCCTTCGCCGCCTTGCGCGCCTGGATCTCGCCGATCCTGCGCTCGAGATCGGCCTCCCGCTTGAGATCGGCCTCTTCCTTCTCGGCGGCGCGCTGCCGCTCGCGCTCCTCGGCCTCCCTCATCAGCCGCTGCCTCTCCTCGACCCGCTTCCGTCCCGCCTCGGCCGTCTTCTTACGCTCCTGCTCCGACATCGTGTTACTTGCATCCCCGGCCCCCGTTTGCTGCCCCGCCGCGCCCGCCGCCGCCGCCATGGCGCCCGCCTTCTCCCGGGCCTCCAGGTCCTCCACCATCCGGCGCCTCCTGTCGTCCATGGCCATCTTGGCCTGCTCCCGGATCAGGTTCGCCGAGCGCTGCGTGTCGTACGCCTCCCGGGCCGCCGGGTCCGACAGCACGTCCCGCGCCCGCTCGAAGAGCTGCCACTTCTCCGGGTCGAAGCTGTCGCCCGCCTTGTCCGGGTGGTACCTGAGCGACGTCTTGCGCCACGCGCGGTGGATGTCGGCCCTCGGAGTCGTCGCGTCCACGCCCAGCAGCGCATACAGGTCCTGGTTCGACGAGGCGAAGGCGCGCGCGTGCGCGAGCAGCTCTGCGGCCGCGGCGGCCGCCGAGGTGTCGGCCATGGTGTGTGTGCGTGAGTGTGTGTGTGTGTGCTGGCGGGTCGGGTTGTGCTGGTGCGGTCTGTGCTGGTGTCGCGGGCTAGTCGCCGCGAGGGCAGTGAAGAAGGCTCTGCGGAGGAGGCCCTTTCTCGGACGACGTTGGTTACGAGCGCTTATGTCGTGTGGGCGAAGGACTGAGCTCTGTTGCAGGCTTCCTTGAGATGGCTGCCAGGTAGTCGTGTCTTCGGGCGACGGACGTTGGTATGGCTTGTGCAGAAGGAGAATTTGTGTGAATTACGATATGTAACCCTTTCTCTCGCGCCACGAATGCAGCGCCTCGGCGAATCTGGAATGTAGAAAGTGTTGTCGCAAAATGGCAAGAACAATGGCGATGAATGCGATCTCGGTCATGTATCCGCGAGAAGCCTAGAAAAGCGTGGCACTTTAAAGTGGGGCAGACGACGCTGCCAGGCTGCCAGGGGCTGGTTGCTGTCACTTTCGCACTCTCTGCATATCAAGTCACGTTGCGAAGCTCTCCTCCTACATCTGACATATACACGTTTAACGCAGTTGTATTGCAGCGCCTATTCCTCATACAGCCGCAGCACGGACACTGCATTCCCGCCCATGACAGCCTTTGTGCCCTCGGAGCCGTCTCCGAGCGCCTTCTTGACTGCCTCCATGTTCCAGGTCATGCTCTCCCACTCGCCCTGCTCGTCGCTCGTCAACGGCGGGAAGAACGGGTGGTCAGTGCCAAACATCAGGCGGTCCACGCCACTGGCATCAATCGCGGCCTTGAGCCCGACTTCCGAGTAGATGACGGCGTCCAGGTAGACCTGCTCCTTGAGCACCTGCCATATCGTCCTGCGCGAGGGCGTCACCTTGCCCTCGCGCACGAGGTGCCCGTCATGGACGATGCAGCTCTCGATCCTGCCGGCCAGGAACGGCAGCGTGCCGCCGCTGTGGGCGAGGAGCATGCGCAGCTCTGGCACCTTGTCAAAGACGCCGGCCAGGTACATGCGCGCCACGGCTATCGTGGTCTCCATGGGGAATCCCAGAGCCAGGGGTAGGACGTGGCCGTACTCGTCGCTCGACCGAGGGCCCCAGACCTCGCTGGGCAAGCCGTAGTGCGGGTGCAGGAAGATGGTGAGCTTGTTGTCCGCCAGAGACTGGAAGACTGGCAGTAGAGCCGGGTCGTCAAGTCCCTTGCCCAGGCCACTCGTGCCGAGAATGACACCTCTGCAGTACTTGAGAGCCTTTATGTGGCTGATGGACGCCAGCAGGTCCTCTGGGGTTGCCGTCAACGGCAATGTCGCAAAGAAAAAGAGCCGGCCCGGGTGCTTGGCGCACATGTCTGAGAACTCTTGGTTGACAGACTTTGCCGTGCTGCTCGCCTCCTCTGTGGCGACAAAGTCGAGCCACGGGTTGGCGAGGGAGATGACGGAGATGTCGATCTTGTGCGTGTCCATGAAATGGATCTTTTGGTCCAGGGACGAGTAGTGCGACGTCACAGGCCGGCCTGGCAGGTGTGAGGGCGCCGAGCCGTCGGCGGCGGCCTTGTCGAGAGCCTCGAGCTCATCTTTGAGGATGATGTACCGAGGATCCTTGACGCCTTCAAACTTGCGGATCAAGGGGATGGTGTCCCGCGAGGTGAGGATGTCTACATAGGCTGGAGGGTACATGTGGGTGTGGATGTCCACAACCTTGGATGATGATGTGGACGCCATGGTGCTGATTCTGATTCTGACTCTGACTCTGTGGCGTGGTTGGGCAGGGTGCTGGATTCAGAAATCGAATGATCTGATTCTAGAGGACGTGATATGTGTCGGCCTGTGAAGCACCAATGCTCGTGCGTAGACTCTCGAGCAACTCGAGATGTGCTTGTCCTGAGGAGCTTGGGGGGGACTTTGTCCGGCGGAGAGCGGCGGCCGAGATCCCTGTTGCAACTTGACCACGGGAGGACGAGCAGGCCTCGACCCAGTTACAGACCCCAGGTTTTATCAATGTATCAGCACAGGTGAGATCAATGTCCCACGATAAGTGCGTAGCTACCTCGAGGTAGTCACAGCGGGATGTCCTAGGGCGCTGATAACCCCACCAGGCTGCTCTGGAGCTCCGCAGCCGGGAGGGGCAGCTCACGAAAGGAATGGCTCTCTCTCGGGTGGGGTGTCAGACCCCGGGGCCTGCCTGTGGTGCTCTTGCTCGCAGCCTCGCTCCTGCACGCAGGGGCCCCCAAGGCTGTGTCCTACACATTGGATGCAACCTTCAAACTCAAGCCGGCCCTCCTCTCCTCCAACGGTCCTCGCAGGTCACGCTGGTCTCTTCCCAGGTATAAAGCCCAGATATCTCCCTGCCAGCCAAATCTCTTGTCCCTGCCGTCGGACCACAACCGACCCTATCTGCCTCAACGTGCTTAGCTGGGCCACTACTCTTATCGCCCCGGCCCGCTTCTCCATCTCCCCCGCAGGTCGGTACCCCGGCGGAGCGCGATCGCGGTCGCAGCGCCTATCAGGGAGTTGGTCATGGACTTTACTAAACGCAGGGCCATGTGCCCAGTCCTCCATGGCCAGTTCCCTGCTTGCTTGGCCGTGTTGCCCTTGCCGAGTTGTCTTGAAGACGTCTTTGTCGCCGTGTGGTTCTGACTCTCCACGCTACAGATCGAGCTGTTCATTGAGCCTGCGCGGTAGCCGCTCTGCCTTCACTGCACAACAATACCCCGGCCGACATCAGTCACGATGGAGTCCGCCGCCGTCAAGAGCGAGGGACTTGTCATCCCAGTGAGATTGCCCTAGCTGACCACGCCTCCGCCGCACAGACGTATGCTGACGACTTCCAGCTTATCGACTTCTCCAACTTTCTCAACGGCACCCCCGAGCAGCGCAAGACTACTGCAAAGGCGATTCTCAATGGCTTCCAGACAGCCGGTTTCATCTACCTGAAGGGCCTCCCTTTCACACCGGACTACAGACAGCACGTCTTCGACTCTTCGGCGAAGCTGTTCAGGCTGTCCGAGGAGGAGAAAATGAAGGGCTGCTGGACGACGCCAGAGGCCAACCGCGGATACTCGGCCCCAGGCCGCGAAAAGGTGTCGCTGATCGAGGAGGAGAATGATGTGAAGAGCCTCAGAACCGCTGCGCCTGATCTCAAGGAGAGCTGGGAGTTTGGTCGCGAGGGCGAGGAGGGACACCCCAACCAGTGGCCTGAGGAGAAGGGCGACCTCGCTGGGTTCAAGACCACCATGTTGGAGTTCTTTGACAAGTGCAAGATGCTGCATACCGAGGTCATGCGGGCGATCGCGGTGGGCCTCGAGATCGACGAGAAGTGGTTCGACGGTTTCACTGATGTTGGCGACAACACACTGCGACTTCTTCACTACCCCGAGGTGGACAGGAATGTGTTCCAGGTCAACCCCGGTCAGGTCAGAGCCGGGGCGCATAGCGACTACGGCTCCGTGACGCTGTTGTTCCAGGACACCAGGGGAGGGCTTCAGGTACAAGGCCCCACGGGGGCATTCATCGATGCCACGCCAATCGAGAACACTTGCGTCGTGAACGCGGGCGATCTGCTTGCTCGGTGGAGCAACGACACCATCAAGAGCACCATCCATCGCGTTGTGGAACCTCCGGCGGCAGAGGGGAACACCTATCCTGCCCGGTACAGCATTGCGTGAGTTTGACACCCCTGCTACTGTCATCCTTTTCCTAGAGTGACTCTGACACACTGGTGAACGATAGCTATTTCTGCAACCCCAACTTCAAGAGCATGATCGAGGCCATTCCTGGCACTTACACGTCCGAGGATGAGCTAAAATACAAGGCCATCACTAGTGGGGACTACTTGGTGCAGAGGTTGGCGGCTACCTATTAGACTGCCAAAAATGGACATGCTCTACTTCTTCGCGTATACAAGCAAGCACTTGCATTTTGCCAACTTCATCTCATGATAGAGCCCGACGTGCCAGTGCCAGTGCCAGTGCCAGTGTATGATCGAGCGCTCCGCCCAGTCATGGGGGCGTGGCGCTGGAATTGGAGAATGTGTGGGGCCGTCAGCTCTTGCGGGGTACCTAGGTCGCAGGGCTGATCCTACAACGACATCAGGACTCGCTCGCTCCCATCACAAATCCACACACCAATTAGAGCTCGCATCTTTTGTTGTTGTCGTCGTGGGTCGCAACTCTCACATGGGGCCACAAGATGCGCAAGACTCTGCTGCTCTGCTTCATCCACGGCTTCAAGGGGGGTGACGACACCTTTGGCGAAAAGTCCGAGTTCTCGCAGCACCTCGCGGCCATCCTCAGCGTCGAGCTGCCCCGCGTCGACGTCCGCGCCATCACCTACCCGAAATATGAGACCCGCGGCGACCTGCACGAGTGCGTCGCGCGCTTCCGCGACTGGCTGCTCGAAAAGGTGATTGACATCGAGGTCGCCCAGGGCACGCCCTCGCCCACGGTCGATCCGGGCGTCCACGTCATCCTCGTCGGGCACTCGATGGGGGGCATCGTCGCGGCCGAGACGGCGCTCGCGATCTCGTCCGAGACGCCGATCAAGGAGCCCACCGGCGGCGGGGGTGCTAGCGATGATGATGGCGATGAGGCTTCAAAGGCAAACCTGAACAGCCTGATGTTCCCATACATCCAGGGCGTCCTGGCATTCGACACACCATACCTGGGAATCTCGCCCGGCGTGGTCGCCCACGGCGCCGAGGGCCACTACAACAACGCGGCAGCAGCATGGTCGCAGCTCAGCGGCCTGGGGGGTGCGCTATGGGGCGCGGGCACCGCAAAGACGGCCGCCGACTCGATGCCGACCAAGCCCTCGGCGGGCGCGCTGCCAGCGCCGCCCAAAGACAACAGCAACAGCAATAACAACAAAGGTGGCTGGGGCGCCGGCTGGGGCAAGATGGCCATGTACGCGGGTGCGGCTGGAGCCCTCGCGGCCGGCGGCGCGGCGGCGTACGTGAACCGCGACACCATCACGGACGGCTGGTCGTGGGTCGGGTCGCACCTCGAGTTTGTCGGGTGCCTCGCGCGCGGGGAGGAGCTCAAGCGGCGGGTCGCCGGGATGTCGCGGCTCGGGGACGAGCTGGGCATCGGGTTCGCCAACCTGTACACGCGGCTGGGCAAGGCCGCGAGCGCGAAGCAGGTCAGCATGGTGGGCACGGTGATGGGGGGCGACCGCACGTTCTGCAACCTGCCGAAGAAGACGAAAGGCGCGGGGGTCTGGATGGAGGCTGTGAATGACCTGGCCAAGGACGAGACCGGGGCGCACATGGGTGAGTTTCCTCTTGTTCGAAGCTGATTCTTTTTCTTGTTTCTTTCTCCTTTCGTCTTGCTTCGCCATCTATGATCATCGTTCTCACGGAAGATGTCGGCTTGCTAACTGCGCCTGACTTGTGTGTGTATCCTTGTAGCCATGTTCGAACCCCACGCCAACCCGGGGTACATTAAGCTCTCTGATGACGCCAGGAACCTGATTGCCAAGTGGACGCGCACGGAATGGTATGAGACGAGCATGCTCGAGCTGGAAGCCGCTGACGACGGGCCGGGAGCCGGCCAAGCGCAAGCAGTAGCTTAGGAGCTTGTCGGTGGGCAATGGTATCCAGCAAAATCGCTCGGCCATAGATGAGAGGGCTAGCTAGAACATGCGGACTCGGGATGGGATCGGCGTTATAACTGGTGTTTTCTATTTGCTTCCTTTTTCTTTTGGAGTTATCATATACACGCAACTCGGGCTCCTTCCGAACCAGACGCCCCTTGATGCTAGTGCCCCCCTCTCTGGGAAAGGATCCTTTCTATAGAAGTTTTTATTTTCCTCTTGCTGCCGTCTTCTGTACGATATGCTGGCAGAATGCTGCCGGAACGTGCTGGCATCTGGCTGGCAACAAGACCAAAGTCCGAGTCGAGGCTTCTATTGCGCCTTGCCGCTGTTTGCCTTGAGGGCGCGCATAACCTTTCGGCGCTGGGCCATCATGTGCGTGTAGAGGATGTAGGCCGCTAGAGTTTTACACGACTTTGTCAGCTTGTGCACGCACGTGTCCCATGGACTAGACTCGGGGTTGAAACCAAACGCCCAGAAACTACTCTCCACATGGCTCGAGCTGGATAGGGGAAAGTTCGCGAGAACGAGCTAAAGGGGAGGAACCGATGAAGAGTAGAAATACCAGCAAAGCGAAAAAGAGCAGAAACCCAAAGGACGAGAAAAGCAAGCAAACTTACAAGGCGGATAGACGCCGACCACGTACGCGAGCAGCAGCCACGAGTACCACTCGCCGACGGCCTGCTCAGCCGGGCCCACGCTCTTCCAGATGAGCCAGGCCTCGCTCGAGATGCCGAGTGGGTAGAGCACGAAGAAGCCGTGGTACCGCATCCAGTGGAGGAACTTGGGCTCGAACCCGCTCAGCGTGAGGGCAAAGTAGCTGTACCGGACGACCTCAGTGACGCCCCAGGCGACCAGCATGGACGAGTAGACGGGGGACCTGCCGATGGCCGGGTCGTTTGGGAAGAGGTCGGTGACGCCCCAGACGATGGCGTACCGCGAAAAGACCTGCATAAAGGTCGTGACAAAGGGGGCGCGCACGATGCCCAGCAGCGAGTGCAGCACCTCCATCCCCGCCAGGGTCTGCACCCACTTGCACAGCTCCCCCGTCGTCGGGCACACGTCGGCCGCGCCGTTGGCCGACAAGAGGTTCGTGGCGATGACGCGCGAGAGCACGGTGAGCCAGAGACCCGCGGACACGGCGTTGTACAGCACCAGGTAGCCGTTCTTGAGCGGCGACGAGGCGGGCCGCGGGGCCTTCTTTGTGTCTGCCATTGCGTGTGTGTATGTGTGTGTGTGTTGTATTCGTGCGCGTGAGGGGGTTCGTGGAGGGGTAGCGTCAGGTGACGGTTTGCTCCTTTCCGTGGTAGAGACGAAGTACAGCTGCAGCACCAGTCCGTCGCGAGGTCGAAACCGGTCAGAAAAGGCGATTTGCAAGCTGTCGTAGGGTGGCGGAAGAGTGGGAGTGAGGTTTAAAGGTGCTCGCAGTGACTATTGGCAGGTTTTCGATCTGGAGACGGGCAAACTGTCCACAGGGGCAGTTTTCCCTGAGGCTAGTGGAGGACCCCTGCTATTTCATCGAGTGCCTCGGCCGGGGGACCTGGCATGCACGCCCAACAAAGACGGAGCTTGTAACCCGCGCAACCAGAATGATCAAGGTCCCAGTCACATCTGGCACCTCAAAATGCAATGCTGGCTCGGTGTGAACAATCACTTAACAACAAAAATACAGTCTATTCCATCGCGATCTGGCTGCATTACTGTTCTGCTTGCTTGGCCAGTAATCAAGCCCGTGTGCCTTGGAGGAATTGTTGAGGCTAGGTTCTCACTCGAGTGCTCCGTGATCCCTGTCAAAACGTCCGCCAATTAGAACTCGGTGCCTGGCCAGAAACAGTGCTGTTGGCATGTGACGATGACAATCACAAGCATGCTGGTTTATGTACAGACGTCGAGCGCAAGATGCACGATGTCGAGTGACTGTTTGAGCCTTACATCTGTATACACAATCATGGCACCATTTATGGCCAGGTCGTGCTGTGGGAGGACAAGTTCACCATGCCATTGATCTTTGAGCGAGGTAATGCTCATCTTCTGATCAGTCGCTGTCGTCAATGTAGAGTACCAGTTTACGATTGCAAATGGATCAATTGGAACGTTTTATCTAAGATATACTCGAAGTCCATGTAGCCCTTGCTCCCTCCCATACGATGGCCTATTTCGCCTCGCGTGCCTTGTGGCGAAGCATGACGACGGAGTAACTAAGCGCACGGTTAGCATGGCAACCTAAAAGGCCAATGGCAAAACGCCGGAGCTTACTGGATAATACCGCCCAGCGCCATAAAGATGCCAATGACGGACTTGTCCCCGACGGAGCGACCCGAGGTCATCCAGCCCAGAGCCACGATGGTGCAAGTCTTGACGTGACCAACAACAGTGCTGGACACTGGGCCCGTCTTGGCGACAATGTAGAATTGGGAGATGTTAATTAGAGAGGCAAAGATGCCCGACTGAGATGCTGTCAGAATTGCAATGTATCTCTTCATAATCGATGGGAAGACAAAACTCACCATTGCGATGAGAGCCCATCGATTGACGGGCAGCTCTTTCCACTCAGGGAATACATCAACAAACGGAATGACGTAGAGCAGCAGCACGGTGGAAACAGGGGCTTGGTTGAACAAGAGCTGCATGCTGTTCATCTGAAGCTTTCGGTGGTAGCTTGCAATCCAGACCGTGTACAGCGACGAGGCGAAGATGCCGCAAACAGCAAAAATTACACCAAGCCCCGTGGTGGCCTTGACACTGCTGTCGTCAGTCGGCAAGGAATCATAGTACGACACGATACCGACACCAGTACAGGCTGGGACTAGTGCAATGATGGCCTTGCGTGGCAGTGTCGACTGATAGAGAACATAATTCATGATCGCCACGACAGGTGTCAGGAGAATCCTGGCAACCTGATAAAAGGTCACGCTGGAGTATGCCAGCGACAAGTTTGGGAGAACAACGTTGAGGCCCATGGCGACCGAGAGCGGAATCATGTCCCGGATGCTCGCTTTCCGTGGCGTGAAATATGCCAACTGAGGTCGGGAGAGGGCGAAGAGCGTCAGCCACGTGATGAAGAAGTGAAAGGCGGCAAAGGACAGCTGGACAAGCTTAAGCGATGGATCCGAAAAGATGGCTTTGTTGGTGAAGACCTGCAGCAGACGATTAGCAATTGACACAAACTGCCCAGGGACTGCTGTAGGTGCGTACGATAGCAACTGTCGCCAGCGTGTTGACAGTCAGCCAGAATAGGGTCGAGCCCATGACACCTTTCTGCGCGGCTTCAGGCTGCCCTGCCTCCCCCATGGGGTCTTTTTCCAGTAGTCTCTGCCCCTCCACATCGTCACCGACATCATCATCGTCCATTACTGTGCTTGACGAGGCCGTGCCAGAAGCTTCTGAGGGTCTGCGCAGCCTGTCCATGCCGGGAGAGCGCCTTGCGTCGGCCGTCACTGAATCAACCGAGCCAACGGCAGAGCTCGGTTTCTCGTTGATGTTCTCCGTGGCCGACATACTGGGCGGATTGACCTGGTGTTTGCGGCGGTTGTCTGGGAGGTTCGGACAATGGACTGGTCAGATGATGGAGCAGAGAAATCCGAAAGGGTCGTGAACAATGAGCTTGTGCCCTTCTTGAATCCAGGCAGAATGAGCCGCGGGGAGGGCCATGGAGGTTAAAGAATGCCAGTATGGATATTGGTTGGAATGAGGGCGCTCGAGCAAGTTGCGAGGGAGGCAGGAGACAGCTCCGCACCGTCGCGCTTGCCTAGTCCGCGGCTCTAAGCTGAGCTTCCTACCTTAGGTGGAAACCTAGATGAAAGCCACAGCCAGCTAGACACAGGCTCTCACCGCAAGCAGCACGTCATACATGTCTGAAGCTCCGGATCTACGCAGAGTGCCCGTTCGAGCTGGTCACGGCTATCCGAGTGTGATCGATGCGGCTCCCGACTCCCTTTGAGGTAGAACGGAAGCAATGAGCACACAAATCAACCACCGAAAAGGGAACAAAGAAAACCCTGATGTCTCACCCACTCCTCACTCCTCACTCTTCAGGCCACCTTTCTTCCTTGCATCAGCTGGGCATGTCTCTGAGCAAAAGTCTAATGCAGGGGAGACGGGGTGGCTGCAAGCAGTCCAGATGTCGCGGCCACGCCCGTGCCTTTGTTGCTTTGTCCCTGCTCAGCTTCACCGGCAAGTCCGCCCTTGGTGTTGCGAGGGCGGTCGTAGTCTTCTATGCCGCTTCCTCTACACAGCGATAGCACCACAACAATTCAAATAATTCCGGACAGCTGATAATCTCGACCTCCCTGCCTGGAAACCGGTGCCGGTCGGCCGGACCCTGCCAGGTTTGTGCCACATTTGGATCGCCGCGCTCCCTCTGGTCGCGTACAAGCCGCGTTCCTGGGTTCGTCCAGGTGGTGAAGCACATCCCGAGCTTTCCGTCCGGCTTCGCATCTCAGTGACACAGAACGAAATTTCCCTTTTGTCGAGTGCCGATGCGTTCAGACGATCGAGATGAGCCATGCTCTCGTTTCGCTGCTGGAGGATGTCGGGCACTACAGGACGTAGCTGTCCAGATGTTCAGGCTGCGCGGACAGGTCAAGCAGGTGGAGGGCTTGCGAAGAATATCGAAAGCCGATTGGCTAGGACTGGCGGCTTGATATACTTACTCCAGCGTCGATGTACGGAAGCATGTTGAGACCAAGGGCGCGGGGGCCATTCCAGGCAGAGCCGTCGCGCGACGGAGAAACTCTGGTCTTCGTGTTCCAACAAGGCATGGCCTGGCCTGAATGGCAAGAGTAGTGGTGGTGCCCATCGCGTGGTTCTACTCACTTAGCAAGACCATGGTCCCTCCGCCGCAACCTTGTTGTGGTCGCTGTAAAGGGCCAGAGCCGGGAGGGTTGCAACGTGCATGAAGCCAATCTTTGTGTCACCGGCGACCTCGAGAGCCGGGCCCTGGCAGCCAAGCTCAAGGTGGGCAAAGTGCTTGCAGCAACGAATCTGAAAGTGGGCGGGTTGCAGGGATCTCTGGTGCGGGATGCGCTGGGCGAACACACACCCACCTCACGAACACACTGGACCTGCCCTAGGTTTGGTGCCCCACGCAGGTCGAGGGCACTAATTAACCTGGACGCTTAGCCTGCCCGCCAGCTCGCAGTCGCTGAGCCTCCCTCGTGGCATTCATCCACTCACATACCGCTCCCTGGCAAGCATACCACTTGCAGACAAAGAACGGCACTGACCTCTCCCCAGACGACAAAGCCCCCGGTGCCTCCCTGCAGCACGACCGGCCGCCTTTTCAGAGCTGCCCCATCCGACCGGCGGAGTAACTGCGCGCTGAGTGACTGCGCGCCGGGTGACGTGCGTCACTGGGCGACTTGGCTCGGCCCGGACTCCCGCTCTACGGCGTGGCAGCATCCTCCAGCACGAAGACGCCCCTGATGTAGTCTGCCGCATCTGGCTTCGTGTCTCCGTCAAAGAATGCTCAAGGTTTACCGCCAGTGAGACATGCCATATCGACCCGGCCATTCACGCATGCCACATCGACCCGGCCGCTGAGACATGCCATTTCAATACCATCCCTCTTCTGGGCTCCCTAACCTCGCCGCTTCGTGGGGTCGCCCAGATCCAGTCTGGCGGACGCCTCTTACCCCTACGGAACGGACACCCCTCATTTTGACCTGAGAGACTCTGTCCAGATCGCCCTCGCGTGGTTGCTCTCTTACTAAAGGTCGATGGTGCCACAGGCGTCACGCATCATTCCTTATTCCGGAAACCCCAAGAACAATCGCTCTTGTCCTCCATCACCACCACCCTCGCCCCTCCACTATATCGAAAACTTGGTGCACTACGTCGTCCGCCTATCCTCTCCGTACAATCGCCAGGATGGCTGTCCCTTCCGAGTCCAATGGGAACGGCCATGTTCACAACGTTACTGGCAATGGTCAGCATGCTAATGGGACTAACGGCAACAATGGCACAAGTGGTAGTATGTTGAAGGCCATCAGAATCCAGTCGACGATGACCGCGACAAGATTGAGCTAACTGGAGCACTGCCAGGCATGTCTGATGGCCGCCGCCACAGGTTTTTCGAGGACTATGGCGTTTGGCGCGAAGCTCCTTGTCTAACTGGAAGCACCCGTTTCGAGCCACTGCCCGACGTCAAGAACATCATGATCACTGGCGGAGCTGGTTTCATGTGAGTCCTCTTTATAGTCGTGGGCCAAACAATTGGCCGTGTGCTGACTTGACCAAAGTGCCTGCTGGCTCGTTCGCCACTTGACATTGACCTACCCGGATGCCTACAACATAGTGTCCTTTGACAAGCTTGATTACTGCTCGTCACTAAACAACACCAGGATGCTCAATAATCGACGGAACTTCACGTTCTACCACGGCGACATCACAAACCCCGACGAGGTCCTCGACTGCATGGAGCGTCACAACATTGACACCATCTTCCATTTCGCAGCCCAGTCTCATGTTGACAACAGCTTCGGCAACTCTTATGGCTTCACCCACACCAACGTCTATGGCACGCACGTCATGCTCGAAAGCGCCAAAAAGATTGGCATCAAGAAGTTCATCCACATCTCCACCGATGAAGTCTACGGAGAAGTCCAGGATGACGATGACGACTTGCTGGAGACGAGCATTTTGGCACCCACAAACCCATACGCCGCCAGCAAGGCTGCCGCCGAGATGCTGGTCAACTCCTACATGAAGAGTTTTAAGCTGCCAGTCATCATTGTGAGAAGTAACAACGTCTATGGTCCACATCAGTTCCCCGAGAGTGAGTGCTCTACCCGATCTTGCGCAGTCTTGTGCAGGACTCGAAACTGATGTAACGAATTTCAGAGATCATTCCCAAGTTCACTTGCCTGCTCAACAGGGGCCGTCCAATGGTCCTCCATGGCGATGGACGTCCCACGCGGAGATATTTATTCGCGGGTGATGCTGCGGACGCCTTCGACACAATTCTGCACAAAGGCGATCTCGGCCAAATCTACAACGTCGGATCATACGACGAGATCTCGAATGTCCAGCTGTGCAAGATGCTGCTCGAAGAAATGGGCAGCGCGATCGAGTCGCCAGAGAACACAAACAAATGGATCAAGTACACCGAGGATCGCCCGTTCAACGATCACCGCTATGCGGTAGACGGAACCAAGCTTCGAAAGCTCGGTTGGGACCAGAAGACAACGTTCGCAGATGGCTTACGCATGACTGTCAACTGGTACAAGCAGTTCGGTGAGCAATGGTGGGGCGATATCTCCAAGGTGCTCCGGCCTCATCCTGTCGTCAAGGACACCGAGGTCATCTCGGATAAAGAAGAGGCTGAGATCTCCGATACTCCGGTGTACGCGTCGAAGAAGCGCAAGGTAGAGGCATAGAGCTTTAGTCGAAGGGTGGCATAGCTCGAAGTGCTATGACGTGTTTGCAGTTTAAGCATGGGAGCTGGCGTTGAGGATTTTGTCAGAAACGTAATTGGGACCTCGCATGTTTTATGATAAGGGCGTGTCTACAGCAACGGCGTATTTGCGACACGCCCCAAAACCGGAATAGAACGGGACGTGGGAGGCGAACACTGGCTCCCGCAGATTATCTGTTGCGAATTCCCGAATATCTAATTGAGCGATATCAGACATGTGGCCAGCACTGCAACTCCTTGCTCGTGCCACAAATTAGGTCGATGCGAAGCCAGGGACTTTTGCGAATTCTTGCAATCTTCTCTACAACAACACATCGCCCGCGTTGTTCTGCTTGTTGACGTGAGCGTGCGTAGTTTTTGGAACAGTCAGACCTACGCCAGTGATTCCCGTCTGCACGTCGGTGCATTGCAGATCGTATCCGCCTTACATAAGCAACCCCATCCTGCATACATGCATGGTTCTTTGCAAATACGCACCGTGTTGCGAAGGACATGGTCCGGGCAGGATCAAGCGTCTGTGAGGCCATGGATGGATCACGAAGACAAATTGTCTTCGAATATTGGCACCTGTCTGCCGTGAGTTAGACCCCAAAAAGGACTTACATCAGGTAGTCAGGAAGCTTAAGCCTCACTCGTCCTAGCTTGCTGTGCTACCGTTCGCGACTATCTCAGTGTAATCAATATATTGCTTTGCGGCGGTAGCAAGTCCCTTCCTATGTCGGTCAGTAAACGTTCGTTCACCGCTGGAATATTGTGGACGTGGCCCAGCTGATGACATTGAGAATACGTAGTGTAGGTAGAGGGAGTAAGGACGCGGCCGGCTGCCTCGATTCCCATTCCAGTCTTGCGGACAGACAGACAGATGTTTCCTCTCAAGTGAGCAGATCCGTGCAGAGCAGTCATTGTTGTCGTTGATGTTGATGTTGTCATTAATAAGGTGCCCTGGCCAGGGCTTGTCTCATCCCTGTCCCGTGCGCCGCTCCCGTGCTGAGATGCAGCGAGAAATGGCCTGTGGCGACATGCATCACGCGGGCTACTTTGCCTCCAATAGCACGGTGGTTCGTAGCAGGGTTTTGAACAGGTAATGCATAGTGCGGAAGCCGTTTTGGAGAGTCGCCACGAACCAGTATCAGTGACGGTGCAGTGCGATTGTCACGCTTAGGGGTGCACAGCCGGAAGCTGGCGAGTCCACTTTGGATGCCACCTTGGCTGCATCCAAAGTGACGGGTGACAGGGCTGAGCCTGAGACTCTCATGAACCAAGTCGCAGCAGGGGGTATGCTCATCTGACATCATGACGGCACACTCCACAGAGTCGAGGAGAGCGGTCATTCCAAAGCTCCCCTGTTCGGAATCAGACGACGACTATTGCCTGCAGGGTGTTATTCGCGTGGCTCCTCAAGAAGGTACTGGGCAGTACCTTCCGTGTAGCGCACCGTAGGGTAAGTACCTGCTTTAGCGCCCCCATGTGGGCGGGAGCTAGCTGTGTGGCTGGAGCCAGGCCAATAGTCCAACCCCAGACCACCTCGCAGGGGGCGGCTCGTTTCCTCCGAAACAGCGCGTGCTCATTGCGATTCAAAGGTTTCCACCTACGACCCACGGTTTCTCTGCGAGCGACGACACATTCAGCAGCGACAGCAGCGCGACTCGCCACTGCGACGGCACGGCCAACAACAACAACGACGACGACGCCGCCATGATGTAGCGACTCCCACACCATCGGCCTAATCAAACTCACAAGCTAGCGCGCACGCACGGCGGCTACCGGCTACCGGGACCCTGGAGCGCGAGGCTCTGGCCATGGCACGCCCAACAGACGCACCCTCCCAGAAGCGCAAACGCATCAGTCTGCCCGCTGTGGCTGCGCCCGACATGGCCAGTGCCAGAGAGATCAGGCCAGCCGTTGACGATGCTGGCGTCGGCACGCCGCACACCAGGGTGGACGCTGGCAGCCACGCCAGCATCTCACCTTCCTTCGTTGTGACTATAGCCGATAGCGACCAGGACATCTATCCCCAGGCCATGACAGAGCCACCTGTACCCGAGCTCGACAACGACATGTCCACTACCAGCACTGAAGATCTCGCCAGCAGCGTCTACCACGTCAGTCCCTCGTCGGCCAGCCTGGCGAGAGGCGATTACCTTGACCCCGCCCTCGTCCCTGCCGAGGAGCATGCTTATAGGCAGGACGATGCTGTGAGCATGTACCATGGCTTTCTCGAGACTCGCCCTATGGTTCTCTCGTCCGTGGAGGACGAGAGTGGCTCAGAGGCGTATATCGACGAGGACGGCGAGAGCACAATGTACGTCCCCACCTCCCGCGTTGCCGCGTGAGATACAGGCGCTGACCATGCCGAAACAGACTCTCGACCCGATCAGTGAACCCCCTGGACCTGCCATATGTTACCGAGAATGACCGTACATACTGTGGGGACTATTACATGCCTGTCGACGAAATGGAGCTGGACCGACTCTACCTGTTTCACCAGGTATATCTCAAAATCCTGGATTCGCAGCTCACAATTGCCACCTTGGAGGAACCCAAGCATATCCTCGACATTGGCGCCGCCAGCGGCGACTGGGCTATGGCCATTGCCGAGAAGTTCCCTGATTGCGAGGTCACTGGGGTTGACATTGCCGACGTCTTTGAGCGCCGTGCGCCCATCAACTGCTTCTGGGAGGTCGACGACGCCGAGATCGAGTGGGAGCGCCCTACGAACCGCTACGACCTGATCCACCTCCGCAATATGGACGGCGCATTTCGTGACTGGGCCTTCATTTACGAATCTGCATACCGGTGCCTGAAGCCTGGCGGGTGGATCGAGATTATGGATTTTGTCGACCACCAGAACTCCGGGGGCGCACTTGCACATTTCAAGCCCACGTCCCAGATTCATCGTTTCATGGCGAGTGTCGACAAAGCCGCCGAGCTCGCCGGCAGGCCACGGGGCACGGAGCATCTGGAGCCGCGTATGCTCTTCGATGCTGGTTACGTCGATGTCCATGTCGAGGATCACTGCATACCATTCAAGCTCAACGACGGGGCGATCGGCAAGGCCTGGCTTGTTGCGCAGCTAGCCACGCTTGAGGCCATGGGGCTTAGGCTGCTTACCAAGTACATGGGCTGGACAGCGGAGGAAGTACGGGCCGCTGCAGCGGCAGTCGAGAAAGAGCTCCTGGATTTCGCCAGGGCACCAGGGAGACCATCGGCGGCGCTGAAGACGAGGACACTCCTTGGTAGGAAGCCCAAGAGCAGTGCAAGATGGCCTACCGATTTGACAAGAGAGGCAGGTCGACAGTCGCAGGACGGCACAGAGACGAGTACAACACGTCTCTCAGACCGGACGGGCTCAAATGTTGGTGCGAGCCAAGCTCATAGTAGCGTCGCAAACATTGTCAACGACGAGCAAAGATAGCCCGAGCTCAGCGGGGCTGAATGTTGTTGTGCCTTGACTCCTTGGTCCGGAGTCGCACAATAGTGTTGTCATTGCCATGGTCAGCATGAGTAGATGGACGACATGATATGCGCATGGCCATTTCGGGCTGGCATCAACGGCGCGATTACAAGCACTATAGGGAGATCGAAGTGCTGTTTGGCTTGCTGCTTTTACTTGTTTATTTGAGAGATACCACCTTTTCTTTTTTCTTTTCCTTCAAGCGACATTTATACTGGGGCCTAGCCTAGTGCAATCAGGACAGACAAATCTGATACACGAATCTGACAATTCTACTATATGCACGTTTACTTTGTCCTGTACGGCCTTCGTTTTGAGGTCGTGTGAAGGTTGCAAACCTTGAGTGTTGGAGCTCGAGGTGGGGGAATCGCGAGTGAGCATGCAATCAGTGATGTCAGTCAGTGCCCGTTGCAGCTGAAGCTCGGCTTGAACTACATGCCAGCCCAGCCCCTGCAGTGCCATCATGCGCCCTGACCCTCGGGGGCGGGACTCCACCTGAGCTCCAGCAGGCGCTCGCCGCCATTCGCCAGCCTCCCCTCCTGCCCTCCGACGCCGTCCCAACGAGGCTGCGATCTCGAAGCCGTGCTGCTCTTGTTGCTGCTCCTGCTGCTCTTCCTGCCTCTACACGACATTGGCGCGCGTCGCCTCGTACAGGAGACACTGCGACCAGCACCGCCATCACCGAACCATGACATGACCCGACGACGACAACGATACTAGGCAATGGCGTTCGACGGAACCAACGGCCTCGGCACCTCCACCGACGGGGCGCTGAGCGGCCTGCCTGGCATCGGCGACGACAGCCTGCTGCCCATCTTCGATGTCGAGCGGGTGCAGCTGCAGTTCAGCGTCGCCGCCGACTTTGTCGCCGCGCAGGTCGCCAACAACGTCCTCGTCCTGGCCCTCTCCAACGGCCGCATCCTCCGCATCGACCTCAACCGCCCCGAGGACATTGACGACATCGACCTCCCCAAGCGCGTCTCCGAGATCGGTGTCATCCGCCGCCTCTTTCTCGACCCGACCGCGTCTCACCTGCTCATCTGCACCAGCCTCGGCGACAACTACTACCTCCACACCCAGAGCCGCCAGCCCCGGCCGCTCAGCCGTCTGCGCGGCGTCGTCATCGAGAGCGTCGCATGGAACCCGAGCCTGCCGACCTCGACGACGCGCGAGATCCTCATCGGCGCCGCAGACGGCAACATCTACGAGTCCTTTATCGAGACGTCCACCGAGTTCTACAAGAAGGAGGAGAAGTACCTCAAGGCTCTGCAGAAGCTGCCGGACGGGCCCATCACGGGCCTGTGGGTGGACAATGTCGGCGGCAAGGCGGACGTCAGGCGGGTCCTGATCGCGACGCAGACCCGGATCTTCCACCTCGTCGGCAAGATCGGGAGGTCGGGCCACCACGAGGGCAGCGGGTCGGTCTACACGAAGCTGTTCGACGGCGAGCAACCAGTCGTCCATGAGCTGTCCCGCGCCCAGGCGGCCGCGCCCTCCGCCGTGGCGGTCTCGCCCGACCCGCCGTCCTCCAGCACCAACGCATATGACCCGACCGCCGTGGAGAGGGCCTACGCGTGGCTGTCCTCTCATGGCGTGTATCACGGCAAGCTTCTGGCAACACCTGCCAACAACGATCTGGGGAACAAGGTCTTTGCCGACTCGAAGCTGCTGCCTAGGGCTCAGCTGGCCACTACCGACCCAAGCAATCGCAGACGTGGTGGCTCAGACCAGATCGACGCCATTGCCTTGACACAATGGCACATTATAAGCCTTGTGGGAGGCAGAGTCGTGGCCGCGAATCGACTGACTGGCTCTGTGGTGTATGACCAGACGATCCTCGAGCCTGGACAGAAAGGCCTCGGCTTGTATGTCGACCAGCAAAAGAATACCTTTTGGCTATTCACTGCGCAAGACGTCTTTGAGATTGTCGTCCACGAGGAAGACCGCGACGTGTGGCGGATCATGCTTGAGCGACAACAATTCGATACGGCCTTGCGATACGCGCACACGCCAGCCCAGAAGGATGCCGTCTCAGTGGCCTCCGGCGATCACCTGGCAGAGAAGGGCATGTATATCGAGGCCGCCGCCGTCTACGGCAAGAGCAGCAAGCCCTTTGAGGATGTGGCGCTAGCCTTCATCGACAACGGCCAGAGCGATGCGTTGCGAAAATATCTCATCACGAAGATCAACACGTATAGCAAGGCGTTTGTCATGCAGAGGATCATGATAGCGACCTGGCTCATTGAGGTGTTCATGGCGAAGCTCAACTCGCTGGAGGACACCATCACGACTGAAGCGGAGCTCGTCGAAGACCTGAGCATAGCGCAGTCCAAGAAGCAGCTGGAGACTGTGCGGAAGGAGTTCCAGGACTTTGTCACCAAATACAAATCGGATCTGGACCGCAAGACGACATATGACATCATCAGCAGTCATGCGCGGGAAGAGGAGCTGCTCTTTTTCGCCAACGCGGTCAACGACTACAACTACGTCCTGTCCTACTGGGTACAGCGAGAGCGGTGGACAGAGGCTCTTGTGGTGCTCAAACGACAGACGGACCCGGAGGTGTTCTACCGGTACAGCAGCGTGCTGATGACACATGCCGGGCACGACCTCGTGGAGATATTGATGCGGCAGTCCAAGCTGGAGCCTCGGAAGATAATACCTGCCCTGCTGGACTACAACAGGACGTTCAAGGGAACGCTACTGCAGAATCAGGCGGTCCGTTATCTGCAGTACGCCATTTCTCAGCTGCAGACGTCGGACGCGGCCGTGCACAACACGCTGGTCTCGATCTACGCCTCGCACGAGTCCAAGGACGAGTCGGCACTGCTTTCATATCTCGAGTCGCAAGGCGATGAGCCTCACTTTGACCCAGACTTTGCCCTGAGACTGTGCATCCAGCACAAGCGCACGCTCTCCTGTGTGCACATCTACACCAACATGGGCCAGTACGGGCAGGCTGTGGATCTGGCGCTCTCGCACAACGCGGTCGACCTGGCAGCCATCATTGCAGACCGGCCCATGACGAACCCGGCGCTGCGCAAGAAGCTGTGGCTCAAGGTGGCGCAAAAGGTCATTTCGCAGTCCGACGGGATCAAGACGGCCATCGAGTTCCTGAAGCGGTGCAGCGACCTGCTCAAGATTGAGGACCTGATCCCCTTCTTCCCTGACTTTGTCGTGATTGACGACTTCAAGGAGGAGATCTGCACGGCGCTCGAGGACTACTCGCGGCAGATTGAGGGGCTGAAGCGCGAGATGGACGAGTCGTCCCAGACGGCGGCGAACATCAAGACGGACATTGCGGCGCTCGACCACCGCTACGCCATCGTGGAGCCCGGCGAGAAGTGCCACGTGTGCTCGCTGCCGCTGCTGAGCAGGCAGTTCTTTGTGTTCCCCTGCCAGCACGCGTTCCACAGCGACTGCTTGGGCAAGGAGGTGCTCAAGCAGGCCAGCTTCTCCCGCGCGCGGCGCATCCGCGAGTGCCAGGTCGCCATCAGCAAAGGCATGGTGTCGGGCCAGCGCAAGGAGGAGATGGTGCGAGAGCTTGATGGGCTGGTTGCTGCTGCTTGGTGAGTCTCCCCCCCCCCCCCCCTTGTTTCTCATTCTCCCATGTTGTTCTCCATTCTTCTTTCTGTTCTTTCGTCGTGCTCTTGCGGTGTATCGCTCTTCGTCGTCCCTTTTCTGCCTTTCTCTGTGTCGACCTTGAGCTAACGCCTGTGCGCCCACCCCCCTTTTCTAGTATTCTCTGCGGCGAGCACGCCATCAAGCTCATCGATGAGCCGTTTGTCTCTGCACAGGACGACATCAACGAATGGGCTCTTTGAAGCTTGGAGACGTCCCATAGATAGCGCTTGCTTGCCTTTGCACGTACCAAATGGATATGGGACACGTGGGTGTAATCGTCCGCTTATTATACATCTCTCTTAAACTTACGGAAACTCAATCAGCAAACTAGAAAGGTCCAGGTTGATGTGTCTGCATGCACACGAGAGAGAGAGAGAGAGAGAGAGAGAGAGAGAGAGAGAGAGAGAGAGAGAGAGAACAAGTAGCACTGCATCTGACGACTAGCATGAACCGCATTCATAATAATTCACAATTCGAAGCTCGCCTCTTCCGCGGGGATATGTCAGCGGGCTCTTCGTTTCGTGTTGCATGATGTGTTGTGCCGCCCCTATCAAGCTGCTTGGATTGCTGCTCTGCAGCGGCCCTTAAGAAATCGAGTGCAGTGAAAAGCGCCTCGTCACATTTGTGTGTTTGCCTCGGTGGTGGTTCCGTGTGGGTTCAAGGCGGGTGATTACTCATTGATCAATGATACAACCACCACCGAAGGATCCGGCGAAGGATTCTTTGATGTCCATTGTCCCAAGAGTGCATGATATATGACGTAGCTGTCAGGAAAAGAGGCTGAACCGTCAGGTGGAGGAGGTCAGTGCTGGTTACGTTGTATTGTCTGCTGGGGTAAGCCACGCGCTGGGGGCTGGCTGGTGTCGTCAAATGCTACGGTGGTTCGTGCCTTTCCTGGGAACGCGGACAGGATGGTGGCGTGGTAGCAAGAGAGTTTAATGGTCAGCCATTCATGGTGAAAAAGTAAAGGTGTGCATGCACTGCCACTTGTCCGTCGACGGCCCTTCTTCCTCACTACAAACTTGTGATACTGCTAATCTTTGGAGCTGGGATGATGTTTCGATCCAGGCTTGAATGGCCGGCAGATGCTGCTGTGAGGTCGAATGTTTCGATGTTGCAACAGCGTCGTTCGTCCTCAATCCCTTACTACACGATGCATGTGACAAGAATGGTGCCAGAGTCATGGGCAACCTCGATAGTGGGATTTTGCCATGCTTACATGTTCCCATGGCATGGTGCTTTGACGAATGGCAGCTGGTCAACTGATATAAATAGGCTCGCGGTAGGTCAGCAAGACACTTAGGGGGGGAGACCGGACGGTGACACTTGACCTCCCGCCTCAACCAGCGTAGGGGCCCGCGAGCCGTTGAGCCGGTTCCTCATCTGTAATCTGGTTGAGACGAAACAGCGAAGCCATGGGGCTCATGGCGGAATTTTGGAGCTCTGTTTCAGATGAGCTGCCAGATCGCGCGTTTAAGCTGAGGGAAATGGCGAGCCCCTTTGGCGTGCAGCGGCGGCGGTGGCTTTCCCTGCAGATCCACTGCCCAGTCGGAGCATTCCGCGCATACGCCAAAGCCGTCAATCAGGGACGGTGCCTGGGGGATCAGAGGCCCCTGTCGTGGGCCGCCGCGTGCGAGGGGCCCGTGACAGAGTTGCCAGCGACCCCGAATCAGAGGGCTCTGCCCGCATGCTGTCCAGATGTGGTATTGAGCCCGGCAAGGGCGTGGGCAGCCTCCATTGGTCAAGTGGCTGAATCCACTGGTGCCCGCCCAGATCCTTCCAAGCCCGAGTGGTCTGTTGTAGGCTGCCGGGGCCGTCGTATGTATCTGGTCTGGGCCGACGAGTGGGTGGTGGTGTTTCTTCTGCCGCGACACAGCAGCGGCCGCCCCTGCCCTGGGTCGAATGAAGACTGGAATACAGCAGTGGTTGCTCGTGCCCTTGGCCTTGAGGCATGCATGGACCTCGGATCAGAGATGCTACTGATTAATTATTGCCTGGCTTGAGGACCAACGCAGAGAATGAGCAGGCAAGGAACATGAGGTCCGAAACAGGGCACAGATATCAGATGAAGCTGGCGGGCATGGATGCTGAATCAGAGCAGCAGCTGCCCGTCATGCGGAAGGGAGCGTCGACAAGGCGCAGGACGGGAAGCTGGCTGCTGCTGGCGTGTTTCAGGCTTAGCTCATGCGTCAAGCGCACTGTACGGCTCGGCCCAGGCGTTGGGAACCGCTCATGTATCAACACCACGCGGCGGCGTGGTGGCAGAGCGAACGCGAACGCCCTCGCTTACCCCATTCCAGGCACACAAGAGAAAAAGCCGTGTGCGATCATGCAACGTGCAACGTGCAACTCTATAGGTGCCTCCATTGGGAAGGCATCCTGACGGATCCGGGCACGGCGTGGCCCTCTGAGGGTGCTTCCACTGTGGTGCATCTGGGCTAAGGGCGGTCGAATTCAATTTGTGGTCCGGCTTGTCAAGCCACAATGCAAAGCCTCGTCAGGACGGAACCCACGGAGGAGGGCTGCAACAGCTGGTCTGTCCCGATGTCAGGGGTGACGAGCATGGTTTCGTTGACATGGTTTTGACCAAGCACCAGTGATGCTCGAGGGTTGGTGAATGTGTGCTGGCGATGTCGAGTCGAGAGAGGTCTTTGGTCCGCCCATCAACCAGCCCCTTTCTGATGCCAGCCGTGCCTGCCCAAGCAGCATGCGGATAGGGTGCAGAGGCCGCGCATGTGCCTTGCGTAACAATGGTCCTGTCCCAGATCCGCATGTCTTGCTTTGTTGCAGTCCGCAAAGACATCTATCTGCAGTGGACGCCAGATCTGCATGTCCAGCCACGGGTCCGCTCTGATATGGCCCTCCCCCGAACTGCTGGATACCTTGGAGTACGTGCTTAGCAGGACACACACGTCTCTCTACCGAGGGTTTGCAGCTGGGTTGCAGCAGGAGGACCGCGCTGCTCGACCGCCACACGTGGTTGTCTTATGTCCACGGCAGACACGGTCGAGGTCGATACGCCTCCCACATCTGGGGCTGGCCATTGGCCTGCTGCTCCCTCAAAGGTCCGGGGCCTGCATGGTCACCTGGATACGACGAAGCGTGGCTCTGGGGTGCTGTCCAGCGGCATCCCCAGACAATGGAAGAAACAAGACTGGACGGCGACATGGAGTCCCACAGTGTGCTCGCGGGCCATCGACACTGGGGTGCCACAAAGGACCACGCTACTCCGTACGTCGTGCGCTTGCTCCCATGTAATGCATCCCTCCAGCCCAGCGTCAGAGGGGGCCAGTGACGACCCTTGACTCAACCTCCAAGCTGCTCTTCCCTTTTCTTGGCCCACGCTCGACATACTGTATCTCTCTCATCCTCATCCCTTTTGCAGGCTCTCGGCGCTTCTCCCCTCCAACCTGCTCCTCTCCACCTCTCTCTCTCTCTTCTCTCTCTGCCATCTCCAGACGTCCTGATGGAAGGAGCATGCTGATGTCGCTTCTGCTCCGCTCTCACGATCTCCTGCGCACACACCTCCCGACCCCTGGAGCTGGCTTCTACACCTCCTCGAGCCCGCTCTCCTGCTCCACCTGAGCCGCTCCCAAATCCCTGGCTGGACGAGAAAGCTTGCTTGTCAACTTGTCGGCTGCTGGCCCGCCTGGACGCACCAAACCTGCTCCTCCCATCGACAAGTCGACACCGGCCACGTCTGCCGTCACCTCCCCACTGCACCCAGTCGCCCGATACAAGCTCAAAATCGCCAGCCTCGTCATTCCTTGTATCCGCCGCACAGCCTCTTACATCTCTCTCGAATCACCTCTCGATTTTCGCTCGAATCATTCACGCAGCCGTCTGTTCCAATCACGTTCACGGCACCCACCAATCTCGTCAATTGTTTCCGCCGCCGTGCTGTTGCTTAGCATAGCACCGTTTCCCAGCAAGACTTCTGTCGGCCCCTTTGTAATTACCTGCACAGCAACAAGCGGGATTACTGCATTCGATACTATTCACTCCTTCGACACCTCTTTCTCGCGTAGCCGACATCTACGACATAACGAAGACCCGCCCCGCCTTCGCTGCGATTTCTCCATAAGCAAAGGCCCATTTTACCCGCAGCTGTCCTCGAGCAACAGCTGCTGTTGCACACTCCAATAAGGAGCAGCCAAATCACCAACACGAGGATCCTCTGGGGGCCACAACCTGACCCCTAATATCGGCAGGCTTAAGCTCCTCGCGTCTGCGCACGAGGCTAATTCACCATTTATCCCACCAAGGGCAGCATACATCACTAATCTTGGATGTCGCCACGGTGCATAAAGGTAATCGATAATGTCGAATGCTAGATCTGAACACCTGCCTCCGGGCTTCTCGTCTGCTCCTGGTATGCCTGCAACAAGCCAGGGCCGTTCCTCTTCCCCGACCGCTGGCGCCATTGCTGGCCTGGACGCAGCTGCAATGAGAAGCCCCTTCGGTTTAAACGCCCCTGGCAAAATGGCCGGAGCCACACGCTCAGGGAACAACTCGCCCTCTCACGACACACCTGGTGGCCCTGGTCGGCTGTACTCGAAGCGGTAAGTGATCACACCAGCGCACCTCATGATTTCTACGTGTTCGTCATGCCCATGTACTTACGCAATCATCCCGCATCCATAGAGCGCGCGAGATCCAGGCGCAAGAAGGTGTCGCTGGCATGCCACCTCTAAATCCCTGGGGTGGCCCACCCACTAGCGGAAACTCGACTCCCCTGAGAGAAAACATCCCCGAGTCTCCTACCGATGGCTTCCCTGATTTCGTGCAGCTTCCGACTCCAGACAGTGGTCCAGCGACAAGACGTGCGCGTGCCGGGACAGTGCCTTCCCGGTTTCCTGGCCCGCCGGGCATCGGGGGAGGCAGCGCTTTCCCCAGCATGAACCCTATGGTCTCTCAGACGTCACGTCCAACACCGTCGCAAAGTCCATTCAAATCGCCCTCCCCGACGCTGAATGAGCTCCCAGTCGACGCGCCCCGTTCCTCGACACTGCTGTCCCGACTCCGTGCTGGATCGTTGCCGCAGCGAAGTCCTTTTGCGCCAAACTCGGGGACCAACTCGCCTTTTGGTCCCTCAGTTTTCAGTACCTGGAATGCGCCTGGTCGTGACAGGACCAACACTCTAGCAAGCATTGCCAGCGTGGGTTCCAACGGCCCAAGCTCGCCGGCACAATCGGCTTTTTCCAAAGAAGGTCCTGGTGACAATGACGTGCACATGCGGACTCTGGACTATCTCGGACTCGCAGAGACCCCGCAACCGGCTCGGGCTCAGCTGGCACCCACATACCTGCCTGGCATCGTAGACTTCACCAAACAGGCCAACCGTTTCCGATCATACTCTGTGAACAATAAGGATAAGTATGCGGACGACGAGGATGATGTATATGACGAGGAGGGTCTGCTGCAGAGCCAGTACGCGCAGTTGCAAGACCAGCTTGCGGCCACCAATGCTGCGATTCAGCAGCACAATCTTGCCGTCCAAGCATTTGCTTCGCAAGCATCTGTTACGCGGCCTCGTGCCCGTACAGCTGGTGTTCTGGAGTTGCAGAATGCCGGGTCTCGGCTGATGCGCAACTACTATCCAACACCATCACGACTTGACAACTCGATGACGGCAGCAGATCTCGGTCTTACTGATGACAAGGCCTTTGACGAGCTTCCGAGTGCCGTGGCAGCCATGAACCTGGGAAGATCGAACAGCCGGAACAATGGCCTGTTGTCTGCCGAGGAGGCCGGGCTCGAGGGTCCAACCAGTGCTCTTTGGCTGGGTAGCATCCCTACTTCTACAACCACGTCGACCCTGACAGAAATGTTCAAATCTCACGGTCCAATCTTGTCGGCCCGTGTACTGACTCACAAGAACTGTGGATTTGTCAACTTTGAACGTGTCGACAGCGCCATTTCTGCCAAAGCTAGCATGAACGGCAAGGAGATCTTTCCAGGAGCTGGCCCCATACGCATCAACTTTGCCAAACCGCCATCTGCATCTGGCACGCCTGGCCACGATGGAACATTCCCAAGCCCCAGCCCCGACCCTTTCACCAAGGGCCAGGATGCGGTGCCATCTAGCGCTGCTGCTTCAGCTGCCGATCGCCCTGCACTGAACACGAAACTAATCAACACTGTACCTGTGATTCCTCCTCTGCATGAGATGACAGGCGACATCCTGCAGATTGTCAAGTCATTCGGCGCAACTGACGAGGACACCGTCCGCATCGCAAGCACCTTGCAGTCGGCGATCCAGTTCACTACCTACCACGACGAAATCCCGCCCATTCGAGAGCCCACGCACACCCGTGTCCACGATGCTCCCAAGCTGAGGGACATTCGGAAGCGGATTGACAACCAGAGTCTCTCGCAGGCGGAGATCGAGAATGTTGCCGTGGACATGCTGCCGGAGATTGCCGAGCTGTCATCAGACTACCTGGGCAACACCGTGGTGCAGAAGCTGTTTGAACACTGCTCGGATGAAATCCGTGATGCAATGTTAGCCGAGATCGCGCCGCACATGGCTGAGATTGGTGTGCACAAGAACGGAACCTGGGCTGCGCAGAAAATCATCGACGTCTGCAAGACACCACAGCAGATGCGCCTCATTGTTGAGCACGTGCGTCCGTACACGATTCCGCTCTTCCTTGACCAGTACGGCAACTACGTCCTGCAGGGTTGTCTAAAGTTTGGCACTCCATTCAACGACTTCATTTTCGAGACAATGCTCACTAGGATGTGGGACGTTGGCCAAGGCAGGTACGGCGCTCGGGCCATGAGAGCGTGCTTGGAGAGTCATCACGCCTCCAAAGATCAGCAGAGGATGCTCGCTGCTGCTATTGCCCTCCACAGCGTCCAGCTGGCCACCAACGCAAATGGCGCGCTTCTCTTGACTTGGTTCTTGGACACTTGCACGTTCCCGCAGAGGCGTAGCGTATTAGCTCCTCAACTTGTCCCATTCCTTGTCCACTTATGCACCCACAAGGTGGCATATTTGACCGTTTTGAAGGTCATCAATCAGAAGGCCGAGGCTGAAGCGCGAGACACGATCCTCCAAGCTCTCTTCTTCAGCCCGAAGGACCAGGTTCTTGAGGCAATCCTCAGCGACCACGCTTGCGGGGCCACGTTGATCTTCAAGGTCCTAACGACTCCCTTCTTCGACGAGAGCATCAGGAGTCAGGTCGTGGAGAATGTCAAGAGCGTCTTAATTCGCATCAAGGCTCAGCCGAACCAGGGGTACAAGCGTCTCATGGACGAGGTCGGCTTGTCCACACGCACTGGCGGTGCTGCTTCTCGCGACCATTCAGTGAACCGAAACGCTGGGACCGATAGGCAACGCCCTGTCTCGAGGCAAGCCCAGGTCCAAGCCCAAGCTCAAGCAACGGCAGCGGCGCAACAGAATCCTCAGTTTGCGAACCAATTCATGAATCCCCTGATCCCTGGCAACGGCAATAACTTTGACATGCCTGGTTTTGGCGGTCCTGGCACTGGTGGCAGTGAGAATGGCATGCAGCAGTTCGCAGCCTACGGTCCCCAAGGGCCAATGTTCGCTGCCGCCGGCGCTCCAATGAACCCTGCCAGCATGCAGCAACTTCAGTTTCAGCAGGGCATGATGCCTCGTGGAGGTCCGGGTATGAGCAACTTTTTCCAGCCCATGCAAGCCGGCTATAGTGGCTACAATGGCCCTGCTCCGGGCATGGACCAGTTCCGAGGGCAGAATGTTGCCAACGGCAGTCCTGTCCAGCCGTCCGGTGGCGCACAATTTGCCCCGCCTGGATTTGGCATGAACATGGGCATGGGCGGATACAACTATGGCGCCCCGGGCATGAACGGTATGCAAAACATGCCCTACATGCAGGAGCAGCCTGCCAACAACAACCGCCGAGGACGCGTAAGTCTAGGTTCACCTTGATTCGCATTGAGCTTGAGGACTGACTGGCCTATCGCAGAGATGATCAAGATCTTGATTAAGCAATATGAGGAGGACGAGATTTCCGCGGCACTGGCGTTCTTGCTCTCAGGCCAAAGCGACCTCTATTTTGAATGTGGTAACCGTGCTTAGGCGTTAGAAGCTCGTTCGATGCTGAAGAGGAGGGGTTTCTGGACTACAAATGAGAGGGCTGGCGACCACATGAGTAATACCAGAGCCTTCCTCTACACTTCTGACAGGCGGTGGGCGAAAGCGAGGGGACGCTGGCTGCCTGCAAGAGTCGTCGACCTGGCGCACATGGGCGTGTGGGAGAAAATGTTTGCGTAAAAAAGAGGAGACCGGATTTGATGAGCTTATCTGTTGTTAGATCACGATGATATGTCCCGCGTTTTCTTTACTTGAAACCATCACAAAGAAGATTTCTCTCGTGTCTCCATCCTGCACGTCATGTTACCGTCTCGACCTCACCTTCTTCCCTCCATGCTCTGTGTCCTGGTACCCCTTCTTGGGACAAGGCCCGTCTTATCGCACCAGAAGGCGACAGGTAAAACCTGCATGACATGAACACGCACGACAGCAACACAGCTTGAGCGAGCAAAGGGAAAATTCAAATGATGCCATTTTTCTGGAACTTATCGACCACGCAGAGTAGACTACATTGTCAGGCTGCATAAAGGCAAGCATCAAACGTGGTATGTGAACCGTCAGGACGGCAGGAACAAAGGGGGCCCCTAGAGCAATCGTGCGCTGGATTTACTATCGCAGGCTTTGGTCCCGAGGCCCTCTGACACTCGACTTACTGGCTCAGCCCAGCCACGTCACCATGCTCGCAGGCCCGCCCCTGTCGCAATGTAGCTCTGATCTACTCGTTTGGGCTTTCACAGGTGTTTCTTGTTGCTATGGTAATACGCTGATCTATATCGTGTCTTGCTCATCGTGATAAGTTTGGTAGTTGGGAGGCGACTGTCTTGGCATCGCGCCTGGACCGCGTGGCCCTCTCTCTGCTTTGCAAGTCTCCATTGCTTCTTTCTTTCTTACATGCATGGCTTTCATTGCAGAGACAATAATAGATATGTGAGCGGTGTCGTGCTGTTGGGCTCATGGCCCGCGCTATTTGACTAGTGGCAGTGTCGATATGAGCCGCAAAGGCCGTGCCAGTGAAGATTATAGGGGAATAAGGATGGGTATCATGAGTAACGGACTAACGGCCGATCTCGACCGAACATTGCTCGTGTCACTGGAGTGTGTCTACGGACAATGGCTTTCTCATCGTTGAGGGCTTGACAGAGGGAGCGCATTGGTAGGATCTGCCTCAGTCGAGCTGCATGGCAGAATCATTACTGCGTCGGCGCTTGACTTCGTGCGCACCATTGTCTGTTGGCGGAGTGGCTGTCGTGGTTTCAAGCTGAGAGCTTGACTCTTGAACTGCGGGGTGTCCTCGCTTGGCTAAAAGTCGTGTGACCGAGGCTCGAATGGCGTCGGCTTGTGCGAGCATGGACTCGAGAGCCACTACGTCGAGCTCGCCAAGTTCGCCGGCGGCCATGCGTTCAGCATCAGCTGCTGCCATCAGGGAAACGACTGCAGGACTGGCTTGCGTCTGAGCAAGAAAGATGTTAGTGATGATCCAATGTCGTACGCTGCCTCATCAGAGATCATAGCGGGAGGGCGCCAACTGTAAACTTACAACCATAGCTCGCACAAGATTGCTGACGCCGTCACTACTACCTTGGCTGAGCTGGGCGAGATTCAGTGCAGCCTGCTGCTCTTCCAGGCTGCGGACCGTTGGCGCGTTCATGCGAGCGGGGTCACTCGTGCCCACCGCGAGTGGCGGTGCCCGCCAGCGGTTCTTCTTCACACTAAAGATTTTCCAAGTCAGCACGGTCTCACGATTACTCCCTCCTGGGGATTGGGGACCACATACCGAGAAATGAAGTCGAGCTTGACACCCCGCTCAGGAACCCGATACACGCGGCCAAAGTTCTGGTACTGGGCCTCGTTCTCATCCTCGCTGTCCTCCTCAATTTCTATGCAGCCGTTGTTGGTCAGACCGCGACCATAAGCCTGTTCGATCACCGGAGCTCCCTTGATCTTGCGGAGCTTGTGAGCGGGAGCAAGCTTCGCCATCAGTCCTCGAGGTGTGTCGTCCGCATGACAAGGGCACCTGAATGTGCGTGGTAGTGGCGGGCAGGCCAGGGGTGGGTCGAGGCAGTCAAGGTGCCAGTTGAGGGGGCATTCGGAGCAGGGCAGCAGAGCCCTGTTCTCAGACGCTGCTTTGTGGCACATGTGGCACAATGCTGCAGTCCCGTCGGTGTTCCTGATGCGATAAAAGTCAAATGGCTCCTCCGTGTAGCCTTTCCTGTTAGGTCTACTTGAATGATTCCGAGTCAGTATTTGATGCTTGTGAGACGGTGATTGCGTTAAACGTACCTCGTTTTGGGGCCTCCTGGCGCAACCTCCTCATACTCACCCTCGGGCCCAGTCTTGACGCCTTCGAAATAGTCCCTCAATCGTTCCGGCAGTCTAAACGCGCGAGAATTCTTCCGGTCCATAAGGCTGAGAAGGGAGCCAAATACGCCCTTCTTTTCCCCTATGGACGGATATGCTCGGTAGGTACACTCGTTGCAATACCACTCATCCCCTGCGGTGGCTTGATTCAAAGGAGGATCAATGCAGGCAAAGTGAAAGGCATATGAGCACCCATCGCAACAGACAAGCTCGCCGTTGCCTCCGCACGCATAACAAGAGTCGTCATTATCGTCCTGCATGAGCCTGTCAGCATACTATGTCGCTTCTGCGTTCAAATATGACGCCCTTGACGCAGGTGAGATGAACACATGCAGAGCGGCTGAAGTTTACCTTATCATTTGGAGGCCCGAAGCCAAGGGGGCTGGGGCGATCACCACTACTACGAGGCACGCCGGCAGCAGTACCCTTTTTCTTCATCGGACTAGACGGATCGCTTGTCAGCAAATGATCAAAGATATTACTCAATCCGCGTTGCAACGAAGGACCCAGATCTTTGGCGGCACGCCAGAAGACGCCGTATTGCTGTGATTTTGGAACTGTTCTGAAAGGGATCGCCGCGGAGGACAGATGTGAGAATGACTTACGATGTCTTGACGCGAAGCCCGCCGCGTGCTCTCTTGCCAGATCGTGGGTTGGTAGGTGTTGCTGCACGTGATGGGCGGCCGGATGGAGGATCCAGATCAGGTCGAATTGAGATGGATGTGGGTGATGATGGTTGCTCATCCAATTCATCGTGACTTCTCTTGGCGGCTCTTGTGGTTCGTGAACCAGGAGCAGGTGTCCGGACTGCACTGCGAACGCTCTCTACAATCGATTGAGCGCGGGCGACCGGGGTTTGGGCCGCCGGCAGTGTCTCATAGCTGAGGTCCGCTGCGAGAGGCTCACGCGTGAAGCTGTGCTCGATAGCTTCCTTGAGTGCCTCGTTGTTCTTAGCCTTGGTTAACAACTTCTTCCGCTCGTAGGGTTTAAGTTCGCCCGCATCACCGTAGCGACTGGGAAACTTGAGAGTGCCGGGTGGTTGATGAGATGCACCGTCATTGATGACGGTGGCTGGCATGCTCAGGTCAGATGATGAGGAGGAGGGTGGATGTTGAGTTGTGTTTGATGAGCGAGCAGGTTTGGGGCCGGCCGCATCCTTCTTTTTGGACGCGGGTTTCTTGTGCGACGGTTTGATTGGTTGTCTGGTCACGGCCGGGGTAGGAGCAGCACCTGGCGCATCGACACCATCCTCCTCGAGGTCCTCTTCCTCGCCCGATGCAGCAGCAGTATTTGCAGCAAATGTGCTGAAATCCAGCTCGTCGACGTCGATAGACGACAAGGACGACAGACTGCTAAGAGAGTCGGACCTGTGCTTCTTCCGGGGCGACTTGCGACTGCCTGGCGTGCCCTTGGCACTAGCGGCAGGCGCCTTCTGGGGAGTGTCATGGAGGGGGCGAGCTGCGCCACTACAGCCAACCCCAGTGCCGTTCATCACCAGGGACTCAGTCGGTTCCAATTTGGGCCTTTTGTTCGGAGGCTCTTCGCTGCCTTGGTCGGATTCTTGGTCCTTGATCGTGCCCATGTCCATGGTCAGGAGGTCTGCGTAAGGGGCAGGCTGGGCCTTGCTAGGGCTGGCCCTGCTGCCGTCTGATGGCGGAACAAAGTAGTCGTACGCGTTGCCATTTCGTGCTCCGTCCTTTTTCTTCTCCTTGACCAACCGAGTGAACTCCTGTAGGGTTTCGATATCCGCTCGCTGGTGGGCAATATCTTCAATCATAGCCACAAAGTGAGGGTCATTCTGGTAGTCGTCATACAGCAGCCGGATCGCGAAAGCTGTAGGATAGCGGTGGAAATCCAGTGCCTCCTCGACAGCCAGCTCGACGACTTTATCTGCCATCTCCTTATCCTCAGGCTCACGGTCCCTGGTCGAAGATGGTGCGCGAAATGTGGCTGGTTGGGGAGGAGTGGGGCTGGACTGGCGACGGGTCTTGTGCCTCGCAGATTGCCTCCTTGTTGTGGTTGTAGGCTCTGCAGTGCTCTCCGCAACGCCGGGCGTCTCCTCTGACGCAGCTTTCCCAAGCTTCTTAGCAGTGGACCGCCGAGGCTTCTTCGTCTTCTTAGGAACATAATCTTCATCTGCCCCATCGTCGATTACCAGAGGCAAGTGACTTGGTCGTGAAAGGGGCGATTGTGACCGACTCTGCTGGACCTCCATATCAAGCGCAGGGACTGATGGAGACCTCGACGGTGTCGCGCTAGACGCTTCGATCGTGGCAAGCGCAACTGTCTGCGAGTACGGCATAACCTTGAAGGTCGTCTTCCTGACTGTGGGTGCTGGAGCAGAGGTGAAGTCCTCGTCAGCTGGAGATGGAGAGGACCGTGTCGTTTTGCTCGTGGTGGTCTTTTTCAACGCGTTCGCCTTGGGAAGCGTGCCCAAGGGGGCCATGTTCTCGAGGACCCCCGACCGCATAAGCCCGGCATCCTGAAAGCTCGGCTTGTTCTGGACAGGCGGCTCCAGCCAGCTCCTCATGAAGTTCCGCTGCTCCTTAGTGACAGAACTTCTGTTTTGCGTGCCAGCCGAGGGGCTCGAGTACCGCGATCGCGTAGACTTTGACGAAGTCTGGTTTGTGGACGACATGTTGGCGACGCTCGTAGACCTGCTGAGGTCCCTTTCTTGGGTGATGGCGAGAATGTAACGAGGTGCTGTGGTGGAAACTGCTCTGGAACTGGGGCGCGCTGCTCTACCCTCAGGGATGGTGCGGAGCTGGTCTCGCCTACAAGACGACTGCTCAAAAGTTAGCATCTGGACCAAGGAGGTGATTTAGGGAGAGGGAAAGCACTTGTCTGTGGCTCTGAGACGCAGGCGCGTCAGGGTTTGGCAGCACGAGAGTGGTTTGTGTGTGATGCTTTGTGGAAGACCAAAGTCAAGCTCCCTGCCTGTGCTCAGGCGGGTGAGCTCCCAAGGTGGCTTTCAGTGGCCGCCCAGCAGCAGGTCCGGGGCCGCCGGGGGCCCACTAAGCCGAGCTTCCTACAGCGTGCCGCCCAAAGAATTCCAGCACCTCCCAGCCAAGAATCCCTGCAGCCAAAAAATCACAGGGCATTACTGTTCCTGCAAAAATCCCATGCAAGTCCTCGCGCGCGCGCGTCTCGATGAGCTGCCCACTTTACGCGTCAAGCATGGATACCCAGAGCCCTCAGCATCCCAACTGCCATTCTCTTTGGTCCTGGAAAGCAGGTGCAGTTGACATCACAGTGATCACACGTGTCTCGCTTTAGTTTGCCGTGTGCCCGGCATTCTGTTTGAGAATCATGTGGACAATCAAGCCAGTCCAGAGTCTCGACTGCGAAGCTCAACGCGTGTCTCGCTTCCGCATCTGGGGACCCCAACCAAAGTTGTTGACTCTTGATGCAAATATCCTGCTCCAGCGCGTCTGATCATGCAGCCACATCAACCGCTTCCTCTCATGTGGGACAATCTGACACTTTCTCCGCCTCTTCTGCACGGCGTATATGCCTGGCCTTTGATCCGTGGATGCTTTGACCCTCCTCGGCGCTTTTGCCCAGGCTCGACAGACTTCTCCTTCGCACATTCCAACGACCTCTTGGCGGCTAAAGAGTCCCAGTCATCTAGCCTCTGGCGAAAGGAATTTTCAGACGGCTCAAGGCAAGTCTGTAGCTGTACCTTATGCATGTTTCGAGATGGGGCAGCTTACGAGACGAGGCTGGAGGGCTATTGATTACTGAGGCGTTCTTACAAGCGACTACAAGTTTGTCACTTGATGAATGACAGAATGGAACGCGCTCCAGTCAGCTTCAACATTGCAATCCCTACAGGCAGGCTTCTCGCATCCAGACCAGCAGCAAATGAATAGCACGAGGTCGAGCAGACAAGCGCCGGGCAATAGAATGAGTTCATGGTTGACGTGCAACCGTGGATCGAGCCACCTTTCATTCATTGGTTCTTTTGTAATTTTGTTCCCTTCCAGCTATCTCTGGCGTCCTCTACCCTAAACTGTCCTTTCGTGGAGATCATATGCGTCGCCTTTATACAAGCAGGCAGGTACTCCAGCTCTCAGCTCAGCAACCAGTGAGGTCATGCTATTGCTGAAATAATCCGGGTACGATCTCAAGAGCAGAGTAGGAGACAGGCACGCACGGAGCGCCGCGTCAGGTATGAAACCCGGGTATAAGTGCACGGAATGTGTCGAGCACCCCTTGGCGGAGCTGGTAACAACCTTTGCGAATCCTGATCACCCAGTCTGCGTGAATATTTATTCCTCATCAGCGTTCTCCTCAGCCTGGCCGTCCTTCTTGGCGGTCTTCTTCTTCTTGTTCTTGCTCTTGCCCTTGTTTCTCGACAGCGGCTGCTCAAGAATCTTGAGGATCTCCTCGTCCTCAATCTTCTTATCAGACTGGTACTTGCTGAGGTCCAAGGCGGGCGGGGCACCAAGCTTAGTGACACCATTCTTGGTGATAGCTATGTTGTTGTCAGTCTTGTGAGAGTATTTGATGACAAACCAGGACGGCAACTTACCCAGAGTGGTCAGCAGACGGGCGACAGGAGCACCCTCCTTGTCACCGACGACCTCATACTGGCGCAGCACGTTGGAACGAACACCATCAAAGACACCAGCCTTGAACTTGGTGTCACCTCCCTCCTCCTCGAGCTGTCTCAAGCTGAAGGGGAAGTGGCCGTACTTGTTCTGAATGGTGGAGAGAGTCTTGCGAGCGTTCTGAGACTTGAGGATGTAGGTGTTGGCACTCCGGCGGTGCAGGGTAGCGCGCTGCTCGAGGTTCTTGACCTTTCCAGAGTCCGACAAACTGAGGCCCATCTCGACACCCCAGACCTCGCCCAGCTCGGGGGTACCATCGCCCTTGCCACCCTCGCCAGGGGCAATGACAATCTTCTTCTTGCCCTCGATCTCGTTGCGCTCAAACACCCACGATGTGGTGCTCTCGACAATGCTGCACTCATAGGCACTGGCGACCTTCTCGAGAAGGGATGTGATCTTGGTCTGAGTAGGGGGCTTGACGGCGGCAGCCTTGGCCTTCTCCTCATCAGTGCCGGAGGCCAGGGTGCCGGGGGGCACCATCAGGCGCAGAAGGAGCTCGTTGGCATAGTGAGTGGCAAGGATCAGGTCCGCAGAGCGGCCAGTGACGACATCGGACGCGCCCACGACGATGGTGTCGCAAACGATAGAGCCAAAGCCGTCGATTTGGGCACCAAGCTGAATCTTGACAAGCTCACCCTCCTTGAGTTCGACGGCAGACTCGACGGGATCGGACGCCAGGGGAGTGTAGGGGGTCACAAAGCTCGAAGGCGAGACCGTTGTGGGGTGAGACTGGCCTGGACATGGGCGATCAGAGCTGTCAACAACATTGCTCGTGTGCCATGAAAGCGTTGACAAAAATCACTGCGACAGTTGCGACTCACCCTTGTGCTTGGTTGTACGGTAGACCTTGGCAATCTCCTCCTCGATGAGCTTGTCACCCTTCTGGCAGATGGTCACAATCTTCTCGCCAGCCACACAGAGCTTGGAGACCTCGGCGAGGACCTTCTCGGAAATGGTGGCGGCGACCTTGTACTTGGTCAGTACATCTGGGTTCGCCAGAGAGTAGTCTGCATTTTGGCATCGTATTAGTCTAGGCTTCTGGGTATCTGGTTCTGCTGCAGACCAAGACCCCACGCAATGGCGACGGCGCCAGTGGAGGTGGTCTACTCAATCGTGACGGGCGACGCGAAAGAGCAGCCATGGCGGGGTAGGTGTTTGCAGAGCTGCCCGGGGTTCGGAAGATGACGGGCAGCTTCGTTGACGGGGACATGGTGCATGGTGGTGAGATGAGGACTGACCAACGACTTCCTGCTTTTCGGCCATATTGGGCAAATTCTCGCGATTGTCTTTCCGAGCAGGTCGGGCGCGTCGGGTGCTGATTTTGCAGAGAGTAGCAAAAGTGAGGGGAGAGGGCGATGATTCTATTTTGCGTTTTGGTGGTTTTCCCCGCTGTGGGCTGTCATGCAAGTGCAAGGCGTGCCCCAGGTGCAGGCTCCGTTCTAGGACGCGGCTAGGCGCAGTGACCTCATCCCAAGCGTCAAAGCTCTGGGAGCTCAGGTACTGCAGGAGTAGGAGCGGCCTGACAGTGGACCTTTCACCTACACGGTACTCTCATTGCCCGTACCATCACGAACCCTGACAGATGCTTGCCAGCTTGGCCACCTTGGCCACCTTGCGACGTTCGCATGAAGTTCACATCAAGGTCCTGAAGTCTCTACTTGCCGGGCAGGATCTCTTGCGGTCACGGCCATGGCACTTAACGCCAAGATCGCACAAAGTTGGCATATACCGGTCGTAAAAGAGTGCTTGAGAAATGGTTGCCAGAAATTCCCAGCGATTGTGATCGAGAAACAAACGTCCGCGTGCCTAGGTCAGTTTGCAACTCAATTTGAATGCTCTCCCTGCACGAATAGGGAATTGAAGCTCCTTCCAAAGCGCACGAGCTGGGTAAAAGCGGGTCTGGCGGGTCGTTTGGCCCCGATAGTGGAATACTCGCTCAAGCGGATACTTGTCTCCACAACCGAGACATGCCCGCTCAATCAAGGGTATGCAACAAGCAGCACACAAGGGGCTCGCCCCGAAACGCTTCTGCTTCTCCACGCACCGTCTTGTCGCGCCCGCGTCCAGCCTACGAAGCTCGCTGGACATTTCGCGATCGTTCGTTTTGCTCACCTTGCAGGCTACACCCATTGCTTCGCCCACGCTGCGCGCCCGCACCGCGCCCTGCAGACGACGCTTGATTGCTCCCAATACTTTCGCACTTGGTCGTTTCGCGACATATTCGCTGATCCTGCTGACGCAAGCGGCGCGTCCTCACCATCATGGCGACCGAGGCTGAGGGCGGCGCCTCGAGCGCAACCCCTGGCCCAGCACAACTTTCGTCCACGTCGACGCCAAAGGGCAAAGGCGACACGAGCGATGCTCAGCAATCGACCCTTCCCGTGCGCGACAAAGAATCCTTCAACCAGGTCCTGATAGAACGTTATATGCAGCGCGACCAAGTACATTCGGCTGCTATGATCAGCAACATGAACGGGAATGAGCACAACAAACATCAGTACAAGATGATATCAGACTACAAGATGATACGGAACGATTACCGGCAATTCTTCCCGCCAGCGAAATTGTATGGCGAGGGATACAGCGGCTGGGGAAATGGGCGCACAGAGACCGGCGGCCCGGCGAGACTGCTATATCCGCAACAAAAGCCACGACCAGGGAAGCGTCAGACGCCACCACTCAAGTGGAAGCGGAAAGACATGAAGCAGCAAGCAGAGCAGCACGAAGAGCTGGTACCCGTCCGGCTCGATGTCGATTGGGATAAAATAAAACTGCGGGACACCTTCACATGGAACTTGCACGAAAGGATAGTACCTGCCGAGCTCTTCGCGATGCAGCTTGTGGAGGACCTCGGGCTCAAACAGCCGGCATCACAGCCGGTATATGAGCAAATAGTCCAGCAGATGCACGACCAATTCAACGACTTCTACCCTTTCGTGTACTCGGACGAAGATGCTCTCGACCCAGAGCTGCCTTACTCGGCCTGGAAGAACGACGAGATGCGCATCCTGATCAAGCTCGACATTACCATCGGCGCACACACCCTGGTAGATCAGTTTGAGTGGGACATCAACAACCCTCTTAACTCGCCTGAGGACTTCGCCACGAGCATGACCAAGGAGCTTGCGCTATCCGGAGAATTCACCACAGCCATTGCGCACTGCATTCGGGAGCAGACACAATTGTTCACCCGAAGTTTATACAGCGTAGGCCACCCTTTCGATGGCAGGCCGATCGAAGATGCGGATCTGGTTGCTGCTTTCCTCCCTTCGCCACTTCCCTCGGTTTTCAGACCACAGCAGCAGGCGAAAGACTATGCGCCATATTTGTACGAGCTCAACGAGGTAGACCTAGAGAAGAACGAGACGATCCTGTCCAGGGAGCAAAGGCGACAGAAGCGTTCGATCAATCGACGAGGAGGACCTTCGCTACCAGATCTCAAGGATAGGCAACGGACCATCCGCACGCTCGTTGTGTCTGCCACTTTACCTGGAGCAGCAACACATGTCGACGAAAGCAGGCTATACAAGCGGGTGGCTGGTGCTGGTACGGGACGGAAGCGCGGCAACGCCCGGGACGGCGACCTATCGGAATCCGATTCGAGCGATGATTCGTCGCCTGACTCACCTGCTCCTTCACAGTTCACGGGTACAGCAAGAACGAGAGGCATGCGTGGCGCAGCGTCCGCAGCTCAACAGCGCATGACGACCATTGGCCGTTCTGAGACGCCAGAGGCCACAATACATCACCACGAAACCAGAATAGCTAGAAAGTCGGGACGTGATTTGTTCCGCGAAGACACAGAAGAACCCCAGCATATGTGGGTGACACTGAGGATCACGAACAAGGAGAGGCTCCGCAAGATCCTCACAAGCTCGCGTTTCAAGAGAAATACGCCCGCAGGCTCGCAGACCCCATCTGCGTCGCATGCACGAGCTCCAAGCGCTGCAGTGTCTAGCAGTATGCCACCTCCATCCACGCCAAACGCAGCGACCACACCGGGTCTTGCACGAACACCATCCGCCGTGCCGGCCGCACAGATTGGCCGTGTAGAGGCACCACTTCCGACTGCAGAGGTACCCCAGCCGACACCGGTAAGCACCCCTCCGGACCTAAGCAGCAGCCTGCGCTCGCCAGTCAAGCAGTAAATCTACACATTCACTAACGCCTTCACCACAGCCCCCTCCGCCAGCTTGGCTGCTTGAAGCTCTAGACAAGTTCAAGCATGAGCCAGCTTACAAGAACGACCAGTTCGAGGCCTTCATGAAGTACGTGGCGGTGGACACCACCACGGGTGGTGTGACGCAGGCGCCCCCGGCCGGGGCCCCCATACCCCCCAACATCCGCTTCTATTTCCTCCCGCGCATTCGCTGCACAGACTGCCCAGGTAAGCTCTACACACCCGGACCAGAGTTCTCGGCGCAGAACTTTGAGGTACACCTCAAGAATAAGGCGCACAAGGAACGTGTAGAGCAACGTCTGCGGAATGGGGCCGGCGCGGCGCCGTGAGGTTGCCTGGCACTGGTTCACAACGGGCGAGGAACATTGGGTTGCAGCTAGTCACGTCACTGCGAGTAGTGCGCTTCACATCAGAAGCATATAAGTTTTGGATGGAAGGTGTGGGCTTATATAATTTACTTGGATATCACTGTCGTCTCGCGGTTGAAATGACATTTCTTGATGCCACGACATAGAAAGTCGTCGGCAACCAAGACAGCTGCATGCGGCAGGTGGGAGGGCACGCGAGAGCAAGAAGAGAAGGAGGGCGAGCATGGTATACACTTCGCGTTTGAATCAACACTCCGTGCGTCTGGAGTTTGGGGCTTTGTAGATTTTGTTGCCGCCACCTTTCATCAGGGTGTTCTTCTGAAACTCATACCATTCTTATCTGGCCATACACCTGCTTTGAAAAGCATACGAGCATTGTCTCGTCGGGTCTTGCTACAGTTCGCGACTGGGATGGAAATTTGGTGGGTATTTTCATTTGGTTATAAAGTACAAGCGGCTCGTCCCAGAATGGGTTTCGTCATGGCTGAGCTCTACATATTTTATACAAGTGGGATCCTTACTGTGCGCCTCTCTCCCTCGCCAGTCCTACTAGTTTACATTTTCGTCATCCTCCAGACAAAATCTGTCCTTTGCTGCAAGGACACGAGCGGACCGTTCCCACAGGGTTGCCGCTTTTTTCGGCTCGACCGTTAGCGGGCCATGCTGTATAATTATCTTCCAATGTAAGTTGTAAGTCAATAGCCTCCTCGAAACCAACAACAACAACCGCCATTCATGGTTTCCGTTTGGCCATCTGCTTTGTGAACCGCTTCGCGAGTTTTGGATCGACGGCTATCGGTTCGAGGATGTCCCGCTCAGGTTTGTTCGACTTGCGACTCTGGCGCGCAGGGTTTATCTTCCTGTGAGGACCGCGCTGGAGCTCGTTTTGTTGTTTTTCTTTCTGTTTCTGTTTCTGTCTTGCTTCGTCTTTGAGATAGTTCCTTAGGTACCGGCGCTCTCCAAAGGAGGCCATTTTCATAGCCCAGCGTTTCTTCTGCTCGCGAAGCAGTATCAGCCATTTCTCAGGCATGCGCAGCTGGCCTTTCTGTGTGAAAGGCCACCGCGTAAAGAAGCCTTCAGCGCCCTTGTATGGTGGGTGCCAGACGATGGGCTCTGGCCGCTTCCCTATCAAGTACGGATGCTTGAGAAACCCTGCCGTCTCTGAAGATTGCGCCTGGGTATCTTCCTCTTCTGAGCGAGACTTGAATTTAGGCGCATTGACCCAGTCCGGCAGCGGTGCTGGCTGTGGCGGAGGGACGTAAGTGGGAGGGTCTTCCACTGTGACGCCCTTCTTCGGGCCTATCCAGGCCGTTGCCTTGACGCACAGGCTGCCGTGCTCATCCTCGATCCAGACTGTTCGTCGATGCGTGGCTGCGTACTCGGGCATCCGCTCCGTGATGATCCCGCCGACGCAAAGCTGGATGCGAGTGCCAGCATAGAGAGGCGCAAAGTTGCGGTACTCGAAGAACTTTATGGACTCGCTATTGTGACCTTGAGCCAGCAGCGACTTGACGGCGTTAAGCAAGAGCACGACGCAGAAAGGCCCGTGGACCAAGAGACCCTTGTGCCCATCAACTCGTTTACTTCGCTCTGCGTTGAGGTGAATGGCATGGGCGTTCATGGTGAGCGCGCTGAAGTAGAAGAGCATCTCAGGCGTGATGACTGTCTCTATCAAGGCGTCCGGCTTCCAGGGAGCTACAATCAAGGTCAGTCACCGATCAAAGAAGCAGGGTCGTTTTTATGGCTGCGAATCAGCGCTCACCTTTTATTATACGGCTCGCCATTTCTGAACGTTGATCATCGTCGCCTTCGCCCTGGAGGGCGCTGGCGAACGGGTCCTGCCGCTCGAGGGTCTTCATGAACGCCAATACCCTTCTCTCGCTTAGACAGTTGGTGTTGTTCACGTCGAAACGGCCCGGACGGGACATGTCCATGGGCATATATCGCCGCAGGAGGTGCAGGAATATCTTTTCGTCTTCCTTGACGCCTTTGGTCTCAACCTTTTCGATAGTCTCGATGCAGACGGCAGGGGTCGAGTCGATCTTGAGGTTGTCCCTGGTAAAGTCAATGGAGCCACCGGCCCAGACCCGTCTTGTAAAGCCGCCGCCCGGACTATGATAAGGGTCTGTGCCGTCACTCTCGAGGTCCGCGGGGCTAATGGGAGTAGGGAAGTAGACGAGATGGTGGCCTTGGGGCATCGCCAGAGGCATGCGGCTCATGGGCGCGAGCGGATGCTTGGCCTGGTTGAGCGCATACTCTGCGGACAGAGTGGAGGGAGGGAGGTGCTTGTCGAGGGTGACATTGAGCAGGTAAGAGTTGGTGGGCGAGGTCACATCAAAAATATGGCGGGGCGGGCGGCGAGACAGCCTGTCCATGCCCAGCAACCTGGATCGGGTGTTCCTGTTCTGAACACGATAAGCCATGTCTGTGGTTTTGAGTGCCTGCTCGGCTGCGGGACGGGCGTATTCTCGAGGCCGACAGGCGGCGGCCAGCCAGTGCCGCGCCGTCATCGCCTGTGAGGGACGGCGGGCACAGAGAGAGACGGCCATGGTTTGCAGCTTATGCTCAGCTGCAGCATGGCCGTGATGCTTGTGGGCCGTGATGGGTGCTGCTGTCTGGAGTGCTCTATACAAAGAGCCCGCATGGATTTCAAGCAACTTTGGAAGCCAGAAAGAGACACACGACCACCAGCCGATTGGCTGGTCCAACTCATACGTCAAACTAGCTGGACCCTTGTCAGGCGTCCAGGCAGATACACAGTCCGCAGTGCTCTCACGCACAGTCTCTCTGTATGTGCATGCACCAACAGATCGTGCAAGGTGCTCACGAAAGATAGTGCATCTGTCCACAACGCAGACTGTGTGGCACCCCACCAGCGCTAGTAACTCCAGCGCGTCACCCATTTACGCGGTATCGAGATGCATAACCGCGTCGTGCGGGCCTCCCACTTCGAGCATGAGCTTCCACAAGTCGGGCCAGCACTTCGGGACTTCTGCCTGCTCAACCCCAACCCTTGAATTGTTGTCGTCCTCGAAGTCGCCTTCTACAAGCTTAGAAGACCGCATCTGCCTGGCGGCAGACAGATTGTACCATAACCCCTAGCTCGTCGAAGCTGGCTTACTTAACTTCGAGCTTTCCCCGTCTCCTGTCTCTTCTCCTTTCAATCTTCAGCCTTCCGAAATCCGTGGCAAATACCGCCAGTGTGGCTTCACGTCGTCTACTCGCCCAAATTGCGACGACAAGCTCGCGCAGATTAATCGCCATGGCACCACCAAAGCAGGCGACTCTTGGGTATGTACGATCATCACAAAGTACAATTGGGTCCGTGGTGTCCTCGACGTGACCCCGCGGTCCGAGCTGCGTGTGATCAATGGGTTGCTGATCAGTCCGAGTAGGAAATTCTTCGGCCAACCGAATGGCGCAAAGCCGGCACCAACACAGCAGTCGAAGCTGTCATTCAGCACGAAACCAAAGTCAAATGCAAAGCCGACAGTGAGCTTAGAAGAGCCCGAGGCAGACAAGGAGAACCCTGCGACCGAGTCCAACCCCAAGCAAAGTCCAGCTGGTGAGTACTTCCAAGTCTCAGAAATGGTGTGATGTGTCGATATGGAAGGCTGTTGCTGAGCGTCAGGGCTAAATTATGATCATAGGTAAAAGCAAGCGGTCGCGGTCGCGGTCACAGTCTCCCACAGCAAAGACGAATCGATCCCCCTCCCCAAAAGTCAAAGCAGAAGAAGCAGATGAGGCTCTCGAGCAAGACGTACCAGTTGCAAAGCGACCTCGCAGGACCCGAGCTCGGATAGTGGACGACGAAGATGACGATACCACAATGTCAGGGGTCGATGTACCTTCAACAAACCCCTCGAAAGCGACCTCAAAATCACCGAAAAAACCTGCACCGGCTCCAAAGACGTCGATTAAGTCGGACGATCAGACTATTGATGCAGATATCAAGCCAGAAATATCATCTGCTTCAGCCTCGGATATCGAGGACGATGCTGAGGAGGACCTTGATGAGAAACCAGAGATTGCCAAGAAGGCCCGGGAGAAGGTGCAGGCCAAACTGAAAACAAAAGCAAAAGACCCGTATCCGGATTGGAAGGCCGGCACACCAGTGCCGTATGCGGCTCTGTGTACGACGTTCTCACTTATCGAGTTGACGACGAAGCGGTTGGAGATCACGGAACATTGCGCTCTCTTCCTGCGGCAGGTGCTGCGACTAACACCTGACGACTTCCTCCCTACTGTTCTCTTGATGATCAACAAGCTTGCACCAGATTACGCTGGCATAGAGCTCGGCATTGGCGAATCTTTGATTATGAAGGCAATTGGCGAGACCACTGGGCGAAGCCTACAGGTGATCAAGGCGGACCAGAAGGAAATCGGCGACCTCGGCTTAGTCGCTGTCAAGAGTCGGTCGACCCAGCCCACAATGTTCAAACCCAAGCCGCTCACTGTGAGAGGCGTGCACAAGGGCTTGATGGAGGTGGCGACTGTGACCGGAAACGGTGCTCAGGGTAGAAAAGTCGACCTTATCAAGAAGCTGCTGTCGTCTGCAGACTCGCACTCGATAGGGAAGATCGACATCTACCAAGACAAGGGAGGCCCGAGCGAGGCCAAGTTTATTGTGCGTTTCCTGGAAGGCAAGCTCCGACTTGGTCTTGCCGAGAAGACGGTCCTTGTTTCAATTGCGCAAGCCGTGGTCTGTCATGAGGCCGAGCAGGAGGGCAAGGTCCCCTCGACAACACAGATGGAGGAAGGCGAGGCTGTCCTGAAGACTGTGTACAGGTCAGTTCTTATGGAATCTTCCTCTACTTTTATCAATTGCTTACTGGGAGAGATACAGCGAGCTACCAAGCTGGGATGTCATCGTTCCGGCGATGGTTTCAAATGGCATCATGAAACTCGGCGAGGCTTGCAAGCTTCAACCCGGCGTACCGCTAAAGCCTATGCTTGCCAAGCCGACCAAAGCCATCACAGAGGTGCTCGATCGTTTCGAGAACCAAGCCTTCACGTGCGAGTACAAGTATGATGGCGAGCGTGCTCAAATCCATTATGTGGCCAAGGACCACGCGGACGAGTACGTCAACGCTCTGCCAGGCGCGACTAAGGAAGCCGCCAAGGGAGTGGCATCTATCTTCTCGAGAAACTCGGAAGACCTGTCCAAAAAGTACCCTGATATCCTCGCGAAACTCCACACTTGGGTCAAAGAAGGTACCAAAAGCTTCGTGCTGGACTGCGAGACGGTGGCGTGGGACGTGAACGAGAAGAAAGTACTGCCGTTTCAGCAGCTCATGACCAGAAAGAAGAAGGACGTCAAGCTCCAAGACGTCAAGGTCAAGGTCTGTGTTTTTGCCTTTGATCTTCTTTTCCTGAACGGTGAGCCGGTAGTCAAAAAGTCGTTGAGGGAGCGCAGGGAGTTGCTGCACGATGCATTTGTGCCAGTGGAGGGCGAATTCGCATTCGCTACACACATGAATGGTCAGGAGATCGACGAGATCCAGACCTTCCTCGACGAGAGTGTCAAGGCATCATGCGAAGGGTTGATGGTCAAGATGCTTGATGGCACAGAGAGCGGGTACGAGCCCAGCAAGAGAAGTCGGAACTGGCTCAAGGTAAGTCCTACCGATGTTGTGCAGTCATACTCTCACATCCAGTGTTGTCTCGTGGTGCTGACTTCAATTCTAGATCAAGAAAGATTACTTGGCTGGCGTGGGTGACTCGCTCGACCTGGTCGTTCTGGGCGCATACTACGGCAAGGGCAAGAGAACCTCGGTCTACGGCGCGTTCCTGCTGGCCTGCTACAACAACAAGACGGACACGTACGAAACGGTCTGCAACATCGGCACGGGCTTCTCGGAGCAAGTCCTCGAGGACCTGCACAAGCAGCTCTCCGAGATCACCATTGACCGCCCCAAGCCATTCTACTCGCACTCGAGCGGTGGCCAGCATCAGCCGGATGTCTGGTTCGAGCCGCGCTACGTGTGGGAGGTCAAGACGGCCGACCTGACGCTCAGCCCGCGGTACAAGGCCGGCGCGAAGGAAGGCGTCGACCCCTCGGGCGAGAAGGGCATCAGTCTGCGCTTCCCCCGCTTCATCAAGATCCGCGACGACAAGAAGCCCGACGAGGCGACGAGCAGTCGCCAGGTGGCCGAGATGTACCGCAAGCAAGAGGCCGTGACGAAGAACAAGGGCCCTTCGGCGGACGACGACTTTGAGTATTGATTTGTCCCTTTGGCGCTTCTCTTTTTTGGAGGCGGCTGCCTCGAGGGGCGGTTTGTTCGGCATTGATATCAGGCCTTGTGTGAGGCGTTTTCGTGGTTGACTTGGGAGGGAACAGGGCGGCTGTCGCGAGCTGTCGTTGTTATGCATCATGTAGTTGGCGTGGCGAATCAATAACGTGGCTTACTTTTGGCATGGTTGTTATGTTACGAAGAAAGCGATACAGTTGTCGAGCTTCTTCAGTCACGAGTTCTGTTAAAGACAGCCATGACTTGACGACTTGGTCAGACGATTACGATTGAGTGCTTTTCACTGGCAGAATGGTGGGACCTGGGTTTAGAATATGCTTCTTCGTATTGCTATTGCTTTGTCTCTGCGTGATTCTTTCAGTCATTGTCCTTCGTGCTCCCATATGCTCTAAAAGTAAGGTGTAAGGTAATTTAACGTGCTAGAAAGGACAGTCCAGAACTGAAAAAAATAATTTGCCGTCTGCCAAATGCGCTCATCCCGAGACCCGCACGCTATGAAGGCTGGTAAAAGATGGCAAGAAAGAAGAAATTATGAAGCACTGCCACGGCTCAGGTGGTATTACAAATAGTCTCCGAGATGCGATGGCGCGCATGCGACTCTCGAATCAACGAGAATGTGTAGGATGGAATGGTTAAGAATGACTGACATCATGTGCTTGGCACATGTACCAGTTGGTTGGACTGCAGGTTCAACGGCGAGGTTGTAGGGGCCCGTGAGGAAACACGCATCCCACATCAGGGAATGGATCCCTCTTTGTCATCAGAGACTCATGCAGTAGGAGCCAGGAATGGGCTGAGCATGAGATCATCGGCGCTGGGGCGCAGGTTGTGATCGATCTCAAATGTCTGGCTGAGGAAAGTGCGCGCCTCATCTGACGCATTGTCAGGAATCGTGGGTGACGCCTTGCCACCACCGATCTTGAAGATAGCCTGTAGCTGACTGCAGTCCGGGAACGGATGAGTGCCGGTCATCATCTCCACGACGAGACAACCAAGAGACCAGATGTCGGCCTTTCTTGTGTATGAAGTCTGCTTGACCACTTCAGGGGCCATCCAGAAGACGGAGCCTTGCAGCGAGGGGCGGTTTTTGTTGTTGTTAGCTCCATTGAGAATGTTCGTCGCTTCGAGCTTCTTGCTGATACCGAAATCAGATATCTTAATCGTGCCCTTGTTGTCAACCAGGATGTTGGCGCCCTTGATGTCCCGGTGGATGATGTCTCGGTTATGCAGATACGAGAGGCCGTTGAGAATTTGGCGGACAAAGCTGCGGACGAGGGGCTCAGGGAGGGCACCATACGAGTTGAGCATGGTCTGCACTGAGCCTCCAGGGACGTACTCGAGGAAAATGTTCAGATACTCGTTTGACGAGCCACAGCCCAAGTACTGCACAATATTGGCGTGGCGCAAGTCCCGCAAGAGGCTGATCTCGCGCTTCAGGGCCTCGATCATGCTCTTCTTGCGGTTGTCGTTGACACTGTTGGCACCGGGGGAGGGCGTCTCGACCTGCTTCACAGCGAGCAGCTCACCAGTGATGGCATGCAGTGCGAGATACACGCTGCCGAACGAACCCTGGCCGATCAGAGCACCCTTCATCCACTTTGCATCGTCCCACGAATCACCGGACAAGAAGCTAGCCAGCTCCTCGTCGGCGTCTTCGCCATCTTCGTCCAGAGCGCGAGTAATGTCCTTGAGAGAGCCAGACCCTTGTGTACTTGTCTCGTCAAAATAGCTGCTTGGATCCGTAAGGGTGTTGTTGAGTGTGTTAGGATTCGAGTCCGATCCGCTGTCTGCAAAGGAGACGTAGGAATTGCGGTCTGGCTCGGTCGGTGACTCTTCTTGTAGAGTGTCAAGCATGGAGGAGGCTATCGAGTCGCGGTAGATGTTGGGGATGCGCCCGTGAGCATCCCGGGGCTTGATCGTTGCCAGCTTGTCAGTATCCTTGAGCCAGCTGTCGGCAATGGTGGGAATCGGAGGTGCGTCTTGTATACTGGAGGCAAAGCTGAGATTGCTGGCCACTGATAACCGGCTGTTGAACCTGCTCAACCGGGTGGACCTGCGCATCGACAACCTGGCTGTGCGATCGATGTCTTCCTTGTTGTGGTCCGGGAAATACGATGTGAGGTCTGACGTGATCAACTCGCTTGGAGGACGCAGACCTCCGAATTGCCGCAACACGCCTTTCCTGCGTGGCATGCCATGGTCGTCTGGTGCAGGTCGCTCGAGGTCCCGGGCCGTGTTGTTCAGATTACGCTCGCGATCAACGTACGAGATGGGTGACAATGGCTGCTGGAGGCCACCGCTCCAGCTCTCTCCCAGAAGCTTCTGAACCTTGAGTTGGCTGCGCTTGTCGACATTCTCAAGTGCACGAGCATGATGTTGCTGGGCCTCCTCCATGGCGATTGCAGCAGCACGCTGAAGCTCAGATTCACCGGGTTCGCCGGATGGTACACGGCGAAGGATCAACCGATTTCTCTCGGGTCGAGTCTGATCCTTGATGATCCGCCACAGCTCCGTGTCTCCGAGACGCCGACATTGCTTAGGGTCGGGGTCTACACCAGCCAGTACCCAGAAGCAGTAGTTCCGGTCATGGTCCTCGCGCAAGGCGAACTTTCGGAGGGTGACGCGCATCACCTCTTCACAAGTATTGCAGCCGGAGATCTTGACGACCTTGGTAACGCCGCCGGTAGAAATGACGCGAATCACTTCTTGGCCCTGTGGTAACGCAGCCATCAGCGAACCATCCACGCTGGAATTATTTCTCGTGTGTGTCATTACCAGGCGGCCTGGCGGCGGCTGATCCGGCAAACGAGCACTTGAATTAGGCGTTGCGTTGCTCATGTACTGCTGCTGACCCTGAGGGTATCTTGGCTGGCGGGCGCTTCGCAAGTCTGCACTAGGCAGGGGCGAGTTCGGACGAGATGATGTTTTCCCGATCTCGATCATAGGCGTCGACATGGCGGACATGTCAATTTGGCGTGAGTAGCGCTTGCTTGCGCCAGATGCAGGCTGGCTGCGAGAGCCGATGCCTTTGGGCGAGCCAGAAGATGGCGTGTATTGTTGGTTGAAATCAAGACCGCCAAAAGAGTCCTACAGTCCGCAGTTAGTACGTGGGTGCGTGTGGCACAACCAGTCTCGTCAGCTTGGGTCACACTTGCCCTATTCCTCTTTTTCTGGTTGGCATATGCCTGTGTTCTCAGCTTCTTGATTCCAAGAAAGAGGCGGACGCGGTCGCCGACTTTGTCGATGCCCATTTCCTTGAGAACCTCCTTGTCAAGCTCGAGTAGATTCTCGCCGTTGATGTTGTTCTTACGGAACAGCTTCTCGTACTCGCCGCACTTGACAAGGCATAGGTAGTCGCAAACCTGATCCTCGCTCCAGTTCTTGACGGCATCGGGGCCGTCGCTGTCGGAGAATTCGCTCTCGGTAGGGCTGTTGAACCCCTGGCCGCTGTGGGCTACAGCCGGGCCTCGCCGAGAGGGAGGCATGTTGGACGACGGGGTGTTGGCGACAAGCGTTGAGTTTGCCGAGGCCATCGACGGCGGAAAGGAGGATTTGGGAGCGAGCATCGCCATGTCGACGAGCTCAGCAGCAGAGTCGGTGGCGTGAGAGAGAAGTGAGACGGTCCGTTCGAGTGGACGTCGTTGCGGGTCGGTACCCGAAGTCTCGAGTCGCTCTGCCCGAGGGAGAGAAGGAGTCTATAGCTTGCTGACGACAAGGCGGCCTTGTGAGATGTACCCTGAGGTAGCGAAGGTGGTGTAGTGAGGCCGGGAGGAGAGCTTTCTGAATGTCGAGGGAAGAGGCGACTGCTGGTTGCCTATACCGCAAGGGGTTTATGCGAGAGACTAGATGGACTAGGCTGGCTGAGGGTGGTGTAGTTGGGTGTGCCGGCGCCTGGAGGACCAGCTCTGGACAGGTGCGTCTGGGAAATGGGAGCAGCAGACTAAAGCAGAGCTAGGACGAAGACTAGGGCGAGACCCATCGAGGTGTCAGGACGGCGTGGATGGGAGGGTTGGGGAGTCGTGACGATGGGCAGCAGGAGGAGGGGTGGTCGTCTTGTGGTTGCAGCGTGGGGAGAGCGTGCCTGTGGCAGCCCGGTGAGGACGGTGCCTCAGCGTGGGTGGGCGCCGCTAAGGGGCCAGGCGCCTGGCGCAGCTGGGACCTGAGTGGCGGCTCGGCGGGCTGTGGCACGGACGGACAGGGTCGATGCACTCCTACCTACTAGACTACAATAGAGTACAGTACTGGACACTGCGCGGCACTTGCTTGCCCAGGTCAAGTGCACGTTGCAGTCACGGCAGGCAGGCGCCAGGAAGGAAGGAAGGAAGGAGCGAGCGAGCGAGCTGGGGAGCTGCGTGAGTTTGCCTCGCCGCGAATAGCATGCCTCTCAATCTGAAACCCGCGCAGAGCAGGGGTGCGCAACGAACCACACGACGTGCCGTACAATAAGCAGATATTAGGTTGCATCAGCCATCTGCTGTCAGCCCTCAGGAGAGCCGTGGGCCTGCGCAGGTGACCTGGCCACAACGTCCTCGCGTGGTGGACCGGTCGGGAGGGGCCGGCTCAATGCTGCTCGTTGTTTCATGATGCGCTAGTGTGGGCGCGGCGCGAGCCATTCACAGCCCGGTGGGCATCGACATTTGATTTGCTTCCAATGCTGATGGAGACTGCGATGGAGTGAGTAGCCGCCCAGGCGGCCACCTCCGCCCACCGGATTGGCTGGCTGAACCTGGTCCCCGATGTGACCAACAACCGCCGCCTGCCTGGCGTGGCAGCTCATGAGCACGATCTACACACAGCACACACGGCCATCGCGGTCCTTGTGAGAGATGGAACTGAGATCATCCGGTTTCCTGTGGACAAGCGATGGAGCACTACAATGCAACCTCGGCCACATGGCTGTCGTGGCCTGAGGACGCAATGCCATGCCCATTGTAGCCGCAGTGTTCTTTCGCTGCACGGGAAGAAACCCATCCCTGGGGGGTCCCGGGCCTGTGTATCAGAGACCCTCTGCCACTCTCCGTGTTCGATACTTTGATACTCTATGTACGACATGGCATGACTACAATCCGTTCGCGGCCAGGCAAGATGGCAAGCTCCGCCTCTCGCAAACATGCCTCGGAGCCTGCACTGGGGAAGCTCGCCCCTTGTCACCGATCGCTGCCCGTCAAGGCGAGACGAAGACGCATGCGCGCTGCACAGCACGCTCCCCAGCCTGTGCCCAGATCGGTGGATGCAGAACGTGTCGTTTGCATTCTGGCTGGAAAGTGATCGTCAGCCTGGCCGAGTGGCCTGACAAGCGATGGTCATTGTGAGAACCTTAGGAAGGTATGACTATTTTGCGAGTGTGGCTGGCCGAACACGAGCACGTTTGTGTTTGGTTTTCCAGCATTGTGAAACGTGCAAGGTGCGCACCTCAGTAATTAGTGCTCCCAGCAGCGGCAGCAGCAGCACAACACAAACAACTGCCTCGCACATGCTGCCAGCCGGATGCGTGCGCGCGACGGCCTCGGACGACATCAGCACGACTGATAATCACGCCGTAATAATCATAAGCCCTTGGTGTTGTGTGCAAAAAAAGGGCCAGTCCTAGCGAGCATGTGCAAACAAAACAATTGGCGTGGGCGGGCCCCTGCAAGGCACCGCCGCCAAGAGCAGAGAGACAAAGGGTCCATTGTGCGTGCCTGATGAAGATCCCCAGGGGGCTTAACTCACCCACCCCTGCCACGCCTGAAACAATCCCACTCCGCGCAACCGAGCACCGCGCCGCCCAGCGAATCACGGCCCGCTGTTTTGTTTCGGTGCGTGTCTCTGCTTGACTGCCAGATGACGTTGGCGAAACACGCCGCCCTCGTCTACTGTGGCGGCTTCTTCGCCAAGCTTTCCTCATTCGGCAGGCATCCGCGTCGGACCGTCTCGCCACGAGCCACCTGCTGCTGGCAGCTAAACGTGTCGCTCATTACGCAGTATGGTGGTGACATGTAGAAAATAGAAAGGCGTCGCGGAGCGGCACGTGTCGGCCGTCCAATTCAGGCAATGGACCCCAAGATTGGAGCGCTGGATGGTTTCCCAAAGGTTGTGGATACCTAAGGTAGACACGAGTAACCCACCAAGTCATGTCCCAGACTGCAAACAAGGCTGATTGATACTCGCGCCATGCCCAACGCCAATCATGAATGCTCACAACACGTGCCACTTCCCAGCACCCATCGCGCAGATCTTCGACGGGGATATCAGGAACGCATCGTCGCATTCCAGAAGGCTTCGGCCGCCTCGTAGTCCGTTCGATCGTCCGTCTGATCGCCAGGATGGACCAGTTACAACGACGTCATGCTCGAGACACAACATGTCGGGACACTCCAGACCAGATGAAGATCTTCCACGCCACAACATGCCAGTCACCAGCGTCTGAGAGAGGTGGAGCTCCCCTCTGATATCCCAAAGTGCGCTTGACGTCAACCTGACTTGGGACGATGCAAATCACAAATCCGCATTCCTCGTGATCTACAATCACCCTGCTTCTCTAGGTATAAGGCGGGCCATGGTAATGCCTCAGACGTGCTTGGCCAGTACTCTGTTGCTCTTGTTGGGGTCGTGCTGTATTTCTTTTCGTGCTAGCCTAGCTTTTTCCAGCGATCCCCCCCCCCTCACACATCGCTGATCTTTGGAACCGGCGATCTGTATGTATGTCTCTGGGTCTCCTCTCCTCTCCTGTCGATCTGAACCCACGTCCTTGGGTCGGTCAATGGCGTGCACCAAGCCTAGAACCCTTTTGGAACGTGTGTGTGGAAACATCGTGCGTGGGGCGGGAAATCGTAGGCCCTCCGGGGGAGAAAGAGGACGACGACGACGATGATGATGATAGTGATAGGGTGCTTCATGATGCGAAGCTTCCGGATAGCAAGTACATGCCTTTGTCTATGGGTGACTTGTGGGACGATGATGGGCATGTCGATCGCACCCATCATTCTCTCCAAGTGATGACATATCACCGTTTCACGTGGGTGAGAAAGGCGAGAAGGGGAAACAACACGATGTGCCCGAGTTTTGTCGATTTCAGAATAACTAGTCCTTGGTCCAGGCATAATCGTGTCGCCGGAGGACACTACTGCTTTTCCTGTGGTTTACTCCTGGCGGAAACCCATTGACAATTTACAAAGTAATGTAATCAACTTGCTCGGGTTTGACGAATATTGAAATCCGGAGCTGAGTGACCTTGCGGGATGTTGCAAGTTTTTAACCCCCCCGGGAAACTTCGGCCAGTCATGATGCTGTCCTTGGCTACTCTGTGTACGCGCAGGTCATACTGCTTTTGATGCTGAAGCAGGATTTCCTCGAAAGTTGCCATTCCGTTGGAGGTAGATCACACTAAAGAGTGTGTGTGCCTAGATAGCTACGGTAGGTAGGGTGTCAGCTGCCACCATCGCCGTCCTACCCGAATTGCCGCAACGGAATTCGACGGGACGAGGTAAAAAACGAGATCGAAAGTCTGAACAAGATAACTATAAGTAAATAAAAGTAAAACATGCACGCCTACGAGGGCGGATAGTCCTATGCTGTTCCATCCCTATATTGATCACTTCTTTCCACCTCGGTCTAAATCAGGCAGGACAACCATCCAGATACATTGTTGCTTCGCAGGATAAGTCCATCCTCCCTTGACGACCGCGGGCCAATCCCTGCCGAAGCGGACTTACTTTTCCCGTGACCGTTGTCGCGGACATAAGGCAACAAACCAGGACAAAATAAAAAGAATCTTGAACTGGCACCCAGTTGTGAAAGGGAAGCGGTCTTTTTGCGAGTGGTGTGAACCTTGAATGCTTTGCCCTCACGAAGATTTGAAGGTGTAGAGGAACTGCGCGGTGATCCCCTGATGATTGCTCGCAGGTGTTTCCTCTGCTGATACATGCCAACATCGTGCCCGTGAATGTGTTTAGAATGGCAGATGATTCTCGCTGGATCTTCCTCAAAGAGAGGGGGCTGAGCTTCCTCTAGTGAAGAATGAATATTCTCAGAATCAAGAGTGAACCTGGAAATCACACGCCCAGGTGGACTGAGCAGAACATCGACTTTCTGACTATTCAGAGATTTGCTCCGGCGGAGAACGCACAATAAAAAATGTCTCGTCCCCACAATTGGAGGCCGAGAAAGCGAGATGTATGATTGACTATTATTGACTAGGCATGTACACACAAGAGGCCTGCTCTGCTTCAGCTCTTATGCACAACTGTGTCGATATAGTGACCACCGAATTTCTGTGCTCCTTCTGTTCTGTCCTCTCTCCTCCTATATGAGCAGTTCAAGGAGTATACACTTTATCGTCAGGTATCTTGAGTTCACCAGAGCTGGAGGAGTGCGCGTCATTACGGCCCAGAGAGCAGTTCGCTCGATGTATGTGTTGCTGGGATACCACCTGTTTGACACTGAGTGACAACAAGACGAATGTATTCATGACCAGAGACTCAGACGTGACAGCGCACAACATCTAGAGCGCAGCTTACTCGATACCGGATTCGTCGTCCTTGTCAAATTATGATCTTGCCTAATTCATCGCCTGTGTTTCTCGCAAGCGGGCACAGAGCCTCGCGGGGCAAGAAGATCGCATCGAGAAAGATGATACTTATCGCAGACACCATGGCGTCCAGAATCAAGCTAGACGAGAAGCAAAAGCGAGGCACAACCAGCTGGCCGGCTGCCCGTTCTAGCTTCGGGTGGTTCCAAATTATCTCAGTTACATCCGCCTGCCAATCCCAAGCATTTCCGTTCCTTGGGGCGCCGTTCCACCACGGAACGACGGAATGCGTTCTTTTTTTTTTCTTGTCGCTCGCCACTTGATATGATGGATGACAGATGGTAATTGTAAGACGATTACGTACGCACTGGAATTTCCTGCCGGGGCTGCGCCCCATTGTTTTATCCTGAAGTGGTCTTGCTGTCGATATTCCTTCTGCGCGCAACATGCAAAAGGCTATCAAATGACCCAATCATTACTCATACTACACTGCCCTGCATCAATGCGTCGCCTCGGCGATTCATCCTAGGTTGAGAATTGCAACTTTGCGGAGATCTTGTTGCTTCAGCTCACTGCGGATCAAGAAAGTCGACCTGCTCCAGCCCCCGAATAATAGTGGCACAGCATTAGCAGATTGTTATACAACTATCCATCCATACTGCCGCTTTCACACGGACACTTGTCTCCTCGGCCGTCATACCACACGCCGCACACACACGCACATCACGGGCTGAATAGTAGGAAAGTGTTTACCTCGAATAATTACACAAGCGAAACTCACAGGGGACTGGTGTAACGTCAACAGTCCCGTATTAAGCTGCCGGACTCAAGTATGCACAAATGACAGTCCCGTCCTGGACTGTTTGCAAGTTCCGAATCCCAAACATGGACTTGGACGCCGTGCAGCTTCCCGGGCTTTCGGCTCTGGTGGTGAAGTCGCCTCATGGCTGGCAAGCTGAATGATGCGTGCGGCATTGTGACACAGAGGACAGCGCATTGAAAATACGGAATTCAGGTGCTACGAGCCAGGTCCCCACGCCCCGGAACATGCATACGAGGGCACATGGGAGGCACGAGGACAATGGCCATCCTCGTATTCTGCTTCCTTAGCGTGGTAAGGCACAGAACGCAATGGTTCCCACTCAACTGGGGATCCCATGTCAGGGTCCGACACGAGGTCCTTCGACCCCGAACGGACACATGATCTGCGCAGTCCAGGGGCATTTCGCTGGGAGTCGAACTCTGTAAGCGCAGTCCCCTTTTCCCAAACCGCCAAACGGCGAAAGTGATCCTCCAGAGGAGTATAGATCGGATGCGGCGAGGCTATTGTCCTGCATTGCTTGAGACATGGCTAGCAATGTGCCTAATCGCGAGCCGCGATCCGGAAACTGGTGTCTTGCCGGATCGAGCCAGCATCGAGTGACAGCTGTTCCTCAGCATTTCGTCAATGGAGAAGCCGACACTGTCGATGCACAATCATTGACGCTCTCGATGGTGTGGGGAAACGGCTGTTTCACCACGAGCCGTTCCATGTTCCTGGGAGCCGCGCAGTCACACTAGGTTACCTTATCTAGGTCGATTCTCACAGGCGGTCGGGTGTGACACGACCCTCCAGCGATTGCTGGCTCCGCCTTTAGCCGGGCGGCATGTTTGAGGAATACACGACTACCTGGTTCCGAGTTTGATAGACGGAATCCACCTCGCGGGCAAACGTGCCCTTCTAGAAAAAAACCCGCGCGCACGAGACAGTGCGCTGTGGACGGGTTGGTTTCTTCGCACCTGTGGGTCAATCAGAACCTGTACACTACACCATCATCATCATACGCTTCAGCTGAAGCCAAGGTAAACATGCAGATGCATGCTCGTCGTCCAGGCTAGGTTGCGTGAGCCAATTCCAGCCCAGCTCTAGAGTTGTCCAGTGGTCATAAGCCTGCTTGCGCGACGACGAGCACGTGGTCTGTAGGGAGACGTTGTGGCTGGTGGGCAGGGCTAGATCAGTCGGAAGGTGACCTAAAAGTTGCTGGCATCAAGGAATCGTGAAGTTAAAGTAATCTATGCTGAACAGAGGTTGGCCTGCCTGGAGCTGCAATCGCACTTCAGGAGCTGGGGTGGGGCCATGGTGCGTCCGATCCGTCGGTCGCACAGCCGGACAATTCTGTGCCTCTGCCCGCCAAGGTTGCTCGGCCGAAGCTAACTGGACAGCAAGATGCCATGGAGCTACCGGTTCGATAGCGCTCAGACAGTGGCTGTGAACACTGACGTCGACGACGCGGCCCGGGCCCGCCGGAATGCGGCCGTGACAGGCCTCCATGACCTGAGCAGTGCCTGTCGGGGCCCCACAGTGGTAGTTTCCAAAAGGTTGTCAGGCGCTGCCGGCGGGAGTTATCGTGTCGCCGTGTGCTGTGAGGGTTGGCGGCATCGCAGGCGGGCACTGCGCAGATGTCGAAGATGGGCAGCTTCGAGGTTGCGATAAGCGCTATGTGCCGCCTTGGGAAGGCCTTGATGGCCCTCACACGTTCCTTCCATTTGATGGGAGGGGCCGCCCGGATCAGGCAAACGTGGGCCTGAGGCATGGGCGTGGGCTAGCGCGGTGGGTCTCGTCCTGGCAGGAGCGGGGCCACGGCGTCATCGAGCAACCTCACAGTCTGATGTGCTTTGGCCATGGCAATTCAAAGTTCTGGAGGCTGTCTGTCTGCAAGCTTGCGGCATATCGTGCCCGCATGGCTGCACAATACGTACTCTGTATCCTAGGATGGCCACGCGGGCCTGCATGCATATATGCATGCATCCGGGCGGCGACAACAGGGCACGCTGTCGGAGAAGCTGCAGGCTGGCGCTGGTGCTGATTGATTGTGGACTGTGGCAGCAGCAACAGCAACTCCGCAGAGAAGCAATCTGGGGACGACGGAGAAGGAGCGCCCCCTGGCCGGGACCAGACAAAGACGACAAGACACGACAAGCCACGACAGCGGGCGTGCCTGCCGGGCTGATTGGGCGTGGGCTGCCGCGGGATTGGGCGTACCCTGTTCGCATCATCAGCTCGTAATCGACGGAGGTGTGGGTGGTGCCTGGCCCTGGCCTGGCCGCTTGATCCGCTAAACAGTGCTCCTCTCAAGGCACTGCTCTCCTCGACGCGCGGGGGTGCTGCCCGGTTTCCAAGCCAGCCCGCGCCGCCAGTCCTGCACTGCACTGCGCTGCACTGCATCAAGACCAACCTTGAATCCTGCCCACTCACTGCCTGCACCGCGATCTGTCACAGTCCCCCGATTCTCGCATCACTCCTGCCAGGCTTTTCCTCCGTGCTCCAGCACCTTCTCCTGGCTGCGTTCTCTCGACGACTTGCTTGCTTACTTGACCGGCTTGTCGGCTGCCCACCGCGTCGCCCCCCGTCGTCCCTTGCCGTCGTCCCATTGGTGAATCCTCATCATCCATCTTTCCTCTGCCCGTGTGCTTCCCGCCTGCTCTCGTGCCTGCGAACCCTCGGCGAAGCTGTCGACTCTCGTGTAACCTTGGATCTCTTCCTCCCACCTGTGCTCGGTCAACGTCTCCGCTCGCGGTCTGGTGGCAATCCGACGGCATCCATCCTTTTTCAGCCCTGATCTTCTTTCTCGGATCCGTGGTCCAAGTTCGCAAACCACTGCGCTTCCACCATCGCCAAGTGGGGCATCCGCTTGGACACGGTTTCGGAGCTCTGGACGCTCGTCGTCATCTCAGGACCCTTGAAGTCGGAATTGGCTTCCATCCCCTTGCATTCTGCACGACTACTTGACTTCTGCTGGGATACCTCATGAGCGGCCATTCTTCCCACGCTCTCTAGAGCCATTGAGCGTGTGTCTGGGAGTGTCTCCAGAGGTGCTGCTCCTTAAGGTCCTCCATCATGGATACAATAGAACCGGTCAAGAAAGCCCAGAGGCGCCTCTCCTTTAAGCCGGGCAAGGCTCTGAGGTCTCTGAGCATCAGCTCCACCATCTCCAGCTCCTCCGAGACCGAAGTCTCCTCCCCGCAGAAGCGGCGGAACACGCTGCGGAAAAGCCTCCCATCCGATTATCTCAAAGACTATCTCGAGAGGCAACCGTCAAACAAGTCCACTGCCTCGGAGAATGTGGATCGTAATTCCAGCTCGACCGTCCCGACAACACCGTCACCCAAGAGTAGCACGACGACAAGCCTGCTAGGTGACAATGGCGGTATCTTGCGATACGGGCCATTGCAACCCGAGACCTCCATCCTGAAGGCGAAGAAGGAGTACGCTGTCTTGACACCGGCTGCCCTGCTCAAGTTCAAGTCTCACCAAGCCGCCGTTGATCACTTCCCATTCATTGCGAACCCGGATTACCACACCGGCGCCGACATATCGACGTTATCCCACATTCGAGATCCGCGGAGTGCAGCAGATACCACGGTCCCACTCGAACATATTGTCTCCGTCTTCAAAGACGAGGGAACCCGCCCATCCTTTGGTCTTGAAGTCTGGTGGAGAGAGCCAACCAGCTCGTCGACATTCACGTGCTTGGAGCTTGACTTCAGCCAGCCGGACGATCGCGACGAGTGGTTGAAGCAGATCAGATCTGCCATGAAGCAGCGAAGCAAGGCCTTGCTAGATGAGCAACCGCCGACGCATGTGGAATTCGTCTTTACACAAATCATCCAGGCCAAACACAAAGAGCTCAAGAATAGCCACATCGAGATATATCCCGTCGTGCCCCGACGGCCGTACACCAGAATACGGTCGACTTCTGGTGAGGTCAAGAAAGGCTGGAGGGATGGATGTTCCTTTTATCTCGCATTCAGCAAGAATCTTTGCATGATTGCGCAGTTCACGAAATCGCCCACTGGCCAGCCTGTCAATCCCAACATCGTACAGTTCGGCCTGGTGACGCTGTCTAGGGTGAATGCCAGTTCACACGATGAGAGGTTTGATCTCATTTTTCGGTATGCCAAGCTCCCTCATTGCGTTTCGTTCCTTCTAGTTGCTTCCTGTTGCTTACTTTTGGCTAGATTGCCCTTGGACAAGCCAACCAAACTCCAGCTGTCAAGTCGTCATCACCGCACCATAACCACCAAACTCCTCAAAGCGGACACATACCTCAAGCCTGCGTGGCCATTCTGGACTCGTCGCGAGATCTTCATCATTGATGGCGATTCGCAGCAAATTCACGTGCCTGAGGGCGAAGACTATGGCGGCTTCCGCAGAACTCTTGATGCCTTCATTGAGGGATATCATTGTTCCCCGGTAAACTGGACCGTGGTCTGGAAGAACGTTCGGCATGCCCCTGAGTTCCGCCTCCTTCCCCCAACGAAGGCGCCCCAGTACAGCCCGCACCAGCTTTTGGCCGTTTTCCGTGCTCTGCGTTTCAACGACTACTTTAAGTCCTTGTCTTTCCACAAGATTGATCTCTCACCCTTGGCGGGGCAGTACGACAACGCGTCACGTTATGAGTCTACCGTCTGGGTGTCACGAACTGGTACGTAGAGCTGTCCGACTGTACAACGACTAAATTCGCGTACTGACTTGCTTTGCACAGGAAAACGCAGTCTGACCCCCGGCGAGTACGAACTTACAGAGACAGCATCTGTCCTATTCCAGGAGTTGATAGCTTTGCTTCTCGGCTCGGAGTCAGTTCGCCACATTGACTTGACTGGGGCATTGAACAAGAGATGGACTCAGCAGATCATGGCACAGGAACCTGAGGAGACTCGGTCGTGCGAGATTTTACCGCCTATTGTCTTACTGTGGAAGTCTTGCCAAACTCGATGCAACTCCGTAAATATCAGCGACAACCCCCTTGGTAGCCCAGATGTGGCTGGTCTTTGTAAGCAGGGTGCTTCACCTGTTTTCTTATGTCTGTGCTAACTTTTGTTCTCAGCACGCAACCTACAAAACAGGCCGGATTTCCTGCGATCTTTCGCCTGTGCTCGTTGTGACTTGGACGAAAATGCCCTCAATACTCTGTGGGAGGGTCTACATGAGCACACTTCATCGCTCGAAGGCCTCGACGTGTCCAACAACCCCGGTCGACTCCAAGCGCAGAAGGTAGCGCACTTGTTGAATGATGCGCGACGGTTGAAGCGCATCAATTTAGCCAACACGGTAAAGGGGGACCTGGACGGGCCGTTGTTCAGGCCGTGGGATGCTGCAACATATGAGCCATGGAAGCTGGAAGAGATCAACATATCTGGCTGGAAGGTAAGCGCATTCCACCTGCACCATTGCTGGGGATAGCACACACTCACGCGTTCACAGATGAACTTTGACACTGTCACGGCAATTTCCAAATATCTTGAGCTGGACACGATGCACTCCTTGCGAATTCTCAACTTGACCAACTGCGGCCTCACAGGAGACATGGCAACAACAATTCTATGCCGTGTAGTCGGAAACCACGACCTCCGCGTCTTGCTCAATGGCAATCCCCTTGAAGATGAATCGACCGACTGGATCGATCTCATCCACGGCAATGAGGCACCTAAGCGACTGCACTTGGACATGATCCAGTTTCAGCAGGAGCGAAACTTTCATCGCCTTCTGAAGGCGCTGACACACAATAAGACCATCGAGTTCCTCAGTATGGTAGGCACGGGCCCGCCCAGTCGCGCAGGCTCAAAGACCTCAGAGCTTCTATACAGATTCTTTGAGCAGAACGACACTTTGGAGTATCTCGATATCTCTGGGTACAGCGGCAAGCTGGAGGACGGCCATCTTGGATGGGGCATGTCTGGAGCACTGGGCGGTCTCAAGAACAACACGTGCCTGCGCCAGTTGCGTGTGCGCAATCACGACATTGGAGCTGCTGAGGACATTACCGAGCTTTGTAGGGTTCTTGCTACTAACAAGAGTCTGGCCATGGTCGACTGTCAGAACAACAACTTCAGCCGGCAGCACTTTGGCAAGATTGCCATCGCACTTGCTCTCAATAAGCAGATTGTCTCATTTCCGCTGTCGAATGCCGACCGCGACTATGTCATCCAGGATGAAAAGGCGAAGTTCATCAAAAGCTGTGGCAAGCTGGGTAAGAACGCTGCCCTGTCCAAATCAAACGAGGTCCGCCTTGCAAACCTGATCACCCTTGTCAAATCGTCATGGGAACAGGAGGCGAAGAAGATTATCGCGGCTGTCCATGGCAATCGAGACGATCCAGTCAACTGGCCGCTGGACATTGAGCTCGACTACATTGATCGCTGGGACGACCCCTCCCTTGCACTTTGGATTGAATCGAAGGGCGGAGTTGGCGAAATCGTTAGAGGCACGAGCGATTTTGACAGCAAAGGCAAGGTCCCCAGGCACCTGAGCCGCAACCTAGATGCGACTCTGACGGACTGGCTGCCTCCTGTTGAGGAGTCATCACTCGGCAACAACTACACGACTGGCTCGTTTATGGCGTCCGAGCCGGTTCTCGGAACGTACACAATCACTGAAGAGTCCACGTCTTCGAAATACTCGTCGACCAGCTCTTTAGCATTAGGAGGCTATGCGCCTACACCACCGGATGGAAGCGATCGATATGCGTTACTGGCAAACTAATTTGGCCTGGAAACCACAATGCATGTGTCACATGCACACTGCAGTAGGCAATCCTGCGTGGACACAAGGTGAATGGTGTCCAGGCGGACCAGGAAGAAAAGCGTGCAGTATGTCATTGGTGTTTTGGGTTTAGGCATATGGCGGTGCTTGCAGGGTTGGATTTCTTGTTGATTTTCTTGGGGCGCTCCATTGTCTCGCGACTGTTGCATATGACTGCGTCTGTTTGATTTTCGTTTTGCATGCGATACCAATACTGCATCACTTTTGGTGAAGGAAGCAATAGAAGGAGTGGAGGGACGAATGAGGAAGATTGGAGATGACGCAATATCAGCTCTTGAATGGTCAAGAATGAGAATTATGGATGATTGCGCCTAAGCTGCGTGAGCCCTTTGCGTTGACATTGTGCAGACTGTGCCTGGAACGAACTAAGCAATGAGGATCGCGCTCCATTGCGAAGAGCCCGGAGTCGGAAGACTCGTGAACGACAAAAGGTCATGGGAACGGGGGGGAACGAAAGGCAAAGCCCGATCACATGCATCGCTTTAGAACCCTCGTGGCTGTGTGGCATTGAAGGGGACGAAGGTTCCCATGCAATTTGTACAAGGCGATGATGACCACGGGCTTCTCGGCTCGCCAGTCTCGCAATTATGCCTTTTCTTTCCCCCCTTCCTTTGTAAGAGCCCATCTTGATGTGAGTGACACACGAGCAGGCTAGACTGGTGAAGTGTGTAGCAATGACCAAGTCAACAATTTTCAAGTTTCTTTGACAACCTAGGTACTGGGTTTGGTTTTGTTTTCCCCCACTGTCCGGAAAGCTGTATCATCATCAACTCTTCCACACATTGTGGAGAGATTCTGACATTTCTGAGCGCGCAGGGAGGTTATCAATTTGCTAACTATTGCTATCCGCTCGTTGAATGGACTGGCGTCCTGGCAGCATGACAAACGGCAAGACGACGTCTCTCGCGCCGCCGTAAGTGGTCGAACTACCTAATACAGGAAAACAAGATAAGTCCTTGGGCGGCCAATAGGTAGGCTCGAGGGGAGGAGGTGGGGGGGGATGTGATGTGATATGTGATGTGCTGTGTGTGTCGTGCTATGCAATGCTGTGCAACGAAGCTTCCTGGTTGTCTTGTGTCCATTTTGGTCCAGAACCATGGATGGGGAACCGTCCCCGTTCCGTCTTTGAAAGCAAGGGGGACTCGCGCGAAATCCTGCTTTTTTGTTTTCGTGTGTTTCGCTGTGAGATCCACCCTCAAAGAATCGAGTCTGATGTTACGGCCGGGTTTGGATGAGACTTGCGGCGCGGTTTCCTTGACGACGACGGACGGCGGCGGCGGCTTCCGGGGGGGGGGGGGGGCTATCAAACCATGAAGCAAGCAATCAAGCAGATCGATGCAGCTTCGATCGAGTGCCTGCGGCGGACGCGCGGATAAGTGTGTTTCAGATTTTCTTTATTCTGTACGCCTTGTCTCGGGTGCCCGCGGGACGTGGAAGAGCACAAAGACGACACAGACATAAACCACCCCCACCTCCCAAAAAAAAAAAAAAAGCAGGGGGAGTCGACGTGGGACGAGCTCCCGCGCTCAGGATAGTTGTTGGCTATTGCTCCATTCTACACGACGTGCCGTGCAACCCGGCGAAAGTGTTCGTCTGGCAAGCCTCTAAGATTCACGATGGTTCACGAGGAGGGGGCACAGACGCATGGGGCTGTGTGCGCACGCCAGCCCAGAAGGATGGAGAAATAAAGCTTTGGGCAAGGTTTCGTGGCGTTGTTTTGTCCTCACCGAAGAAAATGAGTGACGTCTGCTTTTCTTTTGACCGTGTGAAGAATCTTTGTGTGATGGGGGTCACATTCTGGCCTGAGCAATGATCAGCCCGGGGGTTCCAATTGCCAGCAGCATGGGCGGCTGAGTGAGATTGCGCAGAGTCAATAAAGCACCAGGATCCGGGGGTTTGCAAAAGACCTTATGACTTCACTGGCATGGTCAGGGCCAGGACGCACGCTCAGCCGACTGGGAAGGACCTTGGAGTTTGGAAATTGGCCGGCGCCGGGTTTCCCAGCAGCCTGGGACGGTCCACTTTTGACGGAGCTTTCTTTTTTTTCTTCGTTCCTTCACGATACCCTGTGGAGCGCAGACGATCACTGCCAGGGGGGAACAGCACGCAGTGCCGACAGCGCGAGTGGTGTCGACTCCTCTAGTCACAGAGAGCACTTGTCGTCGAGGATCGTGCAAATGCAAGTGCTGTGCGAGGACTGTGCAAAGACCCGAAGCTCGTGCGACCGGCGGCAGGCGTGAAACACGCAGGCGACGTCTAAGCGGACGGAAGGTATGCCCGGGTATCGTGCCCGCTTCCGAGGAAAGGGCGCCGTTGAGGACGGGCGGGTGTTGTCGATGCTCTAAAGTGGTAGCTAGGCTCTAGGCGCCTTAGCTCGGCCGGATGTGGTGGAGAAGGAGACTGGACCCTGGATTAGATTGGAACGGGACATGTCAAACAAAGACTGCAGCCCACAAGGGTCGAGATGCCGACTAGTCGTGTTGACCTCGTGCAGACGAAAAGACGCCTGAAGGGCGAGCTCCACGTTGAGCGAGGCTGGAGGAGGATGATGGTGATGATGGTGATGATGAAGCTGAGCATTCTAGTGGCGCGGCTAGGGTTTGATTGCAGCACAAAGATTGCCCTTCTGGAGGGGACACGTGTAAGGCGACCTGAGAGCAAGGTTTGGGCACGTCGCTGTGGTAATCAAGGCATGGGCAGCTGGTGCGCCATTCTCGAGCCATGGCGACTGTGCTTTGGTGTTGTTGTTGCTCGGGTGGGGCGCAGGCGGGCGGGGCCAACCAAGATTGCACGGCTCCAGGTCTCGTCTTGGCCGGCCCAGGTCATCGTGACGTGACCAGGAGAACTGGAGCACCTGCCCTGATGCGCCGGAGACGACTGCCCGCACGCAGCACCAGACTTGACTTGACGGGGTCCCTGGAGCCTCCAGCCTTGCAGCATCCATCACATCGACCCTCGCCTGGCAGTGGCGCTCCCGATGCCCATTCTCGCCCGCCCTTGCGGCCGTACCCTTAGAGCTGCCCCGTGAATTCAAGGCCGAGTCGACGTAATACCTTCCGAAGGTTCTTAAGCTTCCAGGCATGCGCGGCGCAGCAGCCGTTTTGTGGTTTTGGCTTTGGGGGATCCGGCACGTGCAGCAAGCCTGAAAGTCTGCTGTTGCCCAGCAGCGACCTGAGGGTACTTACCTTAGTGCACCTTAAGGTATGCATGCGGTTGCAGCCAACCATTGGCAGCACGCCCGCCCGTGCTAGCCGCGTCGATGCTAGCGGCGGCCTAGCTGGACGCGATGCGGCGGTCCTGCCTCTTTCCAGCAACCTCACAGCTCCAGCAGGCGCCCTCATTGGCCCATCTTGTGCTTCAGGGGTTCTTGTTGAACGCATCTCATTTCCAGACCGGTGCCAGCCAGTCGGTCAGGCCAGCGCCCGCAGGCAAAGGTCGAGCAGCACAGCTGTGAGATGGCCTCCTCGACCGAACTTATACCCCGGCAGTCCGCTTCGGCCACATCCTGCGCATTGTCCTTCTTCCACGGCCTCTTGAAACCACCGCCCTCGATTAGACACCGCCTAATCGCTACGTACGCTACGCGTCTCGCTCGCCTGTCGCGCACAGCACACACACACACACACACACACACATACACACACACGCTGCCTGTCGAGCCCCGGTCTGCCTCCTGGTGTGTCAGCAGTGCCGCCCCCTGTCAGGGTCTGACGCAGACCTGCCCTGCTGCTCACTGGCACGCTCGCCGGCTGCCCAATCTCCCCAGGGCCCTGCCACTCCATGCCAGGGCACTTCTGCGGCGTCGCATTGGTACCTGCATACTTGCGTCGCAGTCTGCTGTCATTGTGTGGTTCGTAGCCTCCAGCAGCACGCACTGCTCACTCCGGCTCAGCCACAAGAGGCCCAAGCGAGCGAGCGTCTGCGTTGTGCCTGGTGGTTCCAGAAACCGACCTCCTTACGCCCTTTCCGCGAGGCCGTGCTTCGCCGCTGTCTGAGATTCCTCTCTGGCCCGCTGCCCCGAGACATGCTCGAGGGGTCCTTGCACCTCTCGACCACCCAGCCTCGAGTCTGACACGCTGACGGGGCACCAAGTTCACGGGAAGCCGCCGTTCGTACGGAACGTGGGAAGCATCGCAAAAACAAAAAAAGCATTCTTTGACATTGACAGAGCCGGTGGTGGGCCCCGGTGGACTCATCGTCTGAAGTCGTCGCCGTCAACATGGATCCCTCGGCGACGCTCTTCACCTTCATGCTGTAAGTCATAGCCTATCCAGTATTGTCATTTCCTTCCATTGCTTCTTCCTCGACCCCAGTCCCTGTCATTCCACAGCCTGGCGCTTCCCTACTTAGACACGCGCACGCTTCCCATTGGCCTCCCAGCGCATCGGGTCATTTGCCTAGTAATCTTTTTTTCCTTTTCTTTCCTTTTCCCGACATCACAACCAATTCCCCTTCCAGCTCAATCCATGGATGTCCCCCCATCTGGACACATGGCTGTCTTGGTCGTGGCTGCTGGCCAGACTGGACCCACCCAGCACCCGGATTGCCCGCCTAGGGACGAAAAGCAACTCGAAAGCTTCCTTGCTGGGCACAAGCACCCACAAGGCAAAGCTTAACAAAAGAAACACGTCCAATATCCAGGCAAGGATGCTCTGTGCTTTCACTGCTCGGGCCCTTGATGTGCGGTGCCTGATGGCCTCGGGATGTGCGCGGGTCCGAAAGGCTGATGTCTCATGCTTATGCGTGAGCCGCCTGCATGATGCATCACATACCATTCCTGGCCTCTCCCAAGGGTTGGACCCCAACCACCCCTGCCACATTCCCCATGCCACCCCCAGATGCTGGGCCTGCTTCACATCCCTGGCGGGCTTCTGTGCAACACACACACACACACACAGTCAGATTAATTCCCAAGTGGCAAGAGATCGCCTGGCCACGAACCTTCTTCACAGCGAGTCCGATCCATCCGAACATGTCTCGGCGTGGCTGCAGAGCGGGCGGGCGGTAATAAACCCGTGTTCATAAACATTGGCCCGTCCGTGTCTCCGTCCCGTTTGCCTTTATATACAATCAAATATCCCCCCCATACTCCTGCTGTGCCTGTAGCTTTGCGTCCAAGAAGAAGAAGAACGGACAAGAAAGAAAACAAAGATCCCCAGCGCACTCGGCTCGAGGCTGACAACAGTCACTCCAAAGCGAGACGGACCCATCGGTGCAAACCGTGACGCTTATCGGCTCGTGGGACAACTTTTCACAGCACTACGCCATGGAGCGTGATGTCCGGCGCGACCAGGGTCAATGGCGAGGCTGCCACGCTCTGCAGAAGCAGCCAAATGAAGCCGGCTTTGCCGCCAACAAGCGGAGTGGAGGAGGACCGCTTCGGATGGGTCAGACGTACCACTATTATGTGAGTCTTTCACTTCGCCCACTCCGCGCGACCAGGACCGGGGTCTGACTGCTAATTCGGGACGTACCCATACCATAGTACGAGGTCAATGGCACTCAAGAGACCCATGACCCCAGACAGCCGACAACTACAACATGCCCTTCCCTCCCAGGCCAGATCGTAAATACCCTCGAGGTTCCCACCGAGCACTCGCTGCGATTTCGAAGCTGTTCCATGAACAATCTCCGCCAGTCCGACTACAAGACCATCAACCCTAAACACAAGTTCAAGACACCAATGCCACCTCAACCATCGACTGTGGCCGCCGCCGCCCCAGACGTTCGTGTGGGCTCGGCTCCGGCCATCCAACTCATGCGCAAGAGGTCGGCGCGCTCGCTTTCACCCAGTCCCAAGTGGACTGCTTCGGCTCGTAAGATATTCGGCACCATCCGACCATCCAGCCGTGAAGGCAACGGCTCGGCACGTACACTGGCCGACTGGGACGCCGATGTGTCGACACTTGGGCCGGCTGCTTCTCCGGAAAGAGCGCGCAGCGTCACGCCCTCGGGCAGCACCCGGTCTCGTGATATTTCGCCTGATTCTCTGCGAAGATTCCTGCTTGGGGAGGACATCCCGACTGCCGCACCTGCCGAGCTTAGCAAGCCCGTGGTGTGGAACCACGACGACATGATCGAGGACAACGACGATGATGACAACTTTGCCACTCTCACTACTTCCCCTACTCTGGACAACATGCCCTTCACGACGCTGTCGCCCCCTTCCTTCATGCGCAGCACCTCGACGCAACTGCCTTTGGTTGCCACGGGCTTGAGTGCGCCGCCTCCGCCGCCGCACCGGCCGCCCCCGATAGTGGTGCCAAGCTCAGATGCCAGTCCGGCCAACACCATCCAGCTTCGTATTCCCAAGTCTCGCTTCATCGCCCGAGTAGATTCCCCAACGGCGCTGTCCCCTACTTCGCACACCTCTGGGGAGTCTCGAGGAGACAAGAGCCAGGTTTCGTTCTTTGATGAGTCCGAGGACGAGGTAGCTCAAGACCGGACAACGCTCCGTCGATCGCCGGCGGTCAAGTCGAAGACAAGTCCAGCATTCAGTGGTTACAGGTTACCGCAACCTGCCATCGACGGTTCAGAGAAGGGGAGCGGTCCCATCGCTGTCGCTTTCGGATCGCCATCCATCGTGGCGCAAGCTGGCGATGGCGTTGTCATGCCTCTAGGCCACCCCGACGTGCTCAGCCTACCTCAAATTGAAGATGGCCTTGGTGATCTGGTCGACGACCTCAGCTGGATCACTGGCATTGTCTCATCCAAGAATGCTTGAAGCAATTGCCATCACCATTCGTTCCAAGGACCCTCGTGTACTCTCTGTACAAGAATCACGACAAACCATGTACTACACAACCACTTTTCATTATTGCATAGCTTTCGGCGCTCAACCTTTTTTTTGCCCTTCACATTTACACGGGGTTTGGACTTTACGGGACAGGAATCTGTTTTTACAACACATGGTTCCGTTTACCACCATGGGGAGTCCCGCTGTTCCTTTTCGTACAGCAACAACAACAACGCTTGGGCGGGACACGACAGGCACGAGGTATAATCTTCGAGTTGGACATTTTATAAACTTAGACTTGGGCGGTACAAGATCTCGCGATCTATTTGTTTACATTTAGGATCACGACTTTTTCTCCGGGGTTTTTTTTTTTTGCTTTCCCTTTTCGTGCAGCCGAAAGCAGGCCGCACAGATGTACCATGTACGACGACGGGAAGGGAGCTACGATACGAGCACAGATAGTTGACGCAAGGGACACACAGGCATTATTGCACTGCCTCCTCGAAAAGAGAAATCAAAACTTTATTCGTTCCATTACGAACTTTTGCGTAAATCGGCTGGCGTGTGTGTGTGTGTGTGTGTGTGTGTGTGTGCGCCTTGGCTGGCAGGTAGAGTGAAGATCTTCTCGCGATAGACGCGCGGCGCGCCTCCCAGAAATTGAAGCCGCCCCTGCCTGCCTCCCTGCCTCCCTGCTGACCAGCATAGCCAACTCTATCTTTGTCAATGACGAATGCGCGCGCAAATGCCCTTGCCGTTTGATCTATGATCGCCCCCGGCCAGCCAGCCGGGGTCTTTTTTGGTCTTTAACCCCCCTCCCCCTGGCGCTGGCTGGCCAAGTTAAGCGAGGGGAGAGAAAAGAAGCACGTCCCCTTTGTACGACAGTACTTGCATTGAAAACTCTCCTTGCGACTCTCTCGCTCTCTCTCTCTCTCTCTACCCCTTGGCTGGTCGGCCAGTCGGCCCTGGCCTGGTAGACTTCGCCCCCTTCCACAGCAACAAGGGCCCCAGTTCTTCAATGCATGCAGGGGCTTTTTTTCGGAGAATGAGAGACACAACATGCACGCATTGCGCGCGCACCCCGGCACCCCCTGCACGATGCTGCTGTTGGTTAGCAGTTTGTTCTAGAAGGTCCCGCAGAAGGAAGGGGGAGGTGACAATCAAAAAGAAAATCAGAGAGAAAGCTAATTGGTCGGGGTTTGTTCCTGCGAAGAAGGCAAGGGGGCGCATTGGAAGAGAAAGCGGAAGGGGTAAGGGGGATCGACCGACGACATGTGTGCGTGTGTGTGTGTGTGTGTCACAAAACTTGCCTGAGCCGGTTTCCCCGAGTGCTACATTGACTGTTCGGCTAATGGTATTATTATTATTTTGACTTTTCACTACCGGTATTGTTCAGTATTGGGGTATTAGGGGTTCTCTTGGGGCCTTGTTTGCCATTTTTGGAGGGAGGTGGAGGGGTCAGCCTCGGCATGGCAGGGCAGGACACACAGCAAGGGCCATGATTATATTCTCTCCAATGTGGTTTATGGTTTTGGGGGAATATCTCGGGGATTCGGAACAGCCGGGCGAAGAGAGCGAGGTCAGAACGCCGGTTTCCACCAACGAGCATAATGCGCGAATTCCCTTGCACGGGAACCGGGGAGGGGGTTATCATCATCATCGTCGTCGTTGTCGTCGTCGTCGTCACCTGCGACGCTTCAAAAACCGATTGGGGGAAGAGAGAAGTTCTCGTCACTTAGCCAGGCGTTGACGTACCTGGACTTATTCTCGGAAGTCCCCCCCCCCGTCTATAACTTCAGGGTGCGATTTCCTGCGACGCGTCCCATTCCCCCTCTCGCTCCCTCTCGCTCCCTCTCACTCTCTCACATGCTCTTCGTATTGCAGGATATCTAAGCACCGGGGCCTACTGAAAAGTCATGCATGGGATATTAGTAACAACAGAGGTAACAAAGACGCTGCTGCATTGCTAGGTGTATATTCAGGCGGAAGTTTCCACTGGCGTGTAACAAAAGCCCCAGGAGCGCGATATGCAAGCAACGATACCACAATCCCCAACCTCGTCAGGGGGAGGGAGGTTTCACTTCATCATGCCAGAAAAGCTTGCCAACGGGTAAACTTTTGCCCCCCTGGTGCACCCGGACAGGGCTGCTGGATCAGTAATCCCGTTGAGAGGTCGAGTGGGCGAAGTGAGGTGAGTGATCTGGCAGGGGACCAAACCGACGATGATGACGACGACGACGACGACGGTGGCAGCGGCTGGAGCTGCCATTATGGCGAAGTCGAGCCCCAATCTCTACAGGGGGGACTCGTTGCTTTCGCGCAGAGCCCAGACGCCGGCCGGTGCATGGTGTTTTCGAGTTTCGCGGATATCCCCGTTGGAGCTTCCCCCTTATTGAAGCCCTGTGCATCAAGAAACTTCAAGGTTCTCCAGGGCGAGAGAGAGGGGGAGAGGTAGGAAGCGCTTTGATATTTTTCCAAAGTCTTTTTTCAAGAGGCAGGAGGCAGGAGCCAAAGGGGGCCAGGACGCGTATGTACTGTTGACCAAGCGCCCCCTGGCATATTTAAAGTACATAAAGTGCTTAGCATGCGAGGAAAGAAGGTTTGAGTGTCAGGGGTCCAGAAGGTTTAAACGCCCTGGAAGCAGGGTACGCCGGGCACGCCGGCCTGCCTCATGGATGCTGGTCCCGGGGGGCGGCACGTCAAGAAGGTCCCTTAGGTGCCGCCAGATTGGTACGTATGTCAGAGGCCGCGCTTTGCATGATTGTCCGCTCTGATTAGGGGTCTTCCTTACCAAACTTTTGGACAGAGGGCCGGGCGGTATTGTCTACCGTGACTTTGAGCAAGGTATAGGGAGGTTCACGTGCGTGCAGCGATACCATTGGCACGCATCCTTTTGGAAGTCCATTGTACAATATTTCGCAAGAGAATGCAGGCCTGGATTTTCACGCCCGGGACCCAGGACGGTCACAGCGGATTTCAACCAGCTGAAGTACACTATCCTATCGGGCCGCCTGATCAAAGTCATAGCTATTCCCAAACCCTCGATCAAGATAGCCCTTCCTGGCCTTGTCCACTGAAACCCAGTCCACCGGGACCTCGAGCCCCAGCTCCCCGCGAGCGTCCAGCTCCTCGAGCACGGGCCGGATGTCCTCGGCAAACTCCAGCCTCATCGGGTTGCGGTACCAGCTGGCAAAGTGAATCATCGCGAGCATGACGCGCACCTGGCCCGTGGAGCTGAGGTTCGGCATGCCCGCGTGCCACAGCCGCAGGTCCCGGATGACAATGCTCCCTTTCTTCACCGGGGGCTGACACTCGCCGCCGCGGAACGGGTTCTGGGCGTCGGCCTTCCACTGGTCCATGACCTGCTGCCGGATCCGCCCGCTCGCGCGGTCTCCGTGCGCGCCTTCCTGCGTGTCCCGGCCGTGGGTGGTGTGCGTGCCAAGCCAGAGCTCCGTGGAACCGTTCTCGGGAGTCATGTCGACAAGTGGGATGTTGACGACGAGGGCGAAGGGGTGGCTCGGGTGGGCAAAGTCGGCGTCCGAATGGACCGGTTGACGCTGGGGCTGCTGTGACGATCCTGAGAGCGGAGGCATCGCCGAGTTGGCTGAGCAGAAAGTCCATTTGGGCCTTGGGCCGAGGACGCTGGACGTGATTTGCGTGCCGATTTTGTCTACGTGTCACCGAGTGAGAACCCGTCTCTGCCAGGTGCGTGTCTGATGTGGGAGATATGGGAGTTCACTTACTAGCAAATATGGACGGGTAAAAGTATTCCGCCCACGGAGGCGGATCCTGCTGCAGGTTTCCGAGGTTGTAGTTGTACGGTCCATCCGTCCCGCGAGCCTGCAAGGCCAGCGCGTCCTCGGTCATCTTGGTATTGAGCTGGTTAATGTGCTCGTGGGGAATGACATCTTCGACCACAACGAGGCCATCCTGGTGGAGACTTCGAACAGCAATCTCGACATTCCTCTCGTCGAGCTTGCTGTTCTTGATCTCGCTGGCACTGGGCCTGATGACGGTGGGGAGCTTCCCGGTCATGACTGATGCGAAGCCTCTGGTCGAGGACTGAAGGAGCGCAGATGGCTTGATCTTGCTGCTTGTCCGGACAAGCTGCCGAGCGAAATTCATAATGAGTCTGAAGAAGAAGAGGAATCGTCTCGGTATATCTCGTACACCAAGGCTTGCGGAGTTGACCAGTTCCTAGGTGGTGGCAGACCAGATAATGCTTTAGTGAACAACAGCAGATGGCACGACGCCCGACGACCTCAGAACGGGCAAACCGTGCTGGTCTTTATACTTGAAAGATGCTGGCCATGCTGCTGTCAACCATGGCCGGCGGCTGCTCACATCGTCGGTGCGGAGAAGTTCCAGCCTCAAAAGTGGTGTAAGTCGTCGCCTCCAAAGCCGAGCTCGGCTTTCGACCCGCCTTTTAGCGGCGAGCTAGTGACTCGTGGTCTGGGGTTCCGCATCCGTTCCACGATGACGGGCCAATAGAAAGACGCAGATTTCAGCCATCTAGAAATCCTGGATGGGAGAAGGACGAATCGGGACGTTCAAAAACAGCCAAGGAAGTGGGAGTGTCATGGCTGACTGTGGGGTTGGGCGAAACTTGACATGTTTGTGGAGGAAGTGCGTTGCGTCCCGGGTCTGATCTGGTTTGCAATTGACAAGTGGCCTATTAGTCTCGAAGGGTCGATCGAAGGGTCGATCGAGCACAGATTGCCTCAACGATGCCCGAGCTCGGCTTTCCAGTGCGCCTCAAGACGACCGACAATTCGCTGGACTGGCCACCCCGTCCTCTTCTGACACGCAAACAGATGTCGTATGATGTCCTCTTGTACTGCTTTATCGTGTATGAATCGCGCACCTTGAGGCTCAATTCTGATTAGCCCGGTAATCGAGAACGTCTCCCAGCCAGCACCGTGTGACTGGTTACTCACAGAACGATATTGGCCCAAAGGCATTCACAATCACCGCGGGACTGTTGGACGTGAACGCTATGCCACATATCTCCATGGCTGCAGCCTCCAAGAACTCCTCGCGCCCTTTGCATTCAGAGAAGTGCGGTTGGTAGGAAGACGCCAGCTCGATAATATCTGCTTGTCGTTTCTGGGCTGGGGCTCTGCTCGAGAGGACGCATAAAGCTACAAGAAAGTAATGCCACGCGGAGGCTACCATGGTGTGTCAGTCCCAAGATGGCTCCTAAGGTTAAAGAGGGTGAAGTATACCGTGGCAGTCTTGAAGCACGCGGACAGAGGGCAAGTCCGAAGCGACTGCCTTGCCGGCTGCTCGTGAGAAAGGATAGACAGTGCCCGCGACTTGTTGAATCCAGCCCCGCAGCGCACCAATCCAAGTCGTCCAACTCGTATCAGACGACGTCGCATTTCTGCCAAAAAGACCATTGATGATACTGCCCAATACCACGGACATGTTGTTCAAGTGATCGTGATCGGTCCCTGTTGCGCTTGGCGGCACAAACACTGCTGCAAGATCAATCTTTAGTGGACACTCGCCAAAGAGGCTGAAGGTTATGTCCTCGCGCAGGTAGTTCCAAAATCCCTGCAGTAGCAGGCTCCCTGTGCTGGCGTGGTCATGTCCGAAGCCTCGATGCGGCTGTGATGCGAGAGAGTAAGCTCCTTGAAGATGTCTGTTGGGATCGGCATCCTCTGACCAAGGCAACGACATTTGAGCATCAGCATACAACAGCCCCTCAAAGATGACGACGACTTGAGGCGGAAGGTCCTCACCAGAGAGAATCTCGTACGATCGCAGCAGACACGTCGCAGCCAGCGCAATCCCATTTTCCAACAATCTCGAGTCTGACTCCGTCAGGCCGATCAGGGCATGAATACACATCCCATGATAAGACTCGGCCGCCGGGCGAGCAGAGGGCATGCTGGTCCTGGCCAAGTGCATAGCCGACAAGGCCATGAGCGCATTGAACAAGAGCGCCTCATCGAGCGCGAGGATGGGGACCTGGACCGCAAAGTGCCGGCGGCCGTCGCTGAGATCATACCATGGCGCGAGCTCGGCAATGTAGTGCTGGAAGAAGTCTGCTGTCCGTGACGACTGGAGTGCGTCGCGCGGCGAGGTAACAGGTGTGGCTGCGCCGCCGCAGTCCTTGCTGCTGTCGTCTGCTTGCTCGGCAGAGTGCCTGAGCTCCTGCCGGACTTTAGGCGCTCGCTTTGCGCGATCGCAGTACCGCCCGATGCGACTACACTGCCCGCAGATGGGTTGGGCCTGGTCACCTGAGTCGCAATGATCAGGCTAGTTCTCGCCCAAGCCGAATGCGAAACGGGGCTAGACAGCGACCTGGACTCACACTTGATCTTGCGGTATCGGCAAGTGTTGCTAGTGTTTGCGATCAGCAGATGACGAAATGCTACACGCGCTGGCGTGACCCAAGTGAAGGTCCTCGTCTACACGCATTGCACCCCACGCATGGACAGCGTACCAAGCTAAGTCGATGTTTGTCAGCCATGACTCCGGGAGGGGGCAGTCTCGTATACACGCATGATGATGGGATACCTACAAGATTTGTTGAAGACTCGTGGCATGATATAAAGTGTTTGTGGCTTTGGGTTTTATGTATGGTATGCCAGAGTTCTAGGGTGGGCTGAAGGATTGCACGTCGAGGTCAAGGTCATTTGGTTTGCTAGCCTTGGGGACCAGAAGGTGGAGAAATGGACTTCCGCCCGTCTATCCTGGGGGGCCAAACACACTTGTGGCGCTCAACACGCAACAATTCAAGGAGTCCGAATATGAAAAACAACCCACAGCCGGTGGAGGAATGATCGTAGTCATCGCCATACTTTTGTCTTGTAATCTCTAAAGGACTCTATCGTAAATAAGTTGAACCCAAAGTACTCGCTGTGAAATACTTTGGCTCAACACGCATGAGGCGAGAATGCGGCGCTGCCAGAATTGGACGATGCAATGTTCATTTTTTTCTGCTTAAATACAGAGGTCATTGCGACATTAAACCCCAAAACTCCAGTCAATCCATGCCTGTGCGTTGTTGCCATTTCACCTATTTGTCACGCAGGTGACGGGGAACCCACTTGCCAGCGGCTCCAGAAGGCTTCAGAGTCTCACCACTAGCAGCCTGGGAAGATGGTTCGTTGCTCGCAGGAGCTGGAGCCGGCGCGCTCTGAGAGTCGCCATTGGCACCACCAACAGCTTTGGCCGCCTCACGCTCACGCCAAGACGGCTTGCCTCCAGCGAGATTCAAGCGAGGAGGACCACCGCTGGAAGAACGCTCTCCAGACTCTGGGCGCTCTGTTCGCTGGAAGGGGGGAGCAGCACGTGGAGGAGGAGCCTGGCGCTCGGGCGGGGGCCGCTCAACAGGAGCCCGCTCAGGAGCAGCGGGGGCAGAGCCTCCAGTAGTGGTCTTGGCGGCCTCGCGCTCACGCCACGAGGGCTTCGAGCCAGAAAGATTGAGGCGGGGAGGACCGCCAGCAGGAGGACCACTGGAGTCCGAACGATCCATAGCAACAGGCTCGCGACGAGGTGGAGCGAAACGCTCGCGCTCGCGCTCTTCTCTTCTCCGAGCCATCGCCTCCTCTTCTCTTCGGGCCTGCAGCGCAGCCTTCTCCAGCGCCTCCTGGCGCTCAGCTTCTTTCTGCTCCTTGAGACGGGCAAACTCGGCCTTCTGAGCCTCAACTCTCCGCTCGCGCTCTTGCTTCTCGCGTTCAGCCCGCTCCTCAGCCTCGCGAAGGGCACGCTCTTGCTCCTCACGCTCTCTCTTCTCGCGCATTTTGCGCTCACGGTACTCCTTCCTGCGCATGGTGATTTGCTTCTCCAGTTCGCGCTCAGCATCACGTTGGCGCTTCTCAAACTCGTCACGGCGACGCTCGTGGAGCGACTTCCTGTAGGCCTCGAAGTGGGGCATCAGGCGGGTAAGACGGTGCTTGAGCTCAACGCTCTCCTTGTGCTTCTCCTTGGACTCCTTGAGCGTCTCAATCTTCGTCTTCTCGTAGGCGGCGAGGTCACGCTCGCGCTGCGCAGCGTAGTCGTCGGCCAGCTTCTTGACTTCCTCCTTGCGGAAAGCTCTCTCCAAGTGGTCCATGCGTCTGGCAATGATGCGAACCTTTTCGTTAATGTCGTTCTTCTCGCGCTCGAGCTGAGCTAGCTTCATGGCACGAATGGTGTTGCTGTCGACATCATCCAGGTTCTCCATGTCGATGTCGATGGCGTTGGGGCCAATCTTGAGGTCAGCGATCTGCTTCTTAAGCTCTTCCTTGCGAACGCGATCCCTCTCGTCCTTGAGACGCTTCTCCTCGCGGTCCTTCTGTTCCTGAGCAAGACGACGCTCCTCAGCCTCAGCAAGGGCCTGCTCCTGCAGGCGCTTCTGGCGCGCCTTCTCCTTGTCCTTCTTGGCCTGGGCCTCAGATGCCTCAGTCTTGCGCTTCTGGATGATATCCTTGCGCGCCAGGGTGTCGAGATGCTCCTTCTCAGCGCCAGCCTGAGCGCGGGCAAGAGCAGCCTCACGAGCGGCAATCTGCTGCTTCTGGAAGGTGGGGTCAATGTAGAAGCAGGTAGTGTGCAGTGTTGTCGCAAGCCTGGTGAGCTGTGTGCGGACGATCTCAGAAGGCGTGCTCTGGAGCCGTTGGACACTGCCGGTATGGCTCTCAGCAGAACCGGCGGCGGAGCCAGAGTGGACAGCCTTTGAGGAAGCAAAAACGTCCTTGACAAAGCTCAGAGCACCAGTAGCGTGGTCCATACGCACAGACAAGTCACCCTTCTTGTTACCGTTCATGATGAACTTCTCAATAGTACTGCGGCTGATCTGGTAAGGCTCGGGGAATTGAGCAAGGCTCTCGACGAAGGAGAAGTCGACAGTCTCGTAAACCTGGGAGAGCTGCTGGAAGAGGCGGGTGAGGATGACTTGCTGAAGAGGAAGAATGTACTTCTCCATCTCAGGGTCGGCACCAATCTGGGCCAGGATGGGGGAGATCTTCTGGCAGATGGAGAGAGGGTGGAAGTCAACCTCCAAGATGTTGTACAGATCCCGGATCTCTGGTCTGGCACGCTTGAGAAGGGACTTGGCCATAGCATCACGGAAGAGCCCAGAACGAGTCGGGGCGGTGTTCATGCCGAGCAGGTGAGTGAGACGGGAGTTCTTGTTCTTCTTGGCCTCGTCAAAGTCGACCATGGCACCACGAGATCTGGAGGTGCTAATGACAGGAATGGAGAGGGCGGAGAGGACGACGAAAGAAGCAGCCTTCTGAAGGTCCGCCTCGGTTGCGGCGGGGTTGTCCGACTTCTTGCTCTGGCCGGAAGCGACAAGGATGGCGGCCTGGCGCAGAAGGTTGTAGTAGCGCGACCAGGCGGCGGCGTGGAAAAGGTAGTTCTCGCCGACAAGGAAGATACGGGTGAGCTTCTCGTAGTAGTTGGCCATCATGATGTTCTTGGCAGGTCGCTTGCTCAGATTGAGCAGGGTGTGGATATCTTCGACGCTGCGGAAGGCCTCCTGCCACAGCTCCAGCTCGACAGCAACGTTGAGCTGCTGGAAACGAGTCTCGAGATGGCGCTGCAGGGTATCGGGGTCGTTCAGGTTGATGGCATGCATCTGTGTCGAATACTTCGCGGCGGTTTGGACATGGTTGCGGAGAAGCTCGCAGAGGCGGCGGAACTCGGTCTTCCTCTGGTACTTCTGGCAAAAGTCAAAGGCCTGGGTCGCGGTGCTCTGGTACAGGAGCTCGAGTCTGGCATTGTTGCGGAGAATGTCCAGCACAGTCCTGTACGCCTCCCAGAGGAACTTGAGCCATGGCGTTACGACGGCGCGCTCAGTTCGGTCGCGGGACTGCTCGCCGGAGACGGTGGCGAGGAGGATAGACTCGGGGGTTTCGCTGGCTTCGAGATCGTCGACGCTGGCAGTGGCGTTGGCCTCGAGGCTGGACTGAACCTCGTCGGCCTTCTTCTGGGCAGCAGTAACCTTTTCGGCGGCAAGCTCAATGAACTTCTTGAGGACGAGCTCGATGGTGCTGATGTTTGTGTTCTGCGCGATGTTCTTGTAGGAGTAGAGGGCGTCCTTGGCGAGCTTTCCCTTCTTCTGTTCGACGGAGAGCTCAACCAGGAGGAGCATCACCGGCTCGAGGGAGGCGATGGGGACATTGCGGGACCTTTTCGAGGTGATGTGGTCGTGGAGGAGGGTGAGGGCGGCGGGCACCTGGTTGACGCCGATGAGCTCGTGCGCCCGTTTGAGAACATTCTCGGGCTTCTGATGCGGCGGAGGCGGCATGATGGGCAATCTCCTTGATGGAACGACCAGAGGCAGGAGACTGGTATTGTTGTGAGGCCGTAGGCCGGAGATGATGTGGCGGGGTCGGCTGTAGTGAGGCAGACGCTGAGATTTTCGTAAATCGTGCGGCTTTGTGGGCAGGAGGGCCGTGGGCGGGCGTTTTGTCGTAGCGGGGTCAAGATTGTGGCTGGTGTGTGGCTTAGGCAATAAGCCCAGGCGATTTGTTCTGCAGTTGGTGCAGGACGGCGATAGCTCTCATAGCCGTAATGTTGGACTCTAGCAGGATGATGTCTGCAATATCCTTGGCGGCTTTCTTCTCGGCTCGTGTTTGCTTCCATTCCGGGCTCGACCTGGTTGCGAGCCCTTTTTGCAATCTCTTCACCCCGTGCGATTGCTTCCATTCCGTAGTCGACTGGATTGCACGCCCTTTTTGCAATCCATCTCGGCTTCCATCTTGCATTCTCTTCGCTGCGTCTGATTACTTCCATTCTGTAGTCGACCTAGTTGCAAGCCCTTTGGCAGAACAGCGCTGCAGGTATAACCGAAAGCCACTTTCAGTGCCATCCTCGAGAGCACCTAAGGCGGCTCGTAACTGGTCGTCCCCGATCAATTCATGCTCGAGGACCTTGCGTACGTCATCGAGAGGGATAATCTCGCCAGAGATTTTCTCGTGGGCCCGGAGCTTGATTGACACGTGTAACGCATTTGATTTATTGCCAAAAAGACTGAAAAGTCTCTGGGTCCGAATAGGCACGTTAGCCTATTCGCAAGCTGAGTTCCAGATCAGATCGTGCCATAGCCGAGTTTGTAGGTTAGTTGAATCGAAGAAAAAAGCCATCCCGTGGTACGACAAGAAGACGATGCGCTGTATCTTCAAGGCTTTGTTCCGCACAACAAGGAAGTGAGCTAGTTCATTAAACAAGTGCAAGGGATATTTGAAAGTAACCTTCTCGACAACGAGCTGGTTATCCTGCTGTAGCTTCTTCGTAACATGCTCAACGTTATGCCGTCCAACAACACTGTGGAAGGGGCGAAGCTGCCGGTCTGTAAATCGGTTACAGACATCAAGGATTGGCGTTATATCTGGCCCAAAGATTGCTTCCCATTGTGGCCCGTCCGGGTTATGCGGAATGCGTATTGGATATCGGTCTCGGGTGCAGACCTATATTAATTTTTAGGATACTGAAGGTTTGGATATAATCAGTATTGCTTACTCGCGAGGCGCCCTCGATCTTTCTCCATTCCCATCTCAAGCACGGATTAGTGCGATCTCGTGTGAATCCAAAGGTAGGCTTGCTTGTCTGCAAAGTTGGATAATGCCACTCAGTGCAGAGGCTTGCACGTAGTGGTCCAGAAGGCTTGGACAGAAACTTAATTACCAATTCGGGGAAGCCTGCGTCCTTAAGCTCATTAATGAACTTGGTCCATTCCCGGTCCTGGTCGATGTCGTACGAGGCCTAGTCGTCACGACTTTCATCCTGGAGAAACGCATCCATATCACCCCGGATGGGGTTAATATGTACCGTTGCCTGGTCGTTAATAAACTGTCGAATCTCAGCCTCCGTCTTAATGCTGCAATTGACCAGAGAGAGGAGCACATCTCCATTGTTGGATCCTTGGGCAGTAGCAAAGTGCTCCTTGACTAGATCAAGGAAGTGAGCATCCTCACTAAACTGCCTTTGTACAATAGTATCGTGCACATCTTTTTTCAGCGTATCGAATTCCGGTGTGTCGATGCTGGAGATATGCACTTTGTTAGCTTGGAGAGGCTCCAAATCTTGGCCGATGATTTGACGTTTTGCCATCTTGTAGGGCGTCGTAAGTCGTCCGGAATTATCCTTATCGTATGGTTCACGGTCCAGGAGAAGCCGCAATGGCACAAAGAATCGTGATGATAATTCAACAAGAATATCTTGACTTCAGAAGACTTACAATCCATTTTTGGCAAGCGTGGGTTGCTCTTGCCATGGCACCGTTTGACCCCAAGACTTGCATGTAAGGAAGGTACGACCCTGCCCACGTGATTGCCCCGATTCAGTGCACGCAAAACGGCAAAAATATCAACGAGACATTGGGCACCTCGCACTCCTGGCCAACAGAAGATTCATGGCCGACGAGGTAGCTGTGCGCCGCCGCAAGCCTTTGTGCTCGTGCTTGACGATGTTTGCCCAATCGACGGTTTTCAAGCATGCCTGCTAATAACTTAGGAGATATGGCAGACCAGGCACGCAAGCTCCCCTGTAGGCTCACGTTGACAAGGAAACGCACAGTAGCGACATGATTGCCCACAGCTCGCTGTTTCCAACGAGCAAGAAACGGTAGCGGACTGGTGGAGTAGGCTCAGAGATGCAACCCCCTTGACCAGGGATGTGCCTCTCGCCAAGGAGCTCTGATGCAACATTGGCTGGGACTCAGTGCTGTAATGTCTCCAGGAACGTTTTCCGCGACTCACATACGCGTCGAGGTTCTGTGCCAGCTTCAGTCTGCCGTGGCGCACATCATGAAGACAGCGCCCGTCGTGAGTCAATAGTCGGTATTGTGGCTCTCTGTTAGCCTGGTGGAATTCAGGCGTTCAGACCTCCTCAGCCAACCGGGTCCTAGAGAGCCGCAGCATGCTGCACGATTAATCTGTCATCAGCCACAAAGCCAAGATACAAGAGCACTCGCGGCAGATGGCTTAGCGGTGCGTTGATTAGCTGGCTGCTCTGAGCTTGTCAAGACGCCCGAGTCAGTCTAGCCCGCAAGGAGTTGCTCCTGGCCACTGTATTCAGTCCCAATCCGGCTGGCGAGGAATTTGAGGGGAGCAGCTACACGATGAGTCTGCATCGGCTCCCAATTCGCGGGGTTTGATCGACAGCCATGGCCAGCAACCGCAAGACTTAATACTGCAGCATTAAGAAGATGCCCGCACGCGCCGTTAGGGCTCTCGGCAAAGATCTGAAGCCAGCGCTGTGGCCGCGCCTGGTGCAGGCCCCCAGTGCCATAGTTGTCGGCTGCAATTTCCGCAAACCCTCAGAACCTGGACGAGGCGAGGCCAGAGACCTGCTTGTGATCAGGGGCCGCTAAGCAGCCACTATCTTGCCCACCGCGGAATTCCGCTGTGCTAGTGTTAGCGGACTGGTAGCAGCAGGTGGCTGCTGGTGGAGCAGCGTTTGGCGTTCAATTTCCCGGGGGGGCTGCACGGAAGCGTCGAGCCCCCCGGCCGCTGCTGTGTAGGTGGTGCATCCCCGGCGCCCTGGCCCCTGGCCTCTCCTCTCCCCCTTCTCCCCTTCTCCCAGTAAGCTGTGCTGCCCTCCACCTCTGCACGTCCCTGCCTGCGAGCTGCTGTCCCATATCCTCTCCTTCACCCAGGCTCTGCCCCGTCGTCCTGTTCCAGCCTCCGTCGCCTCGGCCTCACTTTGTCGCTCGACCTCGTCCCCGTCCGCCCTCAATCCTTATCGCGTGTCCGCACCTGTAAGTTGACGATCCTCCTCAATTGGCCTCTCTTTGATCAGAGCCGTACCAATTACCTCGCGCGTCGCATCGGCTCCTTCTCCGCGACGGGCCCCTTTACCCAGCCAGCATCGCGCCACCTTGTTTGCTTTTCATCGCAACGTTCTCCTTGCACGGGCACCCACGCGCTCCGGACTCGTCTTGTCCTTTTCCATCATCGTCTACCGCTGACTGGACCTTCAACTGACCCCCCATCGCGACAATTACAGTACCTTCTCTCGTCCGAGCTTCTTTTCGACCTCCATCGGCTGCAATCCCTCATCCTCGGCATTGCTAGTCTCTTCTCCCTTTACGATAATCTCTACCAACTATCCAAACACACATACACACTCAAAATGCCTGCCTACACTTCCCGTGACGTCGGCGACCCGTCGCAAATCAAGAAGAACAAGCAATCGATGGCCGACCTGAAGCTGCGCCGTCTGACCGAGCTCAACAACAGGCTGCGCGAGGATCTCGAGCGGGAGAGGATACCTGTCTCGCAAGCTTCCAAGAGGTGAGTTGTCGAGTTATCCCATGGCTGACGTTGGCGGAGCATATGGCTGACAATGTCGCATAGCATCATTGCGTACTGCAACAACACACGAGACTACATGGTCCCTTCTGTCTGGGGCGCTGTGCCGCGTGGAGAGGATCCATATGCTCCTCAGCAGAGCGGCGGCTGCTGCTTGGTCATGTAATCATGAAGTACCGGATGTGTGATAGTCTACTCGACGCAATGCGCGGCATTTGACCATGCCAGCATTTCCCCGGTAGACATGCCACGAGCCCCAAAAGCCAAAGTCGGAGCTGTCAGCGCTCCTTGGCGCAAGGAGGCGTCATCGCAAAGCCACAACATCTTGGTCCAGGCGCATCTGCTTCTTGCCTGCATACACGAAACTAGGTGCACCCAACAACTTTGACATCCACACGGAGTGGCGACGACCCATCGGCCAGGAATCGTGCGCAAGCATTGACGACTACGACATGATTTCAAAACACCCATGCGAGAAGATACATAAGGAGACGATCGTTGATACACAATACCCCCGAGAGATGGATGAGACGCATATGCCGGTGCGGAACACGCTACATTAATCATATTATACCGTCTGGGCGGCTTTCTCAAGAGCCACATTTACGCGATGTGGCACAAATGAGTTTGATGCAGCAGCTCACCACCCGGACGAAAAACCGACAAGGGCGCAGGGCAGGAATGGACAAACTTTGAGAGGTCTATTCATGTAACTTTTTCTGCTTATGTACACCTGTATCGGTTCCGTCCTTCTCTATTCTCATATTTCTTTAACTGTTTGGCACGAAAGGCCCAAGCCGACGGCGTTTGTGGTAGCCCTGCGCATCAATAAAAATCATTCAATCAAGAGAAACATGCCGGCCTTGCCTGACCAAGTATGTCATGTATTCAAACAGTGTCATGATGACACCATTTGCGGGCCTTGAAGTGCTTTCCCCGACGCACGCCATTGACAGCCACAAGCAAAGTGCCCGCGTCGAACGTTCATGCAGACGGGGCAATGGGCATGCCATTCGCAGCACTCTTCACCGACTCGCATCTCCGTGCTTGCTGTACATTGAAGCAAAGACAGCGACAGCCCATATCAGGCAAGGGGACTTTTGCTTTTCCCTCGCGTCTCTTTGCCCAGCAGAAGTGCGACATTGCCAGGTGTCTTTGACTCAGATTTCTGAACACGAAGGTCAATCCTGCCACGTGCCGCCTGTGTGCCTCGCGTCACATCACGTTTTTTTATAACCTGCATTCATGCCTTCTTGGGCGGGAGTACGGGCAGGTATGTTGAGCGCATTGGTTCATGCATGCGTTTGAGGAGAGGTGGACGAGTGTGCGTGATTATGAATGTTTTCGATCCCAGAGCAGGTCGACTTTCTGCACCGATGCCACTCAGCGTCGTGCTTACACGTCGTCCCGCCAGGCAATCAAGTATCTCACACACGCGCGTTTCTCCCATCTATAGGTGAATGCGCAAAGAGGAACCTTGATATCCTGAAGAGTATCCTTCTTCGACATTCCACCTCTCGCGTATTGCCTGAGGCTGGCAAGTAGAAAGAAAATGCCCAGCATGTTGATCCAGCCTCGCCCGCTGGGATAAGAGGCGCCTGGCCCCACCACGGCGAAAGGCTTGGAAGCTCATCATACATCCATCCCACTTTTTGGACGACCACCTGACGGCTGGCAATGACAGCACAACTTGTGAGATGTGACACAACCTCAATTCTATTAATATCACCCCAGCTGGCCAGGCGGACCAAGCAGTCAACGAAACCACGGACATATTCAAGAGACACTCTTTCCGTTTGGTGCTCGACGTATCACAAACCACACAAGATATCCCCTGCAGGAGGCGATTCTCTCACTCTGGACATACCTAGTTGTTCTCTTGTACTCGGAAAGGTTGCTTCTTCTGGACAGCAGCAAAGACATGGCTACTGCAACAACTGTGGCATCTGGCTCGCTGCCGACGCCGATACACTTGCCCAGAGTCACGATCAAGTTCTGCACGCAGTGCAAGTGGATGCTCAGGGCGGCTTATGTATGTCTTCCACCACAAGTGTACAAGCCTACACCATCACGATACTCCTTGATGTTGTACCCGCAACTTTCTGCGCACGGGGAATGGGACAGATCGTGGTCGTTGCGCCGATGGCCACGCCCACCAGCTTTCGGAAACAGCAACAAGATTGACTGACGTATGGGGACGATCCAGTACGCTCAAGAGCTTCTCTCCACATTCTCAACAGCACTTGGCGAGGTCGCACTTCAGCCTTCCACAGGCGGGGCATTTATCGTCGAGATATCATACACATCTGTGACGACTCTCGCCCCCGATCATGCCACTCTTGCAGCACTTGTTTCGTCGTCTACATCGGCTGCCTTCTCAGTGCCAGTAGTGGATGCCCAGACAGCACAGCAGGTGGAACCGTCGCAGCAGCAGCAGCAGCAGCACCATCACCATCACCAGCAGCATCAGTCTATCACAACACAGCACCGCGTGCTCTGGGACCGCAAAGTCGATGGCGGATTCCCCGAGGCCAAAGAGCTCAAGCGGCGCGTGCGGGATGTCATCGAGCCCGGGAGAAGCCTGGGCCACGTCGACAAGGATTACCCGAAGGATTCGGCCACGGGATCAGGCGCACTTGGGGAAGAAACGAAGCCATCCGTCAGGTTGGGGTCCTCTGCTGCTACTGCTGCGAATAAGGTGCGTGTCAAGGAGGATTGTGAGGACTGCAGGTGATCAACTCGATTCATTGCATTGGAAGCTTGTGCAGAAGAGCTACGAGGCACACGAGGCAAACCTCAGAACAAGAAGCAATGATCTAAAGTGGAGCCTGTACAACGTTGTGATTGAGGTCGGAAGCAAAATTCGGGTACTCTAGGACGAAGTTGTTAGTCAACAAGGACGATAAGGACTCTGAACCCTCTGAACCCTCCGAGAAAGTGGTCTCGTCTATCCAGTGCCTTAAGACAGCCCAGAACACGCCGCCAGACAAAAATAGTCCGACCTGGTACGTGAAGCAGTAGCACCGCGCGACGGCCACCGGCGTAGGGACATTCATATCATTGAGAAAGCCGTAGAAGCCGGTGATAGTGCCGACAATGTACCTAAGGTACTAAAGTAGGCAATGTAGGCGCGGGTGATTCAGCCGTGAAAAAGTAGTATGCGCTGTCCTGAGACGAGGTAAAGGCGTCGGGGATGCTGATCTTGCCCTTGGCTTTTGTCCTGGTCTTCCATGCTACCCCATGGTGCTGAATGTGCATCTTACCAACAGGATTAATCGACGCGACTAGACTACGGCTGAAGTGACTTCTGCATACTATGTAATGGCGCAGCTGCCGGTACGTTCGGATGTCGTGGTCCAAGAAACAGGGGTAGCTCAATCTTGTTAGTGAATCGCAGGCCCCACCCGTGCCTTGCCGAGCGGACGCAAGCGCGGTTGATCAGCAGCGTCTCTCAACGTCCCAAGCGCAGCTGGTGTGTCAGATGAAGAACCCTTAACTGCGGCCGCTCAGACCAGCGAACTTACTGCAAACCCAACCCTTCTCTCACTTGTGATGCGGCGTCAATTGTCAACCGGACGCACAACCCGTCGACCTAGACTCGTTCGACCCAGTCGCTCGTTCCAATAGCCCTTCGGCACTGCACCTACTCTGTCGTCAATCCGTGACCGCTGCCTCGGACAAGCCGCCTCACTGACCGAGCATGGCCGACCTTGAGAATCACGCTCGTGAGCAGCAGCAGCAGCCACCTCTTCCGGCATATCACGACAATGAGGAGGATGGGTATGCTTCGGACAGCCAGCTTGTCCCGGCGGACGCAGACGACGTCCTGCCCTCCCACGTCGGCTTAACTCCCGACGGCAAGGTCGCTCAGCCATGGCAACGACACGTCGGCCAGCGCGCCCTCGGCTACCTACCCGCTCTCATCGTGTTCCTGATCGGCGCATTCCTGGCGACCTGTCCACGGCCACGGCACTGGATCCCTTATCCAGCCAGACAGATCCTCATCATGGTATGCGCGAGCCTGCTGGTCATCCCGCCCTCGTTGCGACGCTCTGTATCCTTTGGCCCCTCGGTGCGCGCCAGACGCCTCCTCATGTCCTACGCGGGCATGGCGCTCGCCATGTACGCGCTGGTCTTTGCGTCAGACGACGTGCACATCGAGTATCGCTGGGACACGCTTATCTGGCACAGCACGCTGGAGGGCCCGCAGTTGGGGTATCTTACGCGCACCTTGCTTGCCGTGGCGGGCATGGTCATACATCGGACAGCTGGGTTGCACTCGAATACAAGGATCGTAGCCGCGTATCTGCTGAGCATACTGGCCGTGTACGCGGACACGCCAATGACTTTGATAGACCTTGCCAAGGGGAGGCCGAGATGGTGAGCCACGGCGTCGAGCAAAGGGCACAAGGTCAGGAACTTGGTTTCTTTGTCAGCCAATCGCAGTTTAGAGTAGTGTTGCACACAATAGAGAAACGGCAATCTCCGTCCTAGAGCAAGTGGACCACCATAATGCTCCGTGACCAACCGCTCCAAGCCAGACTCGGGCATGCAGGTTATTGCCGTGCACATGTAGACACCAGCCGTTTGCAAATTGGCTGGTCTCGCTGGGAACGCTCTAGGCAGTAAGCTTGAATCACCACCAACTAAGCTGATGCCTTGGGCTCGAGCGGCCCACTGAGCGGCACCCTGTCAGCATCCATAGATGGCGGTGGTGCTTGGCACGGCTAGCTTGGTTCGGGGCAGGCGGTGCCCGTGCGCAAGGCAATCGTCCAGCGCTGCCCGAGCTGGGCCGTTGTCGTCATCCTCGCTCGCCAGAGCTGGAGCTTTCAGTTGGGGGGCATCTGCTGCTGCACTCCCTGCTCATCCACGCGCAAGTGGGCGACCCGCCGTCTTGACAGAGCTTCCTCCCCAAGCCCGCCATCCATCCTGCCCGACGTAGATCCCAGACTGCTGCAATCGCTTGCGACAGACGTTCCGACCGCAGGCTCGCCGCGAATAATGACCACGCTCCTTGCACACAGCACCACAGCTTCCTGAGCGGCATCCCCAGACACAGCGCATCTCCCCCGCCCCCGCGTTGTTGCAGCTGGCACGTCGTCAAGTGTCTGAGATCCGCCGTCCCGCCTCACTGCCTCCCAGCAAAAGGCGCAAGAACCACGGGCCGGTCTTTTTTGTTGGCCAGAAGTCCACGACCAGCTCTCTGCTGAGCAGGACTGTTGCGCAGCCAGTGCGCTCCTTATCTCGACATGTGGAACGACGAGGAGGACAACAACCCCTACGGGACCAGCTACGACGATCGCAGAGACTCTGTCACATCCTCCTCCGCAAACCCGACGTCGCCCACTTCGCACGACTGTAAGCACTCTACACCTGCCTTGGGTCTTGCTTGCCCTGGCAAGCTTTGTCTTTTTCAGTACCTTTTCGTGTTGGAGTTGTGTGGTGGCTGAAATCTAGGCGGGCATGATGAAGCTGATGATGGCTGGAATCACGTAGACCAGAGGTTCGATGCTCCAAATACTCCCTCATCGACCAGCGAAGATGCGCCACGGACGAGCGCGACCTACGTCCGGCACTCGGCCGACTCCGAGAGCGACGAAGACTTCAATGCCCGCTCCACGTCGCAGCTCCCGCCCAAGCGGAAGCCCGGCGGCTATGACAGCCGGATTGAGCAGATCCTCTACGAGAATCCTGAACTCCCCATCCTTATCACGGATGCGGGCAAGAGTGTAGAGAGCGGCGGGAAGTATATCGTCTACACGATCCGGACTGGGGTATGAGCCCGTCCCAAGGATGAATTTCTCTTTTTGACCACATAGACCCTGACCAGAATTACAGGACCTCGAAGTGCGACGACGTTATTCGGAGTTTGCGTCTCTGCGCGACGCTCTCACAAAGATCCACCCGACCCTGATCATCCCACCGATTCCCGAGAAGCACACCATGGCAGACTATGCCGCGAATCCGACCAACGCCAAGCAAGACCAACAGATTATTGACCTGCGGAAGCGCATGCTTGCTGTGTTCCTGAACCGGTGCCGCCGCATGGAACAGGTCAGGGAGGACGGTGTGCTCTGGAGATTTCTGGACCCCAACGTCAGCTGGGTACGTCTTAAGACAGGCATCTTCTCCTCGATGCGAAAACTGACGGGGCTGCAGACCGAGGTTCTTCACTCGCACCCCATCTCGTCCATTCCCAAGTCGATCATGCGGGCGCCACCTCTGGACCCGGCCAATCCGACCCCCGCGCACGCCTATCTACCGATACCAGCGACAAATGCGAAGCTCAAGGCCCCAATGGGCACAGCACCACCACCTGCTTTCGACAGCTCGCAGACTGTAGCGTCGCAGATGCTGCGCCGCTTCCCACCAGACACGCACAACTTGAGCGAAGTCGAGCTTGATCCCTACTTCCTCACATTCGAATCTTCGATCAAGGAGCTGGAGACTGCGCTGATGGGGCCCATGGAGAAAGTGAACCGGAGAAGCCTGAGCCACCTCAGCTCCCTGGCCTCGGATCTCGCCGACCTTGGCTCGAAGTATAATGCCTTTGCACTCTCGGAGCAGTCGCCGTCTTTGGCTGCGGCAATCGAGCGAGTGGGCCAAGCTGCGGACTCGTCCTATATTGCAACTGAAGAGTTGGCAAGCTCACTAGGCGCAAGCTTCGCTGAGCCGATGCGGGAGAACGCCCAGTTCGCGGGCGTGGTCCGGACTGTGCTCAAGTACAGGATAGCGAAGCGGGTCCAGCAGGAGATGACCAACGAGGAACTTCAAAAGAAGAAGGCCCTGCTCGAACAGCTGGAGAGGAGCGAAGCCGAGGCTAAGCGCATTGAGCAGTACCTCAGCAGCAGTCAGCAGATTGGTGGCTCAACACAGGTCCATCCACCACGGCGGTCGTCAAGCATGAGGGAGACTTCGACCCACGGGCATTACAGGGAAGGTAGCGGGGAAGACACAGCATCGATCGACTCCGACTTCCCGCCGACACATGGAGACTCGTCGGCTGCGCCGTCTGCGCGGGTTGGGGCGCCGGAGCGTTACAGTAACCCTGCCCCGACGCACAAAAAGGCGCCCAGCGGCAACTCGATCACGAACAAGATCTTCGGACCCATCCGGCACGCGATCCAGGGCGTGGCAGATGTTGACCCTGAGCGCACAAGGAGAGACACGATCGGCAAGACCCTGGAGAGCATTGAGCACCTGGAGCAGGCCCAAGTCGTTGCCGCCCAGGATGTCAAAGACGCCAGCGCCAGTATTCTTGAGGATCTGAAGAGGTTCCAGCACCAGAAAGAGGACGACCTGAAGAGATATATGGTATGTTGCAACTACCACGGGCACACTGCCCCTCCGTTTTCGACTCCACTTGTGACTGACGTTTGTGTGTGTGTCCCAGCTTGCATATGCCAAGAGCCAGATCGAATGGGCCAAAAAGAACAAGGAGACATGGGAGGAGGCCAAGGCCGAGATCGACAAGATTGACGAGGAATAGGCATTCGTGACTGTGGGCTATACCAGCAGCGGAAGAGCTCCCCCCTTCTCCCCCTTGGGCCGTTTTGTCCCGGTGTGGCCGGCAGCATAGTGATAGAGTAGCTTCCCATTTTCCATACCCAATAATACTTGCTAGTCCGGTTGGATGTCTATGTGCGAATCGGGGGTGCGTGCGTGCGAGGTGTGTTGTTTTGAGGATTGAAGTCCGGAGTGCCGGATCTGCACTTCATCTATGGTCAAACGCCAGGGATCTCGGGAGCGCGTTCGCACGAGCAAGCGTGAACAAGGGAAGGCGCTGTGATTCACGTAGAGCGAGAGTGAACCTCGTCGAACACGCAGGCCATCATATTAATTCGTGCTCCGATTGAGGGGGACCGGTGCCTGTCCTAGAAAACCATGCCTGTTACACTACGAGGACTGTTCAAACATGACACACCCCCTGTCTTTCCCTCTCATCTTCCCAGCGTCCAGTGGCTATGTCCTTGTGATCATTGTTCCCCCGGTTTACCCCCTTTGTCAAGCTCTGACAACGTGGTAAGTGAGGGTCCGCAGGGAGTCGCGTAAGTACCATCAACACCCTGGGCACCCCTTAAGCATCCCAAGCCCGGCCAGCCAGCCAGCGCAACGCAACGCAAAGCAGCAAAGCAGACGGTGGCAAATTACACAATCGCTATCCCTATCCCCCCCAAATCATCGGAACATCACCGTAGGGGGCCGAGGGCACTCTGGCACGTTCTGCCTCGACTTTGTGAGCATCAGGATGCACACGATGAGCCCGTACAGGCCGAGGACCTCGGCGAAGATGAGGATCAGGACCATCCCGACATACAATCGAGGTTGTTGGGTGCTGGCTCGTACTGTTTGGTTTTGAAAACAAAAGGTATTGGGTCAGCACTTTTCCGCTCTCTGCTGTCTGTGTGAAGAAACAAGCACGACAAGTATTCTTTTTTCTTTCCTTCTTTTCTGCTGAGGCGAGTGTAAACCCCCGGATGGGGGCAGGAAAGGAAAATCACCACTACTCACCACCCGCGTCGCCGATGATGCCGATGCTGAACCCGGCGGCCAAGCCGCACAGCCCGACGCTGATGCCCGCGCCAAGCTGCAGGAAGCCCTGGTGCAAGGGAAGGTAAGGGTCGAGGTCGCCCGAGATGATGACGGCCGAGACGAGGCCGTAGATGGCGAGGATCTGGGCCATGACGGCGCACAGGGTGTTCTGCATGAGCCGGTCGGGCCGCAGGATGCCCGAGGAGAAGATGGCCCCGCTGGACTTTGCGGTGCCGTAGGACGCGCCGATGACGGTGAAGATTATCGAGGCCGCGCAGCCCATTGCGCCGAAGAAGGACTTTTGTTTCCCCAACCCCCCGCAAGGTCTAGTGTTAGCATGGTGGTGATTGTTGAGAGGTGCATAGTGGACTTGGGAGATACTCGGATGGGCATCTATGTTGGGTAAGGAGTTGGTTGTAGATGCTGGACTTACGGCATATATGGGGCTGGTGATTGCCAGACGAACGCGAAGTTAGTCAATATAGCATTGCACGGCGCACGCACGCCGACGCGGATGAAGAGGTGTTTGGCAGTTAGACTCACCAGTACTCCTGGTTCAACATGATTAGGTCGTCCATGTTGGTGAAGGAGGTGAAGATCGGTTGTTGTTGATGTTGCGCTGCCATTCAAGATTGATAGGCTTCTGTGAGAGGGCAAAGCTGCCGATAACTACGTGATACGGATTTCCCGTCGCCTCTAGTGTTGACTTTAGACTATAAATGTCCATCTTCAGTATCTACGCTTATATGTGTGGGACATGACTGTGAAATATAAGTTGCCTGCCTGAATCCTTGGCATCGCTCCGCGAATTGGCAAGCCGCCGTGTAAGTCAACTTTGGCACAAGCCACCACCCAAAGTCACGCCGCTGGTGCCTGGTCTAGTCTGGTCCCCTGCAGGGTTGTTCCTCCCAATAAGAGGCTGTCGGAGATCGGACCTCTTAGACACAGCAGTCAATCCAGACATCATCAAGTCAGCACCTCGATCAGACGGTGCCGCCAGGCAGAAGGATAGCGGTGGTTGTGATTGGCTCTGAGGGGTCTCTGGATGCGGATGCTGCCGCCGCCACCGTCAGCCGGGCGTTCAAAGCCCGTTGCGGGTCCCGAGGCCGCGGCGTTGACGACGCCGCAGGACAATCAATGTGTCTCTGGAACGAGAGACACTCCTGCAAACTGCGGCTGAGGCCAGGGAGAAAAGCACGTGCAGCAAGTGTCAATGATTGTGTAATATCTTGGGACACACGACGGCATGAGTTGTCGAGTCGGCCCCACACACTGGCGCATCCATCCACCATCCACCTCGCATCCATTCCGTCGGCGTGGGTTTGATGTACTGTACAGCGGCACTGGGGGCCCCTTAGATTGGACCCTTTCTCTCAGCGTCCCCGCGATGCAACATGGGCTTCACCAGGACTGCCGATCCTCACTTGTGGTGCTGTTGCGCTGGGATCCTGACTTGATAGGTCTTGGCATCCCCGCGGCTAGGTCGTTGCGCTCCGCACACCAACCCTGGTGTGCCGGAATAAGGTTCTCCAGCCTTTCCAACGAGCGCTCTGACACAAGACTTGTGGTTGTCTGTGCAGGAATCAAGCTCGCAGGCAGGGGCCGAGTCGTCTCAGGATGCCCCGTGGCTCTTGAGTCGTGATTGCGTGCTCTCTCACCGTCGAGCTGGGCCACCAGCTTTCATGTTTGAGGTCCTCCAGGCGGGAGGACCCCAGGCAGCGCCCCCAGCAGCTGCATGGAACGGAACAACTCTTCATTCCCGTAAGCGTGCGGCGGCCGGCATCATCAATCAGCGTTGACACATGGAAGCTGAGACACGACAAGGGGACGACGTCGAGCCGGAATTCTGCCAGACGGCACCGTTGGCCATGGAACACCCATGGGCGCCCGCCTGGAACGGGCCTAGTCTTCCCAGGTGGACGCGCGGCAGGCGTGGGTGCCACGTCCGATTCGGGCAGGGACAACCCACTCTCGGCCAATCACAGCCGCCATGGGTGTCCGAGCACCGTGCCATTTACAGTGTCAGCCAGCATCTGCGAGCCCCTGCCACGTCAACTCGTGCTCTGCCCTTCGGCACGCATCGAAATGAGGCTGCTGTGCGCGATGTCGTGAGAGTTCTGTAGCTAGCCATCCATTCCGCCTCTCCTCCTGCCCTCGTCTCTCTCTTGCTTCCAGCAGCACGGTATACCCTCACTCGTAGCCAAGTTGCTGGTCTCAAGGCTCGGGCGCGACGTATCGCAACCTCAACAGTCTCCCTCTGCCTTACACCTCGCTTTCGTACCCACAACCACTGGTGGGAGCATCGCCTCCTCCGCGCTTAAACCTCTGCTGCCGCAACTCTATTTCGCCAGCTATTTCCCATAGCGCACTTCTGGTCCCGGTCGGCCACGCAGGCCCCTGCCGCCGGGCGTTTCTGCTCGCCCTCGCTTCTGCGACCGGGCCGCCGCCAGTGCCTGCTGCAATCTCGGGCTGCGTTGGCCGCACACGAGTGTATTACGTCGCCCCAGTCTCGCCGCCCAGCACCTTTGCCGCTGCTCCTGAGCACTCCTCAACACACTAAAATAAAACCGTGGTTGCATCATTTGTCTTGGCATCTCTCAAGTGCCCTTGTCTCTCTCTGCCCGGACCATCACCCTCGAAGCTTCCTCAGGCTCGCAACTCCTGTGTGTACGCATTAAGGACCCCGGTCATCGTCACAATACCAGCCCTGGTGGCTCAGGAGACATGCATTTCACCACGGCTACCGCCCTCGCAGCCGTCTTTGGGTTTCCGGCATGCACGGCGTCTCTCGCGACCAGGCAGCCGCGTGATGCTGCTCCACGTGTCGCCCTCCTCCCCATGGAGCGCTCGCGGATTGTGAACCCCATCAGAAGAGACCAAATCAGACGACGAGGCACCGCCCAAGTAGATCTCGACAACGATGTACATGACCGTTCTCGCCGAAAGCCAGAGAGGATTTGCTTGCTGACCTGAATCACAGGGCGTCCTATACTTCGTCAACTTCACCATCGGCACACCACCGCAAAACATTCGTGCCGCCCTAGATACCGGCAGCAGCGACTTGTGGGTGAACACACCTAACTCGGATTTGTGCACCCAGCATGGCGATCCGTGCAGCACGGGAGGAACATATGACTCCACTCAGTCCTCGTCAAGCACCATCCTTGGTGTTGACTTCTCGATCCAATATGGTGATGGTTCATCTGCCTCGGGTCACTATGCCACAGATAACATCACAATTGGCGATACCACTTTGAATCAGTTCCAGTTCGGAATCGGCTCTAATAGTACCTCCACAGAGGGCGTCTTCGGCATTGGATATCCAAGGCTCGAGTCGCTAGTCCAAGTCGAGGGTCAATCGGCTTACGAGAACCTGCCGGCGAAGCTGGTGTCGAGCGGTGCCATCGCCTCCAGTGCATACAGCCTGTGGCTCAACGACCTCGACGCCAGCACTGGCAGTGTGTTGTTTGGTGGCATTGACACTGAAAAGTACACTGGGACTCTGGCGACCTTGCCTATACAATCAAGCGCCGGCACTTACAATCAGATCAAGATCACGCTGACAGGGGCATCATTCAATGGCACAACCCTCTCAGATAACTTGGCGCATGCAGTGCTGCTTGATGCCGGCTCCAGTTTCACATATCTGCCAGACACGATTGTCACCAAATTATACTCACAAGTTGGAGCGCAGTACGACTCGTCCTTGGGTGGCGCATACATCCCTTGCGCAATGGCCAACTCGGGCTTGAGCGTCAGCTTCAACTTTTCGTCGCCAGTCATTAGCGTAGGAATGGACGAGCTGGTGCTCGACCTGACGGATGCAGACGGCCAGTCACCCCAGTTTGACGATGGCACCGCTGCGTGCTTGTTTGGAATCACTCCCGCCGGCGCTGGGCCCGTGGTCATGGGAGACACGTTCTTGCGCTCGGCGTACGTCGTGATTGACCTGACGAGCAATCAGGTCTCTCTAGGACAGACCAAGTTCAACACGACTGCATCAAATATTGTGGAGATCGGCCAGTCCGGTCAGATACCGAGCGCTACGACAGTGAACAGTCCTGTGTCTGCCACACTTGGAGTTGCAGTCGGTCCCAATAGTGGCACGGCTGTGACAGGACAGTCGTCCCCGACGTCGAACCCCAACGGAGGGGCTCGGTCTTCTGTTAGCTCCGTCCTCTTGGCGTTCAACCTGGTGGCCGTTTTGATGTGCCTGCTGGGGTGATACCAGCAGCGGCAGGGGGCCACGTTTTGAACCAGGAGTATGCGGGCGCATGGGATTCTGGTTGACGATGGAAAGCGTTCTGGCGTGGCATTGGGGTGGCGTTTGATGGATTCCTTTGAGCATCCGCATTTCAATTATTGCATTAACATACTGGCTTTCATGATGCACCTAATTGCTCGACGTGAGATAATGAAGCTCTATTATTCTCACAAGTATTGCGTCTGACAAGCAGGCCTGTTCTTCCTGGCCTCAGAACCTACAACCACCCCAATCAGGTCCTGCGCCGGCTGAGCAAGGCCCACCTTTCCACGCGTGGGGGTGGAGTTTGGGTAAAAAGCCAGTCTTTGGCAGACGAGCATTGAAGACATAGAAATCTCCAAGGTTGAATCCTCGGGGGTTTGTATCGTGCCGTGATGGTACGGTTGTGGTTTGTGGGGAGGGGCGTGGGTGAGTGCGTGGTGGTACCGCCTAACGCCGCCGGCCCGCAGAAAGACATAGACACAACACACACCCATGCGTGTATACACGAGAAGTGGTCAGGGATGAACAGATGAGCCAGACTGCCGTGTGACCAGCTCTTTTGAAAGCATGTAGTAGTAGCAGTGCTGGAAGAACTCTGGGCCCCGTCCCCGTCGGATTTTAGCAGTGTTTGTGTGGATGATGGTTTGTGAAGGTTGTCCCGTCTGCCGATTGGTAGGGGTAGGGATTCAGATCCAGCGGCTCGGCGTAAGCACTTTAATAATCCTCAGAATGCACGTGTTGCATAAGCGGGATTGGCACCGCTGCGATTTTTGGAGCAGTGTAATCCTGCCATGATGCAATCGCGCTTGACGTTTCGGCTGAGTAGCGTACATATTATACTTTGGTGGATAGCCCTTCTCAGGCACGATGGAGCTGCTGATTATACCATAACATTGGTTGAATGCGGGCGTCTTTGATGACGGTGGAGAGTCCCGTAGACTGGGGGGCGGCTCAACATTGAGTATTTGACGTTACTGGCATAAGGCCATTCCAACCAGCACACTGCAAGGCCGGGGGTTAATAGCTGGCGGCTGTTGCACCGAGTCGGTAGAAATGGAACATCACGACTGCAGTCTTGCAAGTTTAAACTTAAGAGCATCGGCATTAAGTGAGCGCTGACGGGGGACGGGACGTCTATTTGCCCCTGGCCCCCCTGCCTAAATGGGTGTCATAGATGCTGCAACAGGGGCATGGCGAGCGAGCTGGAAAGAGGAAAGGCGGGGCCTTGTTGAATCACATCATGGACACGACGACATCAATCTCGCTCGTGTCTGGTGCGGATCGCGCGGGACCAACTCTGTGGCCAATGATGCGGAATCACCAGAGCCACAAACGCTGAAAAGAGAAGAGAGCAGCAGGTGCCTTGAGGAGCTAAAGTAGCAAGTGCGGCCAGGCATTCCGCTCCCCCACGTGCTGTCGTGTCACCTACCTTGTCCTGCGCATCAATTCTGCCGCTACTGGCGCGGCATTCCTTCCATTTCTGAACAATTAGCGTCGTCCAGTATTATCTCCGATAGAGATGCCTCGGGGTCTCGGTGTCTGCCGATTCACGGCGCCAATACTGATCTGATGATGCGTGGCGGCAAGTTCCTCCGCGAACAAGTGGACCCCAGCACCCATACGGTACGGGCGGAATTGACGTCAAGCAAAAAGTCGACCCGGACGGGTCTGCAGTGCCAACGAACGCTTCTGCACTTCCCCCCTGGTCTTGCCTGCCCCGATGGAGCAGTGGGACAGCAACGGCGATGGCTCTGCTACTCACTCTTGATGCCATCATTAGTAATGCCTGATGGACTCCCTGGGGGCGCAAGGGGGGACTTTTCGGCGGATCCTTAAGGCCACGGATCGAGTCGTGCGTATATATAAAAGAGGTGTGTCTAACCACCGTGACCTATGTGTTTTCCCGCCATTCTGACGTATAGACAATTCTTCAGACCTCTATTGCTTTTATCCTTCCAGAGCCATACATTACAGACCAGCATCGTCAAGGGCATAGACAAGAGACACCTTACAATCACACACACAGATCACTTACACAAAACACATAGACAACACCAACAACAAACAGACAACGACAATGGCACCAAAACGCTTCGAGTGGGAGGGCTCCCAAAACGTCGACCCGGCACCTCTCGGCCAGCCTCTGCAGTTTGAGTTCAGCGGCAAGACGGCGCCGAACCGCTTCCTCAAGGCCGCCATGACGGAGCGCCTGTCGACCTGGGACCCAAAGGACCTGCCCAAGCGCGGCATCCCCACCGACGAGCTCGTCAACGTGTACCAGCGCTGGGGCGAAGGCGGCCTGGGTGTAATACTATCGGGCAATATCATGATCGACTACGACCAGCTAGAAGCGGCCGGAAACCCCATCGTCGCGCCCGCCAGCGACCCGGAGCAGCGCAAGTTTGAGGGCCCCCGGTTCGAGGGGTTCAAGAGGCTCGCAGAGGCCAGCAAGGCCCACGGCAGCCTCATCGTGGCTCAGGTCTCGCACCCGGGCCGCCAGGTCCCCGAGATGATCAACCCGCACCCAGTCTCAGCGAGCGACATCCAGCTCGTGAGCAAGGCGATGGGCATGACGTTTGGCAAGCCCCGCGCCATGACGCAAGAAGACATTGATCAGGTCGTCGAGGGCTTTGCCTTCGCGGCCGAGTATCTGCACAAGGCTGGCTTCGATGGTATCGAGCTCCACGGTGCCCAGTAAGTTTTTCTTCTTCCCTTAACTTTCTTGAACTTTCTAGACAATCACCCTTCCGCGACACCCCCCCTTATAGCACGGCAAATGAAACTGACCACGACGGATCATACAGCGGCTACCTGCTCGCCCAGTTCCTCTCCCAGACGACCAACAAGCGCACAGACAAGTACGGCGGCTCGCTGCAGAACCGGGCGCGCATCATCTTTGAGATCTCGGACGCCATCCGCAAGCGGGTGCCCGACAAGTCGTTCAGCGTGTCCATCAAGCTCAACAGCGTCGAGTTCCAGGACGGCGGCATCACGCCCGACGAGTGCAAGGACCTGTGCGTGGACCTCGAGAAGCACGGCTTCGACTTTGTCGAGCTGTCCGGCGGCACGTACCAGTCGCTCGGCTTCAAGCACGCGCGCGAGTCGACCAAGAAGCGCGAGGCCTTCTTCATCGAGTTCGCCGAGAGCATCCGGCCCAACCTGCACAAGACAAAAGTCTACGTCACGGGCGGCCTGCGCAGCACCGGCGCCATGGTCGAGGCGCTCCAGTCGGTCGACGGCGTCGGCATGGCCAGGCCCGTCACCCACGAGTTCGACCTCGGCAGGAAGATCCTCGAGGACAAGGTCCCCGGGGCCATCGAGACGCTGCTCGACGAGTCCGACTTTGGCATCACCAACGTCGCCGCCGGCACGCAGATGCGCCTCGTGGGGCGCGGAAAGGAGCCCCTCGACCTCAGCCGTGAGGACCACCTTGGGGTCTTCAAGCAATCCATGGGAAAATGGGGCAAGGGCATGCAAGACAATGCCGACAACTCAAAGTATGGCTTTGTCGATGTTGACGGGATCGAGCTTGCGCCTTACGGGACCCCATATGCAGCGGCCGCGTAGGGCTGGGTTTTCTGCAGGTAACCTCTGAATGTGTGAGAGAGAGAGAGAGAGTATTCATCGATGAGGAAGACTTAGCAAGCATAAATTCAATGTCACCTAGCTAGCCAGGAACAAAATACTGGGTCGGTTCATTCCGACTCTTTCACAGACCACTGATGAGGACGACCAATCCTGGGTGCGAGCTCGTGGCGCGGAGGTTCGTGTAATATGGGTGTTTGAGCGATGTGTATTGAAACGCGACCATGGCGAAAACAAATGTCCCAGTGGACCGGCACTTTATTTGACATGATCTGCCTGCTGCGTGTACATGGTCCTATACGTCTTGATCTCAAAGTTGAAGTCCTCCAGCCGAGGGGCGCCGGGGTGGGCCATCAACTTTTCGAAGTTGCCGGCGTAATCGGGTTCCTCCTCGGCGAAGCCGTAAAAGTCGAGAGCGTCCCGGTTGTACAGGCAGCCACCTGCGCTCCACCACTCCATCTCGAGGACATAGCGCTCCCAATGTACTGCGGATGGTATTGTCTTGATGAACGGCACGAACTGCAAAAGAGAAACCCCGCCGGCCAGGACCCCACGAGAGGTCCATGGCGGTGATATATATATATCAGCAAAACGATCCCATCTTTCATGAAATGCCATCAAATCGCGGTCCCAAGTAAGGGATGGGATTTTGCATCGTAGGGCACATGTGCTTACACCTTGTTCGAACTCGACCTTGCTCACTGCTTCTGAGCGGCTGGAGTCGCGAGCGTCGCCCTCAACCAGAGCAAATGCCTTGATCTCATCTATGTTGTCGAAGAGAGAGAGAGAGAGTGTGTGTGTCAGCGGGCTACCACCCCGGTCTTTCGTAGCATCCGCCACAAAAATGTGCCAAGACGGGGAGATCAGGGGGACGCACTGGAAACTCTGCCGCCGGCGTGGCAGTCGGTGATACGCCGGTAAATACGGAAGTCGATCTCTACCACGTCGCTTATCTTCGCACCGTCAGGCAAGGGATACAGTTCGTGGTCCACCGGGTGGTCAGGTCCAATGTTGAGCTTGAACGCCTGCGAGTTGGCGAAGCTGATGTCGGGCATCGCGTAGATGGACACAAATGGGTACGCGCCGTTGTCAAGGTCGGCCGCCGCGCCGCGCAGCATGGACGAGAAGCCTCCCGTGGCCATCAGGCGTGGAATGTGGCATTCCTCGTACCATTTGGAGAGCTGGCGTGCTGACAGAAGGTGAGGTTCGGTGATCTTGGCTGCGATCAGGCAGAGGCCTGGTCCGGACTTGTCTACGGACATATTCAGGGGTATGGTTGATAGGCGCGTGCTGCTGGACAAGCTTCGAGAGTAGGTGATCGTTGGAAGCAGAAATTGGCGTTCTTTGGGCCTGTCGTGTTTGGGTTTACCCAAGAGGCAGCATGCAGCAACTTATCGCGAGTTTAAAGGAGACCCTATCTGTGGTATGGCACTTTTGGCTGAGGAAGATATATAAATTATCTAGGTCCGCATATAACCAACCATGTTATCATCAAGGTTGCGACAAGACGGCAACTGGCAAGCATGAGTACATGCATGAGTGGTTCCCAACGGCTGCCCATGCTTTGATCGGCATGACCTGAGGGCTGGAGCCCGGTATGTCTGCAGAAAATGTGACAGGCCCGGGAGGATTCACATTGACAAGGGTGAAGTTCCCCTGGCACCTGGTGGAGTAATCGGCTGAAGCTGACGGGCAGGCACTTCACATATTCATTGGTGGAAACTCACAAAGTTTGGAGAGAATGTTGGTTATCTTCTGGGAACTCTTCAGCTGGCATGCCACCAAGAACCAATGGTAGAAAGAGCTCCTCTTTCCAGGTTCTTGGGTCGTAATTACTGGGCTGGTGCCCGGGCGTTGGAAACCACTTGGCCTTGCTTGGGAGGTCTGCATGACGACCAGGAGTCACCTGCACCTTGCCTCACGGGCTGAAGCTCGAGCCCGCCTGTGCTACAGTGGTGCGCCGCGCTCCGGCCGAACTCGAAGATTCGGTGGACGTGGTGCGGAGAAGGGGGCTGCCCCTGGGCAGAACGTATCTAGAACCCTTGCGGAAAATTCTATGCCTGATGCGTGTTCCTGCGGTGTGCAAGGGTCGGTTCGCCGACGAGACGCAGGCGAGCCATGACTGTGACAGATGAGTCCGGCAAGCGCATACAACATGCGATGCTCTACACATCTTGCTCGCCATCGGCAGCGACAGTCTTCGACAACACGGCGTTGGCAACTGCCGGTCCAGTCGTGATGACCAAGAACCCTATCGAAACGTCAATGGCATGACACACATGCCGTGAGTCGCTGGTGGTCGTCCGTAATAGTGGCGGTGAACATTGTCAAATGTGACCGTAACAATCACGGTGGGCAGCCCGGAGCAACGGCCAGTAGGGGTTATTATTGCTCCTCTGCCGTGCTCGACCGGGCCAGTGGCTGCTCAAGAACAGGCTCGTTGGGGATACGTTCCTACTGTAAAGAAGTTTCGTTTTCCTTGCTTCCATTTTTCTTGCCGACGGAAACGCCCTGCTTCCAGGAAGGTGACGCATAACTTTCCGTCGGCAAGGGCCAATTGTTTCCTGAGAAGGTTGGTCCTGCAAAGGCGGGCACAGACCACGCGCGGTGGAGCTGACGCGCTTTTAGCCCAACCTTGGAAAGCGTGCCGGCCGCGTCCCTGCTGCGGACCTTATCACCGATAGGCTCGCTGGCCAGCCACACCACAAGCGCAACATCATCTTTTGGCTGTCCTTTCGCTTTACGCCTCCCAATTGAACCCGCCCCTCCTTTGCGCAACCAGGCACCATGGAGGAGGAACAGTCTGCCGCCATCCATTCGATTGACGAGCCTGGTCTCCGTGCCGAGGGCGACGTGCTGCGTGGCATGCGCCAGGAGGTCGCCAGGCTCCTCCAGCGCAACAGTCCAGGCTTCCCCGGCGCGCAGCCGGTCAGCTTCGCCCGAAAGCACATCGAAGAGCTCCAGCGCGAAGACTACTACCTCTGCGAAAAGTCCGACGGCATCCGCTACCTCCTCTACGCGACAGAGGACCAGGGCAACGAGATCCACTACCTCATCGACCGCAAAAACGACTACTACTTTGTCAACAACGGTAACCTCCACTTCCCCCTGCCCAACAAGGAGCAGGAGTTCCATAGAGACACCATCCTCGACGGCGAGCTCGTGGTCGACACACTGCCCAATGGCAAGACCCAGTTCACCTTCCTCGTCTTTGACTGCCTCGCACTCGACGGCCAGATTCTCATGTCGCGCGACTTGTCTAAACGCCTGGGCTACTTTCGAGAGAACCTCTTCGTGCCATACAAGTCTCTCTTGGCGAAGTACCCGGAAGAACGCCAGTATCAGCCATTCTTTGTCGAGATGAAGGACATGCAGCTACCTTACGGCATCGAGGCCATGTTCAAGGATATGATCCCAAAACTACGGCACGGCAACGACGGGCTCATCTTCACCTGCCTGAAGAGCGAGTACAAGCCAGGCACTGACCCACACATTCTCAAGTGGAAGGATGCGGACGAGAACAGCATCGACTTCAAGTGGCGCCTAAGCTGGGACAAGATCGAGCCAGACGCAATCGATCGCGCCGAGGGCATCACAGAACCATACACAGACTGGGAAGCCATCCCGCACGTCGAGCTCCTGGTGTTCCACGGAGGCCAAGGTGGCTATCAGCCCTTTGCTGAGATGCACCTGGAGGAAAGCGAGTGGGAGACGTTGAAGTCGTTGGGCGACCCTCTGAACGACCGAATTGTAGAGGCATACATGGACGAGCAGAAGCGGTGGCGCTTCTCGCGCTTCCGGGACGATAAGACCGACGCCAATCACATTTCGACCGTTAACAGCGTGATCGACAGTATTCGCGATGGCGTCACAAAGGACGATCTCCTGGCGGCGGCTGCGAGCATCCGGCAACACTGGAAGGCGCGGCATTGATCTCTTGCAAGGAAGGATGGCATCCCGGACCACGGCGTATAAGGAGTTGGGTGTTTAAAAGGGCACACCAGTTTGTTCAGGATACCCACATGGCATGTTTTACAGCATCAAATTATAGCAATGAGGCCGCAAGATGGCCTCTGTGCAGGCTTTAACGTACATGCTATGACCACGCACTCTTGAACAGGGACGCAAGAGACGCCGTATGCTTCCGACTCCTAGGATGACGTCCATTTCCGTCCTCGTACGAAACACCTTCTTTCTTGTTGTTGCTGAGCACTTGTCTTGAAACATCGGGCACGCGGCTAGATCCGACGATAGGCAGCTGGGCGCACGTTGCCAAGACTCGATGTTTTGTGCTACTGCGCGACCTCCCCAAAGGAGCCTCGCCTTGCCGTCCGCACGCGGCAGGGCTCGTGACAGCCCCAGCGAGCGCAATATAGTGCCCGGCAGTTGCCAGCGCTATAGGCCGGGAACCCTGCACGGCTCCTCCAGTAACGTCGGGCTCGGCCCCATCGCTGGTGAAATGGGCTCCATTCCCAGCCTTGGCGCATCATGCCATGGGCAAGTCGGCTGCTGCTGTTGGCGCCGGCAATCGAGTCAGCCAGCAGGCAGTGGCACAGTAATTAATTACAGGGCGTGCCCCAGCCGCGGTGGGCGTTACTTGTTCTGGCAGGTTGCACTGCCGACAACCACCTGCGCCCGCTGCCAAGCCGAAGATCAGGTCTTATCCACCACGACAAGGGCCGACGACTTGCCACAAGGGGCAAGTCGCAGTCCGCCAGCACCCCATGGGAGGCTCGATTGCCAAGCATGTGGGCTAGTCAGCACTACGGACGGCCGTGGGCTTCCATTCTCAGCTGGGACTGGACATGTCTGTGTATCGGGTCCTTGAAGTATATACATACATATGTATATATATATATAAGTAAGTGCTGCTTGGCAAGTCCAGCTCTTCTTTCTGGACCTAACCATCTCCAGGCAGGACTCATACCAAAGGCTACAAACCTCTTCTCACACGCCTTCATCATGGTCCGCTCAAACAGGCTCGTGGCCCTTGGCGCCGCCCTGCTGCACTCGACCTCGCTCTTTGTGGCTGCCGCCGACGAGTTCCGCCTGGTCAAGACCTCTGACGAGGATGCCGGCACGTGGATGACCGAGGAGCAGAAGTGGGACCTCACGGCTCAGGGCATCCGGTTCATCGACATTACCGACACGATTGTAAGTCGAGAGTTGGCCTTCCTTCACCTAGGGCAGCAGAGAGCGCACAGAGTAGTGGCTGACAATGCCTTGCCCAGGAACTCGAGGACGAGTACCTTGCTCGCCTCAACACCTCCCTGGAGACCCGGGAGCTCTCGCGGCGGGCCATCCCGTCGTCCCCCTCCCACCAGTCGGAGGCGGCTCCCTTGGTCGCTGCAGCCACCCAGACCAACATGAAGACATGGGCCAACGCCATGGTCGCCTACCGCAACAGGCACTACAAGGGCAGCTACGCGACGCAGGCCGCCACCTGGATGTTCAACACGGTCAAGTCGGTGGCCTCGGCCAACACGGCCATCACCGTCTCCCAGTTCACCCACAGCAGCTACGACCAGCCCAGTGTCATTGCAAAGATCCCCGGCACTGGCAGCGGCGTCGTCGTCGTGAGCGCCCACTACGACTCGACCGGCGGGTCGACGACCTCCGTCGGGCCCGGAGCCGACGACAATGCGTCCGGGGTCGTCGTGATCCTCGAGGCCCTGCGCGTGCTGGCGGCCGCCAAGTACAAGGGTCCCAACACGCTCGAGTTCCACTTCTACAGCGGCGAGGAGGGCGGCCTGCTGGGCTCCCGCGACGTGATGCAGAGCTACAAGCGCGCCGGCACCGACATCCGCGCCGTCCTTAACCAGGACATGACGGGCTACTCGCCCAACAACGTCATTGCCGTCTACACCGACTACGTCGACGCCACCCTCACCAGCTTCTGCCAGAAGCTCGTCCCCGTCTACACCAGCCTCAAGCTCGTCACCGACCGCTGCGGCTACGGATGCTCTGACCAGTATGTTCTTCTGCTGCTCGCTCTTGATCTAAATCCCCCATGCCTTCCCCTCAAGACGCCCTGGCTTGGCTTTTGGTCTCCGCCGTCGTGCTCTGTCCCGCAGCTCACCCCTATCTCCTCCTCCTTTCCGTCTTCTTGTACACCCACTAACGTCGTTGCGTCACTTCCCAGCGCCTCTGCAAACACCGCCGGCTACCGCGCCGCCTATGTCTGCGAGGACACAATGGCCGACTCGAGCCCCTACATCCACTCGAGCAGGGACACTATTTCGACCCTGTCGTTCCCTCACATGCTCGAGCACGCCAAGGTATATATCTCATCACTATTTTGGCCCACTTTTCTTCTTCTTCTCTACGTCTCCTGGCTCTGCTCGTAAATAGTGTTATAAGCATATGGGCTAACGTAAGCACCGTCTGAAAAAAATAGTATACCATCGGCTTCCTCGTCGAGGGCGCTTACTTCTAGGCTCCTCCCGTCCCGTATCTAAAAGCTGCAAAAAGCTGCCTTTTGCCGCAGTCTTGTCATAAACCCCAGACAAAAAAAATGACAGATATCAAGCCTGGCCGCATCTCGCGTCGCGCTCGAGTGTGTGCTCGAGTGTGTTTGTTGCTTTTTGCCCTCCCTTGGCGGCGCGCAGCAGCAGCACCTCCTCACAAAGGAAGAAGAAACCCCCCGGATCATCTTATTTCTTCAGGAGTGCATATTGTGCCTCGTCGAAGAAGAAAAACGAAAAAAACCGACGCTGAATGTTTCTCCGTGTACATATTTGTCTTATCGAATATACATAGTTATACATAACATTATCTCGAAAAAGGACGACTACCAAAAGAGTTGCGTTGAATCACTGCGTGTGCTTGCCCGGTTTGTTGATGTCACTTGTGAGGTTATGGGCCGACTGGCTCGCCAAACTTCGAGTTTGGGGTCTCCGGGCGAAACCACATGTCCCCCACCATGCCGCTTAGCCGGACACCGAATCTTCTGTATGAGTTGGGAAGATGAACTTGCTCTTGAAATCTCGACATGTCACAACAGGTCAAACCACAACGTGTGGCTTGATCAAAAAGCTAAGAACAATGCTTTATACCATGGATGAATCAACCATGCACACAACTAGTCAGATTGGGTGTGCCACGCCAGAAGCACGGGATTCATTCAGCATTATATCAGGTCAGAAATGCTTTGTATTTTCACACAGCCCAGCTAAAAAGGTTTCAACATTCGTGACATCTCTCTCACACACACACTCTCTCCCCCTATCTCGCCCGCAAACACCAACAATCACTCATCATCCCCTTCCTCATCCTCCTGAGCAGCCGCTCTTCTGCCTCTGGTACTGCGTCCACTGGGCGCCCGAGCTGGCGCCGCCGCGGCTTGTTTCGCCTTGGCGCCCTTGGCCGCTGGTCTGGACGGCAAAGCCTTGGGAGCTGCCGCTGCCGCTGCTCCGGCACGCCCTTTTCGTCCGTTGCTCTTTGCTGGCTCCGGTTCCGGCTCCGGCTCGGGTTCTTCTTCCGCATCTTCAGCGTCCTCCTCCGGCTCGGCCTCTTCTCCCTCATCCTTGTCGTCGGCTGCCTTGTCGTCGCCACCATTCTCCTGGTCTGACTCGTCCTCTTCAGCTTCAGAGCCAGACTCGTCCTCGTCGTCCTCGTCATCGTCGTCCTCGTCATCATCACGCTGCACGACATTGCCATCTTCGTCGTAGTAGTCCCACTTGGCAACTCCCTCCAACATGTCATCGTCATCGGCGTCCGAGTCCCGTTCCATGTAAGAACTGTTTGCATTCCGAGCACGTCCACTGCGGCGCCGGTTCGCATCATCCACCGCAGACGAGCCGGAATCGCGGGTCTTCTTGGAGGACTTGCGGGCCGCTTTGGCCTTTGCGACCTTTTTGGTCTTCGGCGGCCTCGGTTCCCGGCTCTTTGGCGCCGACCTTGCCTTCTTCTGCGCCGGGTGCCCTTCCCGGTGCTCGTCCATACTCTTCCGCTTCTATATGTAGAATATTAGCCGCCCGCTCGCACATTCACAACGACGCGTGCCCAAATTCTTTTGCTGCGTGACTTACCTTTTTCTTGTCAGCGACCCTCAACAGCTCATCCAGCGCATCCTCGGCGTCTTCAGGCAGATAATTCTTCTCGGCAATCTCTTGCGCCTTCTCGTGACTCGGGAGGGCGGTGTAAAGGCCAACTGGCAAGCCGATCCTACCAACGAATGCCTGGAAGCTCCAGCCCTTCCTCTCCTGCCATTTCCGCAACAGCGTGGTGGCCAGGTCGCTGATGACATACAGATTCTCGCTCTTGGACGGATCAATGCCGTCCATGGTCTGCTTGACGCGCTCGGCATATTTGAACACAGTATTAAAGTTGGACTCTGTGACGACGTTCCGGATGTAGAACAAGAGATACTGAGCATGGTCGACAAGCTCCGCCGTCTCAGGGCTGTAGTCTGGATGGTGTGCCAGAAGAGATATGAAACGTCCCATGGACCCTTCCATGACACTTTGTTTGGTTTCGCGGAAGTGGCGGGCACGAGATCGGATCCAGGTCTCGACTTGAGCCTTGAAGTCGGCTTGGGGCTCAAAGGCAGCCAAGAAGATCATCGTGTAGAATCTGGGACGTAACTTGCCCTGTACCAAGTACTTCTGCAGCTTCTCGATGAACAGCCGGCGGACCATGGCGCACGAGTCCTGGACCATGAAGGCCAGACGGTTGAAATCTGCCGGTGTGAACATCTCCTCGAAATGCTTCTGTGTGCACAGCTTGAGTATGGACTGACCAGCCCTCAGCCTGAGACGGGACCTGTGGTGGGCTGGTGACTCGGAAGTCTTGACTAGATTGCCTGACTGCTTTATCAAAGTCTTAAGTAGCTTGAACACGGCCGGTGCTTGCTTCTTGGCTTCGTCCACTTGGTCAATGCCTCGAAGGCGGTTGACCATCAGCTTGAGCGCGGCGCACTTCGCGAGGCATTCTTCGTCGAGGTCCTCCTCGGCTACCCATTCCGGACCATCGGCTTTGCTCTCCGTACGATTCTTCATCAAGATATCTCCCACAGCAATATCGGTAATGCTGTCTCGCGTCTCGGCAGTCGCATCGGGCGCGAGAAGCTCGACCTGGCTGATTGCTACAAGCTTGGTGAGGAAGTTCGGTGAGCCATACTCCAAAGACTTCAGCGCCTTGTTGACCAGATCCGTCGCTGCAGCGGTGCTAGTGTTGTCGTTCTTAGCAGTCAAGACATTCACAGCATACTTGGCCGCTTTCGGCGGTTGGCCGTGAAGACCATAGTTGATGAGTGCTTGCGAGAACTTGCGATCCTTTGGGAGTTCTTGAGGGTATTTCTTCGAGTACGATGAGCATGCCTTGAGCGCCTCGACCATGCTGGCGTCATTGGCCTTGGTGGCTGTTGGCGCGAACTCGATCAGATCCTTGCACAACTGCCCGACATGCGTCTTGAACAGGTCTGGGTTATGCTGCGATATTTCGTTCGTGATCTCCTGAGCCGCAGCTCCCAGTCCATCCTTGTCGCTCTTTGAGCAGTCCATGAACGTGGACAAGTGGCTCTTGTTGAACAGGATATTCGAGGACCGATATAACAGAGGCAAGAGCGTGTCTAGCATGTGTGGGTTCTTCGACCCCTGTGCCCGTTTAATCAATTCCTTGATTGCGCGCTGCATGGTTTTGAAGTCGCTCTCGGCTGACACGGAAAATCTGATGAGTTGGTAGCTGCGGCGATCGTGCCAGTTCGCAAAATGATACAAATCGGCCTCGACCTTGCTGGTGTCAGGCAGGAACTGGCACAGATAGGCGACCGTCTTCCTGAGGTTCGCCTTGGCGATGTCTGCGTTCGAGGCTGGACTCCCTCCATTGTAAGCGTCGCAGCTCTTGACCAGGTTTTCCATGACCTTGGAGAACTGTGGCTGGCGGGCATTGAGTGCGCTGAACGCTCGCTTCGCGCTGACGTCGAGGTGTTTAGCCAGCAGGATCACCCTTTCGGCACGAATCCTGTCTGGATCATAATCGGGATCCGCGGTGGCCTGAGATTGCGCCCCATTGGAACCTTTCGTGGCCTTGGCTTTCGGAGGGGGGAAGGACAGCGGTACAAGGAACTCGAAGATGACTCTCTCCAGGAGGACATTGAGCTCGGGGTCGTTCGCGTAGAAAGTGTTGAAAATTCGAGTTGGGATGCCACTGAGTGCTGACGTAACAGTCTCCTGCCCGGCAGCAAGCTCGCCAGTAGCAGCAGCCCAGAGTTTCGCCAACAGGACCATAGCCTCCACACGGATGGCAGATTTCTTGTCTCTGCAGCGGTCTGCCAGCGTGAACAAGACTGAGCCTTCCTTGTCTACTCCGCCGGACATCGCAAGCTTCGTGACAACATCTCTGAAGCCAAATGCCTCGATGGCTTTGACAGCAGCCAGTCTGACTTTCTCGTCGCTATCAATCAGCTTGTCTCTGAGTCCGCTCACAAAGGCTGATTCGTCTTCACGGCTCAGACCGATGCCTCCAGCTGACGTTGAAACAATATAACCAACACTGGTCGTCCAGGCAGCACGAACGAGTGCAGACTTGTCATTTTTCCTGCTGACAAAGTTGTGGAAGGCTTGGGAGTGCGTTTGGGCGAAAGATAGTGGGGAAATTGGTGTCGTCAGGATGCTTGCTGTCGGATGCTCGGGTGTCTCGTCACTAAGCCGCGGCGGCGGATATGCCGCCGGGTCAAAAGCTGGTGGTGGTGGTGGCCCAGCAGCGCCGATGCCCGATATGATATCGCCAAGTGTTTCGGTGGCAAGCAACCGGAGCTGCACGTTGTCGGTCGCCAGCTCATGATCTACTTGTGGGATGACGTTGACGAGCACCGTAGGAGCCGCACGCCAGAGCTCTCTGAGCAGCTGGTGGGCTTTGCGCAGCTCTCTGAAGTCTGCTTCTGAAGGACCTGTAGGCGCATCCTCGTCGTCTGATTCGCCATCCTTTTGGCCACTGGTGTGAGTCTTGCCCGACACGTCCAAGATCACGTCACTGAAATATTGGCCGACATAGCGGGCCATTTTATCAGGTATTGTGTTGCAGATAGTCTTTGCCATGACGTAGGCACCCGGCTCTTCTTTAGGCAAGAGTGTGGTTTGGTTCTCGTCCGTCTTCTCTCTGTGCCCACCTGGTGGCGCGGCACGAAGGAACTGAGCCATGATGACATCAAGAACATCTGGAGGCAGCGCAGGGCTCTCCTCGATTAATGTCACGAGGATCTCAGTCATATGAAACTCGACATCTTTGGCGATTTGATCACCCGACGCAGACTTGGACGTGCCAGAAACGCCGTCGAAGAAGGCTGTGAACAGGTCCAGCAGCAGCTCTTCTGAGTTGTTGACCTCATTGATGAGGAGGATACTTTTGACCTCGGCAAGCGAGGTAAGGACATATTTGTGCTGTGTATTATAAGCGTTGCTCGAGTCCCACAGGGCTGGCAAGACCGTGTGCACGAAGAGGGTGAATATTTCCTGTGCGCATGGAGGCGCATGTCAGCAACAGCACCATAACCATCCGGGTGTACAACAATGGCTTACCTTGAGTTGCTTGGGCGTGAAGGGCGCCTCTGGAGCGCACAGCTTGAGGATGTCCACCAGACAAGAAGCGACGTAGGCCTTGACACCAGCTTCTTTGTGACCAAGGAGGTTGTTTGAAGCAAGGTCTTTGGCAACGCTGGCTAGTGAGGCTTTGTCGACAGTCTCCTGGTCCATGTCGACAAGTTCCTTGGAGAGCTTGTCGAGACGGCGGAGAAGCTCGCCAGTAGCGATTGGCTTGCCAGCGCGCCACGACAAGGGCTCCTTGAACTGGAGCGAGACCAGCTCCTCGCCCTCCATCTCTTGGTCCTCCTCTTCGGGAGCCTCGTCCCTGCGTCGCCCCATGACTGCGCGGCGTGTTGTCAACTCAGGCCCTGCTATGGGGTCGGTGTAGTGCCGTGGGTCGCAAACGGGTGTCCTTGACGACGGTTGGTAAAGGCGCGGGTTGTGGGAGGTGAAGCGGCACGAGCTCCGGGGGCCAATCGAGCGCGATTGGTATTCTTTTTGGGCAATTCTAGCTGGCGCGCAATGCCTCGACAAGCTCTGGTGCGATCGGGTCGAAAGCTGCCCGGGTGGCGTCGAGCTTCGCTGGGGTCGGCTCGTGCTGGCAGGTGCCACGAGTACGCGCAGTCTCACGGGGTGTTGCTCGAAGTGCGTCGTGTTGCAGGTTGGCAGGCGGTGCCTAGAGTGTGCAAGCTCGACGCGCTGCGCCAAAGACCCGTGGGGATTGGTGATGGGCTGGGGATGGGTGTAGTGTCGGAGGGCGGGCAGGCATTCGAGTTGCGGTCGCAGTCCTAGGGTAGTGTGCTGCTTCGCAGTATTGGCAGTGGTGGGCTGCGACTTGCGCTGGCGGTGCTGGTGCTACTGGGTGCGACGCGCCAATGGGACACCCCTGTCCTGCCCCTGCAATTCATCATAAGCTCGCCATCGCAAGCACTCGACGCGCAGCCCACGCGCCGGGGAGAGGCACGGCGCCCTTGGGTACTTTGATCGTGGTGTGGGTTGCGTGCCCAACGAGGTACCGCCTCGTCCAGGTGCTGGGCATGGACGCGTCGAGCGGGTCCTCCGTCCATCAAGCAAGTCGAGCTCCACACGGAGCACCCGCACCGGCCGACGACTTACACGGATCGGCTCCAGCCGGATGTCTAAACCACCACTCATCGGGCACACCTTGTCGAGTCACCCTCGGACTTGATTGATCTGCTTCATGCTGGGCGGTGCGGAACGATGGCAATTTTTGGGGTTTCTGCTCTCTCCAGTACAGGCCTTGGACCTGTTCTTGCCCGGGTAGCTGTCAACCAAGAGTGGGGCGACCACGAACGCATGAGGGAGCTTGTCTTGAACCCGATAAATGAAGGTGTAGATGACGGTGTAGATGCGAGGGCAGTGTGCTGGCGTTCTGGTCACCTTGTCTAGTGGCCCGAGTTAGCCATGCCTCACAGAGACGTCCACCAGCATGTCAATGACAGGAACCATGGGCAAAGTTCACAATCAGCTCAGCATATTGTCAGAGACTTTTCACAAACAGGATCGACTCCTGCTAGTAATGATGCCTCGCATGCGTACGCCTGTAGTAACAGTGAAGCTATGAGACCTCCTGCTCCAACGAGCAGCGCAGCTCCTGACCCGACATGTTCTCAAATTCAGTTGCACATTCCATGGATCACTGCTCCTTGGTTGAGGCCACCCGCATGATCTGTAATCATAGAGTCGTGGAGCCCGGAGGCGAGGCACACATGGCGTAACAAAGCTCCGGGGCGAATGCCTGTGAGGATAATAACCACAGCAACGGCTGCGCAGGTTGAAATCCTTGCCACGACGGCTGCCCTCTTCTTCTTTATCCTCTGGTCTCACTTCTTTTCCCTCTTTCTTACTTCCTGCTCCTCACCGTGTTCTCGTCAGCCGAACTCACGAACCCACGCCAGGCACTTTGAACTTACCCTGTCGTGGTCGTCACGCGTTGTGAAAGTAACCTTGTAAGTCAATCAATGCAACGAGTTGCAAGATATCGGCCAGCAACGTTGCCGAAAACACAGTCGGCACGGTCACACCCTGACTTGAGTCACAAGAGTACCTACGCGAGTGACCACGGACTGACGGTAACCGCGGCACTCAGGACAACTCTCAACCTCGCTGCCAGTAACCCACGTATGTATCAGCCGTTTCTTGACGGTGTTTTGTGGCAGAGATGAGCATTCCAAACACACACTGACCACCATACAGACCCAACAACACTCCGCCACGATGTTGCCAATGGCTACGGAAAAGAGAGATCCGTTGGGCGACGTGCGCGCCATTGTCGAAGCCGCTGCTGGTAAGTCTGCCTTGTACAGGAGCGAAAGAGGTCCTGGACGAGCTCAACTGACCATCAATCTCCAGCACGGCGCTCTCGTGCTCGCCGTTTCGGCATGCTCGGCCTTGGTATCGCTTTGACCATGACCTTGTTCTTGGCCGCCAGCTTGAGTGAGTTACAAATTGAATTTAGAGACAAGCAGACTCTGCGTGTGTGCCTTTCCAGCAACTACTAACTGTGCCCAGGCCAGTTGTCTTTCGACAAGTTGGTCTCCAGCGTCTGTATGTCTGGCAATCACCAGCCCAATCTCGACGTTACCGGAACGATGGGCGGTCTGGGCAGGCGTCAAGTCTACGAGGTCACCGACATCCAAGCGGCTGTGCTGCAGCCTACTGCAACCGGCCTTGCTCTTGGGAACATGACCAATGGTGCGATTGAGACCTCGACGGCTTGGGCTGTTGTTACTGTCACCCATACCCCTGGCAACCTCAACATGACGGCGCTCAGTACCACCAAGTCTGTTCTCAGCAACACGACGATCACGGAAGACGCAGACACTACTATCATTGTCACCGCCACCGTGTTCCCCGAGCAGCCCACTGAGCCTGCCTCCTCATCTGTCTCTGCCACCCACACAGATGCGGATGTTACTGTCATTGTCACGGCTACTGTATTCCCCGAAGCTTCCTCAAGCACTGTCCAAGCATCGACATCGTCCAGTGATGCCGGTGCGGATGTCACAGTGACCGTCACAGCGACTGTCATGCCGGAGCCTCCAGCAGGAACCACGTCTCTTGCACAATCCAGCACCACGACGTTCTTGCCATCGTCTCCTTGTTCTGATGAGATGGCGACTACAAGCAGCGCATCAGTACTCACTTCCCATGCTCCCACGAGCAAGCTTACATGGAGCCTGAGCTTGAGCGACTGGACAAACACCACTGTGTGCCATGGTCCCGCCTCGTCCATGCTGAACGCCGTGTCTAATCCCGCGACCTCCACTCCCGGAAGCAGCACTGTTCTTCTCAGCTTTGTATCCAGGTAAGCAGTACCTTGAGAATCATGGCGACTGATTGCTGACATTGTTGGCTCAGTGTTGATCCAATCACGGCCAGTTCTCCCAAGAGCGAGTCGCCAGACAACTTGACGGTCACGGTCACCCAGCGCCCGGCTACCAGCGCCACACATGTCACAGTCACCACCACAGGCTCCCCTCTGAGCCCCGGATCTTCTTCTGCTTCCATAAAGCCAAGCTCTCTGCCTGCGTCTGTGGCTTCGACATTCGAGACACTTGCACACACAACCATCAGCACGACTGATCACCTCACCAGCACCGTCGCCACTATCACCCGTACCGCAACCGAGACAGATACCCTTCTTCCCGGTCATGCCACTTCTGCGGACGCCTTCAGCGCAGTCACTGTGCCCACCGATGGCCCTGAGCAGTGCGCCACCGCCGGGGTCTTCACAGAAACCACAGTCGTGACCTCGACTGTCATTTTTGTGACTGGTCCGACCGCCATTCCGACTGCGACTGTCACCGTCACCGCGTTCCCCGGTATCTCATCTGTCCTGACCCGGCCTACCACAGACTGCACCGACACCGGGCTCGTCACCGTCACTGTTACTGCTGGAACCGTCTCCTCAGCATACTTCGCCTCTTCCGCCGACGCTATCCAGACGACAGCCAGCACCGACGGCATCGCAGTGTCGCAGCCAGCTCCTTCCCCCAACAGCAGCAGCAGCAGCACTACACCCGACTCTGGATTCTCCACCGGCCTCTGGACACCTCTGCTGCCCTCAGTCTTGACCAGCACCATCCTGACCACTCCAGTCCCGCTCACACCCACGAGTCTTCCCACCTCGATGTCCAGCAGCAGCAGCAGCAACATCAGCAGCAACACGACCGTATCCATCCCCCTGGTCCCACTACTACCACCCACGACGACGACGACCGGCATAGTCGTCATCAGCGACGCCGGCGCGAGCAGCACCAAGAACCTGCCCCGCGTCACGACGTACTGGGGCGGCAGCAACGGCATCGGCAGCGCGACCTGCGTCGTGATGCTCGTCGCCACGGTCAATCTCTGGTTGTTGTAGAGTTGTGGCTTTCCGAAAATGACGGCCAAATCTTGGGCCCCCCCTTTCGTCCACCTTTTTGTTTCACCCACACATGATGGGGGTGGAGCAGTAATCGTGTAATTATCATTCCACGCATTTATCAGGGACCGCTTCAGGTATATGCAAAAAGTGGATAGTGCTACATGGCTTTTGAGGGGAGGCATCTGCAGCAAGTACGTCGTGTGCGCGCGCATGCCGGGTCTCACGTACGTTGGGCTCCGATTTGGTTTTAACTTGTCGTAGTCTTTTGAGAAAGTCGACAGGATATCTCGTCAAGCCTTGTGATGCTTGCCTTCGGCAGGTTTCTTGTACACTATGTAGTTCTTCGATAATCGGCGAAATAAGAATAAACTTCTTGCCACCACGTCTTGCGGCCCCTTTGATACAATCGGGTCGGGCGGTCCATATCCTCGCCAACAGCAGAGATGGTATCATGTCTCGTGGTTCTTGAAAACTAGTACGAATGGGCAGTATTTAAAAGACATGCAACTCCTATTCCCATTCTCCATGAGACTTTCAAGGTTGTTCATACAAAGGCGAGATTTACCACTCGCTAACCGTTTGGCGTAGGAAGAAATGCATGCTAATGTTCTTTTCTCTGTCTCTAAACTCCTTGATACACAAAAAACTATATGCAAATCCCATGTCAACGACTTGCTACGCCAATGAATGATCTGTCTCTATAGACACCGTCTTCTTCGATTACTGCAGCATTGCGTCTAGGCTCTCGCCCAGAGCGCCCTCGATCCCCACAATCCAGCGGTGCGTCTCGCGCTCGACATCCTCGTCGTCGTCCTCCTGCAATTCGCTGATGTACGGCAGCATCTCAGGCAACATCGACAGCCACTCCTCGCCGAGCCGGTTAGTAATCTCTTGCTCGCACTTGACGGCGGCGAGGCGCACAGCTGTTTGCTCGGAGCGTAGGTGCTTGAGCAGGGCGCCGTTGAGCTCCTTCTGGTGATCCTGCGAGTCCGCGGCGTTGGCGAGCTCGACAATGGCGGGGACCAGATCCAGCGTCAGATCGGTCGTGCCTGCGTGAGCAAACTGCGCGGTGAGCACTGGCGCCACAGCGTTGAAGTGAGTTGGTGCTTGCCAGAAGTCATCCTGGTCGTGCTCGAAGCAACTCGCGAGCGTCTGAAGCACCTTCTTCCACAGCTCGCGATCCTCGGCCTTCTTCACATTGGCGGTGTTAAGGATGTTGACCGCCGCATCCACCACATAGGTGCCATAGCTGGTAACGATGGACTTGAGGTTGTCGAAGAAGTGATGCAAGAAGCCGAAAACGCTGAGCAGGCGCAATTGCCTGCCCACAGCGTTCTTCTTGGGCAGCGAAGTCGTGGCCCAGTCCATCAGCTGGGTGAAAATCGGGCGAAAAGCTGCGTCGTTCAGCTTGTAAATCATCTTGAGGGAGACTTCATTGACGATGGCCTCGATACGCGCCACATTCTTCATTCCACTGTCGCCCTTCTCATACTCGATGCGCCGCAAATCGAGAGCATCCATGATGATAGAAAGCAGCAGAGACGCGTTTTTCTCAATGGAGCCCTTCGTGTTCTTGTCGATCGCGAGACCCAAGATCTCCAAATACTCGCGTACGGCCTGTACACAACCATCAGTAAGAGGATTAATGACACAAGGACCAAGGTTAGAGTGGCACTTACAAGGAAGCCAGAATCAGTGGCAGTAGTCCAAGTCTGGCCCAAGGCGGTAAAGAGGGTTTTGGCCTCGAGCTGTTTCGCCAGAAAGTGGAGGCACTGTTGGCGAGCATTGTTGGCCTCAGAGCCGAGATTAGCGTTGGCAGAAGCACTGGCAACAGTGAAAAGCTGCTTCAAGTAGGAGCCTGAGAGCATGTACGGCAAGTATTGTCCAAGTGCCGTCATGAAAGCAAAGCCCGCATTGTGGAGCTCTGGCCGTGGATCTTCAGCCTGCACGCTCTGCTGCATGTAGGCAAGTGCCTTCGGAATGGCGGACGGCAGCACAGGAACGATACCGTCCTTCAGGACATCGACGAGCGAAGCAAGGCAGAGGAGGGCCATGACGCGCAGATTCTCGTCGTCTTGGCCAAGGCACTTGTCACTGGCGATCGTGTTCGCTGCGCCAGTGACAGCTTCTGGATCTTTCTTGCCATACTTCTCGGCAATCTTGTCGACACAGCCCACAGCAATGTGCTTGAAAGCGACATCGTCTGACGTTCTGATGATCGCTGTGAGTTGCGGGAGGAACGCTAGCAGAGCCGCTCTCGAGCTGGCATCAGACTGATTCTCCTTGTCGATGCGTGTCTCAACAGCGCGTAACACCTTGCGGCGAAGAGCGGCGTCGGGACGATCAAGCAGGGTCTCTACAGCCTTGATGAACTCGCCGATGGCTAGCAGATTCAGAAGCTTCGACAGTCCTTCGCTGCATTGGTTGTAAAGGGCCTTGTTTTTCCTTAAGGAATTTGCGAGGCCAAGCAGATCCTCCAATAGAGTGGAGTAGAGCTCGCGAACCTTGGAAGCCTCCATGTCATCCCGACCCGCCAACTTGCTGATCTGCGAGATGAGTTTCCTGCTCGAAAGCAGCTGCGGAAGCAAGCTGAGTTCGCATGTTGCAATCTTCTGGGTGTCTCGCTCAGACTCTTCGTTGGTACCCAGGAGGACAGATGACAGCGCAGGCTTAGGCTGGAATACGTCACGAATGAGGTCCAGAAGTTTGATCAGCGACTGCAGTTGGGTTTCGACAGAGAAACTGTTGAACACCTCTGTGCTGAATGTCAAAACCTGATCTGTTGCACCGTACTTATCAGCCAGCATGGCAAGGAGAGCGAAGAGAAACTCCTCTGGACCTAGTGTCTCCACCAGCGAGACAAAGAGGCCGAGACGACGGTGTGAAGGTATATGCTCATAAGCCGTGACAAAGCTGAGGAGTAGCTCCGACGTCGCCGCAACAGGATTGCGCTTGCCCTTGCGAAGGGACTGAATGAGGGGCGGGACCACCTCCTTGACAGTTTGGTTGATAACATGTGCGGAGTAGTCGTCGTTCTGACGGAGGACCGAGCTGCCCATGAAGGTGAAGATTGGCATCACACTATGAAGAACCAAGTCTGGAGCCACCTTAGCGAGACTGGCAATCAGAAGCAGTGCGGAGCTCTGAACAGCTGGACTGGAGGACTTCTGAATGCAGTTGACCAGCAGATCGCCGTGCCCACCGGATCCATCAATTTTGAGGCTAGGGCTTTCCTTGTACGCAGGCACTATAGCAAGAAGACTACGCAGGACAAGGTTCTGAAGGTACCCAAGCTCGGATCCAACAATAACCCTATAGTGCTGCAACTCCGACAGGGCATTGAAGAGTGGGTTGAGAAGCTGCGGGTGTTTTTCAGGCTCAGAACCTTCCACAAGTTGAAGAACAAATGTGACGTGCTTTAGGGTTGCAGTGATCTCTGGCGTGGTTTGTGTTCCGATTCCACGATGGGCTTCGGACGAGGAGGTCCTCCGGCGCTTGCCAGGCGGTGGCTCGGTCACCATCTTCGCCGCAGGCTGGAGACTTTCGAGGAAGAAGAGCAGAATATCTGTCGTAAGCTCCACGTTCCTCAATAGGTTGGCGGCTTCAGTGGCAACCAGCGGTCGCTCCTCGGCCCACCCCTTGTTGGCCAAATTGAGCATCTGCTGAGCAACCATGTACCGGGGCTCGGACTTCATGGATTCCCAGAGCTTTTCTAGGCGCTGGAACATGACTCGCATCAGATGCTCTCTTTTCTCCATGCCAGCACTTTGTACGGCGCCGAGAAGATATTCCAAGCCCAGCTTGTCATTTGGAAGAATGACATCCACGAACGCAATGTCCACAGTCCTCTCGTCCACCTTCTGTTCGACACAAATCTGTGTAGCCGTAGTTTCTGAAACCGATGACCACCATTTCAAAAGCGGCAGGAGAAGCTGGGTCCGCGTGGTACCAGACACACTCTTGACTTGGTTGAGGGGTGCCAGAAGGCGGAGCTTGACAGCCATAAGCGGACTGTGGACTGCGTGGCTGGAAAGAAACTGCAGAATGGAAAGCCGAGTGGCATGTGAGACGTGGGCCTTTTTGTCCGCGTCCCCGTTGTCTACAGATTGACGAGAGCCGCTGCTAAGAACAGATTGAATCACTGCAGTGATTTGCTCGGCATTGAGAACGCACTCCTCAAGCGTGGGCAGCAAGATAATCTGTAAAAGCTTCCGGGCCGTGTCGACTTCCATCCAGTCAAGCGAGTCCTTGGTCCCATAAAGCTGCTCGCGACCCCAAGTCTTGGCCTTCTTGTCCGTGCCAGCGAAGATGGTCTCGAGAACAATCACCAGCTCGGCAGCGGCACGGCGTACCTTCTTGGACGGGTCGTTGAGCGCTGAAATGCAGTGCGGAATGACGGCCTGGAAATCCACACTCTGACAGTCGCTCTCCTTGAGGCGGGCCTTGACAAGATCCAAGGCACCAACTCTGGCAAGCGTCGGATAAGGCCCAGACCAAATCCTCATGAAAAAAGTGAGATAGAAGCTATCTTCGACGGCCTGGTTTCTCTTGAGCGCACCCAACTGGACGAAAATTGGGCTGGAGCCCTCTTGCGACAAAGAAGATAGGTAGACGGAGCACAGATCGAGGAAGACGTCTGAAGGTGATGGTTTCAGGCAAGACCCTCCTGTGTTCGAGAGAGTACCAACCCGCTCGATGGCGGATGAGAAATCCTCGCTCGTCTCTGGGGCGTCCGTACCCATATCCATCGTCTCGTTGTCGTTCTTGGCAGCCAGGATCGCCCTGGGACGAATTTGAGTGTCGAGTCTCATCTCCAACGCATCGATGTCGACATCCGTGTCGGCAATCACCTTTGAGAACAAGCCCTGGTCAAGATCGACCTGCGACAGGCGAACAATTGTGGTTGCAAGCGCTTTCCTCAATTCACCCCCCTCATCCACCCTGTCGTCTACCCTGTGCGCAGCGAGAAGCAACGACTTAAAGGCTACGACAGCCTGTTGTTCATGTAGGATATGTTTCGTCAGGAGAGACTCGATGATGGGAAGTCCTCTGAAGTCGCCCTTCTTGGAAAGCCTGTCTATCAGAGCCAGGCTCAAGCCGTTCGATAGCTTGCCAATCTCATGCTCAGTACTGATTTCAGCGAGCAGGTCAGAGAGACCGTGGACCTTCAGAAGAGCTTTTGTGACTCTCCCAGAAAGCTGCTTGGCAGATCGGTACTGGGCGAGGATAGACAAACAGACGAGCCCCGGGCGCAGAGAGTCCGTGCTCCATCCCGATACAAGCTGCTCCATCAAGGCGCTGATTGCAGCGTCCTGCAGGTCGCCCTTGGCCACGAACACCGCAAGGACCATGTAGCATGCAATCTGTAGATCGGGAACCTTGCTCATGACAAGAGCCTCGCTGATAGTAGGACCAAGCTCGTGCAGCAGTGATTGATCGTTGTCCGCCTGGATCGCGCGCCTGCCTGATCGTAGTCTGTCCAGTTTGCCATTAACGGCTTCAACCATAAGACCGCCCCAGAACGAGATGAGAGCGGGATGTTGTTGTTGAGCTCTGCAGGTTTCGATCGTGTACGAGGAGACGGCAGCCAAAAAGTCGGAGTGGTGCACAGCTCTGTGCACGAGAACCGACCTCGGGGTGTCTGTAGAAGACTTCGCGTACGGGGCAAGGAATTTGTAGACTTGCGGAAGGTTTTCTGGCAGAATCGAGAGCAGCGTCTTGAATGCCGGAATAGTGTGGAATGGGAGGAAGGTCGAAATCAGAGTCGAGGTGTTGTACTCGTGTATCCTATAGTGTTGTCGCCGTCAGCCAGCCGAATCGCATGATAGAGGCCACGGAGCTGCAGTGCTCAGGAATACAAACCGGAACCGTCGAACAAGCCACTCGAGAGCCTTGATCGCAGGCATCAGTCGGAGACGTGATCCGACAAGTCGCAGAAACTCGTCTATCCGCTTGTCGAGCACGGCATTCTCGGCCGCCGTCATTTGTGTGCGATCCTCATCTTGGCTCTGGGGGCTGAAGATGGAGTTGCCAAAAGCCACGTAGCGGGGATCGAGCTGGCAAAGCTCGTCGAAGCCTTCGCGGCAGATGGTGAAGAGTGTCTGATAGTTCTGGGCGGCGGCCACTCGAGGTTCGAAAATGAGCGACTTGGAATGTGCGGCCTTCTGCGCCTTGACGTTCAGAGTCGTCTTGGAGGCGGCGGCGATTTGCGCCAGCTGCGCAGACAGAGCCGTCGCCATGTTGTCTGCTGATGGGCGAGAATCACGATTCCATGAGACGAGACAGAGAATTCAGACGCAGAGCACTGCTGAGTGACACGAGTTGTAGTGGTGGCTGGTCTGGAGGCAGCACCGTCGCAAACTGACAGGTCTCTGGGGACTGGTTTTGTTCAGATCAATGCGCCTCCCAAAATTTCGAAGCCGCGAGAGGCGGACGCTCGAAAAAGTTGCGATAAGGCCGCCCGATAAGGCGTGCTTTGGCCCGGGCAGGTCCCCCCACCCGGGCACCCTCTGGGCGCTTTGCACGGGCAAGTCGGCACTAGGGATGCCGAGCAGGACCCCGGGCCTGCCTGCCTGCCTGCCTGCCCGACGGACGGTTCCTGCCGCTAACGATGGGAAGCCGCACCTGGACATCTCCTCCCCCACGGGACTTGAATGCTACAGTGAATCGCCCTCTGGCACTGGGCGGCCATGTAACTGTTGGCTGGGAGCACCGGTCCAGACCACGCGCGAACAGCACGATGGCTTCAGGAAGCACCATTACCCCGACAACTGCCGCCTCCCCTCTTTCTCGATGCCATCCAATTGGCTCAAGCCCGAGAACGCTGCTGACGCCCCACGATGCCCTCAGCGCACGCAGCCTGTGCCGCAGGAGCGCGCGGGGGGTTGGCCGTTGCTACTTGCGTTCTCGTAGTGGACGTGCAATGCAGCATGGGCTCGCGTGTGCCACCGCCGTCGAGTCTGGCCACTCGGGACGTTCCATTCGACGGCCTGCAGTGACCTCGGGAGCTCTGAGGACTTGTCGCTCCGCCAGCCGGGGCTCCAGCAACCTGGCGAGGCCCCCTCATTCCCATTCTAGCGAGCTGCCAGACGAAACCATAATTGGTGGGGTGGCACACTTCTGCCGCCATCGATGGCCGGCCCATTCCAATGTCCACCCTTGCGCTGCTGGGCCGATAGAGCTCGTCCGTCCGTCCTAGGATGCTCCTCTGCTTGACAATCTGCGATTGCTGCCCTGATTGTTGTTTTCTCTCCTCCCTTTCACTACCCTCGAGGCCACCGCTCTCGAGCCCACGTCTGTCTTCGCGCCTTCTTATGCCACGGGCTCGACCGTCTTGAGCATCGGCTGCATTCCTTGTGGCTGTGACTATAGCAAAGGACAGCCGTCTCAAGCGTGGTGATCGACACGTCCTGTGTGCATATCGACTGGTCATTTCGTAGATCATCACATCTCGCAGCCTCCACCACCTTTCTTGTGGGCGACTTGCCAAGCGGCCATGGCTGTAAGCTTGCAATCCTTCCATTTCGGACCCCAGCTTGGGAAGCTACTGATAGAACCCCGCTCCAAATTTCTCAGACATCCTACAATCAAGTCGTTCTTTTTGGAGACTCACTCTTTGAGAAGGCGAGTTTTGTCGAAGATGGCTACTCTCTTCAATCGGCGCTGCAGATGCGTGAGTACCGCAGTTGAGTGCTGATCGCACTGCATGTATGTCTTGAAGCTTCTAGTGGGCTGACAGGTCACAACAGACTGCAACCGACGCCTTGATGTTGTGAACAGAGGCATGTCAGGCTGGAACTCGAGGCATGCGCTGCAATACCTCCCTCAAATATTTCCCGCCCGCTCTGAAACGTCCCCAAGAATAGAGTACTTGGTATGACATCTTGAGTAGTCTCCAGTAGACTCCGTGCCAATACTGATCACCCTCACAGGTTATCCTTCTGGGAGCCAACGATGCAACCAGGCTCGATCACCCATCGAACAGACAGGGAGTCTCTCTGGCAGAGTATGAGTCGAACATCTTGAGCATTGTCAACCACGAACACATTAAAGCCCATAAGGCAAGAATTTTGCTCGTCACTCCTCCCCCACTGGATGAAATCGGCATGGCACTCACGGACTTGGCATTTGGAATGGGGGAGGTCACACGTTACGCCCGCCTCAGCGCCAAGTTCTCCCAGGCAGTTCGGGACATAGCGGCAAAGCTACAGTCAGAGGGTCGCGATGTCCGACTGCTGGATTTGCACGAAGCCATCATGTCAGAAGCTGAGAAGCGTACCCCTAGGGAGCCTGGCACACCACTCCTAGGCTACCCAGGAGGTGTCAGAGGTGCTTTGGAAACGCTACTACCCGATGGGCTTCACATAAACGCCGATGCGTACAAAATCTTGTACAGCCTCATCATGCGTAACATGGACGCCTTTCCACCATACCCGGAGGGGTATGTGCATCCGGACTGGTGGACTCTTGTCTATGGCAAGACGAAAGATCAGTTCATGGAAGAACAACAACGAAACCAATCCTAGAATTACTAGCGGAAGATTCACCATGTAGCTGTGTCCTGATTCACAGGATTCGGCTGGTTCGGCCGAGCCGTTATCAGTCTGCCCAAACGTTGGCTGATACTGGGGAGCAATTCAACCACCAATTGGGCCAAAAGAGTTCGGTGAATGCATGCACGATTTGGGAGGGTTCTTGCTTACACGACTTCCGGCGCCAGCCGGATCAGGCCGATGCACTCCAACTTGTATTTTGTCACTAATGGCTTTTGGTATCCCCGACGCCCGCGCTGCTGAGACACTTCGCAAAACCCGTTCCGCTTGTGTTCTCGTGCAGCTTCTGACATGCATGCATGCTCGGTACTCGCCAATCACACTCCTTGCTAAATCCACGGCTGGGGGCTGGATGAGTGGCGCCAAGCGGGCTGCTGGTGCGTTCTGAGCCAGACATCAGTAGCACACTCGAGGCTGCGGGTGCGGGTTGGAAGTGGGCGTGCTGCAGGGCACAGGCCGCCTCCAATACAGCGGCTCTCTGTCTCACCTAATGGGACCTACCACCACCACCACTACCGTGCACGTCACGACACGTTCATGTCCAGCCTCGCTGGTCCTGCAACGTCCCGCCCCGGACACCCCCAAGTTATCTGCCACCAGACACGCCCTCGAACCTCGATCCGCTCTTGGCTGTCACCTTTTTCACGACTCGCCATCACCACCGAGCGACGATAGACGTCGATTTTACGAACCGTCGCAGACTCCTACCGACTTCACAAGTCACAAGGCGGAGAAGCACAGCAGCTCAGCAATACCACCCTTGCATTGCAGGAGGTGCTTCGGCCCCTTTCAACAGCAACTCCAGAGTCCGAACGAGTACACATGCCACACTGCCCTTGATTCGGCTGCGAAATTCGATCACGAAATAGTCCGAGGTCTTCAGTACACATAGCCTCAGTCAAGTCAACCTTGTCGATATCCTCGAGTTCGTCATAGATAGGCCATCACCGGTTCATCAGCAACCAGCTGAAGTTGACGGATTGGTGGTATCCTGCCCGCAGCTGTTGCATCAGCTTTCTGGGAACACGGACAACGGCGAAACGCCAGATTAGCAATACTAGGCGCCAAACGCACAGCATCCTGCCCACGACACCCGATCTTCACGCCAAGGCATTCTTGCCGACGGAGCGCTTCAAGACTCGTTCCCAACCCCGACCACAGCCAACCAAGCCATATTGAGTAGAACCCGAAGACAATACACGTCCCGGTCCTGGCGTGCGAGGCGGCTTTGGGGCCTATTGCGATGAGGAAGTGGAGGCCACCCTCGCTGTTCGCACGCTAGATCCAGGAGCGGGTTGAGCCAAACCAAGCGCGAGGGCGGTTTGTACCGCATCATTTGCCTGGACTGGAGGTGGCCAATTCAACAGGCAGTCGAGCGTCAGATATTTCCGCTTCCGAGCAGCGTATTAGGGCTCGGCCACCATCGTCACCCTCAGTGTGTCATAAGCCTTCTAGTTCGACAATTTCAGAGTACCTAGCAAGCACCTCACTTCCTCGAGATTGCTGGGATGGATTCGCGCTTTGCCATCACCCGAGACGACCTTTACACTGTCCAGATGGACGTCAAGCAATTGCAGGCAGTACAGATCAGCCATGCTGAAAGGCTAGCACGTCTGGAGAAGCGCCAAGCCGATGAAGCATCAATCAAGTCTGTGTGGAACTCTCCTTTTCCCAGCGCTCTGAGTGGGACTCCACAACATGGTAGGTCGCACACTCTGATTCGATTTCGTGTATGTGTGCGAGGCTGACGTGTCTTTCGATAGGGCCCATAGAGATGCCTCCACCGGATGAGATATTCGATGACTTTGAGGAACAGGGTCAGAGTCTGCTGGGCAGCCTGCACTTGGACACAGAAGACGAGCCGACACGACGTGGGGCTGCGTCCAGAGCCAACAGCGTACGCTTTGATGAAAGTGCCCTGCAGGGGTCAAGCTGGGCACAGAATGGTCGTCAATCTGGCGATTTCGGACCAGTCCGTCCCGGCAGCGGGATGGGAAGCCATGGGATGGAACGCACATTTTCACACAAGTCGGATGGCAGGCACAGCTCTGCTGGACACTCGGTCCACTCGGTACATTCTCATCACTCTGTAGCCTCCGGCCGAGCCAGTAGCTTGGGGCTCGATGCAACATTCACCACGAATGGTCGAGAGGACGAGTCTCCAGTGGGAATGCCAGAACCACCCGCCAGTCTCTTTGTGCTTGGGTCCGTGCCGTCAATCATTCGCTGCTGGCTCACGCCAAATTTTGCGCATGACACGCTGCTACATGCGGTGGTTTGTACAGGGTCACAAAGGTCAACTATCGAATACTCGCTTCTTCGAGACCTCGATCTGGCTGAAGATATCCACCGAGATCTCGACGGTGTCCAGCGCATCCGATTGCCAGTGTACTTGACTGAAGCGACTTCGAATGCACACTCGACATCACGGGGGATGAGCCCTGCACCCCAAATGCCGAGCATCGCTGTCAGTTTCGAGGTTGCTGGCATCGAAATGCCTGACTCTCCCGATGTCAGGAGATCGATCCGAGTATTCGTTGGGAGCGAAGCCCTGAGAGAACACTCGGCCGATATCCTGTTCTCGCGCAACGTCATGACGCTCTACAGCTCAGATCGAGGGAAGCTGACGGTGCCATTCGTGCGCCCTGATGACTACGCATCATTCAAGACCATACGAACTTTGGCGGTCTCGCAAGAGAGGCCCAAGCTGAATGCTACCGCCCGACCATTCGTCTTTTCAGAACCTAAACAAGTGGACGTCACCGACACTACCACCGACGGGGAACAGGAGGATGATTTCGACGTTCGAGATACTCGGCAGCCACTGACGCCACCCGCTGATGGACATATCGCTCAGACGCAGGGCGTGGCCAGCACTATGTTGGAGAATGGGGCTGGAGAGGATAGTGCCGAGCGCAATCACCTTGTTCCTGAACGTGACGTCCAGGAGCGCGAGAAATCCCCAGACGGGTCTTCCGGCGATGGGAGTCGACGTGAAGTTGGATCCGGAGGCATTTGGAGTTCGTGGCGGCAGAGCTCGAACCCTTCAAAGATGACGTCAAAGGACGGAGCTCCACTCAGTGGATATCAGCCCGCTGGTCGAGGACGGAGTATGAAGATATTGAAGCCACTGAAGGCGAGCAATTCGACATCTGCCAGGACCGGGTCATCGTTGGAGGGATCTGCTGCGCCTGCGGCCCCGAGGACTAGTGGAGAGCAAAGTCGAAAGAGCCAAGTCGGCACAGAAGTGGCAGCCGTGAGCAGCAACGGCGGAATCATACGGCCTGAAGCCAAACGAGTGGTTTCGACAGTTGCGTTTGACACCAAGCCCGCAGTATCAGCTCCTGCCTCGACCCGCGAATCTCGAGCATCGTCCGCCGCGGCTCGGACTTCTGCCAACCCAGTTGGTGGTGCATCTGCGTTCTCCTGGATGACTCCTGGCTCAAGCAAGCGACGGACGTCGGCTGCGACGGCAGAGTCGATTGGACGTTGAGTCATTCCTCACGCAGACCGGGCCCTTTCGTAGGTGTAGGCCTAGCATTATAACCAATCCGATATGAAGTCAAATGAAATACTCGTAGTTGTCTGGCCCAATGGAAAGGAGCGGGATGTCCCGATTATATGCGGCCGGCGAACTCCATAGTAGACCTCACTCGCAGGTCGGGCTTGCCCATGAGAGATCACTTTTCCCCATCTGGGCGTCATTGGAGAATTTGGGGTGGGGGGATCTGGCTGGCCATACCATCTCGTGCGCCGCCGACGGAATATTACGCACAGTGAAGCCACAAGGATAGCAAACGCTGTCGCCCACGGGTCCTGGCTCCAAGCATTCCTCTGATGCACCGGTGGCAACCCTTCTTTTATTCTCGGCACTTTCTACTCACTTCTCCGCAAATCGTGGTGGTTGTCAGTAGAGCTGACTTATAGTATGCCATGTTTGGGGACTAGCTGTTGATGACCTTCGGGATCTGCCATGGACCCCCCACGCAGCGATACCCTGTCTGGACGTGACCCTGACTTGTCCATTAGGGTAAGCAGCCACTGTATCTAGTATGCCTTGGGAAGCCGCCTCAAACCGCTCGGGCGGGCTGCTGGCGCATACCTACTGTCTGGGAATCCTGGCACCGGGTACCTCTTGAGCAGCTGCGCAGATCCTTGGCCCGATACCAAGAGCAATGCGGGATAAGGATGACAGCAAGTAGGATAGGTAATAGACTTGGTCGAGGTGGAAACAGCCTAAACACTGTATGCGTGTGGACTGCGCGAGTTGATATTTGAATGGAATGGCACAGCGACTCGGAAGACATGCCGATTGGCCCGCTCGCCACACACTTTCTTCTTAGCTTGTCTGGAGAGATGGATGCTTCCCGTCGTAGCACGTCACTGCACCAAACTAACCACTCACACCCAAAGACTGGTTCCGACTTCTTTCAAAATAGCTTCAAAAGTTTGGCTGTCTCTAATTGAATCCCGGCTGGTGTGGTCAATTGTAATCCTTTTGCCAATCACCAGGACTGCGACTGCGAAACTCGCTCAGCTCCCTCCATTACACCTGGACTGCTGTGGATAACCCCGCGCTCCCAAAAAGAACTTGTCCTTCCGGCATCGGGGAAAAGGCAGATAGGTTTTGTTTGTCCGACAGACCATCACCCTTAGTTGCCGGACCAACCGAAACGCCCGGGCCCAATACTATCTATCGTAAAAGCAAGCCGGAAGAGCTCAGCTAGCCGGACCAAAGATAGCCATGTCCTCTTCCTACTCCTCCTCCTCCTCTGCACCAGCAGCAACAGCGCCAACAACAACACCATTCGAGTCCTTCCCAGCTCCGGCCCACGCAGCCAGCTCGTCATCGCCGTGGCCGTCCTTTGACAAGCACAAGGCAGACTACTCGCTGTACCTGGTCACCGACTCGACGCCCAAGATCCTGCCCGCGGGCAAGTCGCTGTGTGATGTCGTCGAGGCTGCTCTCCGGGGCTCGTCCACGAGCAGTAGTGATGGCCACGAGGCAAGCAGCGGCGGCGGCGGCGGCGGCGGCGTCACGTGCGTCCAGTACCGCGAGAAGCATGCCGACACGGGCGCCATGATCGCCACTGCCCGCGAGCTGCACGCCATCACGAGGAAGTACGGCAGGCCGCTGCTCATCAACGACCGGGTCGACGTCGCGCTCGCGGTGGGGTGCGAGGGTGTGCATATTGGGCAGGATGACATCGGTCAGTGTCCCTTGCGTTTTTTTGGACTTCTTTGGCGCAGTTCCTTGCTATACTCTGTTTGTAGTAGACATTGGTCAACTACTTTGTGGCCTTGTTCATATCATTGCGTGCCTGTATCTTTCGTGGCCGTCCCCTTTTTCTGACGAGACGAAATGTTGGCTAACTATTATTCTGATGTAGATGTACAGACGGCGCGGAAACTCCTCGGTGACGACAAGATCATTGGCGTCACCGTCTCCAATGCCGAGGAGATAGAGGCTGCCTGCCGTGGAGGCGCAGACTATCTCGGCATTGGCACCGTGTTTGCCACTGCTACGTAAGTGTTTATTTTGAAGACAGCTCCTCCCATCTGCCAACTATCACACTTTTTTCTAACCCCGAAAAACACAAAACACAGGAAAGAGAACACAAAGAGCATCATAGGCATAGAGGGCCTGCAGCAGCTTCTGCAGAAGCTAGAGGACCTAAAATCTTCTGTCAAAACAGTCTGCATTGGGGGCCTCAATAAGACCAACATCTCCCGAGTGCTCTGGCAGAGCACCACTCCATCTGGGAGATCTGTAGATGGAGTTGCATTGGTCAGCGCCATCATGGCGGCGCCTGAGCCTGGTGTGGTGGCGGCGCAACTTCTACGCGTGGTCAAAACACCGCCTGCGTTCTCAACGCTGGCTCCTGCGCAAGGCCAGCTCAAAAGGCCGCCGCAGGACCTATTGGAAGTGATCCCAGAAGTCATAACGGCCGTGGATGCAAAGAAGCCACTGAGTCATAACATGACCAACCTTGTTGTGCAGAACATTGCCGCCAATGTCGCTTTGTGCGTCGGAGCCAGCCCAATCATGGCCAACTATGGCGAAGAGGCTCAAGACCTTGCCAAGCTGGGCGGTGCCCTCGTGGTTAACATGGGCACGGTTACTCCCGAGGGCCTCCAAAACTACGAGAAGGCCTTGAAGGCTTATAATGAAGCTAGCGGACCGGTGGTTTTCGACCCTGTGGGGTGAGTCTCTCATAAATTTGCACAAAGCTCGTGCTTGCTAGACGATACTGACGATAGCCTTGACAGAGCTGGAGCCACAGCCGTCCGCCGTAAAGCCACTCGCTTCATTCTGGGAGCTGGCTACATCTCTGTCATCAAAGGCAACCAGTCAGAAGTCCTGTCATGCTTGCCCGGCGGGAGTACGGTTCAACAACGTGGCGTGGACAGCAGCGCAGACACCTCGGACTTAAGCGGGCTGACTGCGTCCATCAAGACCCTAGCCTCGCTTCGACGTAACATCGTTGTCATGACAGGCAAGGTAGACTATGTCACGGCTGGTGAGGCCGTGTACGCCATTGAGAACGGCCACGAGTATCTTGGGATGGTGACTGGCACAGGATGCTGCTTAGGAACCACCATTTCGGCGATGGTCGCTGCTTATCCCAAGGACGGATTGGCAGCCGTCCTGGCAGGACTTGTCATATACAATATCGCCGCGGAAATCGCGGCTGAGCGTGAGGATGTTCGTGGCCCCGGCACATTTGTTCCTGCCTTCCTCGACGAGCTGTGGCAGTTGCGGAGACGGACAGTTCTCGGTGACATTGGCTGGCTGGGCCGAGCTCGGGTCAGCTTGGTGCAGTAGTCAGGCCGACACGAGCCTCGAGGAATTTAGTCCGGGACCAGAGGACTGTGAACAATGCCAACAAAGGGTCATCATCTCAGAACAAAGGACCGGATCCCTGCGTCGATCTCCAGCTGTCTGAGACATGCAGGCTGCAGGGCTTCCCAATCAGGCTTTGAGCGAAGCTTTTTGCTGCAGGCCCGCTGCGCCGGTACACACGCTTTTGGACATGGACAGACACGACAGGTCTAGCTCGCTCAAAGAGATTCCCCGACAGAGAATGTTCACCCGTTATTGTCTTTCCCTTGGGCAATCCCGAGTGAACCCCCTCATCCCTGCCCGGGCGGTCTAAGACATGGCTGAGAACAAGGCCGTCGCTTTGATGAGCTTGTGGTCTGGCAGGCGCGAACTCTGGCGCGTCTCCCGAGGAATAAACATTTGGTGTTTAAGAACAATTGGCATGTCGGCATATGAATGACGTGTAGAAAAAGAATCAAAGGCGGCTGACGCCGGACCAGGCTGGCGGGACATATATGGGCTTGGTGGTATTGCAGGAGGCGTGACGAAGCGAGGGAAGTCGTGTAATGTTGCTTCAGTTTATGTAGGCTGCGTGCCATGAGCATTCAGCAGGCAGGTTTGCCAGGCCACGAAGATGCCAAGTTGCTGGCATTAATTAGAGGACCATTCACGCAAGTTTGATCACACCACGAGGTGGGATCGCTGGGCTATTTCAAGCTGTCGAAGCAAGAGTCGAGACCATGCCCGGGTCGCGCCTGCCGTTTAACGGCACCAGCAAGATGTGGCTGCTCTGCAGTGCCGGGAGCCCCTCCCCCACTGGCGGCGCCATCTGCAAAAAAGCTCGCGCTCTAAGATTGAGAGATTAGCGGCCATATCCGGGGTAGTGCGCCAACTTCTCTGTTCGCAGACCGTCTCGGCCGGCTTGCTTCCCCTAGTGCCCCAGCTCTGCAACATCGCCGCTGTGCTGGCGGAGCAATCTCCCTGTGCAAGACACTCCAAAGACTTGTGAGTGAGCCCCGGGACCTGTAGCGCACTGACTCGGTCGATACATACTTACCTTTCTTCGTCTATCCAAGCAAAACGTCCGCCTTGCGCCAGTCTGCCTTCTCGAAATGTTTAGATGGTCAACGTCCTCGCCAATTCCCTTGAGAGCAGTTACCCTTCCGCACCCAAGTAGCACAGCGCCAGTCCGAAACCGCAGCTTCTGGTGCCACTCGCCCGGGCCTGTCGCTAGCTTGTCCTTGACCACAACCTCGGCATCGCGACGGCACACGCGCTTGCAGTGTCCTTCACCACCAATTACTGCCATTGCAAGCCGGCGGCACGCCTGTCGCCACTTCATATCCTCAATGCCCAAGATGGCTCCCAAGAGACGGCTCGGTGAGGACCTCATGACTGTGCGCGCCACTCGTGGCGCTGTGACCGGCCAAGTTAACTAACGGCTTCGTGCTCAGAACGGCCTGCAATTTTGTACGTGGTCGCTGCGGTGGCTGGCGTGGTGAGCGCTCGCGCAAGAACAGACAGCTGACCTGGCCTGCCCTGCTCGGTAGTGTCTGTGATATACAGGAAAAGTTCAGATCCGCCATCTGGCAGTTTGACAAGATGTGAGTGGCCCGCGTCACACCACTTGGGCTGTGGCCTGCATACGTCAAGCCTGGGTTGCAGCTTCCACCAGAGTGTCACAAAAAGAGGCTGCCTTCTAACACTGGTGTGTACATGAAGCGTCCTGACCACACAAAAGCTGCTGCGCGCGGCTAAGATCCTCAACATCCCCGTCTACGTGACGACACAGAATGGTGCCCGGCTCGGCGCCACTGTCTCGGAGCTTCAGCCTCTTCTCGCTGGTGTAAGCAACGTCGACAAGACGTATTTCAGCATGTGGGTGCCCGAGATCTCACAGCACTTTGACTCGGACAAGCCCAGCGAGGTCGTCATTGTAGGCATCGAGTCGCACGTCTGCGTCACCCAGACGGCGCTCGACCTGCTCGAAGCTGGCCACAAGGTGTACGTCCTGGCCGACGGCGTCAGCAGCTGCAACCAGCAAGAAGTGCCAATTGCTCTTGCCAGGCTGCGCGCCGAGGGTGCCACGGTCACGACGAGCGAGAGCTTCCTGTTTGAGTGCATGGGCGATGCTGGGATCCCAGAGTTTAGAGATATGTCGAAGCTGATCAAGGAGACGAGTGGAGACACCAAGACGGCGCTTGGGGGCACATTGAGCAAGATATAAATACACGTGCACACACGGCACTGTTGGATCCTTCTGTTGCTAGTCGTTGTGGACAGCGAGCGCTGCCATGATCTGTAGTATATACGAGATTGTCACATATAGCGGTCAAGGTTGCAGATGTTTAACATGCCGTTGTGGATTTTGTTATGCAACACTCGGCTGACAGTTCTTGGGTCTGTGAAGATACTCGGCTGACGAATACAATACCCACTCATCATTATACGATGACACAGCGAAAGGGCATTGTTCAGACCCCGAATCTGGCCACTTCTGATCTGTCGAGCCTGGACCAGACCCCGTCGGTCCGACTCGGCATCCGCGTTCTCGGCAGCGCGTTCTTCCATCGTCGGGACGGCGAGCGGGCGAAAAGTCGCGACGTGCATCTCACAGCAGAGAGGAAACCCTACACGGAGGTCTTTGTCGGGCAAGGGCCGACATTTACAGTCACTCTCTCTTATTGCATAGTTCGATGCGTGGTGGGGAACTCGAGAGGTTTCGTGAAACGGATGGTCCGAATGAATCAGCGCTAGCCTGGGATTTCAACTTGAGAGAGCCGACAGACGGGGGGGCATAATGAAGCCGGATAGAAGGACGGATGGGCGGGCCAACGGACACGGTGCACGGATTTTGTCCAAGCCGAGAAGGAGCAGTGGTAGCGTACGTAAGATAGTCTTAGGTTGCACATGCTGAGTATCTGTCAGATCTAATACCTCTGACCCTCCCCCCCCTACTGGGCACAAGTATTTACCGTGAGAAAGCTGTTAGGATATTGACTTTTTGTCAATCCGGGCTCTAATCCCTACGCCTACAGAGGACTAGGAAAAGCAGAGGGGGGAAAAAGGATGAAAAGACAGGCCACGGCGCAACTGGGCTGAGCCGCCATCGGCCGGAACGAACGATATGGCACAACAGCGATGGGCTGATTCCCACGGAGGAACACTTCTTTCCGAACCACGAGAATGAGGCTCTTTGTTCGAAAACGGGGTTTCTTTCCGTTCTTTGGTGTGTATGCATGTGAGCAAGTTGTGTGAGCAAGAAGGCCCACCATTTCTTTTAAAGGTAGGACCAATCACAAGACGCGCAATTTGCAATTCAGGCCCTCTGATGCGGCTGGCTGGTACGTACCCGCTCGCGCGCCCACCAACCCGGCGTCGGGGGCCGGCGGCTTCGGCTCCAAGGATTGATGCAGGTGCGCGAGAAGAGTCCGTCCAGTGTGGGGGGGATCAGGTAGGGGATTACAAAGTCCCATGGTCCAGTCAGCGACTGCAGGTATTCAATGGGTGTCGTCACGTCGCGTACGTGAGACGGACAAGTTTGTGTTTCCAATCAACGGAAGAGGAGGCAATTGACAGCAGGATGCCAATGTCTCTGGGAACTAGAGGTGCAGGCGGGGAGGCAAACACTCTGCACCTGGGGAGAGAGACCAGTGCCGATCCGGAACGGATTTCGGGTTTTGTGCGGATGGATTGTCGCAAAGCTTCCCGGGCCAGGCCAGGCCAGGGTCGCAGCACCACTTCACCCCCGCATGCCTCGGCTTGCCCCTGGAGAAGTAAGGAGTGGGAGGAACACAGCAAGGTTACAAAGGCTGCGTGCGTGCGTGCGTGCGTGCGTGCGTGCGTGCATGCGTGCTTTGCGGTTCACTGTTCTTGGCCTGGGGCTGTGATTATTCTTTTGGAGGTGCGGCGTGCCACCAGAATGAAAACAAGGCGCTGTACAGTAATTAGGGGTACAGAGGGGAGAGTCTGTCATGGACGTCATTTCCCAGGATTGGCATCTCTGGAGATGCAAATCAGTAACTGCCCAGTAGACGCCCAAGCGCAGCAGGCAGTCTGCAGGCCACAAAGGGCCACATGATTAATTATGAGGTGTGGCACATGGCGCCGAAGCGCACGGAAGGCAATTTGCCCGTGGACTGGTGGCCGCTAATAGTTATTAGGTACGCTAGGTATGTCGAGAATTGGAAAACGAAAATGGCGCCCGCCGCCATTGGACGAAGCCTCGATCCCCATTGGACCCCACACGCCTGCATGCACAACTCCCGTGGTTTTTTGCAGCACGCAGCCCCTCGAGCCGGGCCTGACAGGCCGCCCCCGAAAGCGTAATAGTGTCCGCACGCCTCCGTTCCGAGAAACTCTGAAGCCCTCCGCCACGGCCCAGTCATTCCTCGCCGTTCTCTTCCTCCTCTCGATACCTTCCCTCCTCACAACAAAGACAGACAGTCCACAACACAAAATAACGACGCTTGGTGACACAAGACACATCACCCACCAAAGTCACCTCCCGCTGCCATCACCACCCCCTCCCGCAATCGCCATGGACGCCGTCCTCCGCCAGTCCAAGGCCATGTGCCCGTTCCTCAAACAGGCCTCGCCCGCCACTCTCCGCGCCCTCTCGACCTCGACCCGTGCCCCGGCCGCCGCCCAGCTCGAGCAGCAGGCCACCTCGCCCTGCGGCGGCACCTTCTCCCGCCTCCAGCTGCTCGGCCAGCGCTGCCCCGTCATGGGCAAGGCCCTTGCCATCCAGTCCTCCCGCCTCGGTAAGGCTGGCATGGCCGCTTCGGCCACCGTCGCCGGCCTCCGCCACTTCTCGGCCCTCTACAAGAGTGGCAAGGCAGGCATTCACACGAGCCGTGCCCACGAGGCCCGCCCCGTCGAGACGCCCATCTTTGCCCCCCGTGACAGTGGTATGTGGTTCTACGGCTCGAAAGTCTCTTTTTTCTCTCGCGGGAAAAACAACTACATCGATCAGAGGAATTTCCGTGACTGACTCTACTTCGCATCTTATAGCCCAATTCGCGCCCAAGGCTCCTGCCGCGGCCCGCCACGCCGCCTCTCCCGTCCACCAGCAGCCGCACAATGGCAGCAGCTCCGCCAAGTTCGACTACGAGTCCTTCTACCAGGCCGAGCTCGACAAGAAGCACCAGGACAAGTCGTACCGGTACTTCAACAACATCAACCGCCTCGCCAAGGAGTTCCCGCAGGCGCACGGCAGCAGCAAGGAGGAGCGCGTGACGGTGTGGTGCTCCAACGACTACCTGGGCATGGGCCGCAACAAGCAGGTGCTGACGGCGATGCACGAGACGCTCGACGAGTACGGTTCCGGCGCGGGCGGCACGCGCAACATCTCGGGCCACAACAAGCACGCCGTCGAGCTCGAGGCCACCCTGGCCAAGCTCCACGCCAAAGAGGCCGCGCTCGTCTTCAGCTCGTGCTACGTCGCCAACGACGCCACCCTGGCGACCCTTGGCAGCAAGCTGCCGGACTGCGTCATCCTGTCCGACAGCCTGAACCACGCGTCCATGATCCAGGGCATCCGGCACTCGGGCACCAAGAAAATTGTCTTCAAGCACAACGACCTCGCGGACCTCGAGGCCAAGCTCGCGGCCCTGCCGATCCACGTGCCCAAGATCATCGCCTTCGAGTCCGTCTACAGCATGTGCGGCTCGATCGGCCCCATTGCCGAGATCTGCGACCTCGCCGACAAGTACGGCGCCCTCACCTTCCTCGACGAGGTGCACGCGGTGGGCATGTACGGCCCCAAGGGCGCCGGCGTGGCTGAGCACCTCGACTTCGCGGCGCACCAGGCCGGCAAGCCGGCCGGCACCGTCATGGACCGCATCGACATCATCACGGCCACCCTCGGCAAGGCCTACGGCTGCGTGGGCGGCTACATTGCCGGCAGCGCCAAGTTTGTCGACATGATCCGCTCCCTGGCGCCCGGGTTCATCTTCACCACGTCGCTCCCGCCGGCCACCATGGCCGGCGCCCGCGCGGCGATCGAGTACCAGATGTCGTACAACGGCGACCGGCGCCTGCAGCAGCTGCACACGCGCGCGGTCAAGGAGAGCCTCGACGCGCGCGACATCCCCGTGATCCCGAACCCGTCGCACATCATCCCGATCCTCGTCGGCAACGCCGAGCTCGCCAAGCAGGCGTCCGACATGCTCCTCAGCGACTACCAGATCTACGTGCAGAGCATCAACTACCCGACCGTCCCCGTCGGCCAGGAGCGCCTGCGCATCACCCCGACCCCGGGCCACACCAAGCAGTACCGCGACCAGCTCGTCCAGGCCGTCGACGAGATCTGGACCAAGCTCGGCATCAAGCGCACCTCGGACTGGGCCGCTGAGGGCGGCTTCATCGGCGTCGGCCAAGAAAGCGCCGTCCCCGACGAGCCCCTCTGGACCAACGAGCAGCTCGGCATTGACTCGCGCGTCCTCCGCGAGATCAAGGCGGCCAAGCCGGCCAACGGTTTCCTCATGGAGACCCTGCTCGAGCGCGAGGCCGGCGAGGCGAGCGCTGTGAGCGCCTCTGCTTAAAAATGTCAAAACGGTGCTGCACCGTGCCATGCAACGCAATGTTCATGGGACCTCGCGGGCTGCGCATCCCGAGGCAACACTAACTTTGATAAGTTGTTGATGCCTGGGTGGTGTGTGCTGGGAGCGAGGGCCTGGATTGCGAGAGAGAAAAAAAAGGCCAACAGACAGAGAGCAGCTCAACAGACCTTTCGCTAAGCTACGTTCGTTCTGAGCGGGCATCTGCCGTCTTGGCAGCAGCATGAGCACCGGATTGAAACCGTGACACAACGGCAACCACACACAAAGATATACCTCGGGCACATCGAAACTCTTCTGACCCGCTTGGGAGAGATCTTCACCATATTATCTTCGTAGTCCTGCATCTGGTTACCTGAAAAGGGTAATTGTGCAGGTCGGGGCCCAGGAACAACTGAATAGCCCTAGGCGCGGCTTTTTCATTGACCTTGAGCACCAACCAATATAAGAACCTACGAGTCTGACCGTACAACCGGTCATGGGCTCACATTTTTCTGACTGCCCACCTAAACACCGTCCAGTCTTGCTGCGTAATTCTTGCTGAGCGTGCCTAATGCCTTGATATCATGTGAATTTTGACTCGCGTTCATGCTGAATTGTGGATCAGCTGCGTTGCTCAGCCACGGACGTGCCTAGGCAAATAATCATCCATGAGCAGGTGTCGTTCCGTGCTTTGTATGACCTGGTCCTGGCCGCCCATCAAAGGCCAAGTCTTCATTGTCCCGGAATTGCGGCCATGATTCTCAGGTGACGGCGAGAGCAGCAAAGAAACCCTGTCATGACCCCGCGCATGTCGGCATGTGAGCGAGCTTACGGTGAAGCAGCTCAGCCACTGCACGCGTCCATGGCCTTTACCGAAATCGGGGCATAGCAGCAAGAGAAACGTGATAGCAAGGCAACCACGGTGACTGCAAAACGCTGCCGGTTGGCCGGGCTTTGGAAAAGAGAGAGCATCGTACGACGGCCGAGTTGTGAGCAAGGGCGAGAGGCCCCCCCTTGTGGAGATATAGAGGAGTCTGGCGCAGGGGGGCGTGCTCGATACGGCCAGGCAATCCACGATGGTCGTGGGTTGAATCGTGATCGCGATGGTCGCGCGCGCGCTACCTTTCGAGAATATTCTCGGAATATGCCGCAAAGCTGGATGAGCGAGTTAGTAACAAGAAGAAAGGGGTCGAAGAAAACGACTGGGCAGGTTTCTTCTGGTGCGGTGTGCGTGCCTTGATCGCCGGTGACATGGAGAATAAACTTCTTGCCCATGTGGGCTGGGGACCGCGAGTCGCGTCACCTGCGTGGCTCCTGTCAAGGCTGCAGGGCGAACGGGAGTCAGGGACCTGAGGCCAGGAAAAGTCCAAGTCTCGACAATGATCGCCATGCCACCATGCTGGGGATCCTGGCAGGAGGGAGGCGGGCATGCAGGGCATCCTGATCCCGGGCTGCGCCGTCGGCACACCGGCGAGACCGGTACACGCCCATCCAGTGCAGTGTCGGCAATCGGGCAGGTACAGCAGAAGGGCCCGCGACATGTCCGTAGAAGCCGGCCGCGATGGCTGGGCAGTATGTATCAACGGGCGACCAGATGCCGTTGACTCGAGTATACCAAGCCTTGGACCCGGGCAGTAATTAGCACAACGGCCAGGAACTAGTTCCGGGTTGCCACGCGCGCACAGCCAGGCGGCCAGCCTAGCGCTGGCGCCACTCGACTACCGGTAGAAGCCAGCAGGCACCAACCACATCCAAGTTAGCCTGGCCTGGGCCGAAACGTGTTCGTGCTGGGCCCACGAACGGCGTCTGTGCTGCTGCTTTGAGACCACGACCGGCATTCTGGAGAGTAGGTTGGGACGGAGTCGCATGTATGGAGCCCAATGCCCCCAAGGTGGCCGGCTAGGCCTGTGTTGGCTTCGTTAGGCGGTGGGGAGGGTGGTGGAGGCAGGGGGCCTGCAAACGTAGAAGTGACGTAGTGATCGGCCACTGCCGAATGAGGGCTGCTGCACCTTTGCAACACACGCCGGGACGCCCCACCATCGCCAACAGCCAGCACCATGACGGACGGCAGTCCAGGTTGCGCCAGGGTCCCATCCAGTACCAAGAAGGGTGCTGGCCCCCTGGTACAGTAGTGAGTAGGGTTTGGCTCGTTCGCGGCGCCACGAGACGGGATGGCGTAACAGTTGCGTGCAGTCCAAGGGAGCAGAGGACACAAAGGGCACGCCAAGGCCTGGATTGAGACAACACACGACCAAACCTCTGCACAGCCGCTCCTGCCCATCCTCGTGTTCCTGTGCCCGACCCAGACCAGACCAGATCACAAAAGACAGAGACAGACAGACCAACAGAACGACCTCTGGGAGTCTCCGTCTATCCGGCTACATAGACTCAGGCCAAGTCAAGTCCTGGGACGTTGCCCGACTCACGCCGCCCCATCGACAAGCCCTCCAAATCAACCCCAGCCCTTCGTCGGAGACGAGCCCGGCCGGCATCAGTCTCCCCTCTCCACCGGCCAGCAAGGGCTACGGCTCTCTTTCCGTACATAGTGTCCCCATCATCTCCTTAAAAGAAGCCGCTGTCCCCAGCCGTGCCTGCCTGCCTGCCTCTCTGAGCAGTCGACAAGGACCCAATCGAGACATCCCCAGCTTGGCTTCTCCTCCGGTCGACCGCCCACTATGCGACACAACCTGCCGTAGCACAACGCACACTTCCTGGTTTCGCCGCCCAAGCACAATGGCATCCGCGAGCCAACCTCACGTCTCCCCGCAAGCCGGGCTTGCGAGCCCTCCCCAACACTCGGTCTCCGCCTCCCAGCCCTCCATTGCCCGGCCCCGGTCGGAGAAGAGCGACGAGTACTACTTGTTCCCCAAAGCGACCCGAGATGACAGCGACCAGTACTATTCATTCCCTCGCAGCTCATCCATCTCGTCCAACACGTCTATCCCCCCTACGCTGCCTTCGTTGTTAAATGCCACCACCAACACCCCGGCAAAGCCGTCCATGAAGGCTTTGGAGGCTGCTGCTTCCCTCTCGGCCTTGCTCTCGGATCCCCAGCAGCTACACGAGAAATGGGAAGAGCACCACCGGCGGATACTCGAGGCGATCCTCCCGGACAAGGGGTTCGATTCCGTCACTATCCAATTGCCGGCAAGGACACGATCACTCAACACCGCGGCGCCAAACACCCTATCGGCAAGGAGCTCGACAAGGACCTCGGCAAGAAGATTGCCTGTCCCTGCTGCCAACCTCAGCTCAACCCAGTGGTCAACCACGCCTGAAGAGCCCACCACTCCGTTGACAGAAGATGCCCTGGCTGCGCTCAACGGCGCCACGAGCAGCCGAGATAATAATAACACTCATGAGTCGAGGTTAGCAACCAGGCCATCTGGTTGGAGGCAGAAGGAATCCAAGCCCACAGAGGAGCAAGTGGCTCAAGCGGCCGCTACTGTTGCGGCCATTGCTGTCGGTACCGCGTCTGGCACCACGGGGGCCATTGCCTCTGCCGCGGCAGCCGCGGCAGCCTTATGCCAGGAGGAACAGAAGCTGTCCCGTCGAGAAGCAAAGAGCGCCTTCACTTTACTATGCGTGGACGATGACGTAATAAGCTGCAAGGTATGATTATCCATGGGCTCGACACTGTCGACTTGTGCGGCATCCCAGCTAACTATTTCCCTTTGAATCTTTAGATCATGTCCAAGATCTGCGAGAAATGGGGTCAGCCCTATGAGACTGTCACGAGCGGCGAGCGGGCGTTGGAACTTTATAAGCAGGCACCTGAGAAGTACAGATGTATCTTGATGGGTAAGGCTGACACCCAATGCAGCGCCTGAGATGGCCATCGCTGACACGTCATATACAGATATCGTGATGCCTGGACAAGATGGATTTCAAACAACTAAGATGATTCGAGAATTTGAGGAGGCATCCTGGACTAAGGACCCAGCGGAAGGGGGAAATTCGGGTTCCTTTGTCGAGAAGCAAGAAGCCAACAAAGAACTGTCTGCGGACACTCAGCCTAGGCCAATTCGACGAACAGTCATCATTGGTATGGCAATGCGCACCACCCCACCGCCTCCGATGGATGTTATCAAGGAGACCGGTTTCGATCTCGTTGTGGAAAAGCCGCTGCACCTACGACTTCTGAGCGAACTGCTATTCAGTGGACCCGAGACAAACGCAGTGGCAGTGTACGGCGGGGTAGACCCAGAAAGCTTGAGACAGGCGGGCTACCCTCTACGCATGCGACCTCTAGGAGCACCTCGGCGACCACCCTTAGAGAGTGTTTTTGGGTCGTCGTTTGGCTGAACCGTGAACCTTCAGTGGGAGCTGACGGCATACAGCAAGTTGAACAAGAGGGATCTCAGAGAACGAGATTGATACTTGGAACGAGACAACATCGGGAAGGATTTCCGGGCCATGTGATGATTTGGGCGTTTCGTGTACAACTGCACACTATGGCGTTTTTTGCTTGGGTGGGACCGGATATTTTGGGGCATTGCATTAGCGAAAGCATAGGCAGCATCACTACATTATAAATTCATGAATATGCAACACATTGGGCAAGAGGCCGGAGACGTGATTTGTATATGCTCGTGATGAGAACCTCCTAGAGCTTCGACTCGCCGGAGCGAGGGGGTTGCAAGGCGAGCTTGGTGTATGGCAGACCGAGGATGTCAAAGATGGCATGCCACCTAAATGGTTGGCGAAAGCCCTCGTCAGCATTCCTCCTAAAAGGATTGTTTCCGCGTGAACGAAAGACATGACTGGTGGAGAAGAAACAAATAGATGGGTGGTTTTGATGAAAAGAAAACAAGGACAAGCAAAAAAAGAAAGAAAGAAAAGGACTGACCGATCACTACCAAACACAGGCTTGCTCTTGCCGTTTGCTCCGGTGATCCAGAACCAGGGCGCCCCGAAAGCGCCCCGGGCCAGAGCCTCCTCGGTGCGCGCCTTGAGCCGGGCCTTGTACTCGCCGCTCTCTGCGGCCTGGACAATCTGCTCGACCTGCGACGAGGTGAAGAGGTTCTCCTTCTCCTTTTTCTTTGTCGTCGTTGCCGCCTCGTTGCTGATCCCATCTCGTTCCTCCTCCTCCTCCAGCGTGAGCTCCGCCAGCGCGGCCCCGACTTTCTCCGCGGCGGTGAGATCCCGCGCGGCCTGGTCCTTCTCTGGGTCGTCCTGTGCGCCGGGCGTGACGGTCCAGAACTTGGCAAAAAGCCCCAGCATCGCGGCGCGGTACGTCTCCGCGGGGAAGTGCGCGGAAATGTACGTCAGGGCGCGGTTGGCGGACTGGGTCCTGGCCGCGCGGAACAGGTCCCGGGGAGCCTGGACGTGGGCCGGGTCGAGGCCGACGAGCCTCTTGGCGCGGTTCGAGTCGTGGGCTAGGTAGGCTGCTTTTGCGGCGACGGTCCAGGGGGGTTTGTTTCCTGGAGATTTAGGGCGGCGGGGGGAGTTTTAGTACGAGGAGGACGGTGTCAGGTGGAGGGGGATGTGGTACAAGTTCTCTGGAGAGACCAAAAGATAGTTGCTGGGTTTGGGAAGAATTGAGGCTATGGCTCTTCTGTGTGTGAAGAGCACAAGGAGGACAAAGGCCAATGACGATCTGAAGAACTTTGTGCGACATACCTGAGCCGGCGTTGATGGCGCCTAAAAGTACTGGATATATACTGTACCGGGAGCAAGATATGTCAGCGCCGCCTAACAACGCATCATGGCCCCGGAGCGTGTATGAGAAGAGATCCCGCGGTCAGATTTGCTCCTGACACTCCGCGACTGGCTCGCTGGAAGCCTGATGAGCGATTATATTGCAAATCCTCGCCCATGTACTCCTGCTACACGCGCCGAGCAGAACTGGAGAAGGAATTCTGTGGATGGGGGTTTTGGCGAGAACACATACTCGACCTGTACGCCGTGCTGGCTGAGCAGATCGCCCATCTCGACGAGCTGCAGCACGGCAATGTAGCTGAAGAAAGAGGCTGTGAGGCATATATACGTGAGTGACTTTGACACTTCTAGGATGGATTTGGGGTTCAATGAGAGTGGTAGGGCTCCTTTGGGGTCCCGTGTTGATGATGCCCCTGATGAAAGCGGCAATCAACAAGAACAACGCGTGCGCACGTTCGCGCAGGGCGTTCAATCCCTAGAAGTAGCCGAGCAGAAACTTGGAGCATTACGAACCAATGTCGACATAGCACTCGATCCTCCCGCCACTGCCGTTGCCGATGCTGGTGGCAGCATCCGACTTCTCGGCCGTCATTTTTAACGAGAAGAGACCAGAGAATCGCCTTGGACTCTGAAACGACAACCCCGAAGCATGTATGACCGATCTTCTGGCTCCTTGATTTGATCCGTTCCGGACTTGAACAAGTAACTTGATGAACTTGCCTGTGTGGACGACAGGGTCAGCCCTCACACGGTCTCTCGACTTGATACTTCTCCCCGTACGAAAATTGAACTCGCCAATGCGGTTCACCTTGTGTGGACTCACCGTGACACAGCGCTATGTCAGAGATGTTTACTGGCTGTCAAAATGTACAACCTGACCAAGCGCAACGTCTGTCGTGCGCTGTGTGGCGTAGTCGTTCAAGAGCTCCGTTCACGTCACTCTCCAGGCGATCATGTGGATCCTACTATGTAGTCCGCGGGCATCTGGGCAAGGACAAGGGGGAGAGGCGCGCTTGAGCTCGTGCAGGTGAGCCTCGGCTCAAACGAGGTATGGTCCCCACTTTTTCCAATTCCACTGTCCGGATTTCCCACCGTCACCGTGGATCTCGTTTTCATGGGCAGACAGCCGAACTCAAACATTACGGTCGGGGGACTTATAGTTGGAGCTTGATCTGACAGGATGCTGTTTTCGAAAGGAGAGAGAATACGCAGTTCTCGAAAAATTCTGTACGCGCGCAAACCTCTTTAATCAATGCCATTTCTATTCTGACGCTCTGGCAAGGAGCGGACAGGCTTCAGTTATTGGTTTAATATATTTCTGGATGAGCAAGACTATCATTCTTCACCCACGACACAACCATTCAAAGGGCACGAAGAGATGAGGAATAATCTATATTGATGTATACTGGCCAAACCAAAAAGACCTGGCTTTTCGCTTTTGTCGTTCATATATGTCGTGAAGGTCGTACAGCTAATGTGTAAACAGAACTGGTTTCCGTTGTTCGTTCGTTGCGTCGGGTCATTCAAGAGTCGTAATCGGTTCCCTCCTTCTTTCCCGTCCTGCCAATCTTGTCCGCAAAGTTATTACCCCAGTCCACGAGTGAAACTTTCGTCCGTTTTGTCACAGTCCCCACAGCTTTTTCATGGCGTCCCTGTTTCGGGGGGAAATATGCATGCTAACCCGGCCCCGGCGACTTCCACGTGCTCGCCTTGCTCATTGTCTTCTTGCGCATGATGGCCAGGATGTCCGTCTCCATGCTCGTGATGCCGCGCTCGATCTCGTCGTCCTCGTTCTTGTACATCTTCTCCCGGCGATGGTCCAGGAACCACCAGGTGCCCACGATGAACAGCGTCAGCGGGATCGTAATGGCAAAGTAGATCCACACCTCCTTGGACACCTGGGCGCCCTCGCCGGGCGGATCCGAGTCCGATCCCCATTGCGGGCCTGCGCGGACGGGGAAGAAAAGAATTGTCAGTGTTTCTGGACCAGGATGATGTCGTGTCATGGCAAGAGGGCGTGTTTGTCCCCGGAAAAAGGGGGGGAGGGCGACGTGACGCAAAGATGGCATCAAGAAAATCACTTACCGACGTTGAAGTCAAAGAACGTCATGCTCAGCAGAGATGCCACGAAAGTGCCAGGCAGAAACATGGCACCAAGCAGTGACAGCGCCTTCATGGCCGTGCTGTCACGTTTGCTCGCGTGCGCCAGGCGTCGCTGCTGCGCGGCCATCTCCAGGTTGAGCTTGGACTCTCGCTGTGCCATGATGTTGTACAGCTGCAAAATAGGTCAGTACTAGGTAATTCGCGGGACTACCTCGAAAGAATAGATACGAAAAAACGGAATACATACCGCCTGCCGCTGAATGGTCAGCCGCTCCAGAGTGGTGTGGATGTAGTGCTCCATGCTGGTCAGCTTGGCCCGGTAGAAGTCGAGTCGGGACAGCATGTTGTGGTGCAGCGCCATGATGCTCTTTGTCCTCTGCACGCCAGCGACCTTGGCGTCGAACTTGTCCATCGCGGCATTCATGTCCTTGATGATCTCGCGGTACGCCTGCGGGCGCTTCCAGAGGACCTGGGAGTGGCACTCGACGAGGTCCCGGTTAATGACGTCCACGTCGAAGTCGGTGTACACATCGCTGTCGACAACCTCGTCGCGCAGCGTGATGGCGTTCTCGAGCCGGCGCAGCCAGTGCCGGGCCTCGCGCTGACGGATGTCGATCTTGGCCGACAGGTCGTGCGAGATGATGATCATGGGCAGTAGCATTGGATGGCCGACCTCGCCCTGGCAGTTGATCAGGTGCTCGAGCGCGACTACTATGTCGGACGACGGGGTGCCCTTGACGTAACCTGTCGTGATGCCCGTCTTGAACTCGTACGAGAGCATCGACTCCCAGCCTCTTGTCTTGCCCTTTTTGCGGACGTCTGACTTGCGGAAGATGATTTCTGGAAGCTTTTGGTGAGCGAGTCATCACATGACACACAGTAACCCGAACTTTCCGGGGGGCGGAGGGTACTTACGAAGATGTTGATCGTCCTCGTCTTGATCATAAGCGGCCCAGAAGCAGGGGCCGACCAGCGCACTGCCCTCGATGCCTCGTGTTGGGAGGTGCATAGACTTGACCATAGCTTCATACATCTCGGGCTTCAAGCTGATGTGCCTCGGCGCGAAGGTGTTGTCCTGAGTGGCATCCTTCTGAATCCTGCCGTTTTGAACAGCTCGACGTCAGCCATTGGGGAAGTTGAAGACGAAAAGGACGCTAAAAAGGCGATGTCAAGGTCCAACTTACACAAGCCGTAGTCCGCCAACCAGTTCAACGCCAGGCTTGAGCGTTGGTGGTAAGAATGCCCCCTTGGTAAGCAGATGTTAGCTTTTGCGTGCTCGGGTGATTACACGAGAGGGAGATGTACCCTGCGATGGAGAAAGTTCTCAAACTCATCGTCGGTGAGAGGATGCTGCTCGCATTCTATGTTGCCATCCTGCAAGATTCAAGTCAGTCGATGATGATGATGACGATGATGCGATTCGCTGAGCAGGGGAGCCGGCCAATAATACAAGCAGAGTTGAAACAGTCAAGAGGCAATAAACCGGGCCGACAACCAAGGTAAGCTGGCCGTGTGCGAAGTGGCACGAATGACCAATGATTGCTCAAGAGAAGGGGACCGAACGTACCGAATAGACGAATATTTCGAGATAGGAAGTCGTCTCGGGGAGATAGGTGCAGGCCCGCACCTCTGTGCGAAACATGAAGTCGTCCATGATGACCTGGCTGGAGCTGCAGAGAGCCCCGTCCTGCCGTGCCCTGGTGGCTGGTGGTTGTCGCAGATGTTGTGCGAAGGTGACACCACGAGACTCGAGGACCTGGCTTTGGGGTGTGATCGGGAGGAGAGGCGGCGGCTCGAGTCTTGGGTCCCAGAATTAGAGTTATTAAAGTTGACGGGGCTGGGCGAGCGGGCGGGCCTAGACTAATCGCCGCCAAGCAATTCGGCCCCCGGACTGGTGGTGGCTTTTGCGGGAGGACCGCGGCGAAAGAGCAAAAGCTCCAAACAGGGCTGCCACCCAGGGCCTGGTCAGGCCAGTGAGGAAAGGAGGCCTAGAGCAGGCAATCGTCCACTACAGTCCAATAGGCAGGCAGGCAGGCAAGCAAGCAAGTATGCATGCATGCAGGATACGCCACGGCCGTCGACTGGTGGGGGGACAGCTGGTGTGTCTTTGTGGGTGTTCGTTCGCCTCTTGCCTCTTAGCTCCCGCTTCAGAGCTTGGCTTCCGACCAAGAGACTGCGTCGAGCGTGCCAAGCTCAGGGGTTTCAGCCAGACGCCAATGGATGGCCAATGGGCAGTCACAAGAAATATTCGCCGGTGGGTGAAGGAATAGTTGGTAAAGATGCCCGAGGTGACAAGAGCAGCAGAGGCAGGAAAAGGGACTCGAGCAGGTGAGATGAGCAGCACACGGAGCTTATGGCAGCTTGAGCCGACCGGGGTCTGGGCCGGCCCCACTATTACTGTCTTGGCCGGTGGCTGGCTGCGGTGCGACCCAGGGGCTCTTTCAGCACAAGCCGCTCGCTTCAGTCGTCACTCACGTCCGAGCCCTGCCCAGCAGCAACATAGCAACAGATATTGTCTCTGCAATTGTTTCCCAAGGAATGTATACATGCACGTCAACTCCGAATTCCCTCCTTTTGGCACAGCAAACACAAAACAGAAACAAAATTGACCCAGAAGCGCACTCCACCTCGGCAGGAAACGACCTCGGGTTTTGCGTAGCCGCACGTCGGCTTGTCGGCCGTGGTGCCTTCACGTGACCTTTCCCAGGTGAGCACTCTACGTCCAAAGCTGCTCAGAAGTCTGGGAACAGGTGGCCATGGCTATCCAGAACAGTCAGCACCAGTGGCATCACTAGGAGGAAGAAAAAAACGAGGTAGTGGTACTTACTCATCCCTTCCTGTCGCTCCGTACTTCTCAGTCTCCTCGGGATATCGGTCGAATTGACTGGCATCACCAGTACCCGGCTCTACCGGTGGTGAGTATGGCGCATCAATGTCCTTCCGAGATAGCCGCTCCCACGTGACTTCGGCAAACCAGGGGTGGTTCTTGACATCTGCCGGCCCGCCGTACAGATTGCCCAGCCGCTTGGTGAGGTCAGGAGTGATCAATCGCTCCAGCAGGTTCTGCGCATCGGGATTGACATAGGCGGGGTACTTGACCTCGCCACGTAAAATGTTCTCGTATATCTTCATCTGAGATGAGTTGTCCCAGAAGGGCGTGTATCCACACAACATCTCGTAGATCAGAACACCAAGTGACCACCTGCAGAAAATACACAATCAGCTACAATGCTGCATGTGGCGGGGCGAATGTCAACTCACCAGTCAACAGACTTGTTGTAGCCCTTGTTGCTGACCACCTCTGGTGCCAGGTAATCCGGCGTTCCGCAGAGCGTCCAGGTCTTGTCTGGGACCAGCTTGGCAAATCCGAAATCTGTTATCTTCAGGTGTCCATGGCGGTCCAACAGCAAGTTCTCTGGCTTCAGATCGCGGTAGATGATGTTCTTCGCATGGAGATACTCCAAGGCCAGTGTCACCTCTGCGGCGTAGAACTTGGCGACAGGGTTAGGGAAGCGCTGAGTCTAGTGATTAGTGGCTTGTTTAGTCCTAGGCTGGACGGAGGACTCACGCCAGACTTTCTGAGCAGAGAGAAGAGCTCTCCACCTTCAACGAAATCCATGACCATGTACAAGTTCTTCGAGTCCTGGAATGTCCCCCAGAGTGTGATGAGAAATGTGTGCTTGACTTCGCCCAACATACGCCTCTCGTCGTTGGTGTGCTCGACTTGCTTCATCTTGACGATTTTGGCCTTCTTTAGCACCTTGACAGCATAGAACCGCGAGTTGTGCTTCGACTGTACAAGATGAACACGCCCGAAACTACCAGTTCCCAATGTCCGTAACATGTCGAAGTCGCCCAAGGAATATTTACCCTTGGTCACACGGGCTGTCGACTGTTGCATCTGTTGCTGTTGATGTTGCTGCTGTGGCGGTTGTGCCTGCTGAGGTTGCGATTGATGCTGCTGCTGCTGGTGATATTGTTGCGAAACGCCATTGCCTAAGAGGACTGATAAGAACCCCACATCACAGCGTGCTGAAGGGGCGGTCAAACTTACCATCTGGCTGAGAATTGTGGATGAGGTTGTTGATGCTCGGAAGGTTATGCGGACCACCCGTTGTCCCCGGGCTTGGCGTGGGCTGGACACCATAAGGTGGTTGCGCCTGCGGCGCAGGCATCACTTGGGTGTTCATTTGTGATCCTGAGCCAGCCGAGGCTGTCGTGTCCTTGTTGCTAACAACTGACTGTCGCGCCTGCTGCGAGTTTGAACTGGGGTTTCGCTGATCTGCGGGCGTGGACGTGGCCGAGCCGGACTCAAAGGGTCTCGAGGTAGTCGGCGTGACAGGGCTTGTTGGTTGGCTCGAGGAGGGATCGCTTTTGTCCTCCCTCGTCCGTTTCTTCTTGAGGAAGTTCAGGCTCGGCATATGATATAGCGGGTATGGTATTCAAGGCCTAGGCCTGAAGTATAGGTTGGTGAGCGGATTTGGGTGCGCTGAGCCACGGTGCGTGGGAAGCACACGAAAGGACTTGGCGTGCCACAATGCTGGCCCCGAACTGTTTGCTTGGCTGCTCAGTACATGGGAGCCGAGAAGCACGGCAATCGGCTCTGGAAAGGCTTGTCGAGTGAGAAGCTCTCGCAGCGAAAGTTTGCGGGTTAGGTAAGTGTGCTCGCTGACATCCGCTTAAGCTCAATCGGCTTTGGTTGTTCCTGCCACCTCATTAGCAGGTCGCATCGACAACCGCCAATGCGAAGCTAGGAGGTCAACTCTGGGGCTCTGGTCCAGAGCCTGGATGCCATACCACCGAGACAGAGCGCCGGCATCGTATTGGTGGGAGCTGAGCATGGCTGGGTCTTACCGCGTACGAGCTATGAGCCGCAGTGATGATTGTGCTAGCTGCAAGGCGTCAATGGAAGGAGCGCGCGGCCAGATCTATGCCGTGAATTGACGACTCCAAAGGTGCTTGGGCCGACTGAAGCCTGTGTCGTCGTCAATCGCTCAGCGAGTCTGTCGTCGCCCGCGTGCGGTACTGCTGAGGCACAATGGGGGCCCGGAGGAGGATGGCGGGGGGGCGATGGAGCTTCAGTGCACTCTCAATGGGCTGTTCTGGAATCTGGGCAGCTGAGACTGTTGTGGTAGATGGCTCTTTCAAAGGCTTCGAAATGGATGGCGTCAGGTCAGGGCTATCGGATGGATTGAGGGAGGAAGAGGATGTGCGGAAGCGGGGTGACGGGTTAGGAATGGGGATCGGGGGACACGGACGGGAGCCCTGCTCAAGGGAGCTCTTCTCTATCCGGCACTGCTCACGCCACTTGAGCACCGCGCCTGACTCCAGTCGAGCTTGGCTAGATAGGGAGCTACCGCGAGCTGGGGTGAGCGGCGTGGATATAGGGTTTTGAGAGTCGCGGGGCCGCCTGCAAAGTCGGAGTTGCAGCGACGCTGGCTCTTGGGTGGGCAAGATCAATTGAGGGAGGGTCGCGTGTCCCGGGCTGTAGTCATGGCTGGCAAGGATCACAACCATTCACTCATGATCGCTGTTGGTCTGGTCTGCCTGCGAGACATGCACGGGACAGCTGGATCGAGGGGTGGGGTCGTTGACGAGTTGCCAGATCGCCAAGAGGTTTTTACGCCTCGCTCGCACAGGCGGCGGAGCCAATTGGCGCTCATAAGCAATTGATTCTTTTCTCTCGTTGAGACCATCTGAGATTTGGCGGTGGCGCACTGACTCCGCAAAGACTCCCCCAATGCCTCCGTCCTGTTGTTCTTCAATACCATCTCACGCGTTCGTGATGTTGTCCGACCACCGATGATTGCATCAAGTGCTCAAGTGCTTTGGAGCTGAGATCCGCTAGGCGGGGTAGGTTCTCCGCTCCGCTCAAGGCAGAGCTGCTACCTAGCTCATAGCTCAAACGTCATCTGCATCTAAGATTACTATGGGCACTTTTGGTTGGTCCGTGAGGTGCACCTGGTCCACGGCTGGATGAAGTACCAACACCAGACCTCCGTATGGCAACTTACTCGTCCGTAAGTTATGGCCTGGCAGCGATAAGCGATTGCTTGCTGCCGCGGGTCTTGCTGAGTGGGTTTGTACCTACCCTTCCAGCCGACCATCGCTCGAGTCAGAGTACTCACGGCTCAAATAGTTTCGGCGAAAGCAATTCGAACAGTGTTTGAAAATGCTCAGGTCGTTCTCGTGGCTTCGACCGCCGTGGAAGCCTGCCCCACAGAATTGAGTGCAGCACGTTACGAGGGTGCCCACGAAACACTGCTTCGTGCAGAGCACGATGCAGAAGTCAGCATGAGGAAGGGCCAAAATTTGCCATGAATGCTATCTGTACAGCAATGCTCCACATGCGCCGTCGAAGTGTTCGTTACTGAAAAGGAAACGTGTGAAAGCGTAATCCAGAGACTCATACCGCCAGGTCCCCAGATCCATATCCATCTGACATATGTGTATATACATTCTTCCTGTCTGAACATTCTGTTTTCGGTGCAACCCACACAAGGGCTACCCATATTTGTGGCCAAGCATCTAGAACCGGTGAGTCCGTCTCTTGCTCGACCGATAGGCAGTCCAACCAGCATATCCACCACCAGCGACGAGAATGACAAGGATGATCTTGAAGAAGAACCCAAGCCAGCTACCACCGCTGGCGGGCTTATTGTTGTAGGGCTTCTTGCTGTTTGGTGTGTTGGCGTTCGGGCGGTTATTGCCGCCAGAGACATACATGTTCTTGGCGTCGATGGCAATGATGTCGTGGTTGTCGCTCAGCTCGCCAGTCTCGGCACTGAAACCGAGGTATGTGACAGAGGGGATTGCAGGCGGGCTCTCCATGTCGAAGCACACGACCCATTCGTCTTCCGCCTTGTACTGGAGCTCGAGCTTGAGCTGCTTGTCCTGGAAGTAAGTCAGGCGGAGCTTGGTCGCGACATTGGCGTTGCGAAGGCCGCGCGCCGAGCAACCAGCCAGCTCGGTGTCCTTGCCGTCATTGTCCTTGTTGTACGAGGTTTTGCCATCACCAACCATGGCCATGATGTATGGGAAGACAACGCCTGGTCGGTTGTTCTTGTAGGTGTCAATGAAGACACCTAGACCATCGAACTGGTCGGCGTGACCGAAGACTGGCCCACGCCTGCCCTTCTCCTTGACCAGCCACATCGCTAGGCCGTCTCCGAACAGGCTGTTCTTGCCCGAGATCTTGAACTCGACCGTAATCTCCCAGTTTGTAGCTGTCAATGGGACTCGCGAAAACAGCCAGCCGTTTTGCGAAGGGCGGTCGCTGGACAACCGGATATAGCTACACAATTGCAATTGAACACGTTAGCCCTGCAGCCCATGTCCACGGCGGTGTTGTTGGGAGATTGCCACTGAAACGTACGAATCTGTCCGGACAACGGTGTCGCCACCAAAGTCGTACCAACGACTGCTCATATCGGAGTCGAGGTAGGGTTGCTTCAGTGTGTGCGTTCGGAGCTTGAGGGATGGGGCACCAGTTAGCCGATACGTCGTCTGCGCGGTAGCACGAGGGCCAGATCAGTACTCACAGAGATGCTCCTAATGTTCTCATTGCCATCGCCATCGAAGCTGACGGCGCCCATGGCCGTCGCAGCGAGGCACAAGGCCGACGACAGAGCCTTGAACCACATTGTGCCGTCCTCGGTCGACTGTTCGCGATAGCACGGGGGAAGGCCTTGAGCAAGTGCAGAAGGGACTGCTGGAAACGTGCGAGGTCGGGGTGAAGTCGGTGCTCGGCGCTCAGCACGGGACGTGGCGAGGGGACGAAAAGAACGGAGGACGAATTGCACTTGTGCTGGCGAAGACTGGCCTCGTCAGGGGTCGAGACAGCGTCGCACGTCGGAGGTCGTGTGTGAGTGAGGGCGTGATTCCACTATTCTCACAATGAATAGCTGGCCTTTGTCCAGAACTGCGGGCCGGGCTACGGCTGCGTGGTGGACCCACAAGGCCAGGATTGGCCCTGGGCAGGGGTCTCCAGTCCGGGCACTCTGGGTTGTTGCTTGTGCTGCCCAGGTCTTCCCCAGTCTCGAGTCATCCCAGCCACGTATTGCAACAAGCGCAGGCGGAGCTTCACAGCCACATTCCAGCAGATGGACAAAGTTACCCCCAACGGGGTTCGTTGTCTTGCTTGGTGTTATCCATAGCTTCGCGCGGATGCACTCCATGGTTAGTATTGTTTTCCGATCCACGAGTTGGTCTGTCGAGATCAGCCAAGAAGGTCCGAGCCCATATTTTCTCGACAGTAGGCTTGTCCAGCGTACCCACATCCTCCATATCTCAATACCATGATTCTATACCAGGAAGACACAGCTTGCTTGAAGATTTTGGCCAACTTTTGCATATCAAGAACGGCGGTTGGGTCCAACAAAGGCCAACTCGGGTAACAGTGATGATCCAGGGGGGGGGGGCACTCCTCCAAAATCTTCAGGAAGCCTGTTCAAGATGAATGGTCCTTGCAACCTCATAGTGCGATCCAAGGTTCTTCAGGGGAGGCAATAGGATGACGTGGTTGGGCATTTACTTGAGCGCTTGGTCTATTCTATTATACGAACAGATTTGGGAATCGGCGTGGGCAGTAACACGTCCCCTTTCAGCCACAGATAGCAAGAGCACATGTGCCGAGCTGTGTCATGAGGCACTGGGGCAAATGGCGTTCTGTATGCTGGTGGGGCTCCCCTTACTCGACGTGGACGGCAATCTCCCACCCGCCTGCAGTCGACGACGTCAGACGCTGTGGGTGGTAGTGGCACTGGGGCGCGCGGCTTGTCCGGCAAGGCTACAGTCACTTTCTCGTCCTTCAGGCGCATCGAGCAAACACCAGTCTACAGACATCTCCCAATACTGCACCACCCACCGTCCACATCGCCATCTTCATGTCGCATTCGCTGCTCCAACTTCGACGCCCTCTAGACACGTAAGCGTGTGCATGGCTGGCGACAACAGCCACCTTTGCAGCCTCTGATGGTCTCATACCTCTTTGCGACGTCGCAGTCGCCAGTCCCCTCCGCAATATTTGCGGCCGTCGCGCTACTTGTCATCTCAGTCGGAGTTCTCCTGCTCTTGCGCCGATATCTCACCCTCCGAGCCACGCCGGCATACCTTCTCGTACCAGTTTTCTTCGCGCTATGGCTCCCGGCCGTCATCGGGCTCCTGGTCCCTATCGACCTTGCATCGAATGCGCCTCCGGAAGATGAAGGCGCTAAGGGCATCTGGCTACCTGACCGTGCGCTGGTGGTGTCGTGGAGAATATCGTACTGGCTGACCTTTGTCCTGACATGGTACGTGGCAGTATGTGAACTCCAGCTCTCAACTTCGTACTGACACGTTGATCTCGACAGGTTCATCCTACCGATCCTCGCCGAATATTCCGATGCAGGCTACCGCGAGCCCAAGGACCGCCTCTTGTACTCTCTCCGGTCAAATGCGCAATACTATGTTATCGTGCTTTCAGTCGGCGCGATCGGTCTTGCGTACTTTATTTGGTCGTACGGGTTCGAGTTCGAGTCCTTCAAGGGTGTCGTCATGGCACTATCCTACTGCTGGGGACTGATTCTCGCCATTTACCTCATGGGCCACGGGCTCGTGTCGATTCCTCGCGGCTTGATCCGCAATTCCAGCATCAGCGGCCGGCTGCGACGCCTCCAGGCGCACGCTCCGAAACTGTACGAGAAGATGGAAGATGCTATCCTAAACCTCGAAGAGCTGGAAGTGCAGGTGTCCGAATTGAGCAAACGCAAGATGGGAAGCGCAAGGGACCACCTCGACTGGATCGAAGAGCTCGCCGAAATGTGCAATATTCCCGAGTCTCGCCCACGCACTGGCCTTCCTAATACTCACCGTGAGAGCCGCGTGGTGCCGGCAGTCATTACGGAGAAATACTTGGCAGACCTGACGCGTCAAGTTGATCGCGCCAAACATGCAAAGTCAAGATATGTGGATGACTGGAATAGACTGCTTGCTGAGGCCTCGGAGACGCAGGCCATACTGGACTCGGCAGGCTCAAAGCGACTTGATTTCGGAACCACGTCTGCAGCATCCTCATGGCTACAGCGGACCACTATACTGACACCATATAGCCGGTTCCTCCTCCATTACTACTTCCTGCCATACGCCCGTATCACGCTGGGTGTCCTGCTCGGGCTTGCGTCAGCCTGCATTATTTGGTCGGAGCTCATCAAAGGCGTACTGCCGTCTCTGTCCATCATCCGACTGACGGTTGTCCACCACCTTACGGAGGAAGGCGGACGTGTCAACTTTGGCGGCCAACTGAGTGCGGCACTCTGGATCTTGTACATGTGCCTGGCAGCCCTTGCGTCGGTGACCGAAGTCAAAGTGTGGCGTGGCCGAGCACTCGTCTACCGCAACACAGCGCATGAGTCGGCCTTTTGGTATGCCAGCCAGGTTGCCAAACTCAGTGTGCCGCTGTCATACAATTTCGTCACGTTCTTGTCGAAGACCATCTACGAGAAGACCCGGTTCTACCATTTTCTTGGACAATACGTTAATCTCACGCCACTGGGAAAGTGGTTCGACTACCTCTTCCCAATCTTGGTCCTCTTCCCGGTGTTTGCGACCCTCTTTGGATTGTATGGGAAGATTAGAAGGATGTTTGGATTCGGCTTCAACGTCGTCGAGGATGACGAGGAGGAAAATCCGACGGGCTACGGCACCGGGTCTTGGAGAGAAGGCCGAGATCTGATTGAGCGGGAGCTGAACGGCACATCAATCTCAAGACGTCTAGATCAGGCCGCCGCGCGGGGAGGCGCGCGAGGCCGGCCCATCTTGTCTGTTCCTCCTCCGAGGAGCCAGGGCACCACCACCCCATTCGCGACATCTCCTTCATACAGGGACGACCCGACACGGAGCACGGTCGGACCATCTTCGAGATCTACAGCAGCGCCACCAGACGGCGATGACGACAATTTCTTTACAAACCTCGGCCACCGATTCAAGAACACGATTGACACGATTGACACGCCCAAATGGTTCCAAGAAATTGGAGACGGCATCAAGAAGCCGAAATGGCTCGGAGGCAATGATGATGATGCTGCCGAGGGAAGCAGCAGTAGCCGGCCCTCAGGCAGTAACAGGAACAACTCGGACCTGCGGAGTTGGTTTGGTGGCGACGGACGGGTACGAATCTGAGGATAGACGTTGGACATGAGCAAGCAATCATATTATCATAGAATGCCGAAAGCAATAGTAACAGTAATACCATAATTCATGCAACTACATCAACGAACATACACGCATTCGGTTGGTGCAGAGTGTGTGTACAGCCGCAAGCTCTCCCTGAATACATGCAGCACGAGCTAATGGCTGGGATGAAAAGTTGTCTGGCACTTATACGACTCATGTACGGCTTGCAAAAATGATCATGCTGCTCAGCTGCATGCTATATGTCCTATTTCCAGGAATTGAGCGCCGGCCAGCAAAGCTCCTCTTGCATTCGCGATAGCGACACAACGTCAGCTCAACCTTTTCCAACATAGATTACTTCGACTCTCGCGATGCTCGTGGTTTACGACCCGCTAGGCGCTCAGCCCGGGTCAAAAGCAGATTGAGCTGGAGGGAGCGGAGGAGCTATACACACTCAGACGTGCGAAACTGGCAAAGCACGACAATCAGGAAGGTGACAGGAGGCCTAGATGACCAAAAAAGAACCAGTTTGTAGGCCTCTTCGAGACTCGAACTCGAGTTACCGGAATATGAAGCCCTAGGGCAGATCAGAATCCGATGTGATAACCATCTACACTAAGAAGCCAGCCAATCAGATTTGATGGTGGCTCGGGCCTTTATGAAAAGATATGAAAATGACTTCTAGACGTTAATTTCACTGGCTTGCGAGTTTCACTGGAGACCGATGAGAACGCTGGGCCAGTGACGTATTGAAAACATGACTAGATGCCCATAACACAGTACGCAATGCCTGCAGCTTGCCCCTGACCGCTATGCACCAAAGTGCCTCTGAGGAGGCCCAATCACGGGGACTACTGTGCAAGCCTGAGTAAGGCAGCGGCGCGGTGCTGTGGTGATCTTGGTGGGGCAGGCGCCACCCCAAAGAACCGAAAAGAGTCGCGCATGACACTTTTTTGGTGGGGTCACATGTCAGCCAAAAGCTTGTGCCTGCTGGCTCTGCCCGTTCGCACGTGCAGAGAGCGCCCATTCTTCAGGCGCTTGTGGGCTAACTCACCCGTCACGAGCTGTAAGACTCTCCCAACAAAGGACAAAGACTCCTTGGCACCAGCGAAGAGTGTAGAGCTAGCGGGATGGGCAATTGACGCGAGACCGGGGATTGCCGCCCAGACACGGCGACTCGGTGGCAGGGAGGGCCGTCGTTGGATTCCAACCAACGGTCGTCGCAACTATGTGATGATCCCTCCTTGGGCACTGTGGTAGGCGCATGCTTGGTCTTTCTTTTTCCTCTTCACGTTCGGCACTTTGTTCTCTGCATCGTCCCGTCCCGCGTCGGCACGAGTGTGCCTCTTCTTCACATGCATCCGTTCGACCCGCCATTTTAATGTGCCAGCATCGTCATACCACCACCTCATTACTCGAAACCGCCGCTTCCTCCCCCACTCCACGCCGCCGCCGTCCTCGATTTGGCGGTCTGTTGGAGGTTCTCGAGGTTCATCACACCCTCATTTAGCGCTGCTACTTTTCTTGCGAGAAGCCTTCTCGTGCTGCTTGCAAGCGGCACCTGATAGCGGAGAACCCGCAATATTCAGTTGTTGCTTGCACCTTGCCGGCCTCGGCCATCAGTTGCGATATCGTCGGGCACCCTTGCAACTGACACCGCCGCCCGAGGCTCTTTGCCAGTCGCTCCACCAAATCCAACACCCCACCTCGCAGACCTGTCTAGAGCCACCATCCTTTTGCAACACACCTCAACTATCGTTGATGCTCCCAGCAGAATGTCGTTCTCGACCTACCTCGGCGTATTCCTCGCGGGCTACACGGCTGTCGTCCTCGGCTTCTACACCATGTCCTTGGTCATTCCTAAAGCCGGGTTCGTCGCGCGCTCCCTCGCGGCCTACATTGGGCTGATCATTTGCGCCATCTACGGTGTCGTCGCCTCGATCGTCCTGCGCATACTCGGCAAAGAACAGATTGCACAATGGACAACCGCCCGCGCCTTCAAGTACCTCATGGCCGCGACAACCGGCGTCACGTTCGTGGTGGAAGATCCCAACAATGTGCTCGGCACCACGCGCCCCGCCGTCTTCATCGGCCCTCACCAGACCGAACTCGACGTCCTGATGCTTGGATGCATATTCCCTAAATACTGCAGTGTCACGGCCAAGAGCTCTCTCAAGAAGGTCCCTTTCTTGGGCTGGTTCATGACCTTGAGCGGCACCGTCTTCATCGACCGCAAGAACTCCAAGGACGCGCGATCGGCCATGGCTGGCGCAGCTGCGCAAATGAAGGATCGCAAACAAAGCGTATACATGTTCCCTGAGGGTACTCGGAGTTATGCCAAGGACCCAATGCTCCTGCCATTCAAGAAAGGCGCTTTCCACCTTGCTGTGCAGGCTGGCGTGCCCATCGTCCCCGTGGTTGTTGCAAACTACTCTCACGTCCTCTACCTGAAGGACTTGACTTTCAACGCTGGCAAGGTCCCAGTCAAGGGTAAGCAAAATTGGGCGTCCTGGCCTGGCAGAACAACACAATTAGCATACTCGTCGCTTCCGGGCTAACAATACTCCGCAGTGCTCGATCCCATCCCCACGGAGGGATTGACGGCCGAAGATGTCGATGAATTGACCAGATCGACGCGGGAGCTCATGCTCAAGGAGATGGTTGCGTTGACAGAAAAGGCCCAAAAGCGAGCGATTGCTATGCCGTCAAGCACCAGCAACGGAACCGGAAACGGCGTTGTTCGTGCTAGCGGCGTCGAAGCAACCATTTCCTCCAAATAACGGACTCATACACGGACAGTCAAAAGCTGGTGATTCCGCGTTGCAACGACTGTCTCCCAAAACAAGATCGTCATTGGGGAGGGAATCATGCTGGGATGTCGCCAGAGTTGCGCGGTTTTGGCGCAAAATCTCTTGCACTTCGAGCATGACTGGAAGCATTCGAGCCTGAGGCATTCCACTAATCCTAGATCACATTATCGAAATCGTGCTGCGTGCCACCTTTGGGGTTGGAGTCTGCATATGAGAATGGCGCTGTCCTAGAGTCATTGACAGGGAATGGGGCGTACGGATGCACAAGACGCCTTGGCTGAGGGTTGCATAGAGAGCGTGACTAGTAACCTCCACGAGTGGAAAGAAGCATGGCCGTGGGAGAAGAAGAAGAAGAGGCCTAAAGGCTAGAACAAAAAACAGCATGGATATGTATATACATCGTTAGCGGAGTTGGGGACGGAAGCACGACAAGGTGCTTCCATTGTCAGCATTTTCACAAGCTATAAACCAGGACGCATTATTGCCACACTCTACGCTCACAGAGCTGAGAACGTGCCGGACTAGGCACTAGAATAGTAGTGAACGGGATTCATGAGGCTAGCTTGAGGGATGAGCATGCGCGGCAGCTACGTGGATGAGCAACGCACTATGCCGGGGCAACGAAGTAAAAGTGATTGGGGGGCAAGTGTCTCCCCGCTTTCGAACATGATGCATGCCAGGGACGCGTGATGCATTGTCCCGATTTGGGGCAGAATTGCGGGACAGCATAGCATGTATTATGTGGAGGTAATCGTCTTCAGCAGCTGTTGGGGTCAAGTACAACCCTTCCCATGGCCTTTTCCCGCTCGGCCTTGAACGAATAGGTTTTCTCCTCGGATAAACTCGATGTTGCTTTGAATGCCTGCGTTCCAGCTGGGGATATGAGTACTAACGGAGTTGAGTTCCACACGATTCGTGTGCATGGCGTTGCATGTGTCAGAGTGCGGATATTAGCACGACAAGTAGTGAGGAGAGAAGCAAGACAATCTTTAGCGCAAATGGGTACTGTGGAGAAGAATCTCGGGGCACGCAAACCAACAAGACGCATTCCTGAGATGGGAAAGAGCGGTCGACAGGTGGCCTCCGCGGGGCCTCCGAGATGGGGAGATGAGATGCTGGCGATCTAGAACATTGGTGGCTTCTACAGCTTCTCGCACAAGTACACAGCCTCGCAGAACAGAGCACCGAGTCCGACTGCTGCCCATAAACCCCTCACAGTCTACATGTACACAATTTCACAGCAACGCATCGTTTCGTCCACCAGAGGGAGCCAATCCACTTCCACAACAGCACTGCGTGGTCGCACATTGTCCCTCAGCTGTGCGTAGTGGCACCAGGTCTAGCCCATCCCATGGCGGCGGTCACGCTCCAGCATTTACGACTAGGACTCAGATGGTTTGCATTTGCACACCCCGGGGTCTCCCATCGCAAGTTGAGGAAGCTATTGACGGCTCCCTGCCACGCTTGTTAGTGGCTGCTGCCCCCTATCTGGGTGTCCAACAGACTTGATACCATATGATCCTGCCTCCTCGATGAACTCGGTCATACAGCGGCCCAGGACGAGACATGTCCGTCTTCAGACACGGCCCATGTCGTGAGCTGCAAGTTTTGTTATGGACCAATGGCGACTCTCTTCGCCGGTCTCACAAATCAGGCGGAATATCCTTACACCATGTCGACTTTAAACAGGTTAAACTCACCCTCGCGGCCGCAGACAGGCTCGCCAAGTTCGCGTCGGGGCCAGCGGGGTCTCTCGCCTGAACAACCTGGATGTCTCAAAAAGCTTGGCTCTCGGCCTGCCACGACGTACGTCCTTGCCCTCATCCACTGGTGTGGACAGGCAAGCAACGTGGGGACCTGAAGGCGTCACCGACCAGCCGCTGACGGCAAACAGGGCCATCACCCATGCAAAGATCCCTGCAGGACCTGAACAGCGTTGTAATCATATCAGGTCGGGGGCGAACAACATCATGCCATGCTTAGCAGAAGTTATCAATCCAGACTAGGAACCCGGGGGGTTGAGGCTGCACGACGACATCACCAAGCTTCAGCTGTGCTTCGGGGTGCAAGGGCAAAGTATGTGCAGGCTCTTTGCGAGCCAGTAAACAGCCCTCTCCCTTGATCACACCCCCTCCTTCCAGCCACGAATCTGGTAGCCGGCAAACGGAGCTAACTACGTCAGTGATGCGAGCACAGAGAGTCGTCTTAGCACGAAGCTACCCCTCAACTTAGACGCTCCCTGTCGCCAATGGTGTCGTCTGCAAGTCCCCGGCAAGGCCGACGACGATGGAGCAAGACACACTGCCTTGGCGAGTGCTTCGCTCCGCAGCCCTCCAGAGACACCCTCTGACGCCGCCATGGCGGCCGCGCGTCCGGCTGCCCGGTAAACCTCAGCTCGCTCCTGGCTATCCTCCCACTGGTCCCGGAGACCTCCCCAAAGGTCAGGCCTCCCGACAAGCGGGGTATCGCGAGATCGTGCACGGTGGTGGCGTGCTGGGGGAAGCTGCGTCCGGGAGCGGAATGTCTTGCCTCGTGTGTGCATCCCAAAAATCTTGGTTTGGCGTTAAGGCACCCCTGGACGCTTCCTCGCAGCAGGCATTGACTTCGAGCTAAGCTGGGCTCTCGGGCAAGTGTATAAAAAGCGAGGCATGCCACGCTCTTCAGGATGTAAGTGAAGCTGGCAGTAAGACAACCGTGCCTCTTTCCCAGACACAATACACACAAACACCAAGCTTCTCAGAAGTAGTCTTCGTTGTTCACACACACAATGGCCTCGTACGGAGATAACGACAACGACAGCGTAAGTTTGGGCTTTCCTTTTGCTATATTCTCGGAGCAACTTGCCATGGGAGATACCTCACATGGCTGGCCATGGGCGGTGTTAGAGCACAGGAGCTCCGACGAGCGCCACGATTGCCCCTTGCACTTTTGGTCTCGTGTGAGACCAGACCGTACAGCATAGGCATGGCTGACGATATTACCAAATAGTACGGCTCGTCCAACCGCCGCGGTGGCAACGAGGACAGCTATGGCTCTTCCGGCAACAACGGAAGCTATGGCTCGAGCCGCAACGACGACGACAACGACAACAGCTACGGTTCCAGCACCGGCCGTAGCGGCCGTGGCGGCAACAATGACAGCTACGGCTCGTCTGACAACACGGATAGCTACGGCAGCAGCGGCAGCAGCGGCAACTACGGCTCGTCCCGCAACAACAATGACGACAACGACAACAGCTACGGCTCGAGCGGCCGCAGCGGCCGTGGCGGCAACAGTGACAGCTACGGCTCGTCTGACAACACGGACAGCTACGGCTCCAGCAACACTGGCAGCGGCCGTGGCGGCAACAGCGACAGCTACGGCTCCTCTGGGAACACGGACAGCTACGGCTCCAGCAACACTGGCAGCGGCAGCTACGGCTCATCACGCAGCAATGACAACGATAACAGCTACGGCTCGTCCGGCACTGGACGCAGCAGCGGCGGTCTCGGCAGCAGCGGCCGCAACAATGACGACGACAATGACAACTCGTACGGCAGCGGCAACAAGTCGTCCAGCTACGGCTCAGGCCGTAACGACAATGACAACGACAACTCGTACGGCTCAAGCTCTGGTGGTGGCTACGGCAGCAGCAGCCGTGACAACGACAACTACTAGATCATGTTTGGTCCAGTCAGGTCTTGTCACTTGACTAAAAGCTCTTTGCTGCAGCAGTACTCAGTATTATGGTTATTTAATGCTAAATCTTGCGTTGCTACGATGGCTGGAAGTTTGACTAGCCAATAAGCTTCGTGTAAGCGGCGGATAGCTGCGAAAAGTCCGTAGCGTAGCCTCGCTCAAACCCACGCTCCTTGTGCCTAGGCCACTAGGACTCCCAATGGAATCATTAGCCTCGTCTCTTTCATCATGACCACCGCCCAGCGATGCACCGTCGAGGATGCTTGTGATTTCGTCCATGTCGTCAAAATCAAGAACGGTTGACAGGTCATCTCGGAGCGAGACGTTGGCGGAGAATGTATTGGAGTCGTTGTGCTTACCAGAGGGATCGATTCGATCCATGATAAGCCGGAAGGCATCGGCCCGGATCCTCTTGAGCACCTTGTCAAGCATGTCGATGCGCCCGTCCCTGGCCCGCTGGCCGTGCGACACAAGCACGTCCGGGAAACGCCAGTTCTTGTACAAATTACCGTGGGTGGTGCGGTGCCCCACGCCTGCGGGATGGGCCTCAAAGTAGTACTTGCAGAGTCTACACAAAGGCTTGCTGCTCCCAATGTACATACGCTCCGCAGACCCCTGGAAAAACCGATCTTCTGTGACACCACCGTCGCTGAACTCGAGGAAGTTCAGAAGGAGGACCTCGCTGTGGACGAGGGGCCGAAGGGCGCCGTCCACGAATTCAGCTTTGATGCGTGCGTCGAGGTCAAATATCTGAAGGTCTTTGACGTACTCTCGGAACTTCTCTATGTCCGACACACGACGAGTCAAGCGGCCAACAATGCCCTCGGCGCTGAAGCTCGTGGGCCTTCCATTTAATGGGTCCTGGAATTTGCTTGATGGGATGTAAAAAACCCGGTACCTGTTGAAGAGGACGGGCCATCTTCTGCGAGCTTTCAGCATACACGCCAGAGATTTTGGATAGGCCAGTATGCGACTCATCGCATGTTGGAGTTGATGCCAGCAATCCTCACTTGACTGTTCGGCCCCATGGATCTCTCTCACGTGCTCGGCCACTGCCTGACCTGCTGGTGACCTCTCGAACCTCGTCAAACGTCGCATCACGCGCTCGCAACCGAATGCAACTGTAACGGATACATTAGCGTTTGCACTTTTTGAGCGATGTGGGAGGCCAAAGACTGACACCCTGCGTCTCTAGCCATGTTCGTGTCCTCGAGTTGTAGCTGTCTTAGCGCAGTGAGGATGCGTGCGAGACCTGTGTCGGCCATGGCACCTGTGCCGGTCAGTCTAGGTAAAACCAATGAATTTAGGGTGTCGGGCGGTACAAGACTGACTGTCGGCACCGAACAGGTCTTCGAGACGCTGCTGACACTCTTCGACATTTCTCGACAACGGCGTCAGGTAATAACGGAGGCGCCCTTGATTGAAGCAGATAATGTCTCGCAGCATATTGCTTCTATACGGGTCGGCATCTTCGGGGGCGAGACCGATCTTGCGCAGCAGCGCATGCACATAGGCTCGCGTTTCTTTCAGCTTCGGGATGTTCCGGTAGTTCGAAGCAAAGTAGTAGTGGACAATGTCGTCTCTGGACTCTGGCAATTCGCTGCGAAGAACCATGAAGGAAGTAATGGTTGCCCCAGATCTGCCTTTATCACTGTCGCAGACATGTGCCAGCTTGTACACAAAGGCTTGAAACAGGTTGTCGGCGTCCTCGAGGTCCAGTTCCGAAGATGATGATGAGCTAGGTGTACTGCCGGGAGAGGCGTTCCGCCTTGCATCATCATTGAGAGCCTTTAAAAGTACGACGGGCTCGTAAAACTTGTATGTCAGTGGCACCGTCATCGGGACGGGGTCTACAACATGTCAGACTTCAAATTTGCAGCAGTATTGGGGGTCCCATGTATGCTTCCTTTGGTCTGGCTCCGCCTAAACGTACCATTTTGCGTGCCTCTCGGCTGCACATGGGTGGACATGGCAAGCTCAACAACACTACCAAGGCAGCGGTATGTATGCGTGAAGTTGACGCAGACGAGGCTTGGTTATCGACAATCAGAGAGCTCGGAGTCCAAAGCACAAAAGTACGGCTTCAAGGGGCGGTCAAGGAGTCTACGTATGCGTGTCCAGCTCCGAGGATTGCAAGATGAATTTTATACCCGCGACGGTGTGACTGGGAGTCGCAAGATGACGCATTGAGGCCGTCCACCGCTCTTGCCTTTGGTTGGAGTCCGCATTATCAGCTGGCATGCCTCTCCATAGCACACGAGTGCCCAGTGCTAAAGAGGAGACATGTCAGGACCACCAAGGGGAGGAGAGGGGAGAGGAAAGGTCGACGGTTGGCTGGGGAGTCGGCCTTGGCCTCAGGTTGCAGCCAAGACGGCCAGGTGGGAAGATGATCGCACATTGTGGAAGAAGAGGCCGACCAACACTGCATGTGGGCGTCGAATCGGCATCGCGCCTCCCACAGCCTGCTTGGTCCAGCTGCAGGCCACTTGGCAGCGACCACACCACTTCAGCAAGACTCCCCAATCACACAGGCTGTGTCGATGCAGCACTCATGGCTGCCACAAAGGTTCCATCGTCGTCGGCGCTATCAACGTGTGGCCTGTGGTCCAATTGACTCTCTCTCGAAAGATTGCTCTTGCCTGTTGGAGAAACATTACTGTTGGCAGGGCTGCCAGCCAACATACGCCGACATAATAGACCATCTGATGATGTTCGCGCCGGCACCGTCGGCGAGATATCGGCAGCAGTCGTCCGGCACGTCCATATAAGACCGAGTTACTGTCCCGACTCTCAGAGATAGAGTTCTCATCACCACCCAACTCCCAACGCTGGGGAAAGTGTCCAACATGGCTCATAGTCAAGGTCCGCCCTTCGATGACGGGCCAGACTTTGAGAACTCTGATTTTGAAGATGGCCTCTTCGAGCCTCTCAGCACTACTGGGTCAATCCATTCCAACTTTGCCGATCCGTTTTACGTTGACATGACGAACTACAGTCATGGCTCCTCATCAATCCCCTTGATGCCTACGATAGAGGATGAGAACTTCTTTCAGCATCGTGAGTGTGTAATGTTCGACCAGCCGTGGACTAGTTGGCTAACGATTGAAGTACTTGCAGGCGGACAATTCGTCATGGACGAAACTTTCAGGGATCCCATGCCGCCTCTGCATCCCATGGCAAGTCCTTCGCCTGGAGAACTCTTGTTCTCTCACATGAACTACGCCAATACCGACGCGATCTCTTGGCCTGTTCCTGACAGCTCATCGCCCACGTTGTCGCTCTCTGAGCTGCCCTTCGATGCCATTTCCACCGACCGGACTTAGCCGGAACGTCAGTCATTCGAGCTTGGCCACACCCCCGCCGGGCTCGTTGCAGAATCATCGTCGTCGGACAGTCAAGAAGAGCTTGAGGACTTGGAGCAACTTATGGGGGACTTGGCCTATGCTGATGTGTCTGTGGAGGTGGACCCCAACGGTGAGGTGTAGCATCTTCCGTTTCATTCAATCATCCTAATCTTGGCACACTAGGGGTCTCGCTTCCAGGACATCGCTGGTGTTGCGGCAGGTGGCTTAAGAGAGGAACTCTATTGAAGTAGGTCTCCATGTTGATCATAGACGAGGTTGTCTACTTTTCCTAACCATTCGACTCTGGCGAACAGCAAGCACATCAAGAAACACACCGAGCCATATCACTGCGAAGCAGGCAACGATTGCATCAAAAGGTTCTCAGCTAAAAAGGAACGGGACAAACACTACGTGTCAATGCACGCACCATACGCCAAAGCGCAGAACATACCAACAGCCTACCCGTGCATCTACTGCCGCCAGGATCAGAGACAATCGGGTAATATGAAGAGGCATATTCGTAAGATACACCCTGAGATGCTGGTCGATTGGGAGAGGAGGAAGAAGGCCAGAAAAAGGAGCATCCGGAGCATGTCTTCTCATTGACGTTTGGGGGTTGTGTGGTCCTTTCGCGTTTGCTATGGCAGTGGCCGCGTGGATGGGTAGTCTCTTTTGCTGCGAGAACTTTCTTTTGTTCGAATGTTAAGTCATCAGCCAACTCCATCTGTCTGTCTGCATGCTAGTGCTCCCTGGATGAAAGACACGGCTTGAAGTCCTTCCCATCTCAAGTCCACTTTCGGCCTGACCGAAAAGGGGCGACAGCATATATGAATCGTCACGCGAGAACGGGGACTCTAGGGTTCTGAGACCAGAATCGAGCCTATGCGACTCCCACTTGAAGGCATAACTCCCAGTTCCACGTGCGGAGACGAACTAGGAATCTGTAGCTGACGTGTGTCGAATTGGTGGTTGTGGTGGTGGTGTAAGTGAGCGAGCACGAGCCAGCCCCAGATCCGGGGTAGCGTGGTTGATTGGTCATGAGCCTCGGCAACTCGAGCAGGGGATTACATACTTTACGTACGTTGCTCAACGTGACTTCAGCTTCAGGTGATTATTGTCTCCAGGGCTTCTGACCAACAGGCTCACTCACCATCCCCCAAAAAGAGCTCACTCGACATCGGAGCCCAGGGCCGAGAGAAAACAGGCCTAGTCTTCTTGCTGCACTCTCAATATCACTAGTCGGGCAGAGGGTGAGCAGTATACAACCAGCTTGGTTGAAATTGACCGCCCGTCAATCAATCCGGAACAAACAGCAACGGATCCACACAACACTCTACACGCAGTCATGGAGACCAAGAAAGTCGCCCTGGTGGTTGGCGCGTCCCGAGGCATTGGCCGCCAGATCGCCATCGACCTGGCGAGGAATGGATATGCCGGTTGGTCTCCTCCACCCCCTCACCCCCAGAGTTCTGCAGCATTATGCTATTTTCCCCCAGCCGGATTATATTCTTTGTTCATAGGCGAGGATGAGGAATCACGTCTCACATCCGTCAAGTTCCAAGCAACATGATGTAGTGATGAATTAACCCCATGTGTAAAAACCAAAACAGTGGTGGTCGCGGCAAAGACAACGAGCGATGCCTCCACCACCAACCCGTTCCCGCCCGATCCCAACTCGCCCGAGTCGACCATCAACACGGTCGAGCGGGAGATCCGCGAGGCCGGGGGCACGGCGACGGCCGTCCCCGTCGACACGCGCGACTTTGAGAGCGTGCAGCCCTTGGTCGGCAGGACGGTCGAGGTATATATATGCTCCTCGCTTCCCGTCTGAGTCTTCCTCCTCATTTGTTTCCTCCCATCTCCGCCTTTCTATTAGGGATTGTATATATACCATGTTTAATAACCCGTACGACTCGTCTCCTGACAAAAGAATATAGATATACAAGCGTCTCGACGTCGTCGTCTACAACTCGGGCGCAATATGGTGGGCCTCGGTTGAGGACACCCCAATGAAGCGCTTCCAGCTCATGCAGCGCGTCAACCCAGAAGGGCTATACGGCACAATCCAGGCGAGTCTCCCGCACCTCAAGAGGAGCGTCGGGGTCAATCCCCTTGCTTCATCAACTCCTTCCGGCTCCACCACAACCACCGCTTCTCCCACCGGCGGCAGCGGTACAGGAAACGTCGACGACGACGACAACAGCGCCCGCCAGCTCCGGGGCTCTGGGCGCATCATCGTCGTCAGCCCGCCGATATACAGCCGCTTCTTCCGCGGCAAGACGGCCTACGCGATGGGCAAGGTCGGGATGAGCGTGCTGACCAAGGGCCTGGCAATGGACTTTGAGCGCCAGGGAGTGGCGGACAAGATGGCCATCACCAGTATCTGGCCGGCCGTGGTGAGTTTTTCCTGGGTCCAATTTCTCCTGTTGTCCTTCTCTTCCAGATCATCTCAAAATATTCAGCTCCCTTACCTTCCCTTCCCTGCTCTGGCCTGGCCCCCTTTCTTTTTACTTTTCCCAGCCAAGTATTCTCTGGTGCTCTGCCTTGCTGTCTCTGCCACTCGCTCAAGGCTACGAGATTGGTAACTGACCATTCAATTTTTCTTTTTTTTTGTGAAGGCCATAGAGTCAGGTGCCACCCGCGCAATGCTCCTCAAAAATCCAGACGAGGCGAAAGACTTGCGCAGGTCCACAATCTTCTCCGACGCCATCCTTGCCATGCTCCGTTGTCCCGCGGCAAAGATCAACGGCAGGCTCGAGCTGGACGAGGATTTCCTGCGCACTCCCGAGGGCGGCAATGTGGTGGATTTCCAAAAGTATGCGCTCGTGCCGAGTTCCGCTTCTGGTGCCAGCGGCGACAAGTGGGAGCCCCCACGAAGAATCATGCCCAAGGTTCTCCCGGATCTGAGTGTAGCGGAGCAGGATGATGAAGGGAAGAGAATGAATAGTGCTGCTGCCGGGAAGGAAAGGGCCAAAATCTGAGCATGCCCCGGGCGATCCGGAGCCAGCACTGTACGATATTCGGCATGATGCACTCTGACCATTCCAAGTATCGATTACGACCAATGACTATTTCATTAATCAGACGGATGACTCTATCTTTCTGCCGACCGTGCCGAGTCATACCCAGGGTAGTCTCAAAGAAGAAGAACGTTCCACGCTCATTGGACTTTTACAGTTACAATAGCATGAATACCCCCAAAAGTAACACCACGACTGTCTCCACGATGATTATCCTATCCTGCACATATGCACCACTACCAGCATCTTTCCAAGCCAACCACGAAATCGCTCCGTCCCCATTGGCAGATCGTCCATGACAAGAGAGGTGTGATGTCTTGCTTCTCCGCTGGTGGGCAGTCGTTAGGTGGTCAAAGTATTGGTAGTGTCCTTAGAGGGCCATTGCGATGAGAGCAGCGCCACCAAGCATGGCGCCAAGGCTGAGTGCTCCAGTGGGAGCGGCACCACCGCCTTGGGAGATCGACTCGGTGGGAGACGGCTCCACGGCATCTGTGGCACTCGAGGCAAACTCGCCAAAAGACGAGGAGTATGAGGCCAAGACAGATGAGGTGGCATCGACGAGCGGGACGCCAGACGAACCCGCATCAGTGACAGTGCCAGTAACAGCAGGCTCAGACACGGTCGGAGCCGGAGCAATGACATCGGTGGGAGCTGAGGCAGTGACATCGGTAGGAGCCGTGAGAACAGAGCTGGACAAGGTGGGGACAGGGTCAGACCAGATAGGGACGCCTGGAATGGCGGTCTCCGTTCCATAGACGGGGAGGGAGACAGTCTGCTCAGTAGGAATAGGGCCGACAGTAAGAAGAGTCGAGCTGCCAACGATGGTAGCGGGGATACCGCCGGCGGGAACAGTGACGGTGACGGTGCCAGAACAGGTGCAGTCTGCCTCCTGTCGAGCGTCGAGCTCGAAGAGGTCGGCGGGAGCGGCCTGCGGTTGTGTTGGAGATGTCAGTATCGAGGATGGCTTCGCGATTATTGGGGACGAAGGAGGCACCGCCCGTCAAGTTGAGACGCAGAGTTCAACTTACCATACCGATCATAGCAAACGCGAGAAAGAGGATAGTCTTGAGGAACTGCATATCGACGGTTGTAGCAGGTCATGTACTAGTATTGTGCATGAAATTCCGAAGGATGCTGAAGTATCGGTGACTCGTAGAGAGCACGAGAGATGGTTATGGTGATGACAAGAGTGTGGATGACGAAGTTGTCTGTGTGATGTGAGGTGGGTGAAGGAGGATGAAAGCAGAGCGGAGGCAGAGATTTATGCGTCAAGGTCTATTTGTAGGGATGCCTGAGGTGTGTGGTCGCCGTGGTGATTGTGTAATGCCTGGCCGTCTGGATCAGGTTGCGTGCTGAGTTACTCTGGTAACGAGGTAGGTCAATGTGAGGGCGATGTGAAGTGGACGTGAGGAGGAATATAAGAGTGAGGCATCAGGCAGCCTATCTAACTGCGGCCAGGCGAGGAATCAAGTTTCAGAGCAGCTAGGCAGGCTCGAGCGGCCGAACAATGTTATCGCCTTCTGTGCGTGGTTCTGCAGGGCTTTCATGACCAGCCGCTCCTTCCCGTTGCCTGTTGATTAAGGGGGATGACAAGGTGACTTGTCGCGAGTCACCTTCTCCGCAGTGCTTGGTGCTCCAGCCGGTCCATGGTACACGAACCTGGATCATCTAGGTGCGCAAGCCGCCTGCTCTGGTACGACTTGGACGCCCTTAAGCGGGAAACACCTTTGGCTTGTGAAACTTCCGCTTCGGAATGCCCGCCCGCCCACCTAGCGGTAGGCGATCATTCGCCTCCTTGAATCATGAAATCGCTCGACATTTATGGCATCATTTGCTCAGCTTTGACAGCGTTGGCGAGGTACTAAACTAGGTACCTAGGTAGTCAACTTCTGTTTGTCTACTGGCGTCTGAAGAACGCACACAACACGGAGTCCGCATTTGCCACCGACTGAGCTCACACATGGTGATGATGCAAGCCTGTCCGGGTTGCTTTGCTCAATCGCAGACTTCCTCTATTTGTGGCAGCACAAGTGCTCCTTGCGGGGGGGAGGACGCGAGTACGCACCACTTTGCTTCATTTATTCACTTGATCAAGCTGAGCTTGATGGCCACTTGAACGGTGTCGTTTTTTGCTGGTCCATCGTGAGGCGAGACTCATGGGAGTCGAATCCAACAAACACGAATGCCTCATTTGCACAGCGTTTAAGGTCATGCATGCTACATACAGGTCACAACAATTGTCCTCGGAAAGTACCAAGCTCAAATCATGCTCTGCTATAAGCAACATGGCTTAAAGCGTTGTGATTATTTCCGCAACTCAAGTCGTTGCCATAGCATCAGCAAAGCGAGGGCTGCAGTTGTGGCGAGGCGGGTGTCTCTTTGTAAGTGTTACGGGTATCTTGCACTGCTGACAGTCGACCTAAAACTTGTGCTTAACTCGATGGATCCGAGTGATCGTTCCCGGCACATTGCAGCATCTCAAATGTCCCGGTTATATGGTGCCACGCCCTTCTTCAACTCTTGCACGATCTCTGCAGCCTCAACAGTGTTCCGGGCCTCGAAGTCGTAGCGCTTTGTCTCAGTGGCCTTGTACACCATGAGCTTTAGGATGGTTGTCAGCACATGTTGATCTTGTCAAGTGGTCAACACGGGAAGTACATACCTTGAAATGAGTCGGGTGCCTTCTAGACACGCTGCACCCGACAACGTTGCTGAAGTGAACGGTGGTCGTCTTGCCACCCTCGCGTGTCGTCTTTCCACCAGACGAAGGCATGATGTAGACATACTCGCCATCAATGGCTAAAGTCCGCTCGTTCAAGCCAACAAAACGCATTGGCTGCTTGCGCCAAACAGTGTACTTCTTGTAGTTCACATTGACACCGGCCTCGTCCTGCTTCAGCATTGCTTCCTGAGCCAGCGGATGTGGCGTCATCACCTTGGCCTTACTCTTCTTCGCGGGCGCGCTGTAGTCCGTCCATGCGAACGACTTGGGAGAAGAGCTGCTAGGCGAGCCTGTCATGGTTAATGGACCGTCTGTCGCGAAACGTCTTCTGTGCAGCTCGAGCTCTGATACATTGCCAATCGATGAGACTGTGCGATCGAGATATACGACAGCTCCCGACCCGGGAAGCTTAAAGACATGCTGGCTCTTGTCAAGGTTTCGTTTACGGCACACTAGCTCGAGAATCTCGGCAAGGTACATGTCGGTAGTGACGTCCAGGGTCACCATTTGTCCTGGCGCAATGTCCGCAGATATGATATTTATGCGTAACAGCTTGTGGTGCCCGCCCCTTGCCACAGGCATTGCGGCAGGTGCTGCGGGCTTGTCGGCAAATAGTGTGTCTATCCGCACACTCGTGTTCGTGATAGGATTGGCACGCGGTTGTGATGGAGGGGGTATGTTCATTTGAGCTGGCTGACCTGCAACAGGCGTCAAATCATCCGCGGTTACTGGGGTCTCTTCAGCGGCATCTTCTGGCCCGAACTCCGGCGTCTGTTCCTGGTTGTCTGCAAACTCAGATTCTGATGCTTGAACCAGGCCGAAGTTATCGTGCGTTTTACCACCTCTCCGGGACCTCCCCGTCATGTTGTTGGCAGTAGTGAAAGCGTTGACTGGCTTCTTGCGCTCAAACGGCGGGAAGTCGTCATCGACCTCTCCGTCTTCTTCAACCATGCGCAAGGTCCACCAGTTGGCACTCATCTTGTCCGCTGGAATCGGGGGCTGAAGTTTTGACTCGTAGTATGTCCACAAGCTGAGTCCGATGAGCTCGGCGATCAGAACAGGCCGGAACGTGCCATCGCTTTCTTGCACACTCCGTCTTATCAGCACCTCAAACGGCTCCTCGGGCTCTTGGGAAAACGGCGCAAAGATACGGATCTTGAGAGGATCTGGGTCGCCCTTGCCGGACAAGGAAGCAAACCTCTCCACTGACATGGACGGCGCAGTCTTCTTCGTCTTGAACGCATCTGAAAGTAAACTCCGGGGCTGCACAACACTGAGAGGTCGGATTGTGCTCATGGGCCGTGGCGGTGGTAACGCTTGGAGCAGTTGCGGCTGCGGTGCTGTTGGGGGCTTCCGTACCGTCGACTGCCGGAGCAGTTGCTTTGGTACGGTACCAACGACTTGCTGGCCTGGAGAAGCCCCGACAATAGGCGTGTCTCCTGTCCCGAGTATACCAGTGGAATCGACACTGCCCACAAAGGCTGAAGAAGTATCAGATTCGTCGCTGTCCTCTTCTTCTTCGGGGAGCAGTTCACTGCCTTGCCGCTTTACACCTTCTGTAGGCTCTTCATTGATCTTCGCTTGGATCCTCGCGGCCTTCGCTGCAGCTCGCGCAGCATCCCGCTGCCTGTGAAATCCCGATGCGTCGAATTCGTTTTCCGAAGATACTTCGCTGCTGGTCACTGTATCTCGGCGAGCTCGCTCCTTAACCGTCTCAAGCGCGGATTGTGATCCTCTTCTGGCGCCAGGCGCGGCTCGTGGGGACGAGACATTCGTGGTCTGTCTCAAGTTTGACGGCTGCAGAGGTGACGAGCCGGCCCTGCTGCGGGCTGGCGGGGATGAGCCTGCCCTGTTGCGCACCGGCATCTTCGCAAATCTTATCTGCTGTGCTGCGCGTTGATCTGACTCTTCATCGCTCTCGTCGCTGAGATCACTGCTATCTTCTTCCTCCATCTGCTCCCTCCGCCTCTCCCTGCGCCGTTTCGCAGCATTTGTTGGGCCAAGCGTGTCGCCTCCGCCGCCGGTCAGCATGCCTCCTTCGTCTGCTTCATCTTCAAGAGTGAGCCCAGCCAGTCGAGGGGCAGCCTGGAAGTATTCGGAGGCGACGGCCGTCGGGATCGGAGGGGAATGTGTTCGTTTGATGTGCGCCGGATTGGATCGCCAGCCAGCAGCTTTGAATGGACCGGTGTTGAGGAAAGAGTCGTTAATCGTGATGAGGCGTTCGCCCACGCCATCGGCTACCTCGCTGAGGTAGCTTGTCCGCAGCTGGTGCGAAACAAGACTGTGCACGGGGTAAAAGTCAGCATTGGGTCACCGGGGCGTTTGGAAGGGTGTACATACTCCTCGACCTGGAGGAGCGACATGGTGAGGGTGCGTGGGAGCTGTGAGCTGTCAGATGTCCATGCGGCGGCCGCATCAAGCCGCTTGTATGCTGCGGGCGCCACCTAGCATCGCAAGAACCCGTGTCGATCACAGCGCTGCAGCTCGGGCCTGTTGGGAGGCAAGGAGGGTTGGAAAGATTGTTGCTGGCTGCTGCGATAGGGTCGCCGTCGCCCGTGTGCTGATCCGTGGATGGTGTTGCCCTGGCAAGCCAGTTCCTGGCCTGCGCTGCGGCGCGCGCGCCCCACACGCCTTTCCCGGTCGTGTGGGGGAGAGGGTGGGGGGACTGACCAGATGGACTTCGACAGACCTCCTGCAAAAACAGCAAGTTCCGCCTCTGAGCTTTGCACAAGTGAATGAAACCCCAAGGAAACTGCTCATACCGCGACAGCCCGTTCAGAATATCATTTGCGATCAAATGATATCTCAGCTACATCGAGGGCGATCTTCGTGGATACTTGAACAGCAATGAATGCCTTATGCCCCACCCGGCGTACTGCCTCCACAAAAGGCAGATACAATCCCAGGCCACGAGACGTCACGCCCTGAGCCGCAGGGGGGTTGCCACTGCCCAGCTGGACATGGACTGATTGACATCCGCATATCCGAGCCTTCGATCATGATTTTACGGCCGGTGACCTTGTTCCGTTGTGTCGAGAGCACGTGGTCGTTAAATACCACCCAATCACCATCTTGATCGACAATCCGGGCGACACCCCATGATTCTGTCTTGAGGGACGCGACGAACCACGCTGTAATCATTAAAGAGGCCCCTCTGCCGGCTGCACTTTGCGAGGTCTCACTGTTTCGTTGGTAGACATGGTCAGACGCTTCCTCGACATGTCCAGTTCGGACTCAGAAGCCAAGATGAATACCTCCGGGGCCTCATCTGTATCTGCGCAGAATACAGATCCATTGCAGCTTACTTTCTGTCGCCAAGCTGTTAGGAGATTCATTTTCAGCAACAATATTTACCTCACGAACCTGGTTCCTAGCGAGATAGTCGACATCGACATGATGCACCCGGTTGTTGGCAACCCTTCAAGTCCTTGCTCGTACGCTATCCGAACTGGCAAGCTGGAAATCAGTTCAGGCCTTTCATCCGCAGCTGGCTCGGCTCGCTACGTTGGAGGCATCAACCCCTATGCGACATATGAGGTGGATGTTCAGGACATCTCCATTGGATCAGATGAGTCCTCCGGGGAGGTGGGCATCAATCTCGCCACCAACGACGATCAGACTCATCTCCAGATTGTCGCGGTGTACGATCGAGCTGGCTCGCCGGTGCTGATGCGCCTGCTCCGCGCAGGGGAAGTGATTCGCGAGGACGTCTTGTCCGCAGGGCCCGCACCTGAGCCGCCATATAAGCTTCAAGTCCAGTTTTCGGGCATCAGTCTGAACACCTTTTACACAAAAGATGGACAGACCAGATTTCTAGGCCGCATCCATCCGAACGACAACTTCAGAGATATCTTAGATCTTCGCCGTCGTTCCACGGCCATTGGGGCGCGATATGGAGTGCTCACCAAGCTTCCGGCAGGTTCTCAGGTCGTCCTCAACGGAGCAGCGTCTTATCTCTCCGCTGGAGTTGGGCAGGCTGATATCCGTCTCATTACCCGTCGAGACGGCGCACCGGTATTTGACAACGACAGAATGTGGTTCAGCTTCTCTGCTCGCGGCATTGGGACGGGCGACTGTTCTCAAGGCATCATGAGCTGGAACCCGAGTCCGTCGGAATTCAAGTTTGAAGGAACCATAGTGTTCGATCATGGGGATGGTCTTCTACGCAACGACTACGCCTCCCACATTTTCTACGACGATCAGTCTGGGACCTGGAAAGCGTGGTCTTGCGACTTTGGCGGCTCGGCAAACCAGGAAGGAAGGGGGCCCTCGGGGCTCGTAGTAGCAGAATCGAAGCGAGACCCCCGACGTGGATTCTCTGTGATGTCGGCATCCGTTCTCAAAGATATTGCAGGCCAGCACGAGGATCCATGCGGCTTCTTCGACTCCGACTCGGGAACGTGGCGACTACTCACCACGGAATTGTCCAACGGCTTTCGGGCCCAACTGTTCGAGTCTGAATCATGGAAGGGACCTTTCACGCCGATAGCAACGCCGGTGAACCACAACAGCACTGGGACACTCATTCAGAAATTCGGCCAGCAGCGGTTTGTCTTTGCGGGAAGTAGTGAGCCTACCGTGTTTGTGTATTCCTATCCTGATCTGCGAGAGCTCGGAACTCTCAAGATTGATCTTCCACCTTTCACACCAGGACGAAACTCACGAATCTGGCCCAACGTCTTCCCTTTACCAGTTGGCTATCCTGCCCGCTACATGGCTTTGATGATGGATCGTGCCAATTTTCCAGACGTACAGGGCGATACCTGGAGCTATGGCGCTTTATACACGTACTGGGCACATACGGAGGACATTTCTCACGATGAGTATGAATTTGACCTCTAACATGACAGCCAGCCTGATGGTGTATAGAGTCCTCCTGCGTCATGTTTCGAATATCTACATTGAGTTGCGGCGCTTCCATGCCCAGTCTGCGTCCGCATGAATTTTCGGCTCCGAAATATCCTTTCTGAGCTCCTTCTTCCTGCGCCAGTCTGTCCCAAACTTCCGATCGCGCTCTCCGACGTGCTTCTCGAAATCGAACTGGTCATAATCAGTGAAGCTGGTCATCAAGTTCGGCTCGCCTAGAGGCAATTTGTCCCCACGATCCGTCTGCCACAGGTGGTAGACCTTGCCGTAAAGCCCAATGACGCTCTTCATCTCTTCCGTCTCTGCAGCCTCCCACGTAGCTCGCGCGCCTGGTGCAGTAGGGCCGGGCATGACGAGCATGCCTGATTTCACCTCGAACACGTGCGAGTGCCAAAGCTTCCGCTCCCCAGGGGGCAGGGTCTCGTACAGCTTTCGAGTAATCATGTACTCGATGCCGATAAGCCGGGCGTTGGGGCCTGGGCTGTCGTAGAGGATGCATTGCCGGACATCTGCTTGCAAGGTTAGCAAACTGAGTGATGTCCACTATACTGGGTAGTCTTATTTATGGGTAGAAAAGCAAAAGCCAGGCTCACCTGAGCTCAAATGTGCACAATAGTGGTTCGCCTCTACAAACCGGCCAGGCTCGTCCGCATATGCGTGGAAGGCATTGAGATGGGCACACAGCTGTTTGACTGGCTGAAAGTCCTAGATTTCCAAGCGTGCGTACTTTGTTAGGTCAATCGCCTTGTCATTCGACTTGAAGTCACGATGCTGCAACTGGCCAAAAGTATGACAAATCCTGGACTTACTTGCACTAGCGAGGCACCTGTCTCGAGAGCTCTATCTTTCGCCGGGACAGGGCCGCCTGGGACGTCAGCTTTGTCTGTCATTGTTCTTTATCTGGCGGGCAATGGGTATAATTGAGTTTTGAGTTGTTAGTCGTTTATTTCTACCAAGCAATCATGCAGTCTAGAGACCGCATCACGCTCATCAAGGAATGGAGGACTTATATACCGGCCCGCGTGCAAAAGATACACGGCTGTTGGGCCACGGGCACCCGTGATCCAATATTGATGTCACCTATAAGTGATTGGTTGTCATAGCGGGCACTTGGCGGAAAGAACGCTCCTGCTGGATGCTTTGGGCCTGTGGGGAACTTCGCGGGGTTTGTTCTGGCCAGAATCGCTCGAGCACTACAGCACCATATTTCGAGCTTCAATCAAGGCCTGCTATATTAAATTATTGCCGAGATCGTGATGCGCGGGTGAGGGGTATTGGGAATTGGTCGTCCCCATGCCCTTCCTACCCGGCTCGCCATTACTTTATCCCACACGGATATGGAGTGGGGTATATGTCTGACCGAGGAATACGTTGGGGAGTGCTGGTGAGCATGTTCTTGGAAGAGCTATCGCTTTAAAGACTTATCAGGTACAACTCGTCGCAAAACTCTCCAGGCCATCGCAGAGTATTAGTTCCGGGTAACTATCCACCGCAGCTCACCCAACACCCGCCTAGAGCAGAACAAGAAATGATGACGACTGCGGGACTCGCAAAGTAATGCGCCAGCCCCGCATTCATGAAGCTGCCCCTGGCGAGTGGCCCAGTGGGTGCGGCAAGGGTGGGATAGCGCCAGGTCCGCCGCTACTGTCCCGTGCCAGCCCGAGGGGTGCGACTACAGGAGGACCCGCTTCGTGCCCAGGGGTCGCCAATCTGCCTGCCGAACCACGAATATGGGACGGCAACCTTGACGGCGACTGCCTGATTGACCAGGACAACCACCTCTCTCCAACGTGTCCAATCGCCGTACAAGTGCGCCTCGCCTTGCATCCTCTCACCACGCGCTTCCGAGTCCAATTCTCGGGCCCCTGCGAGCCGACGAGATACTTCGTCTTGTCACAACCCGCAACAGCACGCAATACGAATTGGCCCTGCTCGACGACGATCCCGGCCACGCTTGCGCGGATGATGAGCGTCTTGTTCTGATCGAGCTTCACATCTCCTGCCTGGCCCCTTGTGGCACAGCGCCGCAGCAGCAATGGCCGCATCCCGCCGCGGCCAGCCGGAACTGCATGTTCGCCTTCCGACTCAACCACTCGGCCCCGTCTCGAGCCTGACGACAGCGACACCACTGCCTCCCGACCTGCCGCCGATTTCGGCACTCTTCCTCATCGAGTTCGACGTGAAAGCCGGCTATACCATCTCCTGGAAGGCAGCGCAGCCCGGAGTTGACCTTGAGGGAGCTGTCGAGTACAAGTCGCTGCCATCTGGACTTCATGCCGTCTCCGAGGACTTGATATACTTTGTCCATGAGCAATATGCTGGGCTGAGCGCATTCATTAATGCTCCCGTCGAGGACAGCCAGCTCCGCAATGCCCGAATGCTGGCTGTCGGCGTCCTTGTGCCTCTTAGCTATGGACGTTTGGGGCGGGCGTGGAAACATGCCGAAGGGCTCAAAGAACTGGTCTCGTGAGTCTTCCCATACCACACCTCTGCTCGAGTATGCTTATTTGTTGGCTAATGGCACACAACACCTGCAGTGCGCTCTCCACGGATGTCAAGGATACTGCTGCCCTCCAGCAATACTGGGACAAGAATCATGCTCGTGAAGACAAAGCAGAAGATGGGAACAAGAGACTGTCTCTCGACTCGCCTTCAGTGACGTTCCAGTCTCCAACCATCAAAACACCCAACCGAGGACATGCTCGGAAACGTTCAGCCTCAGACGGCGCTGGCATATTGACGTCTGGACACAAGCTTTCACCGTATCACCCGGCTTGGAGCTTGACGAAGCTACTCGACACCTTCGGTCCTCTCATATTCCCCATACAGCGTGCGGCGCTATTGCGCAAGAGAATATTGATATCGTGTCATGCGCCTGTTCACGAAGCATGCAACTTTGTGTACGACATCTCCATTCTGTCGAACATTCCCCTTTCTTCTCTTGAGGTATTGAGCCCTGAAGGGCCATCCCATCGTTTGCGGCCGTTGTTCACTGTCGGGGTGCACGATATCCCTTTCCTTGTCGATGATGCCAAGCAGGAGCCTACCATCGGTAAAGACGAAGAGCGTGGCACCGGCTGGATTGCATGCACAACCGACAGCATACTCGCCATGAAGGAGACGTTATGGGATGTGCTCATCACGATGCCAACAACCCAAACAGCAAACCCCTCGGGCTGGTCATGGCCGACTGTTCAAGGTCGGGGCGGGGTGACCATCAGAGCGACACAGCGGGACTTGCGACGCTTCAAGGCTTTGAAGCGTGGCCTAGCTCGGCTTCAAACTGTTCCAGGCAGCGCGGTTGCTTCGCCATCGCCTTCACGTCCCAACACTTCACATCAAGCAGAGGGTTCAATACTTGACGAGGCCGAGAGCATCGTCGAGCCTCACACTTGGGCGGCACTAGCGTACAACGGCTTTATGTGGTGGGCTTCGGCCGGAGAGCAGGCGCGGTCCGACGAGGCCGAAGAGGCGGCACAAGATGCCTCGCTCCTGGCTGATCTATCGAGCAGCATGAGTATGTCGCATCCTTCTGGTGATGTTGCAGGATCGATTGGCTCGCTTGAACGAACACGTAGGCTCTCGACAAGCGGGCAGCAACCAGACGAGGCGCAAGTGGAGCTCGCCATCATTGCATACTTCCATCGCCTCACATCGAATATGCTTTCTGTAGCTGGGGAGGTCGTTGAGGCTATGCGCTACAACGAGATTGAGATCGGACAGGAAGCCGCAAATGCGATAGACGACGATGAGACAAGTAGTCCCACGGAGAGCGAGCGCGAACACCTGCTCGCTGACAGTGGTGACAGTGGTAGGATCGAGGATGATGATGATGATGATGACACAGACAGCATCAACGGCGGCAGGGGTGTCCGAGTCGATAATGAGTCGATCTCACGCATGGGGCTTGATGTGTGGAGTCCCGCCGATGCCAAATTTGCGTGCGAGCTTCTTCAAGAGTACTATGGGCGGAGAGCCTATGTGGAAGGGAAAGTGGTCGAGATATGTGGCGTCAGAGTGTGCTGAGACGTCCACAAGAACCTGGCATTCTTTGATCACGTTTGTACAAGTTGTGGGCTATTGCTTGTTTTCTATGTTGCCCACAGTTCAGGCGTAAGGGTGGGGTTTTCTTCTCAAAGTTATTGCCATTCTTATTGTCTTCGGATTAATCACAAAACTGCCCAGTGGGGGGTTTCTTCTCCAAACAATGCTTGTAAAGACATGCTCTGAGGCAGAGAACCCAGGAGTCTAAAGGTAGATGCTTGCACTTGAAACTCATTGGCCTTGAGCTTGTTTGGGACGGACAGACGCTCAGCATGCTCCTGAGAGAGGAGTTGATGAAGAAGACAAGCAACATGTCCACGGCGCCCATCGTACCTTGGCTGCATTTCCTGGTACATGCACATGTCCAGTCGTATTGCGGAACATGGAACCAGGGAAGTGCTATGTATAGATACACGACATTTCAATGACGCTGGTCGTCCGTCCGTGGGGCCACAGCGCGAGAGCGGGCGGTACTTATTGCTCCCGTATCGATAACGGCCCCTTGCTCTGCCCAGGTAGTGTCCCGCAGGCGGGAGGTCCCCACCCGAAATTTGGGAGGCCACGATTACCACTTGCTATTGCAAGGAGCCAGCTTGCCTCTGGCAGTAGCGTGCGCACTCAGTGAAGCCACATCATAGGGCATTAAGTCCCCTCCTTCCTGGCTCTCCAACCGCAAGGCCACTTTCCACCCGTGACACTCTCCCTCGAGGACGACAGCCGTGACTGCGCAACGGCACCGCCTTCCAGTCTCGTTTCCGTTCATTCTTTACCTCTCTCTCAACTCGGTGTAAATCGCTGCCGCTCCCGCCTACGCTGCAAAGTCCCTACTCGTAGGGCGACGCTCCCGCCATGAGCTCCGACTACTCGTACGACGAACAGGGTCAATTCTACCCGTTTTTCATTTTCACGCTCTCGACCCTCGTCACACTTCCTCTCACCTACAGCCTCCTCGCCCCGAGCAAGGATCCCGAGGCGCTTGCGCAACGCATACGGACAGACTACAAGCCTGAGCATGCCGACCTCGTCCAAGCCCAGCGCAATGCACAGAAGCGCCGCCAGCGCCGCGTCAAGCGCGCGATTGCAGCCATTCTCGGCTGGGCCATCATGGCAGGCATGATGTACCTCATCATCACAACACAACGCTCCGTGCCCAAGCTCTGGAACCCGTACGATATCCTGGGCATCTCCGAGTCCGCCAACGAGCAGCAGATCAAGCGCCACTACAAGAAGCTCGGCATCAAGTACCACCCCGACAAGATCAGGCCCGACCCGGCCAAGAACGAGACCGTCGAGTCTCTCACTAACGCCTGGGTCGAGATGACCAAGGCCTACCAGGCGCTGACCGACGAGGAAGTCCGTAACAACTACATCCAGTACGGCCACCCCGACGGCAAGCAGGGTTTCAGCATCGGCATCGCCCTGCCCAAGTTTATCGTTTCTGACGGCAATGGCAAATACGTCGTCCTCGTATACGCTATTCTCCTGGGTGTCCTACTCCCCTACACCGTGGGCTCCTGGTGGTACGGTGTACAGAGGATGTCCAAGGAGGGCGTCCTGCTGGAGAGTGCCAACATGATGTTCCGCGAATACAAGGAGGCCATGGACGAGGGCGATATTGTCACCGCGCTGAGCGCTGGTGCTGAGTACCGCGACCACCTGAAGGGCGACAAGGCCGAGTCTGGTCTTTCGAAGATCGAATCTAAGATTTCTCAGCCTGGTCAAACCACTCCCTTCGCGAGTGGATTCGAAGAGAAGGACAAGATCGCCCTTGAGGATGTTGAGAGCGGCTCGCGGAGGAAGGTCTTGGGGCTCCTCTGGGCGTACCTGGGCCGTGTTGAGCTCGAAGATCAGGCCCTCGACAGCGCCAAGTACCTGGTGGCGCCGATTGCCAATGCTCTTCTTCACTCTCTGACTACTATCTCGGTCGCCTTCGGTAACGCCGGTCCGATTATCGCCTCGTACCTAACCAGCCAAAGGCTCATCCAGGCTATTCCGCCCAAGGCCTCGCCTCTGTTCCAGCTCCCTCACTTTACTCCCGCGGTTGTCAAGGCCATCGAGGGAGACTCAAAGAAGCACGCCACTGTGCAGCAGTTCATGTCACTACCGGACGCCCAAAGAAGGTCACTGGTTGTCGGCAAGGGCTTGTTGACGGAGGAGCAATACACGACCGCCATCAACGTTGCGCAGCAGCTTCCTCATCTTCATCTCGAGAAGGCATTCTTCAAGGTTACTGGCGAGCGTGTTGTCACTCCCGGATCTCTAGTGACGCTGGTCATCAAGGGTCGCGTCGTTCCTCCTGGAAGCACGAACGTGCCCGAAATCGACGAGCTGGATCTGGAAGACGTTGACCCTGCGGAGGACGACCTCGATGCTCTCCTCGGACGCAAGAAGGTCAAGGATGAGAATGGAAAGCTTGTGAAGAAAGACAACAAGCCAATCCCGCCTCCTCTTACCTTTGCCCCCTACTATGCTCGCGATATTACTCCCAAGTGGCACGTTTTCCTGTCGGATAGCAAGCAAGGGAAGATGGCTGTTCCTCCGTGCACATTCACCGCGTTTGATAAGCCAATGTTTACCGAGGATGGCAAGCCGACATATCACATGCTCACCCTCAAGGCACCAGGGTTCGCGGCGCCACCACAGCCTGGAAAGTACACCTTTGTGATGAACATGGTGTGCGACAGTTACGTGGGCTTTGATGCGAAGGTGGACGTCACATTGACAGTGGAGGACGCGGCCAAGGCGGCACAGATTCAGGCCGAGGATGATATCAGCGACCCTGAAGAAGGTGAGTCTTCCCGGACAGAGGACACCATTGAAGATAGTTTGACTGACAATTGTACAGATTCGTTGGCCGGACAAATGAGCGCCATGAAGGGCGGCCCGGTCAAGAAGCGGGTCGACTCTGATGACTCTGACGAGGAAAGTGGCACAGACGAAGAGGAGGACGACACAAGCGCGACAAATACAGACACGGAGGACGAGTCATGATCCAGATAGGGCTGGTGAAGACGTGACGTAGAGTGATGTTTCTTGAGATTCGGGGGTGTTTCACTGGTGTTGATATGTACTCAGATAAAAGATTTTGGTTTCGGAATGGCCATAGTTGTGGTTGTCGTTGGGTTGAAAGTCTCTTGATGACCTCTTTGCAGCATTTACACCCATGAGCCGCAACAATACATGAATACCCTCTTTCAATGAAGTCCTCGTCGCTTTCTTCACATGTGGATGATATGGGACTGCATCGCACAGCTACGGCTCGATGACCGTCAGCTCCCGATGACCCAAGCTGGGTTTTCTCTTTAAATCAGGGTATGTGTACTGACATTTGATAAAACCGTCTCGTCCCGGCCATCCAGAGTTCTCTTCTGGTTACTCTCTTCCAGCACGGCCAATGAATGACTGAACATCATAATCATTATGTTGTGTATGTGTGTGTGTGTGTGTGTGTTGAGGCTGGACAGTCTGTAGGCAAAGGCTCTCAAGGCCGACTGATGTTTTTGACCATGCAGTCTTGTTCCTGATTCAAACATGTTGCGGAAACCTCTCTTTCAATTTCCGCTTGCTCAGAAACTCGTAGGTGATGGGCTCGAGACGTCTCTCCCTCTAAACGCGTGGTTTCATGCACTTGAGCACTTTATTCTTCTCTGGCTAGTTCGCACCCATCTAATTGGGACTATGTGCCCATGAATTTGTACACGAAGCACTTCCCCTGGTGTGCGTCCTTCGCCTGCCCGCCGAGGGCAGACTCATACGACAAGGAACGCAGTGACGATTACGACAACGACGAAGACAAGACCGATATCCTGGGAAGCCAGCTTACCAAGCCCTCCCTTGACCACCACCCTCATTCAACAATCCTTTATTTCATGCTGCACCTGCTCTCACGCCCCCCACCTCCTTGGGCTACCCCTGCCTCACCCTATGAAAGGCATCTTGGTCCCCACGCGCCGCTGATACTCGACGTAGTCCCTGCCAAAGAACCTGACGAGCGAGCTCTCCTCGGCCCTGACCCTGCTCGAGAAGAAGTGCCACAGCACGGCGACGTAGGCGGCCAGGCACAGCACGTTCCCGAGGACGAGCTGCGTGCCCACGGCCCACCAGAAGAAGCCAAAGTACGACGGGTGGCGGAGGTGCGCGTAGCAGCCCGTCGTGACGAGCACGTGCGTGTCGCGCTTGCGGTGCTGGACGACGTGGTTGAACGAAGGGCCGGCCTCGGCCATGGCCGCCGAGCGGATGGCCTGGCCGACCAGCACCAGGGAGATGCCCGCCAGGAGGAGGACCGCGTTGAGGGACGGGATCAGGGCAGCGGGCAGGAACGGGGTGAGGAACAGGGAGATTAGCGAAGACGGGCTTGCCCGGTGGGGGAAGGCGAGGTTGGTGAGGAGGCACTCGAGGGATGCGGAGGAGTGGGCGATCGCGTAGGCAGGCCAGTTTGCGGTCAGCAGGAAGGATTTGATGGTCGCGTCGGCGGTGCTGTAGCGCGCCGTGGTGTAGAACTCGAGAAAGTGGAAGATTGCCAGGCTGGCGAAGAAGAAGGGCAGTCTCCAGAACGGCGATGTCCTTGTTGTTGTCGTCGTCGTCGTCGTCGAGGAGCTGGCGCTGGCTGATGATGGTGCCAGGAGGATATAGAGCATAGCCATGACAGACGACGCGAGTACCATGCCAAGGCAGAACGAGCGGACCGCGATGCCTTCGAGGGACTTCCTGCCGCCGGGCATGTGCTGCCTCTCTGGCGAGGAGTGGGGTCCAGGAGTGAAAGGACTATGAAGTGGAAGAGCAGATTTCCGTCCTTGTCAGCAATGTTATTCTATTTTAGGACGGGTACGGTGCACCGAATCACTCTTGAAGCACGGCGGCCATGGAACGTGCTGCCCTCTGACCACGTTGCCTCTACCTAGGTATATCTTCTTCTTGGTCGCGAAACGGCTCTGAAGATGGACGCCAATCAGGCGCCTGTGACATGAGCCCAGGTGCTGGAGCGGAAGGGGTGAAGGGGTGTGGGAGGTATTTCGAGCGAGGAAGTCATTGTACTGGCGAATGAAAGGCTCTCGAAACGGGTGCTGGTGTCCAAAGATACGTGCGAGCGAGGGATGCAAGTGTCTGCAGGAGAGACGTCATGCACAGGGCAACAGCAGTGCAGCATGTGACAGAAAGCGAGATGTAGGGCCTTACCTGTCTGAATCCGAATCCATGATGTATGATGTTCTTTGTTGTCGCAAAAGACCTTTGAAAAAGAGGAACACACTAAGCCAGGCAGGCTTTTAGCTCATGGTCAGTTGTGGCTGCGCCCACGTCAAGGAAGAGCCTGTTGGCTCGTGTAAGTGGTGTTGCTGCAGAGACAGCTCCAAGGGAGGTGTCCAGGTGGTGGTGGATGGACAAAGAGCTCCAGGTCCTGAGCGGGTCAGCTGCTGCCGAAACTGGCGGTGTTTCTTGGCAGAACCTCAAACGTCACTGGTCAACGACCCTACTGTAAAGACGACGGCTCCTCGTCGTCACGCATGATGATCTCTACACGAATCCTCTCATTAAATTCTTCTGGTCATGGGAAACACGGGTTTTCTTTTTGTGACCTTCTCTCGTCACTTCAAGCTCGTGTAAATATTCCGGACGCCCCATATTCGGTGCACCCCAGGGGATCTGACCCATTGCCCTCACCCGTGCTTTAGGAGAGCTGGTAGTGTTGGACGACCATAATACCAGGGCTTGCATATATCTTAGTTGTTATTGAGTTTTATACGTCCTTCAGGGGTAGCTATGCCCAGAAACGTCCGCGTGTGACTAACATTGGTTATGCCTGGCTTCCGTCATGGCACTGGAATGCGTTGCTGATCTTCAGCCCTATGCCTGCCTTCAAATTGCTATCCGAGTGTAGCATCTGCAGTGCATTACCATGGGTTCGATGGAGACCAGCCAGTTGCCTGCACAATGTTCGTCTAGGATCGTTGATATCATCTCCCTACTGCAACCGTAGGTAGCTGAGGAGTGATGTTGTGCATACACTGTCGCGAAAGGCGCCGCCCTCAATCTTCATGGCTCTTTGCTTCGTGGCGCAGTGGCACGATTGGCAGACTGGTATTCAAACCTCTCGTGCTCTGTCCGCCCAATTCCTCGCATCCGTGCCACCTTGAGACCGGAGGACAGAGGTAGAAATCTGTCGTCGCAAGGCGTCCAGACCATGACGAAGTGCCGCTTGGACAACCCTGGGTCGCTATCGTAGGGTATCGTTGATGCTGTTCAGAGACCGCCTTGGATGGTGAAAGATGAAATGATGAGCACTAGCACATTGATCCAACCCCAGATGAAGGGGATCCAAGTCGACATTTCATAGCATCCGGCAATGTAGATGGCTCCGAGGACCAACCCGACGACGCTCCCCGCAAACAAGGCCTCGAAGCCAGCGACGATGGCATATACAGCAGGCACCGCCCAGAGGAACTTCCACGCCACCCTCGGCCGGCCGACATGCATGAGCAGCGCTACACCCACGGCACCAAAGTGGAACAAGGCATAGAGGATGAGCGTCCAGAGGAGCGTGAACCGCCAGGAGTCGGAAAGCGAGTAGAGAGCGTGCTCATGCTGCTGTGGAGGCCAACGCAGGCCCGGGAAGCTTGGCTGCTGGTAGTCTGGCGGTGGCCATCTGGCGCACAGATCCTCAGGTTTCCTGTGCCAGGTCAGCGCGGGTGTGCTTGCGGTGAGCTGCAGAGGAGAGTGTGACCTACAAGATATGTGCCATGCTGGAGCAATGGTGGCAGGTGCCAATGGCATTGCTGGCTCTGCGTGCCCTGCCCTTGTGGGCGCGCAAAGGGCAAGGATTGCGTAGGTCGAAGGGATGGCGCAAGGTGGTGGTCGAGGTCGAAAGAGGTGAGGTACTATGGTACGTGATGGGGAACGAGATGGTGCTTGACGTGACAGGGCTGGCTGGTGGATGCCGCTAGGGAGCTCCGCCAGCGTGCATGCCCTCCCTGGAGCGCCCCCCACGGGCGGGTGTCCCAGCAGCCTTCGGCTCAGACCAGCGAGCCGAGGCAAGACTGAAGTGTGTTGCTCCTGCGTCACGACTCTTCTCTGCTCTCCGCCGCATCAACCACACGACCAACAACGAGCAGTAATGATAGCCTGACCCGCCTCAAGCGCGGCAAGACAATCGACGTCGCGCATCCTCCCACGGCGCTCCCGTCATGTCGTCCGATCGCCTGTTGACCACCGTCCTCCGGGCGTACCAGGACGCGCCCAACAACGAGCAGACGGACAAGATCTTCGGCACAACTACCCACCTGCTGTCCAACCTCACCAACCCTCTCAATCTCTCGATTCTCACATCGCACTTCCTCACCGCGCGCTCTATATGGCAATACCCGGATGGCCTGCGCACATGCCTCCGCGTCATTAGCGTCTACAATACCGCCGCCGGCCACGTCCGACAGAATGCTCTTGACAACCTCGAGGTTCCGCCAGGCCAACCTCGCATCGGAAGCGGCGTCCAGTGTGAAGAATGGGCGCGCGCCGTCGCCAAGGGCGCGGACGAGAGGTCCAGCAGGTGGCAGCATTGCCTGGTGCTCACAGGCATCCTGATGGGCATGGAGAGCGACGAAAAGCGGTCACTTTCGAGGAGCCTGCGGTCGACTCTGGAACAAGCCGTCGTGGCTGCGGCCAACCTCGCCCTCCAAGAACCCGTCCACACCGGCCTCCTAGGCCGAGGCGCTGTTGTCCTGGCGCTGTCGTACGCGTTCCCGCTCCTATCCGACCACAACAAGGCTAGCCTCAATGGCAACGCCTTGCTTCCAGCTGCGGTCGAGGCCATGGTCGGGAGTGAAGGTTTCCACAACTGCGACTTTATCCAAGCAATCACCAACGACATCAAGCCTAGCCAGAACAAGTGGTGGCAGGTCGATTCACCATCGGTGGTGAGACTTCGGAGGACGGAATCTCGACCACTGACCCAGAACATGGGCGCCCTCTCGCGCGTCTTGGTCTTTTCCGTTCAGCACGCTGCGGACGCCCAGCCGGTTTTGCTGGCCTTGGACCAAATGCTTGCACTCACTACTGCGCTTGTGCAGCGTTGGCGCGCCTGCCCCCTCTCGACTATCGATCCGGCTATCGAGGTTGCGTTCTTCCCTCCACCAGTGCTTTCGGGGCCCGTGACTTCACTGTGGCAGCTGTTCCGACGGATCCTGTACACCGTTGTTGCGGTGCTCCAGCCGATTATCGGTCGGACACTGCTTGACCCTCGACTACGCAATGACATGGTTGCCCCTACTGTCGCCAGCAAGACACTACACATCCTGCGGAACATGTCATTCATCTCATCGCGGCAAGGGGCGAGCTCGTTCCAGGTCTACACATTCACGTACATGACCGCACTGGACATCATCACCCGCTTCACGGATCACTGTATCGCATTCCTGAAGAACACGCAGCCACCAGCTCCTCAGGCCAGCGCGCTTCCGTCACCACTCGACCAAGCCCTCACCCTCTTCTATCTCAACACGGCAGAACACTTTCCTCTATCAGTCCCATCTCCAGTCGCCGAAGCCCTCATTGTGAATCCAGCTTCCGCGTTACTCGCACCCACGTCATGGCTTGCGCAACCCCCGACTAACCCTACCACGCCTCCGCCCTCCCTAACCCTGGAGCTCTTCGAAGCCGCCCACAGCGCCATTCTCGCCGTCATGTCGTGCCCGCAGCACAGTGGCCCTCTGACGGTCAACCTGATCCCTTTCTACGTGGACACCTTATTATCCAGCTTCCCGGCGCGCATATCCCCTCGCCAATTCCGGCTCGCCTTTAAGACGGTGATGCAGATTGCGAGCCCGCCTTTCCCGATATCAGCCAGCCACCCAGACCTTTCGGAAGCACTGCTCGAAATGCTCCGCCACCGCGCTCTCCAAGGCGGCGCATCAAGCCTACCCCTGACCCCGCCAGCCTCCGAACTTGCCCCGGCACCAGGAGATACGCAACCACCGCAGCCGGCGCCACCGCAGTCCGAGCAAAGCACCCTCGTGCTTGGCCTCATCGACGCACTCCCCTACCTTCCCTTGCCCATAGTGGACGAGTGGCTCACCCGTGCTGCCGACGCGATGAATGCGATTGAGGACTCGACCCTGCGCGAGGTATGCCGCCGCCGCTTCTGGGATGTCCTGGTCAGCGGGGAGATGGACGTCGAGAGGGCGGCTGTGGGCGTGGCGTGGTGGGGCACTCGAGGGGGGCGAGAGATGGTCCTTTTCGGCCAGAGGGCCGCGGACAGGAAGAGGCTCGGTGGCGGCGACGAGGGGCCGTTCATGATGAGCGGTGCTCTCGGGGATGGAGGAGGGAGCGCTGCCGAAGCTGAGAACAGAACGCGGAGGAGTGTGCTGTGAGAGTAAGCCGTGTACATCGTTTGTATCATCCCTGGAGAGTTTTTGAGCAAGCCATCTTCATATAATATGTATAGATATGTTCACTGCCATCGCTGTATCTATGTCACGGATGCGAAAAACGGATCAGCAGTCATTCTGCTTAGACCAAAGTGCTAATGCGGTCATCACTTGTCAATTTCCCTTCGAATCCTATGCTTAAAATGCTTCTGATGAACGCCGTGGGTGGTGTAATGGACCGAGACCCTGCCAGGAAGCCCGAAGAAAACCTTAATGATTATGCAAAAAGTCTGGCTGTACGAGCCACGCGCGGCCTTTGCTTCCGACTGGACGGGATGTGTTGCTAGTGATCATGAGAGGTAAAGGCGCTGCTGACACCGAGCAGCGTCATGCCTAGGACGGCGAAGACTATGCTCAGGTTCCTGTTGTGGTTCAGACTAAGAGACTCCACAAACAGGTGGATGGCAACACTGGTCATGATGCCTGCCGTCACTGCAAACAAGCAACCATATGCAACCTCATCCGGACTCATGTTACTGTGATTAGCAAACTTGAACCACAACGCAGCGATGCCTGCTCCCAGAGGCTGGCTCAGGCCACCCAGGACAGATGACCACATGATGGCCTTTGTTCTGCTGTTGAGCGCCATATACAACGGCAGTGCCATTGCAAAGCCCTCCGAGATATTGTGGACGAATAGGGCGAGGAAGACGCTGAAGCCAAGCTCAGGGTTTGCATGGTTCGTAGCATATGTAATGAAGCCTTCAGGGAACTTGTGCAGAGCAATGGCTATCGACGTCTGCAAGCCGATGGACAGGAATGCGTTTTGTGGAACATGATGATGATGCTGCGACTCCAGGTCATCGTGGTCATGCTCGTGTCCATCATCTGTTTGCTGGTCAAAATGCGAATGGCTTGATGTGGCCCTGCTTCTCTGTTCGGTGGGACTCAAGGTGCCCGTTGTCGAGGCTTCCCCTGTGGCCTCTTCACCTGGCGTCGCCTCGGCGATGCTGGTCGTGCGAAAGTTGGAGAATGGCTTGGGAACACGGCTGCTGATATGCTTGAAACACTCCTGGCCGCACGGGTCTGTGTAGCCATAACATGGTCCCTGTTCGTCGCAATTTGACTTTGTGTCTTTCACAAACGACAGGACTCTCTTTTGTACCTGTAACATTGATGGCCGCCGGCTCTGCGTTGTCGCTCTGCTACGGCTGATCTGCGGCGTGGGTCCGGGTCTGTATGGGTACTCTGTATCAATAGTCGCAGTCCGGTGAAGACCACTACCGCTGTTTGGAACCTCCGTCAACAACGGCGTGCTTTCGTGGGCGGCAGAAACGCCATTAGTTGGCGTCTTCGTGCTTGGGTAGTTTCTTCCAAAGGAATCTACGCGTCGGCAGCTCGAACTGCGCACACGCGAGGATTGCCGGCGGCTCTGTCCGTGTGAATGCTCGTGGTCATCGCCATGGCTGTGATCGCAATCGACGACATGTGAAGGGAGAAGCTGATGGAACAGCCGCGATACGATCTGAATTCCGACAAATCCTGCCACGAAAGATGCCATAAGGATCAGGCCCGAGACTGGGTCTTCGTAGCCACCCTTCGAAAGGTACTTCTTCGCTGATGGTAGCATGCTATAGAGAGACATGAACAACTGTGATCAAACTCATTAGCCACTCTGCGGAGATAAAGCCAGAGGACACGGCTAAAACCACAAACATGCAGCGATACTCACCATGACGCCGAAGCTAAGACTGAGCGACGCCGCGAGAAAGGCATTGCTATCCTGTACGCGAAAGTTCTTCTTGCCAGGAAAGAGGCGGACGATGACGTCGACATTGATGACACTAGCACCAAGGACGCACGCTGCGCGATAGACAGTGGTCAGCGTCGGGTGTCTGTGATGTCTACCGAGGACATTGCGACAGTGCTAGCAATCACTCACCTGTCCCGCTGACCAAGCACATGATCCAACCACGGGTGTCATTACTGAGCTCTGTCGCCTCCATGACGGCCATTATGCGTCCGCCAGCGCTGGCGATATGGCTTGCGCGGAAGTGCGTCGACGCTCCAACTGCACCGGGCTCCTATTTACTAGCAGGTGTTGTCGTATGAGTAACGCATAAGCAGTACGCGATTTCGATGAAGTGCGAAATAGTGTTAAGACGGTCGAAATGGTTAAGAGGTGTTCGAATTGTCGATGATATGATTCACGGTTGACTGGGCAATTGTCTTGTGGAGGAAACGGCAGGATAGACGAATACTGAATCTTGCTGTTCTCGGCAGATGGCACGTGAACATGAGGTGGTCGTGGTGTGCCGAGTCGGTAAAAGATGAAGCGAGTTTGCGCCAAGTACGCACCTTAAGGAAGCAAGGTACAAGTAGACAGACGAGGCAAGGCAGGTTGGAAGGCGCATGGGCTGCCCACACCACATCAAAACGTCACTGCACTAGGATCCGGGGCTGGGGGGGGGGTCGTTCTTACATAACAGCGCTTCTGCCCTGACCTGCAGGCTTCCACACAGCTGCAAGTGCCGCGCGGATCCTGTCAAGCCCCTGCGATTGTTAATTGTCCATCCCGGCATGGGCTTTCGGTTGAGACCGCTACAGCAGGCTTCCCGCCGCAGGGACCTCGCTTCCCATACTCTAATGCTGCTCGTCGTGGCTCTTTCCAAAGTCCAAGCAGCTGCCCTGCGTCTCGAAAATTCCAGTGCTGAGTCATGTCTGACCGTGTTGATCCAGCGCTCCCGTCATGCTGATGATTAGCAATGACGACCCTCAAGGTCCTCAAGTCTCCTCTGTGCGGCTCTGGTGCGTGACAGCCACCACTTCAAAGGCTGGATGGGCATCCTGGCTGGCTTCGCGTAGCGATTGGCAGGCGGCCGAGGCGGAGGGCATCCACTACGTGCTGCAGCACCCACTCCAGCACACCCCTTGACGCCGCCTGGCCATCAGGGTCCTCAATATTGCATGCGGCAAGCCTCTCCATACCCTGGGTATCGACTGATGCCAATCGTGCCGGGGCAAGCCCACTTCCACGCTCCTTGCCAGTCAGGCACGATGCTTACTTGCAAGCGTCGCTTCGTGACTGCCACAGGTTGACTGCATGGGAATCCCTTCACCGGTCCCGTGACCGTGCTAAACACAGCGTCCGTCAATCGTCGTCGCCGTGTCCACAACTGAGAGCGTCACTGGGGGGGCACCTGCCCTCATGCCCAACCGACATACGCTCCACAGCATAGCAGGTGCCTGACAGCTATTCGACAAAGGGCGATGCTCAGGAATGTGAGGAATTCGTGCCCGTTTGATGATTTCTGGTGTTGTCCAGCGAGCAGCGCTCTCGTCGCGTCTGCCTGGGCTTATAGGCTCTTTGTGCTCATGATCATGGTCAGGAGGGCCACCCAGTCAGTGTCACTACCTGTTGCACACATTTGCAACCACAGAGCTCGCACGCGGCTGGCAAGAAAGGCGATGTCTCGAGCCATAAAAAACGGGTTGAATGTCCTAAGTTGTTCAAATAATATCAGAGCGATGCCACCGATGTCTAATGTATCTCAGAAGTGATCCCTTTGACCTCAAAGAAGGCCTCGCTGGTTGGCAGCGTCTCGGTTACACCAAGTACGCTACATTGCGGACATGGCCAGCAACCACGGCCGACCCCTGCCAGGCGGGCCCCCGCACCTGACCCGGCCTGTCACAAGCCGCCCTCAGCACCACTCAACCCCAAAAATTTCCAGCAGACGGGTTCATGAGATCGCAACTCCGCTGCTAGACGTCGACACCTCACCACGAGGCTTGCCGTAGCCCTTCCGCGTGCACCAGTTCCTCCCTCTGCTGACGCCGACAGACGGTTTCTGGCTGTCATCCTCTCCTTTCCCAGGTGTCCTTCGCTTAAAAGGCACGCCGCCAGCAGCAACCACTCCCTCTTGGGAGCTCTACAGCACCATGTCCAAAACCACTCTTGCCCTCATCGCAGCTGCCAGCGCCGGTGCTGGTGCTGCTGTTACCGCGGGCATGTACTCGTTACGATCGCAGTCAGAGCGTAAGCTCGACACAAAGACCATCTCAACCACCACAACCACCGTCTCGACCTCGCCCTCCGCTGTACCTGCTCCCGTCCCGATTCCGGCCAAGCAGGTCTTTACGCCTCCGAACCAGCAGATGCTTTCGACCTCTTCGCCTTCCGTCCTCAGCACGGCTCCTGTCGACCCCGCAGGTCTCTTTGACTACGGCTTCCCTGGCCCCGTCTCCGATATTGCATCCAGAGAAGCCCTCGTCTCCTCGTTCGACAGGAGAACCCGCAATCCTCACTGGGTAGTCGAGCACATCACCCCAGCCTCGCTCGCACAAAGAGGCGGCGACAGGCAACACAGCACATTCCTCGAGGATGACGGTGTGCCTGAAAAGTTCCGCGCCAAGCTCAAGGACTATTACCGCTCTGGCTTCGACCGTGGCCATCAGGTGCCTGCTGCCGACTGCAAGTGGAGCCAGAAAGCCATGGATGAGACCTTCTTCCTCACCAACATGAGCCCCCAGGTCGGCGAGGGCTTCAATCGCGATTACTGGGCGCACTTCGAGGACTTCTGCAGGCGCCTGACCACGCGTTATCCGAGCGTCCGCATCGTCACGGGACCGCTGTACCTGCCTAAGCGCGATCCAGTCGACAACAAGTGGTACGTCAAGTACGAGATGATCGGCAACCCGCCCAACGTCGCGGTCCCGACACACTTTTACAAGGTCATCTTTGCCGAGGACGGCCGCACGGGCGGCAACGTCGCCATTGGCGCCTTTGTCCTGCCCAACGCCGTCATCCCCAACGAGAAGCCCATCACCGACTTCGAGGTACCGCTCGAGGCCGTCGAGCGCGCCAGCGGACTCGAGTTCGCCACCAAGCTGCCCATGACACGGCGCAGGAGGCTCTGCGCCGACACGACGTGCGCTCTGGTCATCAAGGATTATGCCGCCAGGCAGAAGGCTTTTGTCAAGAAATGAGCACACACCGCCACTGCGCGTTCAGTGAGCCTTCCTTTCTGAAGCGTGTATTCCGTCTTGGGGTCGATATCGCATTCTGGCGTTCTTTTTGCATGGGATAGACTGGAGTTCCTTAATACTCCTTGGGTATTCTCGTTGTCGACAAGTCCAGCACAGGCCTCTGGGGAGGACGTTTCTAGCCACGAGCATGGTCATTCATCGTTTGAGCACAATCTGGTACTTCTGATTTAGGTCAGCCGACCTCTCGCCGCGCTGCATTCACGATACATGATTTGCTGTACATGTTGGGCACTGCACGATTCACACGATACTTGGGATATTGACGCTGGGAAGGAACAGGCATTCATCAAGAATGTAACTTTGCATATAGGCCTGGAAGGCGCTTTGTTTTATTTTCCTGCGCGCCCGTAGATAGCATCCACACACAGTTGACAGCATTTACACATATGTTCATGCATGAAGCATGCACACGGGGATACAATGTGATGAGCTTCGCAGAACCGATACGGCCATTGATTAATCATGACCATGCCTCGAAACTATATAGGGGCGTTTGGAACAATATGCCTCAAATACCCCGCGGGACTATAGCAATATGCCACTTTCATGCCTTACCTGTGACATGTTCTCCTTTTTTTTTACCTTTCCGAAAAGCTATGCTTTATCGAACCGATGCCAAACCAGTAAACTCATCCAGGTGCGCATCCCCGACATCACCCGTCTCCTGCAGTATCGTCTTCCGTCGTCCCCGTTACCGCACGCGCGTGTAGTTCCCCTTCCTTTGCTCCTGCCGAAGACTCTCCTCCTGACTGGGCAGCGGCGCCCTGCCCCGGCGCCCTCCAGCTTGACTATCGCCACCTCCCGCACCGCCATCGGGTCCGCCCATGCCAGGAATGCCACCACCGACGCCAGGAATGGGCACCACGATACCACCCGGACCAGCCATGCCCGGCGGCGGCGGCGGAGGGGGAGGAGGGAAGCCGCCCGGGAAATTGGGTGGTGGAATGAGTGGTAGCATGCCCGGCATGCCCGGCGGCGGCGGAGGAGGCGGGAGGCCGGCCTTTTGCATGAGCTCGGCAATCTTGGCCAGGTCGGCCGGGTTGCTTGGGTCCATGCCCAGCGGGATCGGGGGCGGTGCGGGGACACCTGCACCACCGGGGGCTCCAGGTAGGGGGAATGGAAGCGGAGGAGGCACGACGCCGTTCGCGCCGATGGGAGGGGGCGGTGGCGGTGGCGGTGGTGGGATGACTCCGTTGACGCCAGTAGGGAGAGTGAGGCCAGGTAGACCAGGCAAGCCTGGTAAGCCCGGAAAGCCTGGGAGGGCGGGTTGCCGGAGGGGCATCTTCTGGTCCACCAGACCTTCGGCCTCGTCTTCGAGTTCCTGCTCTTCTTCTTCCTGGCGCTGGCGGCGTCCGCCGCGGCGGTCCCAGGTCCCGCGGGCCTCGGCGGCGGCCTCGCCAATGTGGTATCTGTCCTCGAAGATGTCGGTCTCGCCTGGTCGCCCACGTGACCAGAACCGCGTGATGCGGTCGTTTGAGCCTGACGCGAGGATGTGGCCGAGCGGATGCCAGTCGAGCGACCAAATAGCAAAGTCGTGGGCATGGGGAATCTTGTGGGCGGGATAAATCGATTGTGTTGGTGCTGTGGCCGGGTCGGGGGACTCGTATACTGCATTGCTAATGACGTGGCCAGCGGGTGTGTTGGGTTCATCCAGGAGGTAGTGGAATAGAGATCCTTCGCTGCCACCTGTGCTAATGAGGTTGGCGTGGATCGGGTGCCATGTCAGCGTCGAAATATCCTTTTCGTGGCCCTTGAGCAAACAAATGTCCCTCATCATTCGCATGTCGAATATCCTGGCTGTCTGATCACGAGCTGAAGTAGCCAGGCAGTTGCCCATCACCCTCTCGAACACTGTTTTCGTGATGGTATTCTTGTGCCCGTGGAGCGTTGTCAAACACCGCTGCGTCCGGGGATCCCACAGCTTTACCAGATGGTCCTTCGACCCTGACACAACCAAGCCCTTTGTTGGATGCCAGTCACAGCTCTTGGCGTCCCAGCCGTGGCCTTGCAACGTAGACTCCGCCACGCCTCCGGCAAAGTCAAAGATTTTGAGAGACGAGTCGTCTGACGCCGTGACAAATTTTGCGTCATTCGGGCTGAAGGCAAGATCTCGAATTGGGTCTGTGTGACCTTGTATGACTTGCACGTTGTTGAAATTTGGCTGCCAGTACTTGATGATGCCGTCGTGATCTGCCGAGATCAACCAGTCATTACTGTGAGAATATGCCAGCGCTCTGATGGCGACGTCGTGCGCTTGCATGATTGTTTCAAAGTTGAAGCCGGTGCCGTTCCATAATGTGAACTCGCCACTGCTGGAGGCTGTCAACAACCTCCGCCCTTCTGGCGTCCAGCGCACCACATTAACCGGATGCTTGATCTTGTTGAGCGATGAGTGAAGGTGCTTTGTTGGCACCGTGTCTGCTGGGCTGGTTACCCTTGCCAAGGGCGGTAGCATCTGATATGTCGACGTGTCAGCACAAGGATGGAGTGCGCAGCAATCAAGGAGCACCCACGTCGACGATGTAGCTCGGGCTCTGCCGTTCCAGTTCGCCATGGAACGACCCTTTGAACCGGGGGTGCCGGTCCCTCATCCAGTGTACCATTGTCGAGCCATAGTCAGTCACGGGGCCTACGGTGTCATGTTAACAGATGGCATCAAGTGGGTGAAGTGCAACAGGTCACGTACGACGACCACGAGCTCTGACGAACCCGGCACCACCTCCCGCGCCGCCATCGTACCCTCCGCCGTGATCCCCACGCGGCTCAAACGACATGCCTCGCTGTGTAGGGCATGCGCCCTGGTGCTCTAGAGACTTGAACAGGCCCTCGGGATGAGTGTGATGAGAGCCACGTCAAGGCAGGCGTCCAGGACTACTCGTCAATGCTAGTCCAAGCTCTCTCAAGATGCCGTGCTAGGGCTGGGAAACCAAGCAATGGTCACGTGGACTCCACCCGTCTCAATGTCCCGGGTCGCTACGAGAGGGGTGTTCAACCAGGCGTTGTCTTGTCCCCAGGACGTTGCTGTCGTCGTGGTCGCTGCAGTGGAGTGGTACAGAATGCGATGCGCGTTGCTGATTAGGTCTTGGCGTGTAGCTGCAACTTGGATTGCCGCCATGCACCTTTCCAATGGTCCAAGCTTGCAAGTCTGTTCTGGGTGCCAAGCCACTATTCCAAAGGTGGTTTAGTCCCCGTGAGCATCTGCTCACTTAAGGAATGCCCACTCCTCAGCTGCACAATTGCACCCTTAGCGTCACATGCAACCTTGGAGTATCGCAAGGTACGTAACAAGTACGAATTTCGAGACGACCTCAAGACAAACAACTTGGGGCCTCACCCAGTCAATCAAGGCCTGTCCAGATTTGTAGGGGCGCATAGTGAACGCAGCTCTGCTCTGCTCAAAACACTTGGTTCGTCTCAGCAGCAAAGATTTCTCGGGCTCTTCAAGGCTACTCACAGCTTGAGCAGCGTTTCCACAGAAGTTTGTTCTAATTGGGGCATGCCATCGGTGCCACGAACCCCCACCACGGGATAGCGGTTCCGCGAGCCGCATATTATCTGCGAGCATGGCAGCGAAGGAGGGGAGGTCTCAAGCCATCCCAGGCACAAGTCCGGGATGTGGTGCCACGGGTCTGGCGCCTGCAGCAGACTGGCCATCCGTTGCGTGGCAGTAGGGTCAAAATCAGCACACACCACAGAGCCGCATAAGGCTGGCGGCCTCAGGGTGGCATGTCCGCAGGCTGGACTGCGTTGTGCTCGCGGTCCCCTATCCTGAGCTGACAAGGGCCCTGAGTGCAGTTCGTCTGGGATCCTTGAAACACAGCAATGATTCGTTGTCGCTCAGGGGTGGTCGGCGGCACATCAGAGGACGCATGGCATGGATTGCACCTCACAAGCCCTGATCCGACTTTCACATGCCTGCGGCTGTCACGATGACCTATTTTTCGAGCTCTGAGCGGGTCTCGTCCACAATACGGAACCCTGGAACTGCGTGCTCCCGAGTCCGGCTGGGCCGCCCTGGAGCCGCATTGCCGCCTGCCAACATATATCTCGTGGCAGCTCGATCCGATCGACGGGCGACAGTCTGGATCAGACTTGTTTGAGTAGCTGTGTTGGTGCGCCATCCAACTTTGAAGCAGCAGTAAGGTAGTCCTGACAGATCCCGAACGCCACACACGGGCCGCAGTCCATCAGGTACCGCTTACTATTTACCCATCAGCACAATCCCAGTGCTGATCGAAACCTTTGCGTAAGCCGCCCGCCCTGCGATCTGGCGCCGTACTTCTGGCCAAGACGCATTCCATTGTGAGTCTAGAAATTTCTCACGTCTTCCTGGCCCAGTCACGCCGCTGCCCAGCATCCGTCCACCTTCGCCAGCACCAGCACGACCCTTTCCCGCAGCACATTTGGGAGCGTGGAATGCACCCTGTGGACGCCACCACAGGAACAGTCCATTTGGGTCCAGCAATCAACAACGCGGCCAGCACAGCGACTCCTTCCGGCTCTCGTGCCGTGCCTGACTGAGACTTGTCTCGTCCGGCAAGATATTGCCAATGCCTGCGAGCGATAACCCGTTCCCAAGTTGCGTGCCTTCTGCTCTCCTGCGGCTGGACCTGCCAGCCAATGGACGCCGCCAGCTGTAACACCCTCTGCAGGTCCCCCGGTTGCAGTGCAGCAGACCACTGTGACGCCATCCTGCACATCCATGCACCAGCTCCCGTCTTTCCTCCCTGTCGTGCCCTGCTAAGATTATCAAGGGTTCCAGTTCTTGCCCACATCCTCAACGGCCAAGCGGCCTCTGTTCCCCCCGTGGCTGCACCAGCCGTCACTAACGGCAACTCTCGGACGCACCTGCCAACCCAAAAAGCTGGCCACGGCTTGGGCCAACAACTTTTGTCCCATTCTTTTCTGCACGAGATTCCTCATCTCACGTCCCGAGTTCAACCTCTTCATCTCTCTTGTCGCCTGCACTCCACCCCACGGTCGAGCTTCCTTCCTAGTGGCGCCTCAGTCCGAGACAGAGCTAGGGCAAGCTGCTGATAACCCCGTACGATCGACAACTGACCAGGGAGCTAGCTCACCCCTCCACCAAAACTTAAAGCCCACCACTCCATCCAGGGTCCTCGTCAAAAGCATCAGCCTTTCCCGTTCGAACCTCCTAGGCTCCAGGAAGAAAGAAATACTGAGACTGCTTGGGCCTGAAAGTTCCACTCAATTGTCCCTTTACGACCTCACAATATCGCCCGGAAAACAATCTGCATTGCAGCAATCTCACCAGCTGAAAACCTTCCCCCGCACGCCTCGAGCTCGTCCGTGAGCCAACGTCATTGTGATGGAAGGGGCTACGACGACGAGTGTGGAGACCACGATGGCTCCTCTGAGCTCGCCGACATTGCGGCGTAAAGAAGACACGACCGCTGATACTCGAACCACGCAGAAGCAAGCACCTGCTTCGGCAGCTGCTCCCACGACGGCTCGCCCGAACAAGCTGAGCGGAAAATACCGCCACGTCGCGGCTGTACACTCCATGACAAGACCATCAACTCTGAGCCATGATTCGCAAGCGGCGCCTAGCTTTCTCGGCTTCCGAAATCTCATGGTCATTGTCCTCGGTATGATGCTATTGCGTTTAGGCAACCGGCCTTGGACTCACGCTGACCCATGGCAGTTGTTGGAAACCTTCGGTTGATGATTGAGAACATGCAAAAGGTACGTCTTGGGAGCAGGAGGCCACTTTTATACGCTTTTATTTAAGCACGACTGACATATCTTCATCTCTCTGCAGTACGGAAATCTCATATGCATCACATGCCACGACTTTCGACGACAAGATCTAATCCTAGGAGCACTCCTATACGTGACGATACCGTGCTTCTTGTTCATCGCCTACTCGTTGGAATTGATTGCTGGTTCCCGAGCTCGCACATCAAAATCCCAGGCGGCCGACAAGGATGGTGCGAGCAGCCCGACAGAGGAGCAGAAGACCAAGTTTCAGACCACCTGGCGGACGATCAGAGCGCTGCACACTGTCAATGCGACTATCGCGCTCGCGCTTACAAGCTGGGTCGTATACAACTTTATCCATCATCCCTTGATCGGCACGGCCACCGAACTCCACATCATTATCGTGTATCTGAAAATGGCGTCGTATGCGCTCACCAATAGGGATCTGAGACATGCTTATCTTCATCCAGTCAAGGGGGAGCTTGCAGCATTGCCAGATCTGTACGAGAGCTGCCCGTACCCGAACAACATCACACTGAGCAACCTGGTGTATTTCTGGTGGGCCCCCACGCTCGTCTACCAGCCAGTCTACCCTCGTACCGAAAAGATCCGATGGATGTTTGTGGCCAAGCGTCTAGGAGAAGTTGCGTGTTTGAGCGTGTTTATCTGGTTCATCAGCGAGCAGTACGCCGCGCCTGTCCTCTGGAACTCGCTCGAGAAGGTCCACACCCTTAACTGGGTTGGGATGCTGGAGCGCCTCTTCAAGCTGTCCACAATCTCGCTCGTTGTCTGGTTGGCCGGCTTCTTCGCCATCTTCCAGTCCATGCTCAACGCCTTGGCTGAAATCATGCGCTTTGGAGATCGCAACTTCTACGACGATTGGTGGAACTCTGCAAGTTTGGGCGAGTACTGGCGTCTGTGGAACAAACCCGTGTATCAGTTCATGAAACGGCATGTATACATGCCCATGGTGGGTAGGGGTTACAAAATGGGCCATGCCAGCATCGCCGTTTTTGTCGTTTCGGGCATCCTGCACGAACTCGCTGTGGGCGTGCCGACGCACAACATTATTGGTAAGTATCGCTCCCCGTAACGACAAGAAAACCTCCTATTGACATGGACAAAGGTGTTGCATTCCTCGGCATGATGATCCAGCTCCCGCTCATTGCGATAACCTTACCCCTGGCCAAGATGGGCGGCTCTAACGGCAAGCTTATCGGCAACATTGTGTTCTGGGTTTCATTTACCATCTTTGGCCAGCCCTTTGCCGCGCTCCTCTATTTCTATGCATGGCAAGCCAAATACGGTTCCGTCAGTAGGTCGATGATGCCGATGGGGCAAAACGTCGGACACTGAGCACCAGCGAGATGCTCGGCTATATATTATCGGGGAGGGACCGGGACGGTGAGGAAGACCAGATTTACACAACATGTGGCTCCTTCACCAACGGACAGCGTTGTTGCCGTGTTAATAGTGCTAAGAAGCGTGGAACAAAATAGATACACAGCGTGAAAAGCCACCAAGAAAGCTTCAGACTATACGGTGACCACCAGCAAGCTTTAATCACTAAATGCATGTGCTGTTGTAGTTATACTATATGTACGCTATACCAATGATTCTCTCGACCAGTAATCCAGTACTGTGCCCGTCCCAAAAAAATGCGCCCGCCTGCGTGCCTCCCAATCTGCAAATGTACACCATTTCCCTGTGCAATGACAAGGCGCGCCAGTCTTCCTCTGATAGTCTTCGCGAAGACACAGGCAGTCGCCAGGAAGCCAACGCTTTCCACCGAATATAAACGTTGAAAACAACCAAAAAGAGGTGACCCTGATGATGAAGATGACGGCAAATCTAGTCCTCCGACCCGTCATCATGCGACGAGTTGGTCTCCGAGTTATCCTTGCCGCCGCCAACGATCGACTGCACGAAGTCGTGGTACTTGAACACCTCGCCTTTGCCCTTGGCGCCGAACCCGCCGCCGTGCTGGTCCCGCGCGGCGGCCATGACGCTGCTCTTGCTGAACGCGCGGCGCCCGCTGAACCCGCTCACGATGCGGTCCACCTCTGCGGGCGTCAGGCTGCGCTCGCCGGGCTCGGGGGCCGTGTTGAGCAGCGCGTCGCGCAGCTCCGCGACGTCGATCTGCCCGCTGTCGTCGTCGTCAAAGGCGGAGAAGGCGGACAGGAGCTCCGTGCTGGGCGACATGGCGGCTAGTGTGGTTGCTATCGAGTTGATGAAGACTGCGAGGGTCATGGTCTGTGGCGCTGAAGGCGGGAAGAACTGTGATAGCTCGGACTGGCTTGACGGGAGGCCTAAGGGGGGAAAGATGCAAAACTCAATTAGCAAAGGTGTTCTCATCATTGCTTGGGATCAAGGTCAATTTGTTGGGAGAAGGGAGGGAAAGGCAGTCGCCGAGAATCGACATACCAAGCTGGTCCAGCATGTCGGCAACGTCTTCCCGCGTCACGACGCCGTCGCTATTCCTATCGAGGATCTGGAAGCCTTCCCGCAACGTCCTGACTTGTGACGGCTGGAGCTGTGAGAGGGCATTGCCGTTGCTCGAGGGCTGCTTGGTAGGTGCGGCCCTCGAGATCGTGACTGGTGAGCCGAGATGGTTCTGGCTGTTGCCGCCAGGGGGGACACCGCCGCCAAATCGCGGTGTCCGGTTGCCGCTTTCCATGCTGGGACTGGTGGGAGGCGACGCGGCCGAGGCGGTGCTGCCGAGCCGCGAGTGCGCGAACGAGGCACCACTGGGTTTTGTTGGAGATGTCGTCGGGGTGATGTTGCCTCGTTGGCTGTACTGGCTGTTTGTTGCTTGCGAGGGCGAGGCGGGTGACTCTGGTCTGCGGAAGGGCGAGTTCCGCGCTGGCGAGCCGTAGCCGAGGGGGGACGGCTTGTAGCCGCTTGCTGCCGACATTTTCTTTGAAGGTTTTTGTATTTTCTGGGCCGGCTGGGCGCAAAGATGTGTGTGGCCGGTTGGGGATTGTGGATCGTGATGCGCGGTTGTCGCGATGCCGTCTTGGGTGTTGCAGGTGGAGGACGTAGCATGAACGAGCAGGAGCAGTGGTAGCGCCGCTGTTAATTGTGGATGGCGCTTAGAGGGGCCGATGACGGTGCGTAAACAAACGCAGGGAATGGGATTGTTGGAGCTAAACGCGCTGGGAGAGGTCTGACGTAATTGTTTACCGCGATGGGGGCCCCCTTTACGGCCAAACGATAAAGTATAAGAGATGTGATGGTTCTCTTGGGAGTGAAGCCTTGTGTGCCTGCTATTTTCGAGATCTAGGTTTCCCGTCTGCATGCACATGTAGTTTGTATCGTCGAGCATGGGCGAGGCCCTCAGTGGAGTCGGGTGTGCCAAGGTGGGTTATTCCCCAGGGTCTCGTCAAAGTACACAATGGCGTGGTTGCGGCAGCAACCGCTGTCCTTCTTGATGGCACCCGACGTGTGCAGCAGCCAGCCGCGCGCCATCCAGCTTGCTTTGCCTACCCGCCGGCCCGGCTCTGCTACAGTATCCGGATGCTGGAGTATGTCACTCTGATCTCGTGGAGAAACTGTATTTTTATACTCTTCGCATTCCTTCTCACGTGCACCTCCCTTGGGACGTTGACGCGACGGCCTGGTACTAAGAACCATGCTGTACGAGCACCCGTGCGACTCGATGGGCTGAATACACTAATTATCGCACAGAGTCATGGCTGCTGACTCGAGGGCGGTAGCCATCAGCAGCACTGGGCAAAGATCACTTCGCGGTCCCCTTTGTCTGTTGTTACCGTCTGGTCCTCTCTCTGGCCTCTGGCCAGAAATAGAGAAAGGGCCTGCCCTTGCAGCAGGTTTCAGAGTGCATCGGTTGCGTGCAGCATACCGGAGCGTTCTGGCACTCCCGCAGCCGCCCCTCCATGACAGACGGCCGACGCGCGCACTTGAGCACCTGGGCAGTCCTCCATTGTCCCGGACCCCAACCTCCCCTCGCTCCCCTCCAAGCGGCCAGACACCCCACAGAACCTTCGAGAATCGCAACAAGCCCTGCCGCTGGCGGAGCTCTGCCCAGGGACGCCAAGTAACCACCCATGGTGGCGGCAGCGGCAAGCGGGCAAGGGATGGCCCGCTGAGCTACTCGCTTGTCGGTCCCTAGTGCCTGCCGCCCGCCCAGGGGCTTTTCATCCAGGTCGGTTTCCACGAAATTGGGCCTACATCACACGCCAAGGGTCTGTCTGATGTTCCAGGTTGGCATCGTCATCCATCTGCTTCAGGCAAGTCAAAGCTGCGTTGACTTCACTCGTCACATCACGCCTGATCATCCTGACCGGCTCGAGCGTCTTGGACTATGCATAGTAGGAACCAAGGCTCACAAGGCGTGAACTCGCCACTGTCTGGAGGGGGAGCATGTCGTCGTGATGGGGACCACCAAAAGCGCAACCACTCACGAGCCGTTGACAGCGGCGTTGCATGCAGACTGCGCCGTTCAACCTCTCGATTTTCCGCGCAGCAAAACAATGCCACGCCAGTGGGTAGACTGCCATCCGCTCGGAACCATTGGCGCGGGCCATGCCCATCCCAGCCCGCGGGCGCGCTCATCACCCTCTTGCCCAGGCTTCCATTGGCCATCCTGCCCCGTTTCCTTTTCTCGTCTCGCGCAAATGAAGCAGCCCAGAGACCAGCTCGTAACAAGAACAGCCAGGGCTGTGCCATGTACCCTCGACTTGGCCCGTGGCGCAGAAGGACCCTGGCCCCGTGCGGCCGGACATGTACAAGCTACCGTGACAGTGGCCGGAGGCCGAACGGGATCATCCTCAATTTGCCAATGGCCCCAGCCTGGCGAATTTTATCCACCATGGCACTGTGAGCAAAGGCGGGCATATCCTCCAGCACTTGTGCAGGATGGCTCCAGCTCCTGGGCTGTGCTCGTCATCGGGCTGATAAATCGTGACAAGGTATTCGAGCCGAGTAATTAGTCGGCTTGCTGTTTGTTTCCGGCCACTGTCCATCGTGTCCTCAGCTTCAACTATAATCTCATCCCTCCCTTTTCGTCCCATCTCTGGGCTCGACAGCTTCGACAGTGCTTGCGACCAGACATACGCCAGCCCACCTAGCCCTCCCGCCGCTACAGCGCCCATCCCAGCACCTTCGAGCCCCGTCGCCCCCAGACCACACCCACCAGGCACCTGGAGGCTCGCCCGCACTGTCCGTGCTTCTCGTCAGTTCCTGTGGCTGGAGATCTCCGTGGAAATCTTCCTCTACGTCCCGAATCACCCTCCCAGCAGCATTCACAAGTCGAAAAAGGGTGTAGCGAAGCGCAATCGTGCTTGAACCGCCTGCCCAGCAGCGCGCTACCTTGTACCCCCGACTACGGAGCAACAAGGCGCCCAACGCTTCCGAAACAATCCTCCTTTAGCGTCGCTCCAACCTTTCTACAACATTCGACGACCAGGGACCAGTCCCGATTGTAGGCACACGACCGATCCGCTCGAGGCCGCTCTGTCTCGCTGCGAGAACCAAGTCGATATCGCTGGAACTGCGCCTGCGGCAAAGGCAGTGGCAATCTTGGGTACATCAGAACGCAACACAATCACGGTTCGTGCAACTGAAGAGTGCGAACCCTTTACCAGCTAGCTCTTTTTCGAGGAGCTGCACGTCTACAGAGCAGCGAAGAATTGCTCCTGTACTGAGACTTGCAGCGCCAAGGCAGACAGCCCTGGCTTGTGCAATCGGCAGAAGCATCAAGGACGCTTTTATCCTGCCATTTGCGTGCCGGTCCGGCTTACTGCGAGCACTCCAGATAAAGGGTGGCAGCAGCACGAGGTGACAGCCTATTTCCAGGTGGGCCTTACATAATTCTAGCGGAGTGGGTTCCCAGGGCGCTCTATTTGCCGCCTCTAAAGCAGTCCCAATGAGGAACATCTTCAACTCCAAAAAATCCTCCTCCCCCAGGAACCCGTCGACAGGGCCCGACCACACCGACACACCGGGCAACCCACCTGCGCACCAGCGTCACTTCTCCGTCGGCTCGGACCCAGCGTCGCCTCTGCGACCTTCTCCTTCTGCACACAACACCGCCAGATCGCCCCCGAAGAAGCCGTCGGCCAGCCCCTCCCCCGCGCCGCCCTCTCCTCGAGATCGCGAGCAAGCCTCCAAGTCTCGGAGCTCTCGCACCTTTGGTAGGCACTCTACCGACCCAGGGTCCTCGTCGCGGCGCAAGAAGGCCGACCTTGACACCCACCCTCTAAACCTCCCTCCGGACGAGTATAAACGCTTGTCCGCCTTATCAAACATGAGCCAGCGGAGTTCTTTCGACAAAATGGATGTGGACAGAGAAACGGCGAGCTCGCCGCCTGCCCCGGGCCCGCAAGCGTCCTTCTCCGTACCCGTCACGGCCTCAACAAACGGCACCAAGGAGACGCCAAAGCCTTCCAAGATCAACACCAACGGTGCCGGACCTGTCCCGCCTCCCCACAAGTCGAACCCTTCGAGCCCTGTTCCTACCACCGAGGATGAGGCAGAGTCGTACAAGGCTGCCGGCAACAAGTTCTTCAAGGAGAAGGATTACAGAAATGCCATCATTCAGTACACCAAGGGTATGTTCTCGGCGGTCCGTTGCGCTTATGCTTGACCGAACTGAGCTGACTCATCCCACACAGCGATCGAACTTGTGCCAAACTCGGCCGCTTATCTTGGCAACCGTGCTGCCGCCAACATGTCGAACGGGTCATATGAGGCAGCTCTGGAGGACTGCTCACGAGCAGTTGACCTTGAACCCACTGAAGCCAAGTATCTCCTTCGTCTTGCGCGTATCTACACAAGTCTTGGTCGCCCTGACGAGGCCATGACTACCTTTGGACGAATCCAGCCTCCCCCTTCGGCAAAGGATACCGCCGCTGCCAAGGAGATGCAAATGCATATTTCGGCAGCCCAAGATGCCCTCGAGAACGGCACCAGTGGTTCCATGGTATTGCACGCACTTGACATGGCAGAGCGCCTCCTCGGCCCCCGCGCATCGAAGCCTCGCAAGTGGCAACTGATGAGAGGCAACGCATACCTTAAGATGGGTGGTCTCAACTCTTTGGGCGAGGCTCAAAATGTCGCCATGTCCTTGCTTCGCCAGAACAGCCAAGACCCCGAGGCGCTCGTTCTCCGCGGTCGTGCTCTCTACTCGCAAGGAGACAACGAGAAGGCAGTCCAGCACTTCCGCAAAGCACTCAGCTGTGACCCTGACTTCAGAGACGCCGTCAAGTGGCTAAGGACAGTACAAAAGCTGGACCGCATGAAGGAGGATGGCAACACAGACTACAAGGCTGGCCGGTTCCAGGATGCTATTGACAAGTACACTTCAGCCTTGGAGGTGGATCCTACCAACCGTGGCACGAACTCGAAGCTGCTTCAAAACAGGGCGCTTTGCAACCTCAAGCTGAAGCAGTATGACCTTGCCATTGCGGATTGCGATCGTGCCATTAGCTTGGATCCGCAGTACCTCAAGGCTCGCAAGACAAAGGCGAACGCTTTGGGGCAAGCTGAAAGGTGGGAAGATTCAGTACGCGAGTGGAAGTCCATCCAGGAGCTCGACCCTGAGGACCGCACAATCGTGAAGGAGATCCGCAGGGCTGAGTTGGAGCTCAAGAAGAGCCAACGCAAAGACTACTACAAGATTCTCGGTATATCCAAGGATGCCGATGAGAACGCCATCAAGAAGGCCTACCGAAAGCTGGCCATTATCCACCACCCCGACAAGAACCCCAACGACGAGAACGCAGAGGCCCGTTTCAAGGATATCAGCGAGGCGTACGAGACGCTCAGTGATCCTCAGTAAGCCCTGTACAACCCAAAGCAGGCATCGCTCACTCATGACTAACAATTGTTACAGAAAACGTGCCCGCTTCGACAGTGGTGACGACCTGATTGACCCAGCCGATATGTTCGGCGGCGGCGGTATGCATGGTGGCATGCACGGAGGTATCGACCCGGAGATCATCTTCAGCATGATGAATGGCGGTGGTGGCTTTGGCGGCGGCGGCGGTTTCCCCGGTGGTGGTGGTGGTTTCCCTGGCGGCGGTCGTCAACGCGCACAGGGTTTCCCCCAGGGCTTCCATTTTGGCTGACAATCCGAGTCTGGTGAGGAAGACGACGACGGAGACGATGAATATAGCGAGGCTGAGGCCGATGATGACGACGAGCATGCTAGCGAAGCGACACCAAAGATACCACGGAAAGGGGGCGTAAGGGAGGACATGGAGTGGCAGGACAGGATTGCTCGGTTCCGCTGGTGGGCCACGGTCATTGCGGCGGCTTTTGTGCTTCTGCCGACCCAGATAGCGGCAACCCTGCTTGTGCCATACATCTGTTTTGTATTCTTCCGGTCATCGCGCATTGCCCGCGCTGTCATGTAGAGACGGGAGGCCTGGGAAAAGCAGGATAGAGATCATCATTCCTTGGCGTTGGGAAGGGACAAATCATACGACGGTTCAGCCTGTCTGCTTGCTCAATGTTTTTTAGCTTGTCTTGATGTATTGTGGGAATCCGAGAGGCAAGGTGCTTGCGCAGAAGTCCTGCCTCTGTATCGACACCGGAGATGGCAGCTGCGTGATGGGGCTCGTGGGATAACTCATGCGGCATCCCATAGCACTTTGTAGGTCCCGGAGATGAAGCAACCTGATGAGCACCGTACCTGAGACACTTATTGAGCACTTGTGGGGATATGTACCACTACATAAGGTAACTTTATTTATAAATACCAGTGCTCTGGAAATGCTCATCCCTGCGCTTGTCCTCCTGTCTGGGTCCAACCGTGACTGCGACTGGTGCCTGGGCCAATCGGCCAGGACTGGTCGACACTACATAGCAGCAGTCCTCCAGCCAAGCCCATCCCTGCGATCTTGGAGTGAGATCAGTCAGAGCACGGGCATCCTGTTGGAGACGACGTCCAATTGCGGACGAGGCACGAGCTTCCTTGACCAATTCCGCCTTAGCGTTGCCATTGTCCGCCCTGGACTCGGGTGGGCATCCCTGCGATCGGGTCATTCGGGTGCTGACGAGGCCAAGAACAACAAACAACAACAACGAATCGAGGCTTACTGCGAGGGCTTTCTCCCTCTTATTCTCTTCTGCAGAGCCTCGCTAGACCTCCTGCTGCTGTGTGAGACACGCTCGTTTGTCGTCAAGGGACTTTGCATACAGATACAGTACTACGACTACCTGGCGTCTTCCACACAGCTGCGCGTGTCTGCACCGAAACGTCCCACTTGCTGTCCTGGGCCTCGGAGCTCCAAGCTCACCCTGGTCGCCGTGCAGTCTGAGGGGTGTGTGTGTTCCCCAACGACAAACATTCGTCATCACTACCTGCGGACATCCCCTCGTGCCCGGCTCACGGCTTTTGGGCGGCGCATCTGAGCCCGAACTTGAAGATTCTGGCAGGTCCACCCATTGCTTATCGTTTGCGCCACGGGAGACATTCAAACGCTGCAGTGCGCACGCATCGCAGCCACTAGCACCCGTGCTGCAACAAACGGCGATACTGGTGCTTAGCTAGCTCAGCAACAGCATACGGTGGAAGCTACGTATCTTGGGCACGGTTTCGACACACATTCAAGACAGGCGCGGTGATCTTGACAGGATACATAAGGCGTGGCTCGACGGCAATCCAAAGCCACTAGTCATACCACCGAAAAGCGAGGGTCCTTGCCTACGAATCTTGGATAAAACACGGCTCGAATTCCGTCGGCTTGCCCACTGCCACAACTTTCGAATCACCTTACTGAACGCGTCGCTGGCTGCGCAACAAGGTCATCTGGTCATCGCAACAACGACCACACTCAAAGACATGAGTCCCTCCGTCCGTTCCGGCATGGAGGCCGTCTCCAGCAGCAGCAGCACAAGCGCGGCGCTGTACCGCCTGCTCCCCTTCAGCCCCTCCACGACGCCACTGCAAGCCACGACCTATCTCCTTGGCATATCACTCTTTAGCATTTCCTTTCTCGTCTTTCTCAACTCGACCGTCTCGTTTGTCATCACGGACAGGCTGGGGATCAAGTCTGGTGTCGGCGACATCGTAGGCACCCTGGGCTTCGTCGACGAGATCGTCGCCCTGATCGCCTGCCCGGCATGGGGTCTGCTCAGCGACAGGCTGGGAGTCCGGTGGGTGGCTGTCCTGGGATATGCCATCATCGGGCTTGCGCTCTTCTGCTTCGTGCAGGCGCGCGACGTGGGTGGGCTGGTGGTCGTGAGGATATTGTTTGCCATCGGCGCAACGGCGGCCGCGACCATGGTCACGGCAGTGCTGCCCGTCCTGACTGACGACAATGCCGGCGTCCAAGGCGAGCACAGGCATGCGGGTGCAGGAGCGGAGGATGATGCGGGGGCACCTCTGGACGACGGCGAGGCGCAGGAAATCAGGACGGGCCGGAGGACCAACGCGCGACACAGTCTGGCAATGAGCACCGAGAGCGACGTCACGATCACGCAGGAGCGATTTGCCCGGAGTCTATCGAACATAAGGGAAGAGGACGACGGCATTGGCGGCGGCAAGGGCAAAAAGCCGGCGGCGCTGGCTGGGTACGTGGGACTGTTCACAGGATGCGGTGCGCTGGTGGCACTCACCCTCTTCCTGCCGCTACCGGCAAAGTTTGGCGAGAAAGAGGGCGTCACTCCTGCGGAGGCGGTCGAGTACAGCTACTATGTAGTCGGCGCTATCGCATTCGCCGTGGCAGTGTTTGTATCATATGGCTTCCGCAAGCTCAGGGGTGAAGAGGAAAAGGGTTGGAGGATGCTCTTCGGCCTGAGGAGGCAGTCGACCCACGATGACGACGAGCAGGACATCGTGGGTTATCCTGATCGGTCCACCACGGCGGCGTTGGAAGGCACCAAGTACTACCCGGCCTCGAAAGGCCCGCTTCCATACCGCGCCCTCCTTCTGTCCTCCCTTCGTCTAGGAGTTACGGATCCGCATATCGCGCTGGGCTACCTCGGAGGCTTCGTGGCGCGCGCCAGCACTGTCGCCATCAGCCTTTTCATACCACTTTACATCAACACATATTTCATGAACCACGGCTTCTGTCAGGGTTCGCCGCACGATCCGACGCCGGAGCTCAAGAAGGAATGCCGCGCGGCATACGTGTTGACTGCGATCCTCACGGGTGTTGCTCAGCTCGTTGCTCTCCTTTGCGCTCCGCTATTTGGATATCTGAGCAGTCGTCGGACCAGTCTGAAACTCGGAGGCGGGCGCTGGAGGGTAGGCGTCAATGTGCCGGTCCTGGTAGGCGCTTTGTGTGGAGTGGTCGGCTACGTCATATTCCCGAGAATGCAGAGCCCCGAGTTCAAGAACATCGACGAGCGCGGCGGCAGCCCTTGGATCTTCCTCGTCGTCTCGCTGCTGGGAATCAGCCAGATCGCCGCGATCGTCTGCTCTCTCGGTTCTCTGGGACGAGGAGTGCTAAGCGCCGACCTGCCGGCAACCATTGCGCGCGAAACAGAAGATACAGCGGAAAGCTCGGCAGCCCGTCAGGTGAATCCCGAAACACAGGCTCTTCTGGAGAATGGCGCCAGCTCTGAGAATGATCGCCAGCACATGCTGGTCGTGTCACGTGTCCAGCTCAAGGGCTCGATCGCGGGTGTGTACTCGTGGTGCGGTGGCGCGGCGATCCTGCTGCTGACCAAGCTTGGCGGCTATCTCTTTGACGTAAGCTCGAGGGGCGCGCCATTCTACATGATGGCTGCGTTCAATGTCGTGCTGTTCGTGGTCAGTCTAGGGGTCGACGTTGGGCGGAGTTTTCGTAACACAGAGCACGAGAGACGAGTGAGGTTGTAATTGCTACAGAAAACGAATAATAGACTGAGATGACATCCGGTGCACAACTTTCGAGTCCCATGCCTCAAGATCTTTTCAGCGACCGCCACAGCTGAGCTGATTATGAATGCCATTGAAATGATCCGGCCGAGCAGTTGCCATGGATCCAGGGCTGTCCTCAAGGGTCCTAGGAAGGAAGGTCAAGTGCAAGTGCCCACATGTTCTCAAGTGGCATGCAGACAGACGACTGCAACAATCAGCCCACCAGCATGACTGCAAGTCTCGCAAGATTGTCTCTATTCCTGGGTTTCCAGTCGTCCTTGACTGTGGTGGGAGTGGGCTTAGAAAGACTGCTTCATGGTCTTCTAGAACTGCTTTGAAAGGTTGGGCTCGTCTACTGCGTATAAGAACCCCCTGACTTTAGTGCGTTACACGATGCCTGTGGATCTCGCCGGCACAAACGACCGGGCGTTGCGGGGCTAGACGCAACGGCGCGGCCACCAGGTCCTCTGGTGGGTTGCAGGAGCCGCCTCCTGAACCTGAGACATCTTTGCTATGCCGCTTCTCCCTTTGTTTGATACAACAACTACATGTCAATTGGGATTGTACCCTCTCGGCCACGAAGAGCGCAAGTCATACCTCGTCGTGACATTCGCCGCTACCCCGGTCTGGAGACCAAGTGCCGCTACCACGCCGGCCCACACACCTTCGAGCACGCCCACGGCCGGTATCAGGGGTATTAGCTCCCAGCCAAGCAGCACATCGCCAGACCCCTCGCTCGTCCAGCGAACAAAAGTCTTACCCCTGGTCCTGGTCCCTGTGACGAAACGAGGACCCCGACCTAATACTGACCGACTTGTCGTGTGGTCGCGGGCCCGCCGGCGCAGCCAGTTGGAGCGAAAGCGGGTGGGAGGGGGATCATGGCTTCCCTGGGTGCCCTCCAAGCTGCACAGCTCTCTCTGACGTCGCGATCTGCTCTGGGGAGCACGAACCTTGCCGCGAGCAATAACGGGGGCAGCAGTAGCAGCACCACCAACGGCGGTGGGAACAACAATCGCGCCTCCCTGTCGTCGTTCCCTTCGTCTCGTTCGCCGTCATCCATGTCCACGGCCTCAAGGCCCTCGCGATCTCCACAACCCCCCGCGAACCGCCCGGCCGACCTATCTGCGTACACGTCCGCCTACAACACCAGAAATCCGATGGGCTCTTCTTCAGCGGCCACGGCAGCCACCGCCGGCGCCGGCGCCGGCTGGTCGGCGTCACAAAACCATGCAGCCAAGCAGCACGCCCGCTCCCCGCGGCGGCTGCGGTCACAGTACCCGCGGTCCTCGATCGAGAACCATGTCGAGTATATCCTGGTCGCCTCGTTCGACATCGACCGCGGCCCCGTCATGGAGCACCAGTACCCCGTGGCGATCACGGGCGACGAGCACATGCTGGCCGAGCTGATGCTGCCGGATCAGGCGCACGCGCGGAACCAGGACTGGACGATCTTCTTCTTGCACAAGGATACGAGCCAGGAGGAGGACGAGGAGGAGCAGAAGGAGAAAGAGGCGAGGCGGAGGCGGAGGAAGAGGAGGCGAGACCGGGCGATGGGGATCCTGCCAGCTGAGGGCGAGGAGGACGAGGATGACGGGTATCCGGATGACGACGACGACGATGATGACGACGACGATTGGAGCGATGATGGCTCGACGGCGTCGGAGCCGGAAGGTGGTGAGGGCCCGCCTCTGATATACGTGCTCAACTTGGTCAACACGAAACACGACAAGACGGTCAAGAGAGGCGCCATTGTCAAGACAATGGCGATATGCACGAGGCATCCTTTCTTGCATATATACAAGGTGCGTTACCAGCTGATCGCGGGGGCGGGTGGGAGTTGTGTCCATTGTCCACCGAGCTAATTATTGGTGTTGCAGCCACTATTATTGCTCGCCCTTGAGGAGTACTTCAAGGCGCCAGTACCAGAAACACTTGCGATGCTGTACGAAGCAGTCAACAGCATGGATCTCTCTCTGATGCCCAAGCTCAGCCTCCTCGAGCGCAACCTCCTGCAGGCTAGTGACAACAAGGACCTCTTTGTGGAGAAGTTTGAGCAAATCATTCAGAGGCGCATGAATCGCGGCCCTACATTGACTGAGCGCGGCTCACCAGAGGTTCCCAAGGGCGCACCGAGACGACCGGCGATACAGCGTGCTGGCACGAAAGCCCATCTTGAAGGACATTCGGAATTCGCGGTGCCTCGTGATACTCACGAGTTTGAGAGCAAAGTCATGTACAAGGGCATCCCCATCCCGGTCAAGGTCCCGACTGCCATCATGCCCGAGACGGTGGGCGACTTTTCGCTCGTCAAGCTGATCCAGCAGTTCTCGGAACCCCATACCAAGGCACCGCAGCCATTCAACACGCATCCGCACTTGACGACGAATGGACCCTTGACTCACCCCATCATTGTTCTGGCCAATGCTCTGTTGACACAAAAGCGCATCATTTTCCTCGGGCACAACATGCCTTCTGGTGAAGTGGCGGAGGCCGTGCTCGCGGCATGTGCTTTGGCCTCGGGCGGTGTCCTGCGTGGCTTCACGAGGCACGCCTTCCCCTACACAGATCTCACGAAGATTGACGACCTGCTCAAGGTGCCGGGCTTCATCGCAGGAGTGACGAACCCGACATTCGAGATGCACCCAGAGTGGTGGGATCTGCTGTGCGACCTGCCCAGCGGCAGAATGAAGATCAGCAATCGGCTAGAGCCGCTGCCGCCAACAGAAGGTCTGGTATACTTCCAGCAGCAGAATCCGGCAGCCGCGGCGCTGATCAACGGCCCATCGACCGGGGACTTGACCTCTGACACGGTATTTATGAATGACATCCTGCGGAGCATAGCGACACGGCAGGGCGAGCGGGTGATCCGCGCCAAGTGGAGGGACTGGGTGGTCAAGTTTGCCCGGATGTCGGCGGCATTCGAAGAGAGCGTGTACGGCGCCAGCGCGCTGTACATCGGAGGAGACGAGGCCGACGCCAACACGCTGGGCAAGGGAGGGCACGGGTACGTGTGGCCGGATGAGAGCTCGAAGCAGAAGGAGCTGGCAGGTAATGTGCACAGGATAGAAGGGTGGCGGAACACGAGGAGCTACTACAGCTTCATCCAGGTAAGGGCCTGCACGCGTGCTTTTATGTCCAGCCCCATCACAGATGGCCGTCTTTCGTGATGCTAACAGGCACTCTTTCTTGCACGACACGCAGGACCTCGCCCAGATATACACGATCCGCCCGCTCAAGGGCCTGGATCTGCACCACCTGCACGACCGGCTGCGGACGCAGCGACTGAGCCCGGCGCAGAGCCGCGAGATCTACCTGTCGTTTGCGAACAATGTGGTGACGTACGACGAGATCTGCCTGCTGCTGACGGTGGCGCCCGAGTCGCACGGAGGGCTGTTTTACCTGGCGCTGGGCCTGCTGCACAAGGACCGGGACGTGCGGATCGCGACGGCGGACCTGCTGGAGCGGATCAGCGAGCACGAGGCCGGGCAGCACTGGTGGAAGGGGCTGAGCCGGTTCGAGAAGCTGGCGTACCAGCGGATCCGGAGGGATGCGGAGGGCGGAGGCGGAGGCGCAGAGCAGCTGCAGGGAGGGTTGGGAGGAGGAGGGGGATACATGATCAGCGAGAGCGACAAGAGGGTTAGTTAGCTCGGTCTGTTTTGATTTTGGGCTTTTTGCTTGATGATGATGGGAATTGTTGGACTGGTTCAAGGCTAGAGGGCGATACCAATATGGGCTGGGAAATTCATCTTGTTCTGCTTGTTAGTCTGAGAAAGGAATCTTTTGAACTTTTGGACTTTTGACCGTCCCCAGTCTCTGACTCTCTAGACTCAATCCACTTGGCGATGTCGGTATATCTGAACGGGAGGCAAACCCTGTTATTAGTGCCCCGATGGTGCCAAGCAAGTAACTACCCCGAGAGCCGGAGGCAGTTCGGAGCAAAGCCGGTGGTCGGAGAGGTGGGGGCCGGCCACTGTTCTGTAGTGGAGTGTAGTGGAGAGGGTGAGGGGTAGCTTTCTTCAGCTCTTGATTCCCCCCAGCATCATTCAATCATTGGAGAAGGGAAGACGAAAGGGTGCAGAGAGGAAGAGGTGCTTGCTGCATTGCATCACCGGCTGCGCCATCCCTGCCGGGCAATAACTGCCGGCCCCCTTCTACTGGGTTCCTTCTCTTCATGCTGTTCTTCTCTGTTCCCTGGTTGCTCGAAAGGCATCATAGTTGATCATCTTTGACTTGTAATAACAAACACCGTCTTGACGGCTTTCATGTTCAAGAGAGTCTTGAGCTCTGTGACGTCGACGGCCACTGCATCCTCCAGATCAACCTGCTCGATAGCATCTCGCTGGACACCAGCAGCCTCACATCCACTTCCACCACCTGTGACCAATTCCTCGAGAGGACGACGACAACACCAACAACAGCAAATACAATACCCACGCAGCCTTGCAACAACAACAGCCACATCGTCATCATCGTCAACCACCACCATGGCGTCGTTCGAGACCAAGGCCACAATCGCCACCTTCGGCGGCAAGCTGCTCAAGGTCTCCCACGAGTCCTCCACCACCGGCACTCCGATGGCCGTCAACGTCTTCCTCCCGCCCTCCGTCACCTCCTCCTCCTCTTCCCCCAAAAAGGTCCCCGTCCTCATCTACCTCTCCGGCCTCACCTGTACCCCGGACAACTGCTCCGAGAAGGGGTTCCTGCAGGCCTCGGCCGCCAAGCACGACATCGCCATCGTCTACCCAGACACCTCCCCCAGGGGCGCCAACATTGCCGGCGAGGACGAGTCCTACGACTTTGGCACCGGCGCGGGCTTCTACATTGACGCCACCGCCGAGCCCTGGAGCAAGAACTACCGCATGGAGTCGTACATCACCAAGGAGCTGCCCAGCGCGCTCTTTGGCTCCGAACAGTTCGGCAAGGTCCTCGACAAGGACCGCGTCTCCATCACGGGCCACTCGATGGGCGGGCACGGCGCCCTGACCCTGTTCCTCAAGAACCCGGGCATGTACCGCTCCGTCTCGGCGTTTGCGCCCATCTGCAACCCCACCAAGGCGCCCTGGGGCGAGAAGGCCTTCTCGGGATACTTTGGCAAGGACTCGGGCGTGGACGAGTGGAAGAAGCACGACGCCACCGAGCTCCTCAAGACTTACTCTGGCGACAAGGCCAAGCTCGATGTACTGATTGACGTCGGCACGGGCGACAACTTTTACAAGCAGAAGCAGCTGCTCCCCGAGAACTTTGAGGCTGCCGCCAAGGAGGTTGGTGTTGAGAAGGGCGTCACTGTGCGGTATCAGCCCGATTACGACCACTCGTACTATTTCATCTCGACTTTTGGCGCGGATCATGTCGCCCACGCTGCAAAGTATCTGGCGTAGGCGCCATTGTAGGTAGGTGATGGCAATCAGGTTGATTGGTAAGAATAAGAACAGGAGAAACATATAAATAAAAGCCAACATTGTAACGCCACGCAACAGTATCAGCGTCGTTCATCTGCGCCTTTGTACCTGAGTGTGTGGGCGGCATAACCTTCTAATTCTAGCCTAGGCATCGCCCATTCACTTCTGTGTTTCCGTGGGTCTTTTCATACTTAAGTAGCGTTCTGGTCCCGTAACATGTCGTGCCAATTGGTCCTTTGAGCACTTCAGTGTCCCTGATTACAGACTGGACGACAAATTCGTTGGCAACTCTTGTCTAGAAGCGAGCCTCGTCGCCCAATCCACCTTGAAAGATCAGAACACCACGGTGCCAGTGGCCGCAGCAGCAGAACCAAGTGTATCAGCAGTCTGATTTAAGTGGCAGTCGAACGACTCGAACAGGGTCTGCCAGTTGTAGATACCCAGATCGTATTTGAGCGGCGAGTCGAACGAGACCGCGCCAAAGGTGCAGTCTGTCGGGGAAGTGCATATGTCCGCACACCTGCCTCTGTGATAGATCAATAAAGTCAGCAACATGTCGTTCAAAGCTATAAGCAAGTGATCTCGCAGCAGTTGTTAAGTTGTGGCAAGACAGAAGAGAAAAGGCCTTACACGCGAGGAAAGCAGTAGAATGCCTCCCCGTCAGGAGCAAAAGTGGCCGCGTTCTTGATAAAGCCTGGTGGCATGTCGTGGCACATGTCAAGCTCATATTTGCCGTAGCTACACGGACCCGTGGCGTGGGGGCCTTGACAGATGAGGATCTGTGGGTTGTTTGGGACGGCGGAGGAAGTCGTCAGCATACAGTGTCTTTGTTCTCGCAGATGAAGATACGGGTCCTCGTTGTGGTCGGGGAGGCACATCTCCCTCTCTACCGCTATGACCTTTCTCAACTCTGTGTGTTTTCTGCAGAAAGCGGTACAGGCGGTACAGAGCACTGGATCGTGGGTGCGGAATTGGGGGATCCGGGGCATGGTATCAAGAACTTACACCACCAACTTCTCTTTTGTCGAGTTGCTCCGCAGGTGTCGCCGATACCACAGCTTGGCGGATTGCAAGCAGCCGAGATGTCGAGCCGAGACGCATCTTTAACGCTGGAAATCTCATCAATCTTTGATGAAGCTTGACGTGTGGCATTCGAGAATACTCATGGTCGTGCCATGCGTGTATCCAAGCAGGAGCAAAGACTAACAATGACGGCAGCCGTTCTGCTGATCGTGACTTCCCCGAGAAGAATGACTGCTCTGTTCTGAGCAGAAGGTGACGATGCCTCATGCTCTCCCTCGTGCCTTCCGAGCAGTCCATCGCAGGCACGCGTCCCCAGCGATACAAAGCCTCCTTTCTGCGTGACTGTTATGATCATCCTCCGTCTTATTTGCATCTCACCATCATCCACCTACTCCTGTGCTCATCTTCAATTATGTCGTCCTTCCATCTTCATCGTGGTCTCCTTTAATAATCACATTCACTAATCACTCTTCGACAAACACAAAGTCGGTCTGGAAGGTCATCTTCCTGTGATCATGCATCGATTCCAAGTCACGTATGTCCTTCGTGCATTCTTGTACATCTTCGTCTCGTCTATCCTCCAAGCGCCACGGCCCTCCACCAGTATCATCCGTGCCAAGTCAAAGTTCTTCTTACGCCTGCCCTCTGTCCAAAACAAGGTCTCGGTGATCATCAGACTGTGTACCCAACTCGAGCAACTTGGCTCGGAGCTGCCACCGCCCATGGGGACTTGGATGTCCTCTCAAATGCGGTGAATGTCATCATTGATCGATTACCTGTTACGACTTTTATTGTTTGTTCAGCCAGCCAGCTGACGCTGACCGTTCCCCTGCTCTCATTAAGACACCCACTTCAGCCTCAGTCCGACACGACCACGACTTGTCATGACCAGCGCTAGATGGTCAAAGACTCGCATGTCGCTGTCGTCCAAGCTCCGGTTCCGGCTTTCGGCATCATTGGCTTTTATGGTGTCCAGCGCGTGTATGAAGGTGGGATGATGAACACAAACCGTACTGACTGCGTTGCAGACTCGGGACTTCGGTCCTGAGGCTCCGTGATGATGATTCAAAAGTGTACAATCTGAACATAATAGGTTAGCTTCGGCTAACCAAACCCGTCTCTATTTAGAGGCGTCGTAGGCGTGTGCCTCCATGAATTTCGCTAGTCTAAGGTCGAGTGCGAGGGGTCGTGAGGAATCGGACACAAAGGGTGGCTTGGGATGACACGAACAGGGCGGGGGATGGAAACGTGCCAAGTACATACCGGTTTAGCTTGAGGAATGATGATGAGAAACTGCCTCAAAATTTACACGGCGATTTATATATGAATGTGAACAAGGCTCGAACCATCTGAACTCAATTATGGGCCCAATACATGCTGAGTCGCCATCCGGTCGTGTCCACTTGGAGCGCCTCCGTCACCTTCCAGGCATCGTTGTTCCACGGTACGGTCTCTGCTGGTTGCCAGAATGAAGCTCATTTGTCGCCATCACATTATCCTTTTGGATGATATTGGCACTGTGAACTATTGAACACTGGGCAGTAAGCGCACATGACGGGAAGGAAGATGCTCAGCTGCAATAAGCCACGCCCGTCGTCAGACGGCCTTGATTCATTTACGAGCATTTGACTTAGCCCTTCTGTGAACATTCGGCTAAGCATACTTGCCGCGGGCAATTAATCCACTGTCCAATTACCTCTAAGATCGAATGGACCTCCTTGAGCGTAACAAGAAGCGCGTGAGACTGAAGACGTGGGACAGACTGTTTGTCGTTTCTTCATTTCAGACCGCCGATGACATTGGGAACGTGGCCAATTTTTTTTTTTCTCTCTCTCTCTCTCTCTCACAACCGTACTTGCTGCTGTGCTAACCCTGCATGAATCATGCCCAGTCATACTCTTGCCATGCAAGACTTTCACTCGGATCCAAGGCGCCGCTGTGAGGTCCAACACCATATGTAACATCGACAGGTGCTTTGATAAGTCGACATGCTCGAGGACCCTTGTGTCCTGCACGGCTGATGAAGGGAGACCGACAAGATGCCGACGCATGTATGCTTCCTCCAGCCAGCCAGCCAGCCAGCCAGCTTGCTCGGCGGTCTCGTGATGGAGCGAACAAAGTATTGTGTCCTACACGACGAAGCTCTATCTGATGTACATGGGGTTGGTATATCGCAGAGTGACGACTGTCACGCCGCCGAGGATATATGCATGGCAGGCAGTTCAAAGCGTGGGTGGCAGTATGCGAGAGGCTCAGACCGCACTGGTCGCATGACAACCCCCCCCCCCCCCCGTGTTCGTATCTCCGCATCAAGGGGGCGGTCCTCCTCCAGGCCAAGCACAGAAAGTCTGGCCAAGAGCTTTCTGTGCCTGGCCAAGAGACGGCTCTGATACTTTGCCCGGCTTGTAGCCTTCGCCCTTGCCCACGGGACACTGTCTCCGGGGACACGGACTGGACGCCGGCCTTCGTTGCGGTTTTGGGGGCTGCTTCCAAGCAAAGGGTGTGGGAAAGATAAGAAAAATTTCTCTGCGCCACGAATCAAACGACAAACTAGCCGTTCGTCAACATCAGCTAGGGCAGGCAGGCAGGCTGGCTGGGCTTCCACTACACTGGTTAGCCCATGCAGTACAAGAAGTCGGCCTTACCGTAAGGCAGGCAGGCGTCCTTCACTGCCAGGGCCAGGTTCGACAGCTATCAGGGCGAAGCTTGGCTCAAGCCACGCGCCGGGTCGCTAGCTAGATCAATCGGCGCATCGAAGAAGATTCCAATTGTACTAAGCCTCGAGGATGAGATGCGATACGGTGATTGGCTGACTGCAAGGAGTCGACAGGGATTGCCGGCCACGCAGTTGTGCGTCTTCAGCCCGCCACGATCTGGTAGCCCGCCATTTAGAGGCTGCTTTTGGGCATGGGAATCTCTGAAGCCAGGGAGGGCTGCGGTAGCGCCGATTCTAGCGGGCCGGGGGCTGGTGTAAGCGGCAAACCCGCTGGATAGTCTGCGCAGTATGCAGAACTGATGGAGGGCTGCTGCGCTGCCAGCTTGACAGGGTCAGGTAGACATCTGACCTGGGGACATTCAGCCAGCCTCTGCAAAGTCCAGCCCAGGGAGTACCAGAGACAACGGAGCTGTCTTGCCTGGCCTGCACTGCCTTTCGCTCGACGATGGGCAAAGTGGGAGCTTTGCTTGCCTTCGTTGGCTATGCTTGTCCCTCTCTCTTCTTCTCGATCGTTTGTGTGATGTACCTGGATGCTCCACCAAAGACATCGCTCGGGGACCTGTGAGCACGAGGCAAGGCGCCACGCGTGGATTCCGGCACGTCAAGGCCGACAGGCCTAGGGCCTAGACTGGCAGCCACAACTTCACAAGAGAGCTGAGCGACAAGCCGGGCTACCTACATGATGCTGTGATCTTGTGTTGGGCGGGTGCCAGGACCCGCGATTTCACATCGCCGAACCCACAACGCGAGATAGGCGGAGGGTTCCCTCTTGATATAGCCCTCGAAAGACAGGCCAAGCAGGCTCACTGCGAGTTGAAGCTGTATAAAGAGCCCAGGAACCTGTCCCTCATTACACACGCCTGGTGGCATCGGCAGTTCATCACATAGCAAGCATCTCGACGTTGACTAATACGAAGCAAAGTAGAAAGGTTCCGGATACCATAAGTCGTCCTTGCTGCCGAGGTCATCATGGACACACTATCCGAAAAGCAGCACTTTGCGGAACTCGGCGACAGTCTCCACGACGCCTCCAACAACCTGCCCTCACCACGCACGCCCGGCAACGATGCCAAGACGTCGTCTTCCTCCTCCTTCTACCACCACTTGTACACGCTATACCTCTTCACGAGGAGCGACTTCAAGACCGTCATCGTCCCACAGAGCATCTTTGCCCTTGCCGCAGCGTCGAGATACATATCCACAATACAGCAGCAGCAACAACAACAACAACAAATACCGCCATCATCGCCGTTCAGCACCAGCGAATACCTCATCCGCATCCCCTACATGCTCACCTGGCTCTGGCTGCACCTCGTCGTGGAGAACGTGGCCAACCAGCGCCTCGAGTCCTCCGTGCTCGAGGACGCGGTCAACAAGCCCTGGCGGCCCATCCCCGCGGGCCTCATTACCCCGAGACAGTCCCAGGCCGTCCTCCGCTGGGCCGTGCCGCTGTGTCTGGCCTTGAGCAGCCTGGCCGGCAGCTCGCTGCTGCTGCCGAGCACCGCGCTCATGTGCTTCGTCTGGCTGTACAACGACCTCGACGGCAGCGGGGCGGGGCCGATCCAGCGCAGTGCCATCAACGCCGCTGGCCTCGCCTGCTTCGGCTGGGGTGCGCTCGTGGCCCTCGTCTCCGGTCCAGCCACGGTCGTCGACCATGGTGGCGCGGCGGCGGCGGCCCTGGTTCTGCCTAGGATGGTGCAGATCTGGATTGGCATGATCGCCGCCATCGTCTTCAGCACGGTGCACGCCGCCGACTTCCCGGACGTCGAGGGCGACCGGGAGCGCGGGAGACAGACCATGCCGCTCGTCTACGGCGAGGACGTCAGCCGCTGGGTCCTGGCCGTCGCCGTGCTCGCCTGGTCCGTAGCGAGCCTGGCCTTCTGGCACGTCGAGGTCGGTGTCGTTTGGGTCGCGCCGCTGCTGGTCGGCAGTTTTCTGGCTGGCTTGACGGTCCTGCGGAGGGACCACGGCTCGGATGAGCTTGCGTGGAAGCTGTGGTGCTTGTGGATCGTGGTCTTGTTCCTCCTGCCGCTGGCCGGTTCTGTTTGATCGACCGCACATCTACAATATTCCCCGTGATTTTGCATCTGCATGGGATTTTCCATGTCTTGTCTTTCTGTTTGTGAAATCTTTTTTAGCAAGCCAGCTTACATGTTTCTGCTTTGCCGCCATATGCCTTGAAACTTAGAAAGCCAGGCCTGTTCGGACAGCATAGACCACATAGAGAACGGTCACACCTGATACCATAGTATACATCAAAGTCGATCATGGAATGTCCTCTGTCTCTGGGATGCTGTGTTGAGACTGCCGTCCATGCCGGCGAGTTCCAAGAGTGGCTTCGTATTTCGCGTAATCTCCCTCGTGGTAGCACTTTGGGATCGAGCCCCAGGGAACTGAAAGTCTTGGTTTCTCACCGGCGGCTGCAGGATGATGTATGTGTGATGTGTATTTTCCCATTGATAAACCACTAACGCCTCGCTGTGTCTCTGAATGTGATATTTTGTCTTCTCTATGTGAGGCGGTTAGTGCAGATGAGGGCTCCGGAACGGTTTCACATCGCGGGTCGCGCAACAGGAACGATGACCGTCCACCTCCACCTATCCAGAAAGCCCGCAATGATCTCATAAATCCCCATGCAACACCATAAAGCACGTCCCGAGTTATTGGAGCAGCTCCTCGCAGGTCCAATCCTCATAGCTATGTGTGCACGGGTCAGCCACCTCGTTGCTTTCGCGCAAAACAAGTCCAAGTCGCAGAGGCAAATCAGACTTACTATCCATCGGGCATGTACCGCCGCACAATCAGGGGGATCTTCTTCTCACGCAGCTCCTTGATGGCAATCTGCAGGGGATCCGACTCGCCCTCGAGGTCGACAAGCACGGGGGCGTTCATGCTGATCTGCAGGGCGCGCGTGCCGAGGATGCGGGCCTTCTCGTACTTGGTGAGGTACGGCGTCGTGCTCCGCTCCTCGTTGGGGATCTTCTTGTCTTGCGAGGCTGCCAGGCCCTTTGTGCGGTTGGCGCCGGCCGAAGGGTCGCCAGAGATGACTACGTTCTCCTCCTCCTCGGCACCCCGTCGGTTCACATCGTCGTCCTCCCCGGCTGGGACCTCGGGGTCGAGATCGTCGATGGGGTCCTCGTCCTCATAGAAAGGCTCGTCTCTGTAGGTGACGTGTACTTGTTAGCCATGGCTGCGACCGACAGACAGCTGCCAGCACAGGCCGAAGCGCCAAAAGGCGTAGTTCTCGCGAGGGGCTAGGCTCACCCGCCAACGTCGCCGTCGTCGCCAAAGTCCGACATGTTGATGCGCTATTTCTCGTCGTTTCCTAGTCGGGATCGCGTCGAGAAGAGTGTTGCTGGTTTGCTGGGCGGGTTGGGGAAGGGAAGGAGCGTGGACCTCTTGCTGGTGACAGTCGCAAGCCAATGTCAAAATTTCATGGGGCGCGCCGCCAGCGACGAGGCTGAACAAACATACCCCTGCAGTGCAGGGGCCCCACCCACCTGCATGGGGACAGCCGTGGAAGTGCCGGGTACTTGCACTCTTCTCTGGCCAGCCACGCACCTGGGCAAGTGGGCGCAGCCGCAAGTCACAACCAGCGGTCGGGGGGCGGCAAGGCTAAACCCCCACATATTTTACATCGGCGTCAAATGGCTCCACTGAATTTTTGACATGAGCAGTCCCAAGGGTATCTCGTCCACCTCGCCAGGTCTGCCTCCCGTCCTGGTGATCTCCAATCCCTCGCCGGGCCATACTGCAACATCCAGCCTCAATGTGCGAAAGACCATGAAGCGCAAGGCCGAGAACGAACGCAGCACTGCTGCGGCCCTCCGTGGGCCGAAGAGAAGCTGCATCGAAGATCCTGATTGTAAGGTTGACCACATGCTGATGTTCGTCGTGCCCCGGCTAACTTCTTCATGAACAGCTTCATACCCTGTGGATCTCCTGGACGACGGTGACGACGACTACGTCGACAACGATGACGCCTCAGAGAGCGGCTCCCACTACGCCGCCACCCAGACGTCGACTCGTGCTGCCGACACACCGCTCACGCCGCTCTCTCCTGCTCGCAAGTTCCCGTCGGAATTCAAGACGATCAAGTGCACCTTCCCCGGCTGCGACAAGGCATACAACCGACCTGCACGCCTAGCTGCGCACCTCAGATCACATTCGAACGACAGACCTTTCCGCTGCACATATCCAGACTGTGACAAGTCGTACATCGAGGAGAAGCACCTCAAGCAACACATCAAGGGCTCACACACCAACGAGCGCGAGCATGTCTGCCAGGAACCAGACTGTGGCAAGAGCTTCTTGACAGCGACGCGGCTGCGGAGGCACCAAGCCGTACACGAGGGCCAGGAGCGCTTTCGATGTCGAGATTACCCGCCCTGCAACCAGACCTTCCGCAAGCACCAGACCCTCCAACGCCACATTCGCTCTGACCACCTGAAAGTCTCGCCGTTTCCGTGCAACTACAAAGACGAAGAGACTGGAGTCGTCTGCAAGGCAGGCTTCGAGAACTCTGGAGCTTTGCGGCGGCACCAGGAGCGCGAACATGGCGAGCTGAGGTTCTGGTGTGACGAGTGCAGCAAGGGCGCTGCAGGGGAGAGGGGATCTCCCGGACGGGCGGGTTTTCCATCTCTGGCTCTGCTGCAGGCGCACATCAAGACTGCACACGTGGCTTGCATGTTCTGCGGCGAGATGTGCAACGGCCGAGAATCCCTGGAGGAGCATATCGAAGTGCAACACTCGACACAGTCGACAGGCGGCGAGCGGAAGCGAGTCAGCTGCTCGTGGCCCGGGTGCAAGAAGACGTTTGCCAAGCAAGCGAACCTCAACGTCCACGTCCGCAGCGTCCACGAAGGGCAGCGCTTCATCTGTGGCCAGGTGGACCTGTCCGGCACCCCAGACATCTGCGCGTGGCCGCAGGACGACGGCTGCGGCGAGAGCTTCACCACCAAGGCGAACCTCGAGAATCACGTCCGCTTCGTCCACCTGAAGTTCCAGCGGCCCGAGCGGGAACGACACTCGGAAGCATCGAGGAGCGCAGCCAACCCTCTGCTGGACGCCCTGTCGGGAAGCGGCGCGAGCTTCCGGCATACCATAGCCTGCACTGTGGAAGGCTGCACGTTCAAGCTCGCTACAGCCGGCGAGCTCGAAGGGCATCTGCAGAAGGAGCATTCGCTCTTCATGCCCACCATGCACGAGACCCTCGAGAGCACGAGCGACCAGCTCATACTAGACGCCACGGCCATGAGCCCTGCTGCTGCTGCTGCGGCTGCTATCAACGCTGCCGCCCATGATGCTACGGCATCACTCTGGGATAACGAAAAGGTCGATCTCGACGACACCTTCTGGTATGGTGGTGATATCGCCGGACCAGACTTTGCAACGCCGACTTATGACGACGAATGGATGCGCGACGAGGCAGAGATGAGACAGCTTATTGGCGATTCAGTGAGCACGGGCAACCACAGCATCGCCCATAACACTGACGCGGGAGGAGACATCTCAGCGCTCGTGGATCCCGCCTTAGGTGCCATGCAATGATGATCAGAGCGGAAAGATTTGGCGTGTCGCAAATGATCGGAGAAATAGCGAAGGGAGCCCCGGTGGGATGGAAAGGCCTATGAAGCAGATCTGCATGCTTCAAGGAAAGCACGTATAATGAGAGCACGATATTATGACACAAACACAAAAGAGCACACATTGTAGCAGCTATGCATGGAAGAGGGCACATAGACTCACGACAAGAAAATCCGAGAGAGAGGTAACGGGGATCGAATACAACACAAACTTTGCAGGCATCTTTGCCGAGCTCACTCATTCCTGATTCTTACACTGCTTGCGTGAAACGGTTCGTAGGCATACAAATATCTCATCACACACTAAGCTACCCACAGGCGTATGATCGTTCCCATACGCCGGCCCGGGGCCAAGGGCTGATGCACCAAACAATAGAGGACAAAGTTTTGTCGCATGACCTGAGAGCGAGGCTCGACAAAATACCAAAAGCAGCCAAAGCACGGGGCGCCGTATATCAAAAGCAGTACAACGGCAGCAGAAGAGTAGTAGTCCTGTGGAAAGTGTGTGCGCCGAACCTCACTACAGACCAGCCGAAACCAGGGGTTTCTTTTCCCGCACTATGCTTGAGCCCAGACAGAAGAAACAAGGGAAACAATTAGACTTTTTTTGCTTTTTATTCTCTTATGTTGTAAGATGAGCAACATGGTTCGTTATTCGGGTCCATATTCCTCTTTTGGTATGTGTTGACCGACATCTTTCAGAGTGTAGGTTCCTGACTGTGCCGATCACATTTGGCTCCAGATTTTCAGGAGACCGGCAGGCTTGGCTTTAGAACTGCATTCATGTGACGCAGGAGCCTGTGAGGGTGCGGCTGTGTCGCTTTACGCGCCGAGGCTGGGGAAAGCAGACTGGTCGTTGGCATTGAAACCGGCGTTGTCACGGCCGCCGCGGGCACCACCACGGGGGAAGTCACCGCCACGGTTGCCACCACGGCCACGGCCCTCGCCACGACCACGGCCACCACGGGCACCCTCGCCGCGGCCACGACCGCCATCGCCGCGGGCGCCACCACGGCCGCCACGGGGAGCACCAGTAGTAGAGCGCTCGGGCTCAACCCAGGCCTGGTCAATGTCCAGGACGTTCTTGGCCTTGCGCTCACGCTCACGCTTGGCCTTGCCACTGGAAGCGGCGATGAAGTCCTCGCCGTCGTCCTTCTCGATCGGCTTGGCGTTGGCCCACTTCTTGTCAGCCTTGCTGCCCTCGTTGGCCTTGCGGATCTCAAGGCCGTCGCCGAGGCTGAGCTTCTTCTCGGCCAGCTGGGCAAGGTACTCGGTGTACGAGACGCTCTTGGACTCGGGCTCGCCGGGGGTCTCGGCGCCATCGGCGTCCTCGGCAGCAGCCTCCTTGAACTCCTTCTGGGCGATCTCCTCGCCGGCCTGCTCATCCTTCTGCTCGGCATCGCCCTCGTTGGCGCCCCAAGACTGAGCAGCCTGCTTGTCGGTACCGCCGCTGTAACGAGTGGGTCAGTCGAAGCTCATGTTGGAATCAGATTGACACAGTACATACGAAGGCTGGCTCTTAGAGTGCCTGTCATCACGGTTGCGAGGGTGGCGGCTGCCAGGGCCTGTTGGAGAATGTCAGCGATCGAAAGGCTCGGTGCAAAAATTGGAAATGGCCTGGTGCTCAAGAGGGGGCAACTCACCACCACGGTCACGAGCACCACGGCCGCCACGGGCACCGCCGCGGGTGGCCTCGTCAGTTGGCCGGCGCTGGTTGGCACCGGAGCCGGCATTGCGGTCGCGGAAAGCTGAGCACTAGTATCAGTACAACTATTCACATTTGTGGCAGTTCTGCCTTGAGACCAAAGTCAGATGAGACCCAGGCTGGGCACGTTGCATACCTCCCTCATTGCCACCAGGGCCACGGCGAGCACCACCGGCGTTGGCGTTGGCGGGCTTGGCGGGGGCCTCGGGCTCAGCACCACGCTTGCCAGTGCGCATGGTGGTCTTGTCGACAGTCTTCACGGGTCCCGAAGGAGGCTCCTCCTCGTCATTGCCTGATCGAAAGCACGCCTAAGGTCAGTCTTCAATCCATCTCGTTGTACGTCTGTTGTTTCTGCATCCTGCGCCTTGGTGGTAGAGTGTTGGGGGAGCAGCCATACCGAGGAGGGCGAAAAGGTTCTGCAGAACGACAGGATGTCAGCATTTGTGTCTTTGAGGTTGCGGCAGGGCAATCAGGCATTGGAGCTGGGGCGGGCGAGGGCAGCATCGCCAGCGGTCTCGTCGAGGTGATGAGGCCGTGGATTGGGTTTGGCCGGGTGGTGAGTGGGGTTGGACGGGCAGTGATGGCAGAGATTTGCGCAGCGGCGGGCGGAGGAGAACGACGACGACGACGACGACGACGACGACGAGATCAGACGAAATGGCATACCTTTGAGGCGACCGACATGATGTCGCCGAATTTATCGCCTTGCAGCAAGGCGGAACTGTAGAGACGGCAGGGCGGAGGCGGCTTGAGTTGACGAGAGGGAGTACAGCCTGGCACGAGGTCATACCCTGGTGGAGGAAAAGAGAAAAATACGTCGTCGACCCGGGGTGGCAGGAGGTGGGAGGAGCGAGGTGGCTGCGGCGGGCCTCGAGCTTGTGGTGCCAGGCAATGCGTTGCTTGGTAGGCGGCAACTCTTTGCGTGCGTGGAGACCTCTTGTGGCAGGTGCGTAACTATGTGATCGACTGCAGTGTGGGGAGCGATTATTCCCAAAGCCCCAAGCCACAAGCAGCTCGCGGGCGTGGCAGAGACAACGTCTCAGTGCCCTTGCTTTCCGTCGACGTCTTCAGTCGCATGGTAAAAACTACCCAAGTCACTGCGTCCTAGCCGGCGTCCACCTGGGGCATCGTGTGCCGATTTCCTGACGGCCGCTCTCTATCTACAGTACACGCAGCGTGCGACTCAATTGCTCGGCCCAGCTTGCGACAGCATTTGGGCCGTCGGCTCAGACAGCTTCCCACGACGAGGCAGCTGGAAATGCTTGGAATGCTTGCGCGGGGTGGAGACGAGGGAGCTCCAACCTTGAAAGGCAGCTCCTCCCAGCCGGCAAGTATCTTTGCACCACGGCGGTGCTGGCCAGGTACTTTGTGCCTGGCGGAGCTTCCCCAGGCTCAACTTACCCCTCCCTTGGCGACGACGCAATTTTGGCACCCTGCCAGGCATTATTTGTTAGTTTGTGGTTTCTCGGCTCTTTCGCGTCCTAGTGCGCCCTCCTGGCTCCCGCCTTGCCCTTTTGGCTTAGGGCTTTCTTTGGCCAGCTTACATAATGCCATGACGCATTCACTACGCAATGCGATGCAGCAATCCAGGCCAGGCCGGTTGGTATCATGCCTGTCACTTGAAAGTGGTTCGACTCATTGAGAGGCCCCATACGCGGATGAGGCGTTCTGAGATCTGGTGCTTTGATGTGATTTCATGGTGGTGATTGTCAGCGCGCGCGTGTTGTGCATGGGTGGGCTCTACTTGGGCAGGCTTGACTCTTGATTCACCTCAAGCAGCCATGCTCGCCAAGTTGTGAATTGTAAATCCAGTTCGAACTTTGGAATATGCTCGCAATTACCAAAACACCTTTCCAACTAGTATAATAGCCCAGCCGTGCTTGTGTGAGCAATCTAGATGGTGTGGTTCTTCACTTTCAGGATTGAGAAGGTTCCCTCCGTTCTGATTGAGGTGGTGATAGAGTCACTAGGTGTGCTCTGTCATACTGCCTCACTCATTCCTCTCTGGTATTTGTTCGAGGGATGCATCATCATTTGATGCCAGATAGCGAGCTCAGACGTGACGGTCGTGGGTATGCGTAACGTTCACGGCGATCTGCATGTCTTCTGTCCGCGTTGTCCATAAGGAGCAGCAGATCTAATGTGTCCTTCGTGAGCGATGGTGCCCAACAAGCACATTCTCAGGGCATGCAATATTACTCCTCCAACGAAATGACAGGATGAGATATTGCTTCATCTCCAAGGATAGCCTGACCGAGTGTCAAATGAGCTGGTGCCGGTGACTCAAAGGCATCTCTAGTTGGCCTGGGATTCTTGAATCTTGCGCCTGCAGCCTCATCAACCCTTGGCATATATTGTCGGGCGGCCAAGATGAAGATCCTCGCAGCTTGGCTTCATAATCTGCCCTGACAGGTGTGCTGGCCTAGGCTTGGCAGAGGCGGCACAGCATTCACGCCTCTGGCAAGGCCGTGCGTCTGCTTTTGCGCGATATACTCAGAGACGACCAATAACCATCGATGCGCCGTATGCTGACGGTCGCACGCTCGAGTAGAACCCCTGAGGAGGGCTTCCGGCCGAACCTGCAGCATGGCGAGGAAGGGTTCCAAAGTTCCCTGCACGAGCAGCTGCAGGAACCTGTGGCAGTCCTGACAATCCTGTCGAGCATGCGATGTCGGCTCTTGGAGACGCACCAGCACAAGCTGACCCCCACTGATCATTTCAAGTGACACAGGCTGTCGATCATGACGAAAGCATGCTTGTCCTTTGTAGACAAGCCATGAAGCCCGGCGTATGAGGATTGCGTGGGCGATCCTTTGGAGTTTTCCGAGATGGTGCATAAGTTTGATCTACGGAATATCAAGTGACGCGGTTGCGGAGCTCTCGTGGACGATTCTGCGCGTCATGTCATCTGGTAAACGCATGAGCGATAAGGGGAACTCGGCCAGGAGGCACGCCCACACCCACACCAAACTCACTCTTTCGCCCACCCTTTCGATTGCCCAAACCGCAAGGCTGAGGGGATCAAGATGCAGGGGTTTGACAGTGGGGGTTCCCGTAGAGCAGAACCGCAAAGTGAGCTGCGAGGATAAAAGGACGATCGCTGTTTGGCTGGAGCTGCCTCTTGGCGCCAGCTCGGAACTGCGCTAGAAGTCTTCCAGAAAGAAAACCCCACGCTCAGACCATGCCGGGCATAAATTATCCTTCCAGCGCGTGGGGTTTCGCCAGGGGTTGGGCAACAAATCTGATCTTCTGCCGCCGCTGGACTGGCGGCTCGCGAGAGCAGCATGGAGGAAGAAGCAACGTTCTCGCTAGCGAACCTGGCAGGCCGGGGTGTGTCGAGCCAATGGGTGCCAGCACCACCTACCTGACTGGAGCTACGGTGTTCAGCTGCATCTCGTCAAGCGTGGTAGCGTGGTCTCTTCTGGCTCAGCTGACATCAAAGGGTGGCGCGCCTTGGGGTAAGTTAAGCCCTGCCGCGGAGTTACAGCAGTCCATCCTGTCCCGGCCCGCGCACTCGACCGAGGACTGTTTTTGGACCCCTTTCCCTGCGCAGGTAGGTCCCAATAAGCGGATCTGTAATTCACTATTGAGACAAGCGTTTCGAAGTCTTCAAGCTGGAAACAACTACTGCCGGTAGTGGCGCAGGACTGGATGGCCCCGTCAGGGGGTCATGAAGGCTGTCGTCTTCAATGCCGCCGATCACCTTGCCGCATGAACAACCCGACCAGCAATGTTGGTGGTGTCGGACAATTAACTCGAAACTTTGCACCAAGACCGAGGGGGCTGAAATTGTCGCATTCTCGACCCAGACTCGCCTGGAAAGGCGAAAGGACGGTCTTGCACAGCTGGCGCAACTTGGGCACATGTTCTTGGGCTACAAAGCTTCGTGCCCTTGAGTGATGTGACGGACGCAGCTGGTCGCACTTTCCCCATCTGCTGGCGCCCGATCAAGCAAGCGTCCAAGTTCTCCCAAGCATACGTCTCTAGACCCTGCCCATTATTGGTGTGGACCGCATTCACACAACGCAGCCAAGAGTAATGGTTCGCCTAGTGATTGATTATCCCCCTGTTCCATCTGCTAGACCTCTAGACCTCTAGACTTCCGTCCCTGCCCCGAGGTCGGGAACGCCGTCCTCGATCGACCAGTGGTCATACAAGGGCCAGGCTTACACAACGTCGAGGTTATGCAGTGGGCTGCTTGTTCACTCCCGATGCGGGCAAAGCTGACGAGGAGTACCCCAGTGTCGCATCGCCACCAGTTCCTGGCTGGCGCCGAGCTCACCCTCCTGGCATGCACGCCACATGAGCAGGGCTGTCAAGCTGCCCACAGGAGCACGCCAGGAATGCTCAAGACACGTCGAGGCGCAACGGTGGGCGGGCAAGCTGAGAGGGGTGGGCTGGCTCATTTTGCTGAGAGGGTGTTGTTGGCGGCCAGGGTGTCGAGTGGAGAGCGCCGGGGCCCGCCGCTCCAAAGCCCATCTCTCTTTAGGCCAAGCGACCCGGTATAGGCATACAGGGGGGCCTCGAAAACCCTGCTGCCGACTTGCCTCCGCTCGAACTCTCTCCCCCCCGGTCGGCAAGCCGCCCCCTCCGATTTCAATTACATAAACTCAAATCCGCCATTTTCTGCCCGTTTTGCTGTCATCAGGCACTTACCCGTTCACTACCACGCCAAAAGAGGGGATCCTGCAAGTCAGAGTACAGTACACGAAGCTCGACTTGACGTCTCGTTGCAGCTACCGGTCTAGTATTACCTTACACCATCTGCTCCAAAGCCTCGATCCCGGACCCGTCACCCGTCCCGGTCTTCCGCCCTGTGAACTCTCGGATGGCGTGCTGGAGTCGCGACTTCTGCATCCAATTTTCACAGGAACGTGTTTCTTGAGCCTCCACGCGTGGCCCAGTTTTCCACAGCTGAGACCTTGACGTCTCCTGCCTCCCCGGACCACCAGGCCTGTTGGTGACGTGGGCATAGCACACCGGCACTCACGCACGCGCAAAACATACAACGTGCCATTGACCAGCAACCTCCAGTCCCAAGCTCCCCGGGTGTCCTTGTGCGCAGCGCCAACGGACCTAGGAGACGACCTCATTACCACAAGGCAAAGGGCAGAGCTGTTCTACTGAGAGGCGTTTGCCGCCCCTACGGCAATCGTCTCCCTACCTTTATTGTCATGTCTGACAAAATGTCCATCGACAAGAAAGACCCTACCAAGGACGATTCCGACGACTCGAGTCACTCAAGTCCCGAGAATGATTCCACACAGGCTGCCCCTCAGGAGAGCCAGCCTGCTAAACGTAAGGGAGGTCGCAAACCAGTAGGTCTCCCCGGGACTCAGAGGCGGCACGTGACCACTCGAGGACTTCCATGTTCTGACAACCGATTCCAGATCTACGCCACTTCAGAGGAACGCAAGCAGAGAAACCGTCAAGCTCAGGCAGCATTCCGAGAGAGGCGCACTGAATACATCAAGCAGCTAGAGGAGACCATAAGAGTCCATGAGTCCAACTTGAACAACCTTCAAGCCGCCCACAGGAGTGCTGCTGATGAGTGCTTGATGTTGCGCTACAAGAACTCTCTTCTTGAGCGCATCTTGCTCGAGAAAGGTGCGCTTAACACCAAGCTTCTACCGCAAATGCTGTGTACCTAACGCGCTTTCGCAGGAATTGATGTGCAGGCCGAACTTCACGCAAAGACGGGCAGCCCTAATCTTGGCCCGTCACACATGCCTCAGAACATGGTGCAGCCTCCTCCCATACAACGAGCCATGTTCAACCGCCACCACGGAGCTCGCAGATCCGGCTCGAGCATTGCGCCCAAGGTGGACTCCGCAGTGAATGGCATCGCCGCGAACCAGAGCATGGCCCATTCAATGGCCTCGCCCAAGAGCAGGCCTACACCCCCGTCACATGTTGCGTCGCCTACAACCAGCACACCTGGGTTCAGCGGGTCAGCAGCGTCACCAAACACGAGTGCGCACCACGGACTTCGTGGCACACTTCCACCGCCACCTCCACCACCATCGCGGGTACCGCAGATGGCGCCGATGCCGGGCATGTCTGCCGCTGGTCGGCAACAGCTTCTTGCACAGCAACAGAAACAACAGCAGCAGCAGCAGCAACCACTTCATCCTCCGCCACAGCAATCTCAACAACAACCACATCCTCCTCAGCAGGCTATGCCTCCAAGTCACCAGCAACAGCAAGCACCTCCACTCGGTCAAGCTTCGCATGCGCCAGTGTCGCGAGCACCTGGCATCTATCCGTCGCAGTCCTTCCAATCACACATAGAGCAGCTCGGTAAGACAGAGGGCTTCGCTGTGTCCATCCAAGTGCCTCAAACCTACTTTGCTAACTCCGTTGACACAGAGCAAGAATATGATGCACCAAACGATATGATCGATGACGTCGAGCCCGAAACACCGGGGCCTTCGCCATACTCGAACGGGTATCCCAATCCACAGGCACCCGCAATCCCCATGCAGACAGGCCATGGCATGACACCAGCCACGGCCCAGGCTCAAGCCCAAGCCCACATGGCACAGGCGGAGCAAGGAGCTCAGTCGCAAGGACAAGGCTATCCAAGCATGACCCAGCTCCTTGATCCAGCCTTGGATTGGGATCCATTCGGCCTGAGTGCCTCCATGGCCTTTCCAAGCCAGTTTTCCTTTGACACCAGCAACATGAGATGAGCGCCACCATCAGTCGCTTTGGTGCCTTTTCGAAAATTGACGTTGGCTCTCGCTCGAAAGCGAGATGCTCGGCTTGGGCTCGTCCTCGCTGTGGCGAAGAGCAGGCGCAACCATTGACTCACACCCGCGACAACTTGATTTCAAGTGCGACCTACCAATGCAGGGACCTATTGGTACACAGTACAGCCATGCTATGACTTCTCGACGACGTGGACTGGTTCTGCAACCGCAACCGAAGTCGACACGGCTGGCACCGAGAGGCTGGCGACTAGTGACGGCATCCACGAACGCAGACAGCACATGAGGTGCTCGTCATTGTGGTGGAGTGATATGCACCACCACTCAAAGCCATATCGCGAATAGGATTGAACCATGACTGGTAGTCCGAACCCGAGTTCCGCATGAGGTGGAACGAGTCTCGCGGAATTGCATAAGCGGGGCCGGGGTCCGGCAGGCTCTGAGACAGAAGCAGCCTAGCCTGTCTCCGCACCGGGCACGGACCAAGAAAAGGTTGCATCTCCTCGGGGTTCGTGTGCCTCCGATAGCGCAGGTGCTCACACACCAACAGTTGCATCATGTGATGCACATGCGACGGTGCAGGATTTTCTCCACTGCACCACGACAGGTGACGGCATCCCACCACGACCCGGACAAACCGAGACAGTGGCCAAGATCGGATTCACTGCCGGGCGAAAGCGCAGGTCCAGCACGGGAATTGACAGGGAAAACAGTCGACTCACCATATCGAATTGCAAGCAGCAGCCGGTAGCTTCGCTTGCTAGCATAGTTGCTGAATAAAGGACTAGGCTCGAAACGCCGAGGGGCTTTTTGAGTTTGTCGAGACCCAACACATTTATTGACCAATGACTGCGTCTGTGTACCCATGGTGTCCTCGGTGACGAAAGCGGGATCGAGCTTGTGCAATGACCGCCATCTCCAAGACGTTCCACGTTTCTGTGGCCCAGTGAGCAGAGCCACGTGTAGCCTAGTTTCTGATCACCCCTTTTTGGCGTGGTTGCTTCCCGGAAGTGGGCCATTGCTTACGGGCCACGGTGTCGCGCTGCTGTGGCCTTATCGATCTCGTCGTCTTGCAACTCTGCCCTTGCTCATTGAAAATCGAACAACATTGTCCGGATTCACTGCCTTGACGTCGCACTGTTATTGGTCCAAATGAGTGGGTGAGGGCGCCAAGCTTTCCGGGTTGTCCGTACAGTGATGCCTGGCGGATGTGGGGCCGTAATGAATGCGCAGCGGACTCCAGACCAGCGATCCTCTCTTCATGTCGACTTGCATCACCCACCAGGCTGCCTTCAGCTGCTTGGCTGCCAGCCAGGTTATGGCCATGCACTGGCGCTTGTGGTTGTACCGGCAAATAATCATTCGGCTGAGTAGTATCCGGTGGAGGTGACCACCCTGGGAAACGGTGTCGAGAAGGGCCACGTGCTTGAGCGGAAGATGACTTCCTTGCTGGATCCTCCCACAACCTGTGCCGGTGCCTAGAAGCGGCCCACAGGCTTAGCACTGGAGATTGGAGCCCGGCACTCAAGAGAGCTTTGGAAAGCTATGGCGGTTCGCAAATGGTAAACTTGGTACCAATATAGCCTTTCGTGACAGCAGTCCCAACATCGTGTCGAGGGCAGCGTTGACAAAGTTTGGGCGACCTTTTTGAACCGTAAAACCCAGTCCGTCAGGCAGGCTGGTTGCCCGTGAGAGCTTGGCCCGCCATGGCTCATCGGCAACCTGGCCTGAGGAACCCTTGCGACATGGTGGAGAACGAGTGCAGCTCCGCAGGGTGGACGAGGTCGTAGTTACGGTTAAGTGCATCTTGCAGGGTCGGATGGCCGTTGCTGTTCGACGCGTGCCAAGACGCGAGATGGCTTCTGTTTGATCCTGGCGAGCTGGAGCTGGCGGAACTGCGGCACATTGACCTTGGAGGGGGCTTCTTGAAATCCCAATCATCTGACTTTGTCCTGGCGCGCCAAGGGGGGTCTGCTAGCGAGGCGGGACTGTTCATTTGAGCCAGCTTAGCTGGTGAGCGGCGTGCTGAGGAGGAAATGATGGGTTATTGACGAAAGAGCCCGGCAGCATGGGGAACGGTGCTGGCATCTCGTGACCCTCGGGGGGCCGCGCCATTTTGTGAGGAGGCTACTGGGCTGGTTGGCGGAGTGGGGGGTGGTGATGGTGGTGGTGGTTGTGCAGCATAACCGCATTGTGCTGTGCTGTGCTGTGCCATGTTGTGCTTCGGTGTTTGAGATGAGCCCGCTCAGGTGGGGCGGCGGCGGTGCTTCTGGCCAGTAGACACTCGTCCTGGGCACGGCTTCTGTGAGATGAAGCATCGTCGTCTTGTTGCCGGCTCGAAGAAGGCAGATGTTGGGCCTGGTGGTTTTCCACGGTAAGGAGAGGCTAGAGATTGACAGGAAGAGAGAGAGAGAAAGAGAAAAAAAGGGTCACCGGGAGGCAGGAGAGGGAGCTGGGGGACTGTCGAGACTGATAAAGCGAATCCTGGGGCAGGAGCACCCACGAGAGAGATAGGGACCTGGAGATAACCACACATCCGGGGAAAAGACTAGGTACTGGGCTGGTCTGGGAGGGCTTCCTTATCTCTTGGGCCGCGGCGGCGTGGCAACAAGTCAGCGGCCACACACACGGGGCGGGTGTGCACTGGCCCAGCTAGCAGGGCAGGGAACGGCCAGAGATAAGAGCCCGCGGGCTCCCCATTCACGAGCTTGAGACAGGACGGCATCAGGGCAGGTACTGCATTCTCATTGGGGAGCCGCCGCCGTTTCTCTGACATGCCGATTAGCAATGGATTCGCATTTGTCACTGTCATTGCTCACACTCACGCATACACCAACGACAGACCACCGACACTGCCACCAGATCTGGCCTGGGGCTTGAGTCGCGCATGGCGTAGTCCGCCCAGACCTAGACCAGATCAACCATTAGCTAAATGGTGGTGGCCCAATGGGATCAAACGTAATGGCTTTGCGGCATCTTTCGTTCCCAAGACGATTAGCACCGTGGGCAAGCGTACCTCCAGGTAAGTGTGGATAAGGAAGGAGAGAGGGGGGGGACTTGACGGAATTCCATTTCCAGATTGCATCAGAAAAGAGTTTATCGTAATAGTATACTCGGCGGCAAGGCAGGGCAAGGCAAGGTACCCATTGCGCCACCAGCAGCACCGCTGTCAAATGTCACCCTTTGCTGGCCGCACCTTTCCTATCAGGCGCACGTCCACACACATGCACATACACACACACACACACACACGCCTACACACAGGTACCTTGAAGTAGCTGGACGAGGCAGTTACCACGTCCACAAAAAGCAGCAGCATCTTATTCTTCTTACCTCCCCCAGCGTCGATAAGGTCATTCACTGACACGTTTGACCTTGACAAGAAGAAAAACCCTTTTCATTCGTGTCTCCCATCATCCCCGGGTCCCCAAAAAAAAGTTTCCTTTTGCTCAGTCTGCAAATTGCATAACCCTTGATCCACCCCCTACGCAGAACCTGAGCATCCATCTGCGCTACATGCCATTTGAAGATAATACAATGGATGCCCGTTGACATAATAATAATAATTAGCCTTGACACGGGCAACCCCTTGTCACAGTCACATGTAAAGCCAAGCAAAGATTCTCCCACTTCACAGCTAAGTACGTAGCTACACCCACACCCACACCACAGATATCTCATAATCGCTTGACCAAATGTCAACGTAATACGAAACCTGCACCATCGCCATGGAAAAGATTCCCAAAAGTTGGACACCACAGAATCAGCGAGCGCCGCCCTGCCTAATCGAGCAGGTGTATTAATTCATATCTATTCTGCCTGCTTGACTGGTTGATTCATTGATACACCAGCACACTCATCATCTCCGCCCGGATTGGCCGGACTAGCCATATCTCGAGGTCCAGACAGGTGGCGCGGGCGGGATCCCTCCGCCCCCCCAGTCCCGTCGGCTGTTCCGCTCCGCTCCGTGCCTCCTCGGAGGCGGAGTTGGGCGATAAGGATGCGGATAGCCCGGCTTCCATCGGCCCCAAGGGGGGACAACTTCCCGTTCCTGGACTTGTACTACTTGACTATTGGCAGAAAGTTGGGGGGGTTCACTTCGGCTTACCGCGCTCCTGCGTTCCTGATAGGATGTCCCAGAAGGTGGTCGCCATTTCAATTATTCACGAAGATTGGGACAATAAGGTGAATGAGAGGATGCTGTCAAGGCTCAACGTGTTTCCGACTCATCGATTGAGTACCTTACAGCAACGGCAAAGCGCTCATGAGCCGGGATAAGCCTTGGTTTAGTGGTCTCTTTGCTGCGCCTGCTGCGATAGCCGAGCTACAGTTCCCGGCCTGACACCGCTCATCGCCAGCGGACTCCGGCTCCGCAGATTGCCCAGGCTCAGATAGCCCTGCAGTCCTTGAGCTGGCCCTTGCGTTGTTTCTCCTCCACGCCTGGAATCCTGAGGAATTCGCTGCATACTGCCATGCTGAATAACATGGTTGTCACTAGCATGCATGTCAGGAGTATAGTTCCGTACACGACCTATCTCAGAAGAAGGCTTTGGTGCCGGCAATCGAGATCTGTCACCAAAGATTCCCCGTTTCAACCGCGCTCTCTTATTTGCCTCTCGCTTCAGAGTTTGCTCGGAGAATATGCCGCGAAGCCGTGTCGGGAAGCTCTTCGAGACTCCTTCGACGTGGTATGAATCCAGATATTCCCGTGACTGGGGTGCAGAAATCTGAGTTGGCAGAAGGGGAAGACGCGATGTTGGGTGCGGAGGAGATGGCGGCAGACCGAAGGCGGACGGGAGTAGTTGACCGGGCGTGACTTGCTGATTGCCACCTACACGAGCTCTATCAAGCGAGACCGATGCGTATGGCAGTATTGACCGGCCACCGGCCCTTCCCGCCAAGTGGACACTTGGAGACGTATTGTTTAGAGGATAGTCCGACTGCGGCGGGAGGCTGTCGCTCGCGTTCGTGTAAATGTGAGCCTGCCTAGGGTAATCATACAGACCTTCCTGCTGTGGTGTCGGCTCGTGCTCCTCAAACACGGTCGGTTGACGAACAGCATGACTAGGCTTGACGTCATCAGGATCTGTGCTACCAAACCCCATCACTCGCGACGATGGGCGCACGAGCGGCTCTGTCTTGACGAAAGACGGCCCCTTGGGAGACATGATGACACTAGGCTGCTCAGGCCAGGCAAGGTCTTCCTCCACTCCAAGGGGCACCATTGGAGAAGCACGACGAGATGGAATCAGGTGGAGTTGCTCTGGACTTGTTGGGCATGATACAAGAGGCGGAAATGCTTCGTCTTGCGGCGTTGCGGATTGACCACGATTCGGTGTTGGGAAATGGTCATCGAGCAAGGAGCGTGGACGTATTGCTGGCAATAGCGTGTGCTGCTGCCAGGCCGGGCTCTGAGGAGAGATCTGCATCCATAGGGGGATCGGTTTCGTTGGGCTCGGCCTGAAAGCCGGCTTCCCAAGGGGGTCCATCATTGACACGTAGATGGTCGAGTCGAGTGGTACAATGCAGTCTCCGATGTGCGGGTTGCTCGCGGCACCATCCAGCTTGGCGGAACTTGGGATACTGCGAAATGATGAGTGCTAGAAGATACCGTCAGCCGAGGAATTACCATTCGACGCGAGTCGAAGAGCCTACATTTTGCTGCCCAAGGGATCGTCCGTAAGCCAACGTTGAGTCTGAAGGCGTTCCAGAAAGCACTTCACGTCTCTCCCATCGCATTCGACTGAGCCCGCCATCCGCCCTATCTACTCTTCGCAATGCCCGTTGGAGGACATTGGGATGCTCGACATCTTCATTGTCGCAGTCAACAAGGCAATTGGCACACATTGGGATCACGTCGATCTCCCTTGCTCTTTTCCCGCGGTCTCCATTATCCGCTGCTCCCAATGTGCCCCCGTCCTCCGTCCCAACTCCATGAGCACGACCGCCACCAAAGACCTCTGCGACAGACGGCCCCGTGACAACCCTGCGATTGCCACAGAACAGACACCCATAGCACCCGCGGTGCCAGAAGCACCAGCCGAGCGACACCACCTCGTCTGCGCGGAAGCAGATCTCGCCGCAGACCTAGCATATGGCGAGGCCGATGAGCCCGCGCAGGCAGGGCTCGCAGGTAAGGCGGGCGGTCGAGCGCCCCACGATGCGCGGCGCCCCCCGCGAGAGGTGCCAGCAAAATGTGCAGGTGAAGAGTTGCTCGTCGTGTTCGGCGGTAGTGTTGACTCGGTCGTCGTTCTGTCTGGAGGAGGTCGACAGGTTGGCGAGGACAGTCATTACCGAAAGTGATGCTGAATGTCGACCAGAGGGAAAATGATGTTTTCTACTGATGTTTGTCAAGGGAAGGATAGGATGAGGAGGCAATTTGTGTGTTAAGGCGAGGAGCCTCCAGAAAGACTAGGGATGTTATTGGCGATGTAACAATTTGGGCGTGGCCTGCGTTGGTCTTCAAAGCGCAGGAGTCTTGTTCCTGAGCTCGCGGGGAAGGCGCGACCACTGGTCGGCGAGGGCACTTCACAAACCATGAGATTCCCCTCTTGACTCGCACTTCGGCCGAACAGGTACGATACACGGGAATGAGTCTAGACACTGGCATATCGTGTGATGCGACACGTGGCCACCATTGATATCATTAAATCACTAACGTAAAACTCCCCAAGTTATTCCTTGCCATACAGACAGACGCCGTGACCTGGGGCCTCAGCCCCTCAAAACAAGAACCTTATTACCAAACCAGAAACTCCGGTTGTCCTGTCCAATCCCACTTCCTGTACGCCTGGGTGGAAAATCAAAATTACACGAGGTGTCAAACAAACTCAAGCGCAGCGTTCATCAACAACACGCTTGACTGTCTTTGTTGAAAACGCGACAACCGCAAACGCGGTGATCCACTTCAAGTATCAACTTGACATGTCTCCGAATCACTTCCGCATCTTCGGCTGAGCGAGCATGTGCAGCCTGCTCAGGCTCATGCCAGCCTTCTTCTTCTGCTGAGAGGCCGGCGTCACCGCCTGCTTCTTGACCAAGCTCTTGGCTGGAGACGGCGAACTGATCATTCTCGGCGCGACGATGGCGTGCCCTTCGACCTTCGGAGTTTTGCGCAGTTTCTTCGCGCCGCGCTGGACGCCTTCGTCAATCTCCTCATCTTCTTCGGAATCAGCACGGTGACGCTTCTTGTTCGATAGACCATGAGCCACAGGTGGCAGGGGCATCTTCTGCACCTTGGGATCGGTGTTCTCCTTGTTGACTGACATGCCGAGTGACCGCGGAAAGGCGCCAGGCATGCGAGCAGTCGGCATAAACGAGGACTCACGCACGACTTGACGAACGCTGGATTGGCCTACAGAGCCGCCGAAGCCTTGCACAGGTGGAGTATCGAACTGGATCGTGTGGTCACTGCGGAAGGTGAAGGTGCCAGGAACAGAGGGCGGTAGTGGAGACAGGATCTGTCTCTTGGTTGAGGGCGAACCAGCCGACACATCCTGCTCCTCCGGTACCTCATAGGCAGAAAGATCAGGGTAAGAGACCTCCTCGTCCGCCTTCTCCTTTTGGGGCTTAAACAGCTGTCGTGCTTCAGACTTGACAGGAGAAGTCCTTGTGAAGGCGGGCTGGGCAATAGGCGCCGCTCGTGGAAGGGCAGATTTGATAGGCGAGGGCGAGTTCTGATCAACAGCAGCACCCTTGGTGTCCGGGGTGAAATTGACACGGCGCTCCGAGGCGACGCTGATAGCGAACTTGGCTTTAGGTGTTGCCAGGGGCACAGGCTGAAGCGGGCGATCCACAAAGTGCTGACGACCATGGATCTTGGACGGCGATGTTGCCGAATAGGTCATGCCCGTCTTGGGAGGCTTGCTGCTCCCGCTGACTGTGCGTTTGAGGATTGACTTCATCTTATCAAAGCGACCGGGAGTCTGGATATATGTGGGAGGATTGGCAGCGGCTGGCAGTTTGCTCGTAGCCGCAGACTTCATGAACGACAAGCCAGTCTTGTTTGGGGCCTTCAGGATGCCCGTGATACTCGACTTGCTAGGCGTCCGGACGAGGCTACCCGTTTCAGGCTTCGTGGATGCCTTACTGACACTTGCAAGGCTCGACTTGCTGGGTGATCGCGCCAGGGTTTTCTCGCCTGGTTTGGCCGACAACTCAGTCTTGCTCGGCGACTTGACCAAGGTAATGGTTGGAGTTTTGCAAGCCTGAAGACGTGCCAATGTCGATCGAGTAGGCGTTGTGAGGTGCGGAAGAGTCTGGTTGCGAGGCGCGGCACCTCGAGGGGAGTCCATACCGCTGCTCTTGGGGCGCGGAATGTTGCTGCCGTCGCGGGAGACAGGTCTGAGTGAGGATGCGTCGTCCTCGATCCGCTGGCGAACCCGCTTGGTCGGGGATTCTGGCTCGTCCATCTGCTTGCTTGGCACTTTGCGAATGGACCGCTGGGCCGAGATCTTTTGCTTCGCCGACTCGGGCTCATCCAAGTTGGCTGCAGCCTGTGAGCGCTTCATGGCCGGCTTGATAGGTGTGATGCGAGAAGGATCGGCCCGGAAGGCCGACGGATGATTGGCAATAGAGTCCATCTTCTTGAACTCGGCCATGTGAACCTCGCTGAAACGGCCTGCCTTGCCCTTTGCCCTGGCAATGACACGGCCGTCATTGCCTTTGGCGCGCTCCTCGTCGCGCTCCTCCTTGAGCTTCGCCTTGATTGCTGCGGCCTCCTCGCGCAGAGCCTCCATCATGCGCCGGGCCTCGGGGCCGAGCTCGCCATCATAACCAGGTCTGGGCGTGCGGAAGGTGAAGTCGGAAGAGGGCACACGTGACTTGGAGGGTGTGGCATGCGTGGCAGCGATGCCTTGTCTCTTCTCAATGTCGACAAATCCGAGCTTGAGGCCCGAGGAAGGCGGCGCCGTGGTGGGCTGGTAGCGGCTGGGATGCATTTCAGAAGGGGCCAGCTTGACAGGAGTTGCGGCCGCGGGAGTGGACGGTTGGTGAGGCGCCGGCGAGGACATGATTGCATCAAGCGACTGAGCGGCGGGCTTGTCCATTGTGGCCTCGTCAGCCTCGAAGACAGAGCCAAGGCGAGGCGCGGGAGAGGCGGTGCTCCGCTGGGCAAAGGAAAAGAAGAATGTCAGCACTGATGATGTCGAGTCTGAACTCGCAGGCCCTCGTACGACCCCGTGCACAGTCATGCGACAGCACAATGGCAAGAACCGTGGCATCGATGCAGACTTACGTTGAGGGAGGCGCTCGCAATGCGAGCGGAACGTCTGTGAGGCGTTGCCATGCTGGCGGTGTCGGTCAGATGATCGTGAGCGGGAGCGCAGGAGCGGTTGTGGTGTTGGCAGGGGGAAAGTCGGGCTCGGAGGGCGGGAGAGTCGGGAACCCCTAGAGATGCGCCAGCGCGGGACGAGGAGCGTCGTTGACGACGGTGATCAGCTGAGATGATGTAACGGACGGAACGGGTCTGGGGTTGAGACGAGCGTCGAATGTTGTGTGTGCCGTCTTTGTCGCAATTCTTTTGTTTACTTTGACCAGGGACGCGGGCCAATCAAGACGCCGGATCGGCTGGGGGTGGCCTAAGCTCTCTGTGCCTGTGAGCGGGCCAACAGTCGAGCCAGTGCGGTCAAACAGTTGGCGTCACACGGTGGGGCGGGAAGGGGTCCGCAAGCCCCTCCGCCCGCCGCCTGCCGCCTGCTCCACTTTTGTCCTGCCGCCCGCGATGTCATCCAACTCGATGGTTGGGGAGAGGGGGGTTTCGACATCCACAGGTCGATGTGTGGTGTTTTGCTTCACAGCAAGGCAGAGAGAGGTAGAGGCATGTGGGCGGAATGGCAAGGGTTCCCGGCCCGTATGCTAGCCCGGCAGCCTTCGTGGCTAGCGATAGCTGATTAATTGTCGCCTCGTCAACCGCGCCCTTCGAAAGTTTGTCGCCAACGATCTCCAAAGCTGTGCCACCGCTCATAGCCCTGTGTCTCCGAGCAAGGCGCATGTGCCTTGCAGATCTACCCCAGCCTGGATGCCCAAGCAGCCCGGCTCTGTCTTCGCCGCCATTTGACTGACTAAGCCATGGCATGCCTTGTAGAGTACGCCTTTCCAGCAGCACCTGCATGCTTGTCTGGGGCGGTTTGGCATGACTTCATCTGTCTGTTCGGGAGCTACTAAATGCTATCGTGGTTGAGCTCTGAGCTTCAAGTCGTATATAATTGCACCGTTGGTCTTCTCCGTCCCATCGCCATAATTGGGCAAACCAAATGTGATTCACAGTTCTCTTGTTTCTCAATCAGTGGCTGTCTGTCCCCATCGCTCTGGCATCGTCTTGAATCTACAACTCCAGGCTTCACACTGCTACATTCCCACCTGATACTTCGGCCACACCCTTTACTGCCCCGCGCAAGGACACTAACGCAATGGCGGACATCAAGCCGTACACGATCGCGGTCCCGGACTCGGCAATCGAGGACCTGAAGCTGCGCCTCTCTCTCGCCAAGTTTCCCGACGAGCTCGAGGGTGCAGGCTGGGACATGGGCGTGCCCCTGGCCGAGGTCCAGCGGCTGGCCAGGCACTGGCAGAAAAGCCACGACTGGCGCGCGGCCGAGCGGGAGCTCAACAAGCTGCCCAACTATGTCACGCCCATCCAGTGCGACGGCGGCTTCGAGGCCCTCGACATCCACTTTGTCCACGTGCGCAGCAGCGCCGCCAAGGCCGGGCAGAACGCGATCCCCTTACTATTCGTCCACGGCTGGCCGGGCCACTTCCAGGAGGTCCTCAAGATCCTGAAGCCCCTGACCGAGGGGGAGGCCGGGGACGACACGATCCCCGTCTTTGATGTGGTCGCGCCGAGCCTGCCCAACTTTGGCTTCAGCCAGGGCACCAAGAAGAGGGGCTTCGCGCTCGAGCAATACGCCGAGACGGTGCACAAGCTCATGCTCAAGCTGGGCTACGACGAGTATGTCACGCAGGGCGGCGACTGGGGCTGCCACATCACCCGCGCCCTCGCGCACATGTACCCGAGCCACTGCCGCGCCACGCACATCAACATGGACAGCTGCTCCCCTCCGAGCTTCCTCACGGCACCGCTGGTCGCCGCCCGGGCCGCGCTGACGCCGCACTCGAGGCGCGAAGCCGCGGGCGTGGCCCGCACAAAGTGGTTCAACGAGCAAGGGCGGGGCTACAACCTCACTCAGTCGACCAAGCCCCAGACCATCGGGTACGCGCTGGCCGACAGCCCCGTGGCGTGCCTGTCGTGGATCTACGAGAAGCTGCACGACTGGACGGACGCCGTGGGCCGCAGCTGGACCGACGACGAGGTCTGCACGTGGGTCTCGATGTACTGGTTCAGCACCGCGGGGCCCGCCGCCAGCGCCAGGATCTACTACGAGGCGACGCACAACGTCGACAGCCGCGAGGGCAAGCTGGACCACGAGAGGCTGAGGACGTACAGCCCCGGCGTGAAGCTGGGGTTCAGCCACTTCCCGATGGATCTCGTGGTGCTGCCCAGGTCTTGGTTCGCGACGCTGGGCGAGGTCGTGTTTGACCGGGAGCACGAGAGTGGTGGGCACTTTGCGGCGTGGGAGAGGCCCAAGGAGCTCGTCGCGGATGTGCGTGAGATGTTTGGAAAGGGCGGTGGTGCTTTTGGCTGTGTCAAGGGCAAGAATGGGTACGCTTAATCTGCTGTGAATTATCTGGATGGCTGGCAGTACACATATAAGTACACAAGAATATCTAGACGGACGCATGGGCAACGCACTACAAGGCAAAGCACACAAGGACATGGAACAATGCGCCGCTCAATCCTGACCAGTATGGGCCCTTCTGAGAATTTTGCAGATAAACCTAATCGTTTCTCAGTAAACACAAACTCATAACGTCGTGACAGTCATTCCCCCTCATCCTGTTCGCCGTGCTTCTGAGAAAGTCACTAAATCCTCGCAGTTCACCACCGCCCCCCTGGACTATCGTACATAAGGTCACTCTTTACCATTCCAAAACTTTCCAGTCGTCGTACTCGACTATCCTCCAGTAGGTGGCCCGAGACACATCTATTTGTTCTTGATGGTCCGGCTGACGGGTGTGGTACCTTGCCTCTGCGAGAAGAGCAGATACCCGAACACGACGGCGGCAATCGTGCCAAGGATGAAGAAGTTGTCTGGATTCCCGTAAAGTCAGTATTCCGGCTTGTCGCTGCGGGGGATTATTTCACTCTATATAGAACTGTCCACAAGAGGAAACCCAAAAGGGTTGTGGGTAGGTGGAGGTGAAAGTTTTGAGGCTGAGGCTGAGGTTGAGGTTGAGGAGGAAGGAAGACTCACGGATCGCAAAGCCGAGCGTGTTCTCGACAAAGTGCGCGACGCCCTTGAACAGGCCCAGCACCGAGTCGAAGACGAGCTGGAAGAAGTGCAGCACGGCTGAGATGGCGCCCTCAAAGATGTGAAAGATGGTCGCGAATATGCCCTGGAACACCTCGATCACGGACTGGACGAGATGGCCGATTCCTGATGCCACGCCCATTTTTGCTGATATGTCGGTGTAGGTGGGAAGGGTGAATTTCCAAAGCGCTTGATGGCTGGATTGTATCGGGATTGGTTGTGCGAGAAGAATACGTTCTAAAAGAGACTCGAAGGCTAGGTATGTAGTGCTTGTGGGACGTACGTGAAGGGGGCCGCATGGGGGCCTACTTATAATGTGGCTGGAGCAGGACGTCGGGGCACCAGGACACCACGAGGGCCAGGCAGGTAGGTACGGAGGTACATGGCGTCTGCACTTTGATCCTGCGAATCTCAGATGTCATCTCCCTCCATCTTGCAAAGGTTTCCCCTTCCTTCTGTGCAGTACCTTGGACCACTGCCAGGATTTACGCCACAATGACAACGAGGCCCCCGGCAGAGCAAAGGGTAGAGAGACAAGACTACGTCAGTGCCAGGGTTCTGAGGCTGAACCCACATGTCGATACCCGCAGCAAACGCTCCGGCCCTGTCACACGTCCTCGGCTGGCTCCGGACAGCTGTTGCTCAAAAGCGACAGGCTCTACATGAAAAGGGCTGCAGAGTTTCAGAAGGACACGCACCAGAATGGAGGCAACAAGTCCCCTTGACGGGTGCCCGGGGTGCTCAAGGCGGGGGGATCGAGATGCACGGCTGCTTGCTCGTCACACGGCGATGATGGAACAAGGTGACGTGGGGCCGGCGTGCAAGTGACGTCAGTCCTGCCTAAAGCTTCGAGAGCAGCAGGCCCTGATTGGCTGTAGCCCTGCCCCAGCAAATAGGCTAGCGCACCACGGCGCTTTGCTTGTCATCGGTCCCAGCTGGGGATTGGGACGCACTAGCACGCGACTCCAGAGGGGAATTCTTTTCTTGAGGTAAAGTCGTAGGAGCCATTTAGAGACAGAAAATAGGCACTATGGTCAATACAGTACGGCTCTTATGTTTGATTGGAATATGAAAGTTGCCATTTGCACAGCAGTCCTGGTTGATGGCCTCCAGGCAATCAAAGCAGTCGCCCTTGAAGTTCTTCGTGCAATCATGTCTTTGTCTCGGCCTGATCTTGCATTGACTGGAGCTTTGAACAAGGCCGGAAGCCGGTGGGGGAACTAGCTGAAACCCAGCGCATTCGCCAGGTCTGAGGCATAAAGCTGTGCGCTTCTTGAGTATAGTGGGAGGCTATCGCCGGCCATATGGGCCCGTCCGATATTGACTTGTACAGCCAGCAACTCATCCAGGTGTTCGACACCCGCGGGTGTGTTCCTGTACGGCGTGGCAGAAAGCCGACTTGTAGTTCGGAAATATAAAGGTTGGGGTCTTCGCTATCGATTTCCCTCAACTAATGGCCCCAAAAAGGCACAGGCTCCTCTCACTGCTGATAGACTTGTACGTTAATGGTTCAGAGGCGTGAGGACCTTCGCCGCCCTCACTCAGTTGATGTCAAGCTTTGTACCATACCTAGTCAAGCATGAAGATTGCTGATAGAGCCGATCCAGCGTGCCGCCTGGCGAGTCATGCTCGAACCACTGGAATGCCGGGCCCTACTGTGCAAATGTATAAAAGGTCGAGTCCACAGTTCTCTCAGATTAGATGGTGCATGATCGAGGACGCGCCAGCAGATTATCTCACACCCTCACTCGACTCGCGTCGCCGTGAATGTGGCCCATGTACGTCTACACGGATTCGGACTAGAGTGCCCGATCGTACAAGGTGGTGTACAACAGACCCAAGATGTCCTTACTCCCATACAGCCACACCGCGACTGGGACGGATTCAGTATTGCCCTGCCCTGGCAAGAAGCTACGCTTCGAGAAGCAGAGATAGACTTCTACTTGTAGTTCTGGCTCTGGTAACGGAGGCAGCGTCGTCTTAGTTGACCTGAGTGCAGTTCTGCCCATCGCTGCTAGGCTGGATGAAGAAATTGGTACATGTCCGGAAAGCTGTGGCGCCGAGGCTCAGCTTCGAAGGGAAGATTTTGGAACAGGTGAACCTAATGATATCCCATTAAGCAACGCGGGCAAACAATTACCAGCGAGAAAAGAACAGCCCATAACATGGCAGCATGTGGTTCGTGCTGTGAGGAGAACTGGCGGAAGGAGACGTTGCAGGCAGAAGACGCCTTACTTTGTGTCATCGGCGAGCATTTGGGCGTGGCAACTTTCCGACATATTAATCTGTGCTCAACGAACGACAGCAATGCAGAAGAGACATGGCTGGAGACGCCCAGCGAGAGGCGGTTGCCCTGCCGTCGCGACTGGGCATACAGGTCGATTTCAAGGCTGCATCAGAACTGTACCAAGTCAGTTCTCGCCCAAATCCAATTGAGCGCATGTTTTATTGAATCGAGTCGACATGTGGAAGATGGTGACTTGGAATGTAGTCCGGGATGGCCCGCACCACCAGGCCTTCCCAACGTTGGAACACCGGGCAGTATTAGCGGAGCCCAGGGTCTGAAGTGGGGCCCTGCAGGAACAAAGCACAAGACGTCGCTGCTGCATCTTCGACTCCTCCACATTCCACATTCCACATCACAAGCTCCGCCAACCGCTGCCGCCTTGTCCCTCCCTCACAAAGAGGAATCGCCCCCAGCACTGAACGGCCACCTCCCCAAAGCACCAGACCGTCACTGGCCATGGCTCCAGCCGGGCGCATGGGCGCTGCCGACCACGACGTGATTGAGCGTAAGGTTCCCCTCTCCCCATCCTCTCTCTGCCCGCACTCCTCGCACCGCATCCGCAGCATCGAAGACTGACGCCTCCCCTCCGTTATCGCGCGCCCGCAGAACAACTCAAGGAAACCGTCCAGTCGCTCTACAACATCCTCGTTCAAGTCAGCGCCTACGACCAGCACACCTCCGTCTCCTCCAGCGGCACCACGCCCAGCAGCGGCGGCGTCGGCAACAGCAACAATAACAACAACACACCGCCAACAACATCAAGCGCCTCGGCGAACCATCCCACATCCTCCTCCTCCTCCTCCTCCAAACCCAGCGCCGAGGTCCTGGCCCAGGAGCTCCGCACGCTCTCCCAGTCCCTGCAGGCCATCCACCAGACCGCGTCCACGCCCGACCCGGAGCACTCGCTGCCGCACATCCCCCCCGAGCTGGTCCAGTACGTCGAGAACGGGCGCAACCCGGACATCTACACGCGCGAGTTTGTCGAGCAGGTCCGCCGCGGCAACCAGCTCCTGCGCGGCAAGCAGGTCGCGTTCGGCAGGTTCCGCGACATCCTCGCCGACTCCATGGACAGCGCCATGCCCGAGCTGCGCGATGACGTCTCGGCCGTGCTCGAGGCCACGGGCGGCAAGGACCGGTGGAAGAGCCAGCAGCAGCAGCAGCCGCAGCAGATGGTTGGTTCGTCGTCAGCGGTGGCGGTCAATGGGAACGGGAACGGAAGCGCTGGTGGTGCCGGCGGCAGGCCGCCTTCGTCTGCTGGGCCTGGTGTCGGTGGCGCAGCAGCCACACCTGCTGGTGGCGGCGCTGTACGCCAGAACAGTGTCTCGTCAGGAACACCGATGCGGTAGCGATGGCGCTTTTATCATATCTTGTTTCGTCCGACATCAGCATCTCTGCGCTGCGAGGCTGGGGCTTGGTAGAGAGCAGCTCTGACGCGCTAGGCGCCTTTGTTTTCGATGCAATTTTTGGTTTCCAAGCCGGCGTTCGGGAAAAGAGGGCGCATTTTCGAGTGGGACAGGGCATATATACATGCCCACACGGTCTCGAGGCCTCGGGACGTTGCCCATACGCAGACACACAATATATCGTGAACGCAAACAGAGATTTTGTGATAGAACAGTGAATGGGGATCATTCATTTCCGCGTAATGTTACCAAGTCTGAGAGACTTTTGCAGTTCATGAGCAATGTGCAATTACGCCAACCTGATCACGTACACGGCCATGGTAGTTTCATCAACTTACGACCTGGGGCGCTGAAAGCGTCAACGGATTCCGGGCACCGCCCATAGTCCGCGCTACTTGGGACGATCTTCGTTCAAGAGTGGTATCACAAGAGGGGTATGTCTCATGGAAGCATCAAGCATCAAGCGATCTCAGTCAACACGTTTTGCGTCTTTGTTATGTTTTGTTCATTTCGTAATCGTAATCCAATGTTCCCGATAACTTTTCATCAGCCATCAGCGGGGAGGAGAGGGGGGGGGGGGAAGAGAAGGGGGTATAACTATCTCCTTTTGTTTTGTTCAAGTTTCCTTCTCTTTTTTCTCGAGATCATCATCCTCCACTGCTGGTCACTTTCTCCCTGCAACATAACACATCGCGTGTCTCCTCCAAACCCAACCCCCGAAACACTTTTTACTCCTGCTGGCTGGACTCACTAAGCGTTGAGGATCTTCTGCAGCTCCGCGACGACGGCGTCGCCCGTCTCCTTGGTCCCCGCGCTGCCGCCGAGGTCCTTTGTGCGCACGCCGCCGTCGAGGATGTTGCGCACGGCCTGCTCGATGGCGTCGGCCTCCCTGGGCAGGCGCAGCGAGTACCGGCACATCATGGCGATGGAGAGGATCGTGCCGATCGGGTTCACGATGCCCTGGCCGGAGATGTCTGGGGCGGAGCCTGTTTTTCGTTCAAAAGCGTTTCAGCGTGTTAGCAGGGAAAATGGTGTGATCCATGGGCTGGGGGCGAAGGTAGATGTGGAAGAGAAAAAAAAAGTGGTGAGAAGAATAGACGTTGTGAGAGACTGACCGTGGATGGGCTCGTAGATGCCGTTGCACCGGCTCTTGCCGTCCGGGATGCCGCTCAGGCTGGCGCTCGGGCTGAGGCCGATGGAGCCCGGGATGACGCTGGCCTCGTCGCTGATGATGTCGCCAAAGAGGTTGCTCGTGACGACGACGCCGTTGAGGCCCGTGGGGTTCTTGACCATGATCATGGCCGCCGAGTCGATGAGCTGGTGGCTCAGCTTGAGCTGCGGGAACTCGCGGGCCATGGTCTCGGTCACGACCTTGCGCCACAGCCGGCTCGTCGCCAGGACGTTGGCCTTGTCGAGCGACCACACGGGCGCGGGCGGGTCGCGCGCCAGCGCCAGGTTGCCGGCCAGCCGGGTGATGCGCTCAATCTCGGCGCGCGTGTAGGGCTCCGTGTCCATGGCGTACCCGGAGCCGTCGTCCTCGGTGCGCTCGCCAAAGTAGATGCCGCCCGTGAGCTCGCGGACCACGGTGAAGTCGGTACCCCGGCAGACCTCGGGCTTGAGCGGGGAGAAGTCGACGAGCGCGTCCGAGGGGAAGAAGGTCGGCCGCAGGTTGCCGTATGTGCCCATCTCCTTGCGCAGGCGCAGCAGGCCTTGCTCCGGGCGGACGGCGCCCGTGCCCCATTTCGGACCGCCGATGGCTCCGAGCAGGACGGCGTCGGCGGCCTTGGCGGCGGCGAGGGCCTCGTCGGTCAGAGGGTTGCCATGGGCGTTGATGGAGGCCTGGAAAGAGGGACGAGAGATTGTGTCAGCGAGCACTGTTTCTTTCTCTCTTGGGGGCCACGACTTCCATCACGGCGGTCTTGGGTGAGGGGGAAGGAGGAATGGAACTTACACCACCGAGGAGGTGCTCTTGGAGGTTGAACTTGGCCACACCGCTTGTCTCAAGGACCTTGAGGACCTAAAAGGCACCTTTTGTCAGCTTGATCCTCTGCATAATCGACCTGTCGGACGGACAAGGGGGGGGGGGGCGACGTACCTTGATAGCCTCGGCGACGACCTAATCCCGCAAATCAACCAGGTTGTTAGCAATGATCCTTTCCCATTCTTCAATGCAGCACCCCAGAATCTCTGCTGTCAGTTGGTGGAAGGCACCTATCTCAGGCGCCTGTCTTGCCCGCCCTCCACCTTGACTAGTAGTGGGGAATAGAAGCAGTGGAAGAGCCATACCTCGGGACCGCAGTGGTCACCGCCAAACACGACAATGTTGTACGTCTCGGTCATGTTTTTCTGTATTCGTCCTGTCTCGTCTCGAGTTGAATGCCCGCTGTTTTGGGAGCCAATTGGTTTGGCTCGGCCTTTGATTGGCGCTGATCGTCGGAGCTGTCGGCAGCTTTGTTGTTCTGAAAGTAGCAGACGATCGGGGTGTCTCTTGGGCGGGCAGGAGGATTAAAGGACTGAGCCAAATCAAGGGGCGGCAGATGAGGTGATCTGGCAGGAGAAAGGGGAATCCAAAGTTTGCTTGATGGGAATGAGGAAGGGGACCTGGAACACACTGGCGACCCTGGAGGGAAAAGAAGCTCTGGGCTTTAAAACACAATTGCCAGCTCCGAAGCGGCTCCCCGCGATTCTCGTCTGCCAGCCCCACGTTTTCCGATGTCGGCCGCTGGCACGGAGAAAATGCGGGCTGGCCATGCGCTCGGCCGGGTCTTTTCTCCACGTGCGGCAGCCGAAGCTGTCACTTCACTCACAAGTCTAGCGGTCGGAACCGCCTCGAGGCTCTTCGCATGGATGCGCGCCACTATATTAAGTTGGACCTGTATCCAGCCACGGCACGTGAAGCCATACAGTCGCCTCGCTTTACTTGCAGTCATTGCCCACTGCTGGGCGTGGTTTTGATTTGTCTACGGTGTGAGTTTCATGTGCTATAAGCCCATGCCAATCCTCTGCAAGTAAACATGTCTACGGCTTGTGCCAATGTGCAAGAATGCTCAGTGTATCCCCATCATGCCCCAATGACCTTGCCACAGCCGTTACCTAAATGATTTGAAGCTCTTGTGCGCCAGTGGTGATGATGCGGCTCTCGGCATCGTGTTGCCACTCCTTCCCGAGCGAGCATCTCGCCCGCCCTGTCTTTGTACATTGGACGTGTTGGCGCAGAACGCGCAGATGTACACTTTGGGATGTGTCTGCCTCGTAATATTGATGCACTTTCCGTGCAGGTACATCTCGCATGATTCACTAGAGGCCACAGAGTTAGCTGTATGAACAGGGCGCTCGCATTGGCTGCGTGCGTGGCCAAACAGATTGCATTCATCGTATGCTCACCATTGGACCATGTAAGCATCTCCATTAATCCGAGACTGGGTCGAACTGCAAACACATCGGACGTGACTTCCTCTATCACTTGAAGGTGTAGGAAGGCTGACATCGCCAAATTTTGTGGGTGAAATAGCGTCGACAGCATGAGGCGGAGCTGAGATGAAAGAGCGACTGGTGTCAACGGCCATATGCTTCTGGCGAGTCTGGACAACCTTCCTCAATTCGCTGGCCGCGTCGCCCACAGGTCGACCACTGTCGGGAACATTGAGAACAGTCTCCGCATCACTCTCTCCACCCTCCTGTTGTTGTTGTTGTTGTTGCTCGTTGAAATATATGCCCAGGCTACTGGCACTGTTCTCGCTGATGCTACGGCGTGACGACTGAAACGTGTTTGACGATGATGACGGCCTGGGGTGTTCGGGCATCATGAATGAGGAGTTACGGCTCGGTATAATGATGGGCTCGTCGTCAGATGACGAATCATCTTCACCGGATGCCCAGCTTTTAGTCGGGCTGCGATTCTTCCTAGAGGAGTCGCGTACACGTGCCGCTCGCGGAGTGCGGTCGCTGTCTTCGCCTTTGCCTACAACGATGGTGGTGGTTTCCGCACGGGCCCTGCCCCGCGAGTCTATAGTGAACTTTACCGATGTTCTCGTGCGCGGGCTTGCAGACTCTGGAATAGACGCAAGGCTTGATAGTCGCCGGTTATGCTTCAATGGTGAAATCCTGCCGCCCGTTCGCGAGGTAGGAGCAGAAGGGCGATTGCTCTTCTGTGGTGGCTGCTGCGGCGGAGGCGCCATTGACCGGGCAGCTGGGGCAAGGGTTGGCAGTGTCGCCGACCTAGCCAGTGTCTTTCGACCACGGTTTTCGCTCATGCTACGAGATAATCCAGGTCGGCCAAGGGCCTTGGCCGGTGAGCTGCTTATTATGCGATCGCCCTTTTTCGAGCTGACCTCTTTACTGCTAGCTGATCGGCGAAGCTCTCCTTGGACTTGGGTCGGAAACATATGTTGCGAATTATCCCCGGGCAGTATGGTATCCCCTAACAGAGTCATCTGTCCCATAGGATCATACGTCGCCGGAATCATGCCTGACGAACTGGGCCTTGTGAAAAGAAGACCAGGGTCAACACCACTAGCACCGCCGAGCGCAAAAGGGTCATCCATGCCCATGGGAAAGGAGTTGGCAAGCCCGGAAACGTCGTTCGCATTGTGCCCGATGTCATTTGCGACGGGCTTTGGTGCTAATGGTCGTTCCTTCTTTCCATTTTGTTGCATGACCTTGTTGAGTTCCTGGTTTTGCGGAGCGATCATGCTCTGAGCGTGAAATAAGTCGTTCGACCTGCCCCAATCCATCGAGTCCCCAGGTCGATGCCCGCCGGCGGCTGCAGCCTGGAACATGCTGGCGTCGGCCATCGAAAAGTCCATCTCCATGCCTGTCATGTCTGTATCCCAGAAAGACCGTGCCTCGGTGAAAGCTGGAGCGGTGGCAGGCGCTAGCGTAAACCCAAACATGTCTGTCGGAGAGGCCAATGTGAACGAGCCCATGTTCTGCTGAGGCACCGGGCCGGCGACATAGTCCTGGGCATAGAGTTGCTCATCCTGCATGACTTCGTCTTGAGGCTTTGGCGCAAGCCTCCGCCCCCCTTTATGGGTAGAGGGTGGTGGCGTGGCGATCTGGATGTTGACCACTCCCTGCGAACCTCTTCGCTGATCCCTTCTTTTCGCCCGATGCGCAAGGCCGGTAGGAGTTTCGGGCTCGGCGATCCTGGAATTCGTGATCAGTCCTGCTGGCGAGGACGACAGACGTTGAGACGGATCGACCGGCGGTAAAGGTATATCTTGGCTGTGGGAGAAGTGGTTCGTGTGAGATGCCACCTCAGCCGCAACACTCGCGACAGAAAGAGGTCTTCTTTTTGGTGCCGATCCCAGGTAAGGACTCGGCGCGGCGAAGTCGGAGAACTGGCCGTGCCCTCCACGAAGGTTGCCTGGGGTCGTGTTAAATACTGAGTATTCTTCGGCAAACTTCGGCGTCCAGGTCGTTGTGTCGTCCAGCTGATTCCGGTCGTCCTTTGGAGTTTCGAAGACTGATGTTGGGAACACTGCCGAGGTGGGTGTCTGTCTTGGGGTCGGAGGTTGGGGTCTAGCGGTGCCGAAGCTCCAGGGCCGAAAGTGTTAACAAGGGGGTGGTGCATGGAGATGTAGAGAAGACACAGCATTGTGTCTTACCTGGAGTTGTTCCCTTCCCCGCTCATATCAGCAGAAGCCAGGAGTAGAGGCCGGGCTGGCGGTGCCTGCACTTTGCTAGTCGCACGATGGTCTAGGATTTGCACATGCCCGAGTTTCTGGAGAGGTGCTAGAAATGCTATATCTAGAGGGCAAAATCGGTTGAAACGTTTGTGCGCATGCGGTTGAACCGAGTAATGTTGCTTGCCCAAGGAAATGACGGGAGGAGCGCCTGGCCAGAGCGGCTATCAATAGACTGGCGTGAACGTTCCGTGCACTGGTTTCGTGCAAGCCGACAGAGAATATCAGGACGTCGATGGTGGTACAGTCGAGTTGTTCTTCATTTCACATTAATGGTGGTCGCGGGCGGAAGGTTCAAGACAGAGGACAAAATTCTGCAGCGGCAAGAGAGCAGAGTGTCAGCAATCACGATGTTTCGTGTGCGAGAGAAGCTGCATGCGCAGGGACAAGCAGAGGTCGGGTGTGAGGAAAGGGATGCTAATGCTAGCATGTGAGCGGGTCCCAGTTGGTGGCCCGGTGGGAGACGAGACGAACCAGAGTTGGAGACGGCAAAAGTCGTGTGGAACAGAGCCCGAGGGCAAGAACTGAGGCAGCGCGCTGAGGGCAATGCGGTGGAAAACGAAGGCGACGACGATGGTGCCAACTGTCGAGGAGCTGCTGGCGCGAGCGTGCTGGCCGAGGAAGCGAAGAGACAGAGACTCTTGCGGAAGTGCAAGGTGGGAAGTCCTGCAGATGCGGGCCAGGAGCTTCACTCACGGTGTGGGGAGGAGGGATGGGGGAACCGCTATGTCTGGGCGTGCCGGGAATGTCGAGGACGTTTGTTCGACCCTGGCGAGCGCTGCTGGCATGAGCCGGCTGTCTGGTCTCGGTCTCCGCCCGCTCGTTGTTGGCGAGGTGCGCAACCCCAAAATGCTGTGCGGACCGGACAATAGCTTGGTCGACACTCGGGCTTGAGGCTGGGTCTCTGGCTGAGGCTGGTCTGTTGCTGTTCCCCGGGAGAGTGCAAGATAAATGATTCATGGACAAGACAAGACGCAAATTCACGATGGGCCCGGCAACTGCGAATGCACGGAGCTCCTCCCAGGCAGAAACAAGGGCCTGAGGAAGCCGAGGTGGGGACACACCATGGTTTGGGCGCCTGGGCTGAACACACTCGAAGCACGACCCGAGACCTTCGCGCAGTGAGTCGGCTGGAGCGCTCGATGCTGGCTGGCTGCTGACGTCCATTCGTTCCTGCAGGGCGCTCTGTAGCCCGCCGCCGTCAAGCCTTCGTCCACCACTGTGTAATGTCACGATACGGGAGCAGGTACGCAACCTGGCAAGCTCTGGCTAGCCTGGGCCACCATGATTAAGGCACACTCCTATTACCACTGGCGGTGGGCAGATACGGTGTGCAGGCCAGCGAGTAAGTCGAGCAACAGGCACCGATCTCGATGGCTCCATCGGGGGTGCGTGCCTGGCCCTGAATCCCTGGCTCCGTTCCTGTTAGGGCCATCGTCGCCGTCTCGAGCGTACTGAATGTCTACCAGCTCGTGACTGTCGACGGCCGTCAGCAGTCCTGCGAGCGACCCGGTGGACGAGCATGAACAGGCGTCTCTTCTGGTCTGGACGAGCTGAATAGACCTAGGCCAGCCAATGCTGGGAAACGCAACGAAAGCCAACGGATCACCCTCGGGTGAGTATCCCGCTCGAGATTGCACGTCAGCCAGTCGATCCTTAGCGCCTATCTCGTCCTGCAGGGGCTCGAGATGTGCGCTGTACGGTGCCGTAATAGTGCCGCCACAAGTCTTACAGGCCGAGCCTCTGATGTCCTAAAGAGGGAACTCCCAAGGCGCACCGCCAGGGGACAGGGGACCCTCCGCCGCGCTCCAGATACGATGTGAATGAGTGATGGGCCACTCTTTCGTCATCGCTGACAGGTGTGCTCCGGGAAATGTGAGCTTGTGTTCCTGCTTTGACGGAATGAGTCCCGCCTCCGGACCGGATCATGCCCAGTGCATGCCACGGTGGAATCGGGATGTGTTGCTTCTTTCCCACACAAGGCACCAGCCGGCACGTCTTGGCCGTGACTTGCCTCCTCTGTCGTGTCAACCTTGAATCAAGGCGCGTCTCGGCACTCGTTCCCAATGGCTGCCAGTTGGGGGCAATAAACAAAACTCCAAGCCGGTGCATTGTTGTTTCGAGATTGTTCCAATGGCTGCTGTGATCGGAAGCCGCTCGGGAGGGAGCAGGATCGTGCCCAAGACAGCCGCGACGATCGTCTCACACAATTGCATACGCCAGCATGGAAAAGCAAGGTCGGTGGCTGAATGGCATGCATGGCGTGTGCCCACTGTCCGCCGGCTCCAGTGTTCAGAGCCCGGCAAGCTCCGTGGGTGCCGGCAGCGCAAAGCACGCGGCGTCTCATGCTTGAACAGCATACGGCCATTGGCAATTCAGCCCGTACCTGCGTAAACGTCTGTCGATGGGCCACCGACTGCCAGTCCCGATCTGCTTGCAGGGACTTGGTCACAGCAAGCTGGCCATTTGATCGCACCAAAACATGTCTCAATAGGCGTGACACTGGCCCACTGGAGGGCTGGGCATGCCGCTACGGGACAGGGCCGGAGGACCGCACTATGGAGACCATCAGTCAACATTTTACGGAGCGTCCGGGACATAGAAAAGGTACAGGAGGTGCCTGAACTTTGGCAGCAGCACATTGGCAATGAAGCCAACAGCGCCATCCACCGGCATTTCTTCCACGGACTTGAACTTATGCGTAGACATCGTCTGGCCAGCGACGCCCGCCCGATCAAGGGGCGAAAGGACCTTGAGAGGACGAGCTGTGCATGGCGAACATCTTTGAGAGACGTTGCGTTTTACTAGCACTGTACGCGCCCGTATTCCAAAGGCATCTGCTCAAGATCAGCCAAGTGGAAGCAAGGCGCCGGATTAAACTTTGCACTAAGGCTGAGGGGGTAGGTGTGCCATGCAGAGAGCTCGGGAATGTACAAAGACTGCTGGCCACGGTTCTCGCCGACTGCTCATCTTGTGCTTGACTTGCAGAGCAAGATCTCAACGGCAGCAAAGATGGTTGGTTCTGCCTGCCACTTTACGAACCCAAGCTTCACTGATAGTCCATGTCTCCTGGTGGGCTGGACCACGAGCGTACTGGCAATTCAGAGGGCTCAGAGGCACCCTGCACATAGCCACACCGATGGAATTTCATACACCCATCCATCCGAATGCTCGTCTGTTCTCTCTCTGTCTGCGGCTTGACGACTGGCGCCAGCTCGGACCCTGCAGGAGGCCCGGTGAACCCTGACAATCAATGGTGCGCCGATTGCAGTGGCGCAATCCAACCACTGGCTGACGGCGCTCGCCAGCTCTTCCCACCGTCGCTTCTGGGGCGGCGAGCGATGGCGTATCGTCCGTTGAGAGCTGGTATGGTCGACTGCAGGACCCCGGTTCGAGGCCGCCAGCATACAGCTACAGCAGCACGGAGCGCCTTATCGCGAGGAAGGAATGCAGCCTGTCCCAAAGAGGCTCCCATTAAACCCCCGCATCCCTCCCTTGGGCCCTTGCGGATCTTTCGACCAGCCCATCGTGATGATCGACCCGGGGCCTCCCTCGCCGCCTCACCTCGAGGCCAGCTGTGAGAACTCGCGGAGCTGTCGGAGCACCCTCCAGGCATCTTCCCTGGTCTCGTGACCACGTGTAAGTCGAGTCGACGCGGCCCCTCCGTCCCCTGTCGAGATCGGCTCGAAGCGACCATCCGGTCTGCTCCTCGCAAGGCGACGTGGACGCAAAGAGCCACGCCATATTTGCATCCTCGCCTCCGTCTAGATTCCGTGGTCCAGCCACACCAAGGCTTGTTGCATGAACCATGGGAGATTGCACGCTGTCGGGCGGGCTCTTAGCTCCCACCGCCCCCACGCGCACCTGCATCCACGCACATGCTACGAACGATCCAGCACCTCGGAATGCGCGGACGACATCAGACAGGTGGCATCAGCCTCACCTCTGAGGTCTGCTTGGTCTTTTGCTGCCAACCAAATTTAACCATCTGACGGACTTGCAACGCCCATGCTAGTCCGAAACCTGCAACACTTGGATTTGGACGACTCCTACCCAGGAGTGCAGTGCATCCGACGCTGCACTGCCACTTTTGCTGACCTTGATCTCTCAAAAGACATGGTATTCGCCAGAGATGCAACCATCGTACCATATAAGGGCGGTCTTCTTGGGGGAGTTCGAATGCCACACCCCCCGTTCTGTCACAGTCCCCAAGTAAATGTCACTGTGACATGATACACAGAACGTCAAACACCCCGTAAACCCGCTCCCAATGACACCTAGGTCCAACCCCAATACCACGCTACACCCTCAAACAACACGCCATAGCCAACCCCCCCTCCAGTGACTAGCAAAGGTCCAGCGAGCGCTCTCCCAAACCGACAACAGGGTACCGTTTCAGATTGTTCCTTCATCGTTCCACGACATCCTGGGCGGATCTGTGATCTTCATGGACACATCAAAAGATTGCATGGAAAGAGATGTCGGGTTAACGTAGGCCTAAATTTAGAGACTTGAACCTGATATTGACCTCCAGCAAGGCACAGAGCCAGGGCCGGAGGGGGGTTCCGCAATCATCAAGATAGCCTGCCCGGCCCGTCGGCCTTCCACAACGATCATGTCGTCCTTCTTGAGCTTCTTCGGCGGGTTGCATGTGATCCCCCGCGTCTGAACTCCTTTCATGAATGCCTTAGGTAGGTACTAGGTAGCTAGGTAGTGTGATCTTCTCTCAAACGAAGAAGGCTTGGTCAAGTTGCGTTAAGATGCGAGTCCGACCTTTGAACCAACAGCATCGTCTCACACGGCATCGAAAAGATTCGTTGAAAGTAGACAATGAACGTTTCCTGATCACCTGCAGGTGTTTTTGTGTATTTCTCTTCGGCAACAATGGCCCTCTTCCTATAAGCCAGACTCCATTGTACTTTTGTTTTTGTTTCCGGTTGGGGATACTTTTTTCAGCCTATCTTCAAAGGAGGGTTTTCCCATATGACCCTACACTCACACCCTCCGTCCTCAACAAACTCAGTATCAAAGCACAAGCGCTTTCATTTCTTCTCTATCTCTTCTCTCTTCATCCTTACGAACTGTCCTCCGCTGCCCAGCAGTCGGGCATAAAAACATAACAAGAAAAGCAAAGACTGATTTCCTAATACCATGTGCTCCTCTCCTTTTTTTCCTCCCTGTCTCTGCGCGGCGTCTTTGACTAGCAGCGCACACGCAGGACCTTCCGGGGAATCCCTCCTCCTCAAACAACGATCCAGAGGTATCAAAAAGTAAAGCAGGATTAGGAAAAAAAAATACAAACATTCAAAGGCAACAGTATATGTGTGTGTGTGTGAGTTGAGGTTGTGTAAATAGCAATAAGGAGATGGTTGGTCGTATCAGGGTGAAAACAGACCACGTGGTGTGTGTATAGGACTAGAATGGCGTGCGCAGGGGTTGGTATATCATGCCCAGGTCTAGCCGGGCGTAAAAAGAGAGCGTAAAACAAGTACGTGGAAGGACTGTCGGAGATATAGTGACGCGTAATAGACAAGTGAAACACAACGCAGTTCCCAGACCGAGGTATACTGGGGGTTTGAGTAAGCCGTCGTCTGCTGGCTCTGCCGCGATTGACGTCTGTCAGGACCCAACATGGATCTCTGTTCTTGCAACGCCCCATGGCATAGTGTGATTGTCGCTAAGACGCTGGCTGGTTTCAACTAGGTCGGCGAGAGGCACCCGCAACGATGGGGGAATCTGAAGACTGCTCTGAAAACCTTTCTATACCCATTGGTCGTTGACTCATAACTCATTCGAGGATAGGAGACGACGGATGCGTGCCGTGGCAACGCCGCCGTATTAGATCATGTTATGCATTCCGTCCAGCGGCGAATACGGGCTGTTCGGTTGCACATACTGAGCGTGCAGTAAGTGTGGAGGCATTGAGTTCATGGCAGGCATGGATGTCGGCATCATGACCATCCCATTCGACATTGGCAGGTGGACAGGCTCAGTCGGCGTCAGAGGGCTAGCATCGGGCTTTGATCTTGTCGGTGTGCTAGGGTTCGCCTCACGACGCCGTTTCGGGCCGTCCTTTGCCTTAGGATGGGCGTGACACTGTAGAAGATTGTTAGCATACTAGCTAGCGGGCACGAGGATAAAAGGAATGGAACAAAATCTTACCTTGTAAGCGTGCCTGAACCAGGTCGTGCCCTTCTTCTTGCTGCTGACCAAGGCGATCCATTCATTACAGCTGCCACAGAGACCTTCCCAGACGTCAGGGTTGCCGTCCATACGCCTCTTCTCTTGTGGCTCCTGAAAGGGCTGGCCAGTCGCAGCACTGATGCCGTGGCTGAAGCTCTTGTCATACCAGTACGCCGAATTCTTGAGGACAAGCCATCGGCCAGGCTTGCAGATACCACACCAGCCTTCTCGCTTGTTGCCATGGCCGCGGACCCACTTCGGCGTATACAGGTCACCTTCAAAGCGAAGCTCCTGCTCGTGGGGGATCATGTCTGGGTCTTCCGGGTTCATGTCCTCCGGCGGAGGATCGAGCTGCTCCTCCTTGAGGCAGGCGTACAAGTCCGGTGGGTCGGACAGGTCGGCGTAATGGCTGTGGAGCGCATGAGGATCCGCGTTGCTCTGCAGCATACGGAAGAGGCCATGGGTCGACAGCAATGGGGCGGGGGTGTCGAAGTGCTGGAGCGCCTCCGCATTGAACGGCTGTGACGGGAGCTGTGAAGGCAACTGAGATGGCAAAATCATGCTGTTGCGGAAAGACGGGGGTGGACCGTTGGATGTCAAGCAAGGGTGGTTGTGTTGAACTGCCTGCAGGTTGCTGTAGCTGAGCGGCAGGGGATGGCTGGAGATCGTGGGAGACTGGTGGTTCGAAGACATGCGGTTGCCGAACATGTCATGGGACTGGTTGTAGACAAACGGTGGGGGTCGGCGGCTTGCGTTTGTCCCGTAGTTGCCAGTTGACCACCGCTTGTTCCTGGCAGTGCTGTCCAGGTTGTACGGTGCCGAACGAACAGTTGGTCGGGGCGATGGAGAAGTGGCACGTCCTCGGCTGTGAGTGCGAACGAGCTCGTTACGGCTGTAGGGCGTCATGCGGGGCGAGGCAACCGGCGAGAGCTGAGTGGCCGACATGAGAGAGTTGCGGTTCGATAGCGGAGGGTAGTCAGACGCGAGCGAGGGTGTTGCTTCGGACATGGCTGCGGAGAAGTCCTCGTACGATGTGATCTCTGACATGGCACCAGATGTCGACATGGTGAATGACGATCCAGACATGCGACGAGGCTTGGTGACTGGCTCGTAGGCGAGGGCGTTGGGGTCTGCGTTGCCGCTGTTGTATCTCAGGTCGAGAATCGGGATTGCTTCGTCGGTTGTGTAAGCCTGGCCAATGTTGAGCTCGTTCTCAAAGCTGTGCATCTCCATGCTGTCTTCGCATGGCTTCATCATCCAGTGGCCTAATGAAGGGTCAGTCTGATTTAGTATCACTCTCCTGGTCGCCACCATCTTACTGTGATCGTAGGCACTCGTCATTGAGTACAAGTCCTGATGCATCGAGGTCGGCCTTGACATGGTATCACTCGGCGTTTGTGCATGGAGGGCCGAAGGCGAGTCCCAACACGGAATTGTGCTGTACAGCTCGCCATCGCAGAAGGAGAAGCCGTCGTGGATGGTTGACGAAGGCTGCTGAGCATGCGAGGTTGGGGTCGTCCAAGTTGTTGAGTGGGCAGACAGTGGTTCATCAAGCGTGCCCTCTCCACCATTCATGACGATCATGGGCGGCGCTTGCGCCGGTGTGCTGAGTGATGGGTCACTGGTGAGATTCAGCTTGAGCTGACGCGTTTGAGGTCTTGCCATCGTGTTAGCTTCTGATCCCAACAAGTCCAAGCAGACTATGCCTTACGTGTGAACCTCGACGGCAGCCATTGTGGCGGATCAAGGAATATTAGCCAAAGCAAACTGGCCAGAACACGTCAGTAGGGGGCACAATATGGTTGAGTGAGGTTATAAAAACATGGGGGCAGCCGAGCGTTGTAGGAAATCAAAGATTGTCCTCCTCCAGGCGTGTCCAGATTCCAGGACTTACATATCTCGTATGTATTCCAGTCTTGTAGCTGGGCAGTGTGCTAGTTGTTGCGAGTAGGGTCGCCAGAAACGACAGCCTGCTGTGATGGTGAAAGAGTGGTCGTTGTCCAGTCCTGAGTCGGATGTAGGTTGCAGTCTGCAAAGGAGGGATCGCCGAGGACTCGACAAGTCGTGCTTGGTTGTGAGATGGTGGAAGGAGTGAGTGATGGTCGACAAGGGCGATGAGAGTAGTGGGAGTCCTTGAGCCTAAGTGGGTGATGGGGGCCTAGGCCGAAGAGCCTGCTCTCGGAGGTTAAGCAGGACTAGTGGTAATAATGAGGGTGTATTAAGAAGTGGTCAGAAGGAGTGACTGGTGTATGGCTAGACAAACAAGAGGAGAGAATGCAAGCTGGAAGAGACTGTGGACGTGGTCGACCAGCCGAGAGGAGGAGCAAGAAAGCACTGATAGATGGAGGGGCGACCCATGGCACACAGTGATATAGACCGGAGCCGCGTGGATGGCCCTCGAGGCATCATCCTGGGGGTGGTGTCATCAATCCGTCCAGCGCAGCCAGGCTGGTTCAGGTCCGGAACGCCGGTAGGGGCTAGGCCGGCACCTCTGATACACCAAGCCCACGCCCCGTGAGCCGAGAATAGGCCTGCATCGTGGGCAGCAGCTGCCAGCGATGGAGACGCGCTCAGACGGCAGGATGGGGAGAAGGGGGGGCGTGGCCAGGGACGATGCAGTCAAGTCGGGGCCTTGCAGGGATGCTGGGCTGCCAGGATGCCCCCGGCTTTTGCACCTGCCCCGATGGGGCCTGCTTCGGCGATGTGCGCGACGAGGGTTGCGTCCCCACATGCCTCGTCCAGGGCCGCAGGCGGGTCCAGAGAGGCTGACAGCGCGCGTGCCTACTTCTGCGAGGTACCCGACCACGACAGCTGTGGGCAACGTCTGTTCACACCTCCAAACTACACCTGGGCACCTGCTCTCTTCCCAAGTGCACGTGCAAGTCGGTGCTCGCGGATCGGCCTCTCTGGCTTTTCTTTTCCCCCCAATCTGCCGGTGTGGGCGCGTGCAGCTCAGCCAGACAGACAGACTGTGCTGTGTCGTTGCTTGCCCGTCCTTGTAAGCATGGCGTTTTGCTTTTACGAGAGAATGGCCCACCACAAATGTGATGTGACGGCTCATCGCGAGGAACAGCCGTGCTTTGTTTTCAGCGCCAACAGTGATGATCTGATAGACTGCCCGCCCTGTGGATGTCGACGTCTGCCAAACTGGGCTGTTCCGGGCTGGATCACGGGACTGAATTCGTGTCATGGGTGCTCAACTAGGAAATTCTTTGCGTCGTCCTGACAGGTCGCCAAGTCGTGGCTGGTTCGATCCTGCCGAGGGGTTCGGATGCATTCGCGGCCGAGCCGCAGTGTAGAGAATTCTGTGAGTGCCGGGCGGGCTGAAGTCCATCTCGGCCGTCGAATGTCTGCTGGGCTGGTCAGCACGGCTGGCGACCATTGCCCAGCCAGCACCTGCAGCCTTCTGACGTTCTTGTCGTCTGATCGACCAGGCATCTGGATGCTGAGCCACACAGTTTCAGAATGCACGAGCTTACCGATGCTTTGGGAGAAGAAGAAAGTGGCAATCACCAACATCGTGGACCAATCAACACGGCTAAGCCCTGAGCCTCCTTGCGGCGAGGCTCTTCTAGGTATCGCCGGGGTCAGGGCAGAATCTCAAGACCCTCCCAGTTGGACGGATCTGGCGACTTGATACAACTTCGACACAACGTCCCGCATGGCATGCCTGTTTTCGGGGGAATGCTGTCCAGCACAGCCTCGAAATCATTTCCCAGCGTGCCGATCTGATCCCCTACATGGCAAGCCGGGAGATTGAAGAAGTCATCTTTACAAACATCACTGTAATCGCTCAGCCCTTCATAATCGGACGCTTTACGCTTGGTGAAATAAATGGCTTGCTGTGAATGCGCAGAGCGGCTGATGTCGCCAATAGCGGGCCAGTTGCACGTTGGCAGACATCCACGAAGCAGCCCCACTTGCAAGGTGCACAGCCTTCCAGCTGGTAACATTCGCGTCAGGGCCAAAGTCCTCTGTGCCAAGGTGAATACGGCCCTTGGCTTTGAGACAGAAGCTGCCCGTGAACTGACAGTCATTTTCTAGTTTGAAATTGAGCGGAGCTCATCCACTAGGTGCTGGCCGTGCTGTCCTCCCGCGCCGAACCAAGAACCTTATCATTGGCATCAGTCATAGGTAGACTTCGTCCATGAAACCAAGAATAAGTGTCTCACTTGCAGGCCATGGCCGTCCCAACGTGCGTCTCGTTTATTCGAAGAAAGATATTAACCTTGGTTTGACCCGCTGTCCGCACAGGCCGGTTCTTGTCCAATCGAGCCCGTGACCCGACCTCATAGAATGCTGTGAACACCGGTAGGCGGGGACGCTTTCGAACGAGATCGGTGATCGTGAGTAGTGGCAGTTGTCGAGCGGCTCGTTAATTACTTGCATCTATGCGCGGAGTTCTTCGCCCAGCGCTACACTGCGCTGTGCTTCCGCCCCTAGTAATCGACAAGGCTCACGACACCAACGCAGGCCAGAGCTTTTCGCTCTGACCGGAATTGACCATGCCTTTTATTTCGAGCACACCGTGGGGGATGACGACTCTTGATTGCTAGGGTCTAGCCAGACAGTCTGTGGAGGGACAGATGAGTGGGCGGGCATATGTACGTATGCTCCTTAAGTGGAAGCCTGTCGTTAAGATCCAATGATGATGGATGGGATTGAAGTCTGCGACTGCCCACCTGCATGCGGCAGCTCCAAGCTAAACTGGACATCGCAGCCTGGCAGCAGCGAAACAGTCGAGACGGCGCGAGGAAGGTGTGCGTGGGATGTGCTGTAGCGCGTTTGAGGTAAAAATGTGGAGGCGCGGCAGGCGGGGTAGGGGGCAGCCTGATTGGCAGTCAGGATGTGGCTTCCCGTGTCAGATCTGTGTCAGAGCAAGGTGCCCTGGATCTGCGGGGACGCCTGCGAGCCAGTGACAGCCAGCCTTCTCCCCTTGGCCGGGACCGCCACGACACCCGTGCCGAAGCACCACCCGCACAGACTCTCCACCTCGCCCTGACCTGACGGACTAGCGAGCGACGACCTTGCTGGGACAAGCGACAAGATGCGGAACTCTCCTGGCCGGCCTGGGCACTCTTCTGTCGTCCTGACGACGGGCTGTGTTTTGCGACCGTCCAAAACACACAATCTATCGATTGGGTTCAGCACCCCAGGCAGCTCTCTTCTCCGGCTTGCCCACCAGAACCTAGCAACTGGCCTCATCGCGAGGTGTCCGAAGGCCTGTCGACTCCAAGGCCGCGCGTGTCACGCACACCTTCCTGGGCCGGCCAGAACGACCGCTGTCACGCCACCCACACCACCAATTGACCAGCGACCCGGCAGTGGCGGAGAGACCGCTCGCACAGCGGATGCCCGATCCGTCTATAGTTGCTGCTCTTATGACTGTTGCTGGCAACGTTTACGGGGTTGATCCTTGCGAACCATCACCTTACCGTTGGCAAAAGGCCAACCAAATGGGGCAGATCGTCCGCGTCCGCGTCCACGTCCACGGAATCTAACTGCTTTTCTTGCGGACTTTTGCAAATGGTCAAGCAAGGTCGGATGACCCAACTGTTGGAGAATGGCAGTTGTGGCCCATGCAGAAGCAGGCCTGTGAAAATTAACATGCACGGCAATGCTCACTCCAACAGAATGCAGCCACCACCCCAGCTGTTCCCGATCACTGTCTTTGGTGACCACAAGATGAGCTGGGCCAACAAGGATAATAGTTTCGCACACAGGCAATCCTCTGCGGACGGTGTGAAAATCCGGCTCGGCTAAAAAGACGCTAGAAGCACGCCAGAAGTTGCAGGACGACAGCGAGAAGTCGAGATCCGCTGAGATCCGCTGTTTGTTCACATCGCGCGAGTCCCAGAACGGCATTCCTCACGAGATCTGCACACGGACAGAGCGAAATCACAGGATGGGGAAAAGGCGACGCCCCATCTGCTAAATTTGGGCTTTCCGCTGCACATTTCGTCATCGCTCACCTTCTCCCGTGTTGCGCCCTGGCTTGTACCTGGCCTCAGCTCAACGGACCCCAGGCATCGCTCCACTTTCAGCGAGGCTGTCGGTCGTCAGCCTGCTCTTCAGTGAGCCCATCAGCCTCCCTTGGCCTAGAGCCTCAGGCAGATCGGCGGGCCTCGAACCCCTGCGAACGACTGACTGAGCTTTCCCATGCCAAGCATTGCGCTTAGCAGGTCCGCGCCCACTCGCATTGACTACACGGCTCCTTTGGGAAATTAGGAGCTGTTCCCCACTCACCCAACTTGCACCGAAGTGGAATGGAGGCCCGCCTGATGGCCTTGATGGCCCTGATTTCCAAAGCTGCCGGTACACTAGAAGGCCGCCTCCCTTCTTCTAGAACACGAGCCGCTGGTGGTTTAAGATGACTTGGTTTTAGCTCGGAGGCCGCCGTTTGAGGTTGGCCATCTCGCGCCGTCTATGAATACACGGCGTGCCCAGGTCCATCGATGACGATGTTTTCATCCTTTGAACGGACGATGCTCCAAATCCAGGTCTGGGGCCAAGTCATGGGAGGGACTGCCATCCAACCCAATTTTTGGAGTTCATGGCCTGCGTGGGGGGAACTGCCCGAGCTTCATTGCGCCATCCACAGCGCGATCAATTCTCCGTGCATCTGTATCCGCGCGGGTCGGTTACGACTTGGTCCTTGACCCAGGTCAAGTCCGATCTGATCCAAGCCATTGCATGCATACATGATGGCTCGGCGTAGCTCTCTCGACAACAACACGGCACGTGAGTCGTCGTATCCCCTGCCTCTTTCTTTGTTGTGCCCCAGCGCCTTGTCCGGGGCTGCATGTTGTAAGTCGCTCCATGATCGACGCTATACCGGCTCGTTGTCGACAGGCTGCACGGCCTCCACTGGAGCATTCGATGGGTTCGGGAGTTGACTTTGAGACCCGCGGAACGTGCCCTGTTCTGGGAACCCTTCACGGAGCGATCATCTCAAAGGAGTTCCTGTGCCGCCTATAGCATGCACCTCACTATTACCATGACCCGGCCGTGGCCAGCCGTTGTCTATCTTGTCACCTTTTTGACTTTGAACAGGCTCGGGGCACTACCGCCTGGCTTACGAATCGTGGGAAGTTAATATATTTCGTGCAGGGAAGTTTCGGGGTTTTTGCACAGCTGCCTCGAGCAACATGTCTGCGAACGATTTTGTTGAGTGGGCAGGCCTGGACCCGTCCTCACCCTGTAAGCCTCACTCTTCGAGCATCTGCAGTGTCTGCCGCGTGACCGCGGAGGGATCCGATTACGCCTTCCTTGAGAAAATTCTTGCTTTGTTCCGACCTGTCCTGCCGCGGCTCTATTCACGGTGCTGTCGTGGATCTTCTGCCATGAACCAAATTGCGGTTGTTCCTCTCTGTCCCGGTAAGCACACCTTTGAGCAGACCAAGAGCATTGCGACGCCAAACGGTCCTGGTGAAGAACGACCACTTGTGAGTCTTGCTCTTTTCAGCCTGCTGTCATAGCAAGTTGAAGTTGGCTAGCGATGGCGATAGTGCAAGGGTCACCTTGCTCGCCACAAGCTGTCTTGTGCGCTCCCCCCCAATCTCCACCCCACACATGCACGCGCAAGGGACATTAGGCACGGCGATATTATGCCAGGCTGTGCGTAATTCATGCGCCGCTCACAACCGCGCAAGAACCGATTCCACGTTGTGTGTGTGTTTTCACGTGCAACAGACGACGCGTGAAGAACCACATGCTGGACGGAAACGCGATTCATGGTGCAGAAATCCTTGCCGATTCTCTGCGTTTTCGTCATCCGACGAGCCCTGCCGGATGTGATGATCTTTCTCAGCCGCCTCATGCCCAAGGATGCCAGGAAATGAGGCCGCCGTATGGCTTTGCGCATCTATCTCACCCCGCTATGCTATTTCCATGTGAACAACACCTTCGATTCGCACAGTCATCTGTCCTATGCTGCCGTCAATGAGGTCGGTACCGCCGGAAGCGGGTGATCACATACACGGGTGTAAGTTGCGGGCTAAGCAAGGGTCTAACTAAAGCCCAACGCCTTTCCCTACTGTGACCTGCCAGGCAGACCGTCCGTCAGGTACTACGACGGCCCTGGTCATCAAACTTGTAGATCTGAAGGACGCTACTCCGCTGTGCTGGGAACATTCAACGACAGCTGTCATTATTTCTACGACATGCAGGCAGATCCTAGTTGGCATACCTGGGAAACGGAAAAGGCCCTGTAGTAGTTCATGGGCCGAAAGGTCAAGGGAGGGCCGGGGGAAACAGATGGCAAGAAGAAAACACGTCAACAGAGGGACAGGAAAACCCTTGTTTCCCGCGCGCATGTCACGGGAGGCCTTACAGGCCTGCTCTTTTTTGATGCGTTGGCATCGGGAAGGGCGGCGGGCGCACTTGGCCCCCTTTTTTTGCCATATATCTGACGGCAATAATGCCTTTTCCCACCAGGTGGCGCAGCACACAAGCTCAGCATGTGAATGGGTCTAGGTCGGAGGTTGAAGACGATAAAACGGCTGAGCGTAATGTCTTTCTGGGAAGGGTAGGTCCTGCAGGTGGAGGAGAGTTGTCCTGAATCGAATTACACGTGATGATGCCCAGCTCCCACTTCGTCATCTATCCCAGCGTCGTTCGGGCACATAGCCAACTGTTTGTGCAGGTACGAGAGAAGAGGCAGCAGGGTGGGGGGTCGTTTAGAGGGGAGCGACATGCGCCGCATTTCAGCACCTTCCTGTATTATGGCAACAGGACGGTTCCCGGTGGCGATACTGGGAGGAGAAGGGGGAAGAGGGAGCCATGTTTCTTAGGACAGTTAGTATGACATATCACCAGGTCCACCATACACGCGTTTCCCGGAACAGGTATCGCCTTCCCCCCCGCCGGTCTTTGTTGGAGTTTTGCTTGCTGTTTTCTGCAATGCTTCAACTCTGTAAGATCTTGCCTGTCCAGAACAGGAAGGCAACTTCTTTTTTCCCCCGGCACCTGGTCAATGACGAACGACGTACTGACATATCCCGTCCCGGCCCATCGTGGTGACAGCCCAGCCCAGCCCAGCCCAGCCCAGCCCAGGCACATACGAGCGGCCAACCCATAACCGGCTGTCGGGGGGGAGCAAAAGACAGGGCATACCGTGGGGCATGTGCCTTTTCCTGGCCCCCCTGCTTAAACCCGCGCGCCGGCCCATATCACTGCTGGTCTAGTACGTCCCGCATGACAGACAAGCCGTTTATTCGCATCCTGGGCGAACCCCCCTCCCCTTGCCGGTGGCGTACCTTATTTTTTGCGAGGGCTTGAGGCGGGAGGAGGAGGAGCAGGAAGAGCAGGAGAAGCTGAGAAACCTTGACTTTCCTAACTGTACCTTGTTCTTATCACGTTAAACCTGGCAACCTGGTCCCCCCCAACGATCGGTAGCTCGGGAGAGAGCACGCAATCAAAAAGCGGGCGAGTATGTGCATATGCAAGGACGGCAGTCTGGTCTGTTCCGCGCCCCGAAAGCGGCGCGCGTCGGCCGGGCATGGAAAGGGTACCTTGCTGCCCGGACGTGGTATCCCGTTTCCGGGAGATCTTCCTGGAGGGGGGGTGCGAGAGGGGACCGGGGTCGTCGGACGTCGTGGGTGGTCGTTGTCGTTGCTGTTATTGTTGACGTGCGCTGTATGCTGTATGCGTTGTGGTTTGTGCTTGTTGCGTCTGCACGGATTGCGCCGCCGCCCTTGCCCCGTCGTTACGGACCGTTTCTGGGGAAGTGGTCTCTGCCAGGACGTGGAGGAGGGCCCTGGAAACGCTTCGGTGAGGCGGATGGGAATGTCATAGGGGTAAGGGAGGGGGTGTGGTTTCAACGGAGAAATAGGAAGGAAGGAAGAAAAAAGGGCGGCGATGCGTATGTGCTACTCCAAGGAAGCCCGCGCCTTGAACAACCTTGACATAGCATCAGGACATGTGACGATGCCGACGGAACACGACTCTCTTCCCCCGCCCTTGCGTCTCTGCCGATTTCACTAGATCTGATGCCGAACAAGAGGCAAACATCCCAATCAAGCCGATTCTGTTCTGCATCGGGTCACCCGCGTCCTTTGTCTGCCAAGCCACGTCAGGCAGGTCAGCTAGTCCTCTCCCCCACATCTGCTTGCGTGTCTTGGTCTGCAGGCTTGGGCCCTCCCTCCCAGCCCAAGATGTCCATGGATGCAAGTCAGAATGATCTGCCTGTAGTGCACGCGGCTTGCTTCAGGCCTCTACCGGTAGTTCTGGCTGGGGCCATGGGCTCTCGTGGGGAGCTTCTGTATAGAGGCACGCCACCGCTATTATCCCTTCCTTGTTGTGGTATAAGTGCTGGTTTGGATTCTAGTTACAAGGCTGGGCGCTGGGCGACTGTGCGGTGGCAAGATATCTCGGTGCCCAGGCCGGAGTAGAAGGTTGAAAGTGGAGAGCGTGCTGAGCAGCCGCAGCTGCGCGAGAGGCATTCAGGTGTAAGCCTGAGGACGGAGTTTGAGAGGTTGATCATGCTATGGCGGACGTGCCGACCATGTTGGTCTGTTTAGCGCTGTGGTCGTCTCCGTGGCGATGATGGGGAATCGTCCAAGCTCTTGCAACCCGTGCCAAGGCATAACAACAACATTGTTGCTGATTGTAGCCACTGACAGCCTATCATCTCTGATATACCGGCGACTCAGAAATGCAGCGAATATCGCTGGCCTGGAAATCTGCTACAGAATGGACCTGAGCATGGATGGGAACAAAACATAACGCGACAGGGCTGTTCGCTTATACAATCCTTAAAACATGGTGAGCTTGTTCTCAAGCCGGGCCGGCATGAACCCTTTCCAAACAAATGACGCGGGACATAATTGTGACGAGAAACAAAAATCTCCGACCACCAGAGGCGCGCCCGCAGGTCGTGATGGCATAAAGCTTGGCACGTCAGTAGGGAATCCTTTCCCGTACCTGAAGGCTGTGAAGCCCACAGAACCCACGTCGTCCCGGTCTCTTGGTATTTCAAGACCAGCTCGGCCGGCCGGCCGGCAGGCCAGGCACAAGGGCGTGTGGCATTCTCCCGCATGACGTGCGGTTCGTCCGGATCGTGACGGGGTTCACGACGTGGACCGTGCCGTGGTGTTGGTCCACGTCGGTCATCGCGAAACGCGCGTCGTGGAAGAGTGGCAGGGAAGTGTGGTGGGCCATAGTTGCCTGTATTATCGACACACGACCTTGGAAGGGAACAAAAAAAAAGGTGGATAGCCACAGAGGAGGGCGTGTTGGAAGAGGCCTCTCTCTCCCTTTCTGAAACCAGACAACGGTGAAGGCGAAGAACTCTTGGCAGGACTTACAGCGCAGTGATATGATCATCCGGTGCGAGGTCCGCGTTGTAACCTTGCTCACCACTGGAGCGGAGCGGGTTGCCTTGGCCGGACCTCAAACAACTCAGGGTGCAAGCGATGCTTCCTCACTCCCGTTTTGAAGTCGAATGCACCTTCATCCTTACTTTTAAATCTGGTTTCTGTGTGCAACGTTGGCATACCCTCGGTCTGATATCTGATTGTCACCTTATCACGAGGCGTCCTGACCATATGATGCCACTCCGGACCGATTCAGAGCAGACAAATCTAATTATAGACATACCCATACCGCTCTACACCACCCAGTCGAGGGCGCGTTGGCCATTGCGAAACAAAAGGTCCCGCGCGGTGTTCGTGCACGGAGCATTTTCTGCCACAGATTTATCCGCAAGTAGCTGTTGAAAGCCCTGGTCCTCCTCCCACACCTGACCCAATCGACTTCTCGAACGATAGTGGACCCTGTGTGTCAATAAGATTTGCTGACCAAACGTTTACACATTCGTTTGGTGGTTGAGTCGTTGATCATGCGTGGGGGAGGCTGTACGGTCATTGACTCAGTAGGGAGGTCTGGGCTTCGGTCTATCCGGAGTAACATCGTGATGCTTGGAGCAACGTGCAGGTCGTCCTCCGGAGCCCTATCTGCTATGGTCCATCGCTTATGGAGACCGGCGATAGAGCCTCACTCCCGCCAGAGAGCATCAAGTAACCTGGAAGCTTTCCTTGATGGTGGTACTGGAATTCAGTACCTGACGGTAAGATGTTAGCCATGAGCTTGAGTCAACAGTTTGCGTTTGGCCAGATTGTCTTTTGTTTTATTTCAAGTTCAATATTATGAAGGAAAAAACCATGATCAGGCACGGCGACATATTCTTATTCATATCATCCAAAGGACGTCTAGTCCAGAGTTGTAAGCTTAAAAATGACACGACACTGCTCCAACATACAGTCTTTCTGGATGACCCTCCTGTGAGACTATCATCATCTAGAAAATATGCAATGCTGCAGCACAATTCATATATTACCTCAAACTCGGCACAGGACAACATCTCGCCAGATTTCAGAGTAAGAGTTACACGTTCCAGATGTCACCAGGGATGACCCTGCTGGAAATGAACTCACAGCTGCATGTTCAATTTGATTAGGGTCAGCTTACACTAGCAGTCTATGAAGTTACCCAGCCGCCCAAAGACTCTTGTTACCTGCAAACGCCCGCAGTATCGCCTTCACCGGGCTCGGAGTAACACGGTGTGGTCATCGTAGGACTGACAGCATATATAAGGCGCACAATAATCAACTCAACATTTTGATCTTTACGAACCAGGTCGGGATAGTTTAATGGTTAGAATTCACGTATCTTCCTCGTGCGATGCATGGTTCGATTCCTGCTCCCGGCGAGATGACAATCAGCACCCAGCGTGTCCTATGATTGCTCGTTCTCTGTGCATCCTGCGCTCCTTGGCGCTCCTTGACCCTCCATGGATTGGTCGGGATGGTTCAATGGCCAGAATTCACGCTTTTTAGGCGTGAGATGCATGGTTCGATTCCTGCTCCCGGCGAGAGATGTTCTTTTTGGTCTCGAGCGACCCCAGACACCGTCCAACAATATCGTGCCCAAGCTATGCGTTGTGGTCGGCCATTGACTTCCTCAATGAAAGCTTTGCTGGCTGATAGGCCATGATTATATGGGCCGGGAGGTCGGTTTCGAGCCCGCGGGACTGATTCATGCAGGCAAGTCTCGCGAGGACTGGATCAGTCCTTGTTGATACGCTTCCAGACCTCGCTCTCAGCCGAGGCAAGCTTCTCGCCGGCACCGGACGCCCACTTCTTGGCCGCGTTCCAGATGCCCTCGGATTCGCCGTCGCTATAAGGGTCATGCGGGTCTGACGCCATGGGCGAAGGCTGATACCGGGAGGGGCCAGTTGTGCCGGCTCCAGGCGGCTGGTAACCTGGAGGCACATATCCGAGGTTCGCAGGCGCTGGTCCGCCCTGGTAGCCTGCGGTATCTGACGATGGCAGGGTACCAGTCTGCTGAGCTGGGTAGAGCCCGGCTGGCGGAGGAATCCCCATCTGTGGTGGAGGCGGCACGAATTTCTCGCCAGCTTTGGGAGGTGGCGGAAGCTTGCTGCGTGCACTGGAAGCAGTGCCGGTAGGCGCGGGAGCTACGTAGCCAGAGCCAGGTGCGATGGGAGCGTTGCCAGGCTGTGGTGGTGCCGGTCCGTCGTCATTGGCGGCGGCGGTTGTCCTTGTGGGCGCGGGCGCGACATCCGCGGGAGTATAGGCGCTGGCAGCAGCTGTAGGAGCAGGCGGTCTTGCTCCGGGCTGGGCAGCGGGATAATGTGATGATGAGCCAGCTGCTGCCGTTGTTGTTGCAGGAGGACCGTTCTCAGGACGCGGAGCTTGGCCGCCGGGAGCAGCGGTCTGAGGCGTGGCGCCAGACGGCTTGGCCGCCACGATGGGACTGTTGACGAAGGTTGTAACGGGCGGCATTCTGAGTGGAAAGGGCCTGGAAAAGGAGAAATCCGCTTGATGGTGACTGCACTATCTTCGTGTGGTCCTCAAGGCTTGCTACTTTGGGCCTTCTGGAGTAGACAGTGTGGTGGGCTGCAGTACGCGTAGTTCAGCTTTGCCCAGCAAACAAATCTCTAATATGTCCGCCTTGAATGTTGGATATGAAAGACTGGCGTGAAGGACGTCTATGGTATGTTTGGAGTAAAGCTGGCCAGAGTTGGGGCGTGTGGACGTCAAGCTTTCTGGGGGAGCAGCGATCCTACGTCATTGGCGTGACAGGGTGCCGAATCAATGTTGCGCGTCAAGCACGTCGTGAATGAATGGGCTTGAGTGTGCCTGGACGGGCTGGAGGGTTGGTTTTGACACATGAGAGACGGCGCACTACTTATACACGCTAGCATTTTGTGGCAAGCTGTCATGAACTGTATTTTTGAGCAGCCTCACGCCTCCCTGTGTTAGTCGAGACATCCATGGCCTCCAGGCAGCCAGCAACAACCACCCAGTGTAAATTGTACAACTACGTATTCATCCCATGCCCACAACCATACAGAGCACACTCCGGAGGCTCCACCCACTGGTTGCCAACATGGCTTCAGTCATCTTGGCTGGCTGCCCATTAGCCTGCCTGCTCCAAGGGGGTGAGAAGTTGACTTGCACTGACGGAGTCGCCTGTGATGCTGGTGATGGTTGATGCTGTGTACAGGGTAAGCTGTGAAGATGCATGCATGCCGAGGCGGGTCGCGCTACTGTAGCGGCCCCCGGGCGGCTGCCCTGCCAGGCACCTCCAGGGCTTTGGCTGTGGTCGCTCACCACTGCGGCGGCGCGCGATGGCGCCCGGCGTACTCGCGCGTGGGTGAGCGGGATGGCACCGCACAACACCAACCGACCAAAGGGAGCACGCCGGCTGAGCAGCTTCTTCCTTCTTCTGCTGCGCGCCCAAGCTCGACCACCTCTCCCACACATCGCAGGCGACGCCCCCGACGGCGCAAGACATGCCGCCTGCCTCCCAGCCACAGACCCCTCTCCTCTCGTAATAGACCGGCCGCAAAACCCCAAAACTGCGACAATCCCCATCCATCCCGGTGGACATCGCCAGCTCCGAAGACCCGTCACGCCAAGCATCTGGTGATCCCACATCGCCGCAACCATGGTCGGCAAGGTCAGCGAGCGCGTCCTCCTGCGGGAAGGTAAGCCAACAATCCGAGGCAACCATCGCAATTGGTCTTGTAGCCGAGACTAATATCCACGTCTCCATCGTCCAGGACTGGAGCGTACCGACAATGGCATGCGCCAGACGAGCTGGCCCGATGTCATCCCAATCAACCAGAAAAACTACTACACAGACTACATGAAGCGCGACGACCAGGTCCTCGCCCTCAGACTCCAGACCGAGGCCCAGAGAGACCGTCTCGTCCAGAACGCCAAAGACCGTGATCGCGCCCTGGCCCGAGGCGCCAACGGCGAGTTACCATTACCCACAGACGCCGCAGAGCTCCAGCAAGAAGATGACGCTCAAGCCCCATCCGATGGCTTCGATCCTTCCAGGATCATCGTCATACATCCTGGAAGCCAGAACCTGCGCATCGGCTTCGCCAGCGACGCCCTCCCCAAGACGATACCCATGACTCTGGCGACAAAGTTTCCCCAGACAGAGTCGGAGGCTTACGAAGCCCTCCCGCGGCGGCAGTTCGAGGCCAAGACACAGGACCAACAGTACGGCGAGGAGTGGTCGAAGAAGTTCCAAAAGATGTCCAACGACCTCAAGATCGATATGCGCGCCAACAAGCGCAAGGTTCTACCCAACTCCAAAGAGCTGGTCGTCAACTATAACCGGCGCACCGAGCCAGAAGAGATCCAGAAGCACAACGACCCCGTGGAGATCGAGTGGACAGATGTCGGCATGCTCGAGGACCCGACATCCCTGGCATCGTGTTTTATTGGCAATGCGGCACAACGCGTGCCTGACGACTCACAGCCCAAGTTCAAGCTCTGGTGGCCAATACAGCACGGCTGGTTGAACGAGGACTCCTACTCAACCGCTGAGCACCTCTTTGACGACTTGGAGACACTCATTGACAAGGCGATACGACAAGAGCTCGGCCTGACGCAAACGAGCTCGTGGAAGAACTACAGCTGCGTGATCGTCATCCCCGACCTCTACGACAAGAAATATGTCGAGCAAATCCTCAAATCATGCATGATATGGTTCGAGTTCAGCAGGATATGTTTCGTGCAGGAGAGCATGGCTGCCAGTTTTGGTGCAGGCTACACGCAAGCCTGTGTCGTGGACGTTGGCGCACAGAAGACCTCAATTGCTTGTGTCGAGGACGGACTTATCCTAGAAGACTCACGCATCAACCTCAAGTACGGCGGCTTTGACGTGACGGAGACCTTCATCAAGATGATGCTATATGACAACTTCCCATACCAGAAGATCAACCTGCAGAGACGTTACGACTTCTTGCTCGCAGAAGAGCTCAAGATCAAGCACTGCACAATGTCACAAGCCGACATCTCTGTCCAGCTCTACCAGTTCCACCTTCGGGCGCCAAATCAGCCCACCTACAAGTACCAGTTCAAGACGTATGACGAAGTCATCCTCTCGGCGATGGGTTACTATGAGCCCGAGATCTTCGACAACTCCACCAAACTCCGAGGCAGGAGGAAACTGATGGATCGGTCATATAACGCATATGACGTGGATATGCCCGACGACCCTTCGTCTGCTGCACAGCATGCCATTCTGGCTCTTGTCAAGCCGTCCATGGCCTTAGCACCCAATGGTGCTCCGGTGAACTCAGCCGGCGCAACAGATCCGCTGGCCACACCAAGCAAAGAAAAGTCACACTTCAATTTCCTCAGCCGACCAGACCTGAACGGCACACCGGGTGGCTCCGCAGCCGCATCCCCAGCACCCGAGGGGTCAAACACGCCTGTGCCACCTGCCTTCCAGTTTTCCGCCAATGGTGGCGGTGCCACGGACAGCCCGGCACCCAACGGCAACGCCCGCAACGGGGCCTCCCCGGCCCCGCCGCCGGGGATGTTTGTCGACGCGACGCAGCGCACCTTGCGTGACCTCGCCAATGAGCGCGACTCTGTGCTGCCCGTAGCCCCCCTGGACATTGCGGTCCTGACGAGCATCCAGAATGCCGCCAAGGGCGACGACAAGAAGCTGCGCGACTTCCTGGGCTCCATCATGGTCGTCGGCGGCGGGTCCAAGACCCCAATGTTCACGCAGACCCTCGAGGAGAAGCTGCGCGCCCGCAGGCCGGACCTGCTCGACCGCATCCTGGTGTCGCGCAGCGCAAAGGACATGGACGAGCAGGTCGTCGCGTGGAAGGGCGCCTCGGTCTTTGCCAAGCTGTCCACAAACGACTCGTGGATCAACCCGTTCGAGTACGAGCGCCTGGGGGCTAGAGTGCTGCACCACAAGGTTCTTTGGGCTTGGTAATGGTAGATTTTCATGTTTCTTTTTTGGAGAGAGGGAGGGTACAGCAGCGCATGAAGGGAAGGGGGTGAGATGTTCAGCTGGTTTTTTGAAAGGCAAGGGTTGGAGAGGGCGAAAAGAGCAGCCGCGGAACCCGGAATGAGACCGGTATATTCTGGGGCTTTAAAAGGCCAGCAGCAGCAAAGTGCGCGAGAAATCTAGACCTGGTTACCACCACCACCACCACCATACATCTTCGAGTGGACGACTTTGCCACGTTGATCCTGCTACCCATGTGCATGCGTGATTTTGCCCTGCATTGAACAGCTCTTGCGATATCGCCTTGCGCAGCTTGAGCGATCTCGCGTGTAAGAGAGAATCCTAGGTAACGAATTCTGAGGGTTTTTCACTTCTGCCAATAAAAAAGAAAAAAACATTTGCTCGCCCGCGAGAACAATTTGTGTTCATCCCAGTGCCCCAGAGGCTGTGTGGGCAAGTGGTCCCCGTCCATGCTGTCTCTGGCATTCGCTCGAACTGATATCTCTGATACCAAGTCGAAACGACCTGTGCTGGAGCTCGTGTCATGTACAAGTATGTAGCCCAGGCCATCATCTCGAGTAGGTCCTTGGCAGTGTATGACCGCCTGCCTGGCCTTGTTCAAAAGCGGAATTAATACTTGGCGAGACATTCATCGATCAACGGGAGTTCACCAGTCATTTTTTGCGACGCGCACATCAGGAGGTCACAAGTAGATACATAATTCTTTCATTCCCGTTCGGTTCCAGTGGGCTATGGCAAGATGTAGTGGGATGTGTGTGTTCAATATCGCGGGTAGCACGCGTCGGCGTTGCCCTCTCCTGGCTGCGCCCCTCAATTGAGTTCGTGTGCTCCATGGCTGCCAACTTTTTCCCATCGTGGCACGTGCCCAAGAGCGCGGAGCAGAAAAATGACGCGCTTGTGTGGATAAGCCGAGAGGAGCAAGATGCAAAAGTGACGTCTGCAAAAAAACAAAAGAAGAGAAAACACGCATGCTTTAGGGGTATCTCTCATTGCAAAGCATCCTTCCTTGCCGAACGCCAGCCAAAAGGTTTTGCAAAAAAAAACAGACATGATGCAATAACCACCTCCGTGCAAATGAGCGCCATATTGAGGATCACAGCAAGAAACGAAGTTCCAAGGACATGGTAGTCCGATTCTTCCTTGACTGAGAAATTCCTCCTTAGTCGCTGAGGAAAGGGTTCTTCGCCTTCCTTGCCTGTTGTGATGCTGGTGGGGGAGGAACTGAAGAGCTGGGGTTTGCTGGCGCGCCTTGGGGAGGCGCCGATGATGGCGGAGGTGCGAGACTGCTTCGACGCTTGGGAGCGTCCTGAATTGCGGTTGTTGCCCAGCCTGGCAAAGGTTTGAACCTCTGACCATTAGTCTGTGGCGTAGACGAGCCGTTTGTCCTGCGTGCCATCACCGCCTCCATAGCAGCTCGGTCACTCAGGTGATACGGCTTCTGTGTGGAAGCTGACCCGTCAGGCACGGATCTCATGCGGTCCAGCCTAGCCGGGAAATGCTATTGCGATGAATACGGGTTAGTCTGCACTTCTGTAGAGGTAGGGTGTCACGGTGGTAGATGGGGTGGGCAAGGTTGACGTGGACTGTTCATACTTGAGGATCGGCGCGGTTAACCTGCGGCTCAGCGAGGAGGGTCTCCCACTGCGAGGCAACCATCTGCCTCCACTGCTCCCGCAGTCGTGTAATGCTCGCAGGGTTCATAGTGACTAGAGCCTCCGGGCTGACAATGCCACCACAAATAGCCTGGACGAATCGCTCATCGCAAGCCGCCTCCAGAATGACGTTCCTGAGCATCTTGATTTGCTCTGGTGCCTCGACATCCGACTCCTTTTGAGCCACTAGATCTGCGATCTTGTTCGCTGTGTTCGCGCGTTGTTCGGCCTCGGCTGGTCGCACGGGCGGTGGGCCAGCCTGAGTGAAAGCACGTTTGAGTTCTCCCCTGAAGGATCGATGCTGAGATAGGTAGTAGTCAGCCGAGCCAGGCTCACGTGTGCTCGTGGAAGCTCCTGCGATTGGGGCGAGCGGCACCGCAGATCCTGCTGGAACATGTTGACCATTCGCCTGTAAGTGCGACGAACCAGGCGATTGCGAAGCTACGGAAGCTGCAGAAGCTGGAAGCGGAGGTGAAGGTATGGGGGCTGTCACCGTTGTAGAACCGCCCTCTATCGGCGTTGCCGTAGCTGGAGGACTGGACCGGGTGATGTCCACACGACCTTCTGACAACGAGGTCGTCTGAATGTGCGATAGCTGCGGTCCTTGCACGGGACCCACTACCTGTGCCGAGGACGGAACTAAGTGCATCCTCAGAAGCTGGTCAGCTTCTGCCTGGTCCTCGGCAGAAACTTCTGTGACTTCGACTTCTTCCTCCTCGAATATGTCCATTGTCGTGACAGATCGGATCCCAGCACGCAGGCGCGTAGAATCAAGGATAGCATCGAGAACTCTGTCAAGTCCACGGACCTTTTCTACGTCCTTAACGGGCGGGTCTGTGGGCATGTCGAGGAATTCGGCGAATTCCCTCGCCTTGGAAATAGGGTTTTTCTTGTCGACAACTCTTTGCGCAAGCTGCGTCTTGAAGACAACTCGATCCAGCATCTTCTCCTCGAAAGTACCACCGCAAATCAGACGATAGACGAAGACTGGTTTGGTCTGTCCTATACGATACGAGCGGCCGATCGCCTGCTGCTCTTCTTGCGGATTGAACTTGAAGTCGAATATGATAACTCTGTTTGCGCCTGTGATGTTGAGGCCGAGACCGCCCGCCGTCGTGGAGATCAGGAAGACCTTACTTCTGGCCTTGTTGAAATTCTTGACCATATCTTGTCTAAGGCGCATCTTGGTTTTTCCGTCCAGTCGGTCGTGGCCGATCCTCTCCAAGTTCAAGGTATTCTGCAGATGGTCGAGTGTAGGTATAGACCGGGAGAAGACCAGGACAGAGTCGCCGCAGGCCAGGCTCTCTCTAACGATCGACAGAAAGATCTCGGTCTTCCAGGCTAGAATGCTGTCCTGGGAACCGCTATCCATGCTCTTCAGCAACGTGCGCTCCTTTGAGACAAGACCCGGCTTGCAGTCGACATTTACTGACGCATCCTCCGCATCGCGGTTGACATTTATTGTCGCATCGTCCGCATCCTCTTCAGCGCTATCAGTTCTTTCTTGGTTGGTCTGGATACTGCCCGTCTGTCCATCCTCTTCCGGGAGCCAATGCTTGAAGCACTTTGGGTGCGCGCACAGCAGCGCAAGGACGTTGAGCCATTTGAAAATAGTGGTGTTAGATGTTGAGCTGTCAAGCAAATCACCTCGCTGATGCTTGATCAGCAGCTCATACGCTTTGCGTTGCAGGTCCGTCAGTGGCATGACGATGACGAATTCTGTTTTCGTAGGAATGCTGTTCTTGAGAACGCCCAACGTTTTGCGGTCAACTTTTGGGGCGACCATCTTCTTGATCGCAGTGAGTCTCGCAAACATCTTTCGTCGCTGAGCCGCACTGCTGCTAATCTGGAGTCCTTCGTGAATGGGGATCGCAAATTCTTGCTTGAACGATTTGAGATCAGAGAGGAAACCGGGCGCAATCCAGTTAACCATGGCATGGTACTCCTCGACTTTGTTTGCCAGAGGCGAGCCGGTCATGGCGATTCGATTTTGAGTAGTGAAGTTGGCCGTAGCTGTGTGCACCTGCGTGTTCGGGTTCTTCATCTTGTGGGCTTCATCCGCTACCACAAGATTTGGCCGCTCCTGTAGGATAGGTCTCAGTTGCTCGTTGCTAACGAGCGAACTCAGCAGGGTGTAGGGGATCAATAGTACGCCACCCTCTTCGTCCCATTCGTGAATCATGCGAGCTCTTTCATCAGAAGAGGTTGATCCCGCGTCGATCTTCCAGAAGTGCCCTAAGTGGTGATTCTCAGGAGTCCAACACAGGATTTCGTCGTACCAGTTATTGATCAGCGATGGCGGGCAGAGGATGAGAAAGCGTGTCTCGCGAAGGTCCTCCGGGATCTGAGAGCGAATGCTTTCGTCTTCAGAGTTTGAACAATCTGCAAGAGCCACGAGGAGGGTGATGACCTGCAAGGTCTTTCCCAAGCCCATCGTGTGGGCTAAGAGGCAACCCTGGCGATTTCCGCCCCTCTGCGTGATCAAATTCCACATGAATCGCACTCCCTCGACCTGGTGCATCTTGATGTACTTGGCAATGTCGGGATGCACATAGATCAGCGCATCATCATCTTCTTTGCTCTCGTTGATGATGAACTGGCTGTCTGCGTTGTTGCCAAGTGCTTCCATTTTGGCCCTGAAGGCCTTAACCCTGGCGGCTTGTTCAGCACCAAGCACGCGCGCCGTCTTTCGCAAGTCGCGGCCGACTATGTCGACAGCCCTCGTCCGAATCTTTTTGCGGGGCGTAGATTTCGTCGGCGAATCCTGGTCCTGGTCCTGATCTTGGTCCTGATTCGATTCAGCTTCATCTTCTTGCTCGATGTCAGAGTCCATGCTCAAGTCTGCCCCTTGTTTGGCAAGGGCTTCCTCAAACATCTTTTTGATCGACTCTACCTCCGTGCAATAGAAGCGATCCGAAAGACTGACGAGGAATTGAGCAAAGGCCGGGGACGCTTCTGAATTTCTCTCATCTACTTGTGACAACCGGTCGTCTCTGTCAGCAGCAGTGGTCTCTACCATGACCGCCATTGCTTCTGGGGCCTGCCCATTCCAGACATCAAACAGTCGGATAAGGCGGTATGCAACCCTGACAGCTTGAGCCTGATCGTCGTCGTCATCGTCAGGATAGTCATTCTTCGCCCAATATGGCTTGACATAGAGGTCCCAGAGGTGCTGGTCGAGAACCTTGGCGGCCGTGAAGATGATATTGATTATCATGTCATCGAACCTGTCTATGGCTTTGGCCACACGTTTGCGCAGCTTGTCGAGGTCGCTCAGGTCCATCCACAAGAAGCTCTGTCTGTCTCTAACAGGAGAGGACGTGCGGCGCTTACGCCCTGATGCAAGAGAGCTTGTTGGTGTCATTTCTTTCTTGATCACACGCCTCATGCCACTTGCTGCGGTTTGACTGTTTGCTTGCTCCTTGTGAACTGGAGTGCGCGGTACTGGAGGGTTTGGACGGAGGTCGTCAGGAGGTGGACTGCTGGTAAGGTCAATGACGTCGTGAGGAGCGAAACCACGTGCCCTTCCGAGATCGGTGTCGGGATGTGACGATGGAATATCGGCGACTGACGAGGCGCCTCGCTCTGCGATATCGTGGTCATCAGCAGGTGCCCGTCCATTGTCGTTTGTAGCCGACAATTCCTCCCCCGTTACCTCGTCATCTTGCACGTCAATGAGATCTTCGACAACACCGTCCATTGGCGTATCGACAGTAGGCAAGTCCACGTCGTTCATGTGGGCCACTCCTGAAGGAGTCTGTGTAGATAGTCCTTGTCCAGCAATATCTGATCCCCCTGAAATTTGCGTGCTTACTTCAAGCTCGGGTTGGGGCGGGGAGTCGGGTCCTGTCGAGGGCCTCGAAGCACGCTCATCATCTACATCCATGGCAGTTTGGGCCGAGCGATTGTCTGGCATGCTGACATCCCCATCGTCGATGAAACCGAAGTCATCGTATTCGTCCTCACTGGTCAAGATTTCCTCGTCATGCTCGTTCAAAGGCTGGGCATTCTGATGACGCTGTGACAGCCTTGCTCGTGCCTGCCGGGTTGGTATGTCGGGCGCTGAGACCAATTGGATGACGTCCAACTCCCAACGGGCAGCCTCTAAATCATGAACCGTAGCTTCGAAATTGCCGGCCATTGCATCGACGTCGGTCGTTGAGCGCCACTCCTGCCCCAAGAACTGTTGCTTGATGCGAGCAAGCCGGTGCTCAAGGTGAGCCAAGCGTTGCCGCGCGAGTTGTGTCGCTTTGTGAAGTTGTGGACCACGACTGCGTTTCCAGATCTGATAAGCGGTACGGGTGAGTCGAGGGAGCTTCCGCTCCAACCATGTGTTGCGATGCGTTTCTATCAAGTCCTCGATGACGACGGCGACCTGGTCCAAAGATAATTTGGTTGGCATCGCCTTCGTCTCATGAGCCTCTTTCTCCATCTCTTCCCAGGTATCGGTATCATAGCCTTCCTCATCGTCTGATTGGCCATACAGAGGCAGAACTTCATTAAGCTCCGGATCATCCAGCCCTTCGACCATGTCCAGCTTTGATCTCCTGGCACGCGCGCTGGCCCGACGCGGGCGCATGCGCCGTTTGCTGATGCGGTATGCCTGGATTTGTCTGCCGACGGGCGCAACCTGATGCCGCACAAAGCTCCAGCTGTCGTCCTCTCCAACTATGGTGTCACCCTTGAGGGAGTATACACCATCGATGAAATCCATTCTGCTGACGCCTGTCGGCCCCAGATAAGGTCGAGCAACTGAGGCCGGCCGCGAGGCTGCCTTCGGCAAGGCACGAAAGCCTGTGACAACATCAGCTGCAGTTGGAATGTTTCTGTTGATGTTGTCAGGGTTGATTTCAGACGAGATCATTTGTGGTGCAACGCGACGTTTTTTCTTCGGACTGAGGACCACAGGTGGCGTTACTGCACGGGAGGACTGGCCACCAGGAAGCTGGGAAATGGGATGTCCAGTGGTCGGTGCAGGTGCCACACCAGCCGTAGATGCAGCTTCTGGTGCCCCCGAGGTACCTGGTGTGTCTTGAGATGGCTCACGATCAAGTCTCATGCGTAGACGCCGCCGGGCGTCGGCCAGATCCTCTTCGTCGGGCTCTCTCTTTCGAGATTGGGCGGGAGGGCCCTCGCTCGCAGTATCGTCGATTTCATCCTGCTCTGCGTTCTTGCGTTGTCGCTGCTTCCAGCCACGACTTTTCCTTCGGAGTTGCTGGACTGCATCGTTGAGTGTCGTGATTTGATTCTTGGGCTTGATCCCAAAATCTTTCCATAACGTGGCTAAATCAGACTCGAGCAAGGCGAAGCCTTCCATTCCGTATTCGCGAAGCTGTTCTTCAAACCACTTGGGCTCTGGCAGCCTTGGGGGGTCACGAATGGGTGTCCAGGTACGCGTGGTACTACAGAACTCCTTTACCACCCGATCGATGTCCCAAAACCAAGGGTCGTCCATGATGGATAATGGTGCTCATACCAGCAAGAACACATTGAGTGGGGTCTACAAATGACTGCGCTGCGACATCACTGTGCAGGTCACGGCGAGTCAGCAACTCAATGCTCCTACAGTGGTTCGCTCTCTCATTGAAGCCAGTCATCCGGACGGAGCGATCAAGGGTCAAGACGAACCTAGACGAGAGACAGACAAGCCTATGGAAGGGATTGACTGGAGAAAGCTGGCACCGAATGATGGGCAAGTGCAAGCGAAATCCTTGGGGTTTCTGTCGAGATCCTGAGAAGGAGATGTGTTCTCGATGATGAGTGTCTGCCGTGCGCGATTGCAACACTGAGCACGAGACTGATTATCGTCCGAAACGACAAAAAAGAACGGCAATAAGGCAGGCTTGCGTATTGTGATTGTGAAGCCTTTGTGACTGCTGTGGCGGTCCAGATTGTCTCTCGAAAGAAAAGCCGCGTTCTACAGGTGAAGACGGCTACCAATTTGGACGCAGATGATGTAGTAGGTGAGAACAAGTAATGAATCGGCGTTGTGGTGTGTCAGGGCAGCGTTTTCTGCCTCGCGTCAGGTTTTTAGCCTGAAGATGGGCGTTGGTGATGGTTGTTGGTGGTAGTGCCTCACGAGGAAGCCACTCTGGATTGAGCCAGTGAGAGTGCGGATCTATCCGCCGAGGGTGTTGCAGGTTGGGCCAACAGGTAATCGACCAGGCCGACAAAGTCGTCAAACAAGCGTGATTGGACTTCCTGTCCGGCCTCGTTGTTCTTGGAGTTGTCTACGCATGAGTTGCAATCGCTACACGGCCAGCCTGATGCCCTGGTGGTTGTCGCTGGCTCAGTCAGTGCGCCAGTTTTTCATCATGGCATCCCGTGAGAGAGATGCGATCAGACGCGATGAACGCGCACTCGGCACTCCAAGATGCAGGAGAGTGACCCGCAGCCCCCACATTTGCTGGAGTCTGCCCTCCAGGGAGCCTCGCCGTGATGACTAAGCTGGCTCCTGCACCTTGCCCAGGGAAGTGCCGTTTGTGCTTTCGGAAGTCGGTGCCACGCGAGTGGTTTGTTTCGTTTTAGGGCAGATATACAACCTCTAGATGTTGGGCCGTGGACAGATTCACGACGCGGAGTAAGTGCGGGTCGATGGTAGACTTTGCGAATAGTTCAGGTCACTAAACGGAACTAGAAGTACATACGGGCGGCGCAGAGATCTATCCTGGAGATTCAGCAGATTAGCTGGGCTTTAACTGTTGATAGTCCCATCATGGACGCCAGAACACAGCCAGTGTTGATGAGTTCAGATCCGACTTGACAGCAGTTTGCCTGGTGACTTCGCCTAGTTGAGACCCTGGGAGAAATCGTGTAAGTGCAGACGGGGGACCCGCCGCCGTCTCCGCTATCGCAAAGTCCCGTCGCGGTCGAAATCGGCTCGTGGTGGGGTCGGCCCTCGGTGGAAGCTAAGACGTCAACTGCGATTCATAAGCAGAAGCTGGAAGGAGGCCAGAGTCCAATCTGTAAATTTGAGATTGCATGTCACTTCCTCCGAAACATCTCGTTGTGTTACACCTGGAAAACTCATCGTCAATTGCATTTCGGAAGTCCTTGTGCTCGTGGACGTCACCACGCTACGCTGTACGCTTCTTTCAGCCCACAGCAGACCCCGCCCTCGATTGAGCCTTCAAGCATGACGACGTTTCCGCCTTCGATAAACCCTGCCGAGGGAGAGAGGCTCACAGAAGTCGTCAAGGACTGGGCCGCTGCCAACGGGCTTGTTGTTCGGCCGCCCCCAGCTGTCGTCTCCGCCGAGGCTGATCCTCAAGGCATTCTCGCCACGCCCGTGCCCGTCACCCTGTTCCCCAGCCCCTTCCCCAAGGTCTGCTTTGATCAGGGCGTCAGTGTGCAGCAAGCATACAACGAGCTCTATGCAGCGATCAGCCAGGATGAGGAGTTCCTGGCCCAGACAGTCAAGGAGTATGTTCCGTGCTCACCTAGCTGCCAAACCCCAGACGATTGACCAGAATGCATAGGATCGGCGACAGCGATGACTTCATCACAGAGCTGTGGAAAGTTCACCTGAGAGTCAAGGCTGAAGGATACGTCCAGGTATACCATGCAACACACTTCGGCAACAGAGGCCTTGCAGCTTCCCCCCTGGCGTCTAACACATCTCTGTAGCACAAAAGCCTTGGCCTCTTCAGGTCCGATTACATGGTCCACCAAGACACCCCAGACTCATCGCCGTCCATCAAACAAGTCGAGTTCAACACCATCGCATCTTCCTTCGGCGGACTGTCTGCACAGACATGCTTACTTCACAGGTGACATAAGACCTCCAACCGGAACCCTTTGTCATCCTCGTGTTAATGAACGATTATAGATATCTTGCTTCCACGGAGTATCCTCTGCTCGAGAACGAGATTCCTCTTGGGAAGCTCGACTTGCCGCGGAACGCGAGCGTGGCAGGGCTGGCAGGAGGCATCCGGCAAGCGTTTATCGAATATGGAGCACCAACCACATCCCACCCCAAGTGCGTGATCTTCCTCGTCCAAGGAGGTGAGAGGAACATCTTCGACCAGAAGCACCTCGAGTTCGAGCTCCAAAAGTCCGAACAGCCGCAAGTGCCCGTCTTCCGCCTGCCTTATGCCGAGATTCTCCAGCACACACGCATAGCAGACGGCGCAGGCCGCGAGCTGCTCTACACGCCACCCAAGTATCCCGGCCGCACGTTTGAAGTCGCCGTCATCTACATGCGCAGCGGCTACGGCCCCGGCGACTACCCGGACCAGTCCGCCTGGGAGGCGCGCTACCACCTCGAGCGGTCCGCGGCCATCAAGTGCCCGTCCGTGCTGACGCAGGTCGCCGGGACCAAGAAGGTCCAGCAGGTCCTCGCGACGCCCGAGACGCCGTCGAACCCGTCCATCCTGACAAAGTTCCTCGCCACGGGTGCCACGAGCACCACCAAGCTCGCAGCCACTTTCACAAACATCTACCCGCTCGACGGCAGCGAGGCCGGGCTCAAGGCGCGCCAGATCGCCCAGGACCCGGAGCTGTGCAAGAAGTACGTGCTCAAGCCCCAGCGCGAGGGCGGCGGCAACAACATCTACCGCTCCGCGATCCCCGAGTTCCTCAAGACCATCCCCGAGGCGCACTATACGTCGTACATTCTCATGGAGCTCATCACGCCGCCGCCCGTGACCAACACGATCCTGCGCAACGGCAAGCTCGAGCACGGCGGCGTCATCTGCGAGCTGGGCATATACGGCACTTGTCTGTGGGACGGCCAGAGCGGCAAGGTGCTGCACAACGAGCAGGCGGGCTACCTGCTGCGGACAAAGGGCGACAAGAGCGAGGAGGGCGGCGTGGCTGCGGGCTTTGGATGCATGGATAGCTGCAGCCTCGTCTAAGCGAGGGCCGCTCCATTGTTGACTGTTCGTCTTATCTGACGTGTCTCCCCAGCCATCGTCATGCATTCCACAAACGCGCAAGCTGGGAGTATACTGAAAATTTGCAGCATAAGTTATTCTCGAGTTGGGTATATTTTTTACACATCGTGCCGGACCCCCAGAAGCCATATCACCACATTTACCCTGCCTGATATGCCCGAGCCTTGTGAGATCTAGCGCTGCATCCGTGGTAGACCAAGAAGAACATTACCAAAAGAAGACAAAAGGAAAACAAGAAGAAGAGAAGGCCTCTTCGAAGAGTGGAGTTATGTCTGAGAGCATCGTTGAGCCTTAACCAGTGCTCGTCCTTTCATTCCGTGCTAGCATTACAGCATCTTCATTCTTTCATAATCACAGATCGTCGCTTGGAGGGGGAGGGAAAAAGCACACTGCATGCCCGAAAGCAGGGAGCGCTTTTTATTCCTCAGCAGCAGCGGGGCGGCGGAGGACCTCCATGTTCTCTGTGTTTGCAAGCGTGGGTTAGTAAGTCAGAGGTTGACCTCTTTCAAGTATGTAAATATGAGGGCTGCCTAAAAGGGGGGGGGGGGTGCGCCTTGTGGCAGACCATGGGGCGAGGCTGAGACGTACTCTGGATGATCCGCAGGGACGACCGGTTCTTGCCCTCGGCATCGGTGTAGGTGTTCATTGAGGCATCGCCCTCGACGTAGACGGTAGCACTGTAGTGCCATGGACAGGCCCAGGTCAGCAAATTGAAACGCATGGGATATATTTCTCGAAGCAGGAGCAAAAGGAAGCCCTCGAGTCACACTATAGAGGGCTCTCTTTGCGGCCAGAGAGGAGACAAGAGAAAACGTACCCCTTGGGCAGACTGGTGATGAAGTCCCGCTGGGGACCCTCGGGGGCGAAGCTGACAACACGGAACCACGAGGTGGTGCGGTTGTCGCGGGGACCGCTGTTGCTGGCGACGGCGTACTCGATGAGCTCGCGGCCGGTCGAGGTGGCCTTGAGCTCTGGCGTGGCGGCGAGGTTGCCGACAATGGTTATCTTGGCAATATCGCGGCGGGCGGTGGTACTGAAGGCACGCGCGGCGGCGGCGGCGGAAGAGGAGAGGACGGCGCGGCGAGTGAGGAAGGACATGTTTGCTTTGCGACTGTCTTTGTTGCTGCGGGTGGCGGGGGACTGTGGTCTGTGGTGTTTGAATGGGTGTTTGCTTGCTTGCTCGGCGCAATGTTTGGTCTATTGCGATGCTACGGGCGACGGAGCTTATCGTGGGACCTGGACTGCCGGGATGCGGGCGGGCAGGTGGGATGGGAGGGCAGGGACCGGGACCACTTTAGCTCTAACCCGCCTACGCCCACCAGAGCTCTCTCGCAGCCACGCGACGCGCACGCGCCCTGCCATCAGCTTTGACTGATTGCTCCACCTCCAGTAATGTGACTGTCATGCGGGCTGTCACCTTGCGTCAATGGTCTGAGGCCATCAATGACCTAGACCATGTCCCGGCTATTTCCAGCCTTCACTTCCTCGCGAGGCTCCTTTGTTACTGTCTTAGCCGGCCACAAAATGGCGTGGTCGATCTTACGTCCTGGATGAGGGCAATCCTCCAAGCTTTCGGTTGGAAATTCGCTGACCCTGTACTGTAAGCAAATTAAGGTCTTCCAAGGCCATAGTGGGATATCATATTTAAAATCAACAGCTAACTATAGCTCGCCTATTAGTGTTTTCCTCCCTCAGAGCTAATTTGAGCATATGCGAAATCTCCAACGGCCCTCGTTCCAGGGGACAACGGTTCCAGCATCGCGTTGGAGTGCAACTCAGGCAGCACCAAACAAAATGGCTCCCATCAAAGCCACACTTGCCCACACCGTGACCAGTGTCCCTATCGTACCGTCACCCCCCTTCACCCCAAATTTGCCAGCGGCGTTTGTCTCTTTCGGAGGAACGTCCACGGTCCGGTGGTACATGGTCACCATGGGCAGCATACTAATACCCGTCATCTCGTCGAGGTCGCCTGATTGAAAGGTGCTGACCGTCGTCGTGGCGCTGCCTGGGCCGATGTCTCGACCAGTCGCCGTTGTGCCGTTGAAGATGAATGTCACAGTGCTCACGGCGTCCGGATTGGCCAGGTTCTGGCAGCCAGTCGTGGCTGTGTACATGCTCACAGGCAAGTTCGTGTAGCACCCGCCGCCGCCAACGCCCGCCGTGTAACCGCTGGATAAGAAAACATCAGCGATCGAGCTCGACCATGCCTGAAAGAAAATGCCCCCCCCCCCCCCCCCCCCCCCCCGCGGGCGGCACGCCACAGACGTCTCCAAGAAGATCTTCACGGTTGCTACTTACCTGGGACAGCACAATATCGCCGTCTCTCCGTCGGCGAGATTCTCCATGGCAATGTTCCAGGCAGGGTTGTAAACCGGCGCATGCGTCCCGAATCCTGTCGGTGCAAAGACGCCCGTGGAGTCGATGGCCGTCCCGTTGCCCTTTGATGCAACTCCTGCTGTGGTCCACCGATCTGGGCAGACGAGGCCAGGTGAATAGTAGTGGATGAACCTCCGCGTCGACTCTGCCCAGTCCTCGTCAAATACCGATCCTGCCTGGACGCAATCGCTGGCGCTAAACCGTTCCGCGCAAGTCGACACGTATGCTACGGCCTCGGGCAAGTAGTCTGGCGCCAGCCCGACCTGTGTCGGTGTGTAGCATGCTGCGGGTGCCGTGTACGTTGTCGTCATGGGCCCGAGGTTGGCGAAGGTGTACTGAGAGAGGACCGCGCTGGCCGGCATGTTGGCGGCTTCGTCGACTTCAGTCTTTTCTCAATGGCGTCTGCTGATGTTGGTTTTCCGCGCAAGGAGAGAATAACGTCTACCCTCACAGACTCCCATCGTGCTGTACGGTCGTCGAGCAAGAGCGAAAGAGGGGAAGTCCGAGTCTTTATGAACCCGCATGCGCACCTCCGAGTAAAATGCATGCAGGATGACCCATCCCCGGAAAGTGCAGCTCTCGTAAGGAGCCAGACGAATCAGGCACGCGCCCTGGAGGCCGGTTTGCAGGGATCAGGGTCAGCTAGGCCCTGTTCCAGGGCTGGCCACATAGCCCTGCTGCTGCCAAGGTGTTGTCATCTCTCGATCATGGGCTGGTACAGTTCGAAGGATTGGGACAAACTGCCCGATTGGGCTGACTTGTACAGTGTTGAGAAGTCGGCTGGCCCCTCTCCGTTGCACGAGGCAGGGTTCAAGGTAAACTTGACAACTCTTGGCCGTTTGCTGTTGCATGGAGCAGGCGGACTTTGATGATGCGATTTGCTCGGCTTTTACTATTTGCATGTTGTAAGGCGCTGGTGGTAACTTACTAACTTGAGCAAGGCCTGTGGTGGGCTTTTTCTGGTTGCGATGGTCTGCTTACTGGACCAACACCAAGAAAGCGGTTACCCGCGTGGGACCAGCTTGGTGCTTCGAGTCCTGTGGAGCGAGGCTATGCCATAGCTATGACAGGCAATAGAGAACTTGAGCTAAAGGTATTGATGCATGGTTTGAATTCCTGTGATCGTTGTGTCACCCCAAGTTCGGCATCCTGCGGCATATCTGGCACGGTGTCCGCAACAGCATCTGGAGCCTGGAGCACAATTTCATGTTGACTTCCTGGACATCTATTTTGGCACTGCTCAGAGATGCTGCCCGCTAAATCCGACAAGTTATGGCAACTCGTTTTCATGATAAGGCAAATGGCATGGTTTCTGTAGTCGGACAGACCAGGGCAACAATGACAGTGCCTCTTCGTCCCGACTCGAAACGTCGAAATATACCGCGTGTAGATTGGTCCTAATCGTGTCACTCTTTATGGCCATCCAGCCTATCAACATCCCCGGCTGCCGGGCAGCACCACGTAATGCACGTCCGCGAGTTTTGTGGCAGCAACAACCATACTGCTCGAGGAAGTCAGTGTATGCTGCTGAGTACTTGGCTGCGCGAATGTGCTTGGTCGGTTGTATTGGGTATTGCTTGATGTGCAATAAATGACGACTAGGAGGCTTCAAGTCACATGTTCGGGCCGAGCGGGATCAAGGTACCTATAGCTGATCTTATCTTCACAGGAAACGTGAGCTGCTTGTGGAACGATCAAGGCCTGCTTTGCGATCTCCAGCTCGGGATTCGGTGGCATCTTGCATCTCGCCTCAAACACCTAGCAATACACTCTTCGTAAATCACTGACCCAAGTGCAAGGCGTGGAGTGCGCGGGTGCCCACTCGCCGTTGCTGTGGTTTTGCAGCTCGAGTCTGCAGCAGCAGCAGCAACAACAACAATACGTCGCGTCGACACTTGCCAGCCTCCGCCGTGCATCCAGTAGTTGTGTGCAAATTGACCACTCTCGACGTTCTGACGAGAAATCTCTCAGGATAGACATGTTGAGTGAGGTGTTCTCAAACTGGCTTTCCGGCTGTCCACCCTCTCAGAGGTCTTGCACCACCTACCTAACAACTCCGACATTGGTCAAGACCGCGACATACTGTTAGAGGAGCAGCTCTTGTTGGACCACAAACTCAAGTCCTATCGGCTGGAACGCACTGCTACCAGACGTTACCACCATGTCGACCGACAGCTCGCTCGAAGCGAATCGGGTGTTACGCATCCTCCTCGCCTTTCTGGGTACAACACTATGCTATGTGCCCTTGCGCCTCCTGCTTCGAAACAAGCAGTATGCTGCAGTCTCGCTCATCCTGACGATCGGCGTCATGAACTCCTTCACTGTGCTCAACTCGTCCATCTGGCCTAACGACCAGTATGAGAACTGGTGGAGTGGCCACGGTCTCTGCGACATCGAGGTCTACGTGGCTGCACCAACGCAGACAGCATATGCGGCGAGCATTTTTGCCATCATGCGCCGCCTCACCTCGCAGATCAAGCTCAACAACGTCACGACCGTCGATAGTCAATCGCAGGCTAGGAAGAGACTGGTGGAGGAACTTGGTATCATCCTTGCAGTCCCGGCCTTCCAGCTGTTATTCACTCATTTCGATCTTGCTCAGCGATACATCATCGGCACACTCGTGGGCTGCTCGGCCGTCTACGACAGGTCTTGGCCAAAGGCCCTGGTGTTTGATACGCCCCCAGCAGTCTTTGCTCTCGGCTCGATGCCTTTCGCTTGTGAGCCACTCCGCTACCTCACACACAGCGAATTTGCTAACGCCTTCAAAAGACATCATGTACAGACGCTATCGGATCATCACTCGAGAGAACTCAGTGATATTTGCGGATGGGATCAACCAAGATGCGTGCCGGCGAGTCGCGCGCACCACCCGCCGGCTTTACCGCATGTGCTTGAGCATCCTCGTGCTCTATGTTCCATTGATGCTCTTCTTCTCCATTAAGAACCTGCGAGACACACTCTCCGGCCGGAGACCGTACGACTATCGTCACATGCGTGAAGAAGGCTCTCCGTACCCATGGCACGCCATCTTGTTCGTGCCGAGCTGGCTCGTTCCTGGAGCGACGTTGGAGCAGCCGTGGATCCCCATTATCACGAGTTTCGTGGTTGTCGCTTTCTTTGGAGCAACAGATGACGCTCTGAAGATGTGGGTATCGATATCCCAAGGCCTCGGCTTGTTGCCAGCTGTGCAATGCTTGAATCGGAAGTGCAGCAAGGGCTTGAGACTATTCCGTCGGCATGGAATCAAACTTGACAGACGAACGAGTGCATTGGACCAACCGCACCCAATCCGTTTCGAAGAATCCCTGGACCAGTAAGTCTGTTATAGATTAGCACTTAACTTGTCTCTTAAGACTAACTTAGCTCTTTCCGTCTAAGCAAGCACGCAGGTTTACACGACAGTTTCTTGCCTCCCATCCCGCGGGTGACAACATCTGCAACTCAGGCCAAGAGTTCAAGTGTATCCTTTAATGCCGACCTTCTGCTACCATTACCGTCCGCTGCTCGCCCAAGGACACCTCCATCACCTCCGTACTCTCCCACATGCTACTGGGCAAGCCCAGAGCCACTGCTGCCGCGAAGACCACCACAAGCTCACACATCTACGCCCCCCGCGTGCTCTGCTGCCTCAAACAGACCAGACCACTCCTCGAAAGATGGCCCTTTCCGCCGGTCTCTCTTGCCGACCTTGGACTCATCCAGTGCCCTCGAGAACTCTGAAATCATTGCGTCCATGATCCCGCCCCGCGGCTCGTCTCTGATGCACCGGGGCACAACCTTCTTCCAGTCTCTGCGGACTCCGACACTTCCGAAGATTCCTGCTATCACGCTGCCTTCCCTATCAACTCTATCAAGTTCCATGAGTGGGATGCTGAGCAGCAGACTCCCCAGCTGGGGCAGCAGAAGACGAGACGCAAGCCACGACCTCGAGGCCCAGCAAGACACAAAGGGCAAATCGTCTGCAAGTCCAGGAAATCTCAGTCGTGGAGGCAAATACCCGCAGGTCTCGAGGAACATGGTTGTATGGGCACCAAACACACCAGCAAGCACCCAGAAGAGAGCAGTGAACGGCAAACACCATAAAGAGTCGTCAAGATCATATGGGACGAAGACTGCAGCGCCTACCCAAGGGACTTCGCCCGCTAGCCATCGTCCTGTGGCTGACATGCATTCATCAGATACGCGCCTTCATGTAGGAAAGACTCGCCCAAGTGATTGCCCGCCTCCACGAATCCCACCACAAGCCCGCTGTTCACCACTTGCAGGACAGAGTGGGAGCATCATCACCGGCAGCCCATATCCATCGCATTCCCGATCCTCCAACGTCAAGTACCTCCGCCAGCCAGTGTCCGGCTTCGGCAAGCACCGCCGAGATCTGCTACAGCAGCGACAAAGGCGGCCGAACAGCCACACAGAACAAGTGATACTCCGATCGCTACAGAGTACCAGAATACAAGAGCATGATAGCACGAAGAAGAGCGGCGCGACGGGAGACACCAAGATCTGGATCAACCCCCGCCCACCGCAGTCGGCGCGAGCATCGCCCGCCGTGGCGACACCACCATCTCGGAAAACATTTCACGGACCGGCCGCGCCTGCCACCGAGCAAAGAAAGACCAAGGCTGCCACCATCACCTCTGCACATACGAGCCGGACAAGTCCTACTGGTCGCCAAACCGACGGCTTGGAAGAGCACGAGGCCTACACCGGCGCCGCCCTCCCACACAATGGAGACGTCGGTCCCGCAAGCAGCATTATCGACTACAACCGAGGCTACAACGACAAGCACCACGACTACAACGATTACAAGAATGACGACGACGATGACGACGATGATCTCTCTGGGGTGTCCGACAGCGAAGACACCACCAACAACACGGCAGCACCCCACACGATCCACCAGTCCCTCAGCATGCGCGGAAGAGGCAGGGCCACGGCCGTCCCGCTGATCTTTGCGAGTGCCTCGCTCGTCACGATCGGCAGTGTGCGCGAAGAAGGGGGGAGAGATCCGCCAGGGACGTGCAAACAGGTACGCGGAATCAAAGAGAAATGTGAGGAGAGACGCCCGTAGATCCCCCTTGCAACCATCTGCTCAAGTGCGATGATGCCGGCAGTTTGGCATCCTCATTCGAGCTGTCGTCAGGGTCCGTGTAGGAAGCCCGACCGTCTCAAGTACGGCGAAAAAAATGCAGCACGCTCTGTGATGTGTAGGATACTTGGAGCATGTATGGAAACAATGCACGAATAACCTCGATGCCCGTTAAGGGGAATGGATTCTTTGCAGCAAAAAATACATTTCTATTGTGAGGCTCCAGCGTAAATGCAAGAAGCTCGCGGGTGATGATAATTAGGTACTATGTACGTATAAGAGCAGAAGGTGCAACTCAAGGGTGCTCGGGGGTATCTTTCGTCATTCATATGCGAACTGTCGACGGGGACAACAAAGGCTCTTTTAGCGGGGAAATATTACAGTGTAGGGGACGCGAAGTGCTCGAGAGAACTCATAAGAGTCAGTCAGCAAGGGCGGATCATGCATCAGAGGCGTCTTATGCGGCATCGTCTCTCGAGCCTGCCAGTACGGCAGGCTCTGGCTCCGCCACATGATCAGGCCCTTCACGGGTATTAGTGCGCTCGCTAGCGGCGGGCGCGATTTCGGGATCCGGTATTTGGATGTCAAGCTGTAGTCGTCAGGTCAGCAGTGTTTCGGTTGCCTCGCATGCAGGAGTATCGCTTACATTCATGTATCCCGTGCGTCGTAGAGGCACAATCTTGGGCGCCAGAGACACGTCCTCGGCGCCTATTGTCTTCTCCATCTCGGCATTCCACTTTTCTATCCAGCTCTCCAGGCTTCGGAGTCTGCTCTTTGTATTTGTGAGGCCAAGGTCATCCCAGACCCAGCCGGTTACGAGGCCGAGAACCCCGTCAAGAATGTTCCGCCAGTTGTAGGGGTTGAAGATTGGCACAAGCTCGCTATTGAGCTTATCAATGATACGTCTGAACTCCGTCTCCGATATCCCTGCCGGGTCGAGAATTTCTGGGTACAGATTCGAAAACGTTGGTGCAAGATCGCCCTGCAACAGCCAATCCCTCTTGATTCTAATGATGCGCGTACTTATGTACTCGGGCGAATCCAAGGGGACGTGCACATTCATATGCGGATAGCAAGGATGTTGCGGACCCCATTCGTCGCCCAGGTCTGGCTGGTCGGCATCACCAAGGATGGAGCTGTCTTCAGAGTCTAATATCGAGCCCAGGTCGTCTGGTATACCTCCGTGAGATTCGCTGCGGCGCCCGAGCACATCTGGGCCACGCTCAAGGTCCTGGGAGAATCCCCGAGACGACTCGGGATTTTCGGGCAGCGCCATGACTTCTTTGCCTTTGCCCTTATCGAGAGCGCGCGGCGAAGAATTGTTGCTTCCTGCACTGGAGGGCTGCACAAGCCCGAAGCTGACAGCTCTGGCCCTTCGTACGATACTTGAGCTTCGTGGCTTGAGAATGCCAATAGGGCGTGGTTTCGTTCCCAATGCGCTGGCTTGGAGCTGGTTTGCTGGAGCAGCTTTCTGCAGGCGATCGCTGCTATCGTCGTACGAGTGACGAAGCGAAGGTGGCAGACTGCTCCGGTTGTCGTTGCTTGCTCGTCCTTCAACCTGCAAGCTCTTGCGCACAGATGGGATACGACGGACTTCCCGGTGAGCCGGTGCACCGAGTAGGGGTGATTGCGCGCTGGCGGTGGTCCGCTCCTCGCCAGCTGTCTCGTGGTCGTCGTCAAGCGGATGGGGAACTGGGATCGGTGGAGGAGGTGGCGACGACTGGCGACGAACCAGAGACTGTCGACGAGCAGGCAGTGAACGAGCCGAGTTGGTCGGATTCCACAGGCGGGCGGCACGGGGACGTACAGGCAACCGCAAATCCTGTGTGGGTTTGTTGAGTTTGAATGGAGAAGGCCAAGGCGGCTGACGCGAGAATGCTTCGGGTGCTGGGAGTTCGCGAGTATTGTGCTGGACGACTGGATGACCAGCTTTCGGATTCCCAGCTGCTTGAGAGATGCCTAGGGCGGTTTGCGAGAGAGCTGTCGCCTGGTTGTGAGCGTGGGAAGCCGTTGGAACAACGAGCTGGATAGGCCCAAGCGGGCAGAAGGATCCGCGCGGTGGCGGCGTGCTTTGCGAAGGCGAGGATCCGGGCAAAGCGGTGGAACACCACGACTGGTTCTGCGAGGCAGTTGGATGCGCGAGATGTCAGTGACTGCACAAGCCTGACGCCGACGAGGCTGGCGATGCAGGATGGAACCGGCGAAAGGGGACCCTGCTGGGACCGAGAAGGCGAGGAGGCAGACGAGCGCCCGTGCCGGGACGACTAGGCTGGCCGGGGTTGTGATTGGCTGGTGATGCCAGGCCCCTTGCAGGCAATTTGGGAGTGCCGCCTGAACGTGCAGGCAGTGAGGCCTGGGCGCGTGCGGGCTGAGCGTGCGGTCAATGCCGCTGTTGCAGGGGGCACCGCCTGCTGCTGCCAACCGGCAGCCCGAGGACTGCAGCAGGTGCAAGTCGGCCTCCAAGTCCTCCGCCGAGCCCCACGACTCTGGAATGTTCCTGGGCGAGCGTCCCGAGATTGCTCTGCAGAAAATCCGCCGATCAATGCTGCAGAAGTTGTCGTCAACTGCTGCCAGCACCGGCATTGGGCGGTCGGCGGTCGCGCTCTTCTTGCCTCTGTCTCCGCTCAGCGACCTATTCGCTGATGACGTTTTTCCTGGGGCGTGTGTGTTCTTTCAGCTGCCTCTGACAAGAAGCACGCGTTCTTCCGAGTCGAAAATTCCAGCCTGCTTGAGCTGTCGGGCCGCCGTTGAGGATGTTCGAGAGATCGGACTGACGAAGATTTGGTTGTCGGTTCGTGCGGGTATTCACGGCCAGGAAAAGAGGACGTCCGCGCCAAAGGACATCTTTCTGGAGAGGCCGCGCGCGCGAGGACACGAGCAAGTCCAAGCCATCTTATTATAAATGAACGTCTGGCGCGACTGGATGTGACTTGTGACCACCCGCTGCGTCATCTCGGGCTCGCATGCGGGCTGGCCGCGCCCGTGCAGGGTCCTGGCCGGATTTCTTTTTGCTTGTCCGTGGCACAACTCTAATTGAGGCTGTCCTGGGCGCCCTCGCAGCTCCATGATCTGATCCCTGTGTTCATGCAACGGTGCCCCTTGCTAGCCCACGCCTGCCCACGATCCCACACGCGGCGCCGCGAGGTCCAGTGTGCCGGGTCTGGTCCAGCCCTGAACAGGCGCTAGGGCCGTCGGTCGTCATCACCATTTTATTACAACGCAGTGAGCAGAGCAGAGCCTGTGCCCCGGACGCCCTGGCTAGTCCTGCACAAAGGCAGTCTTGTCGAGCCGTTCATTCATAACGCCCTGAACAAAGGCCATGGATGCCGGCCGTGGAGTTTGCCGCTTGCCTGGCGTCGAGACACGGCACCGTGCTGCGAGAAACCCAAAAGCAGGCGGACTGCTTCGGATGCTCGGTTGTGGACACTCGACCACGTTCCGTCGCCGCAGAAATAGGACCATACGGAGCACATCCTGCATTGTGCGGAAAACACACCCACACAGCCATGACAGTCGTCCCATGTGGGCTCGCTTCGGACGGTGCCAGGGGCTCTTTGATCTCGAATCGGTGTCACCTGTGTCCCAGCCCCGTCGCCCCCACGCAACTCGTAGCCTCACTTTGGTCGTCCTTGGTGACAAAGGGTAGACCTGTCCTGACAGTCTCGTGGGTCAAACTTCTCTCAGGGTTTGGCCAGAGCCTGACAGGGGACGACACGAATGGTCTTCGTCAGCCCTTGGCGAGGCTCATCACTTTTCCCTGTCGGTCTTCGACTTGCACCACTTGGAACATTTTTGAGCTGCAGGTTAGATCTCCGTGTCTGCCTGCACGACCACCGCCATGCATGATCTGTGACAGTGCGGCTGCACTCCTTCGTGGGTCCTTGCATAGTCACGCTTCGCGCATTGCTGCTTTTTCCCGTCATACTAACCCGGCTTTACGGCGTCATGCTTGTATTGGTGTGAAAATCCATGCAGTTCGGGAAGGTCCAGACGCAGCCTTGACGGCTCGCACGGGAGCTGCAGGACGACACGGATGGCAACTAATTTGGGCCGGCATTGATTCCGCTCAAGCGTGAACGTGCGAAGAGTGCTGAGCGCGGAGTAGGCTGTTCCACAGCCAAACTAAGCCATTTCGGGGCGACCCCCAGCTGCTGTCATTCCGGATTCGCCGGCACAGGCAGCGCTGGATGAAACCTGGAAAGGCTGGTTCTCTCTCTTGGGCAATTTTTCTCGAGTCAAGACACCAGGTTGTGCCTGAATCTGTACGTAGGCAAGTGTCAGAGCGTGTCTGCTTTGGGCTGGATCCACATACCTCCCACGAATGCTATTTATGACACAAAGACAGAATGACACCAAACGCACTACACGTAACAGAGAGAGCATGTCCACCTCTGAAAGAACTTCAGCGCTCTCACCTCCTGGCTGAATGACTAGTATCCGCTTGCCGTGGCTGGAAAGCTATGCTGGAATAACAGAAGCCACAGAGATGCTTCCCGCAAGCCTGGCAAGACGAAGACGAAGATGCGCCGTGCCCTTTTCAGCTTGTGATCAAGCCATTGTGGCACCCTTGGGAAGACGGGCTGACACCAATGTAGAACGACCTGAGACCGATGCAGAACGACTCCACTCAGCGGCCAGAGCTGCAATTGCCAGGTGTGGTGTATACGCGAGTGTCAGCCCACAGCTTGTACATGAAGGGCTGCCTGGCGTGGAGAAGGGAGCTGATCGTGATACTTTCAGAACCTGGGATTGACGGTTGCACGGCTCATAAGGGACCACACCACAGCGTAGGTTGGCTTGTGAAACAAATCCCCCTTTCGAGACAAGCCTCTCCCTTGAGTCGTTGCTCTGATAGGAGGAAAACGCGGGATGCTCGTCTCCAACGAGCCGTGAGTGACGTATGAGAGGATCTGACTGCCCACAGCACCCTGACCTCACTGGACAGGAGCTGCAGCTAATGCAGGCTCGTCAAGACACTGGCGGAGGGGGCTTTTGCTGGACCCCTCACCAGCTTGCTCTCGATGTCACCGCGGACAGCACCCGCAGGGCCCGCATGTGTGCGCACCTTCCCACTAGCCCGAGCAACTTACCCCAGATCTCGTCACTATTGACGACACGATCCGTGGATCCCTGGGCTGCGCAGCTCAACCACCCCTGTCTTCCTCCCTGGGCTCACCACAACCTCAGCTCCAACGCCATCGTCTCCCACGACGTCCACCTGCCCGCTTCAGCTCTCCAGCTGCTCGCTTGCTGGACTGCCAGCTCTTCATCGCCTCGCCAGTGAATACCCAGGCGCACAGGGCAATACGAAACAACTTGGGCACGTCCTTCACATATCGGCGACAACACCTCGGCAGCACAGCCAGATCCCCATGCAGCGAAGCTGACTCGCCCAAGTCATGGCAGATGACTTCAGCGCGTCGGGCGCCTCGCCCACGGTTCGGATGAGTGGCCGCGACTCCTTTCCCGAGCCCTCATTGCGCCGAGCTGCCACTGTCAACTTTGGATCACAGCCCCATCCCCCACACGCACAGTCCGGGGCCACCGGCTTTGGTGGTATGAAGCGCCGAGGCTCGGGCTTCTCAGATAGCTTTGGCGAAGCTCGCAGAGACCTGGAGAACAGTGCCGACGAGCTTTTCAACCCAACCCGGGCAAGGAGGCAAGAAAATGCCGACCGAACAGCACTTTCATATACTCCCCTGGCCCTCGCGCTGCTCCCTGCCTTGGCGGGCATGTTCTTCCAGAACGGCGCTGCCTTCTTCACAGATTTGATTCTCCTGGCAATTGCTGCAGTTGTCCTGAACTGGTCGGTGACGCAGCCCTGGGACTGGTACTTCGCCGCACAGCAGGTTCGGATCGCCAACGATGAGCCGCTGAACGAGCCGGTGTTCGAATCCGATAGTGACCTGGAAATGTCGACTGCCGCATCTGCAGCCACTGCCCTGGAGAATGTAGAGGAAGAATCAGACGTTCCTTTGGACGCCACGCATGACACGGCTCAAAAGAACAGCACAAACCTGGACACGGCCGGTTCCGGGCGGAGATCTCGTGGAGACATTTTGCGAGCGGCAAGAAGGGATGCCGCATCGAAAGAGCTTTTTGTTCACGAAATGGCCGCGCTTGTGTGGTGCTTCCTGTTCCCCCTGATCAGTACTTATATGCTGCACACGATTCGAAACCAGCTTACACGGCCATCGGAGGGGCTTGTGTCGGACTACAACCTCACGATTTTCTTGTGTGCTGCCGAGTTCCGGCCTGTCAAGCACATGCTGAAGATGGTACATGACCGCACTCTACGCGTGCAGCGTGTAGTTGCACAAAGTCAGTACGAGCCTGAACAGACGATCAGCGCCCAGCAAGTGCAAGAGTTGTTTGATCGAATAGACGACCTGGAGTCCCACGCGGCAGCAATAGCCTCGCAGCCGCCTACGCAGTCAAAACCAAACGGCAGTACACTTAATGGCGAACCAAGCACTCAAGTCACTCAGGCCGCTGTTGCCCGCGAGATCAACAAGACCATGGTGCCCGAACTGGAGGCCCTCAACCGCGCGATGCGCCGGTACGAGAAGAAGCTTGCCCTGCTGGCGAGCCAGACAGACAATAGGCTCGAGTACATCGACTTCCGGCTGCAAGACGCGATAGCTCTTGCAGCAGTCGCCGCGAAGAACAGCAAGAGCAACAGTGGAGGCCTGTGGAGTCGGGTCGTGGAAAAGGCAATTGCAGTGGCGCTTTTCCCAGTCCACGCAGCCATGGCTGTCGTGACCTTTCCCATTCGGACGATGTCGACCATGTTTGCAAGGAAGAGAAATCTACCCACTACAACAAGCGGTCGAAGGGGGCGGGTGAACCAGGGCAGGATGAACTCTGACCGCGTGCCATCACGTTTGTCAAGGCGCTGAAACATTATGAGGCAGTTTCGTAGTCTGGCTTATTGTGCTGGGATATGTGGAACTGGACGAACAACAAAATTGTTTGGTATATAGTAATGTTAACGATTAGTAGTTAATGTAAATGGCACCGCACACTCATGATGTCATAAGAACCCGAGAACTCTCAGCTGAGGAATCGCGGGCCTGCAGACCTGTGGACGTCAACTTCCGTGCTCCGACAGGTAAAGTCCGGTTTGGTACCTATCAGTCATACACGATGTGCGACGAAGGAACCTCTGTCTCGCAGTTTCATCGAGAGTGAGTCCAGGAGCAATTCAACCCCAGCACATTTCTGTTTTTCAACAGGCGAGTGAAAAGATAAAGGCTGCTGGACTCAAATGTGGCATGGCGGTGATCTTCCACTGTCCGACAATCGCTTTTTCCTTGGCGGACTCTGTGTATCATCTGGCACGCAGCAAATAGGGTCTTCGGTGCGTACTTTGTTTTCTGTGCAGAGCTGTGTCATTGAAGGGTGGAATAGTGGGAAGGACGGAGGGCGGTAGACTTACATGTCAACTTCCCCACGCTTAGTAAAGTCCCTAGCCAGGTAGCGAGGCGTGTTGCAAGAATGAAAGAACGAGAAGAGATATCGGTGTGACGGAAGTCCTGCGGCCTGTTCCCTTTATTCCGAAGGCAGCTGCAGAGCACAAGCTCACGGCGGCATGGCAGTGACATAAAGACATTATACACGCCGAGATTCATTCAAAAAAGCATGCCCAACGGTCGGAGTGAACAGCCCGATGCGCGCCCCTAATGCTACGAATAGGGCTCGTACATGATGCAGGTTCTGGCTCTTTACATGCATTGCATCTCCGCCCCCCGAGATTTGCATGGCCATACCAGACCCGAGAGATACAGGACATTGTCGTCCACATGTGGAAAGGTCAATTGACGACGGGAGCAAAATGCCTTGGCCTGCCCGCTGTGCCACGCATCCCAGCCACATATATGTCCCAAGATGTCTGTTGCATGATGCTAATGCATACCCAGAGGTTGAGATGCACGACATCGACAAGGGAGCTTTCTCTGCCTGCATGAAGGTGTTCCCATCCCCCAGCCACCAAGGTCACACCACGTGTGATTTGGGCCCGGCTAGCACTTACACTAAACCGCATTTGCTGCTCCCGCCTCGGCGCCAATCAGGTTTTCGTAGCTCAGTTGCTTCAGGTGGGAAGAGGGTCAGTGGTGTGACTCTTTGGTAGTGGTTTGATTTCTCATACGCAAGTCTGAGAGTCTGGGAGCTTGCGCAGCGGGAAATTGGCGAGGGTTGGCAGGAACGGCTTAGAATGGATGGCTGTTGTTGCCGAGATTACAAAACGCGAGTGAGGGGTTCCAAGGCGCGCTAGGCAGCTGCAACGTCGAAGCTTACGCGACGGGTGTCTGAAGGTTAAAAAAAAAAAAGGTTTGGACATGTTGCTGGAACCTGAATTCACGGTGATTATTGGAACTTCGCCAGGGGGCCGGCGGTTGGGTGCTTGGACAACCGGGCTTGGCCTTTTTTTAGGGCGAGGGCGAACATGGTTGGTCTGCAGTCACAGTTGCGCACGGGGCGAGGGCCATGTAAGAGGACGGTTTGAATCTGAGTTAAAGTGTGTGACGAGATCTCGGGAGAGGGGTTGGTTCCGCGTGCAGCTGCCCGTTCTGAGACAGTCTCGATGGCGAAGTTTGTAGGCGGCAAGATCTCCAGCTTGCCTCAGCGGAAAAGTTCCCGTCAGCTGGACCTTTCGTGCTCTTAAGAATTCATTGTTGGGTATTTGCTCGAGGGGAAATCACAATGCCAATCAGAACCAGGGCAGGCATTGCAGCTGAGCCTTTACACAGATATACTGAAATTAGCTGACTTGTTCCAGGTTGCAAGCTGACAGCCTCAGAGCTGAGAGGAAAAGCAAATCGAAAATGGAAAAGCCTGGAAGGCATGCATGTGCTTGGGGTGGATGCAGCCACAGAAAGCCTCCGATTATTGGTACTTTATGAAAAGGAAATGCAGTCAGCACTGGCAGGGTTGACATCCAGCCACTGCCCTGCGTCTGCATGCCGCTGGACCCTTTTCGCTGGACCAACACGACAGTCCTCATCATTTGACTTGGCTGGCATGCCCGCTCTTAAACTTCTGCAGCACCGGCTTTGCTTTTGGCCGCATTGGCGACTGTCGCATCGTGAGACAACTGCCAGCGCAAACAAACACGTCGACCCCTGGCTCTGCAACTCCTCGCTGGGGGCTCGCCGGACTGGCCGACAATAAAATAACAGAAAAGACAGGCTCATGCAGAGATTGTCCAAGAGCCAAAAGATTGCGGATGATTGCAAGGTGATCCGGCGTTTGGTCACGGTTGCATGCAGCGCGTTCGGGGCAGACCCCTGCCTGGCCCACCCGAGAGATCGACCCCAGCGTCGTTACTTGTGGTGCCTCAGGTCGCACACGGAACAAAGTGGCCGTGATGCGCCGCCATCATATCATCCCCCATCTCCGGCACTTCGAGACTGCCACCGAGCTTTACCACGGCGCACAATGCTGGAATATGCCACGAAGCGTGTCTTGCACGGCGCATGCCTTGGCGCGACCTTCAGCAGGCCACCAGGTGATGGCGCTTCAAGACACGTCCATGTGTTCGCTTTGGTGTGCATCTCCTCCTTGTCCTCGCAAACAATGGCCTGCAGACGGAGCCGCGTTCCTGACTAGCCCGGGTAGCGTACCGGCATATGCACCTAATCGTGCCGATGGGAACCTTTTGCCAGGTTTGTGTGGCCTGCTGCAGGCGAACGCCCCCCCCAGGCGTGGATGGTGCTCGTTGGCTGAACCTTGATCTCAGCGTTGCTGTTGCAATTTCCTGATGCGGCTCACTCACACCATCCCGCCCAGCCCCGCGTCACCCGTGCCCATCTCGCGGCCTGGCTGGTCCATGAAGGGCTGGCTGGCCTATCCCTGAGATTGCTTTTCTGATATACAGCTGGCCAAACCTTGCTCTCGGTGGAGCTGTCGTCAAGATGTTGTCTTTGTCGGACTGCTTTTGTACCGTGACCAACATATACCCGGGGGCTGGTCCCAGAAATACGTTTCGAGATCTTCAATTGTCGTCACCCGCCTGTAAAGACCCAACTCTCGGTATCCCGCTATAGATACCCACGCGCCCCCAACGTCTCATTGCCAGACAGAGCCGTGTCGAACCAACTCGTGAGCCATCTCATTCGTCAATTCGGTGGTTCAATCTTATCGATCTGGAACCTGACTGAGAACGAAGTAATCAGAGCAAACGACTCCCGTTCGACACAGCTGGCGTTGCTGCTTCGAATATTGTCCTGTCATCGACCATCTGCCTAATCTGACAAACGGATTCAGCAACACATACTAGGAAGACCGTAAAAGCACGACACCCAGCCATGACGCCGAGGTGATCGACTGGTACGATACTTGACACTATCAGGCAAATCATCTCCTGATAAACGCCCATCAGAATGAGAGGATTTTATACCCAGTCTGCCGTGGTGCTGGTATTGGCGAGCTGTGTTCTGGCGGGTCCGATGCAGCTCGACCATAGGCAAGACCCAGCCGCTGCAACAACGAGCGAGTCGTCCGCAGGACACGATGAGGCTGCCACCACTAGTCCAGTCTCTTCCATAGCAACGAAAGCTTCACCGACCACAATCACTACGGACCGGCCCCATTCGACAACGGCGAGCCTCCCAACAAGCTTCACTACCAGCAGTGGGCAAATACCAACCTCGACGGCCGGGAATAGCTCGATTTCGACCTATTCGGCACCATATGTGAACAGTAGGAACACACAAAGCCCCCGTGGCATGGATCGGAGCTAATATCGATAACAGACGAACCACTCTCGTACGAACTGCCACTACCTCCACAGCTCACCCCTGGCTGGGGCGTTGCAGGGTCCATTCTCCTCATCACGGGAATCGTCTACACTTTGATCGGAATCAAGAACCCGAGACTCCAGACGTTCTTCTCCACAGCCTATCTCGGTGGCATCTCCACGGCCATCTTGATCGTGTACCTTTTGTACCCACCAACATCGGATGGTGTCCAGGGAGGGTATGTGGTTGCCTGTGTTATTGCGGGCTGCCTACTAGGCGGTGCTGCAACAATATTCAAGGAGATCACCGAAGGATTTGGCTGCCTCGTTGGCGGATTCTGCCTTGGAATGTGGCTGCTGACTCTGGAGGCCGGTGGCCTTCTCACAAAAAGCAGCGACAAAATCATCTTCCTCACAATCTTCTCCATTGTTGGCTTTGCCACATACTTCAGCCGTTACACGCGCGGCTATGCTCTCATTGGCTTCATCTCGTTCTCCGGTGCTACAGCCATTGTCTTGGGGATAGACTGCTTCACGCGAGCAGGCTTGAAGGAGTTCTGGGCATACATCTGGAACATCAATCCAAACCTCTTCCCGCTCGACACAACAACCTACCCACTGACCAGGGGACTCACGGTTGAGACAGCACTCATCGTCATCATCACCGTTATAGGGGTCATATCGCAATTAAGGTTGTGGAGAGTCATCCAGGCACGCCGTGCCAAGAAAGCAGAGGAGCAGGCTGAGCTTAAGCGGCAGCGCGACGTGGAGGAGACTGCAATCGGCCAGCAGATTGAGGAGGAAAATGCGCGGGAGCGCAGGGAGTGGGAGAAGATGTACGGAGTTGTGTCTGAGGAGCCCGTCGTATCGGCAGTTGAACTCGGCGACGGAGCCCCCGACCGAAGGAACGTTGAAACCTCAAGGAGTATCACCAGCAGTGATACGATAGAGCTCTCCGAAATGGGTTCGAGGCGGCGGGCCGATGACCCTCAGGGAGCAGGATCACAATCAACTCCAGGTCTGTTGTTGTCGGACGACACGATGACGTCGGCCATTACCGTTCGGGTTGCGAGAGATGCCTCCCCAGAAAGATCGAGCACACATCGCCCAAATTTCTTTGAAGACGGTCAAGAAGCAGACAAGCCAATGGCTGATTCTCAGCACGAGCTTGAGCCACATCATCAGCCTGCAGAGCAGGAAGACGGCTCTGGCCCTGCACCAAAAGTCGTACCCCTGCCATTCACCATCCCTATCAAGATCGAACGAGAGAACGACACTAGGGAAGACGACGACGACGACAATGATGACCGGTCGTCGTTCGCAACCTTTGCCGACGACGACGAGAGGTCCATGCTTGGCAGCAAGCGAGCATCTCGTGCATCTCTTGGAACGCTCGGCAACCGACTATCAGTTGGATCTCATCATCTCCTGCGAAAGTTTTCGGGCCACTCCCTTGGGTCGCGAAAGTCGAACGCCGCGATCAACGAGGAGCAGAGAGCTGGTGCTGCGTCGCCATCAAGAACACCCAACGAAGAGAACAACATTACACTTCAATCTTCCCCAAGAGATCTAGATGAAGACCCTAAAGTCGCACATTTGAAGACCACATCGCAGCTGGCGGCGATGTCCCATCACGGCTTGCCGAACACAGGCGAGCCACGACCCGAGGTAGAAGTACCAACAGAGGAACCAATGTCCGTCGACTTGACCGCCGATCGACTCCCGGGTGGCCTTTCCCGAGTGGCTCTATCGTACCGCACGAATGAATGGGCCAAACATCTGAGCCAGGCCGAGGCGCCAGAGTTCGAGCAGCTGAGCGTCCACGAGTACCCTGAAGAGAATTTCGACGACGGCAAACGAGCGGAGACTGTCATTCCGGTTGATGTGGAAAGCCTCCAGCGTACTGACGGAGGCATACCGACAATCAGGATGGCGACGTCACCTGTGGGTACATCGCCTTCGCCGTCAGCACGACCCGAGACAAAGATGTCAATACCACGGACACGGCGCCGAGGTGAAAATAATGGCGATACCACTGCCCCCGGACCCATGGGATCGGAGTTGCTAGAAAGCGGACCCGGAAACCAGAAGCCTGGGAAGGCTCTCAGACGTGGGAGCTATCGAGTATCGGCAGTAGGCAACCCGCCACCCATCGCCGAGGAAATTGCCAGCGTCGAGGCGCGGACACCGAGCGGCAGCACACACAACAATGGCGCCGATGCAGACACTCAAGACCACCAAGGAGCGACAAGCCGTGGAGCACACAGAGCGCACATTGCCGAATGCCTCCCCGCTGCTGGCGTGGTCTCGTATGACAGCCCACAAACGCTTCTTGGCCAGCGGGAACTGCTACTCCGCAATAAGTCGACCGCGATGGTGATGCCGCACGGCATGACGCACCAGGGAGAACCCGCGAGCCGTGTCTCTTCCGCAATGAGCAACTATGCTGAGCACAATCTTTATCACGGCGAGCCGAGTACGGCGGGACAAATGGCCGACCTCGACGAATTGACGCTCGCCCAGCGCAAGCAACTCATTCAGCAAGCCAGTCTTACCTCACAAGGCCCCGTCGGCATGGCGCTGACCACGCCAGACCCAGGCAGTCCTGTCTACCCGCCGGTTCAGCATCAGTACGCGAGCGCCGAGGGAGCCAGATTCGACTCGCACCAGCCACAAAGAGTCTCCTCCGTGCGGTCACCTGCAGAGAGAGAACACGCTCTAGCGAGCTTCAGACAGACTGTGGCCACGGAGCTGCGGTCACCGTCGGCAATGGGCCACGTGCAGCAATCTCGAGCTTCTCCAGGCGCGCTCCGAGGTTATGGCCAGGTGTTGAACCTCATCAGCCATGCCCACAATCCAACTTCGCCGAGCCCCGGCAGGATGACACCGTCCGGGATACCTTCCCAGATAGACCCGGCCGCCTCGCTGGAGCGCAGTCGGAACATGCTGATGACACAAAAGGAGCAGGAGGCTCGGCGCAGGGGGATGGATACCTTGCGGAAGGAACAGAATGACCAGGCATTCGAGGAGATGATGCGCCGTGGTGACCTCTTAGATGCTCACCGCGAGGCACTGCGGAAATTGCAGGGCACGGCGAGGTAATGACACGGTTCAGGAACAAGAGCTATGAATGTCGTCGCATTTGGACGTCATACGCTACTTACGCGGCATGACATATACCACACACTTGATCTTGAATTTCCTTTGTACTCCATGCCGCAGGCGCAGGCGCAAACGACCCAGCTAGAGCCGTGCGAACCATTGAGGTTTATTAGATATTTTAATCAAGTAATGGATAATGATGGCTGTTGGTTATGCTATCGCTCGAACGGACTGGTGTTCATCGCGAATGCAGGCGAAGTCGGTTGTTTGACATGCATAGCGTATAGCGTATGCTAAGCCGACTGTGGAATGATGGTTGTCCGCCGACGTACGATACTTAGGCAGGAACAAAGTTTCAACAAACCAACATGTTGATGCCTTGTGTTTGCCTGGAGCGTCGATACGAATGTGGACCTCGAGCTCAAGTAGCCCTGGCTGTCTGCCTAAGGCGGAGAGGCCGGGCTTGGTGAATGGAGAAGGGTGGAGTTCCGTTTGCGGTGCCACTGTTGTCGAGAGTGCCAACCACTTGCATCAATGCCGCCCATACGACGACGGATGAGCAATAGGCCTCCTCCAAGGCGTGCTGCCTGGCCGTGGGCACTAGGTGCCTGTCCCTGCCTGTCGTGCTCAGCGTGTGAATCATCCGCCGCCGATGTCCAACTGACTGTTGTCAGCAGGGGTCCATGCACCACGGTCGTCGCTTTCTAGGCTGCAGCAGGCAAGACCCCTGCGCTGCTCCTTCCTGGCCCGCGCCGGCTCCCTACTTAAACAGAACGAGATACCCCGCCACTCGGCCACCGTGCAGCCTATCGCAGTGCTGCCTCTGTCCCGCTAGTGAGCTCACTGTCTGCCCTGCTGTGCTGTCAGCCTTTCGCCGCCACTCCGCCTCCTCCTCCTTCGCACGCACGCCAATTTACTACAACGAACCAACCAACTCACCAACACCACAATACTACTTCTTGTGGCCACGTTCTCAGCAGGCCCGCTTGTACATAGAGCTAGCCGTCTCTCGACCGGTCCCCGTGCGACAAGAAACCGCACCTTCCTTCCAGTAATCATCACCACTGCATCACTCCCCCAGCATACACCCACAGACAGCCATGGCCGACTCCGCCCCCGTCAAGATCAAGTTGCAGAGCAACGACCAGCACCTCATCGAGGTTGGTGAGTAGTTGTCCGTCCCCGGCTGTTTGCTGCATCCGGAGCGCATCTGTGCTGACTGTTCTGCGTTCCCTTTCCCGAATAGACCAGCAGGTTGCCGAGCGCTCGCTTCTCATCAAGAACATGCTCGAGGATCTCGGCGATGCCGCCGTGGGCCAGACCATCCCCATCCCCAACGTAAGCCAAACCCCCAGTCATCCAATCGCTGCGCCGCGGCCACAATGGGAGCCGCATCTCGTCTGTCTACTGTCTTGCTGACTCGTGTGTGTGCTTGATCACAGGTCACCGAGCCCGTGCTGCGCAAGGTGATTGAGTGGTGCGAGCACCACCGGAACGACCCTCCCTCGACCGGCGAGGATGATAACGACAACCGGAAGAAGACTACCGAGATTGAGGAGTGGGACCAGAAGTACATGCAGGTCGACCAGGAGATGCTGTTTGAGATCATCCTCGTAAGTGATTTGCTACCAGAGCCTTGCTCAAGGCAGGCAGCCAGGCGGATAGCATCAAGCTTTGTTGGAGATAAGAATCAACTGACATGCTTTGTCCAATCATAGGCCAGCAACTACCTCGACATCAAGCCCCTTCTCGACGTTGGCTGCAAGACCGTCGCCAACATGATCAAGGGCAAGTCCCCCGAGGAGATCCGTAAGACGTTCAACATCACCAACGACTTCACCCCCGAGGAGGAGGAGCAGATCCGCCGCGAGAACGAGTGGGCCGAGGACCGGTAAATGGCGGTTGGAGTGAGTTTAACTTTGCGTGGATCGCGGGAGGGGCAGACAGGCACAGTTCAGCGGCCATACTGCTGGTCACAAGCAGGCGGCTACAGAACGACCACACTTGAGGCGGCTCCGCCGTGGTTGAGCATCGTATTGGCGTTTGGGCTTCACAGTAACTGATCAATGAAATATTCAATACCCATCAATGCACGTGCGTGCGTCGTGGTGAGTCACCGGGAGCGACTGCAGCGACGGGTGTCCAGAACGCAACCGCTGGAGCAATCTGCAAGAAGTTGATGCCAGCGCCTAGAAGAGCGTACCACGAGATAAAGTGAGGGGCATGGCGTATGCTGAATCTCATATGGTGCACTGCAAAAACCCAATATTCAGATCGCGTGCACTACCCAATCGTCTTTGATTCGAAAGCAGAGTTGCGCTGCTACGATAAGCTATTGGCATGGCTCTATCGTCGTCTCGGCTGGTCCTCACCTTGAATGGGATATCACCATAGGCATCCGGTACTTTGGATCCTTGTAAGATCCCTCTGCCAATGTAAAAGCTGCCTCAAGATCAGAGCAAAGGCAGAGGAAGCTGGCTTGAGCTGAGGAGACTTTTTAAGCCCGGTTCGCCTTGGAAGCAACCCCTTGGACAGGGATTGAATTATTGTGTCTTGGATGAAGATCCTCTCGCTTCTCTCTGGGTCACTATCTGGGGTTTAGATACCTCGAGGAAGATACCCGCCCATCACTGTGCCTTGACTGGATGAGATTGGGGCGGTGGAGTGTGTAAGATGGATGAAACGTTGTTCCTGGACTCGAATAAGTACGTTTTCAACGTCTCTCGGTTTTGGGAAACACGCGCGCGTTCTTATCCACTTCCTTCATCTTCTTGATTCGGAACGCAGGTTCTGGTTCAAATTTTTTTTCTTAATTTTTTTTTCTTGTTGCGTAATTGCGGTAAGTCTTGGGTTTTCTTACATGACACACTGGCATTTCATCCGAGGCAAGGCAAGTTTCACATGCTTTTACGGGACCCGCGTGTTGTGGCTTGTAAAAGCTGGGATTCAAGTGTCGGGACAAAGAGAAGGTTGGACAAGACATGAGTCTTAGTTGGGGTCAGCTCCATGGCCTCGTAATAAAAAGGAGGACTGGACAGAAAGTTTTTCAACCATTCTGTCCATCACGACGATGCCTCATCCTATAGATGTTGAAAAACCAACATATACTGTTTCTATTCAAAAACCGATTATGGTGGTAATATGAGGATTCCTTCGAATGCCAGGTTTTCTCTGACAGAGCTTTTGCATTCTTTTCTTTCCTCGCGTGGTGGCGTGTGTGAACAAGGTCATGCATACCAGGAACGGCGAGGCGCATTGCCCATCAGCAATGCGGGAACTGGACAACGAAAGAGCCTGGAATGTATTTATTTTGGAATATACACGAGTAGAGTGGAAAGAATCCAAGTGGCCCTACTGCCGCTGTAGCTTGAGGTCGTTCTCAACACTGGGCTTGGGCTCTTCATCTCGCCTTTGGAATGCATTCAGTCGTTTTATGAAGAGATTGGCTATGCCTTTTAAACGACGTTTCTCCACGGCGGAAGCTTGTCTCGGCCAGAGTGTGAATTTTTGGCATGGTAGAGATATGTCAGGCATCTCTACGACGATATACACAAACTTTGAAAGCAAGCGAGCTGTCCTTCAAATATTGACAATGGTACAGTCTTGGCAGCGAGCGCAGTCCGTCCTCGCGTCTGACTCACTTCACAATAATCATCCGCTTTGCCATCCCGCGGTCCGCACTGTCGTGGCAGCAATGAAACTGGGTGACCGTAAAAGTACCAGCTGAGGTTACAGAGCCATTTGCTGTTCCGTGGACAGGCGCTGCGGATCGTGAAGCTGAGAAGGCGCGTACCCCGAACAAGCCCCCGAGGGATCGCTGCGCGAGACTGCAGACACCATTGTGGTGTCAAACAGCGCAGGAGGCACTCCCATGCTTCACAGCCATGAGGAACCAGTCGTTACTCTGGCGTGAGTCCCTGTGGCCCTCGCATGGCGAAGGGCAGACGGAATTAGGAACTGTTCACGCGCACGTCAGTTGTCCGCGTGTCCACAGTGGGACACGATAACCTTCACGTCATGTCGCGCTCTTTGCTCGCGAGAGCTTGCGGCTTCCAGGACACACAAGACAGCATCAGATAAACCGAAGAAATGGCATCCCAACATGTTCACGTTTCGACGTTTCTGTGCCCGCGAGCACACCGTTGGTTCATTCAGAAGTACTCGTTTTTCATTTTTCCCTTTTGACCGGTACCATGCAAATCTCGAAAGCCTTCTTTCGTCATCCGAGCCGTGATATAATGACAAACCGACAGCCGCAAACAAATGACAAAAGAAATGGACCTCTCATTGTCTCCTCTTCCCGCGTATCCGCGCCAATGTCCTAGAACGCCGTTTCATGTCGTGTATATGGTGTCGCAAAGTAAATCCTGATCTCTGTTGGCTTTGAGAGAGTTGTGATCGCGGAGCGGATGCGTATGCGTCTTGGACAAGGGTCCATGCCGTGCTCCAAAAGATTGCTCACGTCGGGGACGTCAGGTCTTGTGATGTCATGATTCTTGACACCATGTCTCGCTAGCTGGATATGATATCCACGTGGTTGAGAATTGCGCGAGAACTTGGAGCGGTGAAGGCCATGGTCGACGGATGGGAGAGCGAGTAAACGACGATGCGCTTAGATACCAAGGCGGGTCTTGCGCCAGTGGCGTCTCTTGGAGTTGTATCTGTAGAGGGACCTGTCAGTCCTTCTGTTGCCTTTGATCTCTTCCAAGCCTTTGTCTGACGACTGTGCTGAGGCGTTCCTGTCAGCCGGAGAAATCGTCGTACCTGATGGTGTTACCAGTCCGCAGGCGGATCCATTGGGGAATGGGCCGGTTCTGCTTCTGGGCCTTGGCAAGCTTCTGCTTGGTGCGGAAAGACTTCTGGGACTGTAGGTGAAAGAACCATGTCAGCGGCAGTTCGTGGTCCTGTGCTAGTCCTCCCACCCCCTTGATGTTCCGATTTGGCGGCGACAGAGATCAACGATGGCCCGGAGTCCAGAGAGTAAGCTCAGCAGAAACAACTATCTTCCGGTACATTCCATCGTTGCTGTCATGCCGCCGTATCGTCGCATCGGGTGGTTTGGAGGTAATTCGTGATCGTCGTCCACATACCGGCATCTTGACTGCTGTGTGCTGCTCGAATGTCGAACTGGTGTTGTTGTCTGAGTGGTAGCGAGTCTTTCTGGGAAGGGGGTGGAGAAACCGGCGTGCTCGACTTTGGCAGAGCAGGGTGATTTTTCGCCGCGCGAGGGTTTTGCAAGGCCCCAAAAAGTGTGTGCGAGCAAGAGGCGGGCGAAAAGTGGGGATGGACTGGTATCGATTGGAGTGAGGGAAGGTGCGACCCACGTGATCTGGATGTGGACCAATGTATGCATAAACTTGTGCAGCCCTCGAGAGGCACTTTGTGCACTGACCAGACAACGCCTGCTGCCCCTTTCACCCCTGCGCGACCCACCCAGCAGCCTCCAGGCTCTCCTTAGCTCAGGGGGTACCTGACTCCTCTGCGTAATGACAATGCGGTGCAAAGTAGCGCTCCAGGCGTCAAACGTTCAGTGGGGGCGAGGGCGCCAACAGGGGCTGCCTGTCGTCAGTGGCAGGGACAATAGGCATACCTCCCCTACCCGTGGCATGCCGCATGACCTGAACCACCGATCAGCAGCAACGACCCAAAGGCTCACACCCTTGCTTAGCAAGCCAAGCTCGATACTCTTGCGTGAAGCCCTCTTGTTTCCGGCTCACGACGTCTCCTTTTCCTCGCCACGAAGACTCCAGCTTACGCCAGACGACGACACCCGCGCCCGTATCTTCACGCGCACGTTTACCCCCCGAACCCGGCAACAGCATCCCCATTAGCAATACGCACAACACCACATTTGCAGCATACGTCTTGCTGGCGACAGCTGTCCTTCTCCTTGGAATCCTCGCAGCCTCTCGCCACGAATCTCGACAGTCGACGACAGCACTCCGTGCGGTGACCCTGAACATTACAGCACTCCTGCGATCTCCGCATACCAAACACAAAACATAAGACGCCATGGGGCAGAGCATGTCATGGATTTCGAATCTGCTTTTCTCCAAGAAGGAGATCAGGATATTGATTCTTGGACTCGTATGCATATCTACAACCTCGGCACGACTGGCTTCGCGGCACACTCGGCTGACCACATCTCTTGCCGCTTCATAGGACAATGCTGGAAAGACCACGCTGCTCTACAGACTCAAGGTACGGCCCCTCCCTCCTTTCATGTTTGCCCTTGCCTTGGACTCGTTGCCAGATGCGCCACGGCATAGCTGCCGTCGGTGCCGAATTTACGACGCCCTCTACCAGACAAGACTGACACATCACAGATTGGAGAGGTAGTAACGACAATCCCGACAATCGGCTTCAACGTTGAATCCGTCACGTACAAAAACTTGAACTTCAACGTCTGGGATCTGGGCGGCCAAACCTCTATCCGGCCGTACTGGCGGTGTTACTACGCCAACACGGCAGCAGTAATCTTCGTTGTCGACAGCACCGATATCGAGCGTCTGCAGACCGCTGCCGAGGAGCTTGGTGCCATGCTCAACGAGGAGGAGCTCAAGGATGCTGCGCTGCTGGTCTTCGCGAACAAGCAAGACCAACCCGGGGCGAAAGGTGCTGGCGACATTTCTGAAGCTCTGAGGTTAGGCGAATTGAGAGACAGGAACTGGAGCATAATGGCGTGTTCCGCTGTTGATGGCAGTGGTGTCACGGAAGGCATGGACTGGCTTGTGGTGAGTACGATCCTGCGAGAAGCGGCAGCCTTTTTCAAGGCATCGCCCTCATCAAATCTTTTGACAAATCGCTAATGGGCACCTGTAGCAAACCGTCAACCAGGAGTCATAAGCTCGTCACCCGCCACGAGCAACCCCACCCACCAGCAGCCTTCACACATTTGCGATGCGAGTCATGTCGCAAAGTGTGAGGATTAGCTGCATCAGCACACGACCGTTATGCGCCATAGTCAACAGGAGTGCGTTCCGGTTTTGTGAGCAGCGTCTAGACGGCCTCTGATCAGCTATTCGGCCCGGATAGGCACCACATAGCCATTGCCTGACTGGGGGTGGCTGACACCAGGAACGCCAACGATGCACAAGAACGATACCCTTACAAACCAAGTTTTGATCTCAAAACATACGATTCTGTTCTGTTGCTAGAAGAATTCAACCCCTACACCAATTTTAATACTCATGAGAGACGGAGGACTTGATATATACATGTATATACCTGTATTATTACATGCCATGCGAGCGTGTGATGCTCGATAACATAACCACAACGATTTCCTGCTGAGTGCAGACTGCGAGTCCGTAAACAAGAAACAAGAGGGGTGCTACTCACAATGCAGCAGCCACCGCTTTTGGGTAGGGGGCAGTCAAAGTCCGCAAGGAGTCCCATATTGCATTGAGCTGCACAACATTATCGGCGTACTTCAATTCCATGTTCATTCGGTTGCAATCAAAACAGTCGCTTTTGTTTCTCGTTTTCCTATCTTTTTTTTAAATACCTGCCAGAAGCTCACTGCGGCCTCTAAGAAAACCCACCACGGCCTCCCACCGCTGTAGCCTGCACGATGTCGACGTCGATCGCGGGCAGGGGCCGGCCGCGACCGGTCGGGGGGCTGATGAACTTGATCTCGGCGAGGTACCTGAGGAAGCGGCCAATGTCCTCCTTGCCGATGCCGTTGCCGGAGCTCTCGTCGACGCCGGTCCAGCGGTCCGCGTCGGCCTTGAGGATGGCGACGGCGTTGCGGTCGTCGAGCTCGGGGGCGCGCGTGTTGCTGGGCAGGTCGTTCATGCAGAAGTGGAAGAGGGGCATGAGGGCGTGCTGCTCCTGGTCCTTCTCGATGGAGCCGGCCGACACAAACTTCTCGAGCGTCGCCTTCCACTCGTCGTAGCTCACCTCGGGCGTCTTGTAGCCGTAGTACTCGAGGATCGAGAGGTACTCGTTCATGCGCTGGCGCGGGTGGGCCGTGACGTGCACGACGTTGACGCCGCCGTCGGTGGTGGCGGAGGGCGTGGAGGGCAAAGGGGTCAGGGCGGCCGCAGAGACGACGCGGGCGACGTGGTTCACGGGCACCGCGTTGACCGTGTTGATGATGCGCGGACGCGACATGAGCTGGATGCAGCCCTTGAGCAGGCGGATCAGGAAGTCGTCGACGTTGCACACGCCCGTCTCCGAGTGGCCGAGGATGTAGCCTGGGCGCACGACGGAGCCGCGCAGGCCGCGCCGGCCGGCCTCCCGTGACAGCTGCTCAGACACCCACTTGGTCTGGCCGTAGCCCGTGCCGAGACCAGTCCGGCTGCCTTCCATGTTGTCGGACTCGAGAAGTGCGTCCTGCCCGGTGCGCGTCTGCTGCAGAGACAGGTCGATGTAGTGGTCGGTGTCGAGGACGCTGGTCGAGCTGACAAACGTAAAGAGCTTGGGCTTGCCCTCGTTGCAGAGCTTGAGCAAGTCGATCGTGGACTGGACGTTGGCGGCCATCATGTCCTTGTACTGCTTGACCCAGTGCACCGTGGCGCCGTTGTGGATGACGACGTCGACCTCCTTGGCCAGAGTCTGCCATGAGGCATCGTCGATGCCAATGTTGGGCTGGGCGAGGTCGCCCACAACGCAGCTCAGTCTTGATGCCCAGGCATCCTGCCACACGCCGTTGCCCTTCAGGGAGCGCTCCAGCCGCTCCATACCGGCGGCGGAGTCCTTGGCACGCACGTGGGCGATGAGCTTGATGTTCTTCTTTTCACGGTCCATGATGTCCTTGATCAGGTACGAGCCCAAGAAACCAGTTGCACCTGTCAGGAAGACTGTGATGCTCTCCTGAGCATAGATGGCGTCGGGATCCGCCGCTTGGTACTGGGCTGGGAGGGTCTTGATGAGCTCGTCCACAGACTTGGTGTAAGCAGCCTCGCCCGAGGATGCTTGCTCGGTGCCACTGGCCTTGTTGTCGATGTGCCTGCTGAATTCCGCCAGACTGGGGAACTGGTACAGAGTGTTAATCGAGACGTCTGTGCCCAACTGCTTGCGCACGTTGAGCAGGAACTGCTGAGCCAGCAAGCTGTGACCACCAAGATCAAAGAAGTTGTTCTCCGGTCTGATCGTCTTGGGGTTGAGACCTGGAATCAGGCTGGCCCAGCTCTCGGCGATTGTGCGCTCCGTCTTGGTCATGGACTCCCAGCTCTTCAAGTCCTCTGCGGATGCCTCCTCCGTGCGCTCTGCTACATCGGGGAAAGGCAAGTTGGGCTTGTCGACCTTGCCGTTAGGGTTGAGCGGCAGCTTGTTGAGGACAATATAGATTGTAGGCACAGCGTATGCCGGCAGTCTCGACTTGAGGTGGTCACGGACCTCTGTCTGCATGGCACGGAAGCGCTTGAGGTAGACGGTGACAGAGCCCATCTCGAGACCCTCATCGTCGACATCATCAATGCCGCGGACCGCGAGCCACTTGCTCCACTCTGAGAGCTCGGGAACAATGTAGCTGACAAGCGTGGGCTCCTCGTTACGATCTCTTCGCACGAGCGTCTTGCAGTCGCGGATCAGCGCATTCTGGCTCAGGTTGCTGTCAATGTCGTTGAGCTCGATTCTGAAGCCACGAATCTTGACCTGGTCATCGGCGCGCCCCGTACACTCGACGTCGCCGGTTTCAAGATACTTGCCAAGGTCACCTGTGCGGTACAGCCGGTCGCGGGGGCCGGAGTAGTACTTGCGCCAGGGCTCGCCCTTGTCGGCCTGCTTGTCTTGGGTTACCCACTTCTCGTTGTCGACGAACCAATTCAGGAGGAACTTCTTCTCGTTCATCGCCTCGTCGCCAAGGTAGCCACGAGCAAGACCAGCTGCGCGGACATAGATTTCTCCAACCTCGCCAACCTTGCAGAGCTCGCGGTTCTCCCGGTTGACGACGAGAAGCTGGACGTTCTCCATACCCTTGCCAGCAGGGACGGTGTCCTTGAGCTTGCCCAGCGCCTCGGGGTCTCTTGAGCGGCAGGGAACCTCGAAGTAACTGACGGCTCTTTGTGTTTCCGTGGTGCCGTACATGTTGATGATGTTGGCATTCTCGGCGAGCCTCTGCAGCACGCGGCAGTCGCGGGTTGTCAGAACGTCACCCACAAAGAAGACGTGCTCTAATGACGGGAACTCGGCAGAAGCACCCCCGACGAGAATTTGACCCATGGCAGGCGTAAGATGTGTGACGGTGGGCTTGTGCTCCCGGAACCACTCGGCAAGTCGCTCGTGCTGGATGTCCTCGCGAGCGGGCACAAGCAGCTGCGCGCCGAGGAATAGAGGCGTGAAGATATCACGCTGGATTGGGTCGTGGGCCAGACCCGAAAGCATCGTGAATCTGCTCTCCGAGCTCAGGTTGAAGCGCTTGGCCATCCAGCCGTAGTACCGGGTCAAGCTGTAATGCCGACCAAGCACACCCTTGGGCCGGCCCTCGCTGCCCGAGGTGAAGGACAGTGTCGGGTTTGAGTCGGGACCCACCAGGGTGGGTGGCGGCGTCGCAGCTTCTGGTCGTACAGCGTCGAAGATGTCCTTGCCGTCAATCTGACCGCCGGCAAGGAAGCCGTCATCGAGGAGGCGCAGCTCGGGAACCTCGGCCTTGAGCGAGAGGTCTTGGTCGATGTATTCCTGGACAAGCGGCGCCAGAGGGCCGTTTTCGTCTGTGGCGCGGCCGATTCTGATAAGGGCGCGTGGTTGCGAAACCTCGAGATAGACCTTTTGCCTGGCAGGAGGGTAGGCTGGGTCGAGGACAGTCATTGTCGCACCGGAGAGCTGCGAGGACACTGTTTGTCAGCACAAGTCTTGCTGCGAAGAGTCATCCTCGATTTCAAACACAGTGGTGACGCACCAAGACACCCATAAGACAGACGACGAGGTCTACTGAGCGGTGGGCCCAGATCATGACGACGTCGCCATTGGTGATGCCGGCATCGTGCAGATGCCTGGCGAGGACATTGACAGCCTCGTAGATCTGGCGATATGTGAACTTGCGCTCGGGGGTCGTGGACGACCGCGTCTCGACAACGCATGGAGCATCGGGCGTCTTCTGGGCGTTGCGATGGAAGTGTTCGTGGATGGCCCCGACATAGCCTGACCAATCAAGGTCGGCCGTAGGGTCGGGCAGCATGCTCATGGCTCAGGCGTGACGTGTTGATCTTAATTGATGCCCGCGAGCCACGCTTCGAATGGTCGGATTGTGATGCTGTACTGCAGCAGTATGCCCTCTTCGACCTGGAAAAAGAGTTTGGTGCCGCCAGGCAGTTGGGTAAAAGTAGTAGCTCCGCGGGCGAGATTGCGCGCAAGGATGGAGGGGCAGGCGCCGAAGATCGGACCTAGCGTCACCTGCTGAGTCAGGCACTAACTCCCACATGCGTAGCGTATATGGGGTGAAAAAAAACTTGTGCGGCGTGCAGCGGCTTGCGTGCTGCACTGCTGCGGGCCCCTGGTTTGCTTGAAAACCCGGAGAAGCAAACAACCGCCCATGCCAAATTGTCAATTGAGAGAAGCAAGTCTATTTCTCCGGAGGGCAATAATATCCTTTACCGCTCTTTCACCCGACTGAGGCAATTCTCGAGTAGTGACGCATGATGCTTCCGATAGGGTCCCGATGTATTTTATTTTCCTTTCAGAGATACTCCTACCAGGGCGTGTTGAGCTAAAGATGACCTGCGGGGGATATTCTTGGTGCCAGACTTCTTGTAGGCCGAGCCAAGACCTCGTCCATGATTGGCTGAAGCCAGGAGGTCTGGTCGAAAAAGGAAATGGGGGCTGTTCCGTGTCGGCTCCACCCACAAAGTAGGTACAGTTGGGGCCCAGAATAATCCGGCCCAACCACCCCACCGACGCGAACGCGTTGCGCCACCTGCAAACCCTCCCTTCTTCAAAACCACCATTTCGAGCGCATTTTGAGGTTATCATGGATGATTTTGTTGCTGGAGTGTGCGCCGATAGGCTGCCGAAGCAGGATTTCACTCCTAAGAAGAAAGCAGCTATCTGCGCCGCCCATTTCGCAGGTGTAACGCACCGCCGCATTGCCGAGCTTACGCGGGCCTCCAAGTCAACAATCACCCGCATTATCTCGGACTGGAAAAACAACGGCAACCTAGCCAAATCGCCTCGGAATGGTCGCAATGGATTCACAAATGCCCAGAGAAGGCGCGTACTAACTATCGTCAAACGCAAGCGAAAAGCGACGTGGCCAGAGATCATACAAGCCATGCCCTTCCAGATCTCCAAGACATCTATAAAGCGCATCATTCACGAAGCTAAGCTACGTAAGTGGAAAGCTCAGAAGAGGATTCCGCTATCTAAAGAAGCACGAAGAGCTAGGCTTGCATTTGCAAGAGAGTGGCTACCAAAAGTCGACGAATTGCAGGAGGTACGTGTAAGTGAAGTTGGTGGGATTATCCTGACTTGATCTAGGTGATTTTCACGGATGAGTCGTCCTGCCAGAACTCCACGAACGCACCCGCGCAATGGGTATTCCGCTTCCCAAGCGAGAAATGGGACGACCAGTTCGTTAACCTTAAATCGCACGTTAAGGCGAACCTATCCATTATGGTTTGGGGTGCCATATACCTGAAGAACGGCGTGGGGTGCCGGTCAGAGTTGGTGATAATGCAGCGCGAACCGCAGCCAGATCCTAACAAGCGAAAGAAGGGCTATACGGCCTGGAGTTATCAGAAGGCATTACGCGATGGCTTCATCCCAATATACGACGATTGGCAGGTATTTCAGCAGGATAATGCAGCAATTCATTGCGCAGAGAGTACTATGGATTGGCTCGCCGTCAGGGGCATTGCGGTACTACCAGACTGGCCAGCACACTCGCCAGATCTCAACCCAATTGAGCACATTTGGGCCTCAATGAAGCGCCAGCTAGTAAAACTGTTTCCAAACATTATGGCCCTCAAAAGAAACGACGGTGATACCTCCCAATTTGAGGAGTGTTTGAAGTCGGCGTGGGCAGCAGTGCCGGAACGGCTGATCACAAAGGTCCTCACTACAATGGACCGTCGCCTTCGCGCAGTGGCCCGTGCGCGCGGAGGATACACCAAATATTGAAGCCGCCATCGCCAGCTTCAAAATGCAATAATTACTACTCGATTCTGACCTCGTTTGACGGTTCTGTGGCCTTTTGTCGTGTGCAAGTACTGTGCAGCCAATTTTGGTGGGGGGGCTTGGGCCGGATTAATTTGGACCTGATCAGTAGGAGTCAGGATCCTGACTTTGAAGCTCCTCGAACGCCTACGAGCGACTCATTCACTTCTGGTGCAAGGGTGAGTGCACTTTATTGACGGACTGACTCGTCCGGTACAGTCTTCTGAAAGGGATTAGCAACCTGCCCATCAACTCATCAATGCAACAATTCGTGTTCAATTCTGTAGAGTGGAGACGTCAATTTAGATGGAAACACCATTATGTTTTTGCTGGACTAGACTGTCTCTGAGATGAAAGAAAAATATGTTACATTCGCCAACCAGAACTGAAGGTAGTGACTCTATGTCTTCAAGGGAGGTGGTGGCGGATGAGTTCTTGCCCATTCCTCTATCGGGGTGAGAGTGGTTGGCAGCTCCTTCAGCACAGGGCCCATGTCGACCTTGAATGGCTCGGTGGGAGAGTCATTGTACCACGTGTACGCTCGGTGCATCTTGTCGATGAGATAATCGGCGTCAATGTTTGCTCTCGCCCGCATGGCTCGATCCATCTTGACACAGAAGTCATCCACAGTCTGGAACTCATACTTGAGCCGTGGCTTCGACCATCCCCGAGCGAGCCGTTCGGTCAGCTGCGGCAGGCGGACAGTTTCCGGCCCGCCGATGGGGATGTTGCGGCCCGCCAGCTCTGGTCGTACCATTGCCGCCATCATGAGCTTTGCAATGTCGTCATGGCAGATCCACGACACGTCAAGCGTGGGCTTGTGGCAGTACGTGACCGTGTCGTGGTCCCGGATTGGGGGCAATGCCCATCCCTCGAGCAGATTGTCGAGAAAGCAGACGGGCTGGAGACTGATGAGGGGCACGCCCATGTCGCGAATCATGTCGCGCATCTGCCGCCGATGGTCCTGAGCCTCAATCTTCTGTGACTCGTCGGGGACAGGCATGCTTGTGTTGAAGACGATGAGGCGGACACTTGGGGAGTCCTTGACGACCTGTCCGACCGTGCGTGCAGCGGCGATGACCGGCTCCTCTGGCTGGAATGAAGTCGAGGGGAGGTTAAGAAACACGATGTCGGCATCCTGGACTGCCCGTTTGACAGCATCATGGTCTGCAAAGTCTGCCGCGACGGTCTCGACCTCCTTGCCGTCGATCTGAAGTGGCTTGGGATTGCGACTGACTGCGACGGGGTGGTGGCCAGCACGAGTCAGCGCTGCGACCTGCGCCGCGCCCTGAACTCCCGACGCGCCAAAGACGGTGACCCTCATGGCGATGCAGTGGGCTTACAATTTGATTGGGATGGTTGTCGCAGTAACAGTGAAGGATGTGGCTTCGAGTCAGTAGGGTTAGGTTGTGGCTTGCTGGGCTCGATGGGCAAGCCTAGTGGATATCTGGCGACGGCTGAGTCAAAGGGACCTGTCGATGAGCAGAAGTTCCACGAAACCTGCTGGTGTCAAATCGTAGTCAGTCATGAAATGGTCCTGATGCCAGATGCCAAGTGGCAAGAGTGGCGGCAATGTTTGATCATGGTCGCTCTGCCGGGATGAGCTGTCCACGTAGTCAATACCTTTAGGGATGGAATGCGGGGAAACGACCCGCGGCAGTTGCGCCGCGTTGCAGACTGACCTCCAATGACTTTCATTGGCTTCAAGAAGGGAGTACGGTTTCCTGCAGCTCAGTCGAGTCCATGTTCGCGCACCCCGTCCTTCCCCCGCAGTCGCGACAATGACGGCCATGGATGAAGTATTCCAGGCTCAGGCAGCCCTACCAACGCTTGCACTCGCGGCCGACCACCGCCACCACTTTGGCGTTGGCTATATCGAGATCAGCGTGCCACCCACGGACCAAAGTACCAAGCCAGTTCTTTCGCACAGCCCGGAACCGTTGTCGATAATCGCCAAGGACGGCCCTTGTGCTCCATATCTCCGCGAACTCCAGGTGAAGAGCGAGGTCCGGGTATCGTTTTGCGGCGTCGGAGCAGGCCATTTCCCCGCATAATACAGTTTGTCCCCACCGCTAGGCAGGCCCCCTTCATGGCAACTACGCAGTAGGAGGAGATGAGTGGCTACCCGAGCACCACACAACACCCCCAGCTATTGTCGCAGCTGAAGGGGCTAGGCACGCCACTTCCGACATGTTGACAGCTTCAACGCCTGCCAAGGTGTCACTGGAGCCAGATAGTGAGCGGCCTAGGTATGCTGAGAAAAACAGCCCTGCCGACGGACCCGGCACAAAGGCTAGGTACTTTAGCTGGGCTTCCGGGGGCTTCCCCATGGGGCCGCAAACGCCCCCCTGCCAACCCGCCCCTGCCCAGGCCGCCTCTGTGGTCACGCTTGGCGGCTTTCTTGCCGTAGAGGCACCTTGAGGCTGAGACTAGCGGCTGCTGTCAATGATTCAGCAGTGGTGCCACAAGCCTGTCCTCGCTCGCTTTCCATGTGCTGATCGACAACGGCCAGCATGCAGGAGGGCAAGCCCGGCTACCTGTTTCCAGCGTCTCACTGGCTGGTCCCAGCACCTTGGAACAGCCTAGGCCTCAGCGGATATATTCCGACACAATGGAATGTGCGAACCTGCAGGCTTTATCTCTCGAGTCTAGTCCTTTTTATATAAGTTGCTAGATGGTCTGCAGATCCGGTTGTCGATCCCTCCTCTTCTATCACACGTGGTTGAGCTGCAGATGAATAGTTCCTGGGTCGAGTCTGTTCTCTTCCATCTCTGCAGTCCTCCTACCCTACCACGTTACACGAATCACACTTTCTCGTCCGTATCTCTGGAGTATCTAATCTTGGCCGCGAGCTGCCAACACATTGTTTGGTCAAGATGACCGCCGTCCCTCAGGCTCATAGCTCCTCGCAAGAGGACTCGCGAGGCTCTGTCGAAAAGCAGCAGGACACTGTCGAGCATATCGAGGATGGCAGTGACCAGGCCTACTTTTCTGAAGATGGCGATGGCAAGCTGACCAGAGAAACTGTTCTTGCCTATATTGTGGGTTGTCTCTGTCATTGCTTCAGTCTGTGCAGCTTGAGATGTACTGACTCGAAACTCGCCCAAGGCCATGTGTGGTCAGATTAATGCCTACATCATGAGCTTGCTGATTCCTGCGACGACTCTTCCTTATATCAACGCCGAACTCGGCCCCGATCCCAACTCGACATGGATCACCCTCTGCTGGCCGCTAGGAGCCTCGATCCTGGTGTCCATCGGCGGCCGTCTTAGTGACATCTTTGGGCGCCGCTACTTTATGATGACGGGAGCCCTCATTTCCATCTGCGGCACCCTGGTGGGAGCCAACGGCCGCAGCATCAACCAAATGATTGTCTCTGGTGCCCTGTTTGGCATCGGCAGCGGCTTCCAAGAGCTTTGCTACGCCTGCGTGCAGGAATGCGTGCCCAACCGGTACCGTATCATGGCTGTCGGAGGGCTTGACGTTTCTCTCGCTCTTGCCTTCTCGTCACCAGTGGTCGCCTACGCGTTCATCGCCTACCAGCCCATTGGTTGGCGCGGCGCGTACTGGTATCTCTTCAGCTTCCACTGTTTCGCCTTTATCCTCCTCTTCCTGTTCTACAAGCCTCCGGACTTTGAGATGAAGCACCGTAACGACGGCAAGACCAAGCTCCAGCTGCTCGCCCAGATGGACTGGGTTGGCGTCTTCCTCTTCATGACTGGGGGCGTCCTCTTCCTGCTTGGTATCAACTTTGGTGGCCGCACGTACCCCTGGATGAGCGCGGGAACCATAGTCCCCATAGTGCTCGGGGCTGCTGCTTCATCGCGGTCGGGTTCTGGTGCGCCTTCATGGACCTCAAGTACCCGCTGTTCCCGCCCAAGCTGTTCCGCCAGGTCCGCGAGTTTGACATGGTCATTGTCGTGTGCTTCGTCGGCGGCATGCTGTACTACAGCATGAACGTACTGTGGCCGCGGCAGTCGCAGGCATTCTTCATCCCTGCCAACGACGTCATCATGAAGGGCGTCTACGCCATGATCTTCAGCTGCGGAACCTGGACCGCCGGCCTGCTGACCGTCTTTGTCTGCTCGCGCCTGCACCACGAGAAGTGGCAGCTTGTCGGCTTCACCGTCGTCCAGACCGCGCTCATTGCGTCGATGGCTTCGGTTGGATCAAACGACAAGGCCCAGGCTATTGCCACTGTCGTCCTGGCGGCGACCACCATCACCCCTCCCCAGCTGCTGTCCTTCACTATGCTGTCCTTTGGCTTGGAGAGCCAGGAAGATCTGTAAGTAATTATCGCCGCCACCTCTCATCTCACTGCACCTTGACCTATTTCCCCCTTCTCTCTTTCTCCACAAAATTATATCACAGCTAACAAAATCTTCCCCTCGCAAACAGTGGCGTAGCAGTCGGCCTAGCCGGCACATTCCGCCTCTTCGGCGGCGCAGTGGCAACAGCAATCTACACAGCCATCTACTCCAACAAGTCCGCACAGGTCCTACCAGGCGAGCTCACCGCGGCCATCAACAACACTCCCGGGATAACCTACTCGGACAGCTTACTGGCCGCGCTGGTCAAGGCCGCGGGGACCAACACGGCGGCCGCGTACGGCGCCGTGGCGGGCATGACGCCCCAGCTCGCGGCCAACGCGGCGGATGCGGTGCGCCAGAGCTACGTGCAGGGGTTCAGGCTCGTGTACCTGGTCGCCATTGCGTTTGGCGCGCTCGCGGTCGCGGCGGCCGCGGCGACGGTGAGCACGGACCGGAGCAAGAAGAACAATGCCCGGGCGGTGGTCATGAAGAACGAGGTTGAGCACCGCGGGGCGGCGGCCCAGCAGGAGAGCAAGGCTGTTGGGCCTGTTTGATTTGATTTTGATTTGGGAAACTAGGGGAAACTTGTATATATCATATCAATGCATAATGCTCGGGACTCGGTACATGCAGCCGACTAGTAGACGGGGAGGAGGTACACTTCGAGCTTGCAACATAGCAGAGCGGGAGACTCTTTTGCCGTTAAAACCTTTTCAAACCCCGTCAGAATATGTGGCTGCCATGACTATCCAATGCGACTTGCCAACAAGAGAGCTTGGTTTCCATGAGCTGATTGCAGAATCACCTAACTGGTGTGCCTTTGTTCGCTGTTGTGCACCAAGGCCTGTTGATGATCGGCTCGAGGCACATTGCACCCAAATGTGGTTGAAGCATCTGGGCTAAGCAAAGCCCTTACGCCAATCCAATCTTCAAAGGTCCACATGGATCATGTACAATAATGTGAGAGGAACCTTCTATTGAGTCCGTTTATTTCACTCCTTTCTATTCATAGTTTTTCTATCTGTGTTTCTTTTGTTCAAATGGAAATGCTGTGGCCACCTTGCAGAGAGCATATATACACAGCCGGGTGTATCGCTGTGCAGCAAACCACAACCTCCCGACGTTGACGCACGACTTTCTGAGAACTAATCTCCTGAAAGATCCTGCTTACGAGTGCCCGACAACAGCCTTGGGCTGGTACAGCTCCTCGAGGTACTTTTCTTCCTCCCCAGTCAGGGCCTTGCCCCGCGCAGAGATGGCCTCGTCGATGCGCTTCGTGCTCGAGAACCCGACAATCGGCGAGGCGACCCGCTTGCTGATCCAGGCGAGCGCGACGTGCGCCATGGTCCAGGTCTCGTCTTCCTTCTTCTTCTTCTCGGCCAGCTCCTGCACGCGGCCGATGATCTTGACGTCGACTTCCGGCAGGTTTTTGCCACCGGTGGCGGCCTTCTCGCCCTCGCTGCGTTTGGTAGTGCCAAATTCGCTCACAGGACGCGCGAGGTGGCCCCGGCCCAGAGGGGACCACGGGATCAGGCCGACACCCGTGTCGTTGCAGAAGCGGTTCATCTCGCGCTCTTCCTCGCGGTAAAGCAGGCTGTAGTAGTTCTGCATCGAGACGAACTTTGTCCAGCCGTTCTTCTCGGCGACGAACTGCATCCGGGCAAAGTTGACGGCCCTGGCTCGGCGAGACGAGCAATAGTCAGCGGCTAGGTTCTGTATGCAGCGAGAGTGAAAGGGCAGAATGGTGTGCCGGTAAGTGAAGTCTCTGGAGGACATACCACATGCTCGAGGCACCGATATAACGGACCTTGCCCTGCTCGACGAGGTCATGCAGAGCCTTCATGGTCTCCTCAATCGGCGTGTCGTAGTCGAAGCGGTGAATCTGCAGCAGGTCGATGTAAGGCGTGTCCAGTCGCTTCAGGGACGCCTCGACCTGGTTGAAGATGGCTGCCCGAGACAGACCGTGCTGGTTGACATAGTCCTTTGACGCCTCAAAGTCGGCACGGGACCTCCAGTGGCTGACCTCGGGCTGCTCGCCAACACCCCAGAAGCACTTTGTCATGATGACCACCTTCTCGCGTGGGATGTTGTACTTCTTGAGGGCCTTGCCGACGATTATTTCACTGGCACCGTTGCAGTACATGTTGGCCGTGTCCCAGCTGTTGATGCCCCGGTCATAGGCATACTTGAGAAGAGGCAGAGCCTGGTAACAGTCGTTGTGGTTAGCAATGTAATTGGAGAATCGGAGATCGTGAAGCCTCCAAGAACTACACTGCCCACCTACCTCATCTTCGTCAATTACCCAGTTCATCGACCTGGAATCGCCAAAGCTCATGCACCCAAACACCGGGACCGAGACCTTGAGCCCGCTGCTTCCAAGGCGGCGATATTCGACCTTGGTGGCGTCAAGTGACTGCTGGAGACCCTGAGGTACTGACATGTTTGCTAGGATAGTGTTGTTGTGTTTAGTGTGGTGTTGTCCGGAGCGCGAGTACAGTGAGCCACAGAAGTCGCAGCAATGAGTGCTTCCAGGAACACTAGCAGCTATGATGCTTGGGGTGTCCGCGTCCTAGTTGTATTTATGCACACCTCTCAAGACCCTTGCCCTGACTGTTGACTACCCGCATCTCCAAACACGCTTCGAGCTGGGCGCGGGTGGCTAATCCCGACGAAATGAGGGGTCGTCGTGCTCTTTGAAGCGCCTCCCCCCTGGCACGCATTTATCCATGGCGATAGCTCCGCATTGAGCAGGAGTTAACAGGCGCAACGAAGTCAACTAACTGCACCTACCCGTAGGGGTCCATCTGGCGCACGACGTCGATCTTTTGGTATTCTCATTCTGTTGTCGTTCGGCAGGAACAATTGCGCCGGGCCCCGAGGCCATATACTTCACGACTTTTGAGGATTCTGATCCTGTCGTTGTTCGGCAGTACAATTGCGCCGGCCCCGAGGCCAATTGTATTTTATGGCAAGTCTATCAGGGCCCCGCTTTGAGGGCGGCGCAAGTCCGTGCTGACTTGGGATAATTCCGGGGAGACGAGTTGTGATCTATTTGATCATGATCAGGAGAAATGGCGAGACAATCTGACTCTTTAGTCGCTGCTAAGTGCTTGCGCAAACGTAAAGTACTCGAGTAAGTACAAATGTGAGAATCGTGTGGTTTTGGCTTGCCCATCAGATGGGGCATCCATACGTAATTGTGGCAGCAGTGAGGGGCGGAGACACCATCCCTGGGCTGGAGGGCGCCGGGGATAGGCGGTCTTTGGCTCTTAAAGACCGTGCCATGTTGCAAGGCCATCCTCGACTGAATCTCCAGAGCCATCTCGGACGATTCTCGATTGGGAGAAACCACAACTGAGGTGCAGTACGTTGGCTGGTGCCGTAGGCTGTATATTGCAGTGGAAGCCAGAGCGTTCGCGGTCAGGATGACGCAGCTGCACCCTAGTTCTGGCTAGGCTCTCTGTGGCCAGTGCCGTGCGGTATCAACATCCCAGCTGATATCTCGACGCCTGAGGCAGGCACAATGCAGCACACCTCCAACCACCGCCCCCCTCAGAACAGACGCCCCCAGATGATGTAAACCAGCTCGAGTGGGAAACCCCTTCGTCGCTAGTTGGCTGTCCGGACGGCCATGGATGTGCTCGCTCTCCCGACCGAGGTCCTCTACCAGGTCTTTGACTTTCTGCGCGAGGATGGCGACATCGACTCTATCCGGGCATCTCTGCTCGTCTGCCGAGCCTTTCAGGGCGTCGCCGAGCACGCTCTCTACCACACGATAGCTTTCCGCAAGCGCTCGTCCATGGAAAAGCTGGCCCAAGCGCTGGAGGCAGACCCGGGGCGCCTGCGATACATCCAGGACCTGGAGCTCCAGTGGTCCACCAAGGAATACAAGCATGGCGACCTGCAACCCCCAGATCTCGCAGCCATGCTCAACCTGCGCCGCCTCTTGTCCGAGAGCCCTGAGTGCCAGCCATGGGCGAGAAGGCAGGGCCAGTGGAAGCCGGACATGCAAAACTGTCTTGATGCATTCGAGAAGGCATCTTTAAGAAGCACAGTGGCGGCTCCGCGACCACTGGAGCACCTCCTCTCATGTAAGCTTGTTGCCCGGGGTCTATCCAAGGACAAAATTCACAGACTTCAAGGTACTGACGCCAGTTCGCAGTAACGTTACACTGGTCGGGTGAGGATGAGCGCTTCTGGTTTATCAAACCCAGTTGTCCAATCTTTCTGCACCCTACACTTCGAGATATCAAGTTGTCCTGCGTGGGCATCGTGCGCCATGAGGCAGACGATGCCGAATGGGAGGCCGGCCTAGATGAATTCCGACACAAGACGGCCCTCGAGTCTTTGCATTTCGAGGAGAGTCTAGTCTCTGCACAAGCGCTCATGCAGATCTTGTCGCTGCCCCGGGCTCTCAAGCACTTTGCGTTTGAAGAAGTCTCACATCATAGGCCAGGTGTCGCGCGATTCCTCGACCACCTGATCGGACATGATGTCGACACCTTGAATGCAGCCTTCGCACAGCAGGCGCAGTCCCTCACATGTCTGCGAATCAAGAGCTCGAGCTACCTGCGACAGACTCACTCATCAACTGCAGACATCACTTTGTCCTTGGGAGATTTCAGGGATCTCACGCGGCTCGAGCTTGGCGACTTCCCCGCCGCACGCCGCAGCCAGCCGTGGATGCTTGCGTATCCATTGCCACCAAATCTGAAGCAGCTGCGCATCACGGGCTTTGGGCCCGACAATTCTGAGCTCGTCAACAAGATCTTGACCTCGCTGCTGAAGGTGGACCAGCTCATCAAGAACGCCCAGGCGCGTGACGAGACATTTCATCTTGACATCTGGCTGCCCAAGATACCATACTGGGATCCCATGCCAATGGACGCCAACTTTGCCCGTCTCGGCCCCATCATTGTCGCACTCGACGGCACCATCATTGCCCGAGACAGGCATGAGTCGGACTCTGATGCGGCTATATTGCCACCGCCCGAGTCCGGCCCAGATAGCAATAGAGACGATGCTGCAAAGACTGCACAACCACAACCTCACGTGAGCATCATGTCGGTCAAGCTCAGAGGGAATTATATTCCACCCTATCTGCACGGCGAAAGGAGACCAGATGTCGCGTCGCTTTTTGACTCGCGCAGCGGGTGGCTCAGCACGGGGCTCATCCACTCGATGGAACGCGAGCAGCATGGGTACTTGGTGGACGACGACGACGACAGCTCGAGCTCGTTCCATCTGACGGACGATGAGGTGAACAATGATGTTGAGACTGCAAACGCGGATGACGACGACGACGACGACGATGATGAAAACACGGCTGAGAATCAACAGCACCGCGCCGTGGTTAACGGGTTTGAGTGGGAGACTGCTTCGGAGTAAGCTGCACGGATGGGCATTTGTGTTGCTCTCTGGACTATGGGCGTTGAGCCTTGGCGAATGCAATGTAATTTCCACAGACAACAAATAAAGAACAGTCTGGTGTCAAGTTTACCGGTGGAAACTCCTTCCTCTTCTCCTGCCTCATGCTTGCCGCCACGTCTCAGACCTATTACCTCTCACTTCCCACCACACACAGTATATCCTAGCAAGAAACAGACGTTCCAGTTGACCAAAACAATCAAGTGCTGCATCAACGGGACATCAGAAGACAGAAATACGGACCCGAAATCACAAAAAGAAAGGAAAGAGTTGAGGATACACGAGACGCAAAAAGCAAAAGATAAATAGCACGATCTCGCTGGGGATCGAACCCAGAATCTTCAGAGGAAGGGACTTCAGTGGACCGAAATCTGACGCCTTGCCATTAGGCCACAAGACCGGATTGTGATAAGAGCGGGCTTATTGAAATATATATCACCATCAAACCAGAGGGACTGATAGTAAACCACTTCCCCCGGAGTTTCGGCATTGGTCGATTTATGCTCGTTGAGTCTAGTGCAACATGCTGTGGCTGTGTGTGCAAAGTGGTGAGGACGACATTGATTTGTAAGTACTAGTTGTCGCCGGGCAAATAACTGGCGCAGAAAGGTTCCATGTTTGCCTATTTGTTACAAACAAAGAAATGCGCGCGCAGTTGAGCTGTGGAAGCATCCAGCCGCCGCTGCCAGCCAGACGCTGCTTTGTGGAGTTGACGGAGTTGGAGAAGCAGGGAGTCCTCCCCCATACCGTGGGACAGACTCGTCACCACGCACGACAAGGTCCTTTGCTGAGCTTCACCCGGGCGGATACAGGTGCTACTCTTATTATATATACTGCAGGCTTCGTTGACGAGGCCTGTGAATATTCTCGTGTGCGAGCATTCCAGGGTTGTATCCGAAGCGGTGTTGGCTCCGTGCTTGCTGTCCAATTATGTTAATTGAAGCCTCAGGCATTCAACGCGGCCTCCCCCAAGAAGCAAACGCAGCCCAGCTCCCCCCCACACACCTAAACCGCCCCAACCAACCTTGGAACCCGCCAAGCGGACCCTGAAAGGCGGAGGTCTTTCGGCATCACGCAGTGCCTCGGAGACAGAACGGACCCTCCCGCAGATCGCACTACGGCGCTGTGTCCCCGGTAGCCCAGAGTCAGTCAATCGAAGGGCATGTGATGGATGACGCCCCGATGCGGTCTGCACACGACGCCAACAGCAGCAGCAACGAGGCGGAGCTGCAGCCGCAACCGCCGGCGCTGCCGCTGTCCCAGGTGCCTGTCGAGGACCTGACTCCCGAGCAGGCGAGCCACATCATCCACTCGCACCGCAAGGTCCGCTATGGTAAGTGCCTGGGATAGACTCGATCCATCCTTCTTCTGTCCATCGCTCGAAGCATACAGCTTACTGAATGGCCACTCGCAGGAACCGCGTGTTGGCCGTGCCGGCAGCGCAAGGTAAAGTGTGACAACAAGCACCCTTGCGACAACTGCGTCAAGCGCGAGCATCCTCAGCTCTGCTCTTACCGGCCAAACCGCCCGTCAGCCGCCTCGGCTGGCACTGTTGCTGCCGCTGGTGCTGGTGGTTCTAGTAGTGGCCAAGGCATCACAAACTCCCATGACAGCGTCTCCTCCTCGGACGGCACCACTGCTGGGCCCTCTCACTACGGCAGGAAACGGGCTCGCTCGATAGATGTGTATGACCAGCAGCATAAACCACAAGAACAACAACATCACCACAACAGCCAGGTCAGTGGGAGCAAGGAAGAGCGGCCAGACCAGGGGGAATGGCCGCACGCAGCTTCGGCCGACGATGAGCCAGAGACGGCCGAGATGTCGCGGTACGTCGGCCAGAACAGCATCCCTGCCCTCCTCCGCGACCAGCCTTCGCCCATGGAGACAAAGGGCGGCGTCGATATCCGTCGTGACATGAGGCCCATCCTCGGCCTCGACAACAGCGCCGCGTTCCCCTTGATGTCGGCGAAGCATCTCGACCGTGTGACCCAGGACATATTTACGCAACTGCCGTCGGACAGAGAGGTTATGAAGTATGTAGGATGGGTTGTCGGGGCGGCAAAGCTGATATCCACACTGACACTCGAAACAGACTATTCAGAGCCTACAAGGAGGTCACACATCCCTTTTGGGGTTTCGTCATCGATATCGACGACCTCGAGTCCCGCATGATGATCTACCTGGAGGAGAGGACGCGCAGCAACTCGAGTGTGCCCAAGTCCTCCCGGCCCGTTTCGGCATCGTGGCTCGCAATCCTCTTTGCGGTGCTCGCCGTTGGCTCCCAGTACCACGATTCCCCGTATCATGTCCGCACGAGGGACTCGCAGCGCTATGTGCAGATCTCATTTCACTTCTTGCAGCTCGGCAACTTCTTGCTACGGTAAGTGGCTGTTTTCTTTCGTTGGGCAAAGACATGTTCTACAAGAACCAACTCATGTTGACTCCTTGAAACAGGCCAAACCTCGACTCAATACAGGCTCTGCTCATCGTGGGGTTTGTGCTTCTGAACGACATGAAAGCCGAGGGCTCGTGGGCGCTCATAGGCATGACTTGTCGCCTCGCACAGTCTCTCGGGCTGCATCGGACACCACCCCTTGATGACGACATGTCGCCCGAGGCAGCCCAGAAGAATTTTGCGCGGCGGAAGTTATGGTAGGTGGAGGCTGGCCGCCGACAAAGCCTTTGGAGAAATATGCTGACGAAATGTATAGGTGGACTTGCCAATGGCATGACACATTGACTTCATTATCATTTGATCGGTAAGTCTGGATTATTTCATCTCTTGTTGGGTCATCGGGCTTGTGTCGAGGCTGACACTGAAAAGACCCAACATGACAAACATTCAATGCTGTCCCATCCCCTTGCAGCCAATCTCGTCACCAGACAACCTCTCCTATCTTGAGGCCATGTATCACCTCTGTGAGATCATCTCGAAGCAGCTCAACCCTGATGCCATAGCCAACTCAACAGCCGAATCTATCCTCAGCAACTGTGACGCCATCGAGGCCTTGCGAGGTCGAATGCACCCGCAGCTTCGTAGTAAGGAAACCTGCAAAACCGTCGTGGACCGCCTGCAATTCTTTGCCCTTCGCCTTCATACATCTTTTGTCATCTCGGTCTGCTGCCGACCATCTCTGCGGCAAGATAACGACACCAAGCTCAGCGAGAGCGAAAAGAAGATGTTGTCTGAGAAGTGCAAGGTCAACCTCGCGGAGACAGTGCGTATGTTCCTCGCCATGCACCGCATCTCCAACATCCCTACACGCAGCTGGGCGTTCACCTACCACGGCTTGTCATCGGCAGTGCTCCTCGGCATCATTTCTGGCGCAGAAAAGAAGCAGGACCCGGAGATCCGGGGGCTTCAGGGCGACCTGATTGCCGCGCTGTCAGCTGCGGCGGCGAGAGACTCGACCAGTCCCGCTGCATCTCATCATGATAGCAACATCACGCGCAGCGCGCTGGAAATTGAGCTCAGCGGTCCGCTATCGAGGGCTCTGCACGCGCTGAAGAACATCTACGACCATGGCACATTGCATGGAGCCACTGCCGCAGCGGCTGCAATGAAGAGCGAGGCTGCGTCGAGGACGAGAACACCCGTGCCAGGCCAGGTTTCAGCGCCACCAGGGACAGCGGTGTCTGGTTCCCAGAATGTGTATCCGCACCACCAGAGTCAGCCACAGCAGCAAGGCTTTCCCGAATCTCAGCAGTATCAGCAGCAACAGCAGCAGCAGCGACAGCAAAACTCCCAGCTATCCCCTCCGTCAGGCCAGTCAGATCACGAGTTTGTTGATCGACACCAAGACGCCGCGCTGGCTATGGCCGAGCTCCAGAATGGAAGCAATTTCTCAGAGTTTCCGGGGTAGGTTATCCTTCGTCTGCTTCTTGTTTCTTTCGTTGGACTGTTCTTGTCGTAAACCTCCCTTTTTCACGATGTTGAACAATGTACTGACACGTCAGTTCTACTGCAATCCACAGGGCATATTCTGGTGCTCTCGACCACCAACAAGTATCTAATACAGCAGCGCAGCAGAGTACAGTCATGGACTTCAATGGCATGGACGTTTCGGCTTTGGCGCCGATGGAGCTCTACGATTCCATCTTTTGGGGTGCGTTGTAATGTTTCTCTTTGTCCTTGTGTGATGAAGATCCCGCGGCCACTTTGCAAGGCTTGTTCATCATGTGAGGAGGTATCCGCATAATGCTGACCATCTATCACCGGCTTGACAGAATCTCCGGACCCGTTCTACACCGGCGTAGACATGAGCTTCGACTTTTCCACGCCGCCGCAGCAGCACCAGCAAGGACGGACGGCGAGCCAGTCTTCCGCGCATCAGCAGCAGTTTTACTTCTAAACGTGGACTTGATATCTTCTCGTGGCTGGTATCGGATCCGTGTTCTGAGTGTTGGGGCATTTCTACCACCCGATTTTCTGATTCCTTTGACGCTGTTTGGTGTGGCCAAGCATTCAGCTTGCTTTGGCGTTGATATATTTTACTAGCATGGCGTTTTTCTGACATCTACTTGGAAAGGCCAAAATCTTTAGCTCATAGATTTGTGTGAAAGTTCAACGAGAGTTCAAGTGCCGGAATTACAAATGCACCATATCCTCAAGCGATGATTTATGATAAGAGGACAAATGCATGTCCAGATGGTTGAATCCATGACCATGTGAGTGGGACCACAGATCACTCACTAGGGGGGCTTGGCACCGCCTCGAGGCGCACTGGAGCGGGCCATGCGTGAGGTCAAATGTTGCCCTATGAACACACGCATGCAGTTGTATCCAGAAGGCGCGCCTGCGCCCGTATCTCAATTCGCTGATGGCGGTATCTTCCGCTTGTGTCTCCGCATTATGAGGAGTCGCCCAGTGTTTCGTGTTCTTTCTTTTTGCCTTTGGCCCCTCTCGTGAGACTGGCCGGTGACACATTCGAGCTTTGTTTGGGTTCAAGTGGCCTTTTTCCCCCGCATTGAATGTTTGCCAATCCACTTATAAGTCGACGACCTCGCGGATAGTCATACGTGCACTCGCAGCAGACTTCCAGACTTACTTCAAGGTACTTTTGAGTACCAACCTGGAATATAAGACCTGTGTCTCATTGGTCGCGTCCTCGAGTCATATTCTTTCCCCCTCTTGTCTTTGTTTAGCTCCATTCAGACAAGCAAAGACGACTTCATCCAAGTACAACAATACTGCTTTAAGAAGTTATCTACACCATAGTCCACGACAGCACAACAACGAACACACAACAACAACAAGAAACCCGTCAGCACCAGCAGCAGATGGACAACGAGATGAAGCAGAAGAAACTCACAGACTACCGGGTCCTCACGTTCGATGTGTACGGCACGCTGATAGACTGGGAGTCGGGCATCATTGAGGCGCTGGCGCCAGCGCTGGGGAGGGACGTCGTGGACCGGCTGAATGCCCGCTCTGCTCCTTCCTCCTCGTCTGCTTCTTCTTCGTCTGGTTCCAGTCCTGGCAATAAGGAAGGTCTGACCCGCCGCAAGATCCTCGAGACGGTGCACGAGCTCGAGGCCGCGCAGCAGGCCGCGCACCCGGACATGCTGTACGCGGACGTGCTGGCGGCGATATACCCGCGTCTCGTGGCGCGGCTGACCGGCGGCGGCACGCCGCCCGAGGAGGAAAGCGACAACAACGACAACAACAACAGCGAAGAAGCGGCAGCGGCAGCACGGGCATTCGGCGCCTCCGTGGCCCGCTGGCCCGCGTTCCCGGACACGGTGGGCGCGCTGCGCCGGCTGGGCAGGCACTACAAGCTGGTGGTGTTGTCGAACGTCGACCGGACTTCGTTCTCGGGGACCAACGCCGGGCCGCTGGGCGGGGTCGAGTTCGACATGATCCTCACGGCGCAGGACATTGGGAGCTACAAGCCCTCCCTGGACAACTTCCGGTACATGCTGGGCAAGGTCGAGGAGGCGGCGTTCGGGGCCGGAGGAGGGGACGTGCTGCAGACGGCGCAGAGCCAGTGGCACGACCACCTGCCCGCGAGGCAGGTCGGCGGCATTGGCTCCGCGTGGATCGTGAGGCCCGGGGCGATCATGGGGAATGTGGCCGAAGGGGAAGAGGTTTGGGATTTCAAGTTTGATACGCTGAGCGACATGGCGGATGCCGTGGAGCGGGAGTTGGCAGAGTCAAAGAGTCTGTAGTGGTTCTCAATTGATCAAGTCGAATACCAGGTCGAACAGCAAGAAGGTCTGGGAATGAAGTGTGGAAACTCGTCGGCTCAGCACGAGTTTGTGTGGGAGTGCAGTTGGGCTAGTAGTTGTATAGACAAGGCTGGAATGTGACACCTGGGCTGCGATGTTGAATGTCTTGGAAGACAATGCAATAGAGGCATGCGCTGCGATCTTCTCCTTGGAAGTGCAACAGCAATGAGCAGAAGCGGTGAAATCCCATGAAGTTGTGGAAATCGCTGGTCTTTCCAACGTCACACCACCCCAGTAGAACCTCCTTCACTAACATATCACCATCAGGCACAAGGCTCAGAATGCTTCACCAACCATAATATGTGAGATTGTCGTCCGGTTTGGTAATCCAGACACTCTCGCAGGATGTTATCGTTCCAACCAGGCAGGGTCCTTCCCGTCAAGCATATACGAGCCCCCTGGTCAGGCCCACACATACCACACCTGCAACCCCCTGCAACTCGTTGCTGATAGCAGCCCGGCACCCGACATCGGCCCCCGCAGTTGACCGTCCCTTAGCGCATACTCCACCAAATTTCACGGCCTCTGGATCGCAAAATCCCAAAATACTGACCCGCGACGAGTTCTCCAACGCCGCGTCCAACCGCGGTTTTGCGCCTGCCGAGCTCGATCGTGTCTTGCGACGTGACCTTGGAGCTGCCTCACTGAGCTGCCTCACTGACACGGTACCGCGTCGGGGCGACCAAACGCACGAACGATTTTGGCGACCATTTCATCACCCTCGTCCAGAGCACGTACGCAAGGCACGCGATCGCCGAACCTACCCAGAAATCCCACTCGCCCACAATGTCCGCCTCAATCCCAGGCAAGCGGGAGCTTCCCGAGTCGCGGTATGATCTGGGAACATACTGGGGCCGTGTGCAGCACACGCTCGAGATCACGGACCCGAGGTGAGTTCGCGGAGGGGAGAGCTTGTTGCTGCTATTCAGCGAATGGATTGGCAGCTTTTTCGCCAACTGTGGCATATATGCCCAATCCTTATTTACGGCTGGATAGAAACATGATGCATGTGACTGACAAGGCATTGGATCATTAGCACACTCTTTGCGGGTTCGGCAGGCCTCAACAATGCGAAGCAGCTCATCGCCAAATACAAGCAGGGCGAGCTCAAGGAGATGACACCTGAGCTATGGAAGGCGAAGAAGATTGTCGACTCGACGATACATCCTGGTGCGTAGGATCCCTTTTCCCTAAGGCATACATGTCCACTCTAGTCGGGGTAGCCAGGATCAGAAGAGAAATGGCTAACTGGTGGTGGAATTCGTCTGAGCAGACACTGGCGAGCCCGTCTTCCTGCCTTTCCGGATGTCGTGTTTCGTGCTTTCCAATTTGATCGTCACGGCCGGCATGCTGACTCCTGGGCTGACCGTAAGTCTTTGAGCAGCTCCTTTTCGCACAATGGTGGCATGATGGCTGGTAAGCGACACCACTAACACTCCTCACGCTTCGCAGACTCGTGGCACGATTGCTTGGCAAGTTGCCAACCAGTCCCTCAACGTGGCCATCAACTACTCCAACGCCAACAAGTCTTCGCCCCTGTCCTACTCCAAGATCGCCCAGTCCTACTTCCTGGCGGTGGGCGCCTCGTGCTCCGTGGCCGTGGGACTCAACTCGCTGGTCCCGCGCCTGAAGCGCGTCAGCCCGTCCACAAAACTCCTGCTGGGCCGGCTCGTGCCCTTTGCCGCCGTCGCCTCGGCCGGTTTCCTCAACGTCTTCCTCATGCGCGGCGAGGAGATGCGCACGGGCATCGACGTGTACCCGGTGCTCTCGGAGAGCACGAAGCAGTCCCTGGCGGCGCAGGGCAAGTCCGAGGCCGAGGGCGCCCCGAGCCTGGGCAAGAGCAAGAAGGCCGCCACGCTGGCCGTCAGCGAGACCGCGCTGAGCAGGGTGCTCAACAGCACGCCCATCATGGTCGTCCCGCCGCTGCTGCTCGTGCAGCTGCAGAAGCGGGAGTGGCTGAAGCGCAACCCGCGGCTCACGACGCCCGTGAACCTCGGCCTGATCTTGGGCATGAGCTATGTCGCGCTCCCGCTGGCGCTCGCGGCGTTCCCGCAGCGGCAAAAGATCAGTGCCGAGAGCCTGGAGCCCGAGTTCTCCGGGCGCGGGGGCGAGGGCGGGATGGTGGTTTTCAACCGTGGTATCTAGAGGCAGACGCAGCCGAGAGAGCGAGTGTTTCAGAATAGAACATGAAGGATCCTCAGGGAGGATGTGTCTCCAGGAGTTCCATGTTCGTGCTGCTCCGGGCGACGACAGGTCATGGTAAATATTGCTGTTCCTTAGGATAGACACTCAGGGTCTGGATGGCGAAAGAGGCGCGTCTTGATACCCATGCTTACAGGTCTAACTGTCAGACTCAGTATATGCGTCCCGCTTGTAGGCACTGTAGATAAAAATGGTATTTAGCGAAGGACAGGAGTCATCCGGAAATGTATCAAACAAGAGTGTCCCCGGATGAATGTCATAGTCTGTACCTCGGGCATAGACCACAATATTCTCTCATCAAGACACTGCGCTGCATATGAGCAGCAAGGCGATGGCGGCTGTGGAAAAGAAAAGATATGTCCCCGCCGGGGGGGGCGGGGTGGTGTTTGTGAAACGGTTGGTGTATTCTTGTGTGCACGGCCATCGTTTCGTGATCCATGGGCGCCGCGTTTATCGCATGCTACTCCTCATGCTGTCTTGTCGCATTTGCAGGACGCCCGGCTCTCTCAAAAGGCTGCAAGACCGGTGGTTGGTTGCCAATAGACACCCGCTGAGGACATTCCTCCTGTTCTCTGTTCTCTTTCTGATCACACAACGCAGAAATGAGCACGGAAAAGAGCCTCACACGCTTCGAAGGACTATTCCTGGAGTCAGACATGATGACAGCCGAGATTTCACAGAAGGCTAGATGACTGGCTCCTGCGTGAATCTTCAGGCTACAGGTCACCTTTGTGTTTTGAAACATGTTCCATGAATCCCGGCGTTTCATTACACTAGACGAGATAGGACACAATACCCATGACACGACTATGACGACGGGCCTGTGTACTCTACTTTGCAGGACGCGGCATTCCAGTATTATATCAAAGTATGCCCCCGACAAAGATTTCAACGTCATGTATGGATGACCGTCGTAATTGGTCCTCTGTGCTCGTGATGCCGTCTCCCTCTCGCCTTCTCTTTCCCTGCTGCACGCACCTCCCAATCTCGAGCTCTTTCCGCTATAGGTAGTACTGACGCTTCTCGCTCGCCAAAGTTCACGCAAAATAGTCCACAGTGTCCAGCCGGATAATGCGAAAGGGGATTCCCTGTTGAGCACCCACATTGTGATATTGTTCTTCCCCATTGCACCTTCTTGAGTATGCCACTTAGTTTCTGTGATGACCCCTGTAGTGTGGTTTTGTAAAGCGTAATTATAGAGATTGCCCGCTCTCCTCCCCGGCAATCGTGGGGACACAGGTACGAGATCCCAATCGTCCGAACATGCCGAGATGCATGTCTTTTCCCATCGAGGAATTTCCAACCTACTAAGGGCAGGTCCCCAAATGGGGCCCTCGGGTGGTCGACACAAAGCCCTGCATTCCTTCTGACGGAAGAAGCCCACCACCACCACCACCACACACGACGAGGAAAAGCACATCTTGCGAATATGGCCGAGCATTCGTTGAGCTTTCATCTGATGGACACATGCTCTGACGAGGGGCTTCTTTGACCCTACCTACCTAAAGTACCTACCTTGCACTCTCAACGACACGCAAACACGAGCGGTCAAACACGACCCGCTGGCGCTCAAACAGATCGAAAAAAGAAAGGCTGGATCACCAGTCTGGCCTCAAGTACTGCAGCAGCACTAAAGTCTCCGGTATCAAGAGAGATCGCGTGGATATGATATCTAGACTTCGTGAGAGGACGATAAACGCCCCCTTCCCAGAACGCTGTAGCCCAATCCCAAGGTGCTCAATCACACGCTACCGCCGGTCCGCGCCAGCTGTCCCACCAAGCGACTCTCAGAAATGGTTGGCGTGGGACAGAACGAGGCGGAGAGAGAGGGGCGGAGGCCCAAAAAGAGAGAGAGAAAATTGGCCCACGAGATCATGTGTGCACGATCACGGCTCGGTTCTGAGAGAAAGGTCACGCTGGATTGGGGGAGGGGAGGGGGTCCCGCTTAAGAATCAAAGACCCGAACAGTTCCGTTCCATTTTCACAGCGGTCAAGCAGGTATAAGTGGGCTTTGCTGGGTTTCTAGGGCTGTGGGATCAGGCGGATTTCTAGTGACGACGCTTGTGGTGGTCAGGCGGGGAAAGAGACTGAGGTGTGGGAAAAGGTCGGGCCGCAAACTGTGTGTAAGTCTAGCCTATTGATTTGTTATCTGTGTTTTACGTGCCATTCACGTCGAGAGCCCGGCTGGCCTCATCAGGTAGGCAGAGCAGCGATCCCAGATGACTGTTCCTGTCGGTCTGTTCGAGAGGCGTGTACGGTAGTCTCATCGGCTCGACCGGTTTCTTCGGTAGTCTTCTCTCCGATGGACAGAGAAGCGGGACTGGGAGTGAGCCCTCGTAGAAAGACCCTCCAGAGTCGTCAGCCAAGTCGCCTTGCCATGAGGGGAGGTGGGTGCAGTGGGACGATCCGCCGCCTGGAAGGGTTTGGCTCGGCGCCAATGATGCGCACCACACGAGTGCAAAGTCTTTCTGGAACCCTGGCCAGGACGGCTCAGCACCCTCAAGCTGTAAGGAGTGAAGGCAGGATAGGACTTTGGATGACAGGAATATGCAGTGTATACGCCCAATCTGTCGCCAGTGATCACCAAAAGTACCGAATTCCTGTATGCCATCTTTGACCAAAAAACAACAACGGCGAGTGATGGGCGAACCGACAATGGCGTCTTGACTTCAGGGTCTCAAGTGCCTGTGGCATGAGCGTAACTCATCTGTTGGTGGGTGGGAGGGGCCGGTCTTTCGGCTGGGCTGCATGGTGGCGCAGGAGCCCAAAGTAACATGCCGTGCGTGAACACAATACGTGAGAATATCTACAGCATGACCGAACGGCTCAACATGGCAGCGCTGCCCACAGCCACCAGATGCACCAGCAATGCCCCGATCGCGGCATGCGACCAAGGAACACCATGACGGAAAGGAAGAGCCAGATCCATATCTTCCAAGGACGTGGAAATTACCACGGATACCGCCTGTTGCACTGATGCGAGTCGCCGTCGCAACAGCCCTGCGGCTGCAAGACCCCACAGGGAGGGAGGCTCCTCATCGTCTCCGGAATGCTGCCTTGCGGCAGGCGCAATGGCCACTTTGCGCTGTGGAACCGCGCGCAATGACGTTGGCGCCATAATCATGGACCACTCGTTGCATGTGCCTGTGCTCCCGCGACCTTCGTGATCTTGGCCTACACTTGCGCCGTTTCGACACTGATGCCTTGCCCTTGGATGTGTGGAGAGAATAACGAGACGCGTGCCAGACTGCCATGCAGGCAGTGCGTCTTTGAGCGTAGAGAAGCCGTCGTCGAGGATTGCCCAGCTCAGTCCTTTTGCATCACGGCAGCGCATCCTACCTTCCAAGGTTGGAAATCAAAAAGTCGCCGCGGGTGCAGGGCGGTGCTGCTCGCACGGAGCACGTCGGCCTGAATGGACGTCTCGGATGGTCGTGAATTCGCGACCAGGGGGCAGGCTTCCCATTTCGGCCCGCCCTGCGTCCAGCGTTCAGACACGGGAGATAGCTTGGATGAATGGCAGTCAGCCGGGGGGTCGACTCTGCGGGACTGTAGTTCCATTCTGGGCTTGCTGCGGCGAACCCTGCCGGCTGTGGATGGACCCTGCTGCCTCGCGCTGGTCGCAACTAAGGTGCACCCTGGCAGCTCGCGAGAGACGAAAGAGAAACATGAGCATGAGCCGCATCGGAGGAACAATTCTGATCATGATGGCCATGGGTCTGTCAACTGCGCCGAGTCACCCGTCAACACGTCAGGAGGGACTCTGAATCACTGCGCCAGCGATGGTTTCTGCGACTGCGTGCTGCTGGCCAAGACGTCTTGGATACAGTGGAGGATGGCCCGTGATCGATCGGGGCCCGCCCCGCCACGAGAGTGTGGCATGTCGTGGGACGCTCCGGGATTTAGACGACAAGGAGACAGACAGGCTGACATGGCGCGGTGCTGATCTCGAGTGGCTGATGCTACTTAGTGCATGGAGAGGAGAGGAGAGGAGAGTGGGCAGTGGCGGCTGGTCACTTTTGGTTCCAAGAGTGATAGCGCTGGGCAGTCCGGCCCCGCCGCGTGCTTGGTGCATCGAGGCCCTCGGCCCTCTTGGGCTGGAGTAGTAAGGTTGGTGCGACTGAGTGACAAACGTGGACGAAGGGGCAAGAGGAGCAAGGAGGAGGAGGTGGAGGAGGTGGTGGTGTGGTGGCCAGAGGCGGCCGGTTGGACGAGTCGAGCCCCGTTGGCCCACCAATCGCTCCCCCAGTTGCTGGTCGGGGCCTGCCCTGGCCCAGCCAACGTCCCAGACAACATTGGAGGCGACTGGGCCAGGCCACACAGTAGCCAAGGGCCCGCCATCAACACTGTCCTGCACCACCACGAGAGGCGCCGGCTAGACAGTGTGATATCTGCCTCTGTCACATCGCTCCAGCCGGCGGAACGGCAATCATCCGTGTGCAGCAAAGGGCAATTGCCTCGAGACACACGAAAGGAAGAGCAGAACGAGTGACGGGCCACAATCCATCATCAGCCTGTTGCGCATATGCCGGTCTGGAGTATTCCTCGTTCCTCTCTTTGCAACGAGAACCGATCACCCGCCTGCTCGACTCCTCCCCGTGATTGAGCACCGCCGTCGAGAGTGGGAGTGAATCTTGAGCTCCACTCGCCCACCCCCGACACGCACCACGCCCGGCACACCAGATGACAACGACGCCAGCGAGCCAGTCCGACCCGATCGACGACAACAGTTGCCCACGGCCGATTGCCCTCTCATTCCAGCCTCGTAAGCTGCTTGTGCTGCTTTCTACCGCCAACAACAACGACGACCTCGTCCTCTTCGTGCCTCAGCGACCTCCAGCCTCTCTACCCTCTCAGGATCCCAGCGAAGTGGCCTGTCGCGCACCCAGAGTTCCCCTGCGAGACATGCGGCCGACGTCGAGATCCACAGCATAGAGCCAAAACCTTCACACACAACGCGCACACACGCAGAGGAACGGCCCGCCCGATTCGAGCCAGGCAGATATATCTGTTGCAATCGAGGCAGGACCCCAAAACAGCCAACGCCTGGATTGCTCATACCTTTCTTTTACCCGTACTCTGTTCCTGGCCATAGCGACCAACGTTGCAGCACACAGACGCGAGTGCCTCTCTCCCTACTGCTGCGAGGTCACGGCTGCTTCTCATACAGCGCTACTGCCCCGCTGTGTTGTTCGCTACAAGCCCTCGTCCCAGGCCCACCACGCCGTCACGCAGCTGTGAGCGACCGCTGAGGCTGCTGCTGCCAGCGCCTGGCACTCGCCTGCGATAGGCTTATCCCACACAAGCACCCACGCTCGTCCTGAGCGCGCCCTCTACCCAGGTCAGGTCGCTCTGACGCCCTTCTCTCTCTTCCGCCCAGCCAGCCAGCCAGCCGCCCAGCCAGCCGGTGGGCGTCGCATCGAGTCCACTGCAAAAGCGCACTGGCAGGACCCAATCCCTATCCTCTCGTTGATCCGGCACCTCTGACGAACGACAATGTCCACGCCGACCACTGCTACTGCCACGCTTCCTCCTCCAGGCCATTACCGCCATCAGCTGCACCATCCACATCTCCATCACTCGCATCACCATCAGAGCTACCTCACCTCTTCCTATCCGCAAGGCCCGGCAAGTCCCTCGCCTGCCGCTGGCTTGCACCACCACAACCACCATCCAGCGGCATCGTCAAACACGAATTATCGCTCGACCGACACGCCTGCCTCGATACGCGGAGCGTCGACCGTTGTCCTCCCTACCCCGGCCGCTGCATCCACTGCGACAACGTCCAAGCGGTACCAACAACAGACCCTGCCTCACCTCCAGGCTTCTGCAGACCACTACCCATACTCCGCCTCGACCCTGCCACCACTTCAGTCTCCTCACTACGGCACAACGGCTGCGTCCAATGGACTAGCCGCCTCGGTAGCCCGCACCAGACAGGTCCCCGACACTCCCAGAGGCACATCACACCCCTCCGGCTCGAGATCTACGAGCCGGCATCACTACTCAGACGCGACCGCAGACATGTCACACACCGCTGTCGCCAGCCAGGCGAGTCATTTGGGCTACGCCGACGACAGCAGCTCGGCCAGGAAACGACGCCGGTCGAGAGAACCCGACTGGGGCAATTTTTACAAGAATGGCCTGCCCAAGGAGATCATCGTCATTGATGACAGCCCCGAGCCCAGCAGCCATTACGCTGCATCCGTAGCGACGACAGCGTCAAAGACATACACAAATGGCAATACAAACGGCTCGACTCGGAGTCATCACATCTCCGATCCCAGTCACGCCCCCAAAAGACGTCGGAAGGACGATCCTCTTGCTTACGATAATGTCCCAAGCTATGTCAGCGGAAGCAGAGCAGACCCATACGGCCACCCATCACATAGCGGGTCTGCGTCCACAGATCGCACAACGTCAGCCCATGTTACAACGGCGGCGACGTCATTGGGATCGTTGTCGTCAAATGGCCATTATGACAACGAAGCCTTGACTGGCCAGAAGCGGAAACGGACGCGCCAGCAAATTGCTCAAGAGGCCAAGCGACGTGAAGTCGAGACGCACAGAGACGTGTTCAGCTATCAGCCGCCCAAGAAACCGGTCAAGAAAGCTGGCGAGGTTCACGTGCGCGCGGTTCAGGATGTAAGTTCTCGCTAACGTCGTTTGTCGAGATTCGACGGCTAATCATTTTCATTTCACAGCGCAATCACCAAAATGTCAAGGTTGACGATGACGACGGCCACTATATCGTCGTCCCCGACGCAGATCTCACACCAGACTGTAAGTATTCAGGCACTCACAGCTCACACTCGCCACTCGCGTCGCTGGACGCCCACTAACCCGTCCCTACAGATCAAATGATCAAGCTACTTGGCCAAGGCACCTTTGGCAAGGTCGTACAAGCACGCCACAAGAGAGACCATCACCTGGTTGCGATCAAGATCATCCGCGCTGTACAAAAGTACCGAGACGCCTCGCGCATCGAGCTCCGCGTATTGAAGACCTTGAAGGCAAACGATGCCGAGAACAGGAACCGTTGCATCCACCTTCGCGACTGTTTCGATTTCAGAGGACACATCTGTATTGTCATGGACCTGCTCGGCTCCAGTGTCTTTGACTTCCTCAAGAGCAACAATTTTGTGCCATTCCCTAACAGCCAGATTCACAACTTTGCTCGGCAGCTCTTCACCAGCGTAGCGTGTAAGTATTGAATCGTACGCCCAGGCACATTAGATACCACATTCGTACTGACAGTCTGCCAGTCCTTCACGACCTCAACCTCATCCACACCGATCTCAAACCCGAAAACATTCTTCTGTGCGACAGTGCCTACCAAACCTTTACCTACAACCGGAAGATACCGTCTTCGTCTGCTGGTGTCAGCCGCCAGGCCACACAGCGCAAGGTCCTCCTTGACACTGAGATCCGGCTTATCGATTTCGGTTCTGCGACATTCGAGGATGAGTACCATTCCTCCGTCGTCTCTACAAGGCACTATCGAGCACCCGAGATCATTTTGGGATTGGGGTGGTCGTTCCCTTGCGATATCTGGAGCATAGGGTGCATCTTGGTCGAATTCTACACTGGCGATGCCCTCTTCCAGACGCATGATAACCTCGAGCACCTGGCCATGATGGAGAATGTCTGCGATGGCAGGATCGACTCGCACCTGGTGCAAGCTGTGAATAAGATGGCGACACGAAGTGGAGGAAACCCTGCATCCAAGTATGCCCGCAGCCACTATTTCTACCGTGAACATTACGAGACACTAACATCCGCGAAAAGGTACTTCAAACGACTCAAGCTGGACTATCCCACTCCAGAGACGACTCGTGCGTCAAGACGATTCGTCAAGAACATGAAGCGGTTACAGGTTAGTGTGCCAGACACCAGACACCACCACGCTTCCGCCCATCTCAGCCCACTAACCATTTACCATAGGACATTATGCCGCCGTCGAACAATTTCCTCAAACTTTTCCTCGACTTGCTCCAGAAAATCTTTGTCTACGACCCGGCCAAGCGCATCACTGCCAGAGAGGCTCTCGAGCACCCGTGGTTCCGGGAGCAAGCCGTCCCTGACGACGGCACAGAGGCGTCGAAGATCCGCCGGGAGCGCATGCACGAGCAAGAGCGATACTCTGCCCGCGGCTCGGTGGCCTAGAATGCCAGGCCGGCTGCGGCTCACCGGAGGATGTGACGTCTTGACCGTGTACGAATTGGCGAAAGTGGAGTTTGTTTTTTCCTCAGCATGGATCCATTGCATTATCAGCGCAACTGCAATCTCGGGGGAAGAGCGTGGCATCAAGGATGGACATTGCCACTCCCGGAGGCGAAAAGTCACTCATGAATGATTATTTTAATGAACTGGGCTGTAGCGGCTGCGAATATTAGGCATTGTCAATTATTCTTACCCTCAAGGACGGTCAGACAAACTTGGCAAGATGCTCAAAATGTCCAAAACTTGATTTGCTTGTCCGCTACGTACATTGGTCTCACCATGGTGGTGACGTTCACCGTCTGCGAGACAGGTTGATGTGTTTTGATGGGTACAAGAGTGGGATCACGATGTCGTGGTGGTCGACTGAGAGTAGACCTTTCAGCAGCCACTGCTTCCTGGTCTCGATGTGGAACCGAGATCGTTCAGAAAGCGTGTCTGTTTGCCCCGGTATGCACGCAGCTATGATCAGTGGGCGCCGGCGTGGTGGAAGAACTAGCCACAGATCTACGCCCAGAGTTGTGCGGTGCCTCGTACGGAATAGAGTATTTCCAAGAAGGGAAAAAATCATTGAAGGCACTCACGTTAGGCTTTCCCGCCTAAAACTACTAAGAGATAAATTAGCCGAATAGAAAAGATACTCCGGGAGAAGTATTATTCGTCTTCTTCAAGAAAAGGGATATGACGATGGCCAGCAGCTTGCTTGCGTGGCTTGCTGTGTGAAAAAAAAAAAAAAACCAAAAAAAAAAACCAAAAAAAAAAACCCCTACTGTGATGAAAGCGACGACCAGTCTCTGGGGCTTTACATTATCACGGGCGAGAAAGCATTTGTCCCGGATTTCCCATTGACTGTCTTGTCGACTTAAAGGATTCTCTCGATTCCTCGATGATGATACGTGTTTGCCCGACTAGATGGGATAGAGAAAAGGACAGCGAACAAAAACAAAAAAAAAAAAACCCAGGCTCGCTTGTTGGACGGGGAACAAGCACCCCATGAAACCCACCACGCAGAGAGAGATCAAAAGCATTCTCATCTTTCTCGCGCGCGAAGTAAATTAGAGTCATCGTTCTCGTATTATGCTGATCCAATCTGCTCGTCGAGAGTCTTGTCCCGCACCATTTTCACGGATTCTCCACAGACAGAGGTGCCGAGAAAACCAGATCACACAACAAGTGTGTACCAACTGCCTCAGAATGACTGGCGCCAACGTTGGGAGGGAAGAGAGAGAAACAATGCCGTGCTCGATTGAGCAATGCTTGCCATGTTCTTTTTTGGGGGGGCGGGATATTGGCAAAGAAGCTGGACACTGGTATTTTGGATATAAAAAATGTCTCTTTCCTGAAATCAGAAAAGAACACATACACACACACACGCAAAATGCGACGACGAAGAAACCCATGGCAAAGATTAATAATAATAAAATTTGTCTAATGCAACCCCCTTACCCTTCGTGACCCCATAACACCGGGCAGATAATAAAAAGAAAAACAGCAGAGAAAAACCCCCAAAAAGATAAACCCAGAATGGTCGTTGTACCCTTATCTAGCACCGCGTGACTTTCTGCTCTCACTCCTTCGTGTGTCCAACCCTGAGTGGACTGTGGCATAATGCTAGAAATGGCTTGAATGTTGGCTGGAGCTGGTGAATAGTATTTTCTTCTTTTTGAGAGAATGGGCAGCGTGTCCCAAAATAGGAAACCGTAACGCGTTCAGTTTTGGGGCGTCGCAAAATTTTACTCTCATTAAAACCCCTTGCACCGCAGATCCCAGGGAACCTTGAGGTTATCCGGCTTGCATGCGAGCTCGTTGGCCACCGCGCGCCAGCGGTCCAGCAGGTCCGTCTGCCTGATGCCGCCGTGCTGCGTGAAGAAGCTGTTGTGCGCGACAATGGCGCGCGTGTCAATGACGAACGGGCGGCCCAGGCGGCGGGGGATCCACTGCGTAAAGTCGGCCTCGTCGTCCCCGACGGGCAGGCCCAGCTTGACGTCGCGGCCCCAGACGGCGACGAAGTTGAGGTTGTACCGCATGAACTGCACGTCAAAGAGGTTCTCGCCGCCGGTAGACGGGTGAGGGTTGACGATGCTGGCGGAACGAGGAGACTGTTGTTGCTGTTTTGGTGTCGCGGCGGCAGCCGGAGGCTCGGCCGCGGTGGCCATGTGGGAAGGGGCCGTCTTGTCGTACCGGATCCGACGGCCAAAGTGGTAGCGGTCCATCTCGTCGAGCTCGATGTTGTACAGCAGGGAGTACTCCTGCTGCGCAGCAATGGCCCAGCTCTTCCAGCCGGGGCCAAACGCAGGGTCGTCGGCGAGATGGCCCTGCCAGTCGCCCATGGGCGTCTTCAGGAGGGGTGTCATGTCGGCGAGCGAGTCCGTCATGAGTACCCACGGGTGCCCGTCGTACGAGGCCTGGACCTCCATGTTGGCGCCATCGATGAAGGCCTTCATGCCCTTGGCCAGGACTCCCCACTTGGACGGCCGCCACTCCTCGCCTGGGCGACGGGTCGGGTGGCTGTACGGATCGGGGATGAAGGGGTGGATGGCGCCATAGTGATATTGCTGCAGACCGGAAATCGGACTGTTGACGAGCTGGGCGGAGACGGCAAACGGCTCTGGCACGGCCAGGCGTGTGTGGACCATCTGCGGAATGGCGTCCGGGTGGATATAGAGCTATTCGCAACCAAAGAAATTAGCGATTGTTGGACATCATGGGGAAAAGCGAGGGCGTCGATTTGTCCCAACGACTTACAATATCGTCATCAATCTTGATGTAGAGAGTGTCGTCCTCGTCAGCGTACTCCCAGATACAGCCATATCCCTGCTGGGTCGTGCACAGGTCGAGATCCTGATACTTGTAGCCCTCTACCGTCTTGACAAAGGCGCGCAGCCACTCAATGTCGTCTTCGTTGGTGGTCTTGACCATGAAGCGGATCTCGTCGAGGTAGCCGCCGTTGCTCGCGAGGTTCTGGCGCAGGTAGCAGTCGAGAATGTCGACGTTGCGCTTGCGCCCGTAAAAGACCATGGCAATGATCTTGAAGCCCGTGGGCTTCTTCCAGCCGCCCGCCGGTGCGTGGCTGCTCAGCTTGTGGCGCTGGTCCCCGTGGATCGCCTTGGGTTTGTATCCGCCCATCTCGTCCACGGGCCAGGTCGTGCAAAAGTCGGACTCGTTGGACGGCTTCCGGTTGTGGCCATGCTCATCGAGAGTGCCGGCCGGCACGTCGACCGCGTGAGCAGGCGGTGGTGGCGGCGGCGGAGCGGTCTCGGGCTTGTCCTCGACCTTGACGGGGTCTGGCTTCGGGGCAGCATGTGTGGGTGGCGTGACTTTCGCCGGCGGGACAGGGTTCGCCAGATCGTCGTGGACGGGGTTGGCGTGGCTGCCACCATTCAGGAACGGGAGTGAGGTGGGCGTCACCGCGGGCGGCGGCGGCGGGATGACACCACTCCCGGGCTGAGAGTTGTGGAGGAACTTTTCCTTTTCCTTGAGGAGGATGGTATGCACGCCGAAGCCCCAGAACATGAGCGAGACCAGAATCAGCGACGCCAGCCCCAGGAGAGCGCGCCGCCGCGCCGCGCCGCCTACCGAGTAGAAGAGGCGGTTGAGTGTGTGATTTGATCTGAAGCTGGGATACGCCGACGACGACGGCGAGTCAGAGTCGAAGTCGTCCGGTCTCGAGCGCCATGCATCATCATCGGCGTGTGAGGAGTTGTCGCTGCTACTCCTGGAGGAGGAGGATGACGACGAGGTATGGTTTGCGGCCTGGTGTTGCTTCTCGTCGTCTCCAGGGCCGCGGTAAGCGCCAGAGAGAAGGCCAGTGGCCTCCTGTCTTGTCTTCTGCTCCATGGTGGTTGGTGATGAGAGAAGATGGGGGCTTCTCTGGAAGAGAACTCGGGCGTTGGTGATGATGAGCAAGCAGGGACGGGGTATTCTACCCTGGCACGCAACCCATGGCCGACAAGAGGTGATATGCAACAACAGAGGTGCCCGGCGGGAGCGCGTGTGTGTGTGTGTGTCACGCCAGGACGAAGACAAGACCAACAACCGCCATGGTTCAGTCGCTCAAAGACGAGCGAGCTAGCTAATTAGAGCAGCACATGCTTTGGCTAGGCCGCCAGTGTCGGGAGGGACCTGCAGAAGGGCGGACCTCGCGGGTCCAGGCTGGCTGGCTGTGGCGGGCATTCCAATTATTCCCTCTCGTCCCGGTCAGTCATGCTAGTATTCACATGAAGACCCCAGACAAGCTGCGGAGCCCGCAGGTAGCCTAAACGTCTGCCTGCGAGCATGCCTGCGTGCTTGCGTTTGGCTTGGCCCCAAGCGAGGAGAAATTAGATTGTGAGAGTGCGCTGCCTGCGGGACCATTGACTGGCTGGTTGGCTGGCATGGCTGGTCTGTTTCAAGCAGCGCTAGCAGCAATTGGCCTGTTTTCCGTTTTTCTCGTGTTTGACGCGGGCGCCCGGGCTTGGTGCATAGTGGCGCAATGGCGATCGAGCTACGGCCCGTAATGCGCTGTGGCCCCATCGGCACCTTCACTATCGCACCGCGGCGCAGACCCCTGCAAAAGCTTGTTCCCGCACGCTGTTTTTCGGCCTCCCCAGACCAGCGACGACCCTTTTCCTTGCCGCCCCCAACCCCTTGCAAGTGTCCACGGGTGCCCGAGCAGGGTCGGTCGGTCGGCCGCGCCGCACGACAATGGGGCCAGTCAGCCTGGGTACCTTACCTTAATTACTAAGGTACTGATGACCAAGACCCTCTGAGCAAAAACCCCCCACTTCGCTGCCGCGCTGGCTCTCGCGTTCTGCTGGGTTCTCGGCCTCCCTGGACTCGCCCGTGCCTGAGCTCGCCCGCCAGGGATGGGGAAGAAGAGTTCGTATGGATCCTTCAAGGGAGGTGTGCTGTCCCGTGCCAAGCCCCAGGGTGGGATCGGGAGCATGGCCTCGTCTGAAAATACGACGTCGATTCATTTCGCTCCGCCGCAATGCAGCCCTGACACTTGAGGGTGCAGGGCAGGCGTGGCTAGCTCTGACATGTCAGACCCGGCGATCCCCATCTCATCATAGGTAGCAGGTATTAGCCTATCATACACTTGGCCGCGCATGGAAATCATGCCTCATATGGTGCATGTCGCTATCGCGCAGAGGATGAACCTTTCACCCCAGGACGAGTCCCCAGTGCCGGCAGCGTTTCCGTCCCCGCCGCTGTTGGTGCTATTGCTGCTGCTGCTGCTGCTGCTGCGGGACTGCGGGCTTTTCATGCAGACCTGGTCTGCGAGCTCGTAATACGCGACGTCAGAGCCGTCGTCACCGTCACCATCACAGTCGCTTCGCGGGCTGTCTGACCGCTTGATGCTTGGCGTGCTGGCGACCACTACCGACTGCCGCATAAAACTCTCTGGCTGGATGTTGGACCACCACCACTCGAGCCACAAGTTGCGCGGGGACGCACGGCTACCCTTCGATTCCCACCCCATCGTCGCCAGCGTCCGGGCCACAATCCGTAGTCCCTTGGCTCGCACGTCCCGCACCGGGCATCGCGTGAGCAGATTCGGGATCGAGGGCAGAACCTTGTCGTTGAAGAGTAGCAAAGACGACTCATGGTCCGACTGGTCCAGAATCTGCTCCGCCACTTCGAGTGCGTACATTGTGTCAGCAGCGTAGTCCTCCCAGGTCGTGTCCAGCGGGTGCAGGGCGTGTGCTAGATAGAGCCGCGACGCGCACGAGAAGAAAAACGTCACCCTCAGCAGGAGCTGCCGGGTCATGTCCAACTCGGCCCCAAGGCGCTGCCGAATCTGGTGCCACCAGTCAGCAGCCATGCCCATGATGGTTTTGTGCTGCTCAGCCAGGAGAGGCTTCTCAGCATCTGGTACGGTAGAGATGTCGATCCGCGTCGTCCACACCATCTGCACGGTCAAGTATCGGTCCCAGGCCTGCCTGCACCAGGGAATCGCTGTCAGTAACAACAAGAGACCTTGACATCGACGGGCACGTCCTTTGCTTGGGACGACCAAGCAGATCCGTCACACAATGCATCATCTCCGCGTCTGGAGAGGGGGCCCAAGGAGTAGTGCAAAACTTACATGAATGACTCGTATGGTGCATCCTGACCAGGACACTTGATCGTGGTAGCAAGCCCCTTGAGGCAATATTCGCTTTCCCACGAGAAGGGCCGCGAGACGACGTCGAGCGGGAGCCCCGACGTGCCTCCCCGCATCGCGGACAGCCTCGGGAGCAACCAGGTCGCCTCCTCAATGCCCTCGTCGTCGACGTCCCGGCCAATCTTCTCCAGCGTGGCCCGGTCCGGGCAGAATATAGGCAGCACGCCGCAGAGCGCGGCCATGGCCTTGGCGGCCACCCCGTCCGCGCTTTCCGGGTCGCCATGCATGAGCTCAAAGACGATGAAGAGGATGCTGACGATGAGGATCGCCCTCCGCGACGCCTGCTCGTTGGCACGCTGGAGCTGGACCTTCATGAGCGAGATGGCGAGGCTCATGCTCTTGAGCGCGCGCTCGTAGTGGACGTTGGCCCTGGCCCTCTCGGCGATGGCCCTGTCCTGCTGGAGAGGGAGAGGAGCAGGAGGCGGCGGCCCCGAGCTGCCACCGCAGGGTGGTTTCGGGTCGAAGGCGTACTGGAGCGCGCCCATGGCAATCACGCAGTGGAGGATGCAGTCGTCGACGGATATCTCTCTGAGGATGGTGCGGAACCAGAACTCGGTGCTGCCGATCCTGGACAGCACGGGGGCCACGCTGAGCCCGTACCGCTCGACGTACACAATCTTGTCGGCGTCGAGGTGGCGGGTGAGGGGCGGGAGCGTGAGGACATCCACCTGCGGTCGAGGGCGGCTCCTGCTGTTCCACGAGTTGACGATGCGGGCGGTCGCCGCGGCCTGAGAGGCCTGCAGCTCTGCGCAGGTGGCTGCTGCCTCGTACGAGCAGATCAGGTTGGCCCTTGCGCAGCGCAGGCATGCTGGTCGCTGCTCACCGCACTTGATGCGGCGACGTTTGCATTGGCCGCATCTGAGGTCAAGGTTGTCTGATCAGTAACGATGCGCATTGCCCAGCAGTTTCTCAGAGTCTTGGGGTGGAAAGAACAAATCCCCCCGGGCGGCCGGGTTCGGGCCCCTAAACGTAGCCAGACCTTGCGATCTGCTCCGTGCACACACACACACACTCACCCGGTCTTGACCTTGGAGGTCCTCTTGCGCAGGCGAGGAACGCACGGCGCAGTCATCTCCAGGGCGCGGTGGAGGAGTCTGCCGTCGTCGACTGGTAGAGGCTGCTGTTAATCATCTGCGAACACGCGGAGCAACCCGGGCTGGTTTGTAAAGACGGCCGATGTGAAGAACATAGCTTATGCCATGACACCAGTCTCGGCCGGGAGGGTTCAGAGAGCTTGGTGGACGAGGATGGTGAAGCTTTCTGCGGCAGCGGCGTTCGTGCATGAACGCTCAGAGTTCCACCACCGTGGAACCGAAAAGGGCGATTGGGTTTCAAGGGCACAATCTCGAAAGGAGATGAAACTTGGCCCCAGCCTGACATTGGTGCCACACAGCTGGGTCAAAAATGCGTCCCCTAAGGGTCTCCCACTCAGCAGGGGTGCTGGCACCCATCTGGGGATACAATTCGTCGCAGAGGCCCAGCCCTACTGGTTCTGGAAACTGCATTCATCAAGATAGTCACGAGATTGACAGATAGCGTCGCCTGCGAGTAGCATATCTGATCAAACAGGTGCCGGCTGCTCTGTCGAAGACCGGTCACGTCACCGATTAGCGAGGGCGCCTACACAAGGTCCACCCGGCAATTCGCAACCCTCGACACCTCGTCAGGGAAACCGGGAAAAACTGTGTCTAGACCAGCACTTTCAAGCTCGCTTGACGCGGTCTCGAGGCGATAGCGCTAGGCCAGCCATGCCGAACCCACTTTCCTAATTGTTGCAAGTGTTGGCAATCGTGTGCTCTTGTCATGACAGCGGTGTTGGACGCCTACAGGTGTCGGTCTCTTACGCGGGGTCACGCGCAGAAAGCTCGGCCGAGTAGAGAGTGAGTGAGGCAGGCGACATGTCATAGCGCCTACTCGTAGCGCCCGCCCCGGAAGTCCAGGTAAAACCTCGCGAATCAGGGATCTGCCATGCGTCCCGACACCGTGGCTGTGGGAACTTTGGTAGGTCACAATGTGCCCATGGCTGGAAAGACGCATCGTAACTGGACAGCCTGCGAAAGGTCAGCTAAAGACTCCTAAGGCTGCCGTTGCATGGCTGAGCTGAAGTCAACTGTTTTTTCCGCAAGCTCGGGTGTGCCATGCCATGCCATGCCACGTCACGTCACAATAAGCCCTGCAATCGTCATCCTTTACCGGTACTCCATGGGTACGACAAGGGGGTTTCCCGTCTCTTGTTAGCCACACTTGTGCAGCGCCACTCTAGTAAGCGGGAGATGTGGAATCCATGAATTGAGCACTAGCACATTGCCTTCGATCTTGCCGAGTCTTGCATACTAGTATAATGCAGAGCTGATGACGATCGATTTGGCGGGTGGACGCTAGTGTAGGGCCAGCAAATGCAGGTAAGGACACATCCGCACGTGCATGCGACGAATCGGACATGAGTCCGGCTAGCCGGCTGGAAACACCCAAGGGACGATGTTTGAGGCAAATGCCGGTTGCCATCTGAAATGTTTTTCTCATTTTGAATTATGAAATTCCTTTGAACTTTCCCCTGGCCACACAACTTCACCTGTTGTTGTTCATATGGAATGTTCGCTGGACACAAGCTACCTTCTGGGATGAGAAGTGGATTTTGAACCGGGCTCATGGAGCATGGAAAATGGCGCTGAGATGCGCAAAAGTTTCACCGCAAAACAGCTTGATGGGTTTATCTCATACGAGATGACATGCGGATGAAGTGGTTTATAGAGTGGTGCTACAAGTAGGGCCTTCTTCTACTGGTCGTCGACATCCTCGAAGAGCTTCTGGATGGCTGGTACGAAAGCCTGCGCCTTTCTAAAGTCCCCGAGCTTTACTTTCATGTAATCGAAAGCCACCAAGATGACCTCATCAAGTCTCGCCTTGTCCTTGCCGACAACGTCTTCCTCGATGTCCTGAATATCCGTGCCAAGATTCGCAATCTTCTGATAGCGCTGCGAGAAATGCGTGAGCAGGATCCTGCGCGCGCCCATCTGTCGACCGACATCTATAGCCTCTGACATGGTTGAGTGCTTCTTGGCTCGCGCATCGCCACTGAGTTCGTCGTCAAATGTGCTCTCGTGGATGAGGAGGGTTGTTCCTTGGCCGATCTGGACAAACTCCTTACTCGGGCGACAGTCTCCGGAGTAGGATATCTTCAGTCCAGACGGCCAGGTAAGCACGACAGCAAGTGCACCATGGCAATGATCCACGTAACAGGCATCGATCTGCTGGATTCCAAACATGGCCTGTTCTGCTTCCGTCATCACCTTGGGCGGCAAGATGCTCTTCCTGGGACCCCCTTCAAAGGTGAAGAGTTGAAGCCTGGAAAACCCGAAGTCCTCCACCTTTTGATACTCGCGTAGCCATTGGATCATTCCTGTATGCGACGCTACGAAGAGCCGTCTGCTTGCATCAGACGCTGTGGCCTCATTCCATGCCTTGAGCACACCTGCCGTGCCGAGGTGATGGTCTGCATGCAGATGGCTGATCCAAACACCCTTGAGCTCTTGAAGCACAGTTGCGAGCTCTGGGCCGAAGACACGCTTCATCTGCCCGAGAGTGTTCTCCCCACAGTCGAGTAGGTAGCTACCGTAGCCTGGCACCCTTATCAGGGTTGCAGAGACATTGCGATACTTGGAAGGCAAGGCAGACCCTGTGCCCAGCGTGATGATCTCGGCGTCCCGATTGGGGATGTCGACCTCGATCCTTTCCACCTTGCTGAGGAACTCAGGCTTTTCGGTTTTAGTGAAAGCCTTCCGTGTGAGACGCGTTATTTCTTTGCGTGTGTCCTTGTCTGTGCCCGCCAGAGCCATCAATTGAATGTCCGGGAAAGGCACGATCTTGTCGTCCTGGACCACGACCTGTGGAGCCAACTGTATGGTATGGCCCGTCCTACCAACTTCGAAGCAGGCTGGACTCGAGGGGACTGGAGTCTCGAGAACTGTGCTGTTGTTGTTGAAGTAGGGTAGGGGAAACCGCTGGGGATCGATCGCGTGAAGCTTATAGGCCTGTGTGGCCACCGACTCCATAGATATCATGTTTGGACATGTATCGGGAGCGCATACAATATGTTTGAGGGAGGACATTTTCTTCATGAAGTCCTGCAAAGAGTCGTCGTGGATTATACCGGGCCCAAGCGACCAGTAGATGGCCTGGACTCCTTTCATGATCTCGGTAGATGACCACTCGCTCCGCTCAACAAGTGGCTTGATATACGAGGTGTCGGGGATGTCGACAAAGGCAAAGCCCTTGCCCTCGACAGGCGCGCCGAGCACCATGCTTGGAGTGACGTCAACTCCGTCCTTGCCTTTAACGGTCTGACCCGCTGTGAGAAGTTTGAAATCGGTCTTCGCAACTCCATACTTGATGGCTTCCACCGGGTTGAATTTTCCACGTGTTTCGTGCCCTTTGATGATGTAGCACAAGGACTGCGTAGAAGGTTCCGTCGGGGGCAAGTTCGTCACCATGGTAGCCGGCCATGGCTGACGAACGAGGACTGGGATATCGGGTATGTCTGGTAATGGCACAGAGCCACCCGGCATAGGACCTGTGTATGGTTTGATGTGACCATCTTTCCCTCTAACGAATAATTTCGCAGGCAATTGTGCCTTGTGAACAGTGGTCTCTACAAGAGCATCCAACCTCCAGTTAGAATTGAACATCTGCTCCACGACGTTCGCGGCAATGCCCTTATCCGAGTCCCTCACGGCGGGAGTCTTGTCAAGATACTCCTCGTGGCTGCGTTTCCTTGTCCTCGCTGTGGACGGGTTGTCCGAGGAGGATTCAATGGGAAGATACCACACATTGATGTTCTCGTCCTTCCAGTCTGGCTCGCCAATAGATCGTTGCTCGGCGCGGTCGCTGGTGATTTCGTGAGGTTTGAGTGGTAGCCCTTTCCTAAAGACAAACCGCCTGGCAGTCGCCAAAAGGTGTGTCAGATTCTTACCCCCGTGCAGATTCAGCGAGGAGACTGCCGAGTGAGCCACTTCGGCTCGGCCCTTCTCCTTGCGTTCCTTGTTGACCTGGTTGGTGGCCTCCCGTGCATTGGAAAGCGTGTCGGCCACCGTCAAAATTGTCCCAATCACACCACCGCAGCTTCTCCAGTCGACGGGACCGCTGATGAAGAGATCTTGTGCCTTGGCCAAGGGAATTTTCCTCTGCGTCATACAGCGTTGGGTGCCTTCCGAGATGTTTCCGATTATGTAGCGCTTATTGTCGAAATGCAGCATCACACACGCGCCAGGGGTATCCGCCGTCGGCGCCGTGGCGAGCTGTGCTTTCACAAGCATCCTTTGGCTGAACCCGGGAGCGGGTATGGGGACAACGGGCCCTTTCGGTTTGTCGACGCGGGGTTCGGAACGACCAAACACGAAGATGTCGGCCCTGCGGTGATACCAGGGGCGATTCGCGTCGATAGCAATTACGTCTTGGTATTTTCCCTCGAAGAAGTCCTTCGGGTTCACGGTGGGCTTGTTTCGGGGTTGCGTGCGTCGGGCAGACAGGGAGGCTCGGTGCGCAAATGCTCGACAGGTGGGGGGCCGCTGAAAAGAGAGAAAAGGCCGACTTGGAACGCAGATTGTGGCCTGTCGAGGCCACATGAGGATGGCTGTACAGGCAAACAAGCACAAGCAGGGTGTGCGCACTCAGAGAAGAGAAAAAGTCACCCAAGCGAAAGTGATGTCGAAGAGCTTGTCATCGGTACCTCGCCTCGTGAACTACGTGAGCTTGGAGTCTCGGCGCGCGCCACGATCAAAAATTCTTATCTTATCGGGTCTCCCCTCTATGTGCCTGATCTGCCAGGCGCACCTTCCCTGCAACCACTCAAATTCAACCAGGCCAAAGATCTTGCCTTGAGATTGAACACTGCGCGTGCACGAATCCTGGGAATTCTCAAAGACCAGGAACCATGTGTCTGATTTGGATAAGGTACACCGACCAATTATGAGTTATTTATTGCTTCCTCGGACATCGATGTCGTCCTGACACAAACGATGAATTTCTCCGTGTAAGGTAAAGGGGCCTCCTCAACGGGGGTCTTTCAACTCGTACCACGCCTTGATCTCACCGTGGTGTCCTTGCTTGCAACAGAATCGTGACTGGATATCATGCTCAGCCTTGTGCTGCAGTTGCTTTCTAAGCTCTTCCGCTCGCTGAGACCCAGCGCATCCTTATCACTCCCGCTAAAATGTTCTGCAGTGGCATTCACTGTCGGCCGTGTTAAGACTCAGTCATCAATTCAAAAAGCAACTTGAATCGCAGGAAACAACGATTAGAGGCATACCTTTTGACACGTCCGCCTGAGGCGTGGCACGGAAAGCAGAGGCTCTCCGGATCAGCTTGAACCCCATTGCTGGTTTTCAAGTGTTGTAAAGGACTGGTTTCCGGTAACCTGTGGAAAGCCGCAAAGCAAGTTTGTAGCAGAACTGAACGCTTTCGCGAAAGTGATTGTAGATAATACTCAACTGCAAGGGCACCAGACAATCCAGAGGACTGTAGCTCCCCCTTATAGACGCCCGACATTCTTCACTGATGATCAGGCTGTAGCCTTGTCCTGTGTAAACATTGACCCGCGTCACGCGCAACTTCGACGTAATAAAGAGTCGATCGCGGTCAGATTATCGGGAAAACAGCAGCAGCCAAACCAATGATCACGACTCTCACTTCCCTTTTCCACACGGCAAAGCGTGCGGGAATCGAGATCGGAGGGTCGACGTCATCCCCAGAACCCAGCACCCCGGAATCCCATGGCCCATCTCCACAAAAGGTGCAGGACCCCTCCCCTCCATCTCACCAATTTATTCCATCATCCTCCGGAAATCTTCCACAGATTGAGCTGCGCATGACTCTCGCAGCGACCAATCAGCTTTGTAAAGAAAGCTGATTCGGTGGTGCAGATGGCAGATGGCACCTGACAGCTAACCATGTATTCTAGGCTGCCCAGGAGAGATGTTACCAGCACACCTTCACCCAGGCTCCGATACATCCTTTTTGTCCGTCCGGACCAGATCTTCCGGCCAACGCCATGAGAATCACAATCATTTATCCTCTGAAATTGATGGCTTAAGGCCACCGATAATTCACCAGACATACCATCATAGCCGTGTCACCAACATATGCCATTTTTGCCTCCATAAGAACAACCCTCCCACCTCTTTTCTCGGTGTCGTAGAATCAGCCTTGCTCATGGAGGTATAAAGGCAAGGGCCTTGATTCGTGCTCGTGCAAAGGCCGCGCCAAGGTCCCTACGAGCCATATCATCACCAGAACCACGTCTCGCTTCCCCCACGCGGCTGCGCCGACGTCATATGTGGTGGGAAGTTCCGAACACTGATATTTCCAAAGAAAAACTGTGGAATTTGAAAGAAGACCCAGCTTCATCAACCAGATGCGTGCGAGCAAGTGCTCAACAATGGGTAATATCTAACCACCCATCCGCCTGGGGCTGGAGAGTGGCAGGTCGGTCAAAGTAGTCCAAAGCCGAGGAGCCAAGAAGCAACCTTGTTCGGCATACATGCACGCCAGGCGCAAATTCAGATCGGCTATGTGCATGTGTTTTTGGCATGATTTCACGAGGCATTCGTGACGTGAAACCGTCCGCCCACGAGAACCGCCGTGTTGTCTTCTACTGGAACCCAGGGCGGACCAATTGAGCACTTGAAGGCAGGTTGATACTCCTGCAACCAACAATGATCGGAAGCAACGATGTCGCTTTTGTGCAAACAGACCTCTTGTGTTGCACCGTGGTCAAGTCAGGTCGACAGATTTGGTCTGGCCCTCAGAGACATGCGTATGGGTGTGTCTCGATGCTTGGCGCTTCGGAACGACGATTTCGGGGAGCGTTCCGAAGGTGACCTCCCTCCGAACCTAGAGCTAGAAAGCCTCCGTGCTCGGACGCCCTCAATTGGATTTCGAAGGGCATCCAGCCAAGCTGGGGAGCCCAATGTAGATGTCGCGAAAATCAAAGTATTTGGCGGATGAGACGGAAGGACGACAATGAGGATTCTGCTTTGGAGAATGCCGTCCCGATTGGCGAAAAGGCAATCGGACTGATCGCGCACACACAGAGCGGAAAGCCCCCGCACTTGCCGCCCCGGTGGGAGTGATGGCATCAGTCGTTGACGACGACAGCCTTCCTCCCCACTGCAAGGGCGACCCCGCGGTTATCTGCCGCTCGGCCTCCGCATCCCCCAAAACACGCTCCCCGCCGCCCGTGTCCCGCGGCCATCCGACTCGATGCCGCCGGCTGGGCCTATTCGGGGGCCACTGTTCCGAACCCTCGACTTTTCCTCGTCCATGGTCATGTCGCAACGAGATTGTGTCTCCTCCCTCTCCTTATGCCGCTTCAAACATCTTCCAAGTGTCTCTGCGTCCTTTCACCTCTGCTGCGCACATCCATTGCCTCGTGTCCAAGAACCTCACAACCGCCAGCTAAACACATCCTGAGATTTGCCCGCTCGTTGTCGTCGTCTTCATCAACATCATCATCGTCGTCACCATCGCAGCCGCCCAAGATGTCCGTGTCCACAGAATCCGAGAAGCTCATCCAGCGCAACCCGCACCCAGACTTCAAAAAGGTCGAGGCCTCGCGGCCAGACTTTGACGCCTCGGCGGCATTCGACTACACAAAGACCCCGCAGCCGGACTGGAAGCACGGCGGCGGCGCCAACGCCCTGCCCACGGGCTCGGGCAACAAGCACATCGCCATTGACCCGTACGAGCCCGGCCGGCCCGCGCCCTTCAACTACAAGCTCCTCATCAGCTCCATCGTGCCGCGGCCCATCGGCTTCGTCTCGTCCCAGTCGGCCGACAAGAGCACCCAGAACCTCGCTCCCTTCAGCTACTTCAACATGATCAACCACGACCCGCCCTTGTTCGTGCTGGGCCTGGCCGCCAGCCTCGAGCGGCCCAAGGACACGCTCAGGAACCTCGTCGAGTCGCGCGAGTGCGTCGTCAACATCATCTCGGAGCACTTTGTCGAGGCCGCCAACGCCACCTCGATCGACGCCCCCTACGGCGTCTCCGAGTGGGAAGTCTCCGGCCTCACGCCCAAGTACGACTGCCACGACGTCGCCGCCGCCCGCGTCGGCGAGGCCGTCTTCAGCGCAGAGTGCAAGGTCGAGAGCATCCGCGAGTTTGAGAGCAAGGCCACTCCCGGCAAGAAGACGGGCTGCCTCGTCGTCCTTGAGGCCACCCGCTTCTGGGTGCGCGAGGACGCCATCAACGAGGACAGGAACCTCGTCAAGCCAGAGATCCTCGCCCCCGTGTCCAGGCTCGGCGGCATCACCTACGGCCGCACCAAGGATGGGTACGAGCTGCCTCGGCCCGTGTTCGAGAAGGACATTGGCGGCATGGAGGGGTACGAGGCGCTCAAGAAGAAGAACGCGGAGAGCAAGTAAAAGGCACGCGGGGGCTTTTTTTTCTGCTTTAGCCTTTAATCCGTCAAATTCTAGTGCTTGACTTGAAGGAATCGGGACCACCACATTTCACGCAAAGACCACGATAGATACGGCTGGACGAATAGAACACATGCAGAGTCAAGAGCTTAAGCACAGAGAGCACTTTCGCTTTGCGCAGAGATACCATGTAACGTGCAGTCACTATGCAGCTTGCCCACATACCAACGCAAATCGGGGATTCATTTCGTACGCGCGAATGTGTCCTTCCTCAGGGGTATATCAAGTCGATGCTGCCACCGTCCGATCATCGATAAATGCCAGCGCCAAAAACAACAGTAACAGATGCCACACATGCTTGGCGGAGCCACTTTCCAAACAAGTCCACTTCCTGCAACGCCATGTAATGCCTCAGATGTAAAAGCTCTGTCCACTGTGCGACACGACAAACTCCGCACCGGTCTGCGCCTCGGCCTCATGCTCCTGTAGCTCACGCAATATTCTGTCACCCGCTGGCTCGTCATCAGTGAGCCGCTCCTTGACATGGATGATGACGACCTTGACGCCCTTGAGCGCATTGAGAGATCGGGGCTCGGGTATCGGCGTGTTGCCACCTCCCACACCAAGCTGGTGCTGTCCTGTTGTTGCTGGACTGGGCCCATTTGTAGAGGCTGACGCAGGATTCTCAAGATCTCGAAGGGACATCTCCGCCGTGGGCGTGGATATATGGGGGGTGTCAAAGCCGTAGTCGCTGCCGGCATTTGACATTGACGAAGGGGTGTCGACTTTGAGTGGGCGCGTGGATTTCGGCGACAATGGCGGATCGTCGCCGCGGGCAAGGATACCGCTTGTTATAATCGGTGTGGGCACCGGCGTTGACACGGTCGACCGCGGCATAAACCTGTTTGCTCTGCGTACAGCGTCCTCGAGTTCGCGCTTGCGCTTCTTCGTGTAAGACTCGAGCTTGCTCTTATACGAAGTCGTGCTGCTCTTGGCTGCAAGCTCGACCTCAGCCGCAAGCACCTTGAGTTCCTGCATGACGTATCTCGGCGTCAAATGGCCAAAGAGCCGGTCGTCGGTCTGGCTGTCGTCGAATGAGCATTCTATGAATATGGCCGCTAGGTCACCCCTCGCTATCCGCGGTGCCGCTTCCTGCCAAACCATGAGGTTCCGTGGTGACAGGGATACCGAGTCCGGCTCGACGTCTCCAAACATGAGGACTTCTCGCCCCGTTGGGGCGTCGCGGATAAAATATGCACTCGAGTCGTAGACGCAAACATGCTCGCGGTCCTGGTGGCCGCCGGGAGAGGAATGTGTCAGTGATGAGCGGAAAAGCGACGCCGGACCGGCGGCAGCGTTCGATCCTGGTATTTGTCGTGAACCCAGTATCATGGATGAGCCGTCCATACTCCCCAGTCGTGATGAAGCGGACGAGCCTCTGTGTGCATGTCTTTCGATGCAGTGACCATGACTGACTGCTAGGACCTTGACCGTCAAACCTTCGCTGATCTCGACGTATCCCTTGCCATCGCCTTCGCCAAGAGCCGGGCTTCCTCCTTCCACTAGGCGCATGTAGGTAACCAGGCCTGCCCCGTTATTCTCGTCTGACAGATTTGGCCATATGACATTGTTGAAGATGTGCGTCTTGAACGCTGATATCGTGGAAGGCAATCCAGCTAGTCTCTTGGCTCGGGTCGGCTGAAACCCTGCCGTGTTGATGACAAAGGCCGAAATGTGATCCAGGTGGGGATGCGTGATGAGCACGGTATCTATGCAGTGGCGTACGATATGCGCGGCATTGGTTACTGCTGACGCCGACCTGACCTCCATCCCCTTGAAAGGCCCGTCCTGAAGAACATGTGGCAATTTGACATCTGTGCCAAGACCATGCGGTTGTGTTTCTTCTAGTATCCGGGTGATGGCAGCCATGTGCACTCCAGCATCAAGGGCACTCATCGAAGCTCGACCCCAGCCTGCTGACACAGATCGTATCAGTGTGGCTGTGACATTGCTTTCTATCGGACCACCGCCCGAACCCTGCATGATGAAAGTTAGCATCGCAAGTGGTGTTCAAGAGGTCTTACAGAAGAGAGACGTCGCGATATTGTATAGCCATCCGCATAACAACAGCAAGGGCGGGCTTCTGAGGCCAGACCAAGGGCATCATGGTTACGTATGGCTCCACATGGCTCGTGAAGTCCCATCCGTACACGCGCGTGATGTGTGCACTCCTTGTTGCACGTTGCAGGGCAGGGCCAACTCACCAAGATGATAACTTGCAGCGCAGGCGCTTGCTCCACACTGTCTGCCTCTACTGCTGCCATGACCACAGATTTGAAGCTGGAAAATCGATGCAATGTTTCCACCAAGTTGCAGAAACCTGGTCTGTCTTGTAGCACGAATCCCGTTGGCAAGGCCCCGCGCAATCTGGGCAAGATGACCAGACCAGCTGCTAAGACGAGATGAGCCGAGGTCCCGGCCTGAAAGCTAGTTGGTGATGCTGTCGCGGCGCAGAGACGCTTCCAATGGCGGTGCTGGCGATGCCGCAAAGATCTGGTGGGCAAGCAGCACGATGTCTCGCTTCGGGCACAGTGGTTGATGTGTTGCAGGGAGATGGCCGAGCTGGAATGTGGTATCGTCTTGGTCGGACACACGTGACAAGTTTGCCAGAGGGGGCCTTGGTTGGATGGCCGCGGAATAAGCGTCACACAAGGAGCTCTGCACGTTGAGCCAGGTGAGGACGATAACCAAGCTCACGTCACTGGTAGCCGCAGCCTTGCGCCACACGCGGTGGTTGTCGAAAGAAGGAAGGTTTTGTGCCGTGGGTAGGCTGAATGACTCGGGCCCAGGGTGTGGCAGTGGTCTCGGAAGAAGCAGCTGACGGACTCGGGCTAGGAGGAGAAGCACCGAAAGTCTGGCAGCAGAGCCTTCATAAGTAAGGTTAATGGGGGATGGGCGCCGTCATGCTGCAGCTTTGCTCTGGGAGTGCTTGCGCCATGCGATCATCTCAAGTGTGCCGTGGAGGACATCCACCTGCACTGCACCCTGGGCTGGGCTGGCTGGGGCTGTCGCAGCTCGAGGCAGAGGCGACCCAGCGCGCCGGAGGCGGGCATGCACGTTGCGCAGATGCCAAGCACGCTTGCGCACCTCCAGGGAAGCCACGCGCTGGGGAGCCCCTGGGCCCGAGCCCCCTTCCTGCCCTCCTCACTGGCCGCCTTGCCCCAGCGCCGCCGCCGCCATCGGCCTCGCCGCTGCCCGTCCGCGTCCAGCAGTTGCTTCTTCGAGATGCAGGACCAGCGACCCCACACGGCTCCTGTCGTCCCTCCCGGAGGCAAAGCACGCTACGTACGCTCTCGAACCGTCCTCACGATGATGGAGACTCCCACAAACGGCACGTCCCATCACTCTGATCCCGCTTCGGGGTCAAACCCCAGTCCACAACTGGTATCCCGACCTTCCGAGGAGGCCCGTGCCAACTGTAGCCCGCTACTGGTTTCTCAATCCGCTGTTGCACCCAAAGCCCACGTGTAGCCTCTCGAACCGACCGGCCGTCCGACAGTTCGCGACACCCCGTCATCCACATGGAAGATACCCGAAGGGCTTGGCGGCAGACCCTGCTTCATCCCTTAGAGGATGCGATCTCATTGTGCCTGGCCTGTAGGGCTATCACGATCTGCTCGTGCTGTCCTGCTCGCGTGAGACATGCTCTGCTTAGCGTTGAGCAATCAGCCCAACTCGGCACTCTCGGGAGCGCCAACGCACACTAGAGCAGCCCCAGGGTTTAAAACGGCACGCCTAAAGCGCCCAGGTGAGCTGGCGGGGGAGACGTGTGGCGTGTCGGTGGCCCGGTAACCAAGTAGACATGATCAGATGGCGTACCTACTGAGACAACTGCCTGAAAAGATACAGCGAGCATCCAGAACACCGTAAATACCTAGGTAGCAACGCGCTTCTCTCACAAAAGCGTAATCCCGCTCATGCCATATGCATAGTCTCATGATTTATATGAACGCGAGTAAGACGGGTTACGGCTTGAGTAGTCAGATTTCTTCCACAGAATCCATCAAAGCGCATAATACAATTCTGTGCCACTGCATAATTAAACAGCACGCATGCCACATGAACCCCCCAACGAAAACAGTATTGCCCCCCAAATTGTTTTCTGCTCTTGACTCTCAGAGGATCCCATCTGTGTCAGATCCGGTTGGCGATTCAGGATTCGGAATCAAGCCATTCATCCGATCCTCAAAGTACTTATCAATCAAGCTCAGCTCCGCCCCTTGTTTGCTGACTTCGGCAGACCTATTGCCCGAATGCGCCGTCTGCATGGAAGGGATCTCGCTCCAGAAGGTTTCACATCTGGAGCCTGCCTGCAATATCTCGTCAAGGGCAGACTCAAGAATCGCCCGGTACTCCTGCCTTTCATCGTCATGAGCCTGGGCCTCATCGACGTCACACATGCCAGTGGCCGAGATGGGTAGAGAGTAAGGACTCTCCCAGGGGCTTTCATCCTGCTCGTCCTGGGACTTGGGATAGTTGCGCCTCACCCACGTCTGGAAATCTTCCCTTGCATCATCATCTCCGGCATCCTCGCCTTCCGGATAAAAAGCGAAGTATAGCTGCTGCTGATCACGAAGACGATAGAGCTTCTCCCGCAAGAGGTGCGGCGAGGCACCATGCAGCTCGTCCTGGTATAGTAGCTGTTGTAGGGATACCCAGTCTTCTGTGCTCAGATAGCGCGCAAAGCAACCTGTACAGCACAGATATCCGTCTTCACAGCATTCCGGCAAGCTCGATGATCCAGAGGATGAGTCGGTCTCGCTCCACTCGTCGGCGAAGGAAGGGTAATCGTCAGGAGGAGGCGTATTCATCTTGCTCAGTTTGCAAGTGGGTTGTGTGCCGAGGTGAGTGGTTGGGCTTGAGCCGGTGTTTGGCGATGGTTCTATCCTTCGTATATTGTCGTGGGCACCAAAGTGGTATGGTAATGCTTCAATTAGGATCGCTAGTGGTCGTCATGGTATCTGAAGATGTGTTTTTGTGGTTTCTTTTCGTCTTCTTCTTCTGATGCTACGATTGCGCTATATACACTAGCTGCGAGATGACTGGTAGTGCCCTGTCGACCATGCGCAAAAACGATCCGAAACGCCGTTCTGGGAAGATTGATGCCAGAAACAGCGTATTTTCTTCCTTGTAGGGCACGGGGTGGATGAAGCCAGGGTTCCTGCATACGCCACATTCCTCCCTCTTGACAAAAGGCTCGAGACACGGCACTGCGATAGAGACGGCATAACTATACGCCACTCGACTTACCTTATGCTGCCGCTATGCTACCCTCGTTGAAGCATAGTTCGGCTTGGTTGGATCTCGGAGGCGAGCGCCAGACTTGCCTCAGTCAAGTTGATACCTGAAGCAATTGGTTAGCTTCATGCCTGGCCATCGGAGCATTGGAAATGCCAATATGCCAGAGGAAAGGACGGGAAGGGTGAGATAAAACCAAGCGACAATTCAGTTAAATGTTTGCAATTTCTCAGCAATGAAATGTTCAGAACAGGTCTGTGAGTTTGCGAATTGTTTCATCATAATGAACGCTCGGTTTTTCCCGGATGGGAGGGGTGAAGGCATGAACCAAGTACTAACCAAAGTTTGACTTACCAGTAGTCCTGCTGCCCTGCTGCCACGAGGTATGTAGCAAGCAGTTCCATCACAAGCATTGTGACTGCACCGCTACTGCCTCGCGGCGCTGGCGTTGGGAGACTGCGCGACTGCAGACCTCGGCAAGTGAAAGCTTGCTCCGTTTGCGCCGAAAGATGTCCCCAAGTCCTCAGCACCTTCATCGTTTAATCCGGGCATGATCAAACAGCCGACCGAGATGGTGCTCGGTCTGGAAGCAGAAAGTCCATGGTAAGGGACGATGCCAGATGTTGTGCTGTGAACGTGAAATAAAACAGGAGAAGAACGAAAGAAGCGAAGAGGAGTGGGAGAAATACGCGCCAAAGAAATTATCGTTGGCTTTGTTATCGTGAGATGCGATAAAGGCGCGGTATGTGGGTCCAGGTCCCAGGTAAGGTTCGGCAGCACTGGCTGCCCGTTTCTCGGAGTAAGGCCGTTGCTGTCTTGAGACAGTCAGTGCCGGAACTCTCCACAATCGCATCTGTGCATGCCTGAGCCCACAGAGAGCACAAGTCCGTGCGTCTTCGAGGCTTGGTTCGTTGTGTTTGTGTGAGAGGAGCTGGCCATGGCGAGCAGACTCTGGTAGATTTGTCATCGAAACATGGGGTGCTTCTAGTGACTTTAGGGGTCCTTTCAAGATCGAGTGCATGGACAAGCTCGTGTTCCGCCGCGTGGGGATCCAGAGGATTTCCTTCTTGGGCAGCCCTGGTGCCCAGAATGAGAAAAGCTGTCAAGATCGTACCGTGGTTTTCGGCCGTAATCACCATAAGCGGTCAGCGGGGTTAGCATTGGGGCTTTGTAGCACACATGGGAGACCAGGTGGCTGCAACCTTGGAACTGCTTGGCCGTGCCGCCACGAGTGATCAGCGATCGGCGGAAGCCCTGCGATCCCGGTTTATGCACATCACATCCTGCTGGACGAGCGAGGAGACGTTGCTTCCCATACTTGGGAACCCTGTCTGGGAATCCTGTCTGGGATGCGAATGTGGATTTTGGCGTGGGTGATGTGGTCGAGATGAACCTGGCGAGCCTGGCAATACGAAGCATGCTGCATGCAAGGGCCGGCTGGTGCGGGGGGACCGTTGGCGGTTGCACGAGAGTGAAGGCGCGCCGTCCGTCCAGGGGACAGACAGGTTGTGGGCGGGCGGCGGCGGCCCTCTTAATAAAGAATCAGGGCCGAGGGTTATTGCCCGCCTACGTCACGCGCTTCTGCGCAGGAACCTCGCTCAACTCCCGCCCGCCCAATCCAACCAGCACGCCCAGCTCAGCCAGTTCACCCTCCATCCCATTGCCTCTGCTTGGCCCAACTCGACCTAGCTGCCGCCTGCCCGCACCCCTTTCCTGCGCGCGCGCGAGCTTGTCTGGCCAGCGACTGACCAACCTCCATGCGTCTCTTTCGCGAGCGCGGACTTGTTCTTGTCCACCACGCCACGCCGCCGCCGCCGCCCACGAGAACACCATGGCGAATCTGAGCGGAGACCTCCAGCAGAAGCTCGACGAGCTCGAGAGAGAGCTCGAGGTACGTCTGAATGCTCCCGAACTCTCGTTGGGACTAGTTCTTGGCTCGCCAATCGCTCGACAGCATGGCGGGGTAGTCCAGAGTCAATACAACGAGCCTTACAGTTTGGGTCAGCAAGTCAATGCTGCTCGAGCAAATTTGTTGCGAAGGAGCTACTGCTGACCATGTCTGGAATCTCAGGAAGGTGATATCACCGAGAAGGGGTACGTCTTGAACCGGAACCGGACGCGCTCGTGCCACTGGGAGCTTTCCGCCCACCGCCCACCACGCCAGCTGACCCCTTACTTCTTGTGATAGGTACCAGAAGCGCAGAACCCAGCTGATCTCACAATATGGCGCTCCTCTCGATGCCACCGGCGGGCTGAGGAGTTTCGCTGCCCAATCTCCAGATTTGGGAGAGCCCAGTCGTGGTCTCACGACCACCAACCCTGACCTGAGCGACTCGCCATACGGCGACTGGCGGCCACAATCCCCCTCAAGGGCGTCCCCGCCACCGAATCACGACCACCCGGCAGGACTTTTGCGACCTGGCGGCCCGCTTGCTGAGCAGAGACCTGCGAACATCCACCGCGACTCTCTGTTTCTCACCCCAGGTTCAAATTTCGGCGAATCCCTCGATCCACCCACGAGATCAGGCACTATGGTATCTGGCGACTATGCTTTCAAACCAGATTACCACGGCGGCTATGGGCAACAACCCCAAGGGGGCTACGACGGGCGAACCGATACCATGATGGACAGGACGGGGACCATGATGGATTCTCAAGGATACTTCTCCGATTTTGCTGGCCAGCAATCATATGATACCCCCCAGCCACAATTCGATATGCCTCCATCGGCATACAACATGAACCAAACAGGAGAGGATTACGGGGCCCGCGGGCACAGATACTCGTCTAGCGATGCCTTCTCGCCAACAGTTGCTATGGCCCCGCCAATGCTTACAGCCAGCGACTTGCCTTCGTCCGAAGCCCTCGAATACCTCATGCCTCTCGAGCCGCGGGAGGTTCCCTTCGCGATCCACGACCCCCATGACGAAAACACAGCAATGTCGAGCTTTGACAACATTGCCGCTGTACTGCGACACCGCGGCCGTATGACAGCCAAGCTCCCCGCATACTGGGTACTCGACAGTCGAGGCAAGGAAATTGCTTCAATCACCTGGGATAAGCTCGCATCCAGGGCGGAAAAAGTGGCGCAAGTCATACGAGACAAGAGCTCTCTCTATCGTGGCGATAGAGTGGCATTGATATATCGAGATACCGAGGTGATCGACTTCGCAATCGCTTTGCTCGGCTGTTTCATTGCCGGAGTGGTCGCCGTCCCGATTAACGACCTCCAAGACTACCACCGACTGAATCTGATTCTGACGTCGACACAAGCGCACTTGGCACTCACTACCGACAACAACTTGAAAGCATTTCAGCGAGATATTACTAATCAGAAGTTGAACTGGCCTAAAGGCGTCGAGTGGTGGAAGACAAATGAGTTCGGCAGCTTCCATCCGAAGAGGAAGGAGGACACGCCACCTCTCGCGGTTCCAGACCTCGCCTACATTGAGTTTTCCAGAGCCCCGACTGGCGATCTTCGCGGCGTCGTGCTCAGCCATCGGACAATTATGCACCAGATGGCCTGCCTTAGCGCTATCGTTCAGGCTGTTCCTAGGCATGGTCCCGGAGATACCTTCAACAAAGCACTTCGCGACAAGAACGGGCGGTTGATCGGTGGTGGTGCGAGCAGCGAGATCCTGCTGTCCTACCTCGACCCACGGCAAGGTATTGGCATGATTCTCGGCGTCCTGTTGAACGTGTACAGCGGCCATACTACAGTCTGGGTCGAAAACAACGCGATCAGCACGCCTGGTCTGTACGCACACCTGATTACAAAGTACAAAGCTACCCTGATGGTCGCGGACTATCCCGGGCTCCGAACAGCAGCATTCAACTACCAGCAAGACCCAATGACCACACGAAACTTCAAAAAGGGCATGGAGCCGAACTTCCAGACCGTCAAGCTGTGTCTTATAGACACACTGATTGTGGACAGCGAGTTCCACGAGGTCTTGGCTGACCGTTGGCTAAGACCACTGCGCAACCCCAGAGCACGGGAAGTTGTTGCGCCCATGCTCTGTCTACCCGAGCACGGAGGCATGGTCATCAGCGTGCGTGATTGGCTTGGCGGGGAGGAAAGAATGGGTTGTCCTTTAACCCTGGAGGTCGAGGAAGACGATGCCGAGGAGGATGAGACAGAGGAGAAAGCAGCCACGTCGGCATCAAACGGCTTCGGCAGTCTGCTTGGCGGCGGAACAACAGCCACCAAACAAAAGGACGTCAAGAATGACATTCTCGAAGTCCTTCTCGATCGCGAAGCGCTCAAGACCAACGAGGTCTTAGTGGTTGCTGTGGGCGATGAGGTCGGCAAAAAGGCCAGCTTGGAATCCGGCACTGTCCGAGTGGGCGCTTTCGGCTATCCCATCCCTGATGCCACCCTCACCGTCGTAGATCCCGAGACTGGCCTTCTCGCATCGCCCCATACTATTGGAGAGATCTGGGTAGACTCGCCTTCCCTGTCGGGCGGGTTTTGGGCGCTGCGGAAACACACTGAGCAGATTTTCCACGCCAGGCCCTACAAATTCGAGCCCGGAAATCCTACCCCTATGCCGATCGAGCCAGAGTTCCTGCGCACAGGTCTTCTGGGCACGGTCATTGAGGGCAAAGTATTCGTTCTTGGTCTGTACGAGGACCGTATAAGACAAAAGGTCGAATGGGTTGAGCACGGCCACGAGATTGCCGAACATCGATACTTCTTCGTCCAGCACATTGTGGTCAGCATTCTCAAGAACCTGAGCAAGCAAGTTTACGACTGTTCGGCATTTGATGTCTTTGTAAACGATGAACATCTGCCCGTCGTTGTGCTTGAGTCAACAGCTGCATCGACAGCCCCCGCAACAAACGGAGGCCCGCCTCGGCAACTTGATACCGCTCTTCTCGACTCCATTTCTGACAAGGTCATGGAGGTGCTGATTCAAGAGCACCACCTGCGCGTGTACTGTGTCATGATCACCGCACCAGGGACCTTGCCGCGTGTGAACAAGAATGGCAGAAAAGACATTGGCAACATGATATGCCGGAGGGAGTATGACGCGGGCAATCTGCCTTGCGTGCATGTCAAGTTTGGGGTCGAGCACGCTGTGCTCAACTTGCCTATTGGTATTGACCCAATGGGTGGCATCTGGTCACACATCGCCTCGCACTCCAGAGTAGACATTCTGGGGCCTACTGACAAGCAATATTCGGGCATTGATCGTCGCGAGGTCGTTATTGATGATCGCACGTCTACACCGCTGAACAACTTCTCAAGCATCACCGACCTTATCCAGTGGCGAGTTGCGCGGCAGCCCGACGAGCTGGCATACTGCACGATCGATGGCCGTGGCAAAGAAGGCAAGGGCATCACATGGAAGAAGTTCGACACCAAGGTTGCTGCGGTAGCACTGTATCTCCGTAACAAGGTCAAGATACGGCCCCGCGACCATGTCCTTCTCATGTATACGCATTCTGAAGATTTCGTATATGCGGTACATGCCTGCATCAACCTCGGGGCGATTGTCATTCCGATTGCACCCATGGACGAGCGACGTCTGAGTGAAGACACTCCGGCATTCCTACATCTCGTTGCTGACTATGGCGTCAAGGCCGTTTTGGTCAATCACGAAGTTGATCATCTGCTCAAGGTGAAGACTGTGCAGCAACACATCAAGCAGTCAGCCGCTGTCCTCAAGATCAATGTGCCAAACGTGTACAATACGTCCAAGCCGCCAAAGCAGAACAACGGCTTGAGAGACCTAGGCATCACAGTTGATCCCGCGTGGGTGCAGAAAGGCTACCCAGTCATCATCTGGGCATACTGGACGCCAGACCAGCGCAGGATATCGGTCCAGCTGGGCCACGACACGATCCTCGGCATGTGCAAAGTGCAGAAGGAGACCTGCCAGATGACGAGTTCACGGCCTGTTCTCGGCTGCGTGCGGAGCACGACAGGCCTGGGATTCATCCATTCCTGTCTGATGGGCATCTACATTGGCACACCGACTTACTTGTTGTCTCCCGTGGAATTTGCTCAGACGCCAATGTCTCTGTTCCTAACCCTCAGCCGCTACAAGGTCAAGGATACGTATGCCACGTCTCAGATGCTGGACCATGCTATGAATACTATGCCGGGCAAGGGCTTCAACTTGCACGAGCTGAAGAATCTGATGATCTCGTCTGAAGCACGGCCGCGCGTGGACGTCTTCCAAAAGGTGCGCTTGCACTTCGCCGCGACAGGCTTGGACCGTACAGCCATCAACACGGTCTACTCGCATGTCCTGAACCCAATGATTGCGTCCCGGTCATACATGTGTATCGAGCCGATAGAACTGTGGCTGGATCAAAGGGCTTTGCGCCGTGGCTTGATCATCCCGGTTGACGCCGAATCGGACCCGAGGGCTCTGCTTGTCCAGGACTCCGGCATGGTGCCTGTCTCGACACAGATTGCAATTGTCAACCCGGAGAGCCGCCTCTTGTGCCACGACGGGGAGTACGGAGAGATTTGGGTCGACTCAGAAGCTTGTGCAAAGGCGTTTTACGGCTCTCGAGACCCCTTTGATGCGGAACGCTTCGATGGGCACACCATTGACGGAGATCCGAATATCAGCTACGTCCGCACCGGCGACCTCGGCTTTTTGCATAACGTGAGTCGGCCGATCGGCCCGGGAGGCACGCAGGTTGATATGCAGGTCCTCTTCGTGCTTGGTAGCATCGGCGAGACATTCGAGATCAACGGACTTAGCCACTTCCCCATGGATATCGAGGCATCCGTGGAACGGTGCCACCGTAATATCGTTCCTAACGGCTGGTAAGCACTATTCAAGAAGTGGACGAAGAAGGCATCAATTCACTAACTCATGACAATAGCGCCGTCTTCCAAGCTGGCGGGCTTGTGGTCGTCCTCGTCGAAGTCTCTCGCAAATCTTATCTAGCATCATTGGTACCCGTCATTGTCAACGCCATCCTCAACGAGCACCAGATTGTCGTCGACATTGTTGCCTTTGTAAGCAAGGGCGACTTCCCCCGCAGTCGGCTCGGAGAGAAGCAACGCGGACGTGTACTAGCTGGGTGGGTATCGCGAAAGATGCGCACCCTGGCGCAGTTTGCTATCCGCGACATGGACCAGGACTCGCGGTATGCCGCTCTCGAGGCTCACCGGGCTAGTGTCGGCAGCATCCGCAGCAGCATCCCCGGCGCAAGCTCCCTGCGCAACATGGAGCACGCGCCGCAGATCTTGGAGCATGAGGAAATGGCGCACCGTATGGACAGGATGTCCATGCTCCCGCCACCCGGCGAGCCCATCGAGATGCCCGCCGACTCGTCGCACCGGTCCTCGCCGTCAGGGGGAGGAGGTCCGCCTCCCGCTTTGGGCATCGATACTTCCATCGGCGGTCCGTCTAGCGGTACGCTGACCAACCAGGGAGACCAATCTGCCACGGCCGGACACGGTTATGAGCTGCCCAGCTTCAGCGAGTTTGGCGACACGCCGCTCACCGCGACCCAGGGGACTCCGCAGATCCGCCTGCCAGGCGTCGACGGGCGCGAGTCGCTCGACGAGGATGCAATGTGGGGCACCAGCCATAACCAGCATCAGTATGGTGATGATGGGGCTGGTGGCTATGGCCGTACACTCGGGGTTGTCAATGCAAGCGACAATGGTCTTCCAGGTGGACAAGATGACGAGGAAGATTGGACGAGAGACGCGATTATGCACATGAACCTGGCCTCTGGCGGTGGCGGTGGTGTTGCGAGATAGTCTTGGAGTCGAAGTTTAGGGTTGGAGAAATCAAACTAGGCGGCAAGGGGGTGAGTGACGGGGAGAAGCAAAGAGACCGACAAGCCAAGCTTTAGTAACATATGGGTACATATATATATATATATACCAAAGAGTCACGATTTGAATTTTTAGAGAAGCTTTGATATTTTCTTTCAGGTTTCTTGTGCGCTAGCACATTCATAATGTCCTCGTATATACAAGGTTGGCTTGGTAAGGTCTATATGCCGTAAAAAATGTCGTTCCCGAGCACAATATTTCCCCGCTTATACACTATAATGCTCTTTGTTTCTCTCGTGTGTGTACCTGGGCTCATGCCCCGATGACGTTGAGTTATACATGGGAACTCATCCTCTGCCGGGGGAAAAAGAATGCGCCGAATTAAGACGCTGCCAGGCGTGTCTAGTTCGCCTCTTCGTTGTGGCCTTTAGGCCCCGCGGTCGAGTAATCTGTGCTGACGAAGGCGCGGTCGACCTCGTTCAGCCCCTCGGCGCAGTACTGCAACGTCTCGGCAATGTCGTGGGCATCGCGCAGCTTCGTGTTCGGATCGAGCAGGATGTCGAACTCGACCCAGACGCCGTCTCCGGCGTGATATGCGGTGATGCTCTTGACGCCGTCGACGATGGGGCTGAAGCGGTATGCGAGGTACATGAGCTTCTGCTGGATCTTCTCGTCGGCGGCCTCGCCGGAGAGGCGGGTCACGTTCTCGAAGCATGTGTGGCCCCAGTCGTAGATGATGAATAGAGAGAGAAGGCCGGCGCCCACGGGCTGTTCTGCGTGTTAGTGCATGATATACGAGCCTACAGGAAGTGGGCAAACCAGGATGCGCTTACATCCAGCCACCAGATGTTGGCCTTGGCACCAATGAAAGGGAACAGCAAGGAGAGAGTGTTGAAGATGACGTCTGTCTTGCAGTCCTGCGCAAGTGCCTGCACCTGCGTGGTCTTGATTGGCACACACCCGATACCGATGATGCCCTTGATGATAATGGTTGCCAGGAGCGCGGCGATGGCTGTGGTCCCGAGCATCTCAGCCTTGCCCTCTAGTGGCATGATCTTCTCTACCGATTCCTTCAGGATCTGCAGGAAGGAGATGACCATGATGATGGAGAAGACGAGAATGCCGATCGGCTCAAGACGTTTGCGGCCCACGGGGAATTTCCGCTTGAGGGCACTTATACGCCACTGCACCAACTTGTTGGTCGACCACACAATGACTGTACAGAGTAGATCAAGGGCAGAGTCGACAAGCGACGCAATCAGTGATAATGAGCCCGTCGATAAAGCAGCCACAATCTTGCCGATGAGCAGGGCAATGTTGACAAGCACGTTGATGTTGATGGCCCACTTTGCCTTCTTCTCCGCGCGTGCGCGCTTCTGCTTCTCCTCGTCAGGGAGGAGCTCGGCGATGTTTCCTTGGACGGCTTGTATACCGCCGGTGCGCTCTAGGTCGCCGTCGTGATCCGGGTCCGGATCCATGGACTCGAAGACATCGTCACCAATGGCCATGACGACGGCGTCGACCTCGAGCCAGTCATTGAGGCGGGAGTTTTGGCGCTCGTAGAACTTGCGGACCTGTTTGTTCTTGATCTGCTTGAGCTCGTCGTCGGACTTGCGGAACTCCTCGAGGCCGTCATGGTCAATGTTGTGAAGGAGGGCCTTCTTCAGCTCCTCGCGGCGCTGGTCCTCGAGGGCAGTGCGGGCGGCATCCTGGAAGCGAAGGACGTTTGGGCGAGGGCGAGAGGAGCCGTTATGATGAGCAGAGTAGTCTCTGCGACCTCGCTCGAGGTCGTCTAGGGGGCGGCGGCGATTTGTCGAGTTGCCATTGGCAAGAGGCTGGTGGCCGCTGGCCTGGGAGTTGCGGGAGTCTGTGCGAGCAAAGGCGTTGCGTTTGCCGACCATGGCTGTTGAGAGGGATGGTTTCTTTGACTACCTACCTTAAGGTATGCTCGCCAGCCCCCGCGGCCGAAATATTGTAGCCCTATGGTATTCTTGAACAGCAGCACCGACCCTTGGGAAGAAGCCGCAGCGTTGCAGTGTCAATCCGCGGAAGGTGCCGTTCAAGATTCTGGGGAAGGCGCGTGTTAGAGGTGCAATGACGTCGTGCCAAGGCGGGTGCCTGCCTCCGGGAGCAGGGATCACAGGTGGAGTGTGAGCTTGGTGGCGTGCTTCTTTTGGAGCCAATCTGAGCTGGATCTAAGCAAGCCAAGACAAAAGAATGGTGTGCAGGAAGAGACGAGCTGGACAGGCAGTACCAAGAAGAAAAAGAGAGGGAAGTCAAGCAGTCATTAGCAGAGACGATGATCTAGTGCAACGACTCAGGGCTGTCGACTGGCACCGTGACCCGGCTGGAAAAGCAGGGCAGCAAGCACTGGCGCCGGACATTTTCAAGGTTGGAAATGGGGAAAGCATGTCACTGTGGAGTCGACGCCCGGCACACGGCACCATCACAGAGACAGAGACAGGCGAGCAGCCGTCATCACCTCGCTCCAGAGCAGCTCGCACCAAAGCTTGTCATCAGCGTCATCAAGTAAAGGACCGCAAGCACAGCAGCATGCTGAACCCCTTGTGGACCACCCACACCTCCTGCAATAACCACGCGGGGACAAGTGAACGTATACTGGGCATCAAGGGCTTAATCATCAGACAACCAACACAAAGCAAATAACACCAGGCCTGTCCCAAATCCGCCAGCCTTTCCAGCCTTGTAACACCCACCAGACTACCTCCCTTGCATCTGCCCCATCGGGATATATCCACTACCTCCTCTTCTCATCTCCCACGGCGCGACCAGCACCTCCGTGTCCCCCCGGTACCGCTTCCTCGCCAGCGCCCTCCCGCACCGCGAACACTCGTGGTCCGTGTCGGCCAGGCAGTGCGTCAGGCACGGCACGACCGCCAGGCAGAAGCACATTGCGCCAAGCCCAAGACCAGCGAGGCTGAATGACCCCATCAATCATTTATGTGTGAGCAGGTAGGATGTCCTTTACTTGTTCGTTTTGCGGTGCGCGGCTTGATTGTCAAAAAAAAAGTGGATGAACAAGTCGAGACAAGGGAAACAGGAAATCAAAGAGCCGCAAAAGTGTGTGTGTGTGTGTGATCGAGAAAAGGGTGTGGAAAATGATGATGGGATAAAACACCCGGGCGTGCTGTTGCTGAGAGGAAGGATAATAATTGCTTGAAGTACTTACCACGTGTACTTGGAGTTGTGCTTGCTCACCCGGCTCATCCCCCTGGCGCCGCAGTGCGGACAGTCCACCACCGCTTCCGCCTCGGCGAGCAAGTGCAGGGGTGTCGTGGGAGGTTGCTTCCACGGCTGTCCGTCCAGGCTCTGTGCCCCTGGCCCTGCTACGGTGCCCGCCGGTCTCACCGCTCGTCCTGCTCCAGCGCGCAGAGGAGAGGCGTTTGCGCCCCCCGTGGCGGCGACATATGACGGCGGCGGCGCCTCCTCGTCCCCGCTACTGCTGCTGCCCTGCGTGGTGTCCGTGGACGAGCGAGATGACGACTTGGTGGAAGACGGAGGAGGAGGGGGATGAGGGCCGCCGCTATGGTGAAGAGCCTCGTTGACGCGCGGCTGGTGTGCGCGTACTGGGGGCGCGGGCAACATCGTGGGGCCTGCTGTGGTGCTTGTCGTCGTCGTCGTGTTGACGATGGTGCCGGACGGGAAGAGCGAGAGTGCCTCCTGGGGCTTACTGAGCTGCTTCTCCGTTGCGCTTCGTGCCGCCGCCGAGGAAGGAGAACGAGAAGGCGGCCGGGAGGTTGAAGGAGAAGAGCCCGGTCGAGCGGAGGGCGCCGAAGAGGGTGAGGCTGATGGCGAGGAGGAGCATGGTGCCGACGTTGACGACGAGAAGGGGTTGTTGGGCGCGAGGTCGGGAATGGGCGGTTTGTGGTCGCGGGGATAGTAGTCGCTTGTGACCGCCGGGGACATGTTCTTTCGTCTTGCCGAATTATACGGGTGCCCAGCTCTGGTGGGATGGCGACGATTGATGCAGGTTTTACAACGGTCCAAGACCTCTAGGCTCGACTGTGTCTGCTTCGGGGTGTGCAAGCAGTTGTTATTCAAGGCGCGTGCCGCCCCCGGGAAACCTGGAGGACCTTTGATTTGTGTTTATATCTCACTCCTCCGCATGATCCCATGGATCACCCATGAGTAGCCAGGACTTGCGTATCGGTTCGCATTGGCATTGCTGGATCGGCTCTTCATGCGTATTACTACGAACGGCCCCTATGAAAAGCCCCACAACTTGATCCAGCCCGTCCCGGAGCGGCATTGATTTAACTGAACTCTAGAAGAGCGAAAAAAGAATACCAAAAGTGTTGGTTGCAGCTTCGCCCTCTCTCCTTTGGAAGAAAAAGCCCGATCGGCGGGCGGGCTTGGCCGGGGTTTTCCAGGAACACGGGGCGGGGCCGCCGGGGGTTCGAGAAATTCTCCGGTGCGCCGGGCACTTCCGAGTGGGGCGGGCCGATCACAACGGGCCGCAGGCGTCACTCACTCTCTTGACCACCTGGGCAACTCCCATCCTATGAACGACGGAAATCCTTGGGTCCATCAAAAAAGAGTCTTTTTCGTCAAAAGAACATGCAGAAATGAACAGGTGATTCTCTGGAATTATTCTTCGCAGAATACACAGGTGCTCCACGCAATGTCTCCATGATTCATTGTTGTCATCGACGGCGATGCTGATTTTTTCGTGAGATACGGCTGTTCAGGTATGCTGTCTTCAACTCTGATCCACGAAAATCCGAGTCCACATCACGTCTTATATCCAATCACACAGCTCTACATGGAAAAAGAAAAAGGTTTCCTATGCTTTGCGACCAGTGAGCACCGCAAATTGGAACTTGCCACCGTGTTCGAGAGCGTCCCGGACCAACCGGTCCTCAAGGTTGTCCGTCACCGAGGCTGGGATCTGTAGGCCAAGTTCTGATGCCAAAAAGAAGGGGCAGAGCGTTAGCCCTCGGCCTGAGTACAATTTCTAGGACAGACGGTAAAAAGAAAAAAAGGGGGCGGGTTCGAAACTTACTCTCGCAGGTCGCGACCAAAGTCTTGATTGTCAACTGGAAGGGGCCCACGGAAAGGAGCTGCAGCTTCCTGTCCTCCGACACGTCCTTGCCGATCGGCGCGTCCACCACGACGACCCGCACGTCCTGCAGCCCGGCGTCCTTCATCACCCCCTCCAACCCCATCGGGAAGCCCTTCTGCAACCCGATGGCGGCAAACACGCTGCTCAGCAGCGTCTTGAAGTCCTTCAGACTCTGAGTCTCGCCATCGCCATCATCGGCGTCGTCGTAAGCTGTCTTGTCGTCGTCTCCTCCATAGGGAGTGTACAACCTCATCTCCATGATCTGCAGCCACCCGCCCGACTTGAGCCCGTCGACGAGGTTCTGCACCGCGGCGGCCTCCTTGCCGACGACCCCGGCAAACATGAGGCGCACGTTGGCGAGGTCAAACACGCCCTGCAGGTCGCCGGGCAGCGGCGTGAGCACGTCTTGCGCGAGATACCGGTAGTTATCTGGGGTGGCGTCCTTGGCGGGCAGGAAGGACTTCATGAGGTCGACGCCCACGAACGATGTCGAAGACGGCAGGCGTGTCGACATTTCGCGCAGCAGCGTCCCTTTGGGGTACATTGTCAGTCTCGTGTCAGTTGATTCTGGCGGCTTTGCCCTTGGCGGCATCCGTGGTGTGTCAGGTAACGAAAGCACCAGTAAGGTTGCACTTATCCTTTCTGCTGGATGTTATGGTTCATCACGCAAAGAGAACGGGGGAATAAAGAAGGTCAGGTACACGCCATCAGCGCAAGCCATGTCGAGAATCTTCATTTCCTCCCGGGCCGTGTCGAGCGGCGCGAAGAAGACCTGCCCCTTGAGCGCGGCCATGAACTATTCGTGCTGGCGCTGCAGGCGCTCGACCTCGGTGCCTGTCCCGGCGAGGAGGTACTCGGCGTCTTCCGGGGAAGTGGTGGCCGCCTGGTTGTTGATGGAGGACATGGCTGGTCTGTGCGTGGAGGGTAAATCAGGTAAATATTGGTCTTGGATTATGGCGGTCGTGAGGCGTGTGGATGGCTTTTTCGCTGAGTCGCGGTCGCTGACTTGACGTGAGTTGATTTTCGTTCTCTTGTCCTCCGTCAGAAGGTTGAGTTGGTACAGGTAGGTCAATATATCTGCAGAAGACCAAGACACAATGGGAGATTTATACATGTCTACATCCTCTATAAGACAACAGCGGCAAAGCAACGCAGGACGTTCCGACCCTTCCCTCTCTCTCTCTCTCTCTGCAATAGCCTTTTGCTTGAGACATACCCGTGCTATCCAATTACATCTTTGCGTGACCGAGGCCAAGTTTCGAAAGGGCCCAAGCATCGACTGCGGGCCTCTCACTCCTCCAATCCGGTGGCTGGACATAAAGCACGCTTCTCACGTCGAAACCTCGCTTTCGAAATGGAAAAGGCTAACCGTGCTGACAAGGACCAGGTTCTGATCTTCCATCCCTGCTGGAGTTTAGAAGTGAGCTCTCCAAGCTGTGATCTGCGGTGATGGGCTTGCACGAACCCTGTACTTCTTCATGCTTGGTGCTGATGCTGATGCTGAGAATGTTGCCGAAAAGTGTCCGACCCACTCGCCGCCGAGCTTACAAAGGTTCGGTGGTCAAGCATCGCAGCGTACTTATATCTTTCCACCGAGCATGGACCTGGGAACTGCAATTAAATAATCGAGATCTGCCCAAAGAACGCAATGTCTGGGCTCTACATATAAGCAACGTCCCAAGACCGCCCCCCCCCCCTTTTTGAATTTTGACCTGTGCAAGTGGCCGCTTATTGTTCTCGAGGGCTGTCGCTGGCTGTAGCTCTGGCTGTGGCTGCGGTCATGCAAGTAGACCCAAGTCACGGAAAAACTGCAAGGCTTTTAAGCTTCTGACCCAGGGTTGGGGACTACCCACGTCCGTCTGACAGCAGCCGTAGCGCGGTTGGAGTAGTTTGGGTTACAGGATGTCGATGGAGAGCTGGTTAGGCCAAGCACGCAGATTCGCTTGGCCATTCTCATACGTACGCAGTGTTTGTCGCCTCACAATGATTTACACCACCGCAACATCACCACCTGCGTGCCGTGCAGGGTCTTGCAGCATGCCTTCACATGATACATTCCAAGCACGAGCATTTCGACCAGACGTAATTATTCCTCAATTCACTATAGGTATTCGAGAAAAGGGACTGCCATGTTGCTTGTTCTGGTATTATCGCGGCTCGTCTCGGTCCGTTCACAGGGTAACGAAGGCCTGGACGACACCTCGCATGAGCTCGGGCTTCGAGTCGGTGAAGTTGCTCACGTCGCCAAAGATCTCCTTGGCCTCCTCGCTCTGCAGGGCCTTGTTGACCCTATCATCAGGCAAATCGCGCGTCATGGTTAGCCAATGCGTGTTTTTGACTCGTTCTAAGCCCAATTCGAGACGCTGTGGTCATTCTCAGGGCAGGGGGGGCCATAGAATGACGAGGGGCAATCCGCAGAGATGATGGGAGCACAGGGCTATGACTTACTGCTCCTCAGTCTCCCACTCAAGCGAAGCCTGCACGCTGAAGGGCGAGTTCTCGTCAAACTTGACAACCTTCCAGCTCTTGAGGCCGAAAGGACCCCAGCGGGCCTGGACGAGGGGCCTGGATTGAATCGTCAGTGATGAATTCTCCTCCTTTTGATTTTTATTGTCCATTTGTCCATGTGCATGTTCCCCGGACGCTCAAGTGTGTAAAGAGCCCAGCTCTGGGTGGGACACAAAGCTTAATGATCGACATCGGCCATGCGCAGAAAGACGGTGTCGTCTGCAGCAAGGGCTTCGTGCTGCGCGGGCGGGTTGTACGTGTTGTGTGATTGCTGCCCTCGAGTTCCCTGCACAACCAGCAAGCTGCGAGACAGTGAATGCCAAGCCAAGAGCCCCTGCTGTGCTTCCCTCGTGTTCAAGAGATGCACTCGTACGGCGGACGGAAAGGGATTTCGGGCGGGCAAAGAGTCGAACAAAGGCTGACAAAAGAGGGGAATCGGAGACAGAGCTGGATGATTGCAGGGTCGACTGACATGTGGGTGGAGAGGTAGTACTCCATGTTGAAGTTGGCACCCTTGGGGTAGGCAACGCCAATGCTGATGGCCATTTTGAGGTCTACTTGTGTGATGTCTGAGGCGGAAGAGGGATTGTTCCAATTAGCATGGTCTCTTTGTCTTCCTAGTAGTGCTCAGAGTATTTGATCTGTTGACCAGCTCATGACAACGAGGGGTCACCATGGCCAAAGCCAAGTCGGCGACAATGTTGATGCCGTCATTGAGCTCAGGAAAGACATGGGGGAGTCGACCGCAGGCCGTGTGCCTTGACATACCCGTGTTGACTTTGACTTTTTGGTTTGTAGTTTGCAAGCTTTGTTCTGTGGAGAAACAAGGATCAGTGTGTGAGAGAGCAAGAATGCAAACTTGGCGGCCGCCCTTGGGTTATTTATCAGATCCCACTGCTGGGACGGCCGCATCCGCCTTGCACCCAGAAGCCCTGACGACAAAGGGTCCTTGCTTGCCGAGCGCGCGTTGGCTGCTGGTGCTCCACGTGCGGAACTCGGCCGCCGGCACTTTCTTTTAGCACCCACTTTAATCATTCGAGCTCGTGCTTACATCATCAATTCTTTTGTTCCATGCATTTCTTAACCGAGGGTTGGCTTTTCCAGCGAGCACATTCGAGTCGACTGCAAATGGGCTCTTTGCCGTCCATTCCGTGCCTTCAAACAGATGCAATTGTTTGTGCCTGTGAACCCCCCAGAAAGCTTTGGATCCCAGATATGCACGCTGCTTTGAACTCCCCGAGGAGCTTGAAGCCATTTAGCGATGCGGCACCCCGCATCCTCATGCCACACAGTCAGTCTCCCCCGCGCCAGGGGGCCCTGCGGACGTCCGGAAGGCGGGCCCAACACGTCACCAAGACGGCCATCAGTCATGTTTGGCCCAGCTGTCCGACGATACATCCTCTGCGCGAGGGAAAGGTCTCGACTGGTAGGTTTGGATACGCACTCTGCGGGCTCACGTAAGACCACGACATGTACTTGAAGCCTCCAAGCACTCGTTGTTCAAAGTCTCCATAGAGACGGTTGCATGGGGCTTTCGGGCATGTCAAGCTGCTGCTAATTACCCAATTAGGCCAGCGAGCAGCCAGCGCTGGTTGGACCAACTCAGCGGTGTCAGGGGTCGACTCTTGGGAATATGGCGGCTGGTATGGTTTGCGCGCAGGTTCACCGTGAACTTGAACTACTCATGTGACCAAGCCGCCAATTTTGGTCTGGAAGAAGCCTGGTTTACATGTCCAGAACTGGACATAGGTGTCATGCCATTCCGCATCCAGATGACCGACCATGGCTCGTTGGTGCATAACCCAAGATGAAAGGGTATGCTCTCGACCCCATGGGCTCCGTCCAGTGGCGGCTTTCCTTCGAAACTTTTTGTCCTAGACGTTTCACCTAGTTGAACGAAGTCCTACTCCCTGGTGGACCTGAACTTCATCGGATCGTCGATCAACGCCGCTGCTGCTTCACTCCCTAGGTCGCCTAGTCGCATTTCCGGATAGAGCGCGCGCACGGTCTCGAGGAGAAGCTCTCGATCAACTGGGTCTTGTAACAGATCCCTTTTGCGAGATGCACACTGGCTAACCCAAATGCAAAGGGCACCCAGCGGGGACGACTGCGTGTAGTCCACAGTCGTTCTGTACTCTGACTTGACCAGGCCCTCCAGGCTAAAAACTTTGTCAAGAGGGTCTTGGCAGAACCTCCAGCCATGCATAGCAACGGCTTCGAAAGAGGGCAGGCACCCGGCTGTGTCCATTGATCGGCACCTGAGTATGATGAGATGGATTTCGAGAAGAGAGAGCATACGCGGGAGTAGCGATGCCAGAGGATTGCGAGCGATCTCGCTCGTCTGGTCATCGTATTTCTCCAATCCGAACGCGCGGCGCCAGCGCTCCTCATCGAGACCCAGTCCTGATCTGCCGAAGTGATAGCTTTGTGATCCAGACCAGAAGATCAGTTTTCCAGCATAGATGACCTCTTGGACAATCCACAGGCGAGTCAAATACTCACAAGTGAGTAGCTCTTCGACGGCGGCCAAGCCCTTCGCCATCCCCGGTTCTGCCGCATCGAACTTGGTCTCTGACTCGAGAAGCTCAAGTGTATCCAGTGCCAGCACGGTGGAACGATACTCGAGCCCGAGCCAGGCATAGACTGCTTCTGCACTCGGATACAAGAAGCACATCAGTCCAACCTGGATGCTACGCTCTCTCGTATCATGCTGATTGATGCAGAGCTGGTCAATCCAGAAGAGTCGCCCATCGAGAACGCCAGGCCCATCACTTGCTGTGTCCGACTGAATGAGAGCAAGCAGTAGCTGGCACAAGTTTTCGCTCACGAGGAAAGACTTCTGATTAACGGTAATTATCCTCGGAGTCGAGGCCTGCGATCCCCAGCAATACGAGACCGCAGTGAATCGAACAAGCTCTTGAGAACTCGGTCCATCAATACCGGCAAGAGCAAGCGCTACCCGATCGTCCTCGTCAAAACTGGCATCTGCGCCCACGCTCTCATCACGTTTATGGTCATCGATCCCGGGCAGAGCATAGTGTGATATCTCAATGACAGTCTCAGATTCCTGGCAGTTTGCCTGGCCCTCACAATCCTCGCCTGACTGATAGTAGCCTTTGTGGCATAATCTGGAAGTTGGTCAGCAGAAAGATAGGCGCGCGGCGGTGCTGTCTGTATGTTGCCGGCACGAACCTGAAGAGTCGGATCGTCCGCCCAGGGTCCTGGAGCGGAACGTGCTGAAAATAAGCGTCCGTGCCGATGTTCGAGCTTGTTCGGGCAGCCATTCGCGGGAGGTTTGCTTTCATGTCGACGAAGAGAGTGTGTGAGCCATGAGCGTACTGCGGAGGGGCCGTTTGACCAATACGTCAATCGTGACTCGACCTTTTAATAGAATACTTGACTTGTCCAGAAACAAGCTGCAAACAGGGATTGGTAAGGTCACATGAGCAGTGAGGACGGGAGCAGGTGCCAAGCACACAGCGCAGCAGGCAGCCGCCGCTTCCAGCCAATGGAATCATGAAAAAGGCCCGCGGCCGTGCTCGATCGTGCTTTCCTCAGGCCATCGCCTACGGGAAGAGGCCTGAAGTGCTGGAGATGGACGACAGCCGAGAATCAGAATACTTCTAACATTTACCAAAATGTGAAAATTTGCCCGGGACATACTGTGGGATGAGAGAGAGAGAGAGAGAGAGAGAAAGAGAGAGGCCGAGCCCGAGAGCCACAGCTCCCTAGTCACCTAGCTTTTCCCTTGCTCCGTCGTAACGTCGGTGTTTGAACTCCACAGGACTCCCATCAAGGACGCACTGTTATCAGTCCATGGGCACATGTAGCCCTGCAGAGGACCTCATCTTCTTGACTCTTCACCCTCGTCATAAGAAAGATTCATCGGTAGCAGATCTCCGCACTCATGGTTGCCGGAGACGAACCAGCTCAGAGATGCTCGGTTTCGAGGACAATTACTCTGCGACAATGTCAGCAAATTTCGCAGAAATCTCATTGCCAATGCAGGACTGGGTCAATGGATAGCAGACTTCGAGCGTACAGGGTCAAATCTGTGCTCCTGCCGCTCTGCATATTGTCCACGGCGCGAATGTCTTATGAAAGAAGACACTCAGCCTTACACGACCGCACCGTATCGCACCATTAAACTTAAAAGCCGCATGATCGTGCCACCGCTATGAATCAGCGACTTTTGAGTTCTGGGACCTGCAGTAGCTCCCGCGCTGAACTAGCGATTTGTGGTGCCAAATCGACCATCGTCAAACACACAAAGGCAATTCTGTCGATGGATAGAGTCGTTGCGAGAACCAGGCTCTTCATGCAGAAAACCACTTCATTGAAAGTATGGCCGTAATCAGTGTGGTTTGTGCTGCTGCTGCGAGCGATAAGCGCGAAGGGACTTGGGGCGGATTTGTACTGCCGGGCATTGGAATCTCTTTTTGAAATGTCACCGATTTGCAACAGTCGGCTTGAAATAGCGCTTCCTCATCATATTCAGGCCCTCAAAATGCCGCTGGTGATGCTGGCAAAGATCGCTCCTCACGCTGTGCCATGCTCAGCTCTGTCTCATGGCAAGTGCCCGAAGGAAATACTCGACCATGCAGACCAAAAACCCATTGCGTCCAATTATTCTTGGCAACTTATAGAAAGAATCCGACGACAGAGAAAAGAGTATACATTGGGCGCCGTTGACAGCAGCGGGCTGCTGTGAGCGTGTGGAGTTTGACACAGAGCCCTCCTTCCTCCGCCATCGTCAGGCCCAGGAACTTTGGCCTTGACTTTTTGGATGTTCTCCCAGCTATGCCAGGATCGCACATACTGCCGTGGCGTCTTGATTAGTCTGGTGACGGTTCTGAGGGTATGGTTCAACCCGAATAGTGACAAACACGGTGGCGGCGGCCAGCGTGTATATTTCACGATCGTTTGTGCACACACTGGAGCCGGCCAAGACATTTATTTCGATGCCGCAAACGCTTGCTCCGCCCTCGCGCGAGTGATCCGCCCTGCGGAGGAGGCCTGGATGGCTGGACAACATTCATGATACTGGCATGAAGCGGCACCCGGTACCATCGCTCTTGACAACGAGTAGCTCACTTCGGGTGTATCGTCTAGGTTTCCTGATGCGCCGATAGAGATAACAACACATTCTTCAGCGAGCCACTTTGACCAGCAAGACAAAGGGATTGGGCACAACTTCCGCCACATCGAAGCTGCACCGCCAATGTTGCGACGATGAGGAGCGCTTTCAGGCGCCGCGGGCATAATCAGGAGGGCTAGCTCTGCGAAAAGGCACATAAAGAAATTCGAAATGCAAAGCATACTGTCGGCAGCCTGCCCACCTAGCGGGCAACGAGCGCACGCCCGTTGTCCGTTGATGCAGATGTGTGTCCCGGATGGCGGGGCTCCAGAAGCTCCGCGTGGCAGGCAGGTGTCCCGACGCGCTGTGGAATGTTCGTGGTGGCTGGAGGGGGAAGACGGAAGTGCTCCACGCCTGAGACACAGAGCGGGATGGGTGGAGACTGTGAGACATGAGGACTGAATGCGGCACCAATGTCGTCGACTTATTCCTTTGTTCGTCCCCAGTTGTCTACGAGGCCAAACCAGCCTGCCACGCTCGGCTATTCTGGCTGCGTCACGACGAAGCTTAGCACACATCGGAAGCGGGCTGTGTTGCCGGTAATCGACCTTCTGTGCAAGACCCCCGCTGACCACGCCACTAGGCAAATATGTCAGCAGAATCGGCACGAACGGATGCGAGTCACAATCTGATGCCAATGAACCGACAGCGACGACGGCAAGATGATCCGTTGGGCATGATACCATGCAAAGCTCAGCCGTCCTGGTGTAGAGACGCACGAACGGGGAGCGCTTAAAGAAGAAGCAACGCTCTAGCGTGGTTGAATGTGTCTCACACCCGGAAGCTGCCGCAAAATCGAAACGAGAGACGTCCATATTATGCGTGACCAGGGTCGCCGCCGCGGTGTTGCCGCTATTACAACTTTTGCAACATGTTGGGATGCGGGGGGCCGCACACACGCGTGTCTCTGGACCAGCGTGCGGCCACTGCGCCCGAGATTGGGGAACGGCCGAGCTCGTGCGGGCGGCGCTCTCCTTATTGCTGGCGGGGCGCTGGGACTTCTGTGGTGGTATGTAATACTGGCAAGATGAGATGAACCGGCAGCCAGGAGGAAATTGAGCTGCTAGCGCCCCGACCAACTGGGCCTAGGCGGGCGATCACACGCTGTCTCATATGCGGCAGCACGTGGTGCGAGGTCTGCATAGAGTTGGTCTCGGGCGAAAGCAAAAATGGCCGCAAGTGGCGCTGGCCTGGCCGACGTAAGAGGGCGCACCGCCGGTGAGTGAAACAGTTCAGGCGAGGTTCAGTCTCCTTGACAATTCGCAAGCGTGCAGCTACTTATCTAGAGGAGCCGGTCCAGCAAAAGTTGAGCGCGGGCGGGAAACCCGAGTGTCTTCTGGCGCTGCTCAACGTGCCTTCCCTGAACCCTGGCGGCGCGCCTTCCATCCCGGGCTGGGCTCCTCTCTCTCCACCACCAGACCTCCACACCACCACCACACAAGGGTCCCCATTTGACGTTTCGTCGAAGGGATGCCTGCCTCGCCCTTCTGGCACCACAATTGGCCCGCCAGCCGCGTCGTGGCTCATCACAGCAACTCCTCTCCTCCCGGCCCCCTTGGCCGCCTCTCACGCACCAGTATCAGATACGCCCGCCGTCGAGACGATTCTGCCCCCCTGAGTTGCCTGCCCGACTGGCTTCAACCTGCCGCTCGTCCTGTTGGCGCAGCTTAACCACCACCATCGTCTCTGCACCAACTTTTCGAGATCCCCGGCGACGCAGTTCGATCAGCACGCCAACTTGACCCGATTGCGCCAGGCCTGCCCCTAGAGCTTCCACAAGGGTGGCCGCTAACTCCTTCCCGGACTCTAGCGCCACTGTGCCCACGCAGCTTGACCCGACCTCCCCCTACTCAGGCCCCTGTCTTCCGACCCCTATCAATAATTATCTCGCCTTTACCTGCACTCGAGGTCGCACCACCCTCGCCGCCCACCAGTCGTGGCTTGCAGCTCGCCCGTTCTCGACTTCCGGCTCCCCTGGATCGCATCTGGCCTATCTGCGACACTCTGGCGCAGCATTTCGATTCTTGCAACCGACACCACACCCCGCGGCTTCTCAAGACCGCAACTACTGCTGCCATCTGCGGGCTTCAGTGAATACACTCCCGCAGACGCCAATTGCCGACATCCTCGCCGGTGGACCCTTGGCTGTGCGCACTCTCACGTTTCCCGGGCAAGTCCGCGACCGTTACGCGCGACTAGCAATTGCTTCTCCAGCTTTCCAGCGAGCCGAGTCTGGCATCTTACGAAACAGCAAGGTCGAAATAGCAAGGTCTACAGCAGCGACAACGGTAGTCGTCGTTCCTCCGGCAGGTAGCATGCTTCCAGGAAGTCGGCTTGTCGCAGCGCATCCAGGAATCGATAGGCTCGACAGCTAAGGGCAGCACGGGTGATCGCCTTGTGATACATAAAGCATGGCGCTCAACGGCCTTGACCACGCGAGCATACAAGAGGCATTTGCAGCCGCTGCCAACGAGACTGGCGGATGGTGAGTACCAGAACATTACACTCTGCCGATACATGCCACCCCCACGGTACCATGCCAGAGAACGGGGTTGAACACTACTTAGACCATGGCGTACTCCCATCTGTGGCGCTGCAGTGATTCCGTTCCAGCTTTTGCAGCAAGCTGACCATCATCCGTTTTTGCCAGGTTCATACTCAAATATGTGTCCCGCGACGAAGTCGAGCTCTACGAAAAGGGCACGGGCGGCGTCACAGAATGCCGCAATGCTATCACAAAGTATGAAGAACCATCGCCGCTATACGGCTTCTTGAAATACCGTCGGCGGAGCGTTGTTGTAAAGTATATGCCTGAGGATTGTTCCCGGCTTATTCAAGGTATGCGAGAAGAGCCCCTGGCGAGGCTCGAGCCCTGTGGAACCTGGCTCATCCTTTGTGCTACTTGCCTGGCTTTTATTGGACATGAGCTGACTTTCGACCGTCACACAGCCCGCGCTGCCGTCCACTTTACCGCCGTCTGCGAGCAGTTCGTCCCGCACGATACTGTTTTCGAAATCTCAACTGCCTCCGATCTCAAAGACTCAAAGCTTTCGTCTGCCTGTTCTTTGCACGCAGCTTCCGGGTCCCAGTCATCCTCGAGCAGTTCTACTCGCCGGCGCAGGTTAGGCGAGATAGCGGAGGAAGAGGAAGAAGAAGAGAGAGAGAGGAAAAGACAGTCCGTTGTACATGAGGAGGACAGACCGTTGAGTCCCGGTCGGCCTTCCGAGTCGAGTGACGGCAGTGCACCAACCAGGGTTGAGAGTCCTGTTGTGCTTGACCCGGATCAGACCACATCCGCGGAATTTGCGACCACGGCAGATGTTCCAATTTTTGAAGGTATCGAGACCCCAAGCTCGCCGACTGCGTCGGAGTACAGTCGGCGCATGTCCTCGCAATCTGCACGCACAGAACGGTATGGCAGCCTGTACAGCAGGCCCAAGGTCAAATTGGGGCCTCGGCCATCCCTCGAAGCTACAAAGAGACCTCACACAGCCGACAACTTTCGTCCTACAGCAGCCTTACCAGCAGGCTTCAAAGGATTCTCGAAAGGATCAAAGAAGGGCAAAGCGGACGACAAGACCAATAACGACGAGCACGACAACTCACAACCCGCCAATCCTGACGTCAGTCTGGGGCAAGCCTTTGTGATTCCGGAGGATGCAGCCGCGGACCATATTTCACTTCCGCCGCGGCCGGCGACGAGCTCGGGAGCTTCCGTCAAGTCGGTGTCAACAATCATGAGTTCAGCAACAAAGGAGAACAAGATGACACCCGAAAAGGCCCGTCTCATGAAGGCTATGAAGATGCGCGAGAAGAAGAAGAAAATGAATAATGCGCAACCAGGACCTCCCCCCACGCAAGAGTTGCCACCACCGCCCTCAAGAGACGTGGACGGCAATGCGGATGCAAAAGCAGAGTCGGCCGAGGAAACGCCAGGTTTGGTTAGACAGGGGCCTGTAATTGCTGCTGCTGCCGAATCACCAGAGAGCCGTTCCGCGACCTCCGATGCGACATCTGATCATAGCGCTTCCGACTCCCGGCCGCCATCTGCTGCGGCGGCATCGGTATCAGAAATTGGAGATTCGACACAAGCGTCGTCCATCTCAGACTCAACAGATGAGACCATTCAGCCACGGAAACCATCGATTGGGGAACTCAGTGATGGGGAAGACGACGGGCCAGAGGAAATCGCAGAGATATTGGAGGAAGCCGGTCTCGATCTCCATGCGAACGAGCGCAGTGACACACTGAGCTCTGCGGAGACGGTAGCGGACACTGTGCAGCCGAATGCGTCGCCGTTGGCCTCCGAGGAGCCGATAGTACCAACCGGAGGTGACCAGGTGCTGCCTGGTGCTGTTGAATCGGTGCAGGAGGTTGTTGTGGATGATACAACTGCCAAGAAAGCGCCAATAGGTAAACATAGCCACGACTCCGACATCAAGACGACGATTGTCCAGCTGCCAGCTCAGAACGAGGAAACAACATCGACACCCCCAGACGAGACTTTGTCGGCCAAAGTCCCACTCGACGATCAGAAGTCCTTCTCATCATCAAAATCCCCAAGAACGCCCAGTCTGAAGAGCAAATTCTCGACGCAGGATCTGAGAGCCGCCACTGCCGCGACAGAGCCGGTGCCCTCGTTGCCACAAATTATTGCGCACAACAGCTCTTCAGCCGGCTCCCAGAGAAGTAATGTTGACGGCGCCAAGAAACCCTCGGCAGATGCTAGGGAGCCAATGGCTATGCAGCCGCCATCCTCACAACCTGTCCAGCGCAAGGTCTCCGTCGAGCCAATCAAGACAGATCTGGCAGACCAGAAGGACGCCGAGTCCGACTCTGACGATTCTGATGATGATGCTGACCTTATGGATGAGATTGCATCGGCAACAGTCGAGGAAGCTAAACCCATGATGGTCTCGAAATCACCTATTGTGCCCGTATTTCCCACCATCGACCCCCCTAGGCCGTCTCGAGGACTTTCACCTCAGCCGTCTTTGACGCGCACCGTCTCTAATCCTCTGCGCGGCCCCTTACTGGCACCTAGCGATGTGTCACAAAGCTCAGCGAGGAGTGTATCTGCTGGTGGCGCTGCCTTCCTGCACAACATCACTCGGCAGCCCTCCGGGGCCAGCCTGCAGTCGAAGAAGGGCAATGTGGGCTCCAGCATCTCGCAGCGTATCAAGGCACTTGAGCAACTTTCCAGCACGTCTGGGCCGCCAGATACCAAGGCCCGGCCCGTGACGCCATCCTCGACATTCTTTGCTGTGCGCAAAGCCAGCGTTCGACAGCCATCTAAATCTCCTTCCGTCACTGATCGTGCACACGTTCTGTCGTCACAGTGCCCAACGCCCGAAGCACTAGACTCGCGGCCGGGAACACCCGAGGTGACGCCGGAATTCATCCGGAGGGAGCGAACCAATTCCATGGCAAATAGGCTCAGCATGTTTGAGGGCCACAATCTGCCACGCGGTCGGCCAGAGTCTATCCAGGTGACTGCGCGAATCTTGCGTGATGGCCACGATGGTTTCTTGAAGAAGCTTGAGCCTCACAAGACGGGCCCGATTGAGCTTAAGCAGTCCCCTCTCATCGTTGACGTGCACCCGAAAAAGCCTAAAACTTCCGATGGCATCTCCTCCAAGGCTAATCAACTGACAGACTTCACCAAGGAGCCTCTGCCAGACCGCAAGAAGTCTACAGATCATGTGATGGAAGAACTCTCAGACCACCGGCGCAGATCATCTTTGAACCTCGTGCGTGGTCTTCTTGGAAAGTCGAACGACAATCTTGCACCAATCTCTCCTGGTGTGGCATCGTTGAACTCGCCTGCCCGTGCTTCCACCTTCGGACAGAGTGGTCACCGTACCTCTGCAAGCCGGGATATCGATACTGCCAGCTCGCAACCTACATCTCCTCCGTTGCTCAGTGATAACGAGACCGAGGACGACTCCAAGGCGGACAAGAAGGACACACGCGCTTCGCGCTTCATGCGGCGATTCTCGAGCTCCTTCGGCAGCGCTCGCAAGGCGGCCACACCCCCAGCCGTCTCACCCACGGTAGCGGAAGAACCAACATTCCAGGCCCCGAAACAGGTCGCCCCAGCCCCGTTCGACGCACAGCAGAGCATCGCAGCGTATATCGGTGATGTGAATGTGCAGTTCCCCGACAACCTCCTCTGGAAACGGCGCAGCCTGTGCCTCGACACGCAGGGATGGCTTATCCTCAGTGCTGTGCAAGGTGCAACAGCAGGTGCGAAGGACAAGTTGGCCGGTGCTGGTGTCAAGCGCTACCACATGAGCGAGTTCAAGAAGCCTTACGCGCCGGACGTCGAAGTCCAAGAGCTGCCGAACAGCGTCGTGTTGGATCTCCTTCAAGGATCTTGTCTGCAGGTGGCTTGCGGCGACCGTTCTGGGCAGAGCCAGACACTCGACGGTATGTTGAGATGCTACGAAGCCGATTGGCCGATGATAAGCTAACTCCGTGCGTACAGTTCTCCTGGAAGCCCATCAAAAACACAGCTCTTAGAAGCAATAATGATGCACCGGCAACCACAATCCGCTTCTCCATGGTACATTTCGATTTACAGACTCGTACATATCCCACTTGAGACTCCGCGTCTTCTTGTTTTGCGCACAGCTCTTCCCTATGTTCTTGTTTTTTATGCATATCGCAGGGCGCTCTGGGAAATAACCGTCCTGTTTTTGTTCTCGAGCCCAGTCGCTCAACACTTTCTGGCGATCTGCCTGGCTCTCATTGCACTATACCACTGTGCTTCGCACAATCCTCTACAACTTCTAGCCCTCCTGTGGACATTTAGGGACAAGATGGTTCCCTCGCCCGTGTGGCTCATTCTTTTGTACATAGTATGGCGGTCCCTTTGCTCTCGAAACCTGACGAAGGAATGCCTGGAGCCAGGATCTTCCTGTCGGGGCAGACACTACCTGGACTGACCAAAGAGGAGAGGGGTCTACTGTCAGGATATGTACAATTTGGCCATCGATATAGCCTTGGCGAAATTCCCAAGCATAACAGCTTGTAGTAATTGCTCTGGACATCCTGTGCATCCGAAAGGCGCGTGACCACAGTGCATGGTGGCAACTTCCGAGCCCGCGAATGCCTGGTTGACGCCGAAGTGCAGTGCGCAATCCTGATTGGGTGGTAGTGTGATGGTAAGTAGCGTAGGGGAAGTCAATCACGCCCTTCGCCGACTCTATGTGTGCATGGTGCCAGCTTCATGACGCAAAAGACTAGGACGACAATCACTCTCAAGACCCCAACACCAAAGCGCTGCTGCGCGCGTCTTTTGAATTTGTCATCCCCCCTCCTCCGACAGATGAATGGCTCCGTGGTCCCCCCGAACGCGTGTCTCAGCTTTTAGGCAGAGAAGGACAATGGCGCCCGAAATCCTGGAGACACGACGAGAAGTGTACACTTTGTGTGTGCGATTTTCGGCGGCGGCGGCGGCGGCACGGCTCCGAGGGCCGGGGGACTGAGTTTCGGCGGGTGGCTTGTAGTCGGGGGGCGGAGTTGCCGTTTTGGGCGGTGGTGGGAAGGGGGCGCGGGCGGCGCCCGGCTTGCTTTGGACCCTGAACTTTTCTTTTTGGTCTTCTGTTTTTCGTCTGGTGGGTGTAGTTTTGTGTAGTTTTGTGGAGCTCGCTGGATCCTGCATTGGGTTGTCTTGGAGGAGAGTCATAGAGGTGTGATCACACAATGCGAGCAAAGTCCTCGTTGGGTTGGGTGGGAAATAGAAGAGGTACTTCAAATTTCTGCCAGCTCTGGGATAGCCATTCTACTTGGTGGGAGTTTGGTGGAAGTTATCTCGCTTTAGATCCTGACTTTTTTACCCACGGCTAGTCGATGGCCAGTTGGTTGAGATAGACTTGCATCAACCCCAATCTAGTTCTCCTTACTCGCTGATCCTGTAAGCACAGCAGATTTCCCGGATGCTTTTCCCCGTCGAAGGAGAGTCGTGTTTTCTGAACCACGGTGACTTTGGAGGACTCCACCGGGAACTGCCGAAGATGTCTACTCCGCCTCCCGTCGGCAGGCGGTGGGTCGCTCGCCGTCTTTATCTTTGCCTTCCCGCCCGGAGAGAGGGGGCTTGGGCAGCCAAGCGTGGTTCTAGATCTCCAATTAATGGGCCTTAGCGCTCCAATTCTTCCCAGTAATACGCTCGTCTATCACACCGGGAGACTCAGCATACCTGTGGGAGGTCGTCTTGCCCGCATGCTTGGCACGGCACTACTACACGACACACTCCGCCCATGCAGAGCCTTTGTGACTGCAGGTTTTTGCTATGGGGCCGCGCTCGTCTGCCCGCCTGCCTGCCTGCCTGTCACGACGTCGGACCAGCCTGACAGAGTCTTCCCGCTCCTATCTGCGGGCCCTCTGGGGCTCAGAATTTTGGTGTGAATCACTCGTGTCGTGACTGTGTAGCGTCTGCTTGGCAGTTCTTTGGAGATGTTGGATTTGTCAGTCTGCGTTATCGTGGCCAACATCGTGAGCCCGTCGGCCACGTAGCAGCGCAGCACGGCGCGTGGGGTATTTCTTCTTGCCTTCCGCTTCTCATTCCTTCGGCAATACCTAGTGAGTTGGATAGAACAGCACGGACAAAAGTCGACGACATAGACAATATCGACTTCCGGCTTCCACGGTAGCCCTCCTTCAACAATTCTCTCGCAATTGGTTATCAACACTAGACAGAGCAGCCATCTGCGCGACGTCAGCCGCAAGCCAAGGAATACGTCAAGAAGAAGAAAGGGACTGGCCATTAGTAAATCACTTCCCATTCCCAGGCCGACATGCTGCTGTGCCGGCTCCGATGTGTGCCGCTGTGGCTGAGCGCCTCATGCATCACTGCTCTCAACGCCATGGTTTTTGGGTTAGTCCACCCTCCTTGATGACCCCAATCCTGATGCTCTTTGGGACAAGCTGTCAAGAATCGTCCCCGCCATGCCATTTTCCCTCTAGTAATCGCACCTGCTGACAATGGCGCCCCTTGCCACAGCCTCGACACGGGCACAATCGGCCCCGTGACAACCATGAGCTCCTTTGTTCAGACCTTTGGCCACTTCTCTGCGACCGTCCACGGTGTCGTCGTCTCGTCCATCCTGATCACCGGAGTTCTTGCGGCCCTGATCGTCGGCAACCTCGCTGACCGGTACGGCCGCACGCGCATCATCGTGATTGGGTCCGCGATATTCGGCCTGGGATCTGCAATTGAGACTTGCTCCTTCCACCTGCCCGTGTTCATCGTGGGGAGGCTGATCAAGGGCGCGGGCGAGGGGTGTTTCCTGAGCACCGTCTACGTGCTCACGGCCGAGCTGTCGCCCGCGAAACAGCGCGGCGCCGTCACGAACCTCGCCGGCGTGGCCATCACGACGGGCATCGTGCTTGGTTTCTTCATGTGCTACGGCACCGCACGGCTGTACGCCGACGAAGACGACGACACCCTCAAGTCGCTGCAGTGGCGCCTCCCCATCGCCGTGCAGTCCTGCATCGCGCTCAGCAACGCCGCCCTCACGGGCCTGTTGGTGCCGCAGTCTCCGCGCTGGCTCCTGGCGACCGGCAAGGCCGAGCAGGCCAGGCAGCTCATAGCGAAGCTGGGCCTCTCCGACGCCGAGGCCGCGGAGCTCCTCGAACCGTCCTCATCTTCCTCATCTTCAGCGGACGGCACTTCCTCCACTCTCGCCCACCCGCCCTCCTTGTCCCTCTGGCACTCGATCCTCCAGACCCTGCTCGAGTTCCGCACCGCGCTGTCCCCGCCGGCCCGCAACCGCACGCTGTTTGGGTGCTTCATCATGGCGTGCCAGCAGTTCGCGGGCATCGACGGCGTGCTGTACTACGCGCCGCTGCTGTTCGCCCAGGCAGGGATGGACTCGGAGCAGGCGACCTTTCTCGCGTCCGGCGTGTCGGGCCTCGTCATCCTCGCGGCGACCATCCCCTCGACCATCCTGTGCGACATGTGGGGGCGCAAGACGGCCGCCATCACCGGAGGGCTGGGCCTCGCCGGGACGATGCTGCTCATCGGCAGCCTGTACGCCGCGAATGGCCGGGAGTCGGGGAAGGAGATGCCGCAGGCCGCCAAGTGGACGGTCGTGGTCATGATTTATCTCTACGCGGTGGTCTTCACGTCGACCTGGGCGCTCGTGTTCCGCATGTACATGATTGAGAGCCTCCCGCGGGCGTCGCGGAGCAGTGGCTCTGCCCTGGCGCAGGCTTCAAACTGGGTGAGTGTTTTTTCCTGGTTACCCTTTTCTGCCCTTATTTCCCCTCTTGCAATCCGCTTCCCAGTCCTATACCCTTCGTCAAGCATCATCAGCATCTCGAGATCGTTATACTAACGAAAAGGTGGCAATCCGAACAGCTCGCAAACTACATGGTAGCCCTCACCACCCCGGTGTTCCTCGCCTCCTCGAGCTTCGGGGCGTACTACTTCTGGGGCTTCACGTCGCTGTTCTGCACGGGCGTGTGCTGCTTCGTGATGCGCGAGACGCGGGGCCGGAGCCTCGAGGTCATTGAGAAGGAGTACCTCGACGAGCACGAGCACCTCCGGGAGCAGCAGAAGAGGCGCAGGGACAAAAAGTCTGCGGAGAAACAACAAGGCGGGGCGCGAGAGGAGCAGCAGCAGGCTCAGCAGCAGGAGGACGGCGTCGTCGTTGTGACGGTGCGTGGTGTACCTGAGCGTGGAGAGTAAATGGGCTGGGGGGATCTTGGATTTATGTTTTGTCCTTAGGGCCGCAGAAGCGGGTGTTTGTGTTGCGCAGCAAGTTCGGCATCTTGGGGTGTGGCGTTTGGTCTTTGGGTTTGTATTGCGCTCTCTACAGCGACTAGCTACCTTTTAATCCTTAATATTGTCAGCATACCTGTCAGAGGAGAAGCAATGTCACTAAACGACTGCCGCGAGGTAGCAGACTTTTCTGTTGTCGCTCATTGTGATCAAAGCTTCAGGCACAGACAGGCCCTCTTCTCATGCTTCCCAAAACAACACTCGTGTTTCGGAAAAGAAAGAAAGAAAAAAAAAGCCCGAGTTCTCTCAAAGATTCGCTCTCAACCCCGCGAAAACATCCTCCCTCTCCCCCAGAAACCGCGCCTCGGCAGTCTTCCAGTTAATCACGGCCCAGATGTTGTCCACGTACGCGGCCTTGCCGTTCAGGTACTGCAGGTAGTACGCGTGCTCCCACATGTCCACGCCGAGCAGGGGGACTGCGGTGCTCGTCTCCACGACGGCCTCCTGGTTGGCGAGCGTGACGATGCGCAGGGTTCTCTTCTTCTTCGTCGCCGACTTTCCGTCAGCGCCGCCGCCCTCACGGACGAGCCACCCCCATCCGCTGCCCTGGATACCCAGCAGGGCCTTGGCAAAGTCCGCCCAGAACCCGTCCAGGCCGCCTCCGCTGCCTTCCCCCCAGGCCTCCTCGATCGCCTTGACCAGCTCGGGCGCCGCGGTCCTGGCGTCCGTCTCGGGGCTTCCCGGGGGCGCGAGCCCTTCCCAGAAGAGGGAGTGGTTGATGTGCCCGCCGCCGTTGAAGCGGATCGCCGAGAGGTACGACGCCGCCTCGACGAGGTTTCCTTGCTGCGTGGCCGAGACCGAGGCCGACAGCGCGGCGTTGAGGTTGGTGATGTACGCCTGGTGGTGCTTTTGGTGGTGGAGCGTCATGATCTGCGACGAGACTGCGGGTTCGAGGGCCTGTTGTTTTGGGGGGAGGCCACCGTGTTAGTTAGTTGTGTGTGTGATTCGTCGTATCTGGGTTGTATGGGGGTTTTCTGCTGATATCTTCAAAGCGCTCAAAGGGCCCGGTCAAGAGGAGCAGGACATACATCGTAAGCATAGGGCAGCTTGGGCAGCGTATACGTTGGAGTGGCAGCCATGATGATGATGGTGTGTGGCTGGGAAGACTTGAATATCTCCTTAGGAACTGAAACAGCAGGAACTGGGCAATCAACTCGATCGATGCGGTCCGAGGATAATTGGAGACGGTGCTTTAAGTCGAGAGGACTCGAGTTGATTGAGGAATAAAGAAAGAGGTTGTAAAAGTCAACCAGGTGCGTACCCAGTCCCCAGGTCTATCAAGCTCGTCATTCTGGGGACCTTGACGTCCACCTGGCATTCTGCATGTCTGTCCCCGCGCCTGCCGAGCCTTTTCTCCCCTGCCCCTCCTGTTCCACTGCCTGGCAGATGCACACGGCCAATCTCAAGAGGTGACTTGTTTCGTGGATTCCCAGCGCCGATGCGAGTGTCGAGGCGGCAGTGCCTCGAACCTGCGCAAACTTGCTCACTGCACCACCCCGTTATCGTCCCTCTTGCTCGACTTACACACACCCGCAGCGAGCGCGTCCCCACTTTTGCGTCCCCCAGGTGGTTGTCAGTGGCCAGTCCACCCGGGGGCCGTCCCGCGAGCCAATCAGCGCGGTCCTCGTTTCCAGACAGAGTAATATCTTGCTGACACCAGCACCACCACATCACACCTTGGATTCTTGCAACATCTGATTGCGTTTGTGGGATCACACAGAGGATCGCGTGCATGCTCCAATGGAATTTATCATCCAACTATAAATAGCAGAGCGAATGGCTTGCCGCTCGGGGACTTCTCAGCGATTCTCACAAGAGGGGGTATATAAACTTCGTGCAGTCTTCTGTCCCATAGTCCACGGTCTCCCCCGAACCCATCAAGTGACACCACCCACGGACTTCACACCACACACAACAGGCTCGAAAGTTGCTGAGCTTTTGCAATAATCTACATGTCCGCCAGCTTCCGCATGCGCACCAGCCTCTTCGGGTCAGGAGCAGACTGGATTTTCATATCAAGAGTCAGCAACACAAGCCATGTTCTCCAGGGATGAAGCGGCACCACATATGAAAAGAAAACGACTCACAGTATGGCCAAAAGTCAAGTTGGGAAACCTCGCCGTCTCGCCCTCGGGCAGGGCTATGTCGTAGTGCATCAGCATGACCGACATGATCATCTTGATCTCGTTGGCCGCGAAAAACCGGCCCGGACAGGCGTGGCGGCCGAGCCCAAAAGTCAGGCTCGACGGCGAGACGCTGACAAACTGGCTGCTGGCCGTGACCTCGGCGGCCTTGGCTCCCGAGAGCTTGGCGACTTTCTTGTCTGGGTCTGCCTCGTCTGCCTCGTCGCCGCCGGGTCCCTCCTTTGACTGCCGGAGCTTGTAGTAGCGCATGGGGTCGAACTTCTCCGGGTCCGGGAAGACGCTGGCGTCTGCGTTGACAGCGCAGCTCGGGAGCTCGATGATGACTCCGGCAGGGATCACTTGGCCGTTGGACAGCTGGAAGGGCTGCAGGACCTTGCGCTGGAAGGAGGCTGCGAGGGAAAGGGGGGTTAGACTGGAGCGTGCCGGGGATGTGTCAAATGAAGTATGAAGGCGGGGTTTACTCACAAGCGGACATGGAGTAGAAGCGAAGGTTCTCCTTCATGAAGCTGTCGAGCTTCTTCATGTTCTGCAGAGCCAAGCTGGTGAACTCGCCATCGGTCTCCTCGAGGGCTTGTCGGACATCTTCTCTCAACACCGGCACGAGTTCAGGCATGGAGGCGAGGGTATAGATGCTGTGAGAAAATTGTTAACATGGTAAGGTAAGGCACAAGGTAGCAGTTGCCCATTTGCGTGATGGTGCCTCTCCACTTGTCATCTCGAGGACGCTCAAACATGCGCACGCAGACTTACACGTTCGTCACCGTCATGGTCGTGGTGTGGATCGCTGCGAAGCTGATACCCAGCTGTTGGATCGCGAGATCCTCGACTGTCGGCCGCTTGCCCTGCTGCTTGGTCAGGTCGTCGTCCATCCACTGCAGCATGTCGTCTGGGGGCTGGTAGTTGGGGTCCTCGGCCGCGGCTTTCCTCCGAGCCGTGATGATGGGGACGAGGAAGTCCTTTGCCCTCTGGCGCTGCTTCTCGAGCTTCCGGACATGCGGGATCCACGGCGCCAAGATGGGACGAAGCCAGGTCGGCATCATCTGGATGAGAAACACGGCAGTCATGACCTCGATCGTGTAGTTGATGGCGGCATCAAGGTATTCCTCCTGCCGGCACAGCTCGGCACCAATAAAGATGCGGCCCGAGGCCATGGCAACAATACGATAGAGCTTAGGGCTGAGGATGAACTCGGTCCACTCTGATGTCTGGGGCAGCTCAAGTTCCATTGACTCGCGCACTTCCTTGGCCAGCACGGGGTTGAGACGGCCTTGAGTCCAGGAGTCCATTGGTTAGTGTTTCTGTGCGCGATGGAAAAGCAGATGTATGTAACCATGACAACTCACCGAGAGCTGGTGTCAGGTTTGCCTTGATGGTGTGCGGGAGATACGCGCCACCGTTCCCCGAGACGTGCGTGAACTTTTCTTGCATAGTCTGTCGCAGGCGCAGTGATTAGTATGCGAGACAGCTTGTAGATCTGACCCCGACCACGCGGCTCCAGGTGGCGTACCTCTTCGACAGCCTTGTTGAAGCTCAGAAAGTTGTCTGGCAGTTTCGCAAGCTCCTTGGCGTATTTGGGATCTATCACCACGACCTCGGTTTCTGTAACATGAAAGACCTGTTTAGCCCTGGGGCTCCGACACAACCGTCAAAAAGCAGCCATACCTCTGGAGGTTGTGATCCGGAACGCAGCGTTGGTCGCATTGTACAACTTTTATGAATGATCAGTTCCATGCCTGCCAATTCGATGTTATGGGATTGCAGCCTACCTGACGATACCCCTCGAAATAGAGCTCGCGGGCTCTGCCGGAGACAAAATACTTGCGCCGCTTATGGACACTACCCTTTCCCACGATGGGGAAACCGGCCAGAGGATCTGGCTTGAGTAAGTACTGGGCCAGCAGGCCTGCGACGATTGCAGCGGTGGCAGACGCGGCGTATGGCCATCGCTCGACAAGCTCCTGGGCCAGCGTGACGGCCTGGGATGCCGACTCTGGAGGATGCATTTTGAGATGATATGCCGGCGGTTGTTGTTCTTGTGACAACACAAAACCAGCGCGAGGAGAGATGGGCGGAGAGATGAAGCTAGGGTCTACAGATCCCCATCAAGTATATGTAATACATGAGCGAGCAATGGGCCAATCTACCCCTGCCGTTGCATGTAGGTAGATCTGCCAGTCTCGCGTACCACGCTGCCTGCAAAAGTGCCGGTGGGGTTAATGCGAGATGCTCGCACTGGACGGGGCACTAGGGCTGAGGGACTGACGTACTGCCGTGTGCCCCTTTGTGCGACTAGATGTCGGGCCATGATGACCCGTTGCGTGACGCCTCCTGCTGTGCTCCAACAAACAGCCGCCACAACACCATCCTCGTAGTCGTATTAGGGGACCAGTCCAGTGTCCGTCTCGAGCCAAGCCTCTGCATCCGCACTCTGCATTCCCGTGCCGGCATATGGAACCTTTCTGCACTGAAGCATTGCTGATTGGCTGGAAGATCCTTGTCGTCGGACTGTCCCCCCTTTAAGGATCGCCTAGGCCATCTCCAGACGGCAAGGATGTCTTGCTCGTTTAGCTGCTTACGAATACGACGACCGAGAGCCACTAAGGCACAGTCCGTACGCACAGTGCCAGATGCATTCGTCTCTCTGACACAGTGAGGAGAGGGTGACGCGCGTTAATGCACTACTGGATTCCATCGCAGCTGCCCTGTGTTTGCGTCCGGGCAGGCCTCTTGGTTTCTGGATTTTGGAAGCATTTCTTTCTTGCCCGAGGGCGTGATGAGAACAAGAGCAGTGCCCACGAGCACTCAGTGGGCAATATTTGTCCTTTAGCAGCGCACATGGGGGCTTACATCAGTCAAGGAGCTGGGGGGCACATTCCCCCGGCTACAGCACCTGGCAGAGCGCTAGTCGAAGTGTCTGACTAACATCAAGCTTTTCTTCGACGTACTGTATGCACGTTCCTTGCCGTGACGTGCCAAGTCGTCTCCCATCATCCCAGCGCCTGCCCACCTTTTAGTTTGCGAATCCGACCTCTTGCGCCGTAATTGCTGCACTTGGTCTCCCGTGACGGCCGGCCCCTGTGCCCAAACGAGGCGCGACAGCGACCAACAAAGACGAGAAGGACACGACCAGCGACAAGACGCCCGACGGAGCCACCCACCAGCCATGGCCACCACCCCGGCCCCGCCGTCTCATCGGCGTATCGGCCACAAGAAGTCGAGGCTGGGCTGCGTGCGGTGCAAGGCTCGTCACGTAAAGGCAAGTGCTGTGCTTGTTTTCCCTTCCGTTCGGCCCGCCCCTCGTGGCCAAGATGGAGACTACTCCACGGCGGCCTGGCCCCTGCTCCAGCACCATCATCTCGTGTACTTCAGCTAACATGTGCCGGCATCACCACTTGGCAAGCACTGCAGTGTGACGAGCAGGCACCATGTCGCAACTGTGTCCGCCATGGCCTCGAGTGCAGCCTCGTCCCAGGCAGCCCGGCCAGCTCTGCCCAGAACCACCAGAGCCCCCGCAGCCTGCCCACGCCCATCTCTCGCGGCCATGACCATCCCTCGTCCTCGACGCCCTCGCACCACCACCCGAGTCCAGCAAGCCAGTCTCAGCCTCAACAACCTCACCAACCTCAGCAGCAGCAGCAGCAGCTTGATCACCATGGCTACTCTCAGAAGCCCCACTCCGGGCCCTCGAGGTCGTCCACTCTAGCGGGAGGTGAGTTCCACAACGACATGGCAGTCTCCTCCGTAGACCTTGGTCTTGTCACTCCACGGTGACATGAGTCTAATACAAAACATTACAGGCAATGGCTACCCAGATGTCCTCTGCAGCGAGCCTCCGGGCATCTACACGCCTCACTGGATGCAGAGTGTCCGCCTCTTCCACCACTTTTGCCAGCACACGGCATATCACATGTCCAGCAATCCACCCACCACGGATCTCTGGCGTAAGCGGGTGCCAGACGTAGCCTGCTCTCACGTGAGTTTCCGAGCCCTCTTCGAAATAGCAAGGGGTGCTCCGCTGACCTCTTATCCAGGAGTTCCTCATGCATGGCCTACTTGCCTGCTCTGCCCTTCACTACGCCAGGACACATCCAGCACAGGGCCAGGAATTCACCCTCGTCTCCACGCACTACCAGACTCTGGCGCTGCAGTTCTTCTCCAACCGGCTGAGCGACATGAACGAAGACAATGTCGAGGCGTACTTCCTGCTGGCCACCTTCATCTTCGTGCTGGCCATAGCGACCATCTCGGATCCCCTCGCCCGCCAGAACAAGTCTGCGGAGCCGAAAGACCTTGCGCAGTCCTTTGTCCTCCTGCAAGGCGTCAAGGGCATCCTCGACGCCAAAGCCGCCGAGAAACTGGGCCAGCACGACGGGCCTTTGGCCGCCATGCTGCATGGAACGGACGACCTCCGGCGGCCCCGCCCGAGCCATGTCAGCAGCTTCACGCGCAGGCTGGACCGCCTGCTCGGACTGGCTCGCGAGCTCGAGTCGTCCATGTTCCTCGACATCGTCAACAACCCGCAAACAGCATGCATCCTGGCCCTCGAGTCCCTGCGGCACACATACTATGGGTGCATAGACGCAAACAACAGCGCCAGCCCCATGGCTGCCGCGGGTGCTGCTGCCACCTCGTCGCTGGGCAGCGGAATGCCCGGTCCGCTGGAAGACCCGCGCAGTCCTGCGGATAGTGCTAGCAACAGGGCCGCATATCGATCGATGCAGGACGCCGAGCAAGGCCAGCGGTATACCTGGCTCTGGCCCCTGACTTTGACGCAGGTCTTTATGCAGCTCGTGGACAGCGGCAACTACATGGCTTTGATCATCGTGGCGCACTACGCGGCGATGGCCAGGCCGTACGAGGGGCCGTCCTGGGTCACAAAGGGGTGGGCTCAGAGCGTGCTGGCCATTGTGGAAAACCACCTTCATCCCGACAAGCACAAGTGGATCGCGTGGCCGAAGCGCAGCATCCTAGAGGAGATACATGTAGATGACATGCCCGAGGAGACCTAGTGTGGGGAGACCGGTGTCGATGTGCGCGCCCACGCATTTCATGGGGGTTGAAACGAACGGTGGATTTTTTCTGGGGCGTATTTGGGCAAAATTGTAGAACTTCATACCTCTTGACACTTTTAATGAAAGCCTTGGCTCCGTTGTCGACCCGTCTCGCTTCTATCTGGCCGGGCATAGTGGTGCCGAGGCAATATATGTGCGTGGCGAGCAAACACGACGCCGATCAAATTTCTGTTTCCTGATCCTTCGTCATACGTCCTAGTAGAAAAGACCATCTCGGCCCTGCGGCAGGCAGATGTTTTGACATCCCGCAATGTGCTCGTAGCTTTTTTGTCCGGCACTCTCATCATCAGGCTGACCCTCCGCCGAACAGCTTGGGTTTCCAGAATCTTGAATTTGTTGTACCATGACTAGGAAGCAGTAGAAGTAGTCTTTAGCACCAAAGAGAACTGTCTTTAACGTTCGTCCATGACGTTTTCTTTTATATTCAGTCAATACTATGAATCACCATGCTTCCTAGTAACCATCAAGGCGCTTGCACGGTGCTCGAGGTTTCCGACTTGGCCGATTCTTGCGACTTGAAACTGCTCGCAGTGGATGCGCGCGAAGCTCTGCTGCTCTGATTTGGCCGTATGGAAACGATCGGGGAGATGTCTCTGCGTGGAGACCCGGCGCCGGGTCCGGGGACAGCTTTCAAGGACCAGCCCGTGCCGACCCGCCGCCGCCCTCTATCACAAAGGTCGTGGTAGAAGTGATCGCCTCCGAGGTAGCCCGGAGATCTCGCACCATCCAAACCATCCTCTTCAACCATCTGTGTCATGACCTGCCACATGTTTGACAGCACCGTGTGTCTGCTGAACCTGGCAAACAAGACAACAGCGACGAGGACGAGGACGCAGTGGGCGGCGACCAGCCCCGCCACGATGCCGAACCCGCGCTTTGAGACGGGGAGCCTGACGCTTTTCTTGACGGTGATGATGCCCGTGTCCTGCAGGCTGAAATACGGCATGAGTTTCTGGTAGCCCATCTGCATGACGACCGTGAAGATGGCCTGGAGCGCCAGAGCCGGACTCCCAGTGTCCTCGAGCGTGTCAAGGAATATGTCCCTGACCCGCTCGTCCGCTAGATGGACATTGCCGGGCATGCTCTGCCACTTGTGCCCGGGAAGGCAGCCGTAGCACAAGAATATCGCATCGATGCCTAGATGCGGGTGTATTGTCGAGAACCCGAGGTTCTGGTTCAGTGCTGGGTTGTGGCCTCCTCCTCCTCCTTTGACGGCAAGCTGCGGCTCGCTGAAGTCTGGAGTGACATGCAGATCCAGTACGCCTCGCTTCTCATGGTCGAGAATTGGTATAGTTGCCCCAAGCTGTGTGCGCACAGCTTTCGTGTCGAATCTGGCGGTATAACTATTTCCATCGTTCGCAGCACCTGGTGCAGTGATGCCTACTTCGGGTTCGGCCCGTGTTGTTGTGGCACTGGTTGCTGTCACGAGACGTGTAGTATTCACCAGGTTCCTGCTCATGGGATTATCAGCACCGGGAACGACTTCCAGGAAGAGCGGGATTGGAAATATGATGTCAGGACTTACCGAGCATCAAAGCACAATGTTGCTCGCACACCAGCCTTGCTTTCTGCCGACGGAGGTGGGCTCAACTTTGTCCAGAGGCCGTCGGGGCTTGCGGTCCAGTCTTGCGAGGTCAAGATACCAGCCGAGCTGACGGATTCTATACTCGAGTTCATGTGCTCAAGGAGCAGATAGGCGTTGCCGAGTTGTGTCCCGTGGGTCAGACGCGACGCAAGACCAGTCGCTGGCAGGTCCAACGGGCAGAGCGTAAACGAGCCGAGACCTGCCCACACCGGGCCGCTGTCGCTGGTGTCCGGGCCCAAGCAGCGAAAGGCCATGGTCTGATTGATCATTTGTGGTGGCAGGAGCGGTACATCGCCAGCAGTGACACGGCCCACGAATTGAGGGTAGCTAATGGGCGCTGCCCATCGCGTGGCTTCCTTCAGCTGGACGTCCTGCAGATCTGGCCTGACGCAGGCAACGCGCATATCGACAAGAGTGCTGTAGCCGTGATACCGAAACAGCGCCTCTCTTTGGCTCCTGTCGCTGATCGGCAAGAAGCCTCTGATTGTGACGCCCGTGTCGTGGATGTCCTCTGAAAATTGCCTGTAGGTGGGATCGTGATATTCTGCAAAGGCTTGATAGCTGCTGGGTCGGGTAGCCCAGACATCGCCGAAGGCGACATCGTCCTGGGGCAAGCGGGCTGCCACCGCACCACTTAGTGCCACATTGAGCTCTGTTGTGATATTGGTGGTCAATGCAGGGACCGTGTCAAAGTCGGTGAGGAGTATCGTCGACGAAAACTGCAACGCCAGCGAGCAGACGAGCAGCGAGAACCCTAGGATCCCCGCCACGGGGCTTTTTGCGACTGTCTCGAGCATGATCCAGCCGGTGACGCATGAGCCCGGGTTTGCGAAGCGCATTATGGAAATCTCGGGCACTCGCGACAGCTTGACATGTGTCTCGAGCAGCACGGCGGCCACCAGCGAGATGGCGGCTGCCGTCTGGGCCGCCACAGCTGCACGAATGACGAGTGCCGAGAGGGTGACTGCCGACGGGAGGCGCCAGTCCTGGCTGACAAGGTCGCGCCATGCTGTGTCAGTCTCGTTGCCAAACCACACAAAGTGCAAGAATACGACCACGGCGACAAGTGCTAGTGTGCTCGAGACAAGAGCCCAGGCCGTGTAAGTCCCTAATCTATGGAGCAGGTTCTTCGCCATGGCGCCGGTGATGTGGTCGCTGTAGACTCGGCAGCAGAACTAGCAATAGTCCAGTGGGACGAGTCTTTTTTAAAGTACATGAATCTTGTGTCCTCGGTCTCTCTATGAGTCCGAGTACAGCCAAACACACGATTTTTGCGGCCCGGGATGAGGTCAAGGGCTTCCGGATCCTACGAGCTTGCGGCCAGGCAGCTCCGACACCGCTAAACCAATCGTGAGTTCTACGGACAAGGCTTGATGGCATCAATGGTGGGAGTGGGGGCGAAATGCTGGGTGCTATCCTGGCAGGCCCCATGATGTGACCCAGGGTCATTGAGTGGGTGTTTGGGGACCAAACAAGCGATACTGAAATGGTACAAGACCTCCGGGAATGCCCTTCGTACCCCGTACGGCACGTACTGTAGTATGCACCCGCTCGCCAGCAGGCCCAGGGCGGGGGATGCTGGATAGGGCCGGGACCCTGGCCAGAATCTGACTTGCGTCGAGTAGAGTATCCCATCCCCGCCCGGATGCAGGAGAAGCCCGTATCTGCACTTTTTCGTGCATCGTGGGATCCCTGGAAATCGAAGAGGCGCAGTGGACGGAAAAGCTCGCGGTTAAAACTAATGAACCCTGCTCCGATCTGCAGACTCGAAGGATTGGGAGCCACATGGGACGGACATCGTGAAAAGGCTCAAGGGCGACAAGGTCACAAAGGGCGGTTCCCAGGTGCTGTTGGAGTGCGGTGTGGCGGTGTCCTTGGCGAAGCTTGTTTGCACCTTCCCGGACGAGAAAACCCTCGAGGTTTGTGCAGGCTGACCACCTGCAGCGTCGTAGGAAGCCAGGCGCAGTTGGTCGACTACAGCACAGCACTCGCACAATGTCACGGTCCGCTCAGCATCGAATGGCAATTTGGATTATCTTCTTATCTTTCCCCCGTCAAACAACTTGACCAATGCCTGTCACTCTTCAGCAACCAGCCCAGTCTGCGGCAGTCTACTTACTCCGCCTTGGTGGGAGCCTCAGCGGCAGTCGTGCCCTCGACATCCCCGTCGTCAACGATCTTGTGGTCCTGGCTCACTCCGGTCGTCACGCCAAACTCGGCCTTGCGCTTCCGCTCCAGCTTCGCAGTCGTGTACGACAGCGCAGCCGTCCAGAGTGCCAGCGCAATCGACACGGCAATCATGGCGTACATGCCTCTCTACAAAAACACACAAACGTCGTTAGCAAAAATCCCGGATCATTACACACAGAACAGCGTGATGGCGCCCGATGGACTATTTCGACTTACGGTAAACCACGGTGCCATGGAAGCGCCATAGAACACGATACTCCACCAGGCATTGACTGCGTTGCTTCCCAGGTTCATGCCGGCGAGGACGATGGCGCGGAACATCTGCTCCTCGTAGCGGAGCGCGTCGTTGGCCCACGCAAAGAACGTGGCCTGGCACGCGTACACGGTGCCCGCCCAGTAGTATGCGCCAAAGACGACCGCCGTCGAGGATGCGCTCTCCGGGTTGTTGTGCGCGGCGAGGATCATGGCCGACGTCGCGACACCGACAATGCCAATGAAGTAGCCGACAAGGTAGCGCTTGCCGTTCAGGAAGTCGGTCAGCGTCGCCCAGAACAGCGTCGAGACTATACCCACGGCTGGCACGCCGGACGGGTAATTGTTCAGCTGCTGGACGGTGTATTTGTTGACCGGGTGGCCCTTCAGGTACAGCGACAGCAGGGCGTTGGTGCTGAACGACTCTGTCTCACCGGCTAGGATCCACAGCATGACGAAGCCCCAGAAGTACCATGAAGTGAACGTCTTCTTGAAGAACCGAACGGACAGGGGTGAGCGATCTTCCACGGTTGGCACACGAGAGACAGCAAGAGCCTTTTCCGCATCGGTGAGGTAGAAGGCCTTGGTGGTGGCAGGGGTGTCCGGGAAGAAGATGTAGCCATATGCGGCGACGGGCAGAGTGATGATGCCGTCAATGATGAACAGCCAGCGCCAGCCAGCAAGGCCGTGTCTGCCGTTCATGGTGGAGTAGATGCCAGTCTGGATGAAGCCGCCGATCATGGTGCCCGCGAGTCCGGACGCAGTGAAGATGCCCGAACGCTTTCCCAGCTCCCGCTCAGTGTACCACGAGCCCAGGATGTAGTGGGTTCCCACAAACGTGGTGGCCTCAAAGATGCCCTGGAAGAAGCGGATGGCCATGATGCTCTGCGGCTGCTGGGCAGTAGCCGTGAGCATGGTAAGGCCGGCCCACACGATCATGCATGATGGGAAAAAGAGTCTCGGGGCAATGTAGTGCAGGGACAGGTTAGCCGGCAGCATGCCGACGACATAGCCGACGGTGAAACATGTGTTGATGACGTTGAGCTGATCTCCGACAAAGTGGAGATCCTCCTTCATGCCAGAGACATAGGCCTGGTTGAGGTTGGAGCGGTCGAGCTGGACGTCACAAGCTGTGTCAGCAATGAAAGGGGTCCCCGGGACCATTGCCAGTTTGCTGGAGACTCACATAGTTGGTGAAGTAGCTGAGACAGCAAAAGGTCAGGATGAAGAAGTCAATCTTCTGGACCAGCTTGCGCTCGCCAGGCTGGTACTCCGTGTGGAAGTACTCGCGGAGCTTCTTGCCAACTGCCATGGTTACAGTGTCGCTGCGTGGCAGACTTGACTTGTCCAGATGTACTTAGGTAAACCGTAAGATGACAGCGGACCCAGAGGAGACTCGGTACCCTGATGAGGAGGCGACCACGATGGACCCTGCGGTTGGATGTGGGCTCGTTGGAGTACTTAAGGTCGCCGTCACGCCCGCCAAGCTGAGAGGCCGGTGCGGACCGGGCTCGATAAGCCCGGTGAAAGCAAGCCGCAATGCTTAGCCAGCAGCGTCTTGCCTAAGGGCTGGGAAAGCGCCCGAGATCGCTGGCCTGTGGCTGCTGGTGCCAACCTTGGCAACGGCAGCCGGCAGCCCTGTGACCAGAGACCCGAGGGGGCGGCAGAGGCCTCTGATAAGATATGGCCCAGCGCTGGCTAGCGGGCGCCGCAGGAGCTGGGGAAGGGGGCCCATCAGTGGAGCCAGTGAGCCACTATCGCAGCCACACCGGCACTTTGCCGGCGCAGAGATAGCCCTCAGAGGAGTTCCGGCGTTCTCCAATGCCTCCAGAGCCACCACTATCAGGGCGATGCCCCTTGCACGCGCCCTGATTGCAGGGGCCGTATCAGTATCAGTATCAGCATCAGTATCCGCATCAGCCCTCCGGTTAATAAATTATCATGTTGCTAGTCATGCTATCAGCGGGCTGGCCGTTGCGATATGCCTCCGACAGACGACCTGAGGCTCTTGGCTGTCGTGGCGCGGATATTGTCGGCGAAATCAGTACTGTCGGCGGAATAAGTACTGCCGCAGAGGGCAGTCCCCATTCCAGCCCGCCCCGGCGGCTCAGCTCACATTTGTCAATGGCAGGCATTCGTGCGGGGGAAGTTGGAGCGTCGACGGAGCCTGCTTTGTCCGTGAGCGACGCTGTCGCCGGCATCGGGCCTCCGCTGCCGGACGCTAGTCCCGAGCACTCTCGGAGGGCGTCACGAACCAAAAGACGCACAATCGCAAGGCGCCAGCTCTGTCTTGGTCCCTCCCGAGGCTTGTCCTGCATTACTACTGCTGCCCAGCCTCTTGGGATTCATCGATCCCTTCAACGAGACCTTGTTGCTTTGCTTGGCCCCTTTTAACCTTCACGAACGAAAGCATCCTGCGACTCTGTTCGACGAGTGACGTCTTTCTTTCCACGGTGCCCCGTGATATCTTGCTCTGTCTACAGTACACCAGTCCACCACTGGACATCATCTATAACTATGACTTCAACCTGGGAGACAATATCAGCAAAGAAGCGCCAGGCGCTCGCTGACTCGATTCCTGCGGAATGGCGCATACCCACGGAGCTGATGCCTCCCGAGTCTCAGGACGATGTCACGGGCTTTCCTGAGCAGTCCGGGTGGTTCACCAAGGACGAGCTTGCCATTACAGGCGCGACGGTCTCTGAGCTGCTGCCCAAGCTGGCATCAGGAGAGCTGTCGTCAGAGGCGGTCACCCGCGCCTTCTGCAAGAGAGCTGCGGCGGCACACCAACTGGTTCGTTCTCACCATGTCCTCAAAGTCATCACTGCAACCTTGACTGACAGTGCCGTCTTGTAAAGGTCAACTGCTTGTCAGAGACGCTCTTCGAGGCCGCCATCACCACCGCCAAGGCCCTCGACGCACACCTCGCCAAGACAGGCAAGCCCCTGGGGCCCTTGCACGGCCTGCCCATCTCGCTCAAGGACAACTTCAACCTCAAGGGCCTCGACTCGACCGTCGGCTTCACCTCGCACGTCGGCGACCCGGCCTCGTACGACGCCGTGCTCGCCGAGATCCTGCGCGAGGCGGGAGCCGTCTTCTACGTCAAGACCAATGTGCCCACGGCCATGATGATTGCCGAGTCCGTCAACAACACCTTTGGCCGGACCGTGAACCCCCAGAACCGGCGCGTCACCAGCGGTGGCTCGTCGGGCGGCGAGTCGGCCCTCATCGCCTTTGGCGGCAGCCCGATCGGCGTGGGCACCGACATTGGCGGCAGCCTGCGCATCCCCGCCGCCTGCACGGGCATCTTCACCATCAAGCCCAGCTTCGGCCGCTTCCCCACGCTGCGCTGCCGCAGCGGCATGCCGGGCCAGGAGGCCGTCGCCAGCATCAACGGGCCCATGACGCAGACCCTCGCGGACCTGGAGCTGTACTCGCGCACGGTCGTCGGCGCGGAGCCCTGGCGCAAGGATCCTCGCAGCCTGCCCATCCCCTGGCGGCCCGTGAGCCTGCCCGCCTCGGGCAAGCTCAAGATTGGCGTCATGTGGGACGACGGCATGGCGCTGCCCACGCCGCCCGTGACGCGGGCGCTGCGCGAGGCCGTGGACAAGCTCAAGGCCGCGGGCCACGAGATTGTCGAGTGGTCGTCCGAGGACCAGGCGCGAGGCCTGGAGCTGCTGGGCAGGATGTTCGTCGCGGACGGCGGCGAGGCGATCCGCAACGAGCTCGAGCGCACGGGAGAGCCCATGCGGCCCGAGATGGTGGACCAGTACGGCGGCTCGGCCAAGTCGCTCACGGGCCTCGAGTACTGGCAGCTGCACGCCGAGCGCCAGGACTACCAGAAGAAGTATCTCGACCGCTGGCTCGCGGCGGGCATCGACGCGCTGTTGTGCCCGACCACGCCTTACAGTAGTGTGGAGAATGGAAAGTTCAGGCATGGTGAGTCTACGATGTCCTGCTTTAATATTGCAAACCTGGCCTTGGACACCGGCCCGTCGATATTGCATGCTGACAAGAGACCCGTTTGCTCCTAATAATAGTGGGATACACGGGTGTGTACAACGTGCTCGACTACTCGTGCATTTCGTTCCCGACAGGCGTCAGGGTGGATCAGGCGGTCGATGTGCCACAAGACTTGGCCACCTACAAGCCGCTTTCTGACCTTGACAAGGAGATCCAGCAGGACTGTAAGTACCTCTTTGACCCCTTGTCATCCAGAATTGCTTTGGGGCGGTCTTGATCCAAGTTCACCGGAAGAACGACTACTGACATTTCTCTGTTACAGATGACCCCAAGATTGTCAATGGGCTGATGGTCAACCTCCAGCTGGTGGCCCAGCGGCTAGAAGAGGAGAAGTGCGTGGAGATGTGCAAGGTCGTCCTGGGTGTGCTCGGCCAGAGCCCTTCTGGCTCGAAGTTGTAATAACCTGTATTCAAAAATAGCCCGAGTGAATAGATTTTGGGTTGACCTGGAACCCGTCCACGTACTGTGACTCTTATTGGGATATCTGGACGGACTATCGCCATGCCCTTGTAAAAGTGGAACCATCCTTGTATAAGCCCTGGGCTGATGGGTGAGTCAATGACACCAATAATGATCCGCCAATCCTAACTTTTCTCTGCATCGGCCTAGAAGTAACACCGTACAGTTTCATTATTATATTCATTTTCGTTAACGCAACCTGGCAACCCGTTAAAAGACTTTCCTACGCGAATATGACCACTATTCTACAAAGACAACGACCTTGATGGCCGCGCCTCATTAGAAGGCCCAGGGACGATAAGATAAGCGCGTTGGTGGGGTGTGGGTGCACTAACTCACAAACTTGTATGTGTGCGCTGCAGCGCCGCTGATGGAGGGGTCAAGGGTCCCCAGAAAAAAAGTCCGGCGGCGGCGAAAATGCAGATGGAGGGACTGCTGCAGGCAGGTGTGATTCACAACGACGATGAACTCATCCTTCGACATTCTGATACGTAGGCTTGTGGCGTTTGACCGCGATACAGGCCAGGCGCAAGCTCCCGGGAACATCTACTTAAGACGGTCCTCGATATTGTCGCCCACACTCTTCCAGCACTTGAGACGCACACACGACCTCGCCGCCTCTGCAGCACCTGCACCAGCAACACAGCTCATGACGAGCTCGCCACCATCACTATTAGCACCACCACCACAGTCGACAGCCACGATGACTTCAGTACACGAGACAACGACGTCGGGACACGTCGCGCCTGAGAACGACAACAGCAACAACAACAACCAAACCACAACACAACCACAGCCAGAGATGTCTTCAACAACAGCAGCAATGCCAGCCCAGACCTTCGAGGCCGAGGACAACGACTTTGACGACATTTTCGAGGACGACAATGACGACTACGATGACGACGGCGACGACGACGACATTTCCAAGAACTACAACCGGCAGCGGCCGAACCAGCAGCCAACGACGGCCCAGAAGCCGTCGGCCAACACGTTCAAGAGCGTGGACGACCAGATCTCGGCGCTGTCCAAGCACGCGGCCAAGATCCGGCTCGACGACGTCAAGGCCTCGCAGGAGCGGGACAAGGACAAGGCGGACCGGGCGACGAGCGACCAAGTGCTGGACCAGCGCACGCGCATGATCCTGCTGCAGATGATCAACCGGGGCGTGGTGAGCGAGATTCACGGCGCCATCAGCACGGGCAAGGAGGCCAACGTGTACGGCGCGATCGCTCTGGCCGAGGACCTCGACAGCCCTCCGATCCACCGCGCCGTCAAAGTGTACAAGACGGCCATCCTGAGCTTCAAGGACCGCGAGCGGTACATCACGGGCGAGCACCGCTTCAAGTCGGGCGCCGACAAGGGCAACAGCCGCAAGATGGTCAAGCTCTGGGCCGAGAAGGAGTTCCGCAACCTGCGCCGCATCCACGCCGCGGGGATCCCCTGCCCGGAGCCCATCCAGCTCAAGCTGCACGTGCTGGTCATGGACTTCCTGGGCGACAAGAAGGGCTACGCGTACCCGCGGCTGCGCGACGCCCCGATCTCGTCCTCGTCCTCGTCGGACGACGCCGACGCCACCTGGCGCCTCCTGTACGTCCAGCTGCTGGGCATCATGCGCCGCCTGTACCAGGTCTGCCGGCTCGTGCACGCCGACCTGAGCGAGTACAACATCCTGTACCACAAGAAGCAGCTGTACGTCATCGACGTGTCGCAGAGCGTCGAGCACGACCACCCGCGCTCTCTCGAGTTCCTGCGCATGGACATCAAGAACACGGGCGACTTCTTCCGGCGCCAGGGCGTCGACACGCTGCCCGACCGCACCATCTTCGACTTCATCACCAGGTCCGCCCAGGACGGCGGCCTGCCTGTCGAAGAGCCCGCGCTCGGCGAGGCCGTGGAGAGGCTGTACCAGGCGAGACAAGACGCGGCGGGCGAGGATGAGACCGACGCGGCGGCTTCCGCCAACCGCGACGAGGTCGACAACGAGGTCTTCCGCAACCAGTTCATCCCCCAGACGCTCGAGCAGGTGTACGACATTGAGAAGGACGCGCAGACCATCGGCCAGGGTGGCGGCGACAAGCTCGTCTACCGCAACTTGCTCGCAGACCAGGTCGTCAAGCAGCAGCAGCAGGACGGCGAGAAGAAGAAGTCCCCCGTCTCCGGGTCGGAAGACGACGAGTCAGGCGAGGGTGGCGCGAGCCTGAATGGTGACGAGGACGAGGCCGAGGATGACAGCGACGAGGACGAGGACGGCGACGAGAGCCGGTTCGACAAGGGCCAGCCGCGTGGCAAGAAGCACCAGGACAAGGAGGAGAAAAAGGTATTTCTTCCCCTTCCCCTCCGCCTCCTCCCCCCTCCCCTCCGCCCCGTCTTTCGCGATGAATGCTATCGTACTCGCTCTCTGTCTCGCTCTCTCTTTCTCGCCATGTTGTCGCATACTAACCAGTGAATGCATCCCATAGGCACACAAGGCAGCAGTAAAAGAAGAGAAGCGCGAGAAGCGCAAGGACAAGATGCCCAAGCACCTCAAGAAGAAACTCGTCAACAGCACGTCGCGGCGGAAGAACTAGAAGAACGAAGAAGCGGCGGCGGCAGCAGCAGCAGCAGTGTAGGGCAGGCACTACCCCCCCGCTCGAAGACCAAAACAGTAAAAAGTTTCCAAACCTACAAAAACCCCCTGGAAGAATGCAAGCGCCAAGAAAAAAAAAAGACGGCAAGAAACAAAAAACGAAAGCAGGAGAGACAGCCTTAGTTTTCCACGATGGATGGGCCGTTTTCTTTTCCTAGCACGCCCCAGAAATGCCCCAGAAATGTTAAGCATAAGAGGGGGGCAAGGAAACCTGTCAAAACGAGTCATCTATCTGTAATCCCGAGTGATGCGGACTTTGGGGGGCCGGGAGGAGAAGATCGAATGATGAAAAACTCACAAAGGGAACGGAAAGGTCATTACACCACCCTTTCCGTTCCCCGACTGACCAAAACACAAGCCCTTTTTCCCTTCTTCTGCTTTCTTCCTAGCCCTCACTTTCGCTTATCACCATGCAGGATCTCATCAGAACCCCGGGTGTGAACCTGGTGGGTTCCGAATGTCCTTCATTGGATGAACGAGAAAGGGTCTGGGAAACAAGTGGCGAGAGATGAAAGGGCTTGAAACGTGATGATCAAAGAGAGCCCTGACGATCTCTCCCCCGCGAAGCGAGACTCTTTATTCATAGCATACTTGGCACTTGGCATATCCTCATACTTGAGTGGTGTGGACACACAGACTCGGCACGACTCAATGACACACTTGGTCGAAGTTCACGGAAATACGGGCTAGGCTTCAAAATTCAAATGATACTCGTAGGATGTGTGCACATCGTCTTGATATTTGACCATGCTGAAAGTGAACTTGCAAAGACTCCGAGGCCAACCTCGTGGCCTGTGGATTGGTATATTCCCTGGCGTAGGCCGCCCTGAATCTACCCACCAATACACCTCGTGAAAAGCCATTCGCTGCATGCCGCAGACCTGCATCATGATACGGTCACCTTGGCCGAGTCCGTCTTTGTGAAGACCTCCTCTGAGCTACTAGCCTCGGGCGTTGCAGTTTTGTTGACAACAACGCCATCCACTTCTTCCAAAGATGTAGGCTCTTCCACAACTGGGCCGTCAAGAGTCGTTTTCTTGAACTCCCCGTCCTCAATTGGCGCGGGATCGTGCCCACGACCACTGTTGCTGGCTGAAACACCAATAGCAGGAGTACCACCTTCGGCGATCTTGAGCTTAGTGGAGCCAACAATCTTCTCCGTCTCGCTAACCTTGCCGTCTGCGTCTGCTAGGTCTCCCTCGACGCCGATAGCGTTGTCCTTGTTGTTTTGGCTCTCGAGAAGTGCTGCTTTGTCGAAGCGGACAATCATGCACGACAGATTATCCGTGCTGAAGCGAGCAAGTGCGTGGTCGACCAGCATTTTTGAGGCCGAGACAGGATCTGCGACATCGCGAACCATGTCTACAGCATCTTGGTCCGAGCAGACATCCCAGAGCTGGTTGATTGATTTTAATCAGTATGCTGTACAGAGCAATAAGGGAAGGTGGAGGATAGTAACTTACGCCATCGCATGCGATGATGAGAAACTCGTCCACCTCAGGCTGAATAACTGTCTCGGTTGTGTAGGGGTGGCCCGTCACGAGGTCTTTCATGTAGGTATCGCCCAATGCGCGTGTGACAGCAAGAACGCCATTAACGCGGTTGTTGAGAATTAAACCACCCGCGTTGGAGATGCGTTTACCTTCATTCTCGTCGCTGCCCTTGTGATCATAGGACAGGCGGAGGGCCTTGCCTGCGCGGCAGAGCACGATTCGGGCGTCGCCGACATTCGCCGTGTAGAGCACGCGTTGTCGCACTGCACTCGGCTTCAGCTTAGCATGTGCGGACTCTGGGATAGCAACGCTTGTGCTACCCTCGTCGTCGGCCTTACCATCCTTGGGCTTTGATGTCTCTGCAGCCTTGGACGCCGCAGCCGCTGCAGCGGCGATAGCTTGCGAGCCGGTGGCAGAAGTCGAACTAGGTACTCTGTCCTCCCAGCGCAGGACTGCAACAGCGGCCGTGCATCCACTGTTTTTCAACGGCAGCTTTTCGAACTGGGCATCGACACTTGTGAAAGTCTGGTCGAGGAGTTCGGGGATTGGAGCATTCGGATTCTTTCGTATGATCTCCTCCAAGATCAGGTGCAACTTCTTGCCACACCAGTCTGCAGCAAACGTGCCGGCGTGACCATCAAAAATGGCGAAGTACCCGTTGTCCGTCTCAACGATATCTTGGTTCGCCGCCCCTTCTGATGGCGCCTCGTCTTCGGGATTTGACTTTTGCGAGGTGCCGGATTTGCTGCTTCTGCTGCTGGAATCGGCCGCAATCAGAGGCGCAGGGGTGTTGAGAAAGTTGTACAGGAACGCGTGGGTATCCTCCATTGTGCGTCTGCATTTCCTGTTCCTATCCTCCCAAACGCCAACTCGAAACGTAGAACGTGCTCCAGGAAGAGATTCGCCAGCCGAGTTGTTGTGCTGGCCCTGGGGTACTGCAAGAGTCTGGTCTTGCTTGCCCAGTTTCTGTAGGGGAGTCTGCGTGTTGACGTCCGAGTTTGATCGGCTAACCTGAGAGAAATTGAGTGTGTTCTTGGCGCTTGCGATAAGACTGCTCGCTTTACTGCTCACGCCACTACTCCTCCGCTTCTTCTCCGAACTGGGGACATCGCTGTTGCCGCGGCCTGGCGGGCTGCCGTTGCCGCTGCGCTTCTCACCACCAGCGAGAGCTGAGTCCGCAGGTTTTATCGGGGTGCCACCAGTGGTAGGTGTGTCAGCATTACGATTCGGGGACGGTGACTTCCCGCTGGACTTGGTCGTCGCCTCTGCAGTGCCGGAGTCAGACTTGGTAGTTGCTGAGTTGGAACTACCGCCGCCAAACATTCTGTTCAGCAGGCTACCTCCTTGAGCGGAGAGACTGCGGCGCTTGTTTCCTGCCAGCTTTTAGGACGTAAGGGACCCTGCGTGAAGCGTTTCTGGCGTACAATGCTGTACGATAAGGGTCGGCGGAAGCAAGTTCCTCTGCTTGGCGCGAAAGCGGTAGGCGTTTTGTCGTGTCGCGCGGATGGGGGTGCTGAGTCGACGATGTCAATCGATCAAGCTGTGGATATTGCACAGCTGTATTGCTCCGAGTGCTCAAGACTGAAGGTCGAACGTGGTCGAGTAGGAGATACTGCTTGCGATGAAAAGATGTTAGAGACGCGATGCTCGCAACAAATTGTGGAGTAGTGGTAGCTGTAGCTACAAAAGCAAGACACATTGCTTGTGCTGTCGAGGGGGAGCCGATGTCTGGCCAGCACCATTACGTGATAGCACGGCAGGTGCAGGGAATGATGGGCTCGCAGAATAGTGCATACGAAGACGGATGGTTGCGGCGGCTGGTAGGACATGCAGTGTAGTCAGAGAGAAAAGACCGAGGATCCGAAGCAGACAGTCACCCTGGAGGTGACGGAAAGGTCGAAACTGTCCGCCTCCCTCGGTGCCGTAAGCACAGGAAGGGGCTACGGCCAAACAGTACCTTAACTGCAAGGAAGACAAGAGTCTATCGCTGCTTGTTGCGACCCAGGAACGTGTTGGGAGGGGTTGATGAAAAGGAGGTAGCGGCAAGGCAGAGGAGCGCTGTGACATCTTGTCACCAGCAACGGACGTCACTTACTCGGGTCGCAGGCAGGCGTGATGGCAGCTGCGGGGGTGTTGGTGCTGGACAGTGGACTCGGGATGCGGCTCTGCCGGCGATAGGAGCACGACGAGAGGGGCTGGAGCAGACGATGAAGCCGGCGAGAAGACAAAGGTGGAGGACGGCGCAAAAGGGAGAAGCTGGGTGAGGGAGAAGGCTGCAGGAGGGGGCGCAACCAGGAGACGAGACAGGATCGTGGGGTTGCAGGAGAGCCGTGGCAACGAGGGTCTTGGTTGGCGGAGTGGGCGGGCAGGAGGAGGCAAGAAGATACGTCTGACCCAGCAGTGCGTGCTCCTGCCTGCCTCGATTGACGCTGGCCGCCTCCACTCCAGAGGCAAGCACGCCGATGACGAGCCTGGCCTCCGCTGATCAGGGCCCAACCTGGGGAAAGCTCCCGCCCACTTGGACACCGCATGGCGCTTATCAGAGGCACCGCACCGCACTGCACCTCTCTGGCACTCGAGCGGTCACTGCGTGGACACGCCCCCCGCACGCAGTACACAGGCAGGCATGCAATCCCCGGTGACGACACATAATGAAAGTAGTGTTGTCTCGCAGGGGACTTCAGGAACCATCGCCCAAGACGCGTCCTTAGTCGAGTGGGCTGTCCAGCAGCTACTGTACCCACGAAGAGCGTGCTCATGTCCTGTGGCCCCCGGTCGCATTCCCCGCTGCAAGGGGGCCCTTCGAGCGCCAGTCTGCTCTGCACGCCTCGCCTCGGGCATCAGGACATTCAACTCCGAGTGCATATACTCCACTCTGAAGCATCACCGGTGACAAATTGGACTGAAATTCATGCATACGTTTGCTGTAAGATGCCCAAAACTCCCGTGCTACGTGTCAAGCAAGATATGCATCCCTTCCCAACGTCAGCCATGGGAGCACCGGTCTCGATGTTGTCCTCGTGGCCAACGCACAAGCTCCAAAGCGCCGGTCTCGAGCATCTAATTACTTCCGTAGGCTATCGAGTCGTGCCTGGAGATCATCGTCGTCGCCGCCACCGCCGCCTCCGCTGGGCCCGCCTATGGCCTGCGCAATCCGAGTGTCCGCAGCCTTCTCGGCCTGAAGCCCTGTGGGTGTTTCTCCGAACTGTAGAAGAAAAGTATATGCGTCAGTCAATGATTCGTGCTTCCAGCAGCAGAGCACGCGAGCTTACAGCAGAATTGAGATCTACGCCAATCTCCTCGAGTACCTGCTCAACCACTTCGTCTCCTTCCTCCTCAATCCCGACATCCATCGCATCATCGATCGAGTCGTCCATAATATCCTGGCGCTGCTCCATAATGTCGTTCTCGCGCTCGAATTCCATCGCGATGCGTTGAAGAGCAGGCAGATTCATCGACCGGTTCATGCTGCTGAGGGCCGTTGTCGCACCTTTCATCGCCGTCATCATTTGTTCGTTTGTGCGGTGAGTCTGTTGTGCGGTGAGATCCACGATCGTCAGTGCCCGCTCCAAATATGGCCTCGTGAAGACGCTGGGGAGGCGGCGAGCGTTTTTGTTGCATACCTGTATTCTCAAGGAGATCTTTTGGAGCTGGCTGCGCATGCCGTAGAACTTCTCAATATATCGCCTCGTCCGTACGAGATCCTTGGCCTGGATCTTGGCGGCTCCCATCTGGCCCTTTTGCGCGCTCTGCTTGATCTGTCCGATAAGTGTCTTCTCTTGCTTCTCAAGCTTGACTCGGACCTGGTCGAGTTCGCGGATTGCCTTGTCGAGCATGCGCTGGTTTTTGCGCAGACGCTCGGCGGGCGTCATGCGCTTTCCGAATGCCCATTCGAGAATCTAGAGCGTGTCAGCGATCGTGGCGCACGGCCGTATCTTTGTGGACATGAAGAGGGCTCGCGCGTACGTTCATGATTTTGGCGTCCTGCGATTGATTGGCAAGGCTGCTGGGAGGCTGGCTTTCTTTCGTCGCCCTCGTTCGAATGAGACGGATGCCGACTCCTGGCTGACGCGATCGGCTGGCGACTTTGCCGGTGCCTGCGATGCAAGAATCGTCGGGTATTGGATGTGGTTTATCGCCTTGAACCGCTGGACGACACAAGCTGGGAAGAGCAACAATAGTGGATTCTAGGTGCCTGGAGCAGGCGGCTTAGACGCAGTTACGTCAAGCTGGTCCCGACCCATGGGAATCGTGATAAGCACTCCTTATCTCCCCCTCGGCTTCGGCGGCAGGCAGTCCCCGCCAGTGCTTGACTCGCTGTTGTCCTCCAGCCAGCATTGGCACCGTCGGGTGTTGTCCAGGTGAGCATAGTCCAGCGGAAGCGGTCTGGTGCCAGGTAGGTCCTGCCTCCAGGTGTGGGGCGAGTGAACAATGCACCAATGAGTTTTGATGACATCAAGCAGCAGCGGCTGGTGGAGTGGGCCAATGAACATGCGACTAGCGCCAGATGCCACGCTGTGCAGGCCCCGCCCCGCCAGTTGTTGCTGCCCAGCCAGCCCGGAATGCGCCGGTCTTTTTCCCTGCTGGCAACCTTGGAATCTTACCGCTCCAAGCTTACCGACCAGTTCTTTGCTGGCGGGAAATTTGGTGGCCTGCATCTCGGATCGAAATAGTTCGCCTCCCGACAAAACCATCCACCATCCACGCCTTCCGCTTCGTGCTCACCACCACAACAACTTTGCACACAATCTCTCGCCCCGGCACTGGTTCCTGCCAGATCTAACCGAGGCCTCTTCATCAGGAGCCTCTGCAGCTACCAAAGCAAAAAGACTGTGATAGTCTGATGGCAGTCGTCCTGCGCTAGCCGAAGCACATCCGACACCATGAGCCAGGACTACTTCAGCGGTGGCAAGGGCAAGGGCAAGGGCCCGGCCAAGGACAACTCCGACTCGGACGATGGCGATGACAAGCAACTCGATCACGCTGGCCGGCCAGGCTTCATGACGGTCGGCAGTGGTTCAACGTCACGTCATGCTGATCGGCTCCGACAGCAGCTCCTCGACAACGACTCGGGCTATGGCGGTAGCATTACTGGCGACGACCTCGGGCTCGGCAGATATCCCCTGGGCTCCCCGCGGACGGACCCATCCCTTGCGGGGGAGTTGCCAGTACCGCAGACAGGCGACCTCGAGGGCGACCATCGGAACCGCCAGGCTGCTCTGCACCAGCTCTGGTATAACAAACATCGCGTGGCTCTCGGCCGCTCCATCCAGCGCGTCGTGGAGCTTCTGCGCGACCTGCAAGACATGAACTCTCAGTGGCCGGCGCACTACCCCTCCGTCCAGCGCGCAGAGTCAGAGCGGCCGGCATCCACAAAGTCCAAGAACTCACGTCCAAGCATACAACACACCCAGACAACCCTTGGCGACCAATCGGCGCCAGCCCCCCGGCCGATTCGAAGGTCCCTCACCAGTCTTCCCGAACCCTCTGCCGCAGAATCGAGCAAGGACGCGGAGAATAGTGCAAACGGTGGTGATGCTCCTAGACTGATGACGCCACAAATTGCGCAGGAATTCTCGATCCTGAAGCTGGACCTGAAGCTTGGATCACTACATCAAGCCGAACTTGTGCACTCTCTAGAGAAGGGCTCAGTTGCGTCTCTGCTCGACGGCAAAATCAGCGGCTCCATTCGACACCTGCTATCCTTGCAAGAGCGCATCGAGGACACTGCAAGCAAAGTGCTGATCACAGGCGATCTGAACGCGGGCAAGTCGACATTCTGCAACGCCCTTCTGCGCCGCAAGGTGTTGCCCGAAGACCAGCAGCCATGCACGAGCATCTTCTGTGAGGTTCTGGATGCGCGGGAGAATTCTGGAATAGAGGAGGTTCACGCCATACACATGGACGCCGTGTATAACCGCAATGACGAAGGCACGTATGACGTCTACCCTCTCAAGGAGCTTGAGAACATTGTCGTCGACAATACTCGATATATGCAATGCAAGGTCTACGTCAAGGATGTGAGGACGATCGACGAGTCCCTCCTCAACAACGGCGTCGTCGACATTGCCCTGATCGATGCTCCTGGTCTCAACTCCGACACCACAAAGACTACTGCTGTCTTTGCTCGCCAGGAAGAGATTGATGTGGTCGTCTTTGTCGTCTCAGCTGCCAACCACTTCACACAATCTGCCAAGGAGTTCATCTGGGCTGCTGCTGCCGAGAAGGCCTATATCTTCATGGTGGTCAATGGATATGACATGATCCGTGACAAGGAGAGGTGTCAAAAGCTGATTCTTGACCAAGTCTACGGTCTCAGCCCACGGACATTCAAGGAATCGAGCGAGTTGGTTCATTTTGTTTCGAGTAGCGCCATCCCAGTGGCACCTGGCGGTCCTGGAGGTGGTGGCAGCGGCAGCTCCAGTGGCGGCGGTGGCGGCGGCGGCGATGACGATGATGATCCCAAAGGAAAGGGCAAAGGCAAGGGCAAGGAGAAGGAGAAGCTCCGGGATTTCGAGAAGCTAGAGCAGTCCCTCCGGCGCTTTGTGCTCGAGAAGCGGGCTCGTTCCAAGCTCGCGCCCGCAAGGACTTATCTGCTAAACATCCTGAACGACGTCAATGTCTTGGCCACGGTCAATGCGGAAGTGGCACAGTCTGAACTTGACCGGGTTACCAAAGAGCTGAAGGAGATCGAGCCCCAACTTGAGTCATCTCAGAGGGCCAAGACTGAGGTCAGCGATCAGATTGACCGGGTCATTGAGGACAACTGCAAGGACGTATACGACCACACGCGAATGACTTTGACCTCGGCGATCGTCCAGTCAGGCGAAACCGACTACGGCATCCCGTACCCTGGCATTTGGGGCGCATTCGAGTACGCTGAGGAGATCAAGGAGGCGATCATGGCTGAGATTTCAGCTTCGGTCAACTCTTGCGAAGAATATGCGCGCAACAAGACGACCGGCGGTGTCAATGCCATTAAGCAGCTTGGCCAGAAACATCTCGGCGACGAGTATCAAGATCTTAGTTTCCGGTCTGATGTCATGTTCAAGCGTAGAAGGGATGCTTTGGCTAAGCAGATCGACGTGTCGACGGACCTTGTCGATTTTGTTGATTTCAACACATTGCTGCAACGGCAGGAGAAGATGGCCGGCACCGGCATGGCTCTGACTATTGCCACTGCTGTCGGCGGTCGTCTGGTGGGCGGAATGGGCTGGATGGACCACACCCTCAGCATTGTCAAGGTTGCAGGTAATGACAACCTTCGCAGGCTGATTGTTCCTGGTCTTGTCATCGCAGGTATGTGTGCTTGTGCTGTAATGAGAAGTCGAGCAAAACTAACTTTGATCCCAGTCATCTCCGCTGCCGCCTACATCGTTCAGCAAATCCCTCACTCATTGCCTCATCGCCTGGCACACAAGATCTCGGCCCAGCTGGACACGATTGACTATGTTCACGTCAACGGCGCGCGCATCTCCAGCTCCGTTCGCAAGGTCCTGCGCTTTCCTGCCGACAATCTGCGTGTCGGCCTGACACGATCGTTTGAGCAGCTCGGTGCTCGTCGCGAGGAGACTCTCAAGGTTCGCGGCGAGAGCGAGGTCGCCCTCAAGTATTTTGGCAACCTCGTCCGCAACAGTGCCCGCCAGCGTGCAGCTGTTCAGGAGGTTGACCTCGATGCTCACCCGCACGCATCTTTGGAACTTGGCTCGTTGTGAGCTAGCCTGCATCTTCTCCACCAGATTTTCTTGATTGACGAGCAAAAGAACAAAAATCGGCATGGTTGGCGTTCACTTTCCTGACTTTTTTATTTGACGAGATCACCGAGCACCCTTTAGCTCTAGTGCCACGACTTCTTTGATATCCCCGAGCAGAAAACTCTCCCTTCAACCCCTTTTCCCCAACCGTCGTCCATCCCCCTTTCTTCGGGACGGTTGGACGTATACAGAATTAGCTCGAGAACACGATACCTTTTGATGCCATGAATGATCTGAGTACATGTTTCCCTCCCTGTGACACCTCAAGTTGCGCATATCAGTGAAATGTGGTATTGTATTTCCTTTCGTGTTGTTCTTTGATGATCGTGTTCAGTGTACTTGTGCATGCGCACGACAATATGGATGTTCGCTGGTCGGCGCCCTGCGCAAGCAACATCGAGGATAACTGTCAATTTTTCCACATCATCCTCTTCCCCGTCCGGAGACGCTCTCGTCTTTCTCAGACCTCGTGCCACAGGAAGGATACAATCGGTGCAATGGACGACGTACTCTTCGTGATCGTTCCACCTCGGCGAGCGCCGGCGCACCCTGGTGGTGGTGGCAGTAGTGTTATTGTTGTGGGTATTATTATTGCTGTGTATACCAATCTGGTCCGCCATCGAGTGACGCGAAGCGGTTTCTAGGTCTTCCGCTCATGAATTGGATAAAGAACTATCCCTAAGCCGCTCTTTTCATCAGCCTAAGGAGACTCGCAATTGCATTTGTGAAGCCATGGGACTTCTGAATAAGGTCTAGGGATCATGGATGGAGGCAGACTCTGAGAGCCTTTTGACATCGATCTGACCGGACTTTTTACATTTGTTTCTTTTAACAAAAAGGGTTTGCAGTGGTCAAAACCCTCCATTGAGCTCGTACGTACACCGATGAAGCGTAAATCAAGCGCACACTTCACTGCACCTGCTTGTTCTGCTTAGCCGCTGCGCCGACGGCATGCCACGCAGATACGACACTGAGACCGGCTAAGAGAACTATGAGACGGGAGCGTTGTATAAGTGAAAGGAACAATGAGCTGTCGTGCCAAGGATACTGTAGAGTATTACTATCACGTGGAAAGACAAGACTCTAAAGCCAGCAGCTTCACGAGCACCTCTTTTCATTCTAGGGTTCATCCCACTTTGGTCATAGAACAGGTGGGCGATGTGTAGAGAGCTACGTGCTTGCTTGCAAAGGTCAGCTACAGTCTAGGCAACTTGTCCCTTGCTGAACCTTCTGCAAATAACTGTCGTGAACGCGGCATCACGTCTGGCCACCATACGCTGTGAATGTCCGTGATCCTGTCGCGTGGCCGAACTGGACGTTGCGGTTTGCCCAAAGATGTTTTGCGTAGCCGTGGAGCTTGCAGCCATGTGAGCGCGCTGCTGCCATTAGAGGTCAGCACCTTCCCAGCTTTGACGTCAGCTGCACTAGCCTGCCTTCACTCAATCGCCGCTTCAGTAACCACGCGTATGTCAATTGAAAGCTGGCAGAGTTGGACACATCTATGGAATGTGCTTACCAACACTCCCTTCGGCGCACCTTGGCAGCTTTCTCACTCACGACTAAATGAGCATGGCCACTCTTGTCCAAGCACATTCCCATAATGCAAGGATCACGCCCACTAGACGATGTCTCAAACGCAGTCTCCTCGTCACCTTGGTAGCACAGCGTAGGTTCCTTCCTCTGCGGAGTCACCACCGTGCTGACTGCAAAGTGCTGGATGACTTGGCTGAAGCCCATCTCATTCATGCATGAGCTTGCACGTGGGTGGCCAGCCCTAAATCTGACAAACCAGCCCGCAAGCGTGAACAGACTAACCAGTGCCACCGTTTTCTTTTAGGTCGGCATGGCAGCGTCATTCAGCAGAGACGTTTACCGGGTGCCTGGCAGCAAGACGGATGGCCACATGGCGAGTGGCGGCGTGCAAAACTCTGATGGCTCTAACCACCGCGAACAAAGCCTTGACTCGCGTGCCGACGATTCGACGCCAATAGAAGGGCGACCGACACTATCGCCAGGCACTTCGAGAATCTGCCTGCTCAAATGCGCAGCAAGGAACTTCCTAAGCCACCGAGAGGGACTATGGGACAATGCACTTCGACCTACAATCCGACCGCCCCCACCGTGGCCACGAGATCTGCGCAGTTCAGCGGTAGCCAGTGCTGCTTCCTCGATATCAGCAGCCCACAGGTCCTTCCAAACTGAGCGATTGGCAATTGCTTATCGGAGTGGCGTCGTCGCCAGTCTCAGCAACGGCGACCTAGATACACAATGATGGGCCATCCATCTCCTGACCGAAACGCGTCGCATCCCCAAACGAAGATCGTGGCCGAATTCGTGGTGGCCGGCTCACGGATCTGCAGGGTCTCTGCTCTGCAGTGGGGCGCGGATTGGCGGAGCAATCTCATGGCCCCCAAGTCCCTCTGCGTACTATGTACATTCTTGGACGCCTTGTCGCATTAGTCCACGCCGACCGACAAGCCTGGTACTGTCGTGTACCTCGAAGCACGTGCCTGTGGCTTAGTGGTCTCTGAGAAGTTACAGCAAGTCTATGAGACCTGAACGAGGCAGGGTCATCGTTGGCTGGGAGAGTCCCTTGCCAGATTGACAAGACGTTCGACAAGTACACTTATCGCTTCTTCCCAGTGCTGTCCTGCTGCACCTGTTGGCCACCCTTGCCAGTTGAGGCTTCTGAGCTGTGACTGGTGTGCACATTCTCGTCGTCTATCGCCCGTTCTGCGAGTATGCCGTCCGAGCGCTGCATCACAACCACGACGACGTCTCAACCCCGCTTGAATTGCCCGGGGATCCTTCTCCGTATGGGCAGCACGGCCGGGGAGGCCCAGCCCTTGCGCTGGGACCGTACGGAATATACCCCACAGCCAACCAAGAGAACCCCTGGATCAGCCGGTCTGCCCTGCCGCAGTGGTATGCAGAGGCCGGACGCACGCACTTTGCCCAACCTCGCCAACCTCGTCGACATGCTCACCAGGCGCAGCTGTCATGCAGATACGATTTGGAGACACTGTCGTTGTCCTCGACATGTGTGTGGCATATACGGGTCTGGCCTCCCTCCGACCAGGACGGCATCAGATGGAAGCCGACCACATGATTCAGGAGGTTCTAGCGGGCCTTCCAGTGGGGCGCGGCGTGTCCATCACGGAACCTGCAGCGCGCTCGCCGAAGCGGCGGGCCCCAACAACTCGACTCGCCCATCGCGCCGGCGCTGCCTGTCTTGTGCCGACATTAGCGGCCCATTAGTCAAGATGGGATTCAACAAGTCTGTGGCGTTTCACCGCGAACAGGGTGGGGCCAAGACTGTGCGAAGCAGTGCAACTCGATGGGAATTTCGAGCAACGGCATCTGCCGCACGTCCCGGCACTCACTCAATAGTCTGTCGTCCAAGTTTGTGCTGACGCATGGTGCCCAGCCAGCCAGGTCCCCCACGGCCTTGCCATGCACATGCTCTCTCCCTCGGGACTGCCTATGACAAATCCGATAGGGCAAACACATGGAAGAGTTGCTGCCTAATGTTGGCAAGACGCAATCCGCGGTTCCGTAGTCTGCGAGCGGCTACCAGTCCCGTCTTCTCAGCCAGCATAGGCCGTGTTTACATGAACCTCGAAGACATACCCATGCTCACCTAGGAGTTGGATTGTGCAGTGATAGGACGGCAAGGCACACACGGCCTGGGCAGAGGGCTCGCCTTCCCCATGACAATCACGGCAAATGCTGGTCGGCGTCCTCCTCTATCAGTGAATTCGATCCCGTGAGGCTCGTCGCATGGCAGCCTGTTGTGACTATAATGGCGGTGCCCAGCCGGGATAGCTGCTATTCTGGGTGGGCGGCCTGACTGATCCTTGGGTTCAGCTGCATGCCACCCGCCCTCGTATGCCAGCAATATCTGTCACCAATGGAGCGTGAGAAATGTGGCCGGAACTGCAAGTCAGCACATCACGAGACAGTGTTCCAATAACAACAGCGAGGTGACAAGGCCAAGGATTGGACACTGCGGCCGTCGGGCGACCAACCCTGCTGTACCCGGACCGCCGCGAAGCCATCTATCTTCCTGCATCACCAGCAGGCTCGGCATTGTCAAGGCGAGAATGAGGGTTGGTGGCCAGCGGGTTGGGATGGGCAAGACGGGCGTTGATGCTGATCCTGACTGGCCGGGTGGCCCCTCCCTGCTGTCAGGCTGGATGGATGGGGTGGCGGAGTGGGCGGGTGGAGGGCACGCGGCGGAGGACCCTGAAAAAGGACCCTTGGATCTGGACAAACCCCCCTCCCCGCTCCACTGACATCGCCCTTCGAGGCCCACTCGCATCCTTGCCGCTCCGCGCGAGTAAGCCACTGGGGCCGGTCATCGGCTCGCTCCCCCAGACACGCCAGACGCTCACTGGCCCCTCCAGTCCTCCAGTCCTCCAGTCAGTCGCAGAAAGCTGCGGTGAGCCTTGCCCAAGCTCGCTAAAGTGCTGCCGTTCCCGTCAAAGACCCGTCCTGCATGTCGTGCCTGACCCGCAACAGGGCCCTCCCTTATCTGCCCAATCGCGTGTGTCTCCTGCCCGCTGATTGGCGTCGCTGACTAGCCACCGGCCTCGGAAGACACCACGTTGGAACCGCAAGGCTCGCGGCCCTCCTCACGCACGCGCACGCCACGGTCCATGCTCCTCGCCGCGGCCAGTCATGGCCCCGATGGCCCGTCCAGGGGGCTCGGCCGCTCGGCCGCTGGGCTTCATTAAGGCTCGCTCACCGACCTTCTCGACCTCGACCTCCTCTGTCGCTTCTTCTCTTCAGTCTTGCCTTTCTCCTAGATCTGCTTTTGCCTGCCCTTCCCCTCCCTACCGATTTTGAGTTCCTTAGCAGCGCTCTCGTCGTTACATACCACCAGAAGAGTCTGGCCCGTGGTCCTCAATCCTTATCATCGCTCGAAGGTTGATCCCTCTGTGAGGTTGTGATCATCCGCTTTTCGACCCTAACCTGCCGATCAGTTGTGTAAGTAACTTACTCTGCAGCACCGGCAGCGATGGTTGCTCGGGCCTTTACGACGGTCACACTGATATCTCAAGCAGCAACAACAGTCTACGTCTGCTCTCGAGTTCTTGGTGACGCATATGACATATCGCCATGACCCCGAAACCAGACCTCGAAGCCTATGGCTACCGCTCAACCAGCGAGTCTGAGGAAGATTCGCGCAAGAATGGCAACAACAATGGCAACTCGAACCAGAAGAAGGCAAAGAAGAGGAGGCCGGCCCCTCAACAAAGCATAAACAAGATCTGGAGGCGCTTCTCGGCGAAGCAGTCCTCCAAGGCACTCTCGATCCTTCCCTTCGACCCAGTGCCATTGCCAAGCATCACAGAACGCCCAAACGAGCTCCTGAGCGAAGGATACGAACGTGCACGTGATGAATGCTCCCGCAGAGTCAAGAAGATTGTTCAAGAATGCCGCAGGATCAACACACGGTACAGAGATCCTGGGTACGACCTGGTATGCGACATTCTGCAGATGTAGCCCCTCGCTGGCCCCATCTCTGGGATTCATCAAGTTGACTGGTTTTTCTACTAGGACTGGGACCTGAAAATGGTCAAAGGCAACACACTGAACCACCTGGGCTCCAACAAGTTCGACATTCACGGACCTCGTTCCAGCACCAGCACTGCTGTCCCGAAAGCTGTCAAGAGAGTTCACGAGATCTTTGAGAAACCCACTTTTATGAAGGACACCCTGGGAAGCGACATTAAGCAGGGCAGTCTTGGCGACTGCTGGATCATTGCCGCCTTCAGTGCTCTGGCCAATGTCGAAGGTGGCATTAAGCGCTGCTGTGTCGAGTATGACACTCGTAAGTGCCCGAGCTGCTCACAATCTTTCCTTTGGGGACTTTCTTTTTTTCAAGTTGTGCCCTTCTGACATTGCTCATTTCTTTTTCAGGCATTGGCATTTACGGTTTCGTCTTCTGGCGGGACGGCGAATGGGTCTACTCGATCGTTGACGACAAACTGTTCCTCACCTCGCCGAATTGGGACTCACCCAGCATGCAACGCGATCTGCTCAATCAGCTCGATCGAGAGCAGCCCGAGAAGGAATACCGCAAGACATACCAAACCGGCTCGAAGGCATTGTTCTTTGGCCAGGCCAGGGATCAGAATGAGACTTGGCCAGCCCTGATGGAGAAGGCCTTTGCAAAGGCCCATGGAGATTATGGCTCGTTGGCCGGTGGTTGGATTGGCGAGGGCGTAGAAGACCTCTCTGGAGGCGTGACCACTGAACTTCTCGTGTCCGATATCCTCGACCTGGACGGCTTCTGGGAAGATGAGATTAGCAAGGTCAACCAGGAGTTCATCTTCGGCTTGTCCACGGGTCTCCTGGATGGAGGCTACGGGGACCGCAATGGCATCCGCGAGGGCCACGCATACGTCATGATGGACGCGAAGACCCTCAAGAACGGGCAGCGACTGGTTAAGCTTCGGTAAGTTGACCTATCCCTGATGGACGAGATCAAAGAGTGATTGACTGACTTGCCGCAGCAACCCTTGGGGTAAGACCCGCAAAGGCATCTGGAATGGCGCCTGGTCCGATGGCTCGAAAGAGTGGAACTCGGACGTTGCCAGTGAGCTCGGCCACGAGTTCGGCAACGACTCAGTTTTCTGGATCACCTACGAGGACATGCTGGAGAAGTTCCAGCACGTCGATCGCACTCGCCTTTTCAAGGACAAGGACTGGAGGATGTGCCAGCGCTGGATTGGCGTCGAGGTTCCGTGGAAGCCACAGTGGAACGAGAAGTTCCACATCACGCTCACCAAGGAGTCCCCCCTCGTCATTGTCCTCCAGCAGCTGGACGGTCGCTACTTCAAGGGTCTGCACGGCCAGTACTCATACCGCCTGCACTTCCGCATTCATGAGCAGGGGCGCCCAGATGCAGAGGACTACATTGTCCGGTCGCACGGCAACTACCTCATGGAGCGGTCCGTCACAGTCGAGCTCCCCTCTATGGAACCCGGAAGGTATTCCGTCTTCATCAAGATTGTCGCCGACCGTGACACAGACCTCACCTCGGTAGAGAACGTGGTCAAGCGAGAGTGCAAGAAGCGCATCGAGAACGACAAGCTGGCGCAGGTCGGCTACGCCTACGACCTTGCTCACAGCAAAGGTGTGGCCCACCTTGAGCAGATCGAAAAGCTTCGCAAGGCTTCTGACAGCAAGAAGGCCAGCACCTCCCGGCAGAAGGAGCGCCGCAAGCTCTGGGAGAGGCGGGAGATCAATCGCGAGGTGAACCGCAAGCAGAAGGCCAAGAACAAGGAGAAGAGCGACAAGCGCCGCGCCGCCCACATTGCCAAGTGGGAAAAGGAGCAGGATGAGCTCGAGGCTGCTCGCAAGGCGCAGGCCGCTGAGCAAGAGGCTGCGGCGCAGAAGAAGAAGAAGGAAGAGGAAGAGGAAGCCGCTCTCCAGAAGGAAAAAGAAGCGGCCGAAGTTGTCGCGAGCAAGGCAGCTGAGGCCACTGCCGCGGAGAAGGCGGAGGAAGTGCCTTCGACAGAGTCTGCCAGTGACCAGGACAAGAATGCGGAGAATCAGGCTGGCGATTCTACATCCTCTGCCAGCTCGGAGTCGTCCGCCAGTCCCCAAGATACTCCCACTAGCGAAAACTCGGAGCCTGCGACTGACGAGAGCAAACCTACCGAGGAGAAGGTGGCCGTGCCGCCAGTATCTGGAGGCCCTCCTCCTGAGCCAGAACCTGAGTCCAAGGAGCAGGAAGAAACCCCTGCCCCAGCCAAGGAGGAGCCGGCTCCTCGCCCAGCGCCACCAGCTTACAACTCCGACAACGATTCCTCGGACAGCCCCGTCGAGGACTGGGAGCTGATGTACTCGTCAGATGACATGTCGAGGAAGCCGAGAATGGCAGCACCCCCGCCGCCTGCAAACAACGACAAGCAAGTCGTTGAGAGCGACGGCGAGTCCAGCATGCCCGATCCTTGGAACGCCGTTTGCATTGTCGGGTTCCGCGTCTACTCCAAGGACGAGGACCTGCAGGTGCGCGTCGTCATCGAGGGCGGCGAGCTGGCGGAGAACGGCATGGGCGAGAAGGGCAGCGCCGACATCGACAACGCTCAGATGAACGCCGCTGGTGGGCGAGAGAAGCCTCCTGTCGAGGACGCCGTTGCTGACGAGGTCGAGATCATTGACGGGACAGCAGTGAGCAAGCCCAAGATCGTTGTCGACGATGCCACAGTCGAGGAGGACAAGGAGTCGGACGAGGGCTCCGAGGCCGATGTCGAGGACGAGGACGGCGTTGTCGTCAAGCAGCCTCGCCGGAAGCGCCGGTCGTCATCCAAGAAGGGCAAGAAGAGCGCCGACGTCAACAAGGACAAGGAGGATGGTGAAGACTCGTCCTCGTCGACCGACTCGATGGCCATCGCCACGCCGGGGTCAATCGTCACCGACCGCAGCGACTACGAGCTTGCCAGCTCAAGCAAAGACAAAGACGACAAGAACACGAACTAGATCTGATTTTTTGACAGGTTTGGGCATTCATCCCATACGAAGCATAGCGCAGCCAAGATTCAAATGCGACTAGATGACAGAACTGGGGACGCCAGAGAGCAAAGACGCTAGATTGCCTGCAAGTCGAGCATCGCGGGGGTTGACCTTTTTCTCCTCCCTTTTTGAGATTATGCATCTCATGTAACTTTTTGCTTTTCCTTAGCTATTATCTGGGTTCTCCGCTTCGTTCAGGTTTTCGTCTCACGCTTTCCCCTTCTTCATGACAGTTACTGCTTCTCCTTTTTCTTTTCTCTCTTTCTCGTTCTAGCAAGTGTTTTCATTGTACCTGCGGCAGGACTCATCCTCCTGCGACATCCTTCGAGATGAATGCTCTCCGAATCCTTATTCAGTGTTCTGTGTTTTGGATATTGGCCGGTTTCCCTCTCCTCCTATCCCGGGGGAATTCAGTTTTGGAATGATGATACAGGGAAAGGGGACAATGTTGGAGATTTTATATGGGCTTTTACGACGATGAGCCCTGAATCTCTGTGTGCTCGGATGAGAGAATCGGGACCTTGGGGCTTCTTGTTATTGATGAGATATGGCTTTATATATGGGAGTATGGGGGGGGACCTGGCTGGAATACTTGATCTCATCTCTTCTTATTTACGGACCATGTTTGAAGAAATCACACCGCTTTCTCACTGCGCATACACACACACTCTCTCTCACACTCTCATGCTCTCTCTCTCGCACACTGTTCTCCGTCTTGCTGCTGAGTGCTTCAACGAACAACTTTGCATGCTCGTTTCGTGTCTGCATCGTTTGTGATAATGCCCACCCTTCCTTGACCAGTGATGATTCGTAGAGCGGCTCGCTCCTCGGCAAACCGGGGGCCGCCGAAATATCGTGAGTGGATTGGTGGTCACCATAAGAAGTGCGGACACTGGAATATAAGACATCATAGATTCTGTGGTGCTCGAGAGGAGCCGGATAGGGTGGTGATAAACGAAGATGCGAGAGCATTGGCAATCATCAGGCAAGGCCTGGTTGATCGTGGCGTCACTGGGGTGTTGTTGCCAGCCCTGTGTAGACTACGTAAGGTACGTACTCAAGTACGTACACAGGCAGAGGGTGCTTGCGCCCACGGGGGCCCGTTTTCTAGTTGCGCGCAAATCTGCACAGGGAGGTTGGGCAGGTGTGAAATTCACATGAACTAAAAGGTGCGTGATGTGTGCATCGTGAAATCGTGCCCGTTCTATTCCATACAGCCTATCTTTGCCTGCGCCCAAGTTGATGATCATTTTCCCAATGTTGCTAGGTTTCCCGTGTTTATGTTCGCCAGTCATCATATCCTTCCAGTGACGCCTTTTGTGAAGTGGTATGCACCGACCGTGCTGGAGCTTCATGCGGGAAACCCAAGAAGTCGGCGTGGCCGAACCCTACGTCCTCCTCCCGTTCGACCACAATGGTCGTTACGACCTCCATTTGGATCCCTCCAAGTGTCCCTTCCGGCATCGATGCGACTTCCTGCTCACCTCTTACACTACGTTGGAGTGACTCTTGGCTGATGCTGTTTGGGCCCGGATACCCGCTGGCGGCTAGACTGTTACGGAAAGATCTCGAGGGACGACCGTGTCGCGGAATATCGCTGCGTCCAGACCGAAAGAAAGGCAGGCGCTGCATCCGCCAAGCCCTCATTCGAGCGATCACTGTCGGAGGAGGACCACCTCCAGGGGTTTCACTTGCGCTCGTGCCGCCCTCAACCCATATCATGTTGCCAAAGCGCCTCTCGTGCGGTGTTCTCATGAACGCAAACCTGTCCAGTCCTGTCTCTTTGGCATCACTCGGACTGACAAAGATGACGGTGGTGGTCCAGAGGAGCACATTCAACCAGCCATGGCAAGCGAGCAGAGCCCCTGCGACCATATAGTACCCGGGGTTTACACTCCCGGAACCTCGAGACATGTCCACACACCTTGCGATTGCCAAGGGTGCAACACACACGACATAAACAAGAGGGTACAGCAGGAAAGCGGGATGATGGCCTGACGGACGTCCGAGTTCCTCTGCCTGTGACTCGACCTTTTCGACGCGGCGGAAAATCTTGAGGCAACCTGCCATGGTCGCTATGGAGGCCCGACAGGATGCTTGACGGGGTAAGAAACGAGCCGAGTGTCTGTTCCTCCACAAAGACCACAAGACAAGACCATGTAGAACGGTCGTTAATCCCATGGCAAGGAATATCCAGAAGTATTCAAGCCAAAGCCGAAGAGACTCGTATCGAGGGTTGATCCAACACTAATCCACCCCAGGAGTCAGTAAAGAAGACTGTTGAAGATGAGAAAGCAAGTCGCGACAAAAGGACTCACCCATGCACCTGCTCGAGTGTAGTAGCCGCCCTGAGCCAGACCAGTCTTGGTGCCCAGGACCCCGCCCAATGTACATCCGTACGAAAAGACCCAATTAAGCGCAATCGCAATGTATATCGACCTGCGTGAAGCCTTGTAGCCCCATACAAGAGCCAAATAGGTGTTGATACTAATGATGGAAAGAAAGCCGGCGGCAGCAAGCTTGGCCACACCCAGAAGCCAGCCCTGGGCATAGCACGGCACCGACGGCACGTATATGCCGTCGTACTGTAGCCAGTAAGCACTGATGACAAAGGCGGCAGACTGCTGAACGTCGGCAAGGAGCAAGTGGTAGATGAGAATGATGATGGGATTCGAATGCTCGTCTTCGAGGACAGAGGCTGCCTCGGCAGTTGTGACAGCCGTCTTTGTCGTGATGACAGTCCCCGACGAGAGCCTCCGGAGAGGTGCCGTGCGACCACCTCTACTGGCCTGTGTGGACTGGATGTACTGCCGGTAATGCTCTTCAGACAAGCCCAGCGAGAGGTCGACGTTGAACCGATCATCTGGAGTTGGCCGTGGTCTCCTCCTGGGAAAGAACTTCCACTTGACGATCCTCCAGGTGAGGTAGAGAAACAGCCATGTGGCCGAGGCGATCGAAAGCCCAGCAAGGATAGCTGAGGCGAGGAGTCCCTGCTTTAGCTGGACAGGCAATGGCGAGAGAGAAACTCCTTGCTCGGGCAACGGAATCTGTCCGTAACCATACATTGGCCTCTCCATTGCATTTGTATGTGATGCAGTTCCGGATATGTTGGAGCCTACCCGCCCAGGAAGAGCTGGCGCGTCAGCCTTGCCGGTGAGAGGCAGTGTCGTCCACAGCCAGTCGATGTTTTGACACACGCATCGGGTTTGTTCGTCGCCACCTGGAATAAGTATGTGACACGGGTAGGAGAAGTGAACGAGGTCCTTCGGTCTTGAGGCGACGATGACAACGTGCGTGCTGTGGGCCGGCAGTCGAGATGGTAGGCTAGAATGGCGAGAAGCGTGGGCCGAGTTCCGAAGCGTCAAAGTGTCAAAGTGCCAGGATCAGAGTTCAATGGTGAGCACCCCTGACCGGTTTAAGTCGAGGCAGGTGAAAGAGCGGACGAGTCAAGGCAGAGGAGACCGAGCCTCTCACTCCTGGGCTGGGCCCTGATCATGGAAGGATGCGGCTGTCGATTGGAGCAGAGCGGAGGAGCACGGACAGGGCCACGAGCAACAAGACAGAGTTGTAGACACGAGATGGTGGAGGAGCGAGTGAAGCAGTGGCTTGGGAGGACGAGTCATGGGCTGATAGTCAGGCTTGATGGCGTGAACCCTGATCGCAAGCCGACCTGTCTTGGCTGCCTGCAACGAGGGAGCAGCTGCAGCCCTGGAGCAGCATCCTGCGGGACAGCAGTCGTCGAGGCTGGCGACTTAATTAGTCAGGGCATTGAACGAAGATGCATCAATGGGCGTGGGTGACGTTGTGAGGCATGGAATTGCATGTGGCGTGGTGCAGAGATGGAGACAGTGGGTGCATTGTCGACGATGCAGGCACGGGGGCCACGCCCTGGCCTGTGCCTGGCGCACCTTCCCTGCTGGGCGCCCCTCGCCCCAGCCAGGGGCACTTTCCTGCAGCAACACCACCAGCAATCTTCACCTCGTCAAGTGCCGCTGCTTTTGCAGAGAAAGGTCCCTTCTCCACGCTTCTCCTCCTCAACCTAACGGCAGAACCTGCTTTTTCTCCAGGCCCTGTCTTGGTTATATGGCGAGTATCGACTCGTCCGTTCGTCTCCCCGTGTCGGGCGCTCGGCTGTTCTCGTCAGCGCCAGCGTTCCTGCCAGGGTCTTGTGGCGTGCATCGAGGCCAGAAAAGTTCCGACCTTGTTCTCAGGCTCGTGTGCCCCTTGTCCTGGTTCTTGCCCTCCTCCATGCGGCTCCTTCTTGCATGTGCTGGCAGCCTACGGAGGGCCTGCCGAGCCATGCCTCTCGTTGACGGCGGGGCCGAGATTGCGTGGCAGGGCTCCCCAGCTTCTCCTTGCATGCAGCGTCGCACATCACCACCTCTTCCCTCTGGCAGACACATCCTGTCTCACAAGCCTGGCCCGCCACTGTATGCGCAAGCCTGTTCTCGAAGGCAGGAAGAAGCACAGCTTGTCTCGCGTCCAGAGTTCGTGGCGTCCGACCACCAACACAAGCACTTCTAGTGACCCCTCCCTCCCCGCCGGGGACAGGCCAGGAAGCAACGGACGGTCCTTGCTGGCATCCATCCCCTGCGGCCTTGCAATGCTCCACACAGCTGCCAGAAGACAGCGGCACGGCTAACTATGGCTCCCCTGCTAGCTTCGCCAAGCACGGCCCGGCGCCGGCCAGGGAGGAGGAGCCTGCCTGCTCATGATTGGGTCTCTGGCACCATCAGATCTGATTAGTCTGGCATCACACCTTTCGATCCCGGATCGCATCCCCGGAGTCTCCTGCCGCGCTAGGTTCTGCGCACATGCCAATCGGCAACCCATTGTTCATGCCCCGTCGACGTGCACATGCTTTCAGCTCCCGCCAACTCTAGACGCAGACGCCCGCTCTTTTTATGCGCAGCCAATCTTGCACAATTTGGGCATCGACGCTCTCAGTGCTCTGGCCGAAGCTCGGCTTACGGCTGAAATCTGGCTGGCCACCATGAAACGCAGCCACGTGGGGCCTCTAGTTTTGGTGTGTTGGGTGGATGCTCATTGGTCTTGCCCTGCAGCCTGCCAAGTGACTCGTCGTATTTCACTTGCTTCTGTCGTTTCACCGCACTGTTGAGCATTGCAGGAAGCAGTCGTGGCAACTCAATTTCCGACGATGAGTGAGCATTGCCGACCAAGTCGTGTCCCTTCGGGGCTATCCTGCACCCTTCAAATGAGCAGGACTCATCTGATGCTTACTCCAAGATCGGCTTTTGCGCAAGTAGCTGCGGCTGATCAAAACGCTCCAGCTCAATGTGAGCACTAGGACGATCTAAAGGACACGCAGCTTTGAGCCTTCTCCAGTCCGGTGGCGCTGCCCGGTTTCTCGCATGCGCTGGTTGTTCTCCCTACCCTAACACATTAGCCCAAACAGGACAGGCAGCTGCCCGTCAGTCCTGCCGAAAGTGCCGCGATGATTTAATGCGCGAGCTGGTGCTGCGAGGCTTCTGTATGCGCTCAGTCGCTGCTGCTTGCTTACATTTCCCGTTTGTGTCTTATCTCCCGCCACCGAGGCTGGCTTGAGGAACGCCCTTCACTGCCACAACCCCTAGAGCATTGGCCACTCACTCTGCACACGCGAGACATTGGCTGTGCGTAGCATCGACTTGGAGACTTGGTTGATTTGACGCAAAAATCAACAAGATGCCAACCTGAGGCTCGCCTGGCCATGTGTAGTCCCTACCTTGCGTGTCGTGTGTCGTTGTGCATGGTAACATCTACAGGGGTCCCCAGGATCAGACAAAAAGTTCCGGTGCTTCTCGCCTCAGCAAATGCAAGCAGATTGACCCCACAGCCGATGCAATTTTGCACCTATGGCTAGATGATGCTTTTGCTTCTTCTGTTACAGGCAGTTTGTTACAAGACAGCACTAAAACCAAATACAATCCATGTAGTGCAGTGACAACGTTAGCATACATAATAAGGAATCCGCCAGGCAAAGGGGTCGTGGTCAGGTCGGCCGATTGTTGGCTCGTCCTCGCCCCAGTGGTCGCACAGTGGCAGGCGCCGAGCCCCGGGTTCTGGATTCGTAACACCACAAGCAAGACATGCAACACCGGATAAACCCGTGTCAATATCGTCGGCACCGCCCGACTGGAATCCTGCACTGTTTAACGCGGCCTTGGCAACGGTGTTACACGATGCACCAGACCAATGACATCTCTCAGGACATTGCTTTGCTTCATTATAGTACCGGCTTATGCCGCACATGGTCGTTGAGAATCTCGGGATCCACGAACCTGAAGCGAGGAAGTGGCAGGTTCCCGAATGCAGGGGTTGTCGCGGCAGAGCTTCACGCTGAAATCTTCGGCTTGGCCCGAACGGAAAGCCCGGCTTGCGCCTTGAGTGCACGTATAGCCCAAGCTATATGACGAATGAGCCTCTGTGTACCAGGGCTCAGGGACGGCGTCCTCGTCCGCGGAAAGATACCCTATCATACTTTGACCTGGACTTCGCTTGCTGTTTCGTTGAGCAAGAGTTGAAAAATCACCGTTTAGCCTCAGAGACTACCCCATGTCCTGCGTCTTTTCTAGGATATAAAGAAGTGGCAATATCACAAAGCCGCGGCCTCTGGGTTCATCTGACGGAGTCGCTATAGGGTCATGTTCTAATAAGGAGGTCAAAGCACGAAGCAACACTATAGTTCAATACGCAGTACGATGCCCAGATGTTCCCCTTATATCTCGACGGAGGTTCCCTTGCCATTATCGAATCATAAAGGTTTCCAACTTAACGGTTCCCTGGGCAAGGAGCTCTGCAGTCTCACCACGCATCAAGCCTTCCACGAAACAGGAACCCACAATCTCATAATATTTGGAGCCGTCCTTGGGTCGCAAAACCATTGGCATGTCGCATTGCGAGAGGACGACAATCTTGTCTCCGGGCAAGGTGATCTCCGGAACAGTTCCGAGAAGCCCGCGCTTCGTCTTGAGCAACCGAGTATACCCCTCGCCACAAAGGCCATCGTCGAGCTTATTCGTGAGATCCAGAAAGGCGGCGATATCTGGGCATTCGTCATTGCTGTCTAGGAGCGCAAAATAACTCTTCAGCGGCTGGCCACCAATGAGGAGATCCGCGCTTCCGTTCAGGGCACTGTAAAACAGCCCATTCAGCCCGCTCTTGTTGTAGAACCGGGCCCATTTGCGCTCTTGCGGCGCAAAGTGCTGTCTGCCGATGTCTGCAGGAGGTCCTTCGAGATGTCTGGTGGCCCTGGCATCAGTGTAATCTTTTTCCACCTTGTAGCTCTCGAGCCAGGGAATATCTAGAACCGAGTATTTCCCATCATCGAACGTGAAGGTACTGTCACGGAGTAGAACGCGGGCCAATGTTTGCCTCCACTTCATGGTGTCGGGGTCCTGCTCGGCCTTCGATCGCTCGTTGTCGTTGCCACCGTCCTCCGTATCTTGCCATAAGGGCCTGTACAGCCAGCCATCTAGAGGCTCGTAGAACCACTCACAGGCCCCCAGCGCTGCCAGGTCGTCCACCATGACTCCCTGACAAACCATCACTCTGTCGTTGTCGGTAAATTTCAAATCCGACCAAGCTAGACCCTGATTAGCATCGTGGACCCGGTATTGCGTATCTCTGATCAGCTTCCCCATGTGCGGGCTGCCCTCGAGGTCCATAGCCCAGGTGGGTAAGCCCCGCGGCCGAACCGCATTCCGTTGCATGCGCGCGAAGTTGTTCAGTTCTCCATCCGCCAGTATGCATGCTTTGGAAAACTGGACAGCCACTTCCTGCATGCTCACGCCTGAGCGATAGTCGGGCTTCACCGCATTCTTGACCTCCACCGGCACAAGCCCGAGCATACCAAACACCTTGTCGCGTGGATCAGTGGCACTGGACGTTTGCGCCAGGTGGAGTATTTCTATCATGTCGATCATCGGACGGCCGGAAACATCGAGGTTGCTTTTTTTTGGCCTCAGCGTAACGAGCCGGAACACCATGATGGTCATTTTTCGATACAGGTCCCATGCCTTCTTCGATTCCGTGTCTCGTGACGTCCGCTGAGAGTCGGAGGCGGCTCTGTAGATAATGTCGATATCCAGTATATCTTTTCTTGTGAAGCACCCGGCTCCCAGGCGGAACGTGATGTCGGGAGCCAGAGCAATCTCCTGGACGACCCATAAGCGTTCCCAGTACCTGTTTGTCGCCATCGCCGTCACGACTGACCAGAGAGCGTCCTCGACAGCGATCGTATCTGCGTCGCCCCAGCGCAAGTCGGGCAGTTCGGCAAAGTCCAGCCTCTCGAGCCTGGCCTTGACAATGTTGACGTCGCTGTCCGCAACCGCCGAGCCGCTGTCCAGCTGCGCCCAGACTTTGAAGCAGTTGGCGTAGATCAGGTCCATCCTCATCACCTCTCGCGCGCGCTCGAGCTTGTCCTGCTGGTTGATGCAGATGGCATCGATCCAGATGTGGAGCCCCTGTTTCCGTATCTCATCTGTCCCGCGGAGGACGGACAAGGCTTCATACAGGTTGGAAGTGACGTCAAATCGACAGCCGTCTACTATGATCTCTCGCATTCGTGCTGCGTCGCCCCAGACGTAGCTGAGCGCCATGAAATCCCCCCATCGGTAACGGTGGAGCATCTTTCCGCGCGAGCTGCTTGCCACGCCGGCGCCATCATCAATGTCCTGCGTCTTGTCTGGCTGCGGAGAATCGAGGTCTTGTTGATATTCTTCTGCATCGCGGCAGGCAGACTGCCACTTGACGATACGGGTCTGAGGCGGGAAGTCGAAGACAGAAGTGTATCTCGTCCACGCCTCGGTGGTATCGTCCAGATCAACCGTGCTGAGCATGCAGACAATAGTATCGTCGTGCAAGGCGTTCGCGCCCTCGCGCGTGTTGTGGCCCTCCACCTCGCAGTCCTCGGCACAGATGTGGAGCACACGAATGTGTTTGCCATCCTGAGCAAGCGGCGTGTACTGGTAGCTGCGACGCCTTTCCGGGAGGACAGCACCGCCCTCTGCGAGGTGAGTCTGGGCCAGGTCGGCACCCTCCGGATTGGGCTCATGGGGTGGCGCACTGGGCTGAGGGTTGGAAGTGCCAATTTCACGCCGAGCCTTTTGTCTCTGCTCTCGGGCGGCCCTTGACAATGTTGGGTCGTGCGTGCGATTCTGGTGGGATGCTGCTGCGTCGGCTGTTGTGGAGGCCGCTCCCGGATTCGTGGCGACTTGGGTTCTTGACATCATGCTGCGCCATGCTTCCGGATCGTGCTGCTTTGCGAAAGCCCTTATGCTGGACAAGGCTTCCAAAGACACAGTGGTAGGCGTCCTGAGCAACACACGATCGAAATGCCGCTGCTGGAGGAGTCTTCGTCCTCCAAGATCCCCATCAAACGAATCGCACAGGACGGCTGCGTGCTTGCATAAATCCTTTATGTCTGACGCTGAATAGTTCATGGTTTTGTCTGCCAGACGTGACAAATCAACGCAATGGTCGAGGGACTCCTCGCTCAGGTGTAGTTGCAGAATCTGGAGCCGCTGTGCTGGACTTGGCAACCCCATGTAGATGCGAGTAGGAAATCGACCGAGGAGCACGGGGTCCATTTTATGGGGTTGGTTGGTCGCGAGCAAAACAAGGAGTTTTTGGTTGTGTTTCTGCCTCTTGGACATCTCTTGCAGTAGCTGAGGGGAAAGGGACGAGTCGGGTGAGTATGAGGAATCACTCTGGGGTCCATAGAGTTGATCAGCCTCGTCAATAAAGAGTACTGCGGCTTTCAGTTCCCTAGCAAGCCAAAAGAGACTGTGGGTCAACTCTTTGAACTGATAACCGAACCTCGTAAACCACCTCGCCTTGATGTCCGCAGCAGAGAAGCTGAGGAAAACGCCATTGGTTTGACTCGCTAGTGCCCGAGCGAGACTCGTCTTTCCATTCCCAGGCGGTCCGTAGAGGAGGGCTCCACTGGTCGTTTCTTGCGCGAGGGTTCCGTAGGGCGCCTGGTCTTCTGCCTGATCGGGCCGCCCTGCAAGCTGCGCGATTGACTGCCTGACTTCGTCTGGGAGCGCGAGATCCGTCATTCTGACTTCTTTGTGGCGTTGTGCTTGCAGGAGACTGAGGAGCCTGATCGCCCAAGTGTATCTTTGTGGCTCCCGAAAAAGTCTCTCTAGTTTCTTGCGAATCTGAGGCGTCAGTTTCGAGTCAAGCCCCGTTTGGTCTTCTGGCAAGGTGCTTGGTGACCAAGAACGCAGCACTGATTCATACTTCTGGAACTCGAGAATAGCGAGGCGGATTCGGTCCTCGGAAGTCCAAGGCATGATTGAGCTTGCGAGATCCATCAACATTGGCTCTCCAAGGAAGTCAGCACATATGGGATGGTCTTGCGGCAGGGAATCGGTCATTCGCTCCCACGCGGCATAGGGTCGAAACAAAGGAGACTGTGCGTGGATTGGGCTGGAACGTCTCACGACAGCCTGTATTCGTCGTATGTTATCTTCCATGGTCCAAGGTCTGTGTGCTGCGTTGATTTCGAATGAACGCCTTTGTCTACTGCTTGACACGGGTGCGATGTGAATGGCGTGTCGTCTAGGATTCGTTCCCGACGCGCTGAGTACCATATCCTCCCACTTGGCAGCAGCAGCGTTGCGGCTTTTGTTACGCTGTTGACTCCAGACCTTTGAGGTTTTGCTAATAGACTCCCCGAATTCATCTTTTTCATAGTCTGAATCATCGCTGCTGCTTGTGTCGGGTCGTGACTCTCGAACGTCCTGCCTCGCGTAAGGGTAAGCACAGTTTTGTGGCAGCCGCTGCAATGGTGGTGGCAATGGCTCCCCCGTGAAGCTCGAAGGGCGCCCCATCTGATCGACTGTAGACAGAACTAGCACTCTCCCGGATTCCTGTGCCACTGCTTGCTTTAATGCTTGCAACACTATGCCTCGTTCGTAGTCCCAAAACTTCTTCACGTCTGGGAGCCAGACCACAACTGGCTGTCCCGTCCGAGGGTTCCCGACATCGCCTTCTTCTATCACGTCTGCACAGTGCAGAAGAGCGGAGAAAGGGAAGGGGGACTTCCATGGTTTCGAGTAGTCTTCCTTGGGATACCAGGTATCCTCTTCGGTCTCCGACGTTCTCGTAAAGTACGCCTTGAGCGGCGGGCGGGTAAGCTTACTCCCGGCGGGGAAGCCTTCCCGGGCCAGGTGCTCGCAGAGGTCATCTACGTCCTCCAAGGTCAGAACGATGAGATGTGCTCCGGCTTCAGGAGCAAGTCGTTGTGCAATCGTGAGAAGGAATGGATTGCCACCCGCAACTCGTCGACCAGGAAATCGAATGTGAGCAGCGTCATGGAGAAACGCGCAAGAATGACATGCAACAACACCACCATTTGGCATGTTAGAAGATATTTCTGACAGCGCTTGATCGGGCAGAGGAGCAAGTAGGCCTCGAATTGGGGCCCAGAGCAAGCGATCGATTTGATAAGATTCATGGTGCGGTATGTCTCCTTGTTCGGAGCTCGGCTGAGCTTTCGTCTCGGTTGTGTCGATGATCTCCAGGGGAATGAGCCCGGGGCTATCTTTGTTGCGTAATTCTTCTATGGTCTTGACACAGTTCTCCAAAAACCACTCGGGCATTCTGGGCGGAGCAGTCTCAACAGGGCTGTCGCAAATTCGAAAGATGTTAGCACAAAACCTTTGTGCGAGATCTAGTAAAGTCAGGACATTCAAGATGTGGAGGACCTTTGGCCGCCGCCGTTCGAGGCGGCCTTGTATGCATTCCTGGCTGTTGAGCCGTGCTTCGTTGTCCACTTTCCACGCCCCATCGTCTTCTTGGTGTATATTCTTGTCATACTGCCGTTGGTGCCTTGTCACTTGCATTTGACGTTTCCATGAGCGGAGTGCTTTCCAGGCCCGAATGTTGGCGGAAGCTCGTCAAAGTGCACACTCACGGGTACAGATTAGGGCTGGTCGACGGGTCCAGGTTCATATGCGTCGGATCTTGCCTGTGATCGCTGCAGGTCTGGCCGATATTTCTGCGCCTCCACCCCCTTCCCGTGAAGCAAACCGCACCTTCGACGCACAGCTTCCCTCTCCTGGGTATTGGGTGTGGTCAACCGAGATGACGGCCAATCATAAGCAGTTGCATCAGTCCGCCTCATGCAGCCTGTGACATGGGTAACAATCTGGGCAGCCAACGAGCGAGCTGGATCCCAGCAATTTCTGCAAGTTCTCGGCAGGCTCTGCTCACTCGTGCAGTTCGTTCAAAATAGCGTCTTGGCATCGAGCTTCCGGGCACAGATCACGGAGCACCCCTTCAGCCTTCCCGTTGTCGGCAGACCAGAATGCCTCGTCCTCAAGATTTCGCCTTGAGCTGGGCAGACTTTCCGATCGAGGCTCCTGGCTAGAACGCGCCAAGTATGTCTTGCTTTCCAAAAACGTCCCATCTGCCGAATCCTCACCTTGATGCTCCACGGATGAGACACCCCTCAAGTCTGCCTTGCGCCCGAGTGCACTCCGCACTTGGTCTGCTGTACCAATGGCAGGCACCTCGGGAACGAGAAAGACAGCTTGATGGGGGGACCGTATGATGGCTGGCTGGTTATTCTTGGCCAAAGCCACAGCGAGAATCATTGTGGCGTGGCCCAAAGTCAAATCACTCGGGGACACGCTAGCTCCATCCTGCATGGTATGCTTCAGGGCCAAGGTTGAACGCATGGCCCGTGACGTGTAACCAAAAGTCATGGCCACAATGTCAACCTTGGTAGAAGTCACCTGTCCTAGCAATGAGGCGAGGCATAAGACGACATGGTATGATTGGATTCCAAGAGTCGAAGATATTTTACGTGCTGGCCATCCACCATGATTACGCATGGTGCGCTTAAGAACAACACAAGGTTTCTGGTCGTTTTATGAGATATGCTGGGCTTGGTCGTAAGGAGGTCAAGTGACACGCGTGGCGAGTTGAAGCACGACTGTAATGATAAAGGACAGATCAACAAATTACGTCAGCAGCTATACCGCGGACAATCTGGAGCACTGCGTATGACTCCCGACAGGTCAACCTTAGGCCTATTTTAATCAAGCTGGAGGGCCGGGTGTCAATTTCAGGAAAGATCAGATGGCGCACCCAATGGTCTCTCTATTCCGGGCGGCTAGTGGCAGGCGATCTGCTGCAAACTGATATAGACATTTGGTTAGAGCTATAGACAAGGTAGTGCTCGTGACGGGCAAGGACGCGGTATTTTAACTATCAAATCACCCTAGTGGTGATTGAACGAGCCCATTTTAGGTCTTCAACAGAATATCTTCTCGCCTGTCGAACTTTTACGGGTTTAAAGGATAGAATTAATAATTCTTGAAGTGAGACTGGTGCTCTCTCATCCAAGATTCCTGGTTGTGGCCTATAACGTGCTCTCTAGCACGATACGCCTTCCTTGGATATCCCCGACGATTCTTGACAGCCGTGATATTCATTTGGTTTCTCCCTCCTAAACTCTTCAGTTTATCCTTAAGCGCAGGGAGGGGGCTTATTGTTTTCTGGCTCATACGCATCCTGGCCGATCTCTCGGGCAGACTTTGTATTGTTCACCATCCTTCGCTCTGTGTGGTACTTACTTCGTGTTAGCAGCGGCAGATCCAAAATACTCCTCGCAAAAGCTCTTGCGTTCGTCTGACTTTTCTGTATTCCCACTAGATGTTCGCGAGGAACGACGACCACAAGATCGGAGAGATGTCACGCTATTAGGATATTCAGGCTGGGGATCTATGTGAAGAGCCCTCGCATCACACTTCCCTAGTCAAATGCAAGACGAACGAGCCGCTCAAACGTTCATGAATGAGAAGTCTCCAAGCGAGCAACGAAAATTTTCGAGCCGCGAAACGTGAGTGTGGCTTTATGGAAACAGCGCGGCGGAAACAACCCTGAACGGAGTCACTGACGCAATCTGCCTGTGTTCAAAAACACTCCAAGTTGGAAGCACCATAGAGCACCGAAAGACTAAAATACTGAGTACGATCCGGCTGACAGACTGGATGTGCTGGTTTACAAAATCTCATTGGATACGCGGCCATGGCAGCTTTGAGGCCGCGGCTGCTCAAAAAAAGCCCAGGGAGCATCTCAAATGGCGTTGCCACATCTTGCCGAAGCCGGTTCCCCTTCTCACGGGGGTCGCAATCCATCGCCACGCTGTGAGATACGGAAAGGACTTAGACGCGTCATCTGAGGGCGGTGCAACTGATCTTTTGCCAGAAGAGGTAAGCAGAACTTTGTTGGAAAGGTGATTCGGCCGGTCAAAGGTGCATGCGTGTGGGCGCCTGAATGGGGTGGGCCTGTGCCAGTCCGGACGCGGCATCCTTTGCTCTGATCCTAGGACGAAGGCTGTGGGGGGTTGGACATGGGGCGTACAGGAGCGAGACCCCGAGCCAAGTATCGCAGTGAAAGGATGACTTGGATTTTGTGTCACTGTCACGTCTTTAGATAGCAACTTGAGACAGCTTCGCTTGGCTTTTCTGATATTTTGAAGTATATGATCATCGTCGGCGAGATCTTTGTGGGGTTTCATATGGAAGGACCTCTTCGTCTTTGCCAGGAAACCGTGGAAATAGAGAGCCGCTAGAAGGAGTAATCGTCGCTTCATTGCAAAGGATAGGGTGCCTTGTGAAACAAGTAGAGTTGGTGACTTCCACTATCCTTGGTGAGCTCGTCAATCCTCAATCCAAGGAGTGTTTGGCTCGGTTTATGGAGCTCAGCACTCAGGAGCGTATACCTCAAAGGCACGTAGTTTGAATCCAAGGCACCAGGCTTGCTGTGCGACACATTGTAAGCCAGGCGGCCGGGCAGCAGGCAGTATTCGCGAGACACCCGAGAGTGATGGACTACCACCGCCCGGATCGTCGGTACATAAACAGGGATACTTGAGTTCCATCAACGGTGATCAGTCATCTTTGGCAATGGGAAGAACCTCATTCGTACGGCTGCACTCGAGAAGACCGTGATTCCAGAACTTTCTGTATATTGGTCACATCACCATATCTCGGCGACATGCCTTGTGTCACTCGAGCGAACCTGGCCGACATGGTCTGGCCTGGATACTATAACCACTGCTTCCTTGACAGCGCCGCACAAGGAACCCTCCTTCTCCAAGGGACACTGTGATCACCACCGAGCTTGAGCCCAGCCTGATGGAGTGGTGGAGGCATAGCAGACAAAACCAACGGATGGATCCTGATATTGGCAGTGCAGGGGGAAGGGCTTGTGACATGGTGGCGTGGCACTCGATCGGCCCTGGCCCGACAGTAGTAACCAGCATTTACCCACACTCCATGTGGTCCATCCGGCTTCTCCACTACTGATGGATTGCCTACTGCCCTGTTGTGCTCTGCCCTTGTACACGATCCATGAAAAGAAGGGACGCCCTCCCGACGAGGAATAGTCGAACAAGGTTCTGGGAGCAAGGGTTGCGGGATTGCCGCTAACACGACGAAACCGAGTCTCATAGGCTGGAAAGCTGCAAGAATGCTGCTGCCTGCCAGACCTGGGCTGGGCCTCGAGACAGACCAGCCCAGCACGATAGAGATCAGCTCTTCTGATGCACAGACCCTGTTTGAGGCCAGCCACGGCAGGGCCCCAGACCGCCCCTGTGCCGCAAAGTGGAATGACGAGGGCTGGTGGAGCTCGCGGGCCATTTACCGACAGACCGTTCTGACACTCCACTCTAGCAGGGGTTTCCTCGCGGGGCACAGTGCCGTATAATGTAGGATGAGGGAGGATGTCCCCGGGGTGGACCTACCTTCAAAGCGATGCGAATGCGACGATTCTTGGGTATGTCAAGCCCCATTCTCTCCACCCAAGGCTATATGCCACTAAAGTTGCATCCACGCTTGCAAAGTGGCCATTTCGGGCAGAGCATATTGTAGGCATGGTATGGACATTATCTACAAGTCTTTCTTCACTCCTCATTGCCACCGGTATTTCCGGGGTTTCCGTCGGTGATCCAGCAGACCAGCAAATGGACGGCCAGCAATTATCCATCCGCAGGGTTGTAGTCGGCGCTATGCATATAGGAGAGCGAAGAGAATAAATTACACTTGAGATGGCGAGTTTTGTAAACGAGTTTTATCTTCTCAGAGCCCATAAGGCTTCGGGATAAAAAGAGTGAAGGAAAGACAAGAATCTGAGCTAATACGATCAGTCATGCTCGAGAGATACTTTGTTCATCGCGCAAATAATAGCGTTTTCGAGGTGCTTGCGACCGTCACAGTTACTTGTCCCTTCCGCTCAAACAGGAATTATCGAGGTACTTCGCTAAGCGCCAGGATAACTTGGGACCGCTTTGCATCGTAGCCTCGTGGGTTCTGCGGAGATATGTCCAACTATCCATGTCCAGGGGTCAAGCAGCAAGGTGCAACGTTACCGGCCTGGCTTGCTAGAACCCGGAGCATTCATGCCTCATGGAGTATCGGCAAGGCGCTTGACACTGTCCCTTATTGCTAGGCCAAGCGATAGTCCCCTGGGCCGCTGGATACTTGACAGCGAACGCACGGCTTTACCTTCTCGGCCGATGCCGCCCCTCGTTATGGCTGTCATTGAGGTTAGGGACTTGCTAACGCAAACAATGGTAAGGTCCCAGCTCTTCCTAATCAAGTGCGCGCGGCGGACCGACCGGCACCTATTGTATGGGCAATGATATTCTTAGACAAGACGCTGCTCACTGGAGGTTCCACAGCCTCGCTGGTCGGGTTGCTCGCCGACGTTCCCCACCCACGCGGCAAGGCACGGGATGTATCGACTTCCAAGGTCCCATCCCGCGCTGCGTGATCATGGGTTCTACCTATAGTGGGCTTGGAGTGTTCTATCGCGCAATAGAGTATGCAATAATTATTGTCCAGGCACAACAATCCCCAAGTCAGCATACTTGCTCCTCAAGAGGGCT